GCAATTTTTTAAAACCAGGCGGTGAGTATATGTATATCGAGGAAGGTCAAAGAAAGGCATGGAATAAAAGTTTCTTATAGTTGATCTCCGCGATCAAAATTTATCGTGTTACCCAATCATACATGTTCATTAACAATCAGTACTTTGACATTTCTAAGAAAGCGTCACAAAAGTTCTTTTCACTTATCTCTGTATACTTTATTATATTATGCCCCCACTCAACGCGAGAAAACGCGCTTACGCTAATAAAAATAAAACGAAGAAGGTGTATTTATGACCAGATCTGTTGATGTTAATGATTGGGAAGAAATGTCTATTGATAACACAACAAACGTCGATGAATTGCATTCTTTAGCTGAAAGCCATAATGATACTTCGATTGTTAAGAATTCTATAAATAAAATTCTTGTCGATATCACCGGACAATCCAGTCGTCCTAAAACTTACACTGGTACTTCAAGAACTACATTATGGAGAAATAAAAAAGAATCGAGTATGATTGATGATCGTTCTAAGTTAACCCGATTTCGGTTTTGTACCTGTCGCCGTTGCTGCTACACAGCATGAGGTTGTTTTGAGCCGTAGTCAAAAGGAATTGATCCAAATCAACGAAGTATTTTTACAACTGCAGGATTTACTTAAGCCTATCATGAATAAGTCAAACCAAAATAGTAAGGTTTTGGCGTACAATTTTGTTCGCTATTCTTCAATCAACTGTTATTTTATCAGAAGACTCGAAGGAATGAACAAGGGCCAAGCTTCACGCAGTGCGGCAAAACAGTTTTGGCATGATAATAACGTCGCTTATCGGGCTATGACAATTATCAAGTGGTCTAATGAATTTTTGCAGGAACGCAAACTTTCTGACCATTGTCAAGGCGTTCATAGCAAGAGAAAGTCTTTTCTTAATGATTCAGACGTTAAGATGATGATCCTTGAAGAGATGAGAAAGACCAAGCCAGCTGAGCGATCCTTGGTTGTAATTAAGAAATTTATTGATGATGTTGTTGTTTCCTTCTTTTTTGGGTGTTGCTAATAGATCTGTTGCTGAAACAACAATTAGCAAGTACCTGTACGAATGGGGATACGCCTATAGAAAGAACAAAAAAATGATCTATTTTGATGGTCATGAACGTGAGGATGTGGTTGCATACAGAGATATCTGGTCAAGAAGAATGATGGGGTACATGGAGAAAATGGATTTTTATACTGGGGAAAATGAAGAGAATATCTTGGAGCCAACGTTAGAAGACGGTGACAAAAAGCTTGTTTTCGTAACACAGGATGAAAGCCCGTTTTACGCCAATGATGGTAAAAACGATCTTTGGCTGGAGGATGGTGAGAACCATATTCGCAAGAAGAGACCTGGATCTTCAATTATGATCAGTGAGTTCCAGTGTCCCTGTCATGGTACCATGAAGATTGCAAATTGGTCGTCAAGAACGAAGTTTAAGGCAGGTGATAGCAGAGAAGGTTGGTGGACCTACAAGCACATGGTGGAACAATTGGAGGAGAATGTCATCGGTCTCTTTGATGCATTGCATCCAGGTTGTAAAGCAGTATTTCTTTTTGACAATAGCTCCAACCATGGAGCTAATTCCGATGAAGCTCTTGTGGTCAACAGAATGGCTTTGAAGGATCGAGTGTGGCCAATTACGAGCGAGTTTCAGTTTCATGATACTGTTGTTAATTTAACAAGTGGAGAGGTTTTGGAGCAGTCCTTCTTTTATGACAAGGTTGATACGAGTAGAGATAAGAAAGGCCGTACTAAGTCCAAAACTGTACGGTACTTCAAGGGAATCAAAACTATCTTGGAGGAGAGAAATCAGTGGATTGGTCATGACATCAATGGCAAAGCGTGGAAGTTGGATTGCGGTTCACCCGAGATATCTTCTGATAAGATCTGTTGCGCTCGTCACTTCTTAAGTTCTCGCCCAGATTTTTGTAATCAAAAATCGGCACTCCAAGAAGTAGTAGAAGATGCTGGCCACATCTTCGAACTATATCCAAAGTACCACTGTGAGTGTAATTGGATCGAAATGTACTGGGGTGGAGCAAAGCGGGAGGCTCGCCTCAAATGCGATTACACTTTCAAGTCTTTGGATAGCAACATGGATGCATTTTTGGATAAGGCAGGAAGCATTGCCAGAATTAGAAGATACTTTCGGCGTGCAACTGAATACATTGAAGCCTACAGCAAGTGTAGTGACGGTCGAGAAGTGGTGCAGACTGTGAAAAAATTTGCGGAGAAAAAGTACCTTTCCCACAGAAAGGTTAGAATCCCTTCGGACTTAGACCATGAATAGAATATTTTTTTATAAATACACATAAATTAGCATTCATTTGACCTTCAATGCCGAACTTTTTTTTATTTTTTGCCTAATGTCAAGGGGAGTAGGGTACTCTTGCCAAAAAAAAAAAAATACTCATCACCAACATCGCAATTGCGAAAAAAAAAATTTGAAACAAATTTGAAATTTATCAGGTTTAAGCTTGGTGGCACGTTATAGCAGATTAAACTAAGAGGCTTCTTGTTTTTTACACGAGGTATTATTCACGAGTTATGTATCTATCAATTACCGTTCATCATCTAGAATATTCTTAGAACGATTATGGTTAGTTCTTTCATTTAAGTTTCTGGTAATGGTTGTATAGAGTACATTGTGAACAGTTGTCTGTTACTAAACTGACTGAATATTTACCATTAAGACATTTTGAGAAATATTACAGTCTAGAAATTATAAACTGACTTTTGGAAAAAGATAGAAATATTAGCAGCCTCTTTACCTCCCCTTTTTCTTTTTTCGTAAGTCTTTCAACCACTGCTTTCAGCCCTTTCCTTATAAAAGGAGCTCAAATCTATTTAATGAAATCGTTAGTTTTTTCTGTCGTATAACTTAATTTTGCCTTATTCATATAAGCCTGGCTTCACTATAAATAAATATAATTACTATAACTGTACGGTGTCCCTTCTTATAATGGGGACTGAATATTCTTTCCAGTTGCATTTTACTATACTCCCTCGAAGACACTTATATCTGGTTCATTTTAGCAGTACCCTTTTATATATTTATATTTCTCGGTGGACAACTTATAGTCGGGTGCTCACTTTATAGGGGCTGTTATCTTACCCTTTATCTTTATTTTCGCTACTACTTTTCACACTAACTTACCAAAAAAATACCACACACCACCCTTTTTATCACATTGAAAACAATCAGAAAATTGTGTTTGATGGGCTCACAATTTACTGTGAGTAAACGATGTAGTGTTGGGTCAGAGGCTATCAAATAAACCCGATAGAAAATTAAAAGGTTTGTTATGAAAGACCTCATAACTGGGTAGGTATTTCACCAATCACTGCCTTCTAATTACATGGTAGCTATTGGTGACAAGAAAAAAACCTTAAAGCCGAGGGGCTAAATAACAGCTTATCGTTCATCAGAAAACCAATTCATACTACTGGTGCCTCTGGTACTTTATCAGCATTAATGCATATCCTTTTCAAGTATGGCTTGTTGGTTGCGAAAAAAAATCTAGTCCCATTTTTATAGGGAATCTAGACACTTGTCGTCCAGAAAGTACGCCATATCATAGGCGGTATTTAATACACCAGGGAAAATATAGAGGCAGGATTACAGGAAAAGGCTGGATGGTTTGAGATCAGAACACCTATTCCCATCTCGTCAATCAAAAATAACTTCGTATCACATGGAAACCCCTTTCGATTTAAAAATGTATTGCCACAATATTCAATGATGTAATTACGTCGCATCTCAGAAAAAGTAAAGGTACTGTAAATAATCTTTTGATTCGGTCCAAGAAGTACAGACATAAAGAGAACGTAAAAGAACAAAAGGAAGGAAAATAAAGTTTCAGGAAAGGTCACATACTAATTAAAAGGCCGAACAGGGTCAAAACGTAAAGCTACGAATAATTGTATTGAATTACACAATGACCTAAAACAAGAAAACCCTATAAACAAAGAGATCACAATGGAGGTATTTGTAGTAAGAAACCCTTGGTTATCTCTTAGCTTTGAAAATGCGCGTTCAGGTGTATATCGGCAGCAGAAAAAAAAAATTGTTGCTTTTAGACGCTAACGAGCTTAAAACATCCTCGTATGGTAATACGTTTTTAAAAAAGATGCTTTTATTTATTTGTGCCATCGGAAATAACCAGTTTCAATCCAATGTCTTAAATTCGTTGCATACAATGTAGGTTACCTCTTTGTTTTATTGCGATGAGTTGGGGGTTATAAAAGTTTTCACGGGCAAAATTCGCCAGAAAAGGTAAAGCTGTGATCGGAAAAAGATTTTACACTTTATTTTTCATGCAATTATGGCAAGATAGAGTTCTTGCAAACAACACGAGTTACACGAGATAATGAATATCATTTGAAAGATAACGTCATCTGGCCAAGCCCCACGTTTTCATTTTTACTAAGCAAATCTTGTGTGTTTTTTTTTAAAAAGTTTTTTTGATTGGGATTATGCAAGCATTACCAATATGTGGCGCATGAGAAGAGGGCTGTTCTTTAAAATAAAAGTCGCGTTTAAACATTTTCCAGATAATTACAATGTGAAAACTATAAAGTGAGTTACCGCGTTGTGGGAGAAGAGTTAAACCAGCCAATCAGATAGTGTTTGTTTATATGACAAATGTAGCTCAATAACATTAGGTGAGTTTTCTGATTGGCTTACAATGGACTTGGCAAAAAGAAGGTTTTTGCAGAATAAATGATTCGTTTGCAGGTACTACGTGTCATGTTTTGTGATACGTGAACAGGGTTCGTGTCTATAACGTGATGCATGTGCCATATATTATATTTATAAAAAGATTTACAAAAATAGAAAAAATGCTTAGGTGTGGTTTAATTCAAGTACAGAGATGCGCGTATGGGTGAAAAAGATGAAATATAGAAAATGCATAGATGTGGTTGGTTGGGGGAGTAGGGGGTGATTATATACTAAGTGGAGAAAGAAAGAAAAAGAAAAAAATTAAATCATAAGGCCTTGACTGGTAGCCCAAACGACAGCCATGTCACTAAGAATTTTTGCTAAGCCGTCTTCGAGATCACATACAAGAATGTCTTGCAAAATTTCTTGTCTCTTTTCAGGCCATTCAGCCTCTGTATCAGACATGGTGAATGGGTCAGCGTGTTCCATCGTACATCTTTCATAGAGAACGGTCAAATCAGGGGAGATACCGTATGTTTCAATAAAGGGTTTGAAAGTGACGGGGATTTGCGGAGCAAATGGGAATAGACCGAGTGTTGGTACGTTGGGTTGTATTGGCGCAGATTGTTTCATACAGACGGATAAGAAGAGTGTTTGACACCATAAGGGTATTTTACCACGAATGACTAAATCATGTGCGTGGCCATAAGGGTTGGTAAATCTCGCGCCAAATGTGTAGCTGTATGGGATAAACATATCGTAGGAGGATGTCGTTAAATGGTTGACCATATTAAATACGTTGTCAAATCGAAACGTATCGATCGGTGCTTCAGCTGATACAAACAAAGATCAGTATGTTATCCACATCACTTTTCGATTTTAATATTATTATTTACCTGAAGCGTCAATAAATCTATTTGACAAGGAATCTTCAATGGCAGACATGGTAGGAGAAGACTGTGGAGAGCAAGATTGCCATATTTGATGTACAAAGACTCCTTTTGATAATCTCATGAGAGATATTTGGCTCATATCCAGACCTATGCTTTTACAATGAATCATGCGTACAAGTAAGTTTTCAGATCGATATCTTCTAAATTCCAGCGGATCCGCAGTAAAAGGATTTGATGTGGTGTTTTTACTAATCATGGACAACATGGCAGTGACATGTGAGCTGGGATGATCTCTTTTAGCTTTTTTGGCCAGATATGTCTCAGGGGGAGAGTATGCTATGCTTGTTGAGTTGAAGATTTGTTCACGCAATTGTGATGTGATGTACTCCCAAGTACCATTGTCTCTGCAGAAGGAAGACACTGGTCCCGATGCATGATTGTCGATAAAAAAGTCATTGAAATCCGTTTTATCCAATTGATAAGGGTTATCTTCAACCTTTGGTCCATTTGAGTAATAATGGGCATTGTCAAAAAAGGTGGTCATTTTTTTATTTTTTTATTTTTTACGAATAGAAGGGATATTTTTTAATTTTTCTTGGATCTCAGTGAATTTATAGAAATTTTTTTTTAAAATCCAGCCTCTTTTTTTTTGAGTCAAATTACCGGGATGATAGGCGGTGCGGCCATGCGGACGATGGCATACGCAATAATATTGCCATTTTAGATCAATAAGCACGCTAACAGTGCTGCTTTTAAACTACAAAGTAATTAACATTTCAGTAGATCTGAACAATAGGAAATAGTTCGAGATCATATACCCTTTGCAAGATTGCCCTGTGTTTATATTATCATGATTTTTTTTTCTATTTTAAAGCTCCATTTGTATGATCCTCCTTTTTATTTCATTACAATTTGTCCGTGTAACACAATGTATTATAAATAAGAACAAGCATTTGTAAGCTTTACCAGTCCCCTCCCCCCATCCATCCCAAATGAAACCTGTTGCAAAAGCCTCTTTTAGAAAATTTCATGTAAATTTTTTGTCTATCTTTTGACACTAATGTTTTGTTTTTTATTGTTATCCCTTTTGAGTCATAAGAAACCCCAACGGGCCTAAGCGCCGAGAGAACGAGTTTGGGATGAGGGTGAAGGTGAGGGGGGGGGGGCGCCGACTTTTTTTTTTTTTTTTTTTTTTTTTACAGGGCCGCATTGAGCCCTATCATCTGTAAACAAATCTTTAAAATGCAATCCAGGTTTTAGATCGAACGTTAAAATAATTAGTCATTGATCCTTGCCAATTGTTACACTCCCCCCTTTTTGGATTATTAATTTACCATAAATACTTCCCCTCTCTCATCATGTGCCTGTCGCGCAGCAACACAAATGTCAATAGAGTCACACACACACACACGCACACACACTTTTGTTTGTATTGTAGACTGAAATCAAGGAGGTTGTTGTTGTTGTTATTGCTGTGAAAAAGACCCTATCAACTCTTTCACTCCCTAATTTTTCTTCTTTTTCTTCTCTTTTCCCCCCAACATGGATTATTTCTCGAAATTCAGAAAACGTATCATCCCACCCAAAGTGCAACTGACGACCGCTATGCAATTAGCAAGGTTCCATAAATGTTGGGACTATGTGCACGTAACGTTTATATATATATAAAAAAAAAATATCTATTATAAAATCACGTAGCCCTCCAATTGTAACGATCATATAGAATATCTTTATAGCGGAGGATCGAAAAAGTAATTTACACGTCAAGCAAACTGAAATACCCGAACGATTACGGCAGATGGTCGATATGCTGGTAGACGAAGAAGCGCGACAAGAAGATAACACCACAGGCGTATGTATGGAATATTTCCTCAAAAATGGCATACTTCAGTATTTGGTCAACGTATCTGAAAAGATGGATTATCCTGAAGGTATACGAGGTGAAGGGATTCGAACCATTGCCTCCATGGTTGATTTGTTGGATGATCGCTTCTTGGTTCATAATGCGGTTCATAAACCAACCATTAAACTCCTGAGATTTTGTGTGTTAGATGAACGACAAAGCGAATTGGATCATGAGGATTTGGTAGATCTCATGTATATCATTTGTTCCAAGATCCATGGATTTCCAGCCCTATTAAATATTTTTTTTCACGATAAGCAGTGGTTAACTACACCCCAAAGAACATTACAAGCGACTGTAACTGCAGCAACAGGAGCAACAACACAGTCCTCATCAGATGCACCGCCAACAACACCACTACCAACCTCATCATCAGCATCAGCAGCAGCAGCAGCTCAAACTCCACCACCTGAATATGAGTTTCTATTATTTACATACTTGTTGCGTTTTGTGCATAGAGAAGGTCGATCAGGTGATTTTGCTAGAACGGGCTTATTGTTTTTGATGGAAATGGCCACCCATCAATTAGGTGACTTTATTCTCGAGTCTGATTTTGCCACTATTATGGCTGCAGGTTTAGGTGCTTTGTATTCACAACTGCCACGTAAACTCATTATTAAGGACACAGCAGAGATTCATAGTAGCCCAGCTTCGTTTTTGCTTGGACAGGACTTGGACCCACGTGCGTTTCCTACCGAGGAAGTAGGAATAGAGCAATCTAACTCGGATCAATTCAAGTATCAATTAGATTCGTTCCTGAAACTATTGGAATTCTGCCAGGATATTCTGACGCGATGTCCCAATGATGCCATCTCAGACCGCTTATTACAATGTGTACGCATGATCTTTTTAGAAAATATACTCTATCCTTCCATTCTCGAGTGTTCCGATATGGATGGCTCTTCCGTGGCCGTATTAAGTTACATTGATTTAATCCTGCAGACCGTGCATCAACAAGATTTAGCCGATGTCATGGTAGGTTTTTTAATGGATGACGAAGATCAAGACACGAAACCCGTTTCACCTTCTTCCGCCACCACCAATATCTTTGCCGGCGTCGAATTCGATCGCTTCAAAAGCTCGCCTTATTTTACCGCTGAACGTTTCACACTCAAGGATCTCATTTTTAGTAGACTTAAATCGAGTTCTCAACCAACCGTCATTGCAACATTAAAGCTCTTAAAGACTTTAATCGTCAAACATTGTCGCTTTGCAAATCGTCTATTATCCACAACACCAGATACACAACAAGAATCAAGAGTTATCTCTCACCATATTCGTGAGATCGAACTTTATTTTGCCCTCGTGTCAGCTATTGATCGAGTGCATGTGGATGATATCTTGACACTGGGCTATGAAGACTATCTCAAAGATATCGAAGCCATGATGGCCCACGATGCATGTTTCCAACAAGCAACCACCACCACCACCACATCAACAAAGAGGAGTGAAAAAAGACGCAGCTTCAAGTACGGACAACGACTTGATTTTAATGAAAAGGAACAAAACAAGCACGCACATACAAAGAGACCGATGCAAAGACATCGAATTCGACCTACCGATACTTTAATTCAAATTTTGTTGGGCCTACTTAGTCATTTTTTTGCCCAGTCGTCCGAATTAAATTTAGCCTTGACCGGTGTGATTTCTGCATTAGCCATGTGTCCCTATCGTAGTTTGGAAGGATGGATTTCATTTTGTGAGACGGATCGTACGCATGCCGATGATGTTTTGCATTTAACAGATACACCTCCACCCGTCGTCATTGACGGTATTCGAAGTGACGAGATTTATGCACTGAATGCCATCGAAGAACAACAAGAAAACTGCGATGACGATGATCAATCGGTGGATTTTGGTGCGGAGCGTAATTCTGTGCGTATGACTCGACCTACCCAGTTTAAATCATTTCCTCCCTTCTATACCTTGTTTCGAACTTTGACGCAACAAATCGATTATTATCGGTCGGAAGTTGATGGGTTTGATCGCTTATTAGATGAACGTTGGAACGGATTATTATTTGGAGAGGGCAATTTACCTCCTTTAGGGACACCATCCTTGTCTAGTTCAACAAAACGTGGAGACCCTTCAGGTTTAGAGAATTCGCCCAAGTTGTACACAACACAACGACGTAATTCTGTTTTAAAAGCCTCGGCTTCCGCTTCTACTATCAATATGGCAGCACCCAATCCATCCAAATCACTCTCATCTTCCACTACTGCTGCAGCAATGGCGGTGAATGGAGGTGGAGGAGGGGCCATGACAGCATCTACCTCAAGTAACACAAGTACACCCGTAACAAGTAGTACAAGTAGCACAACTTCCACACCAGCAGGAATAAATCCACTTTCGCCATTAGCGATACATGCCAAAAAGACACGACTTGTACGAATTCAACCACTTTTCCCTTCAAATTTTGAAATCGAGCGTGATGAACCTATATTAAACTTGGATCAGGAAGATGAAGATATGTTTACGCCTCGACCCAATTGTAATCCCTCACAGCGTAAAAAGATGGATAAAACCACAGAAATCTCGTTAAGCATGTTGTTGAATAATGTGGTTATTTTGGAAGAAACCATTAAAGAGTTGGTAGCAATCATGCAGGTGAGACGAAGTTTAGGCATTGATAAAATACGGTATACATAAATAAAAGATATGTTGGCCACCAAAGTATATTCAGTGTGCAGTATAAAAAACCTGTTTTCATCTTGTTTTGTTATAAGTAGAGCACATGGTATTCTACATTCCAATTGGACGATTAAAATGGTCAAATGATCAATTATATCATCCTGAAACAAATCAGTTTTTGTACATCAGAATTAAAACTCTTTCCCTCTCTTTTTTTTCATGTTTCTTTCAGTTTATCACAAACAAAAACGCCCAGTTTATAAAAAGGTTAGTAAAACAGAACTTCCTCTTCTCCCAAGTCAATGCTTAAACTGAAAAAAGACCTCTAGAAACACATGTTCTCAAGTTCTCACTGCTCATTTTTTTTTTAACTAAACAATGGCAGCAGTTGAAAAATACAAGATAAATTTCTCCCTCTTAAAATGTTGTCATTTGTAAATCCTTTTTACACTCAAATGCATCTTTTACAAACGCTTCTGAACTCCCTTTGACAATTATGTGTCTCGGATGGTCTGATGACTGGTTAACCAATAAGACACCAGCATGAAAACGGTATACCTCACCGTTTTCTTAAAGGATGCTGCGACACGTGCTACATATATGTGTGTATTAGAAGATCCTACGTCGGCGAAAGAAAAATTTGAAAGCTGGCTTTAGGGTATGTAATACATCTTAAAAAATATATCAGCTTTCAGTAAAATTAATTTTCAATATATCTAAATGAAATAGATTCTTAATAAGAAAGACATCCAAGATTACTAGTCGTGCCTCTTGACAGATAGTAATTTACATTCTCAACAAGAAAATTACAGATATCTTGTTTTTCCAAAACTTGTACAAATATACGTACCAAGACAGTAAGCGTACTCCAAGTAAAGGTATCCTCAGCAGGCAACATATACCAAGGACAAAACTGAAGATCACAGAGGCTGATGGTGTAATGATTTCAGGACTAAATAAATCAATTGGCTCTAATATTGCTTCGCTGACAAAGCAAACAATTATCGAAGATATACAGCCATACTATTTCCAATGCTGTGGGACAAATGGCGTACTTGTTATGTCGGACAAGTCAGCGGGATCACATTTATATTATGTCATCCTGAAACAAATCCGGTTTATCACAAAAAAAAACGCCCAATTTTATAAAAAGGTTAGTAAAAAAAAGAGCTTCCTTTTCTCCCAAGTCAATGCTTAATCCTAACAAAGACCTATAGAAGCGTATCTTCTCGAGCTCTCATTGCTCGATTTTCAACTAAAAAATGACAGTAGTTGAAAAGTGCAAGATATCTTTCCCCCCTTTTTCAAAAAATCGTCGCCTGTAAATACTTTTTATATTCGATTACAGACGCTTTTGAACTCCCTTTGGCAATCCTGTCTACCCTGGTGTTCTGATGGCTGGTTGACCAATAGCTCACCTGCAGGAAAACGGTATCCCTCGCCGTTTTCTACAAGAATGCAGTTATACGTGCTGCAAATTTCAACAACGTAGGATCCTCCATATAAGCCAAGGAGATTTTTTTAAAATCTGGCTTTACCGTAAGTAATACAACCTGAAAAGTATAACGACCTTCAGTAAAACTAATTCTCAATACAATTAAAATAGATTTTATACAAGACAGACATTCATTCTTACTGGTCGTATCTATTAAAAGATAATACAGTACAAAGCCAAGAAACCAGTTACAGGGAGCTGGTCTTTGACAATCTTTACAAAGATACGTATCAAGCTCGACAGACTAAGCGCATAAATAATGAAAAGAACTCAAGCAGCCGCCAGTTGTCAAGAATAAGAATGGAGTTTACAGAAGTAGATAACATAATGGTGTCAGGATTGAATACATCGATTGGATCTTATATTGGTTCGTTAGCACGTAGATCCTTGACTCATGACAGGCAGTCATATTACTTTAAAGCATGTGGTATGAGCGGAATACTTGATATGTCTGACAAATCCGCAGGATCTCAAATTCACGGCATACAAGACCATGTCCAAGAAATTCGCCAAGCCTTGCATACGTATGATATAAAACTTAGTGAATATCCGGAGCTTACCAAGTACGACGAAATTACAAAGGCACAAACAATCCGTAAGCAAGTCAAGTACTTCAAAAAGTGCCTAAGTAAAATCCAAAACTTGAAGACCAAGGACAAACCCATAATTATTGAGGACTCATATGAACATGTTTTGAAGGTTCACCTTTTTCATTCGTACCTGTTTAATACACAAAAAGCAAATACCATTTCGGAGCAAGATTACGTGATTAAAATTTGGTCGCCATTAATCGAAATCATGTTCCGTTCCTTGAACGAATTTCCCCCGATCATCTGCCATTGGGGAGACACAAGCTCTGAGGTCGTGAAGGAAGATGGCAAAATTATACATATGGATCTAAGGCTGATTGCTTGTGAAGCTGATGAAGAAACGGATGCCGCAGTAGTTGAATTTGCTCCCATGGTTTATAAGTCAAAACATTACAAGGATAAGCTCAGGACCGTTCTAGCAAGCAAAGTCCAGTTAAATGAATTGCTTAAAAATTACGCGGGTTTGGATGAAGACAAGGCTAAAATCATTGCAATTCCCTTCATGCTTATTGTGGGCTTAGTTTGTGACATTTACACCATCATACTGGTGGCAAGTGGGCTATATATTGTTGACGTAGCTTACAGCATGACGTTCCCATGCTTGGCGCAGGAAATCAAAGACGATGGATTGACATATCTAGTAAATGGTCTCAAACTATTGAAGAACTTATGTTTGAAGATCATAAAATTCAAGACGGTCTAGAACAAGAGGAGCAGGTGAACGAATAAAACAAAAGCAAAAAGGATCTGCGTAGACGTAGTACTGGCATTCTTATACTACTATGATGTGAAGACTATTGGGACAAATTTCACCACTGCAGCGTCCGTTTTTTCATCAGTTTCAGAAGCAATCAGTCTTAGATCCATACGTATAATTTTGCCATCTTCCTTCACGACCTCAGAGCTTGTGTCTCCCCAATGGCAGATGATCGGGGGAAATTCGTTCAAGGAACGGAACATGATTTCGATTAATGGCGACCAAATTTTAATCACGTAATCTTGCTCCGAAATGGTATTTGCTTTTTGTGTATTAAACAGGTACGAATGAAAAAGGTGAACCTTCAAAACATGTTCATATGAGTCCTTGATGATCATTAGTTTGTCCTTAGCCTTCAAATTTTGGGTTTTACTTAGACACTTTTTAAAGTACTTGATTTGCTTACGGATTGTTTGTGCCTTTGTAATTTCGTCGTACTTGGTAAGCTCCGGATATTCACTAAGTTTTATATCATACGTATGCAAGGCTTGGCGAATTTCTTGGACATGGTCTTGTATGCCGTGAATTTGAGATCCTGCGGATTTGTCAGACATATCAAGTATTCCGTTCATACCACATGCTTTAAAGTAATATGACTGCCTGTCATGAGTCAAGGATCTACGTGCTAACGAACCAATATAAGATCCAATCGATGTATTCAATCCTGACACCATTATGTTATCTACTTCTGTAAACTCCATTCTTATTCTTGACAACTGGCGGCTGCTTGAGTTCTTTTCATTATTTATGCGCTTAGTCTGTCGAGCTTGATACGTATCTTTGTAAAGATTGTCAAAGACCAGCTCCCTGTAACTGGTTTCTTGGCTTTGTACTGTATTATCTTTTAATAGATACGACCAGTAAGAATGAATGTCTGTGTTGTCAAGAATCTATATGAATTTCATTGATAATAAATTTTAAATTGAAACTTAACATGCCGTATGTGTTGTATTATTTATCTGCATTAAAAACCAGTTTTTTATAAATGACTTTTTTTCTGCCCAACATTACTTGAATACACAGTATTTCTGTATTTTTTTTTCCAGTAAGCTACTTGCTATTATCTTTTTAGATAGAACTTAACCTTTTTGCCTATCTTTGTAATGTTTTATAAACAAATGAATACTTTATAATAAACCCTTCTCTTTTTTACCAGGCGATGATGCCTTGACTTACATTTAGCAGAAGTTTTGTGTAATTTATCATAAACTTATGTATTTAACCCCCCCTCCCCAAGTACACCCTGTAATATACAACTTGAAACCACCGTTGATTTTTGTAAGACAAATCACATCGCTGACAGGTATAAAACGGCTTGGTCAATTTATCTAAAAAAAAAGTGACGAGGTATGATTGGTTAAATGGTTCTCTATAAAAAAAAAATATATATTGGACGGGTGTCGGTATAATATTTTTTTTTTTTTAATCTTTCTTAAAAAAACACCATGTCGATATTTCCAGGAAAAACCTTAAAGGCTATTGCCAAAGAACTTAATGAGTTAACTCAAACACCACCCGAAGATATTCAAGTGATTCCCGCTGAAGCTAACTTGGCTATGATTAGTGCTTGGATACGTGGACCAGGTAAGGTAAAACCAGATATATATATTTTTATATATATATAACTATAAAACTGCATTTTTTTTTTTTGCCTGTCAATTAACCCCCCCCCCTTACCCTCCTTAGACGGAACACCTTATGAAGGAGGTTACTTTAAAGTGACATTGGAACTTGGTACCGATTACCCTACTACACCACCCAAGGGTTTTTTTAAAACAAAGATCTTTCACCCCAACGTTTCCAGCTCTGGAGAAATTTGTGTGAATACATTGAAAAAGGACTGGAAACCCGAACTTGGCATTAAGGACATTTTGCTGGTAAAATGACACAACTTATAAAAAAAAAAAAAAAGGAGCTGGAAAGTGATAGAGGCAAAAAAAGACTAATGGCTCATGTTTCAGACAATTAAATGCTTACTTATTGCACCTAACGCAGAATCAGCTTTAAATGAAGACGCTGGTAAATTATTACTTGACGACTACGACGATTATGCAAAACGAGCACGTTTATACACGGGGATTCAAGCACAAGGAGGTAAATCAGAATATTTACAATTGGGATCCAAAGAGAACAATACACCGTTTATTTCTAAACGCAAGCGAGAAGACGAGGAGAGTTCAAGTACCACAACAACAAAACCCGTAGTCACTGTCAAGAAGAAGAAGGCATTAAGGAGACTTTAGGTTTTTATTATTTATATATATATAAATTTGAAAGGAGCAAATTTTGAAAAAAAAAGTTATTAGTTGGAGGTATTGGGGTTTAAAGTTTTGGATATAAAATTAGTCAAGTCTTGAGCTGTTGTGGTTTTTAATAAACCTTGCTCCAAATGCAAATCCAGTTCCTATTTTATATAAAAATTGTGGGTGGGTTGGGATTTTGTTTAATATCACTAAGAAAAAGGGAAACTTACGGTTACAACATCTTTGGCCGTGGGACGATTGGAAGGATCATCTTCCAGTAACCAAGCAACCAGACCAGTGCAATAAATGGTTGGATAGGAAAAGGTAAAAGTAGGACTAGGATCCTGCAAGATCTTCTCAAACACCTTTTCCTCGCTTTTGATATTATAATGAGGGGGTACACGATCCATCATTTCAATTAAAGTAATACCCAAAGACCATAAATCCACCTTTTCATCATAGCATGCCTCCCTGATCACTTCGGGAGCCATCCACTAGATAAGGTTTTTTGTCAATAAAAACGAAGCTATAAAAAAAATTCGTTTATATACTTTACCTTGCCCGTGCCTAATCTCTCACGATTTACATGCCGTGTGCTTGTGGCTAATCCAAAATCGGCTGCTCTCTCCATTTTTTTTAGTTCAAATTGGAATATTATACAACATTCTTTTTTCTATGTATCTAACCTAATTTAATTTCTCCATGATGTCCAATTAACAAATTCTCGCACTTGATATCACGATGAATGAATCCCTTGGAGTGCAAAAAGACCAATCCATTCAAGGTCTGATAAGGGGGGGGGGTGGAGGTGTATGAGTTTTTATGTATGTATATATAGATAGCCAATGATGTTATGTGCTTACCTGACGAGCAATGTAGATGGCGCAATCTTCGGGCAAACCTCTAGCACAGAGGACAGCAAAGACACTACAACGCATCAAATCCATGGCAATCCAGACCTCGTTTCTAAATACGGAGGTCTCTCTTAGCTTAATTAGATTGAAATGACCTGTGGACATGATACGTAACTCGCGCACGATGGCTGTACGATATTCTCGGTCGGATTCTAATTTGCATCGTTTCAAAGCCAATTTTGTATGTTTGGAGCTTTTGACTTGTACCTGTACGACAGCGCCATTCACGCTGCAAATGCAAGAGAGAGAGAGAGAGAGTGAGTGATGTTTTGTAGAACATGAAAATTCAAAATAAAGTTTTACCCTGTGCCAATCTCCTTGAAGCCCAGATAGCGAGATTTGGGCATAGAGACAAGATTAATCTTTGGTAAGGTTCTTTTCAGCCTCTTTTCGAATGCACATTCATCGGTTCTGACGACGGGTGGTAATGGAGACGGAGTCCAGTTGGAACCAGCAGGAACCCAAGGAGGCTATAAGAGTGTAAATAAATGGAATATGAGTCTTCTTTTCTCTCTTGTAGAAGCATATGTATTTTTTCTCCCCCTTTTTCTATATATCGTTTTACCCCCAGTGGATACTGTACTCTTTTTGGTCCAGATTCTTTATGATGATTTGTTTGAATGGTTATGGAGGGTTCTAAATAGGCATTACCTAAAATATTTGGAATTTCACAATGACCAGGCGATCTCCAAATAAGAGGAGTTTTCTATTTTTGGTTGGAGTCACACACTTTTTATCATAATTGCATGATTTTATTTATTTAATTCTTACCATGGCTGGATGTGATTTGATTGAATTCGAACCTAAAGAACGTCGCTTTGTATTCGCTTGACTCTTCATGGTCATTTCTGAACAGGATTTGGCTGTAATGTTACTTTTGGTGGTGGTTGGCATTATTAGTATAATTTTTTTTTTTTTTGTGTTGGGTGTTAGTTATTAAATTGGATTTTTTATGTATTTGTAAAAAAAAAAAAAATAGAAAAAAAACGAAAAAGAAAAAAAAAAAAAAAAAAGGAAAAAACAAAAAAAAAAATTACATGTATAGGCAAAAAAAAAAAAAAAAAAAAAAAAGGGGATATTATATACACAAAAGGAGAAAGGAAGGGGAGAAAGAGAAAGAGAGAGAGAGAAGGGGGACTTTTTTTTTTTTGGGTTATTTAACATACGATGGAAGCTGGTTTTCTTTTAGCCAGCATATTACGCAATCTTAATGTGGAACCAGGACCTTGTGGTTCTTTGGATTTAGCCTTGGATGATGTCGTATGTCGTGATATTAATAAAAGTGCGCTGGATGTTTGCCTCGATCCAATCTAGAGAGGAGAGAATGTTGATTTTTTTATTAGTCAAAATCACATGATTCATCAGTGTATATGTGTTTACCTTGGATACCCATTGATCCTCGCGGTCTAATATAGCAATGGCGTCTTGATTATTCACCAACAGTGGTGCATTTTGTGTGTAGGATCGATAAAGAGAGACCTGCTTCCTTATACCCACACCCATCTACATTAAAATGGTTAGTCAACTACTCTATTTATTAACTCTATTTTACAAACCTGCTGGATTTGATGAAGGGGCGCATTTTTACTCTTGATTAAAGTGCTTCTGTGTTTCAAGTCACTTTTGATCGTCGTGGCAATATTTTTTGCTAAATCGAGATCTAGAAACGCCTTTTGTAGCACCACCAAGTCATCATCTGTGTAATATGTATGTGTCAGGGGGTTTTTTCATTTTTTTTTTTCATGCGTAATTCTTAAATATACCTATTTTGTAGTGCGAGTGGATGCCCAGTTGAGTCAACAAACTATTCACCTTGTTCACCATGGCCCTCTTCTGGCCCTTGCTCGCCACCGCTGCGGGTTTCTTCTAAAAGAGAGAGAGAATATATATAAGGTAAGTTTTTTTAGAATAAAAGAGAGAGAGAGAGAGAGAGCTGTACCGAGTAGAGCGTGCCAGCAGATTTAATTGCAGAATCTAACGTAGCTTGTGCATGTAACAGCTTTTCTTGTCCTGCACTTATCACGTCCTTCAACACCAGTTCAATTTGCTCTGTTCCATGTTCAACATTAAACAAGACTTGGTCAATGAGTTGCAATTGCGACACCAGTTCGTTGAGTTGAGCTGTTTTATAACAGAGCAAGCTACGCAAGTTGATGGCTGTTTCTGTTCCCTTTATTTCGTTTTCGATGACGTGTCAGTTTACAGTTGTCGCGCGCCGCGTCTTTTCATTATTATTATTTTTAAATATGTGTATTTACCTCGTCTAGTTTCGACAGTAGCTGTTGGATATCCTTGTCGCTCAAGTAAAAGTTGTTCTTTGTGTCAAACTGTGATGTCATTATGTGTGTGTGTGTGTGTGTGTGTGTGTGTGTGTGTGTGTGTGTGTGTGTATGTATATGTGTATGTGAGAAAGAGAGAGAGAGAAAGAAGAAGAAAGAGAGAGAAAAAAAAAGATTTTTATTTTTATAATAATATGGGGGGTAAAAAAAAAAAAGAATTTTCCCCTGATTTTTGTGTGTGCGTGTAACACATTTTGTTGTCCAACAGCAGCAGCAGCAGCAGCAGCAGCAGCAGCAGCAGCAGTTGCCGGAGCCATTCCTACAGTGTTTGTTGTGTGTTTATGGCTTTTGATCTACGGCAGTTTTACATGGTTTAGGTATGGGAGTATCATCAGGAATAGGATCATGCAGGACACGACCAATCTTATGATACTTGTGACTCTTGTCATAAAACTTCTTCCAGTGATCAATACCTTTTAATTGATCGGAAGTCAACCCGCGAATGTCGTGTGTCAAATGGTCCTCAAAACATCCCGTTACATAAGCTCTTGCTGCATCCTTGCCTGCAAAGTGGTGATAACTGCCTCCCTGACCATACCATCCCCTTCCCTGCGACACGTCATACACATCACCGCTACAGTTTAATAGAATAAAAAGTGTGTGGTTAGTTTTCTCTTTACTGTCTTTGTTCGTTTTTTTTTTTCTTCCTTTACTCAATGGCCAAATAGATGGGTTTGTTGGCATCGGTGCCATCATACTGTAACAACTCGGTCTCTGTAAAGACCCTTTGTTTGCGCTAGTTTAGTTGAGGGTGGAAATAGGTTAAATTAAATATTTTTTTTGTCTGTTTATATGTATAAAAAAACTTACTGGAATATACGTGTTCACATTTGTCCACTTGCCACGATAACCCCACGTCCACGACTCGGTAATCAAGTACGAACCCAAAAAGAAGAACAAGATAGTCCAACTTAAACCTATTAGACCTTGACTCAACAAGGAAGTCTTTTTCACTTTACTCTTGCCAGGTGTTACATTCTCCTTTTTAATCTCTGTAATCTTGGCCATCTTTTCCCCCCCTTCGTTGCGTTAATAATAATAATAGAAGAAAGAAGAAAAAAGAGAGAAAAAAAAAGAGAGGTTTTAATTTCTTAGGAGTTTTAAATCTGTATTTTTATGCTGTTATTATTATTTGAGGGGATATCTTTACGAGCCACAACAGCCGAAAGTTCATCAACGGCATCTGGTGTACTAGGCCCCACAGAAGAAGTACAGGAAGACAATCGAGAATCATGAGATAAATTGGGTGAATTCACATTATCATTGTAATACACACTCTTTTGGAATCCACATAACTTTTCCCACCAATTCTCAATGATTCGCTTGACAATGCGTTTCGTGGTTGAGTTCACTTTACGCTGCATCCCCGGGTTTAGTAAAGACAAAAGGGTCTTGTGTGTCTCTTCCTTTTTATACGGTCTCAATCGAAGTTGTGTGTTCTCCAAGAGTGGTTCCAGCACTCTCAGATAGGCATCCCTTAACTGATTTGTGGTGATGAGAAAATCAAAAAAATATAGATTGTAACATGTGTACTCACTGTCTGTGCTTCCTTTGTGTCTCCCAGATCACATAATTCTCGTAGAGTGATGTCCACTAACACATACAAGTCGTTGGTATAAAAGTATTCGTATAATGTAGGTGTTGTAAATATCCCGTAGAGAAGCTTTAATATTAACATTTGCACACACGTGTCGTCTACACAAGAAAAAAAAAAAGATTTAAATATAGGATGTAAAATATATAGACTTGTATCTTACTAGAGCGGTTAAGCATAAAGATTAAATTTGCACTAAATGTATCCGAGATACCCATTCTTTTCGAAAGTACATCTAGCACCAAATTCAAGCCCAAACCAGACATCATGTATTGCTCGTTCAGAACCATGATCAGACGAATGACATCATAATTAAACGACTCGTCTGAATCCCCACGTGTTTCCTCCACCAAGTTTAAAAAGTGGTTTATCATATCTGTATCCAGCACCTCTAATAAAAAGTATGTATAAGGATGAAAAGGGGGCTATGCATGAGACATGTACCTACCTAGATCAGTTTCTTCTACTTTGGCTAATTTACACATTTCATAACACAGTGCAAAGGACACACTCAACATTTTATAACTGGTGTAAAAGCCCAATCGAATCTCGGTCATGATTTTGCAGAATAATCGATTCTTTCGCTTTTGAATGGCTTCCAATAAAATATAATTCATCCATCGGGGTTCATCTTTACCTGCATACAGCAACAAGGAATAGGCAACAAGGAGTTCACTCATGTCTTGAGAGACAAGGGCATGTCCATTTAATAAGTGACCTAATACGACTGTGCTGTAATCAAGACATAGCTTAGAGTCAATCAACTTGTAAGCAACCTGTGCAAACTCTACTGCACTCTTTAAGAATTCCTCTGTTCTTTTTTCGTTTAGTTCAAGGACAAGGAGAATGATATATAACTTACGTTGATATCGTGTGAGAAAGCGAACATACTGTGTTGTGATTCGCTTTACATCCTCTTCACTTGAATAGGATCGATGGAGGACTTCATCTAACTCTGCAAAAGAAAAAGAGAGAGAGAGAGAGAGAGAGAGAGAGTCAGTACAACTATAAAAAAAAAAGGAATTGCTCTGTTGTAATGTACCAGCATAAAAGCTATCAATCGAATCGAAAAAGTACTCAATGGTGTCGTCGTCCATTTCAATGAAGTGTATAAGAGAGAAGAAAGAAGGGTTCTTAAAGCGGACATTTTTTTTTTTTTTTTTTTTTGTAGGCTATTTTAAATTTCTGGGCCCAGCAGGAGTAAGTGGGTAGCGCTTGAAACATGCCTCGGGGCCTTTTTAGAAAAAAGTAAAGTGGTACAAGAACTCCGATAAAATAAAGGGAAGGGGGAAAAAAAAAAGGTCCCCCAGAAACTCCCCCTTTCTTCCCCTTTTGTTATATACCTAAAATATATATATAAAAAAAAAAAAAAAAAAATTAACGCGGGTTGTGGGGTTATTGTCGACATAGAGAAGAAAAATCAAAATTAGAAAAAAAAAAAAAAGATAAATAGACGATGAATGCTACACTGCAGTTTATGAATAATAGCTTTGACTCATTAAAGAAGAAGGATCCTTTCTCTGATGAGATTCTTGCGTTATGGGTGCCAGTGGCTTCATATTGGCTATTTTCTACCTTCTTTCATTTGCTCACTAAAGCCAACATACCTTACTTTGAACAATACCGAATTCACTCGATAGGAGATATGCAAAAGAGAAATAAAGTAAGTATGGCTCGAGTACTCAGTATGGTGGCCTTACAACAACTCATTCAAGTCGTGCTTGGCATATTGGTACTACACCCTCTAGACCCAGTCTCTTACGCTATCAGGGAAGAAAACACTATCAACTCTATCACTGCCTTCTTTTTCAATCACTACCATTCCATACATTTCGCTCATATTCTCGCCAAATATATTTATTTCGTCCTTTTACCATGTCTGCAGTTCCTATCCGCCATGTAAAGTTCCTCCCATTCTTCCTTCCTTTTTAATTTACTAACTTTTTATTCGGGTAGGTTTATCATGGATGCTCATCAGTACTTCTTTCACCGTCTGTTCCATATGAACAAATTCCTGTATAAACATGTACATTCTCATCACCACCGTCTCTATGTGCCCTATGCCTTTGGAGCACTCTATAATCATCCCATAGAGGGATTCTTTATGGATTCACTTGGAGCTGCTATTGCCATCGAAGTGACAAGAATGACACCTCACATGAGTATGCTCTTCTTTACCTTTTCCACTATTAAAACAGGTACCACACATTCCGCATATCCCACACACACGTACATCTTATTCATCTTTTTTATCTGTAGTCGATGATCATTGTGGCTATGCACTTCCATGGGACCCACTACAATTCCTTTTCGGAAACAATGTCCAATAGTAAGCATAGCAACACACAAATATATCCACATAGTAGCTAACCCTTGCCTTCTCTTTCCCCCCCCCCGTAGTCATGACATTCATCATCAATCGTACGGCGTCAAGAGGAATTTCAGTCAACCATTTTTCACTATTTGGGATAAATTACTAGGCACAGAAATGAGTATCAAGGAAGCCGAAAAGAGAGGAGGATTCAAAAAGAATACCACATAATTTCCCTTTTTTTTTATTTAATATTTACTGTTTTACCCTTATTTACCACACCACCAATTATTATTATTAATTTTTTTTTTATTTTTTTTTTTTAATACACCCATACCAACTTTTTATAATGCTAAAACTAAAAAGTTTTTCTCATCTGTCCAAGCATGGCAGACACACAAAAAAAAATGATGAAGCCATCTCATTGACCAATAGTGGCATCCTTAACACGGCATAAAAATACGAGCTGATGAGCAGCACAACCCGGGAAATGCACAAACATGACAGACTCTTTTTTTTTTCCATCTTGAACAGAGTAGCAACCATAAGCATGCCAACATCCGAATACACTTTAAAGACCAGCCGATAAGCTCACAAAAATTAGATCCTTACCAAATACACTGATGGTAGATAAATAATCTACACCTCGAAGCATGGCTCAGCATATATTCTATCAATGTCAGAATTATCATACAGCCTATAAAAAAAAACCTCTAGATACTTATCGTGGTAAAAAGCACTTTTATTATACAAGAAAATATGTACGTTCTATAAAAAAAAAAAGGTTTCACTAGAATAATCACCACGCTTGTCAAAAAAAAGTTTGCCTTCTTTTTCGTTCACTAAAGAAGCAGATCCATCTCCCAACAGGACGAAAACCTGACTCAGCAACGTAGGGGACCTAATCCCTCCAAATACATCTTTTTTGGCCATAACAACCTACCTTGATGGGGATGGGTGTATGACCCTTAAATGTACTGCTGAGTGATGCATCCCCGTATGCGACTCTTGTCCGATGTATGTCTTGTTGACTTTGAAGAGTCTGTTGATTTTCATCTCGATAACTTCTTCTTTTTCTTTTTCTCGAGCGACCATCTGAGTCCACGGAAAGTTTATAATACTCATTGGTAATTTTAATCCCCAAAACCAAGTTTTCAGCGTGTTTAACAGCTTTCTTACGGTTAGAGAACATATAGCCTTTAACTTTCTGATGTCTAAATGGCCTCAGAAAGCAAGGACACCCTATGACTATCCGTTGCAATCGAGAAATGCAAATCGAGTTGGCTTGCTGAAAAGAGCTGTGCGTAAATTACAGCAGCCTGAGTAGCTATATTTTTTTTTTTTTGTTACAAAATCTTAAATGAGAGATGATTTAATTTTATGTTGAGATTACCTATTGCTATCACCCGTGCTTGCAAACGGGGGTAGCTTTGAAAACCCTCTTAATATGCGAATAATCCAAAGCATGGCGGTTAATAAATGTATCCTCACGTCTACACCACAAGAACAAGCAAATAGATGGGTAAGTAAAAGTGAATAACCAATACCATATGTATTATAAGACTAATGTGATTTACTTTGTACAACAGTTGATCTGTACGTTTCTGACGAGGCCACTTGTACATTATCAAGTTCAGAAATATGATACAAAGATTGTCGCAAAGCATGAAATTCTTGGAAACTGTTCGTCATGTAGTCTTCAAAATTCTACAAATATATATATATATTTAAATAAATAAATAAAAAAAAAAAAAAATGAAGAGAAAAGAACCATTTAAACTTACAATCGGGATATTGAGCTGATCGTACTGGTCGGGGTTGATATACATACATCATTTATCAATTCAAGTAAGAAGCCAGTCTAGCACTGGGCTTCTGTTACAAACAATCTGTCTTGAATTGGTACAGGTAAGATACGTTTACATGCGTTCTGTTAAGCCTTTACCCAATAAATCAGTCTTATAGTAACTCTTATTCTTTTTTAGCTTTATATTATCTGACGGTCTGCTCATTAAAACTGTTTCCCAGTGTCCAGTGGGTTTAACACGTCTTTACCAAGTAGCCATTTCTCGTGAAAAAAAACAAGGAAGACTCTGGGAGTCATTTTTGATTAATTCGCAGGAAAAAAAATCGAGCAAGCCGAAAAAAATTTAGTACAGGATAAATTGAGTCATTTTATATTAAACACCCACAAGATATTTAGTTTGAAGAGTCAATGTCAAAATTATAGCCGCAGCCATAAAAAAAAGGTTTTACGTGGTTAAAATTTTATTTATTCTTCGCTCTTGTACTACACTGAAAACGTGTAAAAAAAAAAACTTTTCGGACGTTATCCGCTTACACCGAAATCAAAATCAAATGCGTTGGTACGAATAATCCGGTGGACTCATGATACCCACCAAAGATAAAATTACCGCCAAAATCACAGCCAGACACCAACTTATGATACTCAACACAAATGAAAAATTGTACCTTGTTCCCATGTAAAATGTCGCACTCGTGTTGAATAAATACGCAATAATACCCATTGAGAATGCTTGTGGGATGGCTGTCATTCTCTCCTTTGTTAGTCTCTTTTTTGTATCGTCTCTCTATACAAATACATTACCATAGATCAAAAACATGCTATCTCACAAACAAACAAAAAAGAGAGTTAACGTCAATAGTTTGTTTTTTTTAAAAAAAAAAAAGAAAGAAGCTTACAAGGATAAAGGTGCCCAGGCTTGAGATCGCTTACGTCGCTCACTGCACATTGTAGCCAAAATACCAAACAAGGTCAATCCACCAAGAATCGTGGCAATAACCATACCCGCTGCTGCTGCTCGCCTATCGAACCCCACTTGTTTAATACATCCATTCACTTATACAATCTATTTATTTTACCAGAGCTCACAGAATCCATCTATAAATAAACAACGAAACGGGGTCAGTTGTCTCATCCAGCCCCTTTTATATATCACTTGACTCTATCTTTACCTTCTTGGCAATCCCCATGTTCTGAAGAAGGAAACGGTCTACACTCTCTTGTCATACTTTTTTTTTCTCTGTTTTTAACAACGACTTTCTATATTTTTTTGATATATATTGTGAGAGTTTACCTTCGGCATAATTTAAACAGGCCATAGTTGGTCTCCATATAAAACGGAACGGGTGTAACAAAAGTCAGCCTAACTCACCATGTTAGCATCTCTTCTTCTTTTTTTCTTTTTTTAACACAAACCATTTAGGAAAAATAACTGCACACAAGGTAAATACATAATTGATGCAAAAAATAAAAAACGTAACTACATAAGCTAACAATGAGACTCCCATCTTTATATATAAAAAAATAAATAGAGAGAGAGAGAGAGAGAGAGAAAAAAAAATGTCGTTCAGGCAGACAAAAATGTTCCTTTTTTGGACACAAAGCGCCCCCCTCCATGATGTCACGCACCAGATCATCTTTACTTCTTTTTTTGAACAATAGAAGGTCTTGCTATACCCACCATTAAACAGTTTCTTTTTATTCAATGATGCTATATGCTGTATTCACGCTTCACATAAAAAAAAATAGGTTTTTACGCTTTCGGTAAGTCTTATAATCGCTACTGTCAAATTGTACATAGTTGTATAAAGCCTGGTTTATGAAAGGATTCATCTCAAAGTATGCGGATACTCTGACAACATTTTTAAATACATAACACCTAAAAAGAAAGGTACGTTCATTCATATTTGTTTTAAGTTACCACCTTTTCTTTTTGGACTAGTTGTCAAAAGAATATTATTTAGAATTGGGTCACTATGTCTCTACACCTACATGTGTTTGAGTAGAGTCAGAAAGATAATAGTTCGTTCCTGTGAGTAGAATGCATGCAATGTCTCCCAAGACATATATAAACAGAATGACCTGAGACACACTTACCTGTTTAAACAACAACAAGAATTATATCAGTATTAAAACAAAAGGACAGTTCCAGAATACTCCATGATGAATTAATGCTTATTTATTTATCATCTTTAATTCTTTTATACTACCTCCCGTGTAAATTGCTTACCTTCTAGTTATTTTATGGCACAGACTACTATCAGGTATTATAAGCTAGTAATATTGTCAAGAAAAAATGAATAATAAAAGAAGCCTGATAAAACCCAGTGCTCATATTGATGGAATAACCCTCCCCCCCCCTTCCCAAATAGATGTACCTTGAGATGCATATTTTTCATATATATATAAAAGTTCAAGCATCTCTAAAGTAAATCAGCGGAACAAAAGTACTGTAATGCCTAAAAAATGGACTGAAGAAAAAACTCTGTTGCTATAAAATGACCTACTTCCGGTGGTCATGTTGTGAATTAACTTTTACCTGTCCTGGAATATATCAGTTTCCCCCCTCCACCACCCCCATTAAAATTGATTTTCATATAACAGTGACTTATACAAATGGATAGACTAAAGCTTTTATTGTTTCTGTATCAATTACAGTAGGTAATGTAAATGTGGTTCTCAAAAGAATGCATTGTTTACTCGGCCAAAGGTAAAGACCATATAATTATGCCCAATTATTTATTTATACTGTAGACTGCTTAATGATCAAAATTTAATTCCTAATATTAAAACATTATTAAGTTGCTGATTCTTTTTTTAGTCAAAAAGTATCTCTATTCTCGTGCTTTGTTTCTGATCAGCATTTACTAAGGAACGATTCTTTTTGCTTGGTTTCACTGGCCACATTAATCCATTCGTTTTTTTTTTTTACAATCTCTATCAAACCACGTAATCAGAACAAGTGATGTACCTTGCAATAAGCTAACATTTAAGAGTATTTTGAAAAGCAACATGTTTGCCGGAGTCCAAACAAAAACGCCTTGTACCATTGTACATACAAAGTCACGTACTACATTATCGTGTTACCATTTACACGGAACAAACCAGCCATAAACCTTACTTTTCCCTCTCGCGTTGGTTCTGATAAAGAAATGGAAGAAAACTACGATTATTCTAAACATCAATACTGTATTCTTTTTTGTAAGTTACTGCCATTTTTCTGTCATATATATTGCGCCGTTATTCATTCAAAACAGCCTTCGACTATCGCAATTTCGTTTTTAAAACGATCTCCATTGGTGATCAATTTGAACCTGAGAATGACCCAGGGTAAGTGAAAAGCGTGTAAAGTATAACACTAGCTCTTTTAACAGAGATTTTTTTTTTTTTTTCTAAAAAAAATATTAAAAAAAGTAAAGTGAAAATTAAATCAGCTTCGCTTTCATACCGCACTACAGACGGATCCAGTATATCCAGAGGCGAATCAGATGAAAATTCCGAGAAACTCGAAAAAGACGCTTATGATGTACGCAACGTTTTCAACGAGCTCCATAGAGTTTATTTAGGAAAGGCTTCCAATTCCAGTACTATTCAAAAGGAAGCGATATCTATATTACAACAAGTGGTGGACGATTGTAAACGCGATTTAAATTGTTCAACCACGGATTTTTATTATGCATTCACCCTACCTGATGAATGGGATTATAAAACAAGAGAGGAATTGATACGACCTCTCTTTAAGGAGGCTAATCTCATTGAAAGTAACGATGGTCAAGGTAGATTGCTTTTTTTCACACAATTGGAATCAACTTTTCGATATATGCAATCACAGAGCAATCTAGTCCAGAATATAGCTATACGACCAGCTATGGAACACATTATATGTACGCTGAATTTTGAAAGCGATTTGCTTGTGGATTTAAAGCTGGTGACTGCTCGATATCCTGCCTTGAAAGCATTAGACAACAACTGTGTTCCACAATCATTGAAACATGTCAAATTGACAATGCCGTTTATTTGGAACGAAGTAAAGGTGTCCATAGCAAAGCGTCTTTGTATCACACTGGAATCAGAAGTTATTGATTTGATGGCGGAAAAGCTTTACAACTTTGTCGGAAAGGTTGTTATCCAGTCATAAGTCATTTTCTTTGCGCCCAAAATACTAAACAAATTCTCCTTTTTAGTACCGATATGATTTGAACATTGTAAACCTCTTCTCATGCAAAATTTTCGAAGAGTTACTGCACAATCAGGATCATAAAAGTTACAATTTAACTGAAGTTGAAGTCAATGCTATCCAATCAATGACAATTGGAGACGTAATACAAGATGCCTTTGATTACGTCAAGAAAGAATTTGAGGCTCAAATCAGAGAGTTATTAAACGTTACCAGCAGCGTTAAAGCTAAATCAATGATAGTGTTCTGCTACGATATTAGTGGGTTAAACTCTAAATCACTATGCGCACTCACGTTATTTGAAATGTGGGCAGAAGAGTACACCAAAGACACGACAAATTCTTGCAGACTATTTAAGGATGAGGAGACTCCGGCTTTCAATCTACTGATAAAACAGACTATATCCCATGGTCTTTCCGGACTTGTAAAAAACCAAATGCAGGAATTTAACGTGCGTAGAGGCGCGATTATTCTACCCATCGATACCAAAAATGAAGATCCCGGAATTTCTTCAAAGCCTATTTACTTTATCAATATTGGTAAGTCAGTCAAAAGTTTAATTTTGTCCTACACTGATAAACCTATTTATTTTTTGGGAACTCAATAGACTTTTTACCTCAACAAATCAAGGTCACCGCTTCCTATATGGATGCTAATAGACAAGTCAAACAGAGAAAATATATTCAATGGTAAATTTTTTAGGATCAAGGAATACTCTTACAAGCGGGATACAACTTAATGATTTTTGTGTTTTTATAGTAACATAAAATCACTGGATTGCTTTATTTCTAAGCAAGGAATATATCAAAAGCCAGTGCTTCGTATAACTAAAAGGTAACAACGTGGGTGACGAGAACAATGGGGGATGAGGTTCATTATTTTAACTGGGTATTTAGATTGAAGCTACTTTTAGACGATTTGTTTGGTGACTATCTCAAATTGTGCTCGCCAGAGAAAAAACAAAGCAGATCAAAGAAAGGACAGCTGAAAAAAATTAAAGAATATTTTGTTTATTCATCACCCAATCTAGTGGAACAATTAGCAAAAAATGTCAAAATAGAACACCTTTTCGCATGCGATATACCGGATAACTCTGACGACAATATGGTAACTACCTGTGATCCAGGCTACCTTTTCTTCTTCATGATAACATACCTATACAATCTCAACAAGCAACTGGAAGTTGAAGTACGTAATGAATTTGGAAATGATTGGCAGGGCAAGAACATCTGGTACGGTGTTTCTATCGATAAATATTGTTTGGATGCCTTGAATGGTTCAGAGGAAAAAATGGAAGAACTTTTCTTTGCAAGTGGGATACTTTGTAAAGACGATGTTTTTCGAAGAGCGAAATTCTCCACTATTGGTGAAGATATCATACCCGCTATTGAAAAAAGACTGGGAGACTTGGACTTGAAGATGAAATCATATTTTGTTGTTGTACAAGTGTATCCAAAACATATTCAGCTCAGTTTACATCAAGTGGTCAAACTGGCTTCAGATCACGAGGATGCAGCCACGTATATTATCCGTGATAAAATAGTACGTATAGAGGATGTATATGACTCCCTATGTAAGGAAATTGGGAAGAGCATCCGGTGCATCTGTCAGACTGGGTGTGGCACTACAAACGAAGCTAAAGTAAACGCATACAATGATTTTGGACCATTTCAAAACTTTGAAGACATAAAATCCCGGGTTGTCAAACTAGTAAGTTGAAAAAAAAATAACTTATTACTTTATCAATTAAAAAATTTTGGTTCTAGTTCGATGATAACAAAGCATGTTTGAATATGACATCTGAAATGTCCCTAAACAGCAACGACAAATGTGCTTGTAATATCAGCACCCTTCTACGTATCATTATTGAAGTAAATCTAAAGTCAGTCATAGAAGATATGGCAACAATCATATCGGCTACAGTGACGAACAAAGAGATATTTGGAAATTATCAAGTAGATAAATTCTTTGTGACGGGAGATCCATTTAATCTTTCTTTTGAATCATCGGTTTTTACCGCTTACACCCTGACAATGCAAAAAGCGATCAATGAAGGATTTTACTCAAGAGGAGTAGATACACAGGCGTTGGTATTGAAGGAATCAGTTCGCAAGTTGCTAAAATATACTGAACGCAGTAAACCATACATGTACGAAAGATTTGTCATTGGAACGTTGCGCCAAGTAGCAAGTGAGACGTATGGATTGCGGTTTTCAAGTACGCAAATACAGCGTTACCCCTTTTTCCGTACTGGCCGTAACGGTCATATTAGAGGTGTTTTTGAAAATGATTCTTCCTACTTGGTATTCATCCAAAAAGGAAAACCGGTACCAACAACAGGATTAACGTTTTGTCCTATGGTAAACAATGTGAATTTGGAATCTACTTGTAAGTTCTATCTTTAATTTCCCATTGTTGGGTGGGTCTAATCAATATCATTTTTTTTTTTTTTAGCAATCCTTAAACTGACAAATTCAGACAAAAAAAACCACGAGAAGTACACTCTTTTAGACAAACAATCAGAAGGTTCAGTGTATACATTGAACAACGAAGTCGGAAAGGGTTCAAACTTCAGATTTGTAGTTGATTGCAAACGTGTTAACTACAATTATTCTCTCAAACTGTCGGTGAGAGCGTTCGGTGATGAAATTTACTTTAACGAGGGGTTCGATATTGACCAGAAGATCGAAAATTACCTTACTTATCAAGAGACTGAAAAAGATTACTTTACTTTAGGAGAGCCATTGACACTTGCTTATCTTTGAGCTTGAGTGATAACTTGACCATTTTGATTAAAACAATACCACTTGTATTCCCCTTTTCTTTTTTTTTTTTTAGGCTTGACGCGTTGTTTTCAATTGAATTTTCTACATAGCAAACCATCGTTTTTGTACACCCTCTCAAGCTAAAAATATGCTTGGAATTATTAAAAATATTATATGGGATCATTGTATTTTGATTTTAATTTTTTTTTTCAAAAGACCTAAAATTGCCCAAAATACAAAGGGTATCCCTTGAGGAAAATCTCAAAATTTACAAATGTACATTTTGCATAACCTTCCTGTAAGTTTGATGGAAAGTGTTTGTAAGTGAATATACCTCAAAATTTACGCTTTTTAAAATGGTAACAATTTTGGAGCCGTTTCACCATGACAGTGATTATCGTTGGCGCATGATAAAGATAAACGGTTTTTGTTAGACAAAGTTTATTTTCTACATATACAACAACGCTTAAAAGTATACCGAAAGATGTGTCTAATTTTTTTAAGCATTTTGGGAATATAATTACCTTAGTAAAAGTTCAATATCCAGTGACTTTACTTTGACGGGAAAATTGTGGAATGTCATTTTTTTATGAAATCTGTTTTTCCCTGCTTACACAGAAGCATATACCGGAGATTGAAAATAATAGGACCAGTTTTTCGTTAAATCGCGACAGTGGGTCGCCCAAAGCACCCTAAGCCCGTAAATTACGTTGAGAGTAGCTTAATACACTATGAAGATTATTAGGCAGTGAGAAAAGTCACGTAGGTTTTTTTAACAGTGGCAGAGTAAAAAAAGCACGCGAGTTTAAGGGGGTGGGGGTGTAACCGGAGTGGCTATCAAACAAAGGAGGACCTTTAAAACATTAGGCTCCTGTCATACTTTAGCACCTTTTTCTTTTTTGGTCGTGTCAAATCGGTTTTACCCCACGACGAATTGTTAAAAAGGGAAAGAGTCAACTTTGCCTCAAAACAGCTCATCTTTTTTTTTTTTTTTTTGTCATTCAATTGTGTTGCAGTCAGTTTAACTTACTAATGAAAGGAGGCACGATATAGAACACAATTCAGCCTTCATTTTACTTTTGCAGAACTAAGAACCTTTCACAGTAGTTCCTTTAAAGATGTACTTGAATATTCTAGTGCAACGGGCTTCCAGTCAAAAATCACTAGAACCGATGACTCGTCTAGCGTAGTTTTTTTTTTTTTTACGCGATGGGGGGAGGGTTTATCTCTACAAATGATCGTTGTATGTAGTCATTACGTATGGCGATATTTATCGTCATTCTAGATGCAACTGTTTTAGGATTTATTATGTGCGGACATCATGTAAAAAAACGAGTTGAGAAAAAAAAAAAAAAAAAAAAAGGCAGGGTAAAAAAGAATGAAAGGGGATGAGTTTTCTTTTTTTCTATTCTTTTTCTAGATAGTGTACTCCTATCAAGGTGGCAAGTATGTAATTAACTTGGCATCAACTCCTTTTCTTCCATTGAACAAGAAAAAAAGTAAATCATGTACGACGCACGACGATTGAATAATCTAAATCGTCCCATTTGATATTGAGAGGCGTTTCGTTTAATTAATAATTTCTTTCTTATTTTTTTAATCAATGTGCGTGTAATATCAGGCCATAATTGCTTGGAATAGGGGTGAGTGGGATACAATAGAAGATATGTGTGAAACAAAAAAGAAAAAGAATGGTAGTTAGACAACGAAAGGAATAAAACCGGAATAGCGGAAAAGAAGATTGCAATTTAGAAAACGATAGGACTTGGGAGAAATAGATTACCGGATTTGTCAATTCGTCTCGCTTAAAACACACAATTAATTAAACCTCCTCTACCAAACATTTATAAACAACACTTTCTTTTTCGCTATTAATAAATTTTATCTCTCTCTCTTTTTTTTTTTCTTGTTTGTTTTTCTTTTATATATTTTCATAGGGAAATAATAGAGACTATTCCCCATTTCAACTTTATCTATTTTTTTTTTTTTTTTCAGGGCAATTTATTTTTGCTTGTATGTCTCAATAAAAAATCGGCATCTTGAATGATGCCTATGAGTTTCAACAATAAGAAAAAAAAATGGTGGCAAAAACTAGTGAGGAAGCCTCAACAAGTCCAAAAGAAGAAGAATATACAACCTTGGAGAAACCTTTCACCTGATGAACCACCTTTACCGTTTCTTCTCTCACCCAAACCTTTTGTGGTAGCACAGCCACCCATCAAATTTTCTTCGGAACTGGATAGTAACACCTCCGAGATAGCTCCGATTATCAAGGTATAATTGGAATATATTATGAATCATGGAGTGTTTATTTTTAACACCTTTTTTCTATTTATTTATAGGACTTTCTTCCTTCCGCATCGCTATATATATCACATGAAAGAGATACGTCTTCCAGAGACCTGTATACGATTCCCGAATTATCTGAAGTTAGCACTAGCATCGGAACCAATTCCTCCATCCCACCACCACCACCACCACCTCCACCGCCGCCGCTATTGGTGAAGATCGCCCCAATTGAGGATGACTCGTCTGTATCACCTCTTGAGCAACCACTGGAAGAACAACAACAACAACAAACAACTCCGGCCAACAACAGAAGAGATACGACTGTTCGTTACAGCGAATCCGAGTGCAAGAGTTTATTTTGGGACATGCTAACATCCGCCATGGATCGTCATCAACGTCCCCATGATGGACCCAAAGAAATGCATTTGTTATTTGACGCCAATGACCGTATCGGAGCGATCCGATATATATCGTATGATGGTACCCAACGAGACCAGATTGGATTTGCTGGGTAAGGTTTAACCTTATTAAACACATGTATCCACAAGATGTATTTATGTCAATGTTAATATAGAACACCACAGTATATCCCACCAGAATTAGTCAATTGTCCCACTTACCATAGTGAATCCAGCCATGTATGGGGATTAGGTATCTCTCTTTATCACATGCTTGTAGGTGATTATCCATTTGAAGAAACAACACATGTCCAGACCTTTCGTCAAATGCACTACTCAAACTTTAAGCTGCCCGATACTTTATCACCTCAAGTCAGAGACCTGATAAAAAGCATGCTACAGCCCTTTCCAAGCAAACGTGCTTCCTTTAAATCCATTCAGTCCCATCCTTGGTTTCACGTCCAAAAGAAACCAAAATTACACCAGTTAGCTGGGTCTTTTAAAAAAGCATTTCAAATTGTCATGAAAGGACCTTATCCTCCACCTTCTTATTATACCACTAAAAAGCAATAAAAAAGAACTTGTTTGTCACTTGTCAAAAGCGGTTATTTAAACTGCTTTTTTTACATGTAAAAAAAAAAAATCTCTCTTCCTCTTTTACTCTCTTTAAACTGCAACATGTCAAACAGCAGAAAGCATCAAAGAATTCATCACCATCTTAAGCAAAAGCACAAGTGCTCACTGTGTAAAGTAACAGACAGTTATACTACACGGCTTCCTCCAAGGAGATTCAAATCTGTTGTCAGTAGTCAAATTCGAGACATGATTGAAGATGACACGACGACACATGCGATTCGAAAAGAATTGATTGAGATTTTACCGAAACATAAGAATGAATTGACGGACAGTTTGGTTCGTTCTCATATCAAGACAGAAAGTGGCATTCTGAGTAGTAAAGAGTTAGAGGAACTCAACCGAAAGGAGGGTGGCCTCAAAGAAGAAGAAAAGGTAGCGATTGAATTTGAGCATAGTCTGTTTGTAGATGAGGCTGACTTTGTGGTTGTCAATGACACACATATTCTCAATTTGAACATCATGTGTGCAATTACTCGCAAAGGCTTAAAGCGTTTATCGGTGTGTGTAAATAATAGACAGTGTGCACGATATTTTACTCGCTCACTCTTGAAAAAATATGACAAGAAGGGTATTCCAGCGCAAGTAGTAGTCATTAGGGGACAATTTTCTGACATGGCAGAAGTGGAGAGATTGTTTCATGCAAGGCTGAATGCACACCAATTAATCTATTATTGCATGGAAAACAAAGTCACTCATCCTGCAAGTAAATATATTCGTAAACTAATAGCACATATGCCAAAAAAAATTAAATTTGAGGATATCAACAGCGTGTTTGAACAGGCTGAAGCCCACATCCCACAACGTCAATGCGAAAAATGGATAAGGAAAGTGATGAAACGTGACTGCGTTTAAAAACATAGTCACAGCAAGGGGAAGAAATGATTGGCTCATATAACAATAAAAAAAATTTTTACCATTTTTATAACAGCGAAACGGCTATAAAATGAATGAAAAAGTAAACAATATTAATGTTTCCTTACTTCATAAAAATTAAGTTTCGCTTTGCAAGTTTGCTGACACTAATCGGTATATCTTTTCCTGAACGAAACAAGAATCTTTAAGCTTGGCTTTATAATACTGACCACTCCTTCTTATGAGTGAAAGGTTTCGCGGTCAATCGATATCTTAATAATTTACAACAAAAAAAAATGAAAAAAAAAAAAAGAGTAAACAACTCGTGATAAATATTCACACGGAATGTGTGTGTAAGACAAGAAAAAAAAATTTTTTTTGCATGCAAAAAGAAAGGATTTCATCTAGATTTTGTAAATATGCACACAAAAAAAAACGCCCACCACCTGAATTCCAGGTCTGAATCCTAATTAAGGATTCTCTTGTAACCAAGGTCTAGCTTTTACAAACCTCCCCTTTTAATCAGCTGTTTGGGGGTTTTTCGCACCTAAAGGATGTTTTCCTTTGGCTGCATATTTCCCACACAAGGCTACATGAGTTTCTTTTCTGAACAAACAAACACTACATTTGCTCCACGTCATAGTGTCAATACAAAAAATAATCTCCTATTCCCATGTGGCATGTGAAAACGTACTCTCTCTATCTCTCTCTTCATTGATTCCTCGATATGCTGAGAAGGAAAAAGAAAGGGGATACAGGAAACATCTGTCAACAGACACAAAAAAAAAAAGTTATTTTGTTTCTGATATAAAACCTGCATACGACGAAAATCACCGTTTTTTACTTTAAAGAAACAAGTGTCAATCCGTATCCAAAGGCTATTTGGAAAGGATATTGAAAAGTCGACTATGGCGTATTTATCATCGAGTTACTGTTTCTTTTTTCTAAAAGCGTAATATTTAATTGTTGTACTCTCTTTTTTTTTTTTTAATATAACGTGGAAAGAAAATTCCTTTCTCTCTCCCTTTACCCGATTGCAGCAGAATCTCTATTTTTTTTTACAATAGAAAAAAAAAAAAAAAAAAAGAGAGATAAAAACGAAAAAAGAGACTTAAACCAATTTCATCTAATCTTCTAGTACTACGCGGAGAAAGAATGCGCCAAAATAGTTTGCACCACCCAATCAAATAAGGATTAGTACAAGGTGGGAAAAGAGTAAAGGAAAGGTGACGCACTTCTCCCCCCAACCAGCGAAAGAAAAAAAAAATGTCTCTCTCTCTTTCTTTTTTTTTCTTTTTTTTTTTTTTTTTTTTTTTTTTTTTTAGTGTGATTCTTTATAAAAATGAAAAAAAAGAGAGTTTTGTAAAATGATTCTCTTTCTTTCTTTTTCATAAAAAAAAAAAAAAAAAAACTTTTTTATACTATTCACCATGGCAACCAAACGATACGAATTTCAACCTCCTACAAACATCGTTGCTATTCGTTCTTCTATTTTACAACGCCTCAAGAAACGTACTAGTGTAATCACTCCTCCCACGCCCCCTCCTCAAGCAAACGAATATGAAGAAAAGTTATCCTTTCTCCATCTCGATAATGGTCTCCCTTCTCCTCCCATTGAGACCTGCTGTTTTGAAGAAGAAGAAGAGGCAACAGCAACCGCAACCGCCGACATGGTTGTCAATGTTCTCATGGAATTAAGCGCTCCATCTAGTTCTTCCTCCCCCTCTCTGTCGTCGTTTGCCGCCCCCGCCCCCACCAATAACACTACAACTCCTGTAGCTAGCACGGATAAGCAGACGAGTGCTCCAGTAGTGGTGGAGTCTTCTGCTGTTATTCGTGAGAGAATTCGACTTTTAAAAGAAGAAAAGCATAAATTATTTCAAGTGATGAAAGATTTGTTATCCACTCCTCCTATCAAGGAGGAAGAGACAGAGCAAGAGAAAGCAAGGCAACAACCAAGCCCTGTAAGCGCAAACGTAAATGTGAACGCAAGGCCTGTTATAAGATCACGTAGTATTAGTCATAGTGAGAGTACTAGACCGATATCTCGGTATTACGATCGACCAAGGTTCTACAACAATAATGGCTACTACCCATATCAGCCCTCCTCTTCTGCTACAGTAAGTTATAATGATAAAGAAAAAAGAAAAAAAAAAAACTAAAAAAAAAATGTTTTCTTCTTAGTCTCGTCGTGTAATCAACAATAATAACTCCTCATATGTATCATCACGACCACAGCTTGCAGTTAGATCCTCCTCATCTTCCTCCTCCTCATCTTCTTTTCGTCCTGACAGATATTAAAAAAATTCATATACACTTTTTATACATACAACAAACTTATTCTACATATTTTCTCATCCCCCTCCCTTCTCCTCTTTTACACACACACACACACATTTTTGCACATATAAAAAAAAAGAAAAAAGAAAAAGAAAGAAAAAAAAAAACTTGTTTATTGGAAAAACATATTTATATTTATTAGTACTCCTTTTTTTTGTTTGGTTCTCTCTTCTAAACAACCCCCTTTACCCCCTTCTCTTTCTATTTTGTTTTCTCTCCTCTCTTCATATACCAATTTTTGGATGATTACACAGATTAAAAAAAAATCTATTTTTGGTTAGAACCCTATTTGTTGTTGGCTTATTTATTGGATGAGGGGTTTTTTGTGAAAAAAAAAAAGTATATATCTATTTAATGCTTGTGGAAACAATTGTTACAATGTCCCTTTTTAAATACATTGGCAGTAAAATCATCACATCCACACTCTCCACAAGAAGAGGAAGAGGACGCTTCGAAATAATCGTTGGTGACAGGAAGATGAATTTGAGGCGTGGTAGGAGCAGTGCGGACAGTGTTTGTAGTAAAACTACGTGACGAGGTGACAGGTGGAGTACGTGAAACAGGAGGTGGGGGAGGGGCTCTTTTGGTAGTATTATGACGCGGTACGGGTGAATTGATGGGAGAACTGGTCGTGTTGGTATTAGAAGACATGGTACGTGTAGGTTGATTAGGTCGAATATACGAATAGCCTTTCTGTGCGGCATCTCCAAAAGGCGATTCAGCACGAGGTTCTTCTACAAAACTTTGACTGTTTGATAACAAACTGGGTCGAGCTGGCATGGGTGGTCCTGCAGGTATAATAGGTGGTGGTCCAGCACCTTGTATCAATTCTGTATAATTCACGGGAAAAATACCACGTCGTCCATCAGCAGATTCTCCTAACCACCATCCTTCATCCACTTCTTCAAGCACAGTAATTACATCTCCCACACGGAAAGACAATTCATCGGCATTATCACCTCCAAACTCATAAACTGCCTTGCGTTGTACTATTGCTGGTGCTGGTGGTGGTGGTGTTGCTTGTGCTACAATTAAATGTTAATTACAATCCACTTTGTGAAATATTAATCACCTTACATTGTCTACGAGGTAATACAGGCGGAGTTAAGGTGCGACTGGGCATTGGTAATTCTTCAGTAATCGATTCACTTTTACTGGGCATCATGACACGTCTAGGAGGAGCAGCAAATTCATCACTAAAAGAAGCACTTCTGCTTCCCATGGCGCGTCTAGGAGGCTCATGAACTTCTTCTTCCGTATGACTGGAAGTACGCGAGAGAGCAGCCAAACGGTTGTTGTTGCTATGACGTGCACTGGCAGATAAGGGTTGACCCCAAGTAGATCTAACCTCATTCAATACCTGTAAAGAACGACTGAAATAATCATATTGTACATTCAAGAACTGAGCCAGGGCTTCACAGTGTTCGTCTTCAAACTCTTGCAAAGTAGCCATCTTTTGAATGACATCATATTCCGAGTCCTCATACTTTAATTTGGACGCTTGCATTTCTTGTTCTAGATCAGGTTTTTCTTTTTTGGACTTTTGAAGGCGACCTATTTTAGCGTCATAGTCCAATCTACGGGATTCCAATCTTTTACGAAGAACGGCGTATTCTTTAAACTGTTGTAAGCCTTCCTCCAGCTTTTCCATGTATTCCAAGCGCATCGTTTCAGCATAATCTTCCTGATGCGCGGCTAATTTGGACTGTGCTTGACCAAAATTAATCAATGCAACTCCTATTAAAAATTTATTAATATCTGCCCCCCATTCCTTTCCTTAAATAAGCACGAACCCAGTGGTGCGTCGTCCGTAAACTCATTGCCGTAGTTGGAGAGACATACACCCAGAATATCATTAGGTAATCGCTTGGATTTATTATCCTCGGGCGATATCTTCTTCTTGGCAAGCTGCACTTGCATCACTCCTGCTGCCGCATGTAACTTTTCATACCCAATGCGCTTTCTTTCCGTTTCTACCTCCAGACGCTGGAAGTCTTCTGTCTGTAACGTTGTCTTTGCAGATCCAAACTTTTCTCCCGTCCACTATTATTTTTGGTGTGTGATAATATGCGTTAGGAACTCCGCCCCTCTTTCTCTCTTTATACTTTCATCTCTTCTAATGTTCAACTTGCCTGTTTGAGTTTTCCAATGTTTTTAATCATGTTAAAGTAAAAGAAAGAATGTGAAAAAGGTAAAAAAAAAAAGAGAAGACTGGAATAAATAAATAAAAAATGGCCTCTTAATACGGAACCACAAAATTTAATTCAACGTCATCATTTACCAAATAAAAAAAAAACGGGAGAGCGGAAACAGTTTTAAAATCCTGCCTTTCCCCTTCCTCCCCCCTTTTTTTTCACTTATTCATCTTTTTTTTTTGGCACGATGGCGTCCTCAACGACCTTGTTCCGTTCGGAAGAAATGTCATTGATCCAATTATTTATCCCAGCTGAAGTGGCACATAGCTGTGTAGCCGAGTTGGGCGAGCTTGGAAAAGTTCAATTTAGTGATGTAAGTTTTGATTTGTCGCGTCCCTTTAAAAAATATTTACTCATACCAAAGAATATAGCTGAACCCCTCTACCAATGCATTTCAACGCACTTTTGTCTCTGAAATAAGAAGACTGGATGAGATGGAAAGACAGTGTCGTAAGTATCATTTTCATTGTTTCATATCCATAGTAACCGTTGCATAAAAAAAAAGGATTTCTTCAGGCACAGATTGAAAAGTCGGATATTCAATCTGCACCCGTTGACGTATCTACCATCACTGCTCGTACACCGCAACAGATCGATGATTTAGAAGAGAATCTAAAGAACTTGGAAAACCGCATCACACAAATGAATGAGTACTTTGAAACACTTCAGCAATCCAACCTGCAAATCACCGAACTCCGACATGTCCTGAAAGAATCGTCTGTTTTCTTTGCTCAAGTATGATTTTTTGAAACACAATCTCCCTTAACCTTCATTCATATGCTCATTTCTCTCTCCCTTCTTCCCCCCATCCCCTCCTTTTTTTATTGTAGGCGGGCTCGCGTTTGCAGGACTCAGAGCCACTCTTGATGGAGGATGACGTGGAGCAACCCACAGATAACCATCTAGGTTATGTCACGGGTGTCATTCCACGATCCAAAATCATCACCTTTGAACGTGTACTTTGGCGAGTCTTGCGTGGTAATTTGTTCATGAATTTTGCTGAAATTGATGAACCTGTCATTGATCCTTCTGATTCCGACAAGACCGTCACCAAGAACGTATTTGCCATCTTTGCTCACGGTCATCAAGTTATCAACAAGATCAAAAAAATTTCAGAGAGTATGGGTGGTACCTTGTATACTATTGATGAGTCTTCCACCAAACGCAACGATGCTCTGCTTCAAGTCACCAAGCGCATCAAGGACCTGGATATCGTATTGGCTCAAACAAAGACCACCCGTAGACAGGAGTTGATGAAAGTCGCAGATAATATCACGGCTTGGACAACAACCGTCAAGAAAGAAAAAGCTATCTATCATACCATGAATTTATTTAATTACGATGTCAATCGTAAATGTTTGATTGCAGAAGGCTGGGCTGCCAAGATGGATGTACCCATTGTTCATATTGCCTTGAAGAACGCTATTGAATATTCCGGTACCAACATGCCTTCTGTCCTGACTGAACTTCATACCAAAAGAAAACCACCTACCTATCATCGCACCGACAAGTTCTCGGAAGGATTTCAAAGTATCATTGATGCCTATGGTATTGCACGTTATCGAGAAGTCAACCCGGGTCTATTTACTATTGTCGCCTTCCCATTTTTGTTTGCCATCATGTTTGGCGATATCGGTCATGGATGTCTCCTGCTTTGCTTGGCTCTCTATTTAGTCTTGAACGAGAAATCTTTGGCTGGTGTCAAGGATGAAATCTTTTCCATGCTTTTCAGTGGTCGCTACATGATGCTCTTAATGGCCATCTTTTCGATTTTCACTGGTTGTATTTACAATGACGTATTTTCCTTATCTCTCAATCTCTTCAAGTCCGGTTTCGATCTGCCATCCAATTACACTTCTTTTGAAACCGTAGAAGGAATACCCAATGGTAACGTATATGCCTTTGGTTTTGACCCCGTAAGTCTTTCCCTTGTGTCATATTTCTGTTCTTTTTTTCTTAATTTATTTCTTTCTTTCTTTGTGTAGGCTTGGCATGGATCTGAAAACTTTTTGCTCTTTTCGAATTCATACAAGATGAAGCAAGCCATCATCATTGGTGTTATTCATGTAAGTTTTTTTTTCTTGACGCTTTTTTTCTATACATCCAAACAAAGACTGATCTCACTACATAGATGTCATTTGCCATTTGTTTAAACATCTTTAATCATTTGTACTACAAAAAGAACGCTTTCATCTGGCTAGAATTCCTCCCACAAATCCTCTTTATGGAATCCGTCTTTGGTTATTTAATCTTTTGCATCATGTATAAATGGAGTATCAATTGGTGGGAATTAGACAGTGCAGGCAATCATATCCGAAACCCCCCACCCAATTTATTAAACATGCTGATTTACATGTTCTTAACACCTGGACAAGTTAACCCCCAAGATCAATTATTCCCCGGCCAAGTAAACAACTCTTTAGATCTAGAGAAAAAAAAGTGGGGGTGAAAAACTCACGTTATTTTGTATTACATAGGGACCGGTACAGCTTGTGTTGATTAGCGTGGCTTTGATTTGTGTGCCTTGGATGTGGTTTGCAAAGCCTTATTATCTCAAGTTACAACATGAAAAGCATCAATATCATGCCATTGCCCTGTCAGAGGACGGGTTGGAATCGGGTACGGCTGCTGTGGCTGCTACAGAGGCTTCTACAAGAGCAGAAGCTTCCAATGCTACCGAACCCGCAAATGCTGAAGAAGAAGACGAAGAAGAAGAGGTAAGAAAATAAAAGAAACCAAGGAGGGCAAAACACTCACAACAACATGTACAGTTTGAGTTTAGTGAGGTTATGATCCATCAAACGATTCATACCATTGAATTTTGTTTGAATTGTATTTCAAATACGGCTTCTTATCTCCGTCTATGGGCTTTATCTCTTGCCCATGCCCAATTATCCAGTGTATTGTGGGATATGACACTCAAGATTTGGTTCTCCATGACAGGTCCTATTGCCGTGGTTGGTTTAGTACTGGGTTTTGCCATGTGGTTTGTCTTGACCATTGGTATTTTATTGTGCATGGAAGGCTTATCGGCTTTTCTTCATGCATTGAGATTGATTTGGGTTGAATTCAATTCTAAATTCTATAATGGTGATGGTATCAAATTTGAACCATTTGCTTTTTCTCTCTTGTTTGATTAACTTTTTCAAAATAAATAAACCCCATTTTTTTATCGTGGGTCAAAGATTAATAGCGTTTATTACAAGTGTTATTAATTTAGTCACTTTGTTAGACCGTATCATTCATAAATGCAATTAAAGTATAATACAATTAATCGCTTCCATTACTAATGCACATATCCAGTTATGTCTGGATACTTAACGTCCCCTGTTGTGATTATGAACAGTTATATATATCTTAAACATGTCCTTTTTTTATATGAGTTAAAAATAATGAAAAATAGCGTTTTAAATTTTTCGGGATAACTATGTATGGGGTAAATCAAAGGATAGCTTTATAAATAGCTTTCATATATGATAACATGGTAGAACACAGAAGAGTTCTATTACACAAATAAAAGAGTTACATACCTAAATAAAAAGTGTTAACAAGTGGATGACATACATCACACAGTTTACCTCAGCCTATTGGGCACCTCATACGTATTGTATCTGTAGACAACAGTGTTAATTACTTGCCGATCTTCCTAGCGATACTTTTGAAAAAGAGCTAGGTAATAAGTTTTAAGTTTATTCTATAACAACTAATTTTAACGGATCAACTTTTTTGGCACAGGTAGTAAGGAACACCCGAAAACTTCCCAAGAGAGGCAGTCCTTCCCCAAAAAAAAAACTATACGTATTTCCAGTTACTTGGAAACTTTTTTCTTTTCCTAACTATATATCTCGCACAACGCACCTCTCTCTAAAAATACACTCTCACCAATTATTTAAATCTTCCCTTAACTTTTTGTTAAGAACGATAAGATGTGAAGAAGAATATATAACCGGTTTATCTTCAAACGGGACAGTAGTTCTGGATGAGCATTCAATGCCACTCTTGTTTATGCTTAAAACTGTAACTTAAAATAAACGTAACTGGTCCCAACCTTTTATACACTTATATTTGCTATTATTGGATGTACGACTTTTTAGCGTAGGATCGGAAAAAAACGGCCCACCTTGATTTTTTTCGTTTGCGTAGCAAAATTATTTAATCTGATAAGATCTTGAGATATTTTAAAATAACTGACATATCTGCTTTTTCGGAAAGGTTTTCTTTTTACATTCGACTTTTGAATATCAACTGATTTATCTCATAAATACCATATTTATTAAAAAATTTAATATGCTATAAATGTATTTGTTTATATTAGTATGTCACAATTCGCTTATTAATCAACGACATTTTCTCTCTCGTTGCTGCGGATTTCCGTACCAGGGGGGTTGAGGATCAAAAATTTATACTCAGAAAAACTATATAAAACCCCCGAAAAGATCTGATAAGAAATAGTTAAACTTTTTTTTCTCTTTAAAGTAATATCAAACATGGCCAAGAAGACTGCTAACACCAAGGTTGAAGCTGCTAACAATCGCAAGGCTTCCTCAAGAGCTGAAAAGGAAGAGCAAAAGAGAGCTGAAATGAGTGCAAAGGAAGACGCCAAGTGGGCTAAAGGAGCCAAGAAGAACGACAAGAAGGAACTTGAGGCTGAAAAGAAGGCTGCTTTAGCTCTCAAGAAGCAAGAGGCTCAAAGAATTTTGGCTGAGGAAGAGAAGAATCTTAACAAGCCCAAGGCTCCTAAGCCCAACTACATGCCCAAGAAGACTTTGTTTACTACCGAGAAGATTGTTTCCAAGAAAACCATTCCTACTACTTTGTACGACGAAGAGCCTGTTGCTAGAAAGCCCATCCTTACCGAAAAGGATATTGAGAAGCATCCTGAACGTCGTTTCAAGAATGCCTTAAAGGAGTATGAAGAAAGGTTAGTTTGTATTATTATTTTAATCATCGTATATATATATATATATATTGACTATTTATCTATTTAGAGAGATCAAGAATTTCAGATCTCAATATCCTGGTCTTCGTTTGAGTCAACTCAAGGAGATCATGTACAAGGAGTTCCAAAAGTCTGCTGATAATCCATTTAATCAAACCAACGTCTTCTCTTACAACTCTACTCTTGCGGAAGTCAACCGTAAGCTTAGTAAGTATTTAATCTATTTGACTAATCCACAATGTCTAACATATTTAAATGATAGATGGTGAACCCGAGCCTACTCCAGAAGAAGAGGAGGAGGAAGAAGAAGAGGAAGAGAAAGAAGCCACTCCCGCTGAAAACGTGCCAGTCTCCAAGAAGACTGTCACCTCCTATTGAAACCAAAGTTCTCTCAATTCAACTTTTCCTCACTCGCTTTATTCTTGTCAAAGATAAAGCAGAGTTCGAGACGACGACTCAGGTTTCTAGATTCTCCTTCAAGAACAGGTGCTTCCTCCATTACTCGCTTTTTAACAAGTGGATGCGATCCCCCTCGAGGCAGGTTTATTTCATATACAAAGAGTGATTCTAATTCATGCCTCGGGGTATCCCCCCCCCCCCAATATTAAAACTGAAATAAAAAAATAAAAAAGATCTGATAAGGAATTTTGTAAATTAAATATGAGCCAATTAAAATCGTCCTACCCATCTTGCGTAATAATTAAAACTAAGCATCAGAAGAGTTCAGTGTCTATTTTCACTTGTATATTGACGATAGCAGTCGTATAGTTGGCTATGTATGTTTCTCTTATCAGGTGTGTTTTCTATTGTATCAGTGATTTCTGTCGTTGATACTGAATTAATTAAAGAATTACCACCTGTTGTCTCCTTTACATGTTTGACGGATTATTTATCTCGAAAATATAATACTATAATACGTGTTATATTCAAAAGAAAAAGGCAGGCAAAAATGTACGGTTTATCTCTTATATTAATGTTTTGTAGAAAAAAATAGTAAAATTAGGACTTGATGTTTATATATATATATATTAAATAGTTGCATAAAGGGTGTGCTGTACACATACGAGTTTGCCCCAACTTCTCTACTAGTGATTACTCTTTAATACAAAAGACCATTTTCGTCTCTCACACAAGTGCGCAATATCAAATGATTTGTTGGATCGTGTGTCTAATATTAGGCTGTGCGATTTTAAACTCTACCTTATAGAAACGATACTTGGTATTACGTGTTGGGCCTGCCAAGGTAAAAGCCTCTTGCATGATCCTATTTATTTATTAAATTTGAACTATGTACGACCCTTTCTTACTACAAATTTACTTGAAATTTAGCTCAACATATTAGCACACCACAAATATTGTTGTCGATAGTTTGGGCTTTTAACACCTTTAACTGTAAGTAAGGCATACTATATTCAGGTTATTCCGCACACCTCATCAATATACCAACTCTGTTAGGAGAGTCATTAATGGTTGATGAAAATTTTTGATTTCTACACATGATCTTAATATAGATGGTCTTTTTTGTCTGACCGGCCGTTTCACAAGACCTAATTACTTCTCCTCCTTGGATTGGGTAACATTAAAAAAGACAGAAAAAAGAAAAATTCCACCTATCAAGGACATTGCCTTAATTACATCAATTGTACTTACGGGATTGCTTTCATCCGTTCCGACACTACGTCTATTTTTTTTTTTTAATTGATGAGCGTGCGTCAATCGCTAATTAAAAAAACATTTATTTATACGACTGCCAAGGCTTTGTGTGGGGGAGAAAAAGGGGAAGGGGGGTAAGATAAAATATTATAATTCGTTGTGTTCAGAAGCGACTTTTTGAATAACATCATTGAAACCACGAATTCTATTACATTCTTTCTTGAGGTTGGCAGATTTTGATGTGTTCCATTCATTAGCAGCAATCATGATACGAGCATAACGAAGACAGGTTTCTTCTCTATAATAATCGTATAATTTTTTATTGTATGTACGCTGTAAAAGAAAAAAGAGTCAGTATTTTTGTAAATTTACACAAATACAGCCCACTTTACCTCTTTTGCTCTTGTGTCTTCAGGATAATAATGTGTTTGATGAATCAAGAAATCGCCAGGCAAGACCCAATAATCGATACCAGCCAAAAAGATTTCAAACAAACAAGCAGCCTTGTTTGCACCGTAACCAACAAATCTCTCATCACACCATGGAGTTCCTTCCTTTTTAAAGATCACATAGGGTTCATATGAATAGTTATAATCGGTCACCTTGTAAGGCTTCACTTGATCGTACCATTTCTTATAATTTGTTGAGCCGTGACCACGCTTCCAGCCTCTATGAAACATATCAAGCTTCTCAGTCTCAACATCCACCATTAATTCCTTTTTGTCTTTAGGGAAATCGTTCCAGTCGATACCGTCACTTTCATCAACGTATTCAAAAGCAGGTACAACAATAGCACCTTTACCGGATCTCAATAAATCCATTAATTCAGGCTGCTTTTTCAATGATTTTCTAAAGTCTGTACAAAGATAAAAGTCGACATCCAGCATCATGATGAAATCGGTACGCGCAAAGAATTTAGCCACGTTACGCCACATGTTAAATTGACGGTCGAATTTGTCGACAACCAGATGGAGATCAACATAGCGTCTCAAGTCTTCATTGTCAGCATAAAGTTGGTGAAGATCCGTCAAGATTTGTTGCTTTTGACCATCGTCATTCACGTGAAGAGCGACAGAAACAGGACCTTTGTAATGAGAAGCAAGTCTTCCGAGCACTTTGAATCGATTGTAAGTAACCAGGGTTGCAATGGTCACTTCTTCATGGTCGAAATTTTCAGTTGCTTTGAAGTAGTATGGGATCACCTTGGAAGGACCCATTGTTTCTGAAAAGGCTTTACTTAATACGAAATCCTCTGGTGTGGATTCAACAACTTCATCTAAAAAACGAGTTAATTATAATTTTAGTCGAGATGATAATAAAAATAATAATAGTAATATATTAGGTCTTTTACCAAGCGAGTTTGTCCAATCTACTTGTTGTTTGCCGAGATAATGTTGTTGTAAACTAGCAACGCTCATGCCTGAGGAGACACTAGCTTTGGAAGTGCTTTTCCCAAAACCCAGTAAATAGGTTGATGTGTACAAGATGGAGCATACAAGGTATATTACAATAAAGTAATTAGCTGCCTTTGGTAGTGCCATATTAATTCTATTTTTATTTTATATAAATATATATATATATGTATATAGTTTCGTGAAAGTGTCTTTTTTTAAGCAGAAAAAAAACAATCTAGTCGCAGAAAATAAAAGTAAATGGAGTAAAGAAGAGGTATATATTTATATATTTCTGTCGATCTTTTTTAGACATACGCTCTTTTAAAAAAAAGTTTTATTTGGCACTCAGAGTTCTCCTGTTTTGTTTATTTATTATATGTTGTATGCAACGAAAGCAGGGGGATGTGATTACAATCTAGGTTTAGAACCAATCGACAAAATATCATCGTAAAGCATAGTAGTTACAAAGTCATCGTATCTTTCACCTGTAATATTGGTAGCAAACGCTTTTTTAGCTTCGTCATATTTAGATTCTTTATATTTTGATCCCAGTTCCTGTCTGAGCTTTTCAATTTCTTCGTCAAGCACCTTTAAGCAGTAGTCTCCTGTGACTTTAATACCTTCAGCTGTAACGGATTGATGATGTGCCCATTGCCAAAGCTGTGAACGACTGATTTCATAGGTTGCTGCATCTTCCATCAAATGGTGAATCGGGACACAGCCAACACCTCTTAACCAAGACTCCATATACGCCAAACCAATTTGAATATTATCTCGAATACCATGCTCTGTAATCTTGCCCTTGAAGTTGACGTTTAAAAGATCACTTTGATGAACAGACACATCTTCACGGCGTACAAACAATTGATTTGGTTGAGGCATATGCTCATTAAAGATTTCAAGTGCGATCTTTACCAAATCGGGATGAGCCACCCAAGTACCGTCATGACCAGCTGTCACCTCACGTAATTTGTCCGCCTTGACTTTCTTCATTGCCACTTGATTGGCTTCAGGGTCATTCTTGATTGGGATTTGTGCAGCCATGCCACCCATAGCATGCACACCGCGTTTATGACAGGTCTGAATCAACAAATTGACATAGGCGCTCATAAAGGGAACAGTCATGGATACATCGGAACGGTCAGGTAACACATATTGAGGGTATTGACGGAACTTCTTGATGAAACTAAAAATATAATCCCATCGACCACAGTTTAAACCAGATGAATGATCTCGAAGCTCGTAAATAATTTCGTCCATTTCAAAAGCAGCCAAGATTGTTTCAATCAAGACAGTGCCACGAATAGTACCACGGGGAATAGTAAGCATGTCTTGAGATGCATTGAAAACATCGTTCCATAATCTATTTCATTGGATTTGATAAGTAAACGTATTTTTTGCTTTGAAGGATATCACTATTTAATATTACCTTGCTTCTAAATGGGACTCCATCTTTGGTAAATAAAAGTAAGGTCCCAAACCGTTCTTAATTTGGTTTTTAGCATTATGGAAAAAGAACAAGCCAAAATCAAAAATAGATGCAGACATTGGTTCACCATCTACCAACACATGTTTTTCAACCATATGCCAGCCTCTAGGTCTATACAGAATAGCTTTTTAGTAAACATTTTTTCTTGTATACGATTTCTGATTATTTTACCTGACAATCAATGTAGCCGTACGACCCTTTAACTCGTATTTTTTGCCAGCAGGATTAGTAAATGAGATGGTACCATTAATAGCATCACGAAGATTGATCTGACCATTCAAAAGGTTGTCCCAAGTAGGGGCAGTTGAATCTATGCACACAAATATATTTATAAATTATCATCCGCTTACTTCTTTCCCACAATAAATTTCAAATTACCTTCAAAATCAGCCATATAGGTCAATGCATCTGAATTCAAAGCATTAATGACCATTTTACGGTCGACGGGACCAGTGATTTCAACCCGACGGTCTTGAAGGCCGGGAGCAGGTTTAGCAGCACGCCAATTGGGATCATTACGGATATGGGCAGTTTCGGGCAAGAAATCAGGTAACACACCACGATCAATTTCTTTTTGACGGTCATTACGCTTTGTAAGTAAGTTTTTACGGGTTGCATTAAAACTACGTTGTAACGTAGCAATGAATTTTAAAGCCTCTGTGGATAAGATTTCCGCTTGTTCTGGGCTATAGGAAGCCAAAATGGATACACCTGGTACAGTTTGATTACTAGACATGTTTTTATAAGAAGAAGAAGAAAAAATTGAAGAAAAAGATATGAAGGAAGCAAATAGATTGGATTTTATACATGTTCGGCAAAATGCTTATGCTTGTTTCACCCGCCCGTATCACTGTTTCTTTTTGTGGGGAAATAACCTTTTAGTACAACAGATCTGTCACTATCCATATTGTTTGAATTAAGCTTGCGGAGTACCCATCGTTCTATTGACAGATTATATATCGCTGGCATGAGTGAGCTCATACACTTGGTACCCTCTAATTTTTATTTGCTTGCATCATGGATACTAATGACGATTTATACTTTTTTTTAAGTGTCGAAAAACTCCGAGAAGATAGCGTACGATCGTGTGAAAAGCATTTGTTTTACGGTACTGTTGTACATTGTGTGTATCATTGTTTGTTACATGAATTAGTAAATTATGGTATTTTATATTTGCACGACAAATACATATGTATACATATACTATGAAGGGTAACAAACATATCTCTGTCATCATTTCGTGCATGTAAACGTATCTTTCAATGCATGTGTCATCATATGCAAGGACGGAGGAGTTAAAAAAACTGTATCCCACGCTTGAAAGAAACCAAAGAAACGCATAAGACTTTAGGATAAATGTTGGTGCGTGCAAAGTTTTTGTAAACTCTTTTTAGTGTGATTTTATTAATATTGTAAATGCAATGTGAGGGAATAGTCTATGCTGTCTATTGTTGAGCACATTGAACACCAGGACCACCTTGTTGATGGTCTTCCTCATCTTCATCATAAGCAGAAGAAGAAGCACCACCTCTGTTTTGGTAACCTTCGGCATTGGCCAACACAACATCTTCTAAATGCTTGTTGCCGAAAGAAGGAATAGGAGCACGAGAAGGCAAGATAGCTTCCAACTTCTTTAATGTGTTTTCATCAGTCCAGTTGGCTTGAGGGAACTCAACAGTAAACTTGATGAAGAGATGGCCATGGCTATCCACACGTTGCATACGCATACCTTCGTTAGGAACAACCTTGACCATATTAGGTTGGATAGCTTCACCGGGAATGACGGTGACCATGAGAACACGGTCATCCAAATGAGGGACAGCAAATTGACCACCCGCTAAAGCAGTCAAAAGGTCGATCTTTGCTTCATAAATAAGATCATCACCTTGACGTGTGAAACGGGGATGAGGCTTTTCATCCAATTGAATGATGATATCACCTGGAAGGATGCCAGGGGCTTGGTCGCCTTCACCAGAGAAAGTAATCTTTTGGCCACCACGCATACCACGTTCGATATGAACTTCGAGGATTTTTCTATCACTCATGATCTTCTTACCGAGACAATGCTTACAACGATCTTTTTCGTTGATGATCTCACCAAGACCATTACAATCAGGACAAGTTTGTTGGAATTGTTGGACCATAGGGCCCATTTGACGCATCATAATACGAGCACCTTGACCATTACAACCTCTACACATTTGAACAGCTCCTTCTTTACCACCCTTACCATCACACTTGACACAAAGAACGTTCTTTTGAAGGGCAAGTTTACTAGTCTTACCCAAGTAGAAATCTTCAAGGGAGACCTTAAGTTGGTGCATCATATCCTTACCACGACGAGGACCCGAGGGACCACGACGTCCTCCTCCTCCTCCAAACATACCACCTCCTCCGCCACCAAACAATTGGGAGAATAAATCTTCAGCATTCATTCCATGTCCATGACCACCTTGACCACTTAATCCTTCTTCACCATAATGATCGTATGCATTTCTCTTTTCTGAATCAGAGAGAATCTCGTATGCGTGAGAGATTTCCTTGAACTTGTCTCCAGCAGCAGGATTCTAGATGAAAGCTATATGAGTCATACGTTCATAAACGTATTTCGTCTCTTAACAAACCTTATCAGGATGGTACTTGAGTGCGAGCTTTCTGTAAGCCTTCTTAAGCTCAGTCTCTGAAGCAGTAGGTGCAACACCCAAAATGTCGTAGTACTTGGTTTCAGCTACCATCTTGATTTATCTTAGATTGAATAAAGAAAGAAAAAAGGGGGAGGGGGGAAAAACAAAAACATGAAAAACTTTGTGGTTGAACAAGCGGAGTGCTTTTGATTGGCTGAATCAGAAAAAGTTTATTTCACGATGGTTCTTACACTCTGTCATTGGCATCTTTACTGAAATATAGATCAAGAAATACAGAGAATACTCAGGACATCAATCACTACTGATAGACTACTGCTTAAATGTAATGATGTTACAGTCATACAAGAAGCACGCACACACACACAAAAATTACTTTATTTCTTTTCGTCAAAAGGTTCAACCAACATTTTCGAGAATTCCTTGATCTCTTCAACACCACGCACTTCCTTTGTTAATAAAGGCATACGAATGATGTGGAAATCTTCATAAAGATCATAAATTTGATCCAAATATTTTTGCTGCATCTTGTTACGGACAATACAGTGTTCACAATTCGATCCTTCCTTGGGGAACAGTAATTGATTGACAACAATGTTATGAGTGTCAATGTGATAGGATGTTAATTCCTGAATCATACGCTCAGTTTCATATAACGACAAGAATTCTGAGATACACACACAAACAAAGGTAGTGATGTTCTAGTAAATTTATAGCCTAATTAGTACCTCTAATCATACAAGCTTATTCCTCACACACTTACAGGATCCTTAAATTGGTTGTTTACTTCGGTGATGACAGAACGCATCTCTTCCAATTTGGAGAACATATCTTCTTGGTTTGCATTAACACCCATCATACCTGATACTTGTTGAACCATAGGGCCGAAACGACTGCTAAGACCACTGATCTTTGCCAAGGCCTTTTCGAGCACAGTAGGGAATGACAAGAAACGAAGTGTATGACCTGTAGGTGCAGTATCAAACACAACAACAGAATAAGACATTGTCTTTACTTGCTTCATAACTTCGGCAAAACCCATAGCTTCATCAACACCAGGAATGGCGTAAGCCAAGTCCTGCATCATACCACCCATTGGGTTATTTTGATCGGCTATAATATCCCCACCCCAAGAATACGTCAGCTCAAAGTTGTCTCTCCCTCTCTTTTTTTTTTTACTGTCAAGCTATATTCAACTTACATTGTTCAACCATCTCTTGAATACTGGAAGTGGGATCAATTTCCTGTCCGAAAGCTCATGTTTAGTAAAAGATAAACTCAGTGACATTAGACAACTTACCATGGCATAAAGATTGGTGAAGCCATTGACTTGAGTTGCCTCCTTAGAAAACTTTTGACCGAACGCGTCGGAAAGATTATGAGCAGGATCTGTTGAAATCAACAAGACGGACTCACGGACTTTGGAGAGTTGAACAGCCAAAGAACAAGAAGTAGTAGTTTTACCTATTAAAGGATAATTAACTCATCAAGTTTCCCATGGGTGATGGCTTTCATTTACTTACCGACACCACCTTTTCCACCAACAAAAATCCAATGAAGAGAGTTTTGGTCTAAAATGTTTTGAAGAGTAGGCTCGAGAGGCTGGTTATCATCATCTGACATGTCTGACATTGTTGCTTTATTTATTATTATAATGAGGGAAAGAAAAAGAAATGTGTGAAAAACACACTCACGTAGATTTAAAGGGTCAGAGAAAAATAATTCAGTCTCCTTTGATTGGCTGTTTTTTTGCTAGTGCTCTAATTGACCTTTTTATCGCGTGTACATGGATGATTTGAGGGATAACACGTAATTAAGGGACTGATGAATGTATATGTGCCATGTAGTTAATTGACACATCCGAGAAAGGGTACTTGATCTTTAGCTACTACTGCAGCCAAAATTTAAGGATTTATTGTATTTAACTAGGTGTAAACATAATGTTTCATTCTTAAATTTCCAGTTGTGCAAAGCAAGCTGGTATTGCAATCGCAACTGACAAGGGCGTTTTGACAGATGTTTAATCATCTTCTTCGAGATCCTTCTTCCGTCTCTCTTTTACTGTCATTAAAAATGAAAAGCCGCGCAGCCAATCTAAAAAATAGGTAACAGACCGGGTGAAAGAGAGCTAAATTTGACATTTGGAAAGAGTGTCCAATCATTGCGACCCCAGGCATATTCTGGATAGTTTTCAACTCCGTCTTAGTTTATTTTAGTGATGAAATGTCTCGACGGTATTCATTGTAAGATAACAAATAAACAATGCTATAATTGGGACATTTTAATATAAACATATAAAGAGACATATATAAAAAGAGATGGAGATAAAGAGACTATATGATACGACGACGACAACAACAACAAAAAATAGAAAATAAATTTTTCCTTCTTCGGTGACTGTACACCAACAGTGCGAAACATAGCCAATAAGTAATCATCTATTCGTTACATGGGGGTATCTATTCAATATCAACTATTTACAACAAGGATTTGGCCCCTCTAAGAAGTAAATGTTTATATCCTAAAAAACTTACATTCGTTTATTAAAATCTGTGTGCGTATGCGTGTGTGTATTTGTGTGATGAAAGAAAAAATAATCAGGACCATTGTAATAATTCGGGTCGTCCCTTTTTTTTTTTTTTTTTTTTTTTTTTAATTAATGTTCAAAACAAGTTTTTTTTATTTTATTCTTTTTTCTTCTTGTATCACATTTTTTTCGCCTCTTTTTTTTTTTCTTTATTTTTTTCTTCTTGTTCACTCTATATACCTTTGGAAGAAAATTATACGTTTTAAAAAAAATTATTTAACGAGCGAGAACACAAGAAAATTTAAAATAGAAAGAAAAAAATACAACAGTGAATCATAGCAACAACAAAATTAGTATGACCTGTGCGTTTTCTTTCTGTTTTGGACAAATAGATAAACTACCAACTTGTTTGACCTGTCAAATTACGGTGGAAGGTTCCAACCTTACTCTTACAGGACAACAAGATAATGTCATGGCAACAAGGACCGAGATATTAAATTCATATCCTACCAAAGTAAATAAATAGAGATACACCCTCAGGAAAACACGTTAAAAATAACACACTTTCTTTTTTCACTCTCTAGATCCATTTAAACTTGAAGATTCCTGATCAAGATTGTAATAACCTGAGACGAGAATGTGAAAAGATTGCAGTCAATACCAACACAACAATATCCATTACTGAACCCATTCCTCAATCTTCATTCACTTCACAAAACACAGTGAATATTCTTATTACTGGTATACCCGACAATGCTGAATTAGCCCGAGTTCATACACTAGTCATGTTGGATAAACAGGTATAATATCTTCTCTATTCCACATTGTAATTATCCCCTTCTAAAAAAAATTTTTTTATTCTATTTTTTAGTCCCAGTTGGATGTAGATACATTAAATATTCCTTATAAATTACATCACTTAATATGTGGACGGAAACGAACCGGACTTGGATCAATTTTAGAAGAAACAGCCACATCTATTTATTTTCCTTCCCCATTTATATTTGAAGCCAACGATGACTACTCACCTTCCATTTATATCACTGGAGAATCTAATCATGTCGCACGCGTTAAAGATATGTTGACTAAATTAGCAACTCAAAAGGTTAACTCCAAACAACAACAAAAGTTACACATACCTCTTATACACTGCTAAACATCTTTGCTATTTTAGGCTCAATCAATGTATCATAAGGACGCTGTACTACACCCTAGAAAATTAGATTGGATGTTGTTACATCGCAGAAATGACCTCGTAAAAGTCATGAGAGATAACGGCTCATTTGTATCTTTTCCAAAAATGGGCTCCAGAAACAACCTCGTCACTGTCTATGCTGAATCAAGAGTGAATGCCGAAAGAACACTTCGATCACTTCATTTTTTGGTAAAAAAAAGTTTTTTATAGGTAAACGAAAACGTGCTAACCTATTTTTATAGGCCTGCGGTATTTACGAAGCTTGTTTCTATTTTAATCATCGTGATGGCGCTATCTATGGCGCTGAAAGTGCGCACACTTTTTTCAATTCAATTTCCAATATTTCCGCGCTTGTATCTCAGTTATCACAAATATCAGGTGCTGAAGTGACTTACAAGACAGATCCTGGCTGTATCGAAGTCTATGGTACCGAAAGAGCCATTCGAAATGTTTACCAACGCTTACACGAAATGTCATTCTTGAAAATGTTTCATCAAAGCACTGTATTCAACGTAGAATTATCCAACGATCAACGAGAGTTCATCAGTGGTAAAAAGAGTGGAAAGATTAACAAAATCATGAAGACCTCAGGTGCCAAAATCAAATTTTTACCCTTCAGTGAATACAACTTTATTATCGAGGTCGAAAGTAACAATTTTAACAAGGCATTAGATGGATTGACCTTGTTACAAGAAGAATTACCCGCAGAAATTTCTTTCTATGTACCCGAAGTCTACCATAAGAGAATCATTGGTGTTGGCGGTAAGAACATTCAACGCATCATGAAAAAATATGGTGTCTATGTCAAATTTTCAAATGCAGAGGAATTTGCTGCTTTAGGTGGCTATTATGATAATGAGGACAATGTCGTGGCTAGAACTCCAATGAAAAATCAAGTCAATCTGGACAACTTGCGTCATGCTGTTATGGATTTGATTAACCCAAAGGATAGAGATTGTGTGGAACAGGTGCTTTATGATATACCCTTTTGGCTTCATCGTACATTGATTCGTGATGGTGCCTCCTTCTTGGCTGAAATGACCAAAAAGACTAACACGCATTTGATTTGGCCTGATGATGAAATCGCCAGTGATAGTTTAACTTTGGTCGGTCCTGAATCTCAGGTCGCTTTGGCTGCTCAAATGGTGAGATCAATCGTGCCTGAACAATACAATGTGCATTTACCTTATTCGACAAATGCAAAAGCAATATTGGAATCAGACTCGTTCGATAAAAAAGTAGTGCAACGATTAAAACTCGAATTCAATATTACGGTCCAAGTTCAAAACAATTCAATCAACAATGAGGAAAACGATGAGATCATCGCATTAAAAATGACAAAGGGGAATTTAGACTGTTTAAATGTGTCTTTGGAAATATTGGTTGCTTACTTGAAAGCCCATCAAGTCAGTTTATACGATGATAGTGCTGTGGTGCGACATGCCCCTTCAATGAAGGATAATCCATTCCCTGTGTTCGATACCAAAATATCTGCTTTACCTTCAGGTAAGATAAGCTACATATATACCCTTATGCTGAACTAAATATAATTTTAATAGATTTGATATCACCCACGCCTTCTTCATCTTCATCGCTCTTGACAGACTTTCCACAACCACCTTCTGCATTGAGCTGTTATTCTCTTTTCGATTATCCCAGTTCAACCAGCGGAAACGCCTTAGATGCTTCATGGAAAAACTTTAGAGACATGAATTCACCTAGAACTGTGGATAATATTCGTGCCATTTTCGATTCACCCGAAGCTAACAAATTACCCCCACCACCATCTGTATCACTTGTTTCTCCATTGAGCTTCCGTGGTGGTCCTCCTACCAGCCCCAATGGTTTAGATATTTGGTCCAACCCGCCTCAACAGGTGTCTTTGAACGGATTTGTAGGGAGCCCACCTATGTCTGGGTTAGAATCGAAATCGATGATGTATTCTTTAGACCAGAACAATTCGAATAACAATGGATTCTACCATCAACCTTTAGGAAACAAACCTGATTTCAACACGTATGTGATTCCTACCTCATCCACTTCAACCGGTAGTAACAATAGTTCAATGCATTCAAGTCAATCCATGCCAGACATTATGTTGGAAGAAAGACATGTTCATACCTCACCTAAAAAAAGCACCCATTTACCCTTTCAAAATTACACTCATACCCAAACGTCACCACCACCACCACCTTTGATTTATCCATCGAGTTCAACCACGGCAGTTCAATTTGCCGCATTATCTTCATCTGTTTCCACTCCTACATGTACATCTAATAATACCTCCAGAAGTGACAAATCGCTTGATTTCCCTGCTCTCTTTTCTTTAAATCATTCTTCTGCTGATGAAACTGGCAGTAAGTATAACTAAAAAATTACGCACATACATAGACATGGTTACTAATCTTTTTATAGTTGTTCAGAATTTGTTGAATAATATGTCAATAGGTCAATCCAATAATTTGTCTCATTAGATTATATATCAAGTTTTTTTTATTTTTTTCTCCCTGCTTAGAGTGTGCCATTTTCGTTTTCCCTTTTTTTTTCTTTATATATCTTATGTTTCTCTCCCAATCCTCCCCTACCCTTTTTCACATATTTTCATTTATACACTAAATATCTTTCTTATCCCTTCCAATACCTTTCTTTTTTTTATTTTTTTATTTTTTCAACTCTGAAAAAAATTAAAAAATAAAATAAAAATGCTTCATAATTTCTGCAATCTTTTTTATTATTATAGTTTTGCTTCACTAGCAATTAAGGAAGCAGGAACTTCAACGTATAACCCACTAAGGCATAACTGTGCATATGTTTTACCTTGTCGGTCCACAACTAACGAACTAAGGCCTCCTCCATTTAACGAATGCGTCAAGACAAAATTCATAGCACGAGGGCCTGGCAATTCAAATCGTGTCACACTTCCTTTGCATAAATGCTTCATGTAGTCAGATACAACCTCTTCCGTGATTGAGCGTTTGATATATGGTAAGAACCTTTCGTCTCGAGCAATGATACCGATATTACAAACATCGCCTTTATCCCCACTACGACCATAAGCTACGTCAATTAATCGGACCTTAACTAAGGGTTCGGATAGATTGGCTGTAGGAATCGCTGCAACGGCACGTGGCTTGCCGTAACTTGCTTGATTGTCCCATGAGCCCCAGCCAATTGTTTTGATAGCGTCAGTGCCAACGACGTAGCGAGTTGTGACTTGAGATTTGGGAATTAATAGAGGAAAATGAACCAGATTTGGAATTGGTTTAGGGCGTCCTGCACCACTTCCTGTGATTCCAGGTGCCATGCATGTGGCAGACTATGATAGAGGTAAGTTTCTGCTCATTGAAATTATAAAGTTACCTACAGGAATCGTTTCCATGGCTACAAGGCCTAAAGCTTTAGGATCGTCATGGTGAGCAGTCAACCTTAGCAAAACTTCACGTGTATCATTTACTCTTGAATGGGGTCTAATGACAAAAGTTATGGGTGAGTATAATTTAATAATGTAACCTTTAACACGGCTTACCCAAATAGAGTTTCACCGCCAATAGGCTCAATATTCACATTTCTGAAATCATCCATGCCCATTTGCTTATACATGTTGCGTACACGTTGAATGATGGCCTCACCTACAGCTTGTGCCTTCTTTTTAGCATCAATACCACCAATCACCAGCTCGGCGCTAATTTTCCAGCCATCCAAAAAGATACCTGAGCATTTTAAGAAGGGAGTGGGTTGAATTCCTTTTGCTCCGGTTACTAAAACACGATTATTTCCAGATTGGGACAATTTCACTTGACGCATATCCAAAATTACATCGGGTAAAAGGTATAAAGCTGGATCTAAGATTTCGTAAAGGATCTGTTCAGAAACAGTAGCCGGTGTCACTAATCCTCCCGTTTTCTCAGGCTTTGTCACGATAAATGTACCCGATGCATTAAATTCAACAATGGGGTATCCCATATTGGAATAACCTCCATAAGGTGATTGTGCTGCTAATTGCCAATCTGTAAAGTTTCCTCCTGTCGTGTGACATCCACATTCGATAATATGGCCCGCTAAAGAAGCAGAAGCCAGCAGATCATAATAGTTAGTAGTAGTGTCTTCATTCCAGCCGTATTCGTACATTAATGGACCCACTACCAATGCAGAATCGACCACACGGCCTGTAACAATGATTTGAGCTCCGTCTTTTAATGCTGCAGCTACGCCATGAGCGCCTAAATAAGCGTTTAAAGATACAATGGGCTCGTCTTTTGCCGGTAAACGATCTGAATCTCGTTGATGGTCAACAGAGGATATGGAAGAAAATGGGTGGACATTCTTGAAAGAATTTAGAGTTGGCTCTTCTTTATCGGCTAATACATCATCACCTAATACGGCAGCCACTTTAACGCCTTGAATGTTCATTTTTTTCAGCAGTTTTTCGATTTCTTGTTTACAGCCAATTGGATCTAATGCACCTGCATTCGTAATTACTCTGGTGCCATTTTTCACAATATCCGGTAAAATTTTGACGAGTACAAGTGTAATAAATTCATGGATAAAGTCGAATCCTTTTTTAGCATGATCGCCTTGCATCAACCGACGTTGGCGACGTGCTGCTAAAATACCCATGGTGATTTCTTTTTTTTTTTTAAAAAAAAACGCTTGAGTAAATCTAGCACATAACAGTTCTCTTTTCGTATATATTTACCTGCTAAATAATCAGCCACAAGATAATCCAAGTTCTTTCCTTCGTGTTGAACAAGTTGTGTTGCGGCGGCTGTTGAATCACCCCAGAATGCGGAATAACATCCAATACGAATAGGTTTTTCTGTCATATTGAAATTTTAAAGCAAAAAGGGAAAATGAATGAGAAAAAAAAAGTTGTTTATTTTTGTACCTTAGATTTATTTTTGGGGATATTTTGGTAGTGGGAAAAACACATGGTGTGACTAGTGTTGGATGAGTGATCGCGTTTATGCTTAATTTGGGTTTTGCATGATTTTTTACTTTTTGACGGCTAGTGTGCACACATATTCCTAATAAACTGTGATATGTGCTCTCAATATATTATTGCTGATGTTTATCTTGAGTTTTGTTCAAAATAAATCAAAAGAAATCCTAGTGTTTCTTGTGCATTTGTATCAAGTAAACACATTTGCTTGGTATCCATTAGCAAACTCAAACTAGACTTAGTACTCTACTATTTAAACGTATATGGATAATATATGCGTCTTTTTTTATCTTCTTCGAAGGGTCGACAGTTTTAATCTTATGCAAATACTAATACAAGAAAAATGAATTATGCATAAGTGCTATATGTCTTGAAACGGGTCTCTTGGGGACAGCCAATTTTCTTAGTGATAGCCAGGGTGCACGTAGTTGTGATGTCGGGTTATGATACCTCAACTGATACCAAGAGGACAATATAACTTATCATCTTGAACTGGATACAGAGTTATTACAATCAACATATGGTCAGCCTGTCTTTATGTGCTATAGCTTACTTTCAACTTCTCGTTCAGACTTTACCCTAATATTTCTGCGTAAGATTAATATCAAACGAGCTCAAAGGCGAAAGAGTAACGATGAAATTGTCAAATGAGGTATAAATTGTTAAACATACAATTATTCGTAACTACTACATTGTTTTTAATTGTACATTCTTGTTTCCAGGTCAAAATGACAGCTATGATGCCGATCTTACGGTGTCATTGCGTGTACTTTGGCTGTCTCTAAAAGACTTGTAAGGCATCTTAATAACAAAAGTAAAGGACAAAAAAGAATGGAAACACCCGGTTAAGACATACCGGTCCATTTGCTTCTAAAAAAGGAGAGGTTACTAATGCACCAAAAGCCGAAGAAGTGGCTTAAGCCTTGAGAACCCCAAGACCCTGTTTGTGGTATTGCGCCTCCAGACTTGTAACCATTACAGAAGAGAAAAAAACTATTTTTCAACTTTTTCCTTTACATACGTGAGAACCATGACATACTACTTTAGACAAATATAAAAAATGTCACCAAATATTTTATTTCTTTCATATGTTTTCTCCATGACTTTCCATGGAGGACTTTCTCTATAGACTCTTTCTATGAAAGAATGTATATCTTTGACTATGCACTTCCAGAGTAAGCCTTGTGAAAAATAGTTTTGTTTTACCAATAAGAAAAAAGTTCATTGCTAATTCAACTATTGCTTGAGATAAAGAACAGGCAATTTAATGTAGTAGCTGTCATAAAAGCCTATGTTATAGTGTGATGGTCAGATAACGAGAGGAAATCAACTTGTAGCGTGTTAAGGAAAAGTGAGAAACTGGCGGAATTGCGAAGGATGCGGAAGCGGGTTGAACCCAATGAGATGTTTGCATTGGCCGAAGAATGCTGTAACTGACTTGTGCCAAGGTGAGTGCTGGATATTATTAGCAAGTATGATGTGATGGATTAAAGATTAAAAATACATAAAGAGAAGGAGTAATGGGAATATAATTATGCTGATTATGTAATTTTTTATCCAGTTAAAATAACTAAGCACGGTTGTGGATGTTAAGGGACCGGATTTGAAGATATACCATGGCCTTATAAGTATCATCCGAGTTCAATTTTACTAATTTACTTTTTTAACTACACTACTTATTGTAGAATATAAAGTACACTAGCTGATCAGATTTTTTCTTCATCATCATCACTGTTAGCATTGTTACCAGTATTGTCTCAATAATCAGAGCAGTAATCATTATCGAAAATTGAGTCAGAATATTTATATCTATTCTATTCATCACTGGAGATCATCTTTAAACAACACAATCTATCTACGAGCTTTTGACCATTAAGTGTAACATCTTTTCGATGCATTCTTCACTGATGTAGGACTATTTATCCGTTATTCGGGCTTCAAGGGGTGCCGATTTTATTTTGTAATCTTTCATATAGCATATTTGTATCTTTGTCCAATTTTCCTTGGTGAACAATCAATCTTTCTTTTTTTTTTTTGGTATATTACTGCATCTGCATTTTATATTACTCATCAACTTCTTTTTTTTTTTTTTTTTTTTTTTTTTGTAGTTAAACAAGAATAAAAGTAATCTACCGCTTACAAATTTCGGTAAAATTATATGAAGACACGGTCGTCTACAAAATAAGAAATGTAAGTTCTTAGATAATTGTGTCCACATAGTGTGAAAGAAAAGACTGTATATACAGCAGTGATACCCTATTATAATTTTAAACGGTTGTGGAATGACAAAGTTACGCTGTTTTCGAACACTTTATCTTAATAAAAATATATGTTACCCTTCGATGATAACCTTCATTGAATGTCTAGCGGATAGTAAATCTGTTGACAAGTCTGGTTCAACTATAACCAGTATTCTTCTTGTTGGCCCAAACGTTTTGTTGTGCTCATAAAATACCAAATATTGGATATAATATTTGTCAGTTTTATCTAATTTGGCTCATCAGTGTAACGTTAAAATAAGATATATATGAAATACAGCTGTAAGTTGAAATGGAAATTTATAACACTTTAGATAGTTGCACCAATGTATAAGTTGGCAGTGAAACAAACAAATTATAAAACCAGTAAGGTTTTTATAGACTAAAAAAAATTATATTTGATAAACAAGCTTTCCGAACTTTTTTTACACAGGAATGATTACCCGGTTTTGAGTAACATACACATATATTACACCGAGGATATTGACAGTAATTTTCGAATTTTATCTCTGGACACTGGGATTATCAGGTAATGTTTGGATTCATAAGAATATAAATTTGATATATATTCGAACGGCATATTTAAATCAGACACAGGTTAAATTGTTAGGGATTGGGCGGTCTGGCTTTTGATAAGGCACAAAATAAAGGTTCGTGTCCCGTAGCAGAGTAATACAACGAAAGCAATGTAGTTTACACATGGTGTGAGAAAAAAAAAGATCGCAATATGCAGATACTTGAGACTGTAGATACTGTAAAATCAAACTGAAAAGGGTCAGGGGGGATATTTACTGTATGTACTTGAATATAATTCAAAAAGGTTTTTTTTTTTAATACAAAATCACATATATATATATAAAAAAATTAATATTCTTTCTTCTTTTCATCATAACTTAAACCACCAGGACCAGTGCTGACCAACAATAAGAACCCACCGACTGTACTTAAAGATTGGAAGAAATCGTATCTCAAGAAATCACGCTTATAATAACTGTGTTGTACTGACCAAAAGTTGTTGACGAAAACGTTGAGGACGGATAAAAAGAGCACTAAAAACATGGCTGACCACTTTGCCTTGAATCCAACAGCTACCATGATACATGCAGCTAAACCACAGACGGATACAGCAACACGCATGATCGACCAGTCACCATGGAAGGCAGATCCGATGAAAAGGAAAATCAAAAGGATACGACCAGCCAATTGCAAATACATACGACGGTTTGATTCTGACATTTGAGGAAGAGCAGCAAACATTTGCTTACGCTTAACCATAGTTTCAGAAAGGACCATCATCAAACCACCCATAACTGATAAGTTACGTAAAAAGAACGACATATCAAAAATCAAACCATAACCAAAAGCTTGAGCAACAATAACACCCATAAGACCGTAGATAGCATAAGCTTGATGCTTCTTGACCACAATAAAGAAAGAAGCACCCAACATAACCTAAAAGACGATTATTAGTCGTTCAATTGCTTCTCAACACGTAACCCACCTCCTTTATCGTTTGCTCTGACCCCCTTTTTTTTCTTTTTTCTTTTTAACTTAACCACTTACAATAACATTTAAACCAAGGAAGAGATGACTCAATCCAGTAGGGAAATGTCTACTTTGTTGCATAAATGTGAGTTGGTCACTCCATTGCATAATAATACGCAAAGAATCCTCCAAGAATGTAGCAATAATAAGGAATCTTGACATAGCTGGGATATAAGGTTTTAAAGGTTGACCAAACGAGTCAAGGATATCTTCTGCCTTTGTGCTGAAGGCTTCCATTTGTTCTTTAACGGTAGCCATTTTCTTTTGTTAAGGTTTGGGAGGAATCTGGTTGAGAACCAAGGAAAAAGATATTTTAGAAAAGAAAGAGCAACCCAAAGCCGGGAAGGTTTTTTTTTTCTCGTATTAAGTGTGTGTGATGCGGCCCTTTGCGCCTTCTCAATACTAGCCAATGACATTATACCACACCCAAATTTTCGTGAGGGTTTTGCAAGGAGCTAAAAATAATAAATTGTACACCCCTCTGTTTAACGTTGACGCAAGATAAAGCCGAGGATTGTCATAACATTTGGATCATCCTTTTTTTATTTAGTACTAAATAAGCAAAATGGGCAGAAATCGTCAAAAATGGCATAAAATACCGTCACTGCATACCCAGAACAACCTGTACTAATTACAGATATCGTGCATTTAACCTTGCCTCCCACAATAACTTGGCATATTCATTTAATCATACTGGTCTATTGAGAATTGTTGAATGGTATAAGCCTAGTCTTAAAATCGCTCTCATATTTTAAGGGGGTTGTGGGATACTTATGCAGTTTACAACTACGGAGAATTTCTAGTGATTACTTTGGTTCTGGTACTTAGCAAGATTCAACCCCGATAATTGACAAGAACCAGTAATTGCTCTTGGCAAACATTTTCATCCCGCACGGTTCAGGAGGAGGAATGGTATAATACAGAAAGCTGACAATTTCAGGCCAAATTATATGTGTGTAGCTTCAATGAGTCAACCCATGATCTTGCAATAAATGCGGCGCATGACTTTTTTGATTTTAATTTTTAAAATGCCAAACAAACAAAGGTCAGGAACATGTTGAATTGTTAGAGTAAGCACGCATGAAAACAGTGCAATCACTCTTAGACTCACGTGTAAACATGATTTATGTCCGATGTTTTGTTTGAGGCTGTAGTTGATATAATAGTGTTCTATTTATTCTTCAATATTCAGAGAAGTTTGCTCCTGTATAATGCTATTACTGCCATCCAATAATAAATAGAATTGTTTATAATCTCATGTTAGATAATGCTTTATGCGTTAATTGCAGCATCAATTCTGTAATATTCAGCCACAATAAAGGTAGTCCCTTCAGCTTTGACAGTCAAAATCCGATAAACTCTTTTAGAGTGGCGCTTCGTATGACAAGACGATGAAGCGATAAGAATTTGGCAATTAGTTTATTATTTCTTAAAGGTGTCATATTTAAACAACTGTTAAAGTCTGTCCGGCAGTCCAAGTCTGACCTCCAGCTAAAACAACCCAATCAGCAACACTTCCAGCTTCAACACAAATCATATTTTTATATTCTTCGTTGCCAAAATCACCCATAGCCTTAGCCTTTTCAATCCAAGGATTCCAAACAACTAAATAAAAAATTGAATATAATCGCTCCTCATATGTGCTATATAGTTATGCTTACCAGTATCCTTTAAGTTACTCTTTTCAATCTGAATTCGAGAACCGTCTCCAACCTCTAAAATGAGCTTATCTTGAACCTTCTTGTACACTCTATCGACCTCACCAGCAATTGTGACATTTTCATTCTGTTCAGTAAATTTGGCACCTGCCTCTACTTTATCAACGTATTCACAAGAGGCCAAGCCTTGAACTTGTGAACTGGTGACATCCTAAGTATAATATTTTCAGCATTACAGTGTATTCTCATTATAACCATGGATACTTACGGGAACACTAAAGTACGTGTGAAGAAGAGTATTGAATTCAAAAGTATCTTCATCTTCATTCTTCAAATTGAAAAAGGTCTTAATTGACTTTGCTGACAAACTAACAGTGTAAGTCAAACGGAAAGAATGGGGCCATGCATTTCTAGCTTCTTGGGGGATTTGTGTATCCTTTAAACCAAAACGAACCACAACTTCATCATTATCGCTCACAATACCAAGATATTCCCAATAATTATTACGAGCAAAGCCTTAATTACGTAATCTGTTATTAATTTCGGTATTTGTAATCATTTGTAAAACTATTTTACCGTGTTGAGGAAGAGCGATCTTTTCTTTAGTGCCGAAAATAGGGAAACAAATTGGAATACCACCACGGATAGCCTTGCTGCCGTCGAGCTTGGCCTCCTTGCTGAAATACATAACATGTCTTTAGTGTTTCAAAATTAAAACGTGTTCATTTTTTTTAGTACCTGACAAAGATACGCTCTACGTTATCAGCAATCCAACTGGTAACAGTGGCACCTTTTTTAAAAAGTTAAACTAGTGTATAAACGCGTTTTTTAGGTAATTACCGAAAAGAGAAACCTGGGCTTTTGAACCAGAAGGATGTTCAAGAAAAATAGTTTTATTAGATTCGTGAGCAGGCATTTTGTAATTATTAAAGAAGAAAGAACAGAAAAAATATAATCCTTGGGCACTAAAAATAAAGCAGAAAAAGTCGGGAAAACAATTTATTAAATTAAGTTTCGATTTCATCATCCTTCTTTTTCTTTTCTGGGTCTTCCAATAGAGCTTCTTCGTCTCCAACAGGCGCCATATGTTGCTCTAACAAATTTTGCTCTTCAGTAGGAGCCATACCGGGTTCATGGTTACGCTTGATATCTAAATCAACTTCTCCACTAGGCAAGGTTTTAATGGATACTTTAGCGGTTTCTCCAGTACGAATACCACCATCAATTAGAAGACGAGCCAAAGGATTTAATAATTTCTTTTGGATCAAACGATTCAATGGACGGGCACCATAAGCTGGCTCATATCCGTGTTCTCCCAACCAATCTCTTGCTTCCATATCAACGTCAATAGAAATACGACGATCTGCTGTTCTTTCTTCTACTTCCTTGATACGAACATCAACAATATCTCTTAAGGCAGCCTTTGAAAGTCGGTTGAAAATAACCATTTCATCAATACGATTAACAAATTCAGGTGCAAACGTGTGTCGTACTGCCTCAAGTACGTGATGCTTGGCATGTGAACTCACTTCACCATCTGCATTTACGTCAGAGACTAAAGCATCCGCTCCCAAATTTGAGGTCATAATAATAATCGTGTTTCGGAAATCGATCTTTCTTCCTTTTGTATCTGTCAATACACCATCATCAAGCACTTGTAACAAGATGTTTGATACATCACGATGAGCTTTTTCCATTTCATCTAAAAGGACTACTGCATAAGGTCTACGTCGAACGGCTTCGGTCAATTCACCTCCTTCTTCGTGTCCAACATAACCTGGTGGAGAACCAATCAAACGGCTCACGCTAAATTTCTCCATGTATTCAGACATATCGACACGTACAATAGCATTTTCTGTGTCAAATAAGAACTTTGCAATTGTTTTGCAAAGTTCGGTTTTACCAACACCAGTAGGGCCTAAAAATAAGAAGGACGCAATGGGCTTAGAGGGATTTTGAAGACCGGCCCTACTTAAACGGACAGCCTCAGCAACTGCTGTAATAGCTTCGTCTTGGCCAACTACACGCTTCGACATGACATCTTCCATATGAAGCAACTTTTCTCTTTCGCCCTTCATCAAGTTTCTTACAGGAATACCAGTCATTTGGGAAACAACACGAGCAATATCATTACTTGTTACACGTTCATGAATAAATGACTCTGGGTTATCTTCTTCTGCCGTATCTGTGGGCAACTTCTTTTCGAGGTTTGGAATAACACCGTAACGAAGTTCGGAAGCTCTTTGGAAATTACCACTACGTTGAGCTGCCTCTAAATCGACACGTGCCTTTTCGAGATCTTCTTTAACACGCTTGATCTCTTCCAACTTTTGTCGTTCCGTATTCCAAATAGCAGAAAGACGTTGACTTTCTTTTTGCTTTGTTTCAAGCTCTGATTGAAGTTTTTCACGTCGCTCAACAGACATGACATCGGTTTCTTTACGAAGTGACTCTAATTCGATTTGAGTCGTCATGATTTGACGATCGAGGTTCTCGAGTGCTTCGGGTTTGCTTTCTTGTTGGAGGCGAAGTTTGGAACATGCTTCGTCGACCAAATCAATAGCCTTATCGGGGAGGAAACGATCAGCAATGTAACGATGAGAATGGATTGCAGCAGCTACAATAGCGGCATCGGAAATGCGGACACCGTGATGTACTTCGTAACGCTCTTTAAGACCACGAAGGATGGAAATGGTATCAGTGACACTGGGTTCCTCCACCATAACTTGTTGGAAACGTCTAGCTAAGGCGGGATCTTGCATAATGTATTTACGATATTCGTCAATAGTAGTAGCACCAACACATCGAAGTTGACCTCTAGCCAATGCAGGCTAAGAAAAATGTGATTAGAAGGAGAAGAAAAGATGCTACTGTCTGTTTATACCTTTAATAAATTGCCGGCATCCATTGCGCCTTCAGATTTACCCAATCCAAGTAACATGTGGATCTCATCCACAAACAAGATGATATTACCATCTGATTCTGATACTTCCTTTAAGACACCTTTCAAACGGTCTTCAAATTCACCACGGTATTTAGCTCCCGCAACAAGTGCGCCCAAATCCAAAGCGATAACACGTTTGCCTTTGATTGATTCTGGTACTTCATTGGCAATAATACGTTGTGCAAGACCCTGTAATTTCGGAAGATTTAGTTTCACATGACCCATGGATTTCTATTATATTACTGCTTACTTCTGCGATCGCTGTTTTGCCGACACTAATAAGCGAGGAAGAAAGCTTAATAATCGTATTCGATTCGTTTTAATTTAATCACTTTACCCAGCTTCACCAATCAATACAGGGTTATTCTTGGTTCGACGTGCCAAACTGTCATAAAGTTGTCAGTTTATATATTGTCTCTTTGTATTATTGTTTTATCTTACACTAAAAAAGGTAATTCAGTTGAATCGAACGTTTATAGTATTTGCAATGATAGCTTACCTTCAAGAGTTCTTCTGATTTCCTCATCACGCCCAATGATAGGATCTAGTCATGATTAAAAAAAAAATATGCAACAAAAAAGTCCGACACTTACCTAATTTTCCCTTCTCGGCCATTGCGTTAAGGTCAATACCCTAGGGATGTTCGTTAGTGATTACACAATATGTAGTTGTTGGGTATACACTGTACATATAGTTCAAGAGGGCTTTTTTCCTTCTCTTGGTTAGGATTCATTCGAAGTTCTGGTCCGCCCGGTCCTTATCAAACATTTTTTTTTGTTTAAGACATATACTTTGATGATAGATAATTCTTTTATTTTACCAGCATAAAATCGTTTGGCACAATAGACACTTGTCAGCTTCCATGGCTGCTGAGCTTTTACTGCAGTGACGAGTGACATTCTGACATTACGAGCTGCGTTACGTTGAGCAACCGTTGTCAGTTGACGCACGTTTACTTTTCCAAGGCTGCGTTGTGATATTCTAAACATGGCCTTATTTATTTACTTTTTCCAGTTGGTGTAAACGAAGAAAGAATTGAAACCAACATGTTTTTGGGTTGACCTTTTCAAAACATTGGCGGAGATGGAATTTTATCCCCGATATTTAAAGCAAGTCACTTTACTTTTTTTTTTTTTTTGTGAAAGGTTTAAAAGGAAGGGGGTATGGTATTGTTGTTTTACACAAGAACCACATAAATGAGTTTGTTTTTACAAAAAAATTCATTCAACTTTTTTTGTAAAGGGTTGACAAGAATACCTTGTTCTATTATTTATAAACGTTGGAACTCTAAGAGTACAACAGAGGTAAGAAAGCTAAGAAAGAAGGAAATAGCATAGGAAAGTTTTTGACACTCTCAGATAGAAATTGAAAGGGGCAGATCCAACAAAATCAATTGATTTGACTACTTTTCCTGCAGAAAACATTCGAAATTTTAGTATTATTGCTCATATTGGTACGCTGCAAGAATTTAAAAAAGTTACACTTATATTAACCTATCGTAGATCATGGAAAAAGTACATTGGCGGACAGGTTGGTTGCAAATTTTATCTATTAGGAAACTTCATCTCATTGATAGTGCTTAATAGATTATTAGAATTGACGAATACGATTTCAAAGTCTGGATCAAATAAACAAGTTCTGGATAAATTAAAAGTTGAAAGAGAACGTGGAATTACTGTCAAAGCTCAAGTAAAGTTGAAATTTGGTTTAATGGTTTAAATCAACACTGAAATTTTGTCATTTTAGACCGTCTCCATGTTTTATAAGCACAAAGGCACCAACTATCTGTTAAACCTAATTGATACTCCCGTAAGAAAGGAAAAACTTTATCAACTGTACACTTATTGATATTATGCTTATAATTCAGGGACATGTTGATTTTAGTTACGAAGTATCACGATCATTAGCAGCATGTCAAGGAACCTTGTTATTAGTAGATGCAGCACAAGGAATTCAGGCACAGACTGTGGCAAACTTCTACCTAGCTTTTGGTGAAGGTTTGGAAATTATACCTGTGCTTAATAAGATTGATCTTCCTGGTGCTGAACCGGAACGAGTATTACGACAAATCGAAAGTGCATTTGAATTAGATACAAGCTCCATTTTACAAATATCTGCCAAATCAGGGATCAACATTGACCAAGTGTTACCAAGTGTTATTGAAAAAGTTCCTCCTCCAGTAGGATCTAGAGATAAACCATTCCGAGGATTACTCTTTGATTCTTGGTATGATAAATATGTCGGTGTCGTTTGTATGTTGGGTATGAAGGATGGTGTGCTTAGAAAAGGCGACAAAGTTGTATCAGCTTATTCAGATACCAAATATGAAATTACCGAGGTTGGTATCATGCATCCCGAACAGTTAGCTACAGGATATTTGTAAGTATATATGTATATGTATATATATATATATGGAAAACAAGTTAAATAATATAGGTGTTTTTCTTAGACATGCTGGTCAGGTAGGATACATTGTATGTGGCATGAAGAGTGCATCAGAAGCTCATATTGGCGATACATTTCATCACCTGGGCCAGACAGTGGAAGCTTTACCCGGTTTTCAACCTGCACAATCTATGGTATTTGCTGGTATTTTTCCTGTAGATACAAACGATTTCAGAAAATTGGATGATAACATCAAAAAATTGACGTTGAACGATGCAAGTGTCTCTGTTCACAAAGAAACTAGTCATGCTTTAGGACAGGGTTGGCGTTTGGGCTTTTTAGGAACCTTACATATGGATGTGTTTCGACAAAGATTAGAAAATGTAAATTACCTTCGATAAAAAAAATTATGCAACTAATTAGTGGAAATTTAGGAATATGATGCAAACATCATTGTTACACAGCCAACTGTGCCATACAAAGGTAAATCTTTATTTTTAATTTTTACGCATCATCATCGAGTCTTACAATTATATGCCACAGTTATTTACAACGATAAAAGCTCTAAACTTGTAAGAAACCCGGCTGATTTCCCAGACGTTGAGGAACGTTCATTCAAAGTAGCCAAATTACAAGAACCTATGGTTTTGGCGACCCTAATTTTCCCTGATGTAAGTTAAACATGACACTAATCCAATCCAATTTGGGACAAACTTTAATTAAGAATCTATAGGAATATATGGGAAAACTAATTGAATTGTGTGGTGTAAAGTATATTAAGACTATTTTTTTAAATGTAATTACCAACCCTAACCCTTGCATAAATGTAGACCAGAAGAGGTGAACAATTGGAATATGTTTATGTGGATGAGACACGTGTGATGATGAAATATAGAATGCCGCTTGCCGAAGTAGTAACCGACTTTTACGATGAATTAAAAAGTAGATCTTCAGGGTATGCCTCATTCGATTATGAAGATGGTGGATACGAAGATAGTGATTTGGTTAAGGTTTGTTAATTAAGCTTTCTTTTTCCCTTTTCTTGTGATACTTATAACTGCTTTATAGATGAACGTGCTTTTAAACTCTAAACCAGTAGATGCATTATCTGTAATTCTGCATCGTTCCCAGGTTGATATTGTAGGTCGGGATTGGGTAAAAAGATTGAAGGGGGTTATCCAAAGACAATTGTTTGATATCTCCATTCAAACAGCCTTGGGAAGCAAAATCATCGCCAGAGAATCGTAAATATTTTATAAAAAAAAACTTGTAGGCCCAGATTTTTTTTTTTTTATTAATTTGAAATTCAAATTTAGTATTTCTGCTTTGCGTAAAAATGTCACCGCCAAATGCGTAAGCACAAAAAGAGACACAAATCACAAATCACAAACTAATTATTTTTGTGTAGTATGGCGGAGATGCTTCCCGAAAAATGAAATTGTTACAAAAGCAAAAGGAAGGAAAGAAAAGAATGAAGATGATTGGTAAGCTTTGAGTTCATATTGATCTATTGTGGTACAATGTTTCTAATACTTTCTTTTTAAATAAAGGTAATGTCGAGTTGCCCCAAAAGGCATTCTACGACTTTATGGACAAAAGTAAAGCAGCTTAGATTTGTAATTTTATGTAAATACCCGCTAGAATGTACTGCTAAAATAAAAACCTTCCAGTACAATATGTATAATCATTGACTTTCTATTCTTTCATTGTCGTATGTCACCATTCAGTCTTAAGTAAGGGAAACACAAAGTGGCATCATTTTAAATATGCAACATGATATTTGATCTATTAATGCTCTCCTTCTGACATACATGCGTCTCTTGACATTGTTCATGAGATAGTATTAAAATTACCAACGTGTACACTTTTTTATAAATTATTTAAATGTTAGTCAGAAACTGATGTTACCAACAATAGATAAAATCTAGATCTTGTGTATTCTTCTATATCATTTCACATAGCATTAAATTTAGATCTTTCATGTTTATATTCCATTCTATTTCTTGGGTTTAATTCAATTGAATTGTTTTGATCTGTGGTGGAGAGCAAATTGAAAACAGAAAAAATTTAAAAATCGAAACATAAAATTACCAAGTCGAAATGACCTGATAAGTATCTTTATAAATTTTGGTTGCTATTCAGTCCGTTTGCTACATTGAATAATGACCCCTCCAATATTGGGTGCAAAAAAAAAAAAAAAAATTCTGGAAGTGTAAAACTTTTTCTGAGGTTGTGCGAGTAATTTTGAGAAAGTGTGCTTTTTTTTAATAAGTTGAGGTGTAACATTAATTTTGTATGCCCGCCATTAACCGGAGCCCATAGATCAAAAGAAACACTCTATTTTCGAATTCTATGTATGTAATCTAGACATAATTGGAAGCTTGACATTAACCTTTTCGACTTAAAGGGGTAAAATTAGACATTCATTATACTTCACGGAACAGCTTTATTTGGGTGTGAAATAAATTTTATTACCGAATTGTCAAATTGACAACTCGCTCTTCTTTCGAACTTTGTAATTAAATAAAAAAAAAGGGAGTGTCTGATGGTAATGGAAGCGATAGGAGCAAGATTGAATCTTAGGCATAGTAATTAAATTGATAGTAGTAGTAGTTATAGTAGTAGTTATTAAGTAGAAAGTTTAAATAGTAATGGTAGTATTAGGTTGTTGAGGTTGCAACTGTGCGGGTGTAAATATTTATAATGGAGTATGAGTTTGGTTATTCCCAATGTAACTGGGCCCTGTAAATTAAAATGCTGGTTTATGTCAACCCCTTTGGCGTTAGAGTAAGCTTGAGTGTGCTTCCGCGTCGGCCAGTGATCAAATCTTCAAGTTCCTGCATTTTTCTTTCTTTTTCGACATCCACAGCTACGTTTTTCTTAGGGACATTATATGTCTTAATTTTTCTTAATGGTGTAGATTTGCTAGCTTCCATGCATGGTTGTTCCAAGGACGCAAATGTAGCTGCAGCAGAAGAGGCCGAAAATGAGCTGCCTACCTTGCTACTACGACGTCTCTCCTTTATTTTAGTACGAAGAGACTTCCCGTGAGTCAATTCATTTTTTGGGGGCTTAATTGATATAGTGCTTTGTTGTTGTTGTTGTTTATAAATAACAGTGGATGAACAAGAATGTCTACGGCCGGTATTAGATGTTACGGCCATGACATAATCCTCTGATATTTGCTCTCTTGGATCGGTAGCAACTGTTCTGCGTGCTTCGGCGTTTCTTGACCTGTTAAGATTTCTTTCTTGTGTTCTATCTGGCACGAGGTCAAGAGGATGCATAGGTCTCTCAAATTCCCTTCTAACAGGCATCATTGTGCGACGTTGAGGTGCAGGTGAAAGAGAATTAGGTGGTGTTGAAGACCATGGGCTTCTTTGTTGAGGGATAGGAGGAGGAGGGGAGAGTGGTTGATAAAGCTCGTAGGGGATATCATTACTTTTATCGTTCGAGTAAATGCTGGTAAAAGCTGTTCGGGTGGGGGATACTAATGAATATATACTAGTGGAATGTTGAAGGATAGGTGGTGAAATTTGGAGATGCGCAGCAGCTTTTCGGTTTAATGTTGACGGCGCATGACCGCTATAAGCATCTATTTGTGGGCGGAATATACTTTTCAGCTTTATGCTTCTTTTTGTTCAGTATGTTCGAGCATTAAAATGAGTAAGGAGTGTAATAAAGAAAAAAATGAATAGGAAAAGAAGAAAGGAAGAAAAAAATTTAAATTTTGAGATTAATATATATATTCTTGGCTCTCTGTGTAAGGAACCGGGTTACCGATATTCCGATTAGATAAAAATAAAAGGAGGGTAAGTGTCGACATTACCAGTTATTATTTTTATTTAGCGGCGTTTATTGACACACGGGGAAGTTGAATGTCTGGAACCATTTGTTACACAAACTCAGCACCTTGTTAGCAGCCGATTTTCAGGCTGTAGTACAAGTTACATGTAATATTGTAACAACACTCATCACCCCATTTGTGTTGATTGAACTCCAAATTTACCCAATTTTTTTCGCCTAAGCCCCGAAAAAAAGTTTTTTTTTTAATAAAATATGACACAAGAATTACTTTCATGTCAGCGTATGCCACGTTTTATGACAATCTCATGATAATTAGCAAATTCTGTTATCAAGTCCTATCAACATGTTGAACCGTACAATTTGTCATATCTATTTATAATATGCAGAGATATCAAGTATTACACAATCTTTTTGTTTTTTTTTTTAAGTTTTATTATGATGAGGAACCACATGGAACACTGACGTATTTTGACGATAATAAACAATTAATATTCTTCCGCAAAAAAAAACTTTTTATCGTCCCATGTTTCCGGATATAGATGAAAATTACACAGCCTTCATTTGGAATCTTCTTGATGCAGGTTACTGTTCCATTGACGGGGTAATGACGACATCATCTCTTGTTTGACCAGGTAAAAAGGCCATGTTTCTCAAAAGGTAGAACCCCGATTTTAAATCGATAGCTCGTTCAATCAGATTGATCAGATTTGTCTCCCCTTCATATTAACATGCTCGTGAGGCAGTTTGTCATTATCAGAACAGCTCTAAAATGGCTACTTTGTGATACCAATTTCTAAGCCCGTAATTAAAAAGTTTCCGCTTGTCTCTGCCCGGATGGACCCTAGATTCTGAGCTCTCAAAGTCATTCACATGTATTTGCTGATTTTTTTAAAATGATCGTTGTAATTTTTAATATGACACAACAGTTTTATATTTTATGTTAAATCGGATGCGAATTTATCGGAAATACACAATGGTTGAATACAGGATTTTACTCTGAACAAGACGATATAAGTTTCTTTTTAGACGGATCCAGAGTTTAATTTAGACATGTAAAAGTTGACGCTGATTCTTTATTTATATATATATAGATATCAGCTGTAAGAATCCGAAGTATAACATATGCCAATGATTCATTATAATGTGCTTTTTCATGTCGGTGGTTGATTATCAAAATAAGAGTTCAGCTTTCGTACTTCGTTATTTGGTCCGTGCTTGCTGTGAGATGATTATATTACTACTTATAATGTTCGAACCGGAGGAACATCTGGTCGGGACCATCCAGGATAAACGGTGATACTTTCTTGGGCAATTCATTTTTGATCCAATTGAAGATGTTCTTCATGCTTGATGTCGATTTTTTTTTGACCATGTTCATCACATATTAATACACAAAAAACTAAATTGATATGCAAATCTTAAAGTAATATTTTGTGTAAATCGCGAAGTTTTTTTATTGATGAAAAATTCTATGGAATGAGGAATATGTAATCCACAGAGTTTAATTCATCAATCTCATTATTTTTTATAAATATAATTAGCGGTATAACGCACAAAAAAATCAGTGTGATAATAAGTATTATCCAAGTTTAATCAAAAGCAAAATGTTCGCAAAAGAAGTAATATTCAACATGTTCACATCCTTCATTAATTAACGTCTACACGCACCTCACACCATCGTTTAAAACAAAAAGAGGTCTCACCGAGAATCGAACTCGGATCACCGGATTCAAAGACCGATATGATAACCATTACACTATGAAACCATTGATATATTATTAAATATTTATTATTTATATATTTAACATACATTAAATATTTGTAATCACGTGATTATCACGTGTAAGTCTTTTTATTGGAGGGGCGGTATGACCATAGTAAGGGGTATTTTTTGAGAATGCTATCTAATTCGATGAATTTCGCATTTAATTCACGAAAATTCGGGTGCCCCTGGGCACCCGAATTTTTCGTCCCTTTTTTTTTTTTGCATATTTGAGCGTTTTTGAGAGCAAAAATGACACTTAGAAGAAAGAAATAGCAAGTTCGAGTTCTAATTTTAGTACATACTTCCATAGAAATAAAACGACATGCTAGCCAATAGTAACAGTAAAGGGCTGAACTTTTTTAGTTTATTAAATTAAGTAAAACAATATAATGAGCGTACATTTTTTAAAAATAGCAAAGTCTAATGCTATACTTTAATCATTGCGTTCGCACTTTAACTTCTAAATTCGCATGGAATATTTGGGACATTTCGACCTACTACATATCTACCTGTGCAATTATTACGCTGGCATTTTCCACACTTGTTTGTGCAGAGTATTCTTTTTGATCTACCTCCACAATCAATTTGATAGCAGACTTTACACATTTCGCGTCTTCTCTTTTGTGAAGGAGTTGTTACTACGGGCAAAGGGCTCAAAACAGACAAATTGGGCATAATAGTTCTTGCTACAGTTGGCGGTGGTCTTGTTAAAATATTAAGCTGTGGTCTTGCCAGAAGATACTGTGGTCTCATTACATTATTTGATAATCTTGTTACAGTAGTAACTGGCCTTGGCTGAATTGGTGTCACTAAAGGGTACCTTGCATCACGTTGCTCGCTAAACATCTGTGATATAGCTACAGAAGAAGGTTGTACAGGTCGAATGATAGCCGAAACTTTAAGACAATCATAACAACGTGTCGGATCTTGTGTTGCTGATCTAACGTACTGAGAGATGTTTATATTCATTAAAACAGTATTGCCGTATTTTTTTCTATCTTCGAGAATGTTATAATACGCATACAAATGCTCTTCAGTTTTGTAAAAAATACCATTGCCTGCTTGACAATAGCTGGACCAGAGCCTGGCAAAAATGTTGAACAAAATATTGTTTGAGTTTTCTGAAATAATCAAATCTCTTTGACTAACTAGAAGATTGTCAAAAAGATCAGTCTCTTCTTTAGTATGAACGGCTGTCACAGCAAAAGCAGTTCCCTGGCAGTGAGATAAAAAGCGGTATAGAAATTGTTTTCCAGAATAATCAATGTATGGAAGCTTAACTACGGGAAGAATACACAAATCAAATAACCTTTTTCTTGATAGCGTAACACCGACTGGAAAATTACTAGTGGCATAATCCAATGGCTGCATTTCATACTTTCTTGCCAATTCTAAGGGTAACTTCGTGATTCCAAACGTTTCTCTGGTTTGACTATACGAAAATGTATCACCGATACAGTTACCAAAATAGTTTTTAATTGGATCATGACCGAGTTTTACACGTAAAGTGTTAATAGCCTGAGATATCCATGGCGAAAAATGCCAGTTGTGAACTTTACCATGACGCGTAATGCTACCCATCTTAAATATATAGTTAGTACATTGATTGATCATTATTTAAAATACGAGCACCTACACTAATATTGTGAAACAATCTGTAATCAGATAGCACAGCGTCAGTTAATCTTGGGCCAGCGTTATACGAGGCAAATTTTCTTATAATGTTGAAGTGTACAGATCCTTCTACAGATGATGTACCTCTGCTACATCTATATCTCATCAATCCATGTTGATCCTCACCTATCTCTGTGTACAGAGCAGGACCACCGACTACATCGGAAACATTACCTTGACGAATTTCTTCCAATATACGATTTGATGTGGCTACAGCCTCGTCGTCAAACAGGGGTAATCCCGATCTCGAGCATAAACCGTTCTTGTATTTATCGAACACTAACTTGACCATAGTGTGGAGTTCTTCAGGTGGGGGAATGTACCTTCTGACACGGTCAAAAATGAACTTGGGGTCTACCAGCAATCTTGTATTCCAGTCGGTACCAATAGAAACCAAGTATGCCTCGACCTTTTGTTTGTCATCCGAATCAATCACAAATAGAGCATCACGAAATCTGCGAATAAAATCCTTACTTAATCCATGTCTCATAGATACCTTGATTAGGTCTAATAAATGAAATGCATCTTTAAGGACCCTCGAAGGGACAGGTGGAGATTTGTTTGGAGAGGAAGACGCATCAATAATACTATCATCCTGATCGGCAACAGGAGGATCCACTGGTACCAGAGACAATAGATAATTGTGTTCAGAAGCCGTAAGTAAATTTGCTCTGTTAACCGAAATGATAAACCTTGGCTCCCCAAAGTCATCAAGTGACAAATTGTTTACATAGCGATCCAGAAGTATACCTGGAATTAAAACCTTGACCACCTCCATTCCAATCAAATACTGACTTCCTGGGTAAAGCAACTGATCACTTTTTGCTACCGCTGAATCTACTAACAGTACATCACGTAAGTAACCTAAGGCCGCGGGAAAAGCTTTATCTGCAGATGAAGCATACAAAGCTACAAATGTACCAGACGGGGTAGACATATCGACTTGTTTTCTGACGGTTTGCAAATTTTTTAACTTTTTGTAGACTTCAAGAGATACATAAGCGTCAACAGCAGCGTATTGTATATGCTCAGGTGAAAGAAAGTCCATTTCCCAGTTGCTTTTTCTCACATCTCCTGGCTTCAACATATTTAGATTTAGAACCTCACCACATATTCTTTGCAAGGAATAAGTTCTTCTAGTTGCCATTTCCTTGTCATAGCAAAGAGTACCAATATCCAACTGACCGGGAGCATTGTTTATGTTGTATTGCTCAAATTTTCTTAGATCTCCACCAATCTGTCTGCCAACCTTGTTAATTTTTGAAGATTCAATTACTTGTCTCAACTTTTCTGGAAATGTGACCGCATTAAAAGTGTATGTTCTGAATAAGTATATTGAGTCGCCATGGTAAATCTGTACTAGAGCTACAGGAACAGGAGAGCCACTTAATCTTGCGCGGGCACCAACTGGGTAAGCAAAAGCAGGAGTCCATTCTATATCAAATCCTACATATATACTTTGACCTGGACCGCGGACCATATCCAAAAAAATGTCACAGGCTGTATTTATATCTTGCTGCGTTTCAAGTACGGTCACACTAACATTGGCAGGAATGGTTGCCACAGGGTAGATACTGTACGGATTATTTCTTATAATCAATTCGGCTTGAGAAGCTCTAACATGAACAACATTTTCTGTGAGTGATGGAATAACCTCCTCCAAAAAATTTCTATCCCCAGTAACATTATCAGTATAAGCAACTTGAGGCATATCCGAATTGTACTTCCGATAGCTATCCATCATGTTATCAAACGAAGGACGAAGACAGCTATGGCTTTTTGAAGGTACAAGAAGCTGCATTCGAATTTCACCGTATTCATTTAAAACTGTAAATAATCCGACAAAAGTGGAAACGCTGTTGACTTTACCCATGTGCTTGATTATTTTAAAACTGTGATCCAATTTAAGAATAATGCCACCGAGTTGCGCTGTATGCTGATCAGTAAATAAGCGGTACTCAGCAACCAACGAGCTATACACGTAACTCAAGTAATTGGAAGAAGGAATATAGCCGTTATATTTCATCTTATCAAAAAAATCAGAGAATTGTTCGAATTGCTGAGGACCATTTCCATTTAAAAGCTGTGATGCCACGTTTGGTTTAAAATTGCTGATACCACTGTAGTACACAAATTGCAGCTCGTCAAATCGTTGAGTGTGCATGATACGAATAATTTTGCTTAGTCTATGTGGACCAATGCCGTGTTGAAAGAGAGGTCGCATTGTGTTTGAAAGCTCCTTTGAAATCCCAGATTTGTGAGTCAGAATAGCTGGGAATGCTCTTTGATGACCAACATTGAGCTGTTTGATGATACCTTGATCATACCCGCTGAATGTTTTTTTGCATCCTGCCCGAACACATCGGTAATTCATGCTCATCAAATAGAAACAACTGTACAATAATATTTGAGCAATTGTGTTCTTTAATGTATGCGACAATATGAAAATACACTTACTCAAATTGATCTATAATTCTTCTGGCTTTTGTTTTTTTCACAAATTCCTTTCTTTCCAAATTAGCGGTTCTACATTCAGGGCATTTCAAGTGGACTTTGCTCAAACCGTTGGGTTTTTTGCCGGTTAAAAGATCAGGGAGCCAAATGAAAACTCTTGGTCGATAGAACAAATCTGGTTTTGTTCGAGTATCATAATCAAATCCTTCATACTCAACATCCACCCAGTACGTTTTTCGTTGGTACTCTGGTGGTGTAACACCACCTTTAAGTCTATTCTGAATACTGGTAGATATTTCTCGGTATGGCTATCTTCTAAAGTACTCCCACCAGCCTCTTCATCTACAATCTCAAAATCTTCAGCAGTGTACTCATTTTCAATAGAATCATCCACATAATGATCACTAACGCTGTTGGGTGCTGTCTGAATTTCTTCTTCCGCATCACTTTCAGTGCCCTCAATATTATCATCTTGCACTGCAACAACATCCAAAATTTCTTCATTCTAAGATTTAGTAGATTCGTAAGTGTTTATGATTATATTTATGTAAGTAGCTTACCAAAGTGCCGACATCTTCTTCCATATTTTGATCAGTTACGGTGTTAGGCAAGATATTCCCGTTCTGTAAGTATAATGTTAATGTTTTGAATTGCAAGGAAAAAATGTATGTGTTACCCCATTATGGTCACTAGCAGCTGCAATACTTTCAGTCAAATTGCTATTGCTGACACTCACAACATTGTCACTGGTAGAAGCATAGGCCTCTCGATCTTCTTGCATACGCGAAGAGGTAGCAGCTCCTGTATTAAAAATGGCCATTTTGTCAAGTCTTTGTTGAGTTAGACCTGGATGATCCATCAAACGCTTAGGTCCTGGTCGTAATGCATGAGGATCTCTTTTTGAACCTGGTCTAGGTCCAGGTTTTTTCTTGGAAGCGCCATCATTTTGGTTAGAGGGACTACCGCCGAACATTTTAATTTTTTTTCGAAAAGTATAAATAAAAGAAGAGACAGAGAAAAATGTGTAGCTTTTATTTTTGCGTATTTAAGCTGTCAAAATAGGTTTATTTGTTTACAAAAGAATTTGAAAGTTAAAAAAAAAAAGCATTTCAGGGTGCTGCAGGTGGTATATTTTAAACTGCGTGCGGTGTAAGTATGTCGAGTTTCCTTTTCGGTTTACAGCGGTTCTGGCATTCTGGTTGGCTCCCTTACAGCGGTTCCGGCTTCCTCATTGGCTCTGTTACAGCGGTTCCGGCAATATTATTGGCTAAAAAGCCCCTTACTACAAGCGTACCGCCATCCACTGGTCGGGCGGAAAATTAGATATGTTACAATGTGTATGTACGCACACACATATATTGTATTTTTTATGTGTGCCGTAAACACCAACTTAAAATGCAGCTTCATATCTAGATAATCGAAATCATTCAGTTTACTAATGCATACACCATCTTAGAGTAAGTAGCTTATGTTTTGCATGAAGAACAAAAATAAAAATAAACCAAAAGTGATACTGTTTAGAACTTGGATACCACTTTATTATGGACGAAAAAAATATTAATTAAAAAACGTATTGAAAATTGTATTCATGGTCTATGAGAAAAAAACTATGGATATTTATATAAAGAACTGGGATAGTTCTAGGGAGAATATTAAGCGCCTTATTGGATCATGATGTAATAATCTGGTGATAGTAAATAATCAACATGTCTTTAAATTTAGCCCTTCCATACTGAGTATATAAATATTAGTCAGAGGGATCAACAGTTATAACATCAAATGACAATAGTCATATTTGTGCTTAGGATCTATTAATATTCCATAGTCCAGGCCCATTCGATTGTATTGCTTTTTGCAGAATAAACATTTACTCGCCACAGGGTGGTGCCCTGTGTACAGACTTCAATGGTAGGATGAGAACAAGCGGGGTAATGTGTGACTCATGATTAACTTTATTATTATATCTATGATATCCTCAACAAGAGCAAATCTACTTTTCTTCCCATTCTTTTACTCTCCATCTTTTCCTCTCCAGCTATAACTCTTTGTGCGTTACGACCAGCAGAGGAGGACTTGCTGGCCTTTTCCCCTCTATATTATTTCAAAACAGAAAATAATTAGTAAATAAAAATCATGTTAAAGTTAAGCATTTATACAATACCCTCGGCAATCAAGCTTTGAATAGTCAAAGGCAGTATCAACAAAAAAGCAAATTCGTCGAAGTATGTCGCCTTCTGTTTGCGCTGATAAAGGTAAGTAATTACATTTGAAGAGATGGATATATTGGAGAAGAGAGGATCTTATCCATTCGCAACCAGGATAGCTTAACTCTTGTGTCAACATTGATTTCAACATAGTAACGTTTTGGCACTCACGAAGTTTCTTTATATAGTCTTCAATTGTAGAAGGCAAATCTACTAGTACTTTCTTTTGATGATTCTTGATTTCTTGAATTTCTTCAGGTGTAAAGTACTTCAACCAGCTTTTGTCACTGACATCTAACACCATCGAATGCACAGGGCTAGAAGCAAAGGCTTGTGAGTTTGTCATTATCTTAAAAATAATACATCTTTTATACTTACTGCTCAAAGTTGCACTCAAGTGCAAACATTTTCATTTGTTGCTCGACGACTGTACCTGTAGACAGTCTCCACATTTTAGTTCCGTCCAACTTGGCAAACATATCTACTACAATTCCTTTTTGAAGAGGTGACAATTTGATTTGCTTGCTGCTGCTTGACGAATAAAAATCTAAATTAGTGGGTGCTGTTATACTTGAAGAACTTGAGGAAGAGCTCGTATTGGCAAAGTTTTGAAATTGTTTGATAACGGGGTGCATTAATCCAAGTCGCTTATCATTAATTAGCATTGAAATGCTTTCCCAATTAGGGCGACTTTTATTCTACGAACAATTTTAATTTCAATGCTAAATTTACATAAGTGATATTGGAAATGTCTAGACCTCCGTATTTTTTTCAAACGTATTTTTTTTATACTACTTACAGAAACTCTGGCCAGAAGACCAGCAGGCCAGTATGTTTGCACCTATTTAAAATGCATCCCTGCTATTCACAGTTCGTGAGTTCCAAAAACTCAAGAAATCTGCCTAGGAGGTAGCCCTCCTATAGCAAAGACTAGCCGCAGCCGCAATATCACAATATATCTTTTTCAATTTAGCTTCTTTTCAAAGAAACAAGAGTCGCTACTAAACAAACTTTTTTCCGTGATCCGTTACTTTCATACGATAAAAGAAGTATGTTAAGGGAAAAGAAAAGGAGAAGAATAAAGTGTGTGAACCAGCTTTATTTATAGATAAACAAGCTTATGTCAGGATGATTTGATTTGTCTATTTTATCATCCATAATGTTTGAGCCTTTACTTAAAATAGAAACACTTGTAAAAACCTCCCAAGCAAGTCAGAACTTGGTAATTGTCTATCTGCGTTCCAGTAGTAGCTTGTACTGACAAAGAAGCATATTTTATGGAAAACAGAAAACGATCATTCTATGAAGTTTAGATGATATGGCATGTCAATCGACGTGTAGATCATCACGTGATTTTAAAAAATACGTTTGAAAAAAATACGTTTGAGAAAAATACGGAGTTCTAGACATTTCCTTAAAATAGTGATTGAAGTGCTGCGAGAGGTAGGTACAATAGCTTTCGCAGGCTTGCCTTTCTTTGATAAACCTCTGTTACGGGTGATATTGATGCTAAATCCTGCTTCGTCTATGAAAACGCAATTTTTTTCAAAGTCCCTATCCTCGTTAGTAATCCACTTCTCTACCGACTCTCGACGTTAAGTGATTACATCAATGTGGTTTCGTCTTGCAGGTATTTTCTCAAGTCTTTTCATAGATAAAGCACATCTTTCTCTCATAAATCTATGCAATGCTGACTTACTCACCTGAATATTCTCATCCGAAAAATGATTCGTCAAATCTTCCAGAACTTGAGCAAGTACAGCAGTAGGTCTTTCGTCGATATGCTTGATGATCCAGTCGGTCTTTTAATTTGAATCGCAAAGGTGGGCGGAGTTTTCAAAACGTTGGTAAATTGAGAGTGGAAGCACTGCACCATTGGTTCACTACAATCAGGGGCCAGAGTGCGAAAAAAAAAAAACCCTTTTTTTCCATTTTTTTTTTAAAACGATGGAGACAACAATCGACGAACTTTTAATACCTTTGCATGTCAAATACATACAGTCTTTGGACACACGAAAAGATGACTTAGAGTACTGGCTGACCGAACATTTACGTGTCAACGGCATTTATTGGGGATTGACAGCGCTTGATTTAATGAATAATATTGATGCTTTACCGAGAGACGAAGTCATTGCTTACGTTAAAAGTTTACAACAAGAAGATGGTGGTTTTGGGGGAGATAAACACCACGATTCTCACATGACACACACTTTATCAGCAGTTCAAATTTTAATAACTTTGGATGCTATTGATGCCATCGATGTGGAAAAGGTTGTTAAATGTAAGCCCATAGTGACAACCTGAGAAATGAGACAAAGGAAACTAAAGAGTATATACATAAATAGATGTGAAATGTCTGCAGAATGAGGATGGGTCCTTTAAAGGAGATAATTGGGGAGAAGTGGATTCAAGATTTTCTTACATTGCCTTGAGCTGTTTATCGCTGTTGAAACGTCTAGACGCAATTAACGTGGACAAGACAGTGGAATGGATTTTAGAATGTAAAAATTATGATGGTGGGTTTGGAAGTAGACCTGGTTCAGAATCTCATTCGGGTCAGATATTCTGTTGTGTTGCTGCTCTTTCGATTGCAGATGCGCTTCATCATGTGGATTCGGATTTGTTGGGCTGGTGGCTATGTGAACGACAATTAAAAAATGGCGGATTAAACGGTAGACCAGAAAAATTAGAAGATGTTTGTTATTCGTGGTGGGTATTATCCGCACTTTCAGTATTAGGAAAGGTTCATTGGATAAACAAGGAAAAGTTATCAAAGTTTATTCTGTCTGCACAGGATCCAGAGAATGGCGGTATTTCCGACAGACCAGGGGATATGGTGGATGTATTTCACACACTGTTTGGTGTGGCTGGATTATCCTTGTTGGATTATCCCGGTCTCAAACCTGTCAATCCAGTGTATTGTATGCCTCAGCATGTCATTGACAAGCTAAATCTTTAAAAATAAAATAATTTGCAGTGAACCTAGATCGTATTCAGATCATGAGTTTTTTTTGCATATATAAAGGAGTTTTAAAAGACCAAAACTTATTCTTTCTTCAACTTAACCAATATGTCATTTAACGACTTAGAGCAAGGCCTGCATTCACCAGACGATTCTCCCATACAATTTCCTACAAGCAACTCCACAACAGGTAGCAAAAGAGAAGTATTGAGATGGTTTTTTTTAAGTACACTAATCTCCATTTCTAATAGGCGACGACCGAGACTACAAAGAATTAACACAACGAATTGCGCAACAAATATTTCATATAAATGGCAATATTAATAGTATCGAAAGGCTAGTCAACTTACTAGGCGGTCCTAGAGACACCAGTGAAATACGAGGAAATTTGTAAATGAAAGCCATTACTTTTTAGAAAAAAAAAAAAAAGACTTAAAGTTCATTTGTAGACACGACGTTACCAATGCTACTCGTGAACTTATCAAGGACTCTACACAGGACTTAAAGTCTCTTTCGCTACACCAAAGTTTAGACTCAAAGAAGAACGTAAGTGCTTGTATACAGGGAAACAACATGGTTTACTTAAATCCCGATCGTAGCGACAGAGACGGCTAGAACAACAAAAATTATCCAAAGATTTTCAAAATGTATTGAACAGTTTCCAAAAAGTGCAAAGGGTGTCTGCTTCTAAACAGCGTGAATACGTGGACAAGGCAAAAGCTACAACAGTCATGCTTCAGTCACAAGTAATGTAAGTGTTATTGATTCACAAAATATAGATATGTTGCTTAATGCCAAAAACTTATTTAGTGAAGATACCGAAGAGAATCAAGGATTGAATATCATGAGTAACCAGCGTCAGGCTCAATTAGAGACACTCGATAGTGAGATTGAGTATAACGAACTTTTGATATCTGAAAGAGAAGGAGAAATACAGAATATCGAGCAAGGTATCACTGAATTAAACGAAATCTTCCGCGATATGGGTATGCTGGTGAACGAACAAGAAAGTGGTATCCGTAAGTTGTACAATGTATTACAGTGATAAAGGCATAATAATTTATAAATTCGATTTACATCTATAGAAAGTATTTATGGTAACGTACTAAACATTGCGCAGAATACGAGACAGGCTGCTGATGAACTTGTGATTGCCAACCGACATCAAAAGAGCGCAAGAAGAAACATGTGTTGCTTTCTTCTTATCATAACTATCGTAGGCTGTTTTTTAGCATTAATAATACTCATTGCAAAATAAATAGATTTTATTTTGAGATAGATAAACTTTCCATAGCTTGATAGAGATACTTCTTATTAGCTTCATTGTCTGACAATCCCATATCCTCTATCTCTTCTCCATCTTCTTCAAATCCAGTCAAAAGAGGATCATTCTCATATGTAGGAATTAAGAACCTGGGATCCTTCCAAAATGGAGCGTCCATTGGAACAAAATTTTTGATACAATCACTCTCCTTGAAATGATTTTCTAAATCAGTTTCACTTTCCAGGCTTTTGTGACACGAAAAACATTTCCCGAGCGATGATTGATGACGAATATAGTTGATTAATGCAATGATCTGATAAAAGTTCAATTCTAGAGTATTGCATTAGAAAATGTATCAACCATGTGTTCATTTATGTGATATTATACCTTTCTCTTTTCTGATCTTAGGCAAGTCAAAGTCATGCTCAGATTTCATGTGAGCAAGTGCTTCTTTTGGGCTAGTGGATACATTTGTGTCGAACAAACACATTGTAGATTCCTGCACATCCTCCTCCCAGTCTGCCCATGATCTATGTTTTATATTTCAAATCAATATTTTAAATCCCAATGAAGGTCCTTTGTATACTTTACTCGTCACGCTTTTCGTCATCACTCTCGTAATTATCATTTTCAAAGCTTTCCCAATTTTTACCCGGTTCCAAATAATTGATGACATAAAAACGGTCATACTGTCTGTTTTTAGATGCGATCTTGAAATGCTTCTTCTTTCTCATGTGTTTTCGCAAGACAGCAGGGCTCGTGAATGTTTTTTCGCAATACAGACATTGGAGGCTTTTTAAATCATGTCAATACACAGCTAAAAAAATTGCGCAGATATAACTTACTTTGATAGCTTTGCTTCTAGTGTATCCAGGAATTCATTGACATGAACAAGATTGTCGGGTAAGCCAATATTGAAGTTATGTTCCGCAAACATGTGTCTAAATAAGATGGCTCTATTTTCGCAAATGTTTTTACAGAATAGGCATTTTCTGGAAGCTTTCGAGTCTGTTTCACGTTCATTTTGTTGGGTTTTCAAGACTTCGTTCTGTCAAAAAAAAAAAAAAAGAAAAAAAAAGAAAGACTTTTAACACACGATGTCGAATCCAGTGGCGCTCAACATACCAATTTAACACGTTGCATATCTTCTCGGATTTTCTTATCCAAGTCACAGCTCTCGGGATCAATTACGTAAACTAAAATTTCTTGTTAACAAGGGTGTACTGCTTGCATAAATTATCTTTTTCTTACCATTACTGTCATCACTATCAGGTTGAGCATAATCAGTAATTGACTTCTTTTCAAACTCTTTGGCCCAACGATTTAAATAAGAATCAAGAGCCATGTACATGTGGTGAAGATTTTTGAACATGAGGTGATGATCTTCCTTCAAATGCTTGACAAGTGAAGTCGTGTCCATGAAGGGAATGGGTGATTCACAGCCTTCGAGTGGGCAAGAAATAATTATGCTAGTGTGGTAAGGTGGAACAGGTAAATCAATGGGATCGACTTGACCGTCCTCTTCTTCCTCATCGGACTCATCGTCTTCAGCTGCATGAAAAGGGTTGACTGATTTTGTAGACGAGGCTGCTTTGCTTTGGTCTTTGTGAGTAGGCACTGCTTTGCTATGCTCTTTGTGAGTAGGCACTGATTTCTCTTTTGTGGGTTGCTTCGAGGAGGCTTGCTTGGGTGGAGTTATTCTGTGTCTGGACTTGCGCCGAGCCCTGGAAGGTTGAGGTTGAGAAGGAGGGGCTACTGTAGCAGCGCCTTTGTTGTTTGTTACTGTGTGCCATTCACCGTCTTCTGCCATTGTATATTATAGAAGGAAGAAGAAAAAACACTGGGCGTGGAGATAAAATGTTTTTTATTTAGCCAATCAAATGGGCGTTTAAACTCAATCGAAAACTTCCTGTCACCATGCCAATGTTTTGGAAACTGACACAAGTATTTTTTAGGCCGCTACACTTTGATGTACCAGCACTAAGTTAACTTACATTACAACGCGTCATAAATTGATTCGATTTGGCTTACTCGTTTTTTTTAGAGTGGTATGTAGAATAAACATAAAAGGGAAGTTTGTGATAACACATGGGAATCATTGATGGATTTTTGTGCTATATTGGGATCAGGTATGAAGGGAACAATAGCATTGTCAAGTTAAAGACAATCCCTTTCTTTAGTATAACATAAGGACCAAATTCTATTTTGTTTATTACGATGATATTTTGCGAAAATGTCAATAAGATGGATTTATTCTACGACCTTGGCAAGAATTTCAGAATCACGGAATAAGAGATATTCCTATTTATAAGAAAAGATTAATAAATGCATCGACATGGTAGTGGGGGGGGGTTTATTCTTACCTCGTGAGAGACCTTGACAGGGATACCACCGTAAGGAGGAAGGATGATCTTGTCACCAACGGAGACTTGGTTGGGAATATGCTTACCATCCTTATCCAACAAACCCTTACCAACAGCAATGACATTTCCTTGGTTAGGAGCTTCTTGAGCTTTCTCGGGGATGTAAATACCAGCAGAAGTTTTCTATAATTCACAATTTAGATACGGCTTCCCTTTGACTATCCAATTTTATTTAATTTTACCTGTTCGGGCTTAATACGTTGAACTAAGACGCGATCGAGAAGAGGAACAATGTTCTTGAGCTTGGTAGAAACAGACTGTATAAGAAATATTTAGTTCCAAAGGTGCTTTGATTTTCTATGATCCCATTAATATATTTTACCATTTTGAAAGTGCAGAAAGAATAAAAAAGAATTTTTTTCCTGCCCATGGAAATATACCTACACTCAGGGTGACCAATAATAGATGTCAAGGATAATCAATTAAGCGCATCATTGTTTGTGTACGGTGTTTTTTTAGCCACTTGAATCAATAAAAGGGTGTACGCATGAATCCCGAGGTTGCAGTATGTAATCAAGATGTAATTCATCACATGTTTTTACTGATAAACCAGTAAAAAAAAAAAGGTAATGGAAAATGCACAGACGACATGTTTTATAAGTTCCGATAAGAGTACTTTTCTTTCCCCTTTTGTAAACTTTTCTCATGTCAAAGAAGAACTTAATAAACCTCATAACGCATTGGCGTCCTTCCAATATACTAGAAAGAGATGGAAAGACAAAAAAGTTTTGTCTGATTGTTCTCAACCAGCCCATTCATCACGCAGACATCTTTCACCGGTTATGGAACAATGGTAAACCACACAAAACTTGCACATGTTCTCATTAAGTATTTACAAGGAAGTAGCTTCATTCAAATTTGTTGCTGATGGAGGCTCAAACAGGTTATACGACGCGTTCAAGCACGATCAGAAAATTTTAGAACAGTAAAGTTAAAGCAATATGTTCTATTTGTTTTGCACACGTTTGTTCAGTTATTTTGCTTCTAGGTATATTCCGGACGAAATCCGAGGAGATATGGATTCTATTCGACCTGATGTTAGGGCATACTATGAATCTAAAAGCGTTACAATTACAAAAGTATCTGAACAGGATTCAACAGATTTTATGAAATGCGTCTCTCTGCTGCATGAAAAGGAAGCTTCTCAAGGACAAATCGTATGTACGTACAACATAAATTAGGCACATGGAAATTAACGTGGATTTAGTATGATATTGTTGCAACGCCAGCATTAGGTGGTAGATTTGATCAAACAATAGCTAATATTAACATATTGTACATGATGAAGGACCAAATAGAAAGACGATTTATATTAGTGAGCGATGAAAATTTGACAATGCTATTGGACAAGGTAAGAATCATACAGTGTGAATTTGTAGTTCTTCAGAAAGCTAAAGGTGTATACTAGGGCAAACATCAAATACATTGCCAGCCAGCGTTAGAAGGTAACCCATTACCTTGTAAAAAAAAAAAAGTGTGCAACGTTGACATTGTTTAATAGGACCCACTTGCGGTATAATGCCAATAGGATCACCAGCCACTATTACTACTAAAGGCCTTAAATGGGATATGGGTAACTATGTAAAGTTTTGTCAATATTTACATCTAACACTTCCTTCAAAGCTGACTTGAAATGTGAGTTTGGTGGCATGGTCAGTACATCGAATGCTGTAGACAATGAAGTTATTGAAATTGTAACAGATGCTCCGGTTGTGTGGACAATCGAGATCAATCTTCAATGACAAAACCATCTTGAAACTCAGTAGCAAAAAAATAAAAGGGCGGGGTTTCCCCCAGTCCTTTCAATCATCCCTTTTTGTAAACTTTCCCTTTCTCGCTTCTTTTCTTTGCTTATTAAAAAATTCATTTTCACAATGGATGAGTTAAACTCGCCACAGCAGTCATCTATCAACGACAATGTCTGTTTGTTGAATCGAGAAACATATTGTTTTGAGCCTAAGGCAGAGGATATTCTGACTGACGAAGATCTTTTAGATCTTTTTCGTATAATCAAACAAGTATTGCGTAAAAACCCAGATCCAGAAAAACTGGCGAAGCTTTTATTTTGCATGTTTTATGCATTAGGCGACTATATAAAGTTCACAAAACATTGTCATGAAGATCGTATCTTATTTCGGGACAGACATTTAGGCGTACATGCTGTCCGGTTACCCAGCACCAGTTCCTGTTGTAGCAATAGTAATAACACCGTACCTTTTTATCAAGTACAAAAGTTATTGCCGTCCTTAAACCAATCCTTTCTTCCTATACAAAGAGCTACTGAAAAAGATTCGGTTCAAAAATGGATAGAATCGTCATCTCAAAATATATCAACAACAAGGCTTCCCGCGGTTCCTTGCCCCACAATTCCACAGCAAGATATCGCATCTTCTTTTCCTGATTTATCCAATAGAAACAATCTACTGGCTACAATACGCTCTTATACAAACCTTCGCCCTTTATATAACTCCACACCATCGCCTTCGTCAAGTGTGATCAGCAATGGCACATCAGGCGCCGGTTCGCCCTTAAATAATAATAGACAATCTACGTCTTCACCCACTACGTCTTCGACAGCTCATAATCTACAGCAACAGATTGTCGAAACAGTAGAGTCTAAAAGAAAAGATTATTCTGATCAAATTGTCTCCAATACCCCACAATTCAATACACCTATTCCACATGCCGACGTAGTCATGGAACCTCAGCAGCGTGGATTCTATTATCAAGATGGCCGTATCTTACGAGAGCCTGCATCACTACAACGATATGCTGAACAAGGTATTCTTACCCAAGCTTCATTAATGCGTAAACGGAAGAAACACAGCACAGATTCTTTATCCGAGCCATCTTTTATTCCTTTAAAAAAGCCTAAAATTCCACATCGACACGGTGGATTTGAACGAAGACGTAAGCAACTGGTAAATGTATACAGAAACAAGTATTTAACATCCATTTTTTTTTTTTTTTGAAGGAGATGATATTATCAATCGTTTGAGAGAAATTACAGTGGAAGAATTAGATCAAAAAGCACAAAGAATGCCGAACCCATTTACTTTAGCTATCGACCAGTCTTCCATAAGCGCAGAGGATGCATTATCCGCAAGTACAGGCAGTGAATCGGTTATAAAAGAAAAGATTGCCGAACTTTTAAGGCCTGCACTTTGCATTTTAACCAATCACTCAAATATGAAGCCACATCTGGATAACGGTATGAACCAAAATGGAATCTATTACAATACAGATTATTTTCGATTATACCTAGCTTTTAAGCAATTTCAAGAAGCTTTTGCAATGCTGCTCCCAGAGGAAGTAGCACCCGAAGAAGCTTGTGAAAATGAGAACTTAGCGGCTAGCTCTAATTGCACAGAAAAAGACAAGGATCGTGAAAGAAATGCAAATATGAAAGCGTACCGCTCATGGATTGAACCTTTATTGACTAAAACAAATTGGGCTGCATTCAGAAGAAACATTGTTGTGGGGGAACGTATCATGCAACTCACTAAAAGCATTGGCCAAGGAGTATTATTAATGACTAAAGAGCTGAGTGGGTCAAAGTTACACCTAACATTCACCAATAGTGAATGGGATGAGTTTATTCAAGGTCTAAATTCAGGAAAGTGGGACAGCACTGTTGAGTGGGAAGATGGATATGACAATCAAATTCATAAAGACACTAAATCTCAATTAGTTGCTTCATTACGGAAAACCTTTGCTACACCTTATTGGTTTGATTCGTCTGGTCTGATGGTATCCTCTAAAAAGCGTCGTCTGGCTATTCACGAATCAAATATACCCTCGAATAATACTAGCCTCATGCACCGAAATTCGGTGGAACCTTCTTCTAAATAACACAGTCGCATCTTTAAAGGACTCATGCATGTATTATAAACCAGAGCGCACCAATTACTTTTGTATTACCGCATTAAAATTACTATAAAGAAAAAACTTATGTGGTAATAATTCTGCTTCATATGATAACATGATGACTTTTGCACAGTGTCCCTTTTTGTTTCGTAAGGAACAGCCTACTTAAAATGACTATATCCCTGCCTCATACACAGATTTTTATAACGAAAAAAGTAAGCCCTACATTTAAATTTCTATGACATGCAAAGTATCGGTTAGTATCTATATTATACGCCTCAAAACAAATCAGTTATGCATGGATTTTCCGTCTGGAACTTTAATAAAGTCATAGCATTGTCCAAAGTTGGGTCTGTTCACACGAATTTTCGTTATCTCATAAATAGCTCGTAAATTTATCCGATAGTCATAATTTTCGAGTTAATTTATCCTTTTAACGTTTCTTCCGACATACTAGCTAAGATTTCACGTTAGTTGAAGCTATTAATAGTTAGCGAAAAGAGAAGTTACGGTGGGTTTTGGTTATGCAAGATCCAACTTTTTATATAGGGACCATATATTTATCTGAAACATTCTTTATCCATAATCGTGTGTTTCCCCCCTTTCGATTCATTAATTATTCTATAATGCAAAAGAATAGTAGCTACTACAGAAGTAATTAGCTAATCTTGGGCGACTTGTTACATTTCATGCTTTTAAAAGTGTGCATTTATCCAATCATGAGGCATTATTACCAGGTATATTTTGTATATTTTTCTTGCCCCAAACCTTAAATACATTGGTCAAAGACTCTATTTGTTTGTTATTAAGCTCATCAACGTGGTATAGATGCCCCATTTGTAGCAATCTCAACGCTAGGTGCATGCGTTTATACGCCAATTTGACAACCTTTCAAACTTAAACCTTTCTTTTTTTTTTTCAAAAGTAATAAATTATAGCAGCACCAAGGATTATAAAAGTAAGAAGAAAACGTATAATGACGTGCAACAATAGGCATCTCCTTATTTTAGCAATATCATCGAACTTTATTGGTAAATATCGTTAAAAAGTAACGGTATTATTGTTGGTGGGGAAACCATATTGCCATTAATGGAAGATCAATTGTGGAGTATGGGGAACCAATTTACAGTAGAAGGAGAAGGAAAAAGGGGACGTGGGTGGGGGTTGGGGGGTTGGATTAAGGGGAATAACATTGTTATAGTGAGTCTTGATCTGTGATACCATCGTCATTTATAATAGACTTTTTCACTGATAAAATATAGTCACCGAATCAAGTAATTTTATTGTTTGCTTTTTCATGACGTCAATAAGTTTTTATTATTATTTGCCACAGTCGTGTGGCTGTATATAAATAATATATATAGCACGCTGTTATCAATAAAAGAAATATGTCTGTGTGTAGAATACGATTTTTCTTTCTTTCTTGTTTACTATAGAACAAAAATAAAAGGGGAGATAGAAGATGGGAACGTTTTATATAAATGTATGTAATGAAATTTCCTAAAATTATAAATATGTCAAATTATTATACAACTCCTTTAATCTTTGTGTCTCCTTGGAGATTCAGCGTTTTCTTCGTACGCCTGCATAACCCTTATTTCTCAAATATGAATATCAAACCAGCCCTTTACTAAAAAAGCAAAGACTAAAAAAAAAAAAAAATTACCTATTGATTTCCTTTAGAAAATACCCAATCTTCAATGGAACACGCTGCTACTAAAGATAGACACAAATCATTTTTATTTTAAAAAACGCCTCCTTCTTTTCTTTGGACATTTTGGATTACTTTCTCTTCACCTCATGTTCCCCTTTTCCCAATCTCTCCTGAAATAATATAAAAAGAACTGGGAATATATCTGAACATTTCTTTTCCTCTATTATCATTATTATCTCTCAATATTTAAATGCCTTTCTATATAAAACAAGAGGTCAATGAAAAGACAGCAGAAAAACCACGACCGTATCAATGCCCAGTTTGTCCTAAAGCCTTTGTAAGATTAGAACACAGAACTCGTCACATACGTACACACACTGGCGAAAAACCACATACTTGTTCTTTTCTGAATTGCGACAAACGATTTTCTCGTTCCGACGAATTAACTCGACACACTCGTATTCATATTACACCTTCAAAGCGAAATACTGAAAGAAGAAGCACGTCTACTCTGCTGCCTCCTCCTAAAAGTAATTATAGATCCAAGACTGCAAATCACAAAGTCGCATTCACAAGATCAACAGATACTGAATTAAAATCATTAACAGATAATAACCACCACCATTATTATTCATCTGACTCTGATAGTGATCACATGTTTACCCCCGAGAGCTCACCCAAGCTCGGTCCCTTTCAACCCCATCATTCCAAGTCAAACTTGACACTACCCCCTCTTTTGATAGGTATGCGTAAGCCGCATTTTGTGGATTGCCCTGCTCTTGAAAGTCATTATTCTGCATCAAACCATAATACCGATTCGTCTGATGCTCCACATTTACCATCCATTAAATTCTTATTAGGATAGACCTCACACCAATATAATTCCATAAAACCCCCGCATTTGTAAATAATAAACATTCACAGTAATAACTCTTTTTTTCAACCAGTGGACCATGTTTATCGTTTTGGAAATCCATCCACAAACTTAGTCCTCGAGAAACATGCGCTTAATTTAGCTCAAGTCCAAAACCTTAAAGTTTTCGTAATATGCACGACTTTAATTTTAAAAGACAAAGTATATTTGCTAGCTATATAGTACTTGTTTTGATTCTGATCTCAGTATCTTCATCAAATAAATCATTCCTCATCAGATCCGTTTTTAACTCTTCTAAACTTTGACATTCTTATTATTTGCACTGTTATGGGTTAATACTTGTTAAGAACTGGTTCAATTAATTAACTGTATGTAACATGGTTCTTGGCAACACAAATATATCACCCAAATCAATGTAAATACGGCCATTTTAAGAGCATTCAACTCTTTGGGGTGTAGCTGGTTGGTATCACTTCGACAGCAGCATGGAGACGGGAATTTGCTTTGACAGCTACAATTATGTTTGGCAACAATAAGATAAATAAAGGTAATCGTTGGAAAGTTACATCCTTAAATATATCCACGCTTATATAAATTTCTTCTTGCATCATAATCACATTTAAGAAACCAGAACCATGATATACCCCCAAGAGCTTAATATATGTACAATATCAAATACGCTACACTCATTTGTTAATATCCGGACACTAAAAGTTATCCCAATAACTTTAAAAATGTTTCCTAGAGTTAGTGGGAAACCACCTTGTATAGAGTTTGCTGAGATAAAAAAACACTACGGATAATTGGCACAATTAAAATGAGTCACGAATACCATTTACACTGATAAGTATTTTTGCTGTAAAGTAATTAATCGTGCACATCCTTTTTATTTGTTTTTTTTAGCGATTTTTCCTAAATGTACGAACCACCGAAACCTGGATCTAAAATTATCATCGTGGGTGCTGGATGTTTTGGACTTGCCACAGCGCTGGCACTTTCATCGGATAAGGAGAAAAATTACGATATCCATGTTTTTGATAGAGGCGTGATCCCTATCATCGATGCTGCATCTACAGGTAAATGCGAGATTCATCCCTTTGATTATTTTGCTTATTGAGCCTGATGTACAGATATAAGCAAGGCTGTTAGAATGGACTACGGAACCAACAAGTTGTGTATGGAACTCGCCGTAGATGCTATTCGCGTTTGGGAACAATGGAATAAAGAAAGAGCTGATAATGGTCTTAAACCAGTCTATCATAATACAGGAATGATCGCGTTCTCGGATAATGGTGAACTTTCTGAATACGACAAGCAAGGATTAGAGACCATTAGGGAGGCTGGATATGGCGAATTCATTGAAGAATTGTCATCCGAAGAAATAAAGAAAAGATACCCATTTTTTGAAACGGCAGTGAATAATGGATATGATATTGCGTATTTCAACAAAGTCGGTGGTGGGTATAGTAATTTGCCGTACAGACAAAAAAAAAAAAATACTAATGCCTAATTTAGGTTGGTGTAACTCATCTGAGGCCATTATGCATATTTATAAGAAATGCATAAGCAATGGCGTCAATTTTATTTTGGGAAAAGAGTCCGGATGCTTTGAAAGCAATTTAGTTGACCCTCAATCGCCAAGGACTGTACTTGGCATAAAAACAATCGATGGTAACGAGCATCGTGGAGATCGAGTGATTTTGGCGACAGGTCCCTGGACACCAGGCGTAATTGATATGCAAGGGCAGGTGATTGCCAGTGGTCAGGTTATCGTTCAATTTAAATTATCAGATAAAGACAGAAAATCGCTAAATGATCTACCTGTTTGGAGTGGAAATGTATCAAAGACAGGTTGTTACGGGTTTCCTGTGAATGACGACGGCATTTTGAAAATCGGTAAACATTCGATAGGATATCTAAATCCACGCGCGACAGACAATATTTCTATCCCGCGAACTCAAGCTTCGAATTCGGGAGACACAATTCCATTGAAAGCCTTGAATGAATTTCGTGAGTTCCTAGATACATTTCTCCCGTTAACAACACCCCTTGACGTATTTTATTCACGGGTATGCTGGTACTCTGATTCTATCGACGGCGACTTTGTCATCTGCCCCCATCCCAAATATGACAACTATATTGTTGCCACAGGAGACTCGGGACATGCTATGAAGTAAGTCATTTAAATCCACTAGAGGCCACAAAAACGATCTAAAACCAAAAATTGTCAGATTTTTACCCAATATAGGACAGAAAATAAAGGACGTCATCGATGCTAAGGATACAGAATACACACGCGCATGGGCTTGGCGTAACAAGGAAGCGAAGCCAGATTTTTATGATAGGCCTTTACTTATCCAAAATAATCACAAACTTTTGAGAATGGCTACACTAGAAGAACTAAAAGCCAAAATAAATTGCTGAAAGCGTTTTTTATTATGTTAATTTAGACAAATGGAGCCCAGCCTATCAAATATTGTAATTGAGTATTTAATTCATCAGTTTTATCATGGTCATGTCTTACCAGCAAACATCTTGGACAGATTATGGGGGTCAGAAGCTTTTGTAATAAGATCTTTAACTCTACTTTCGGGTGTTTCTCCCGGATTCAATTTAAATTTTTTTTCCATTGCATTCTTAAATTTCGCTTCATTTTGAATCCTTTGACTATACCGTCTGTTCGGGTCCTGTGGGTCGATATAACTTTGATTAGCAGTGTCACACGTATTTTCTGAAAAAGAGCCTCTCTACTTACATCGCTTTTGAAAATCCAGACATTTCCGAGGGTTTGAAACACACTCGTAAGCGCGTCCTTATTCTGGAGTAAAACAGCCATGGTAATGTCACAAGTAACGGTAAAAGTCCCCGCATATCCCAAGACACCCATGGCATCAACAAGGTTTTGAGTCAATCTAAAAGGTACAACTTCAGGAACATTAAGGCCGGAGCCTATGTCAAACAACATATTTAAATCAACGTGGACACAATCACCATTGGTCTCGTCGAACAATATATTTTCGGCATGACGATCTCCAAGACTACAAAATTAGGTCAATACAGGTATAATATTCATATATCCGGCATCATTACCCAATCATGTATCCAACAATAGACATTACAGCTAAAGTCTTTGTATACCTAGTTCGACTTGCAAGCCATTGATTAGGTTCTGGGAAACATTTTAAAAACCATTTGTAAAAAACGGGAGGACATCTAAATTGCATGCGATTAAAAAAATGATTGACATAGTTACGGCATATCTTACCTGGGAAGAATTGTATCAACAAATAGTTTGTGTAGTTCACGTGGGAGCTGTAGAGCATATTTATTTAAGGTAACTGACGTCTCCTAAAAATGCCGTGTTAACCATCAAATATAATGAATATACGTGCCACTTACCTGAATACTTGGGCATCCATCTTGTTCCCATTGCTTATTTACAATGGCTTTTAATGGTGAAATATTATTGATCCATTGAATCAAACCCCATTTGTCTCCAAGAGGAATTACAGCATAAGTTCGAATATCTAAATAATCAGTGAGATGGGTGTAATGGTAATAATTTTTAAAATTAGAAAGCTTACATAATTCGTTGTCTCGCGATTTGGGGTTTTTCTTCAAGAAAGAGTTGATAGCATAATTAAATTCCATTGTTCGAGCATCTTTACGTAAATCATCATCCGTCTTGACCAAAAACCTGTATTTTTTTCCATCGCTACCTTGAATTGTTATTCTTTTAGGTTTTTGAAGCGAATACATGACAGTGATATTTGAATCAATACCTTCAATAAGGCAGACATTGTTAGCATTTGAAGAAAAAACATCATAATTAAACACTTACTATTAATATAAGGCAAATCGGTAGGAAACATTCTGCTAGTTATGCTTCCTCTATCCATGAGCTGTGGTAAAGTAGGATACAAACTGGCTTCTGTTGGTATATATACATCTAAATTACGTAGCTTAAATAGAGTTTGAACTTTGTATTCGTCTCGCAAGTCCATATCTCCACGAGCTGTTTTTTCAAATTTGAGGTTAGCCAAATCAAGCAATGCATTTACAAGAGTGCGTGCTTGCTTTTTTTTTTTTGGGGAAAAAGAAAAGTCATTAGTATCTAACAGAAAACAAAGAAATAAAGATAAACGTACATTGATAATCTTTGGGATCATTGAATCTCCATGAACACGCTTAATTGTAAAATAAAATAAAATTAGCTTGACAGATAATTGCGTTATCCCTATTGCTTATTTACCTGAGCTTTATCGAGAATGTTTTTGACTCTTTCGGCCACGTGCGTTTCTTGTGAATTTTCTACAGCTAAAAGCAACCAAATGGAGCTTTTTGGGTATTCAACAAAAACATCGCCAATAATTTTCATTAAACATTCTGCAATTTCAGTGTTATCGAACGTAAGATATGAAATCAGTCTTGTCAAAAAAGACTAAACTAATTAAAGGTATAAGATGACAAATAGTTTATAATGTTTTTATCGTACCTGAATAATCGGGACTCGATTTGTAATATTTCTCATCAAGTCATTTATTGTCTTTAGTTGCTCATTGATTTGCATCTCCCATGCTCGCTTTTTAGTAAACATATGATCATCATTCCTATAAACGATAAGTCAGTTATTTACTGTGTTGCACGCAAAAAGGTTTCTTACTTAAATTCAGGACAACGTCTTTGAAATATCGCTAGTTCAAACCAAGAGTTAATAAGCATAGACATGGAGCTATAGTAATATTTGGAACCATGCTGAAGTGTCCTAGCTGAGGTTTTGGCAATATAGACAAGAATTCTTGTCCTGAATAATTGAAAATGGTTAATGTTTGTATTATAATATATATGACAGTAATTTAATACTTCGTTGTGGGATCGACGTAGCCTTCCATCAATCTGTTGTAATACATTGTGCAGCTATGGAGCAATTTTTCCGTGCTGTAATATGGGTTAGGTAAACTCGGCAATTTGTTTGCGAACACATGGCATGACTTACATTTCACTATCTTTCAATGCTGCAGCGAAGTATTTCCTAATTTTTGATTTTTCCAAAAGAGTATTATCACGGTCATGAAATTTTGATAACAATATAGCATCTTCTGGTTTCATTGAATTTAAATTGCTCATTGACATGAGCAAATCCCAGGCTTTCTTTTCTTGACCGGCAGCCCAATACCATTTTGCTTTTTCGTTGTAGTATGACTCCCCGCTTATATTTTCTGCTTTTATAATGGCATCGTACGCTGTGAGATAATTACCTGCCTTTCTGTAAGACTTTGCAATTTTTAACCATGCTTTAGATGCTTGTATTTTCACATTAGGCTTGGGTCTAATATCAAAATATGCAGCTTTTCTTAATTCGAGTAAATTGTGTCTGTATTGGTAATTGCAAACAATGTTTTGATGGTTGTAGTCCCAATTTCTTCCAAGCTTATCTATTGTTTCAATCGGATGACTGGACTCCCACACAGCCTGAGAAGTTTCCAATTCTTGTAACATCTGGAGATTATATATCGTAGGGTAAGATTTTCGGTAAGACTTTGTAAAATCGGATGTTAATTGTTCCACTAAAACTTTTCGGGCTTCTACTAGACAACGAGCAGCTTCCAAACTTTGATTTTTTCGTATTTTGGAAATTAAGCATCCTACCAAAGCTTCCGGCGTTTTTTGCATAGGTAATGTAACAGCTTTATCAAGAATATGCCAATCCGAAACTCTCCACGCAGAATCGATTTTGAAGGAATTTAATTGGCTCACATAATTTGGTAAAGCAGCTGTTGCTTTTTCGGTAGAGTACAAAATAGTTTCTAAAAATACCTTCGAATCAGTAATATTAATCAGAATAAGCAAAACAGTTAAATCGAACCATATTTTCCCCATTTTTTCAAGCAGTCAATGTAACCCGTGTACAATAAAGGATCGTGCGGGTTATCGGCAATTCTGTTTTTGTGCAAAATCTCAGCTTCCTCCCATCTTCCTGCGATTTCGGATTGAATCATTTCCTCATCGTGAGTCAAGACGTTTGACCTACCCTTCAAAAGAGCATTTAAATCCACTCGATTTTCCATTTGGGTGTAAATGTTTTTTAAATAGGATAAAATTTCAGGCTCGATCAATACACTTCGTTTCGATTTGTGATGTGTTTCAAAATGCATTAATGCCTGGGCATAGGCTTTTGAGTTATAAGCTGCAATTGCCATTGTCTTGTCAGGAATCTTTCCCAAAAATGTCCTAACTCGATTAGCTTCGGATTTTTTGAGTCTATCACCATGTTGGATTTTATTTAGCCACTTTCGACAATATTCGGTAATTGACACAACGACTTGCAGGTATTGACGGTTCTTGCTTCTACGATCTAAATCTGTTTCTGGCTGGGCATTTATTTCTAAAATGGTCAACATTTCTCTAAGAATGCCGGAATTTTCATCGGGGGAACCTAGTAAAATTGTATGCAAAACGAGATAAGGAATCATATAAACCGTTATATCTACGAAATCCGATGCCACGATTGGGGTCAGCGCATTAAAGATTGCCTTGGCAGATCCTTGGGCCTCTTTAATCATTTGTCTGTACCAGTTTTTGACCCATTCATCAAAGCTACCATCTTCAGTGAAAAGAGGGTAATGGGTGTTCACATTTGGGATACTAAATTGAAAAGACGATTGTATATAAGGCGCCAAAAACTCTTGAACCGGCTTTGGTAATGAATTTTCAGTTCTTAAATCAGCTTCGTCAGAGAATCCAGCACAACTCAAAAGTGACTGTATCGATGTTTGTATAAATTGAAGAGTATACTCGTTTTTGACAGTATTGTATGCATCGTAGATGTAGGTGGTCAGTAAATGACATATAAAATTCCTGTTTTCGTTTTGACTTTTGAAAGCGTACATAATAAACACATCATTGTCAATCATTCGGACGTTGATTAAGCTTGGGTCTATAGCACCGACTTTACCGAAGCAAAGGGCAATGATATTAGATATGTCCTTGTTCGACGCATGTTTTCGGACCAAATGAAGTAGTTGAGAAAAGAGCTCACCTACATCAATTGGGATTTCTTGAAGTATATCTGAAAGTAATAGATTAAGTTTTTGAAGTTCGAATAAAACCTGAACATCATCAGAATCATTCAGTCGATTCATAATTTCAGCCAGCATCTGTGGCCCGCTCTGCTTCCTTTGGGCGAGTCGGTTTTCAAGATCGTTCTTTAATTCACGAAGTTCTTCGAATTCTGGTAGAATTGGGAGATCCGACAATTTTGGATTTACTGTTTCAATTTCACGATCAAATACACTTTCCAGAACCTTGGCCACCTTAAGTCGTATAATTTGTGTGGATACAGATAAAACCTTGAGTAAACCATAAACAATACGATTGAAATTGGATACGAGAACATGATTGTCTATAGTTTCAATAAATACTTCCCAAAGAGAAAGGGCTTCAGATTGCATATCGTCTAATTCATTAACGGTCTGAAATAATTTCATAAGCTACATAACAAAAGGAAAATAGCGTTAATACCGATAGATAAGAATTGGAGTAAGCCTACTTACAAGAGTTGCATGCATGTTTATTCTTGAATCCATTAAAATCATGATTTCTTTCAGGGCCTGTAATGCGTGTGGTTCGTGAATAGCTAGACATTTTGATCGTTTTTCGGTGATGAATCTTGTTATTTTTGTGGAGATCGCTACAAAATACTGTGCCAAATATTGAGATAGAGGAATCGGCGGTACAAAGATTATATCTTTCATCTCAATTAATGCTTGTTTCGATAGTTCTTTCAGCTCTTCTTTCCCCAAATTTATTGCTAATATGGTTGTAATTTTAGTTGATTTTGAGGCAGCCCAAATTCCGACAGCTTCGTTCTTAACTTTTCGAATTTTCACAAGATTAGCAGATTTCACTTCTGGATCGGTTTCTAACAGCAAAGCTAAAACGATATGATATCCATATTCGTTGGTGAGGTTGACGGGGGGCACATCCATGGTTTTGGCAATGGCCTTTAGTACTCTCCCATTCTCTACTTCAAAGATGGAGTAAGGTAATGCATATCTCAAATATTTAGAGATAAACTGGCGTCTTGTCAAGCCAAACATAAGCGTAATACTGTCAGCAAGATCAGGGTTACTTACAAGTGTACACGTTACGAACTTGGCAATACTCTTCATGTGATCTTGACAAATCACTGAAATATCTGTGTTATCCGTAAAAATAGAAATTTGCTTCAACTGTAATACAATCAATAAGAAAATGAAGGGATGGGCACATATCTATGTAGATGTATACATATATACATATAAAAGTCGTATGTTTACCTTAAATATTAATTCATGCTGACCAGTAAACGTTCCATCAGACGAAGTTAATTGGTTCACAATCGGATAAACGTTCAAAAGTAGTGTTTCGTGGATCGTGCTACAATCGAATAAAGCCTTGGGATTTGAGGTATGTTGTAAAGAACTGTGGTCGATGTCCATGTCTTCTTCTCGATGATTTGAAAAAGTAATATCTGATGTGGCTTGAATCAGCAAGTTCGTTTTTTCTTTTAGGATCTCAAGATCTTCGAAATTGGCCATGGAGAGAACATCGTCTAACCAAGGTGCTTTTGTGTAATTTTTTAAGATTAAGCACGAAAGATTTAATATAGTTCGAAGAACTACAGGATTAGGTTCTTTTTGTTGTGTCAGTGTCGCTGATGCACCTGTAAGTGCAGATAGTTTATACGGGTCAATGAGCTTGATATTCGGGTACTTTTGTATAATGGACGAAATTGAGCCAGCAATCTCGTTTGAAATGTCTACAGTTAAGCTATCTTTGTTTAACAATTGAACTAAACTGTCCAGAATGTTTTCGACGCTCGTATTATATGTTATAATTGAATCTTTTTGTACAAAGCTTTGGATGATCTTTGTTGCCGCCTATTGGTTTGGCTAAGTGTGTGATCATAAAAATACTCGGGATTAAAAGATGTACCTTGATAATTATACATATTGTGTCATTTGATTCAATCGTGCCACAATTCAATATACCAGACAGGCAATTCCACATGATACTTAAATTAACGTTTGTATTCATCTCCTTGTTGTCGATCGTCAATATTGAACTGCTGCTTTTAGTTAGGATGGCTATGATGTTCAGTAAAATATCATCGGCCAGATTTTCCAACCTGAATTGGTATCTGGACTGATAGCAAAAAAACATTAACGCTATGTATGACTTTATTTTCTTAATGACCTACACTTTCGATATGTTCCTCTCTAAACACAAGCAAAATAGCTGCGTAATATAATTGTAAGCAATAAGGTTTAATGGAACGTGCAATTGCATTACCTTGAATCAAGGAAACGTGGTTGTTAAATAAGTCATTGGCGGCAAGAAAGTCTTTCGAGAGATTATACTGATACAATTTAATAAAGATAGCAATGTAAGTTTTTAATTGTTCATCCAAATGACCATTGCCAATGGCATGCTGGATCAGTGGTTTAAATAACGACGCACAAAAGTTTGGTGATAAGTCGAGATCCAAACAAGTGGATAATGATTGATATATATCTATAGATATGGATGGGATTAATAATTGATGAACAATCATCCACCCAAATATTACCATTAATATCATCTTTATTTTCAAACAACTCTAATATGCCACTTTCGATTCTAGCGGTCATTGTCACAAAGGGTAAAAAGAAAAATAATGAACTAAAAAATCACAATGACCGTGTTTTTTGGCGTTAGAATTTATTTGAATTTTATTGGCGTGTCAAAAATTATAAAAAAACGGGGTGATGTTGGAGATATTTCTAAATGAAGGGTATTTACAGTGTTTATATGATGTTTGTTATTTTTTTTCTTTACTTTGTTAAATAAAACAAAGGTGCATCAGGTAGATCAGCAACAATAGCATTTCTACGACGAAGAGTATAAACTGGTAATTCTATACTGGTATCGTCGTCAAACATGGTCAGTGTGGCTTTAGCACGAGGGCTTTTTTGGAGCCATTCAGCAATAGATGAAGCAGATAGAAAATCAGAGTTTGCTTCTTCTAATATGATATCTCCATCTTGAATGGAGCGCATATACGAGCAAGTAGGATGGATAGAGACTTCCGAAAGATATTGGGACATGGTAATGATAGAGAATGAGAATAAAAAAAGAAAAGTATATGAAATTTAGGGTTCCCTTTATATACAAAAAAAAATCCAAAACAGAATATAGTGCGTCCGTTCTGACTGTTACCTAAAAATAAACTCGCTATCAGAGAAATGATTGGTTGTTTGCTTGCAAATGATTATGAGAGGTTATATACACCTCCACGCTATTGCTACATATGGTAATATCCTAATACCCCATCCATTTGGGTTAGGGATGGTATATGTCCTGTAGAGGACTAGATATAATGAAAACCACACATATCTTCCCCCATTTTGTAAACGTGAGTCTGAATCGATAAAATTCTACTTTGTAACTTGAATTTTATATGTGGAGTTGATGGTTACACACAACGCCACGTGGAATTTTGTGGTCTAGATTATGTAGTGCAGTGCTCCGGTTTCTTTATTATATTTGTCATTTACTTACAAGCGAAGTTGGCTATTTAAATTTTCAATGATTAGTGTGATATTAGATGAAACAATCTTTTTTTGTTGATACTTTTACCTATTATCCTTTGTGTTTAATAATAAGCAGTATTCAGAAACTAAATTAAATGAGGTCTTATTCAGCGATGCATGTAAACATATAGCATTCAGTTACAGCAACTTAACCAATAATGAGACACTAAGCCTTTTTTCTATCCAACTGTCTACATTCCCATGAGTGCCTAAATATTATCACTTAAAAAGGAGATTCGAACTATTCAACAAATTGTAAACCCATATTTTTCGTCGCTAGCTTACCTCTTTCTCTCTACTCGATATTTTATAAAATACTTACTCTTAATTATTATGTACATCATCCAATTTTATGCTCTCAAGTCAAATATTTGAGGGTTTTCCTGTATCAAAATTTTTCTCATAGTAGATAATTATACTTGCGACTCTGATTCACAGTCAACCCATCTAAATTTAATAGTGGATATTTAACAGTGCCACTGAATCCATATTGTCATTATGTCACCTCTTTTAGCTCGCATTGGAGCGGTCGAATTCCCTATCTATATTATCAACCATTATTCCGTATGTCGAGCTTCCTAGTATTTATCTTACCTTTTAAAACTCTCGCCCTCTCTGGCACTACTGTTTACTTCGTAACCCGTCCACCACATACATTTTGCATCCAACTACTCCCGGCAATTCATGTACCATCTAACTGGGGATTTTATAAAATTCCTGCCCATAAAAATGACTGCGCTTTGTATTTCATGTACGATAATAAGCATGCCGAACACCGATTTCATTGTTGCAGTTGATGTCAGCCTTCTAAAACCGCCACAAAGCTTGATTTGCACCTAATCTTCTGTTTGGCGAGCTCAATTAAGATCGGCTTCCACTTTAACATCCAAATAACTTCACTTCTGTTACTTATTGCTTAATTTATATTGATGCTGAATTTTAGATATAGATCAGGTTAAGTTCATTTATTTTTTACTTAAGAATTCGTTTAAAGGCTGACTATGCTCTTTGCAATTCTTTTAATAGTCTTATTAAATTTCTAATAAGGGTGTGCTACTATTTTAAGGCTCCAAACTTTCTTTTTATTGCATGAGTTATAATCGGGAAGAGTAATAAGCTAGGACGCCAGACGTGGAAGTAGCCTTATTCACTCATTTGCTTTACGAGTCTGGACAAAGGCTAGTAACTTTTTGGGGTCTTAACAAAGCCATTGTTACTGGTGAATTGGTTGAGCAGGTTTCCCATTATAACCTGTTTTTGGCTTATAAAAAAGAAAGGCTATAACTAAGTTACCAAATCACATAACATCACAAACTAAATCCGACTATGAAAATAATGTAAATTAGAAAACAAGAATGCAGGCTATTAGCAAAATAGCTATATATGGCTTTATTCGGCCATTACAACATCTCCCTAAAACTCAAGAAGTACTTATGAGATTATGATGTATGAGGTTTGATAACAATCATATGCTTAGTGGACATCCCAGAGAGGGTTGTATATATTGTAATTACGAATGATGATATATTAAACGCTTTAAATTATATGATCAAGCCTCATTTACCTATTGTTTCGGCTTAATTTTATCAAGTACGCCTACAATTTTTCGGTCATTGTCTAAGCAATATAAGTATAACCTATTGACTCACTCAAAACAAAGGACCAAATTAATTTTAGAATTAGTAGACTGATACTTACAAGTTTATTCATTTCTTTGAGAACAAAACCAAATTTCTGTGAGTGTTATAAGCCAAGTTAAAGATCGTAGGACAAATAGCGTCGAAAAGAGAATATACAAACTGCCGACTTCGATACTTTTTTCACGCTCACGTCGAAGCGATTGAAAAACAGCAAAAGTTGTTGCTAAGCAAGCCCATTAATAGTTGTGTATAAAAGTACTAAAGTGCAACTCAAACTATTGGAAAATTAAACCTTCACGTTGAACGCAAATTCAACAGCACGGCTAACAGATACTGTATTTCCTGTTTGTTTCCCCGTAAACTCTATCTTATCAAGTGTTCAAACTTGTAAAATTCACCCCAGCTTACTGAGCTAATCAAGGACAATTGCGTTTGTCTAAATTAAGGTTTTGGTTAGCCCATATTTCTTTAATGCCGCTACGTCCTCGAGATCTTCACTGGTATTAAGCACAAAAACCACAAGATACTACCGGATCTGAGGCACCGGAAGTAGTCCCAATCCGTGTTATTTTTCAACTTTTGTTTTAGTCCCTGGACAAGGGCACTAATGCATTCACCCCTTGGTACCGGTTAAATATCCTCCTTACTCCAGCTTTTATATTTGACTTGTCTCTCCCTCGGAGGGAATGTTCCGCTTTGTTGTCAGTTGCTTCAACAAGTGACAACATTGGTGTGTAGTTAGCAGTGTTTGTTCTTGGCATCAGGAATTGGTGCGAAAATTAGGTTGATATCTGACCTGGTTTAAACTCTTTGAGTATGTAGATACTAGTTTTGTACTTTCCCATTTTTGAATAAAAATTCAAAGACTAAAAGAAAAAGATCCTTTATTAAAATCAGTGCCGACGTCAAATATTCCTGCAGTACAAAAATAATTATTTTTGCACAGAGTCGTTTCTTGAATCAGTTTCAACACTATTAGCCTAATAAATATAATCCAACCAGATATATAAGCTTTAATAATATTTCATGGTTCTTGATGAAACATCTGCCTTTTTTTATATTAACAAAATAAGGATTCTAACTTCCATATTCCCAAGAAATAATCAAACATCTACAAGCATTGTCGGAAATCATTGATTTATCTTTTTCATGTTTCTCAAGTCGAAGTTTTATTTATCTAAAAAGAAATCAAATTCCAGGTATTCAATCAAAATCACTGTTTATTTGTTAATCTCTTCTTTTATCACAACTTCATCCACCTCCGCCTCGGTCTTAGCTTCACTCTTTGCTATTGGTTTATATCCTACCCCCACAAAAAATCCCTCTGTTGATTGTTTTCTGGAGGCATCTGGTTTCTCGGTCTTTACCTTTGCAAAGATAGTTTGCAACTTCCTCTTGAATTCAAATTCTGTACCACCCATTAAAAACTATAAAAGTTCTATTACGATGTACTATTTACTACCAAACAAAAAGTTACCTTTGCTACAAAACTACCTCCTGGCTGTAACACCTTTTCGGCAAAGGTCAAAGCAGATTCACACAATTCCATGGATCTAGCATGGTCAGCTGTATGATTTCCAGAAAAAGAGGGTGCCATATCCGAGCAAACTAAATTGACAGATCTACCGTCCAAGATCTCCCGAATGGCGTTCTGGGTTCTTATTCTCATGAAGTTTCCCTTAATTATATGAGCATTTGGAATAGGATCTACAGGCAACAAGTCAATGCCTATAACCAAGCCCTTCGATGATATTAATTCAGCAGCCACCTGGGTCCAACCTCCAGGCGCAGCTCCGCAATCGACAACAACGTCGTTACGGCGAATGAGTCGATATTTTTCATTAATTTGAATTAACTTGAATGCACTTCTTGCTCTATATTGATTCGCTTTGGCCAATTTACAGTACGGATCCTTTGCTTGTCGTGAAATCCAACTTTTCGACGAGGTAGAGTATAATCTATTGAGTAGCATTTCAGAATTGAAAAAACCAGTTCCTGTTTTCAGGAGCCTGGGGTTCTTTCTTTTTAAAAAAAACTGCGACCAAAAGTTTATATGCCGCTGTGAAGCTACGTAGAGACTGGCGAAGCCAGATAAAAAAAAAAAAATCTACTAGGAATTTAGGGTGTGCAAACAACTTTACAGAGGAGCACAAACCACAAGTCTTGGACCTCACTGGTAACAGTTTCAAGGTCACAGTTTATGTAGTTGAAAGTTTTTAAACTTACAAATCAGCCATCCGTAAGCACATGAACGAAGTTTCAACCTGTCAGTCAAAAACCACATTTTGAGTCTGAGAATCATAACAATACTGAAAGCCTACAACAAGAGGGACACAAGAGGGTTACAAGAGACCTATAAATTTGAAGGATTTAGATGGTAAATTCACGAAAAACTGTATTTTCATGATGAGTTAGGGTTTCATACCAATGTATGAAAGAATTACATATAATTTAAAAAATCGTAGAGTCCAGTTGTTAAGTTACCTCAGACAAGGCTACTCATTATATAATCATATGTGCTACATCAATGCTTTGAGCCCTATAAGCACCCAGTTTTTTTTGAAAGTTTTAAATAATGTATTTTTGTGTTGATAAGCCTCGTTCTTCAATGTAACGATATTGCATTCAAAGGTATTTTGTTTAGTTCCTCTTTTCAATTTGAACTTGACTGAGAACGTCACCGTACGAAACCTTATGAAGTAATGATGCCAGAGGATCAAATGTCCCTACAGAGCGTAGCAATAAAAAGATGGCCTTGTTGCTCTTCTTACGTCATTTCCTTACCTCTTCAGGAAAAAGTAAGGTGACCCAATACTTTCTGTTCTTGTTTTTTAGTCCCAAAGTTAGTAGCTAGCATTATAATAAGTAGCTGGTAGTTATCACTGGAATTACCTGTTGTATTCAGTTTCACATAAGGGGCCATTGATACTGTATGGGGTTCCAAAGGCTAACAATTGTTTGTGTATTTCAAGTGACCTTTGTTAATCTTGAGCATGTGCGGCTGCTCAGTCTATGTAAAAGGTGGATTAAATTTGTATGTAGTCGACTTCTTATCTATAGACACAGAGGTCTATTACAACCTTTTAATGGTTAGTAGCCGCAGTTTTTTTTTCTTATATCTTGATGTTGTCTTTCGGAAATCTGTTATACAACCTATTACAATGTCTCGTCTCGTAAATTGTATATATACCCAGTTAGTCGTAACCAAAAATCAAAATCGTCTTAAAAAAGGAAAAAAAAATTGCATGGAAAGAATGTCTATATACGTGATTTTCGTTAATATGCGTGATAAAAATCATAATAGAATACTGAAAATTACAGTAGATATAATCTTAAGTTACAGATTCAGTTTAGAATGTCCCCATGGTATATCCGTAGCCTTAATATCAAAGACATCCTGCGTTGTCTTGAAAAACAAAAATAATCAGCAACTAACCTTTAAAAAAAAGCGGGAAATATAAAGTGTAAGAACAAGTTTTAATTATTGGTGTTTTAGTATTAACATGTAGGTGTAGACGTTGCTTTTATACTCCAAGCCCAGTCTTTACATTTCACAAATGGGGATTTATGCAAACTCAAGGTTTGATTGCGCGGTTTTAAAAGGGTGGCTTGGGTGGTTATAAAAAAAAAAATCGCAGCTATATTTGCTTTTTACTAGCTCTATCAAAAATGGGAAGGTCTAAACGCAAACACCAAGCTAATAACGAGAGTAAAAGAGGACACTACAAACGAGATCACGATTACGTTGATTACTCCGACATAGAAGCGAACGACATGTATGAGGACGGTTGGTACACTTGAATTCATAAACACTGGGGGTGATACACGATAGTAACCAACCATATTTTAGATCACATTTCAATAGCCTCATCCTCAGAAGGGGAATACGTTAGCTCAGACTCAGCCTCCGATTCGATTTCCAACAAGGAAGAAGACTTCATTTCTTTAGGCACAGAAGTAGTGGATGAGCGCAGTAGACAGCAAAGACGTTTCGAAGAAAGAGCTGATTTGAAGCGTAAAAGAAAGGAAGATGAAGACACCTCCTGGGAGTCTGATGTCTGTTACCCTTGGATGGAACTTATGGGAAATAACCGTTTAAAACAACCTGTCTCAGCGAGCCGATTGTAAGATGATCAGCTTTTACTTGAAAACAAAATGCAGGGTAGACTGACATTGTTGCATACTAGATTACAGCGTGAAGTGTCATGTCTCTTACAATATCTCGAACCGACCAAAATTGAAATACGACTTCGAGAATATTTAGTCCATCGCATCAGATCAGTAATACAAGAAAAATGGCCTGGATCTAAGGTCGATGTATTCGGCAGTTTCTCCACACAATTATATTTACCCAATAGTGATATCGATCTTGTTGTTCGAATTCCTCCATCCACAAAAGTGAGACTCAGAAGAATTGCTTCTTGTTTAGAGCAAGAAGATATTTGTCGCGATCCTCAAGTAATTGAGGGTGCTTCGGTAATTACTAGAATTTAATGCGACTATGAGACGAAATATTAAGGCAAATGTTTAGGTTCCTGTTATTAAATTTGAAGATATTATGACCAAACTTAAAGTAGATATTATTTTGGATTCAACATCTGGAATAGATAGTGCTACAGCAATTCAAGGAATGCTTAAAAAATACCCAGGATTACGACCTTTATCACTGATAGTTAAGTATTTATTAATGCTTCGTAACCAAAATGAAGTGTTTACAGGTGGTTTAGGTGGATATGCCGTAGTGTGTCTTGTAGTAAGCTTCTTACAGGTATTTATGAAGTGTTCATTTGCTATTCATATAACTAAAATGTTCTGTAAAGATGCACCCAAAAGTTGCCTCTGGTCAAATAGATCCAATGCAAAACTTGGGTGTTTTATTATTAGATTTCTTTCAATTATATGGACTTAATTTTAATTTGGATTATGTTGGAATCAATGTCAAAGGAACCGGATCATATTATGACAAATCTCACGTTGTATGTAGAAATGGCAAAGCCGTGTTCTCTATTACAGATCCACAAGATTCGCACAACGATATCGGTATGAAGTCATATAATTCCGGAAGCATTATTCGATCTTTCAAGTATGCATATCTAGCAATGACCAGAAAAGCTTTTCAGTTGCAAGAAGAATTAAGATCCAATAACTATACGCAGCTTGATAGAAGCACTTTAGAAAGTCCAAAGAGAGCCTCCATTCTTGGATCGTTTCTTCATATATCCGCAGATTTTATGAAACAAAGAGAGTTAATGAATACTGTGTACGAAGAGAAAAGATGGGACGATCAGGCTGCTGCTAGTTCATTCAATTTCGAATAAAGAATCACGCACACATACAGTGCACCCAGTAAATTTTACAAAGGAAAACAATTCTGCTTTATATATTAATGCGTCGTTCTTCGCCGTTATAAAAAAACGCCTTCCATGACACATTCCGAGCCCACATACAATCATAAGACGCTTCATCCGTGTATTGATGCTACTGCCGAGCATCTGCCCAAATGAATGATAATTCGACTCCATTAAATCAAAAGAATCACAAATAAAGCTGCCCATCTTTTTTTTTTCACGTCTGTTCCTTCGAATATATACTGAGACTACAATCCTTGATTACATTGGTTTACGATGCGCGTACTCCATAAAAACTGAAGCATGCCGTTGTTTATTAAAAAGACGCGTGCTTAAGTTTATGCATACTCAGTATGCCATATTTAACTTGGTAGCCCGTTTCACATTAAACTATTGTTACAGGAAAATAAAGCCATGGTAGCTAAAGTCTACCGTCAAGCTCATGAGATTCAACATTTACATCAATTGAACTTCTGTTCTGTAGCTGAGTGTACGGCTGTTGTCGTTTGTTGATCCAAACAGAGAGCTTATCAAAAACACCACCGCATGCTCGAGAGTATTGTGGCATGGATGGCGAGTCTATACTTTCAATACGCGCAGTGTATTTCAAAACGTCCTTGACTGTTACCAGTCCTTTCAATTTACCTTTCTCTTCCAAAAGAACTACTCTAGGTCTATATAGGAGTATTATAATCAGTTAATTACATATCGATAAAACAATCTCTTTCTGTTTACCCCAATTGTTTAAACATATCCATAACGGTCTCTAAATATAACTTGGGGTGCACAGTAATCGGTGTTTGATCCATATAAGATCCGAAATCCAAACTTTCCGAAGATCCCCTTAAATCATGGGTGTTTTCATCATCATCATCTTCGTTATCAATATTTGTAAGGATCTCTGGCTCATCACCATCTGGAGTAAATCGACAAATAGTCTCGTCATGTGCCTTTTTATTCACACGTGCCTTCTCAAGCAAATATCTTAGCTCTGATCTGCCAATGTAGCCAATCAATATCATCGATCTGATATCTTCCACCACAGGAAATCCCTGAAAGTTTGTGTTCTCCAGAATAGTTTCGATTTTTCGAAATGTCATCCCTTTTGCTGTCATAACTGTCATGTTTTCTTGCATTACATGAGAAACAGGTACACCAAATACCTGATCATCATTATCAAGAATAGGATATCCGTTAAGTCGAATGTATCTCTCAGCAATGCCGCCGGAGCCGAACCAGTCGCCTACAGCACGCGTAATCATCAATGAAATCATCGTAGGTAGAATGTAGGTGATTTGGCCCGTCAATTCAAACATAATAACTACTACAGATACCGTGATTCTCATAACACCGCAAAGAGCTGCTGCTGCACCCAAAAATGCGTATGTACCTGGTGTGATACATGGCATGTCCGGACGACAGGACGCAAATAAGAAGAATTCAGGGTCAGACTCCTGCCAAGACTTGACAAGTAAACCAATCATTCTGCCAAATGTGGCCCCAATCGCCATAGAAGGAACAAATATACCACATGGAACACGAGCACCATAAGTCATAATCGTACCAAAGCATCGAAGTGCTGTTGCGATAAATAGTAATATGACCATACGTCCAGTTTCGCTTTTACTATATATTTTGATTTAAATAACCAAGCAATACAATAGGGGATATAATATACTTACTCACAAAGTCCGTGGTAGTTTTCAGTTCCTGCACCTTCACATTCCCTAAAAAGAATACCCATAATTTCAGTCATGTCAATCCGTAAAAATACGTTGGGATAAGCAATTAATGCAGTAACAAATGCAAGAACCGCTGTTTCAGCAATAGGATGACTTTTAAGCACGGTCTTTCTGAATTGAGCAACAATCAAATTAAACTTAATGACTAGTGCACCATATAAACCCTAGAAAGAAAAAAAAGTGTCAATCATAAATTGATTCATTAAGCTCGTTCCTTAACATACACCGAACAATCCAATGACAATAACAAACAGATACTCGAAAAAGTGCCAATCACGATCATAACTAACTTGGAACATGACAAGTTTACCTGTTCTGAAAGGATTCATTGCCTGAAGGACAATCGTAGCAATCATAGCACAAAAGAAACTTTTCCACATGGTTCTATTTGGGAAGGTTGTACTCATTTCCTCTAATGCAAATAATACCCCGCCAATGGGTGAGCCGAAAGCCACTGCTACACCTGCTGCACTCGATGCTGTCAAAATCTCTCTCATTTCGGCCTTGCTTGTTTTAAACTTTTTAAAACATCGAGATATAACATTTCCCACACAGCAAGCCATATGAACTGAAGGTCCTTCCTTACCAATTGATAAATTGGATGCAACTGCCATCGTCTAATCAAATATGTTAGATTTGCAATGTTACACAAATATAATAATTCTTGATCTTACTAAACCAATACTTTTCATAACCAATGTCCAACCTCCTAAAAATCCCTTCATCACAAATCCAGCTGATATACAGTACTTAACATTAATAAAAAGATAGTCAAAATTTGTTTGTTTACATACCAATAATACACTTGATTTCCGAAATACCGGATCCAGCAGCATACGGTGCAAACATTTTCACAAGATAAGCACACGTTGTCGCGAATAAAGTCTATTAATTGAAAAAAAAAAAAAAATCAGAAAGAATAATAAGGTGTTTAAAAATTCAAACTTACAGCCCATAACACGTAACAAAACCATTCAATAACATAGACGTTTGGTCCAGCGTGCATAAATTGACTCCACGAATTCCAGTCGTCACAACCCCCTCCCTCTGAATAAAAAGATTATTAAGTCAACAGACAGAGTTAAAACACAAGTCTTATTCTCTATACCATCTTCCTCAATCTCCCAGCAACAAAATTTCTGATTTAGCCACCATGCACTTGAGCAATATCCCATTTTAATATCTGATAACCAGTCAGTAATAATGGCAATCAACGCCGAATTGAGTCCAATGGCAGCACCTTTTTTTAGAAGATGTAAGTCAGTTCAGTGGATAGGCCGCGAAAGCGTCTATACTTTACCTACAAGTAGCACTACAATCCACGACTCGGTTGTTTCAAAAGTTAGGTGCCACCAGGCACGCCATGATTTATCATTGTGATTTAAATTCTGCACTGAAGATTGTCGATATCTTTCTAAAATTGCATCTTTTACCCAATCTATGAATAGCAAAATTAAGTATTATGCAGGAAATCGCGTTCATTTCGAATCGTACCTGTTGTCGTGAAATCCTCATAACGTCTAATTTGGTCTAATTCTTCTTCAATGTGGGCTGAAGAACCAGGTCCAAGTCCACTCATCTCACAAGTCAATTAAGGAAAAGTTGCGAAATACAGTAGGCCTTCACAGCGACGGTTTTTTAACCGTCCGGACGATTTTGATTTCCTAATATAGATGCCATATTTAATGAATTGTGCGACCGAAGTGCAGGACATTTTTTCTTTCACTATGCTATAAACTCATACAAATCTTCCTTGGTGCTTATAGAAACTCTTTATGTTAAACATTACAGTTCTTACTAATCTGAAAAAAACTAAACTTACTAACAACAATTGCTACAATCTTGGCGTTCCCCAAGTTATATAATACTGACTTTAATAACACAATGGCGACGGGTCTCTTAGGGACAGCCAAATTTTCTTAGGGACAGCCATTTTTCTTAGGGACAGCCAGGGTGCGCGTAGTCGTAATGTTGGGATTATAATACTTTAATAGACATCAAGAGGTTAATATAACTTAACAACTTGAAATATATACACATTTATTACAACCAACATAGTGTAAACCAGTATATGTGCTTTACAGCTTACTTTCAACTACTCGTTTGGACTTTACCTTGATATTTCTGCGGAAGATTAAGATCAAACGAGCTCAAAGGCGAAAAAGTGATGATAGAATTGCCAAAATAAGTATAAATCGTTCAATATACATTTATTCGTAATTTTTACATTGTTTTTGATTGTATATCCTTGTTCCCAGGTCTACAAAACATCCAAATCACAGATCTTACGTTGCAACTACGTGCATTTTGACCGTCCCTAAGAAAAGCGAAATAGCGATAGGCACTTTGCCTTATTTTTTTTTTTTTCTTTTTTTTTTTGGAAATAGGGCTCTTTCACTGGAATGCTTCGAATACGCCATTATACCTTAAAAGTCGCACATTTATCTTTTTTATCTTGAATTAATGAGATTATCATAGGTGGTGCAGCTATTGTCAGATAGATACAGTACACCGTAAACGTATATTGAATTTAAAAAAAATCACACCGTATTTTTAAACCAGATAGATTGTTGATTCTGATGTCATAACTTCTTGGCGATAAAGAAATTATTGTTTTCTTAGCAAGTAACTTCTGGAGCACTCAACCATCTACAGACTAGATACTTCACTAAAAGAATTACCGATTAACTTCGCCGACTTTCCCTCAGACGATAAGTTTTAGTTGGTACATATGATAGCATATCTTTACCGTTTAAACGGGTTTATTTTTTAAAACCTCCATAGGTGTATCGTGCATGCGCAAAGAACAAAAGGTTATACACTATGTAACTTTTCGACAGGTTATACAATTGGATAAAAGGATGAACCAATGTTTTGTTGTTTTAAACGTACCAAATAGAGGTTCAGAACATGTGGTTGTTAGAATTTAAACTGTGCAAAGTCTAGAAATTGTTACCGAGGTATTCACTTTTATTGTGGTTATGATGCCATTTAAACGAATAACTAGTGCAATGCACCTTTAATGGGAGTAACAAGTGCTTATGAAAAGTTGATGTGAAGTTGCATTGATGATTCAACTATAAAACATTCAAGACAAGTTTATTTGTTTCGGGGCCAAATATTGATGGCTTCGCACACATGCATACAACACTTTGTTTATGTAAATGCGGGCTGCTTAACCAATGAAATCCGCGCAACCAGTTCTGAAAATAACCGAGTAAGATTAATTTCTGTTTTTTGTTTATAATCATGTCTATTTTTTTTTACAGAATATAAATTTCTATAAATATATATAACCCTGAATGAAATAAAGGTTAATTCATAAAGATCATGCGTATGCTTTCTTTGGAGGGGTCCATCATATACCACTCCTTTAGATGTTTCAAATCAAGTCAATTCCCGATGTTCCTTCATGCTATTTGAGACTCAGAATAAGGGGACGGGATTTGCACATCGTTTTTATTTTTTTATTTTTACTCATTCTTTCCTTCCTTTCCATTTCTTATTACTAACAATGAGGCTTCATTATTACATATCACCCCTTTCTTATTTTTTAACGTGTGTAATAGCAGCACAGCATTCTTTGATTAATTGTACATGGCCATGCCCCACAAGTACTCATGGTTGCATTGTAACGCCACAAGGAGCCAGTTGTTCAGACAAAGGGATTAATGAATGGGTGATTAATTCGCCTGAAAAAGCGCCTATTTACACTGGAGCTTACGTTTCCGTAGCATTACAGGCTTGTCAACCAGTACCTATACCTAAGTTACCAGCCGCATTTATTGAAGTGAATACAACACAAATTGGGCAATCTATCATTATGTGGCCTATTCTGAACATGCGTCGACCTCAAGATGAATATCTTGGCAACTGTGGCCATGGGTTCTACTGCGCTTCCACCGGAGAAGATCAGTTGAAACCTGTTTGTCGACAGAGATTTGTGATGACATCCACTTGTTTTTCCTCCAACCAGTGTTTATCCGGTTCTTGTCTTGAAAATACTTGTCAGTATAATAGCAACAGAACTGATGGCGGTAGAAGACACAGATATACTGAAAGTCATAATGATTACGATGACAGAAGGACTGCTCGTATACTTGCTTCCATATTTGGAATTGTAGGTGGCATAATTGTGCTGGTTGTTGGCTTTATTATGTATCGACGACGACAAATCAGGAAGGCTGCTGTCAATGAAGCAGTATATCCTAATGAAACCGGACAACAATCAACACTTTCATTTGGTGCTTCAGGCCTACCATTAAGAGCAAATGATAGTCTGCATAAACAGTTTGCCTCTGATTTTCAAAATGATGGCGCAACATCCACTATCACTTCTGTGATGCAGCAAAGCCAGTTGCATCATGACATACCCCCACCCTCTTACAAGCCATAAATGCATACAACACGCGCCTCATTATAATAATAATAATAAAATCACATCCAATATAAAATTAAAAAAGCACTATTGCCATCTTTAGTCATACATGCATGCATTGTTATGACTTGATTTGTAAAGGTTGATTGTCTACTATTTTAAAAACAAAGAGAAATACGATCGCATCAGTTGGTAATTCAACATCATTTATTGTTTATATTACACCTCAAATTGGGATAAATAATTAGATGACAGATAATGTGAAAGTAAAACATGCCCAGCTTTGTCGTCCCAATGATCGATTTAATCGACATACAATATAGCATTTACAGTACATTTAAAATCAGTTATTACACATGTCAATATGGGGTGTAGTTGACCCTTGTGAAACTAAAAGAATACACAATCTTTATTATTATTTTCACATGCTGTGTTTAGAAAAAGTCTTTATAAACCGCCAAATAATTATTAAAGGGGGGAAGTACAAAAATTATACTTTAACCACTCAACATGAGCAATACCCCAGAAGTAGACTACATGTATGAAATCGCCTTTGAAGGTTTTTCGAGGAGTATACCCCTATTGGATGTTGCTGTAGCGGCGACAAATCGAAATTCGGTAATGGAACTCGATAGTAACAATAACGTCATTTATAAAAACATACCACAACAATACAAAGATGATTTTCTACGCTTAGGTTTCCAGCCCACAACTAACGACGATTCAACATGGACATTGCCACATGAAGTTTACGAGCAATTTAATGAAATGTTCAGGAAAGCTAGAGACGATTTTCATTTTCAAGCGCAATTGCGTTTCATAAAGCATATGGAGCAGCTTCTAAGCACTGTGAAAGAACCCCTTAACATTACTCATGGACAACGTTTGATGCTTTTCAAGGAATACTTTCGTAATCCTCGCTCGGGATCTCCAGTCTTTCTAATGCTTCAACATTTGTACTCTTTTTTTACGTTACAATTGAAGGAAAAGGAATATTTAGTTGAGTGGAAATTGGGATACTATAGCCTCTATGCCGGCGAGGAAGAATTTATGGACGATACAGTTCGATTATTAATAGGTGTATTGGGCTTGCAAAAAGTGTATCGAGATGACGTTGATACTGTTGCTATAACAATGGTCCATACAGACAAAAGATATGTGGAACCTAAACTGGAATTAAGAATGAACCCCGAGTTTACCAACCAAATGATCTCTGATTTTATAAAGTGTATCCCATCTGAGTACAGAAAAATCGACTTTGTTAATAAGGAGGTGTCAGATGTCAAGAGAATGCCGCAGCCTAAAACAACGATCTTTCAATGGATATATCAAATGTTGAGTCAGTGCTTATCTTTCTTTAAACAATAAATATATATAAAAAAAAAATTATTTTTTATTTTTTATTTTTTCTCAAAAGGTCTAAGGACGTTTAACAATCAAAAGAGCAATTTAGCATTTAATAACCGAGAGCGGCAATGGCAGAGTTGATTTCCTTGATGGAATCAGCCTTGGACTCAACAGCCTTCTTTTGGATGGCAGCGAGAGCGGTCTTACGTTGGTAGTAAGCAGCAGACTTGGCCTTACGCTTCTCTTCGAGCTTGGCAACAACATCTTGGTACTTCCATCCGACTTCGTGAGAGACACGACCAATGGTGGTGTACTTACGACCGGGCTTGAGACGGAGGACACGGAGAGCAGCAGGGATAACCATACGCTTGGTACGGTCATAAGGAGCAGGGACACCTTCGAAAAGCTTAATACGATCCAAAGCAGCGGCACCACGAGCAGTCTTGTGAGGAACCATACCACGGATGGCCTTATACAAGATACGAGAAGGAGCACGGAAATGGAAAGGACCACGAGTGGGGTTGACGAGACAACGCTTGTTAAGGTAAGCGTGGTACTTCACTATAAGGTATTTTGTTAATAAAGATCTGTCATATCACACGCATGTATAGTTCGCATTCAACATGGAATCATTTCTGTCTGTCACTCTTTGAGTCCCCACATATATAACATCGTTTAAATACAGCTATCAAAAGGTCCACAAACACACATTTTTTTTGTCTTTTCTACATACACTTGTTACGGAAGAATTCACCAGAAACGTTCAAGGCTTCGCATCTGACAACGACAACCTTTTGACCGTTAAGGGCTTGCTTAGAGATGATACTAGCAAGACGACCTAACAAATGGCCTATTCAAAATATTTCGTATTAGGGCAACTGAAAGACCTGTCATAAAAATTTTCGTCTTACCTTTGCCGTCAATAACAATTGTCTACCATTAATAATAAAAAAAAAAATATGCGTCAGAGCTCGGGTTTCTAAAACGAAACTGTTGAAGGTTATTTCTGCTGCATTACCTTTTCGAAAGTAGACATGGTTGAAATTCTATGAGAAAAAGAGAAAGAGCAAAAATTTTCAGTATTTTCCACCCTGTTTTCTGGCCGACGAAGACCGTCTAAGCCACATGCTTGTAAACAATTTTTTCGGCGGGACTGGAGAGAGAAACTCAGGTTTAATTGTATACATTTGGTTGGTCAATATAAACCAATAAAATTGTCACTATGAACCGGTTTTTAAAAAGCAAAAAAAATGCAAAGTACAGACACAATTTTTAATGAACAAAAGTGCTTTATATCAAATGAACTGAATTCATATGATCCATACACGCCTAAAAAATTCATTCATCTTGAATTTCCATCTTCTTTGATGATTTTTTTGAGGTAGCGGCTATTTCTGTCGAGCTAATTGTTACCATCATTAGAGGAGGAGGTATATTCAATAAACAGGTATTAAAATCCGGAAAGTTATTCTTTAATGACTTTACCATATTCACAACTTCAACAACAATTTTATGGTAGGCCCAGACGGAGTAAATTGTAGGGATCAAGGAATTGAATTGGGAGATTTGAGCACCAGTGCTGATGGATTTGTAAGAGGTCACACGAGAAACATACATTGTAGGTCTATCCAAACTAATCATCCAACTGTTGAGGCCGCCGTGTATAAATCTGACTGTCCTTAGCTGACTATATTGTAGATGTTAAGTGTTCGGAATATTCTCATAAAGTCTGTCCAGCATATCCTTGAGTGCACGTGGAAGCTTATAAATTTTTTTATATAAATGTTTTGTGCCACAAACACCACTGTCTTTCATCCTGCGAGAGTTTCTATTGACGTTTAAATGGACCTTTCTATTTTCTTCATCTTGAAAAATAGATGAACACCAATCACGAGATCCCTGTTTCATTATCACCAAATTTAATAGCTTCAGAATGGTCAGCTACATTCTGCCTAAAATCATATCCCGTCTATGGCCAAATTGAACAGGATCCATTTTTCCAAGTGATAAAAATATTATATTTCATTTATTTCGTTCAATTATTTTTGTGAACTTGAATGATTTTTCTCCCTGCTCTGTACGAATAATTTGAAAAAAAAGTGTATAACTGCTTGTTCATTTCTAAAGTATTATAATGTAGTTTCTATCTGTCGTCAAAAGTTAATTGGGGACGGGTTGATGCATTCAATTACAAGCACGAGCCAGAATTCACTATTAAGATGATGGAGAACATAGCGAACATAGATACGGAAAACTAAACAAAGATGAGCGTGTGTGTCGTATAGTATGACATCCTTAAAGGATTATAATTATTGCGGGCTTTCAGAGAAAATTATAGACTTCCTTGAAACATCGTATTTCGCTTAACATGTGCCAATCATGTCAGATATGCAAAGCTTCTATCAGATATCGCAACTTTTAGTACATACAGCCATTCTCGCGTTCTTTTTTTATAACATAACAAAAATCTAGCTTTTTATTTCAGTCTTTCTTTGGAACAACAATAAACCACATATATACTTTGCGTGTGTGTTTTTGTTTTTTTTTTTTATTAATAATTAACAACTTTTTTTTTTTATGTATAACAAACTAAAGGTTTTCAGTCTTGAGAATTTCAGCCACTGTGGGATCAATACGAGGTTGCAAAGTACTGAGAACCTTGAGGGCAGCAGCAGCACGTTCACGTACCACATCACTGGTAGAATCAGAGTATGACTTGACAAATGTACGTTGCAATTGAGGCAAGAAAAGCTTGAGATGCATAGGCACCTTATGTAACATCAAGATCAAAGTCTGTAAAATAGCAGCCTTGACTTCAGCAGGGTAACGGTCACCCAAAATACGAATAAGGGGACCTGTGATTTGTGTGACAAAAGGCTTGAGTGCAGCAGCAGACGTACGATCAATCAAATCACCAATAGCAAGTGCGGATTGTTCACGAACATCAGTGGATCCGTACATCAAACCTTGTAAGAAGATGGGTAAGATACAACTGATACCCTTGGGTAAGTTGAAACCAGGAATATCGATACCAGAAGCACTGACAGAGGTAATGGCACGCTTGGTAGGCACCACTAATTCTTCGTATTCTTCCTTGGGTAAAGACTTGGTCACAGCAACCAAAGCGTTCCAAGCAGATTGAATAACTTGCTCGGAAGGATCGTTCAAGAGTAACAAGAGCAAATGGATCCAATCGGGAATATAGTATGATGAATCTAACTCAGTCTCTGTAAAGAATTGTGTAACGACATCACAAGCAATAGCACGCTTCACTGGGTCATCATCACGAGCATATTCCATAAGATCAACAGTCAAGGTATGCAAACCATCATCTTCATCCACAGACATCAAGAAGGCTTCGGTAGTAGCCTTGAGTGCCTCAATGGTTTCTTCGTCCTCCTCTTGCATGAGAGATTCAATAAGTGCTTCAAGGATAGCTGTTAAACGTTTGTTAAGTGCAGGACCAGCAACAGTTACGAGCGAAGCAAGAGCACGAGCATTGAATGCACTGATAGGAACAGAGATGAGATTAGGAATAAGTACAGGGAAGACAGCGTTGGAACGAACGGACATGATTTCTTTGAGGGCAGATAAAGCATAAGCTGAAGTTTCGTCGGAAGATTGAAGCTTGTTGAGCAAGGAAGGAAGGATGACATCAATAGCCTTTGAACCAATGTTTTGATTAAGCGTATCGAATGCTTGAGCAGCAGCTTCACGTACTTCATCGGAGGGATCACACAAGGCTTGTTTAATGGTGGGGATAATTTGATCGGCGAAATCCATAACTTGGACACGACCAACAGATGCCATGATCTCACTGAAAGCAACGGTAACACCAACACGAGTAGCCTCATCATCCGAGTTCATACCTTCTTCAAGGACAGGTAAGATTTCAGGAAGAATACCTTCACCCAACTTGGAGACAAGTTCACTGAGAGTACGTCCAGCAACAGCACGTTGTTCAAAGTTATCACTAGCCAAACTCTTGATGATCATGGCCATCATAACAGCCAAAATATCCTTGAGAGTACGAGGTGTGTTGGCAACAAGAGCCTTCCAAACTTGGAGCGAAGCTTGTCTGACAACACCAGAAGAATCTTGACGAACAATATAAAGAGCAGCCAAGATACGATCTCTTCTCTCCTTACCCAAAATTTCCACGAGTTGTTTCTTCTTGGAATCACTACCATAATCATCATGAACAGCATCGGCATCTTCATCACCGAGTTCTTCCACGTTACCGAGGGCCATATCACTGTTCTTGGAGGAGATACCGGTGATACGGAAGAGTAATTCACCCACAAGTTGAACGGAACTTTGACGAATACGCCATTTATCATCGAAGAGACCCTTCTCTAATTCGGGCAACAACAAATCGACAGCCTTAGTAGCATAGTTGGTGACAATCATACGACCAGCACGGAGCGATGCTTCACGTACATATTCAGACTCATCAGCAAGACCCATAAGAATAGGAGGAATAATGCGACCCAAATAAGGTTGGAAGCGAGGACCGAAGGTAGCGGGTAAGTAAATAAGGAGAGAGATAAAACCTTCACGGACATACGAACGAGGTGAATCGGCACTAGAGATAATCTCAGGTAAGAGGCCATCGAGACGCTCAAGACCAAGACCAGCAAGAACCTCAGAAAGACCTTGTGCGGCACCTTGTCTGTCAACTCCTCCAGAATCAGTTTTAAGAATATCAAGTAAGTCAAGAACAAGACCAGGGAAATTCTCTTCACCCAATTTCTCTACAAGAGCACCCAATGCCTTGGCAGCGGTACCACGAGCAGCAGGAACAGGATCCACAAGAACTTCGTTAAGACCGGGCAAGATGATATTAAGGTAAGGTACAAGATCCTTTTGATCGGTCAAGGAAGCCATGTTACCGACAATTTGAGCAGACTTTGTCTTGATCTCAGTAGCACGTTCACGAAGACCACGTTCCAAGATAGGCATAACCAAAGCAAGAGAAGGAGGATCAATGTAATGCACAAATGAGGTTTGTAAAAGAGCGGAAAGAGCAGGAGATGTCTTGGTGTTAGGATCACAAAGAGCCTTCAATAAGACAGGAACAAGTTCTTGAATTTCAGGATTACTAATGACCTCACCAAAGAGTTGAAGTGAGCGGTTAGCAGCAGCTTGAACTTGAGAATGGGTATCAGCCAAAACCTCAGAAATACGGGGAATAATATTGGGGAGAGAGATAGATAATTGTTTAGGTGCACAATAGGCCATGGAACCCAAAAGTTCGACAGAGGCCTTCTTGGTACGCCATTGACGTTCTTCCAAACCTTCGAGGATAGAGGGCAAAATAAGCTTAACACAATGACCACTGACTTTACTCATAATCACACGAGCAGCATCAGAAGAGGCTTCACGGACATCCATGTTAGCATCACTAGAACAGACAAGCAAAAGAGGAATAATCTGAATAATATAAGGTTCGAACAAACGACCCAAAGTAGCTGACAAGGTCTCGAAAGCGAAAAGAGCACCTTGTCTGTATTCGTAATTACGCTTGTTATCAACAGCATCCTTCAAAGCGTTCATGACATTACATTCCTTAAGAGCAGTGATACCACGACCCTTAACAACACCAGCAAGACCATAAGCGGCACCACGACGTTGAGCATACTTTTCTCCCTTGAAAAGCTTGTTCAAAAGTGCCTTGATAAGACGAGGTACTTCTTCCTTACACATCTTGATGAGAGGGGGAAGACAATCGGCAACAGCACTTTGAACAGTTTCAGAGGGTGTATCCAAAGTCTCGATCAGTTTCTCAACAGCAGTACTGACTTTTTCGTCACCAGGGGATAAGTAACCGGCAGCACCACCATAAAGAATGACAACACCTTGACGGATAGAGTCTTGGACATCTCCATTATCAGAAGGAGAGTTCAAATGATTTTCGAAAATCTCCAAGAACTCTTCTACATCAACCTTACCATAGGCGTTGATAGCAGCCATACCAGCTTCCAACATACGCTTACGTACTTGTTCATTACGATCACCAAGTGCTTGATCTTTAATCAAGAACTTACAGAAGTTGGAAGCGTTCTCGAGTTGCATGAAAGGAGCGACAGCCTTTAATGTAAGTGCAAGACCAACACGAGCAGCCCAAGGATCTTGACGGTCCAAGGTCTCGGGAATCACCATACCGTATTCATCAAACTCAGGATCAAGAGGAGCAGCCAATTTCTTGTACATGGCATATACAGATTGAAGGGTCTCGTAGACAGACTCAGGGTATTCCTCCACAGCTTCAGCAAGTGCTTTACTAGCAGCTTGACGCACATACTCACTATCAGAAACAATATAGGTCAATAACTTGTCCTTGTACTCTTCATCCACTTCCATGGCATTGTCTTCCCACAAAATCTTGGCTAAATCAGCATTCGACTCATTTTCATCGTGACAGGCAACCCAGAGCTCGGGTGAATAATCGATATCTGTAAGATCCATGAGTTCGAGGGCTTGAAGCGAAGCAGCACGTACAAGTACTTCAGAGGATAATAAACCATTAAACAAAGCCTCAATCACACTCATGGGAACATCATCAGCCATCGCTTCACAAAGTGTAACCAAATAGGTCTTGGCTGCTTTACTGCACATGGGATAATCCTTAATACTACGCAACAAAATTTCAACCATGAGCTTACAAGGCATGATGGTTGAGGCACCATGAATACAATGGAAACCAATGATATCGATGGCCATCGTGACTTGTTCAAGAGCAGATTCATCATTCTTATCACAGTCAATAGCGCCTTGTTCAATGACTTGATAGAGGACAGGGAAACAGAAGCCGAAAGAAGCAGGAGGCAAAGGACGAGATTCAGTAATGAAACGCAAACGGAAAAGAACACGAGGGATAAGTGCACCCAATGGTTCGTCTAACCAGCGGGAGGGAATAGGACGGATGTTGTTAGCACGTAACGTAGCCATGGCGATGGCATCACGAATCACTTGAAGATCGTCAACAACACAATCGCCTAATTTAAGGTAGGTATCAACCAAGAGATCATCAACGAGGAGACCAGCGGATTGCTTGGCGATATCCAACAAGATACGAATGAAATCGTTCAAATATTCTTGAGAGGCAGTACAGTTGCCTTGAACAAGAGCAGTAATGATGTTTAAGCCCAAGACGAGCTTTTCATAAGTGACTTGAACATGAGCACGAATACCAGCTTCCTTTTTCAATTGCATGTTGACTGCGAGTTGTTCCTCTTTGGTCAATTTTTGTGCTAAACCCTTCTTTTTGGCAAGCTCGGCACGAAGATCGTCTTCCCATTGATCATCACTGTTACCCTTACGGTTACGACTCTCTACTTTTTTATCCTTCTTAAGAACATCGATGAAGGCAACGTCGGCAGGGGATTTCCAGATATTGCAGTCTAATTCGGTAATGTTGGCCATACAGCCAGGGGATAAGTTTTCATTCACAATCTCGTAAAAGTTGTACATGATTTTGGGTGAAATAAAGACCAAGGTGGAAATGGCAGACAATGCAGCTTCATAAAAGAGTTGAGACTAAGGCAAAAAATAGGGTTAAATTTTCTCTCTCTCTCTTTCTCTGTCGCGTGACATTTATACAACTTGTTACCTCTTGACGTGCTTGCAAAGTTTCCTTTAAAATATCTAAAAGTTTAGCAGATTTTTCCTTGACTAATTTTCCAGGATCAACGTTAGCACGCTGCACCAAGGTAATCCAGTTATATTTATTGGTAGGAGAAGCGATATATTGATGATGTGATAACAACAAGAGATCGATCAATTCGACACCCTTAGCAGATTCAGCCAAATCATCAGCATAGGCTGTCATGGCGTTCAAAACAGAAGCAAGACGTGCAGTGGCAATTTCCTTCTTATAACTTTCAGCATGTGTAGCAGACACAGCAGTTGAATCCTTGGTATTGTTTTCGATATCCAATAACCATTGCTTGAGTGCCTTCTTCATATATTGACTCAACTTGCGAGGATCAGCTGCTGCAAGTGCAGATGTTTCCTCATATGCAGCGTTACGGACAGTGTATTCGGGATGCGAAGTGATAACCCAGATAAGAGCCTGGGCAATAAAATATCCAGCTCCTGTCTTTTCCAAAGAGGCTTCGGTTTCATTCTTGAAAACGTTGACGAGCGAACGCACAAGCCAGAGTCCTTCTTCAGGAAGCACAGCTTTTGTATAGATACGATCCCATAACAAATAACTGGGCTTGGGGGAAGTGACTAACAAAGAAGAGGGGTATTTTTGGGTCTTGAGGAGATCAACAACGGGTTGAGGAATACTGGGCCAGTGTTGAATACGGCCAGAAACAATAGAGATGGTCAAATAAGCTTCCACAGGTCCATCCTTCCATAAAAGTGGTTTATCTACAATCGTGTTGAATGTCTTGAACAAGGATTGAAGGTATTTAACAACGTTGGCACTTAAAGTAGCACTGGGTTGTTGATGATCCCACACCGTGTTACCCACAACGTTGGCCCATCGCTTTCTAGCTAAAGGTTTGGCTGAACTTAATCCATCTGTAGAGGTCTTGACAACCTTTTGAACAAAGTCAGGGTGAGCGGCACAGAATTCATCATTGTAGATCAAGACTGTTAAGTGGCGGCCAATTCCATCCACAGCAGCAGCCATGGCTTGTTCATGAGCTTCTTTAGCGGTCATAGCGAAATAACCCTCTAAAGCCTTTTGACTGACTGCAGGTTCAGCAACTTGAGCAAGCGATGAAAGAGCATTGTACATAATGACACGATGTTCCCATGAATTCACTTTACCGCTGGTCAAGAGCTTAGAAACACCTTCGGCTACTTTGATCAAACTATCGCGGTCGGAACAGGCAGCGGCTAAAGCTTCCCAGAATGCCTTGGCTCCTTTCACGGTGGTGGGTGAGGTGGAGCGTAAATGGTTGAGAAGAGGATCTAACCACTTTGATGCAAAAATGCTGGAAGGATCGAAAGAAAATGCTGGTGTCAAATGTGCCAAAGCTATAAATAATAAAGAATTAACACAAATCGCACATAAGCTTATATACACACACACACACAAATGCATATTTTATAACGCATCAAAATGGTTTTGATTTTTACCCTGTAAAACAATCTCGGGGGATCGAAGCATCATCTTATCAAGCACAGGTAAATATTCAGCTTCAAACTTTTCCTTGGTGATGTTGGATTGGACAAAATCGTGAAAGGCATCTAAAGCAGCGGCATGTACGGCAGTTCTTGAAGAAACAATGTTCTTCAAATAATACTCGGTCAATTGGTGTTCGACGTTTTTAATCATGACAGGTCCATCCTCACGGTTCTTGAGACGTAAGCTCACATCGACAATGGTGCCAATCAAGACAGCATTTTTGAAAGAAGGTGTACATGTTTGTGCGTTGGCAAGTGCCACTTGAAGCATGACAGGGATGGCGTCGGCGTGAAGTCGGATGGTACGTCGAACATCGGCTACGGCACTTTTAGCAATCGTCTTTTTTCCATCATCCACAAGTGAATCGATTAATACTGCTTGGGCGCTTAAAATACTGGCGAAGAGGGCATTGTTGGCGGCTTGTTCGATCGTCACTTGCTTTAAAACACTGGTGAATAATACATTGACCCAACTCAACAAGACAAAACGGTCTGAAGCAGCAGATACACATTCACTATAAACAGGTATGAATAATTTGATGCAAGACCTTTTTTTTTTTTTTTTCTTGTTACCCTGTAGGCTTGCGTTTGCCACATTTCTCGGCTTCTCTAGCAATGACAGGAACGAAAACTTTTTGAAAGACTTCAGGGTTCCAATTATTTAATTCTTTAATGACTTCGATAATCGCATGACGTGAAGCACGATCACGGTAACGAGCAATGGTGAGAAAAATCAAATGTAACAAGGAAGGAAGTGCTTCCACGGGGAGATCTATAGAAATGGAACATGAGTATCCTACAGTCAATCGAGTCACCGTTATTTTCTTTTCAAAGTGTATACCTTTTCTGCGAAGACGAATTAAAAGTGAATGGTTTAAAAAGTCTAATCGGTCAGACACACCCGAATTAGTAATGGTCGTCACGACTCTTGTCTTTATGAACTCTGGCCAACCGAGTTCTCCTGTATTCTCTTGTGATTCTGCCATAGTCTAACGAGAGATGAAATAAAGAATAAAAAAGATTTTTCGCCTCACTTTTGAAACTCATATTTGTATGAAAAAAAAAAAAAAAGGTCGCGCAATAAAATTTATGGCTGCGGTTGACATTTGAGAATTATGCTCTATTTTTATGAAGATACAGGTACTGTTGACTGGTTGCGTGAAACCCACTATACAACGCATTCCAACCGTTTTTTTTTGTTTACCTGCCGCAATAATAAGTTGATCAGCCATTCTACCAGGAACAAAATCGTATCATCCAACCTCTGTCTATGCAAATTTATGTCTACTGAACCCTCCACTTATTGATGGGAACCAAAATATATATCTCCAAAGAGGAGGACGAATATTCATGCAATAGCCCGAAGTAGGTTAATCCGCAGCAATGCCTTAATCTTACAAGTAATTTATCGGAAAACATCGCCTCGCCTTCACCTGGCTGAACATACTGTCTGAATGCTCTCTCCTCTAGAGAGCACCACTTTATTTCTTGTTTTAACTATGGCCTATCTGGATATTATGCATCCACATTTGTACTGCTATTTCGATCCATAACAACATGCATATTCAGAAATGGGTCACAGATGCAATATTCCAACTTGATTTTCAACCACTTATAACTGTTTATTGGCGCAGATGGTGGGATCCCTACTTTATGCGATTTGGCTCAGACATATCATCTCGCTTCTTACCCACGCTTAAATAAGTCGAAATCACACTAATTAAGTCCTCTTGAACCTCATTGTCTAAATGAGTAAAACTCATATTTTACCCCCCAACAGTATACTCATCGTTTACAACATTTAGAAGAAAATGAGAGAGAAAAAAGTTTTACAACTCTCCCACAACCTTGTTGTGCTGGTTTTAATTGTATTTACACACTGCTTATTCCAAATAAAGATACCACCAACCTTATCAGTTTGCGCAGCATGAAAGGTCGGCATGTTCACAATTAACTCCATTTACAAGCAAAGACCATTTCTCCATCACATAAAAAGTGGTTTTTATTATAAAAAAAAAATGGAGACTCGCTAGCCAGTTTCTAAAAGAGAAAACTGCCCAAGTGCAACTGCGAGGAAGTCAGTCTCCGTGTGCACTCACTCACTTTTTATTAGTTTTGATGGCTCACAAAAAGGGCTCCCGTGTATCACCACAAGGAGGTCAAAACACCATGTTCTCAATCTATGAACGTTCTACCCCTTGGGGGTTTCACTTATTCATTGACCAATTCCGACTTACACGACGAGGGACCCATTTCTTCCGAACTCAGGAGTACACAACCGACAAGTAGAATGTTACTTTCGAATCACCAAAAAGACAACTCCTACTCTTAAGCTAGGGCACCTGAAATATGCTCCAAACGGTAAAAAGTGAAGTTGAATTCACCTTGAGTAGCTTGTTAAATAATTTCCCCTAAACCTTTCTCTACATTATACCGAGTGGGGAAGGTGACGTTACCCAGAAACTACTCATAATCGTCCAATATCCCAGCAAAAAAAAAAAAGCCACGAAACCTGGCATCTTGGGAATCATCCAAAAGCACCCAGTGAAGAAATGCCTAGACAACAATCACCCCAAAGTGGCACACGATAACGAAATACCTTGACGAAGCAACTATCCTGGAGCGCAAGTGGTGCCGTGTGACTTCAAGTACAAACACCAAGGACTCACCCTCAATGAAGACTTTTGGCACGAAGAAGAAAGAAAGAAGGAAAGAAAAAAACGCCCAATTTTTTTTTTAATCACTTTGTAAACAAACAGTTTGACGTCAACTGTTTGTGCGCAGTAATCATGCATATATATAAAAGAAGTACTTCATTTTAGAGCCAGCTTATCTTTGAGCAATGAGTGTCTATAGCGCACTATAAACGCTGGATCCAAGTATTACATTTAGTGTATCACATACCAGTTCAACCATGATATCAAGGCCTCTCTGTCTAGCTATCAAATCAAGGTCTCATCTATCTAACCATCCATCATGCTAATGTCTCAATTATATATTAGTACGGGACATTAATATCTAAAGATTACCAAATAACGATATAAATACCAGAGCAACTTATGTGTTAAATAAAGGATTCTCTTATATTTGATTGAAACTATTGTCTCATAGACATCGGATATTACACTGTTTTAAGGCTTTTTTATTATCTATGGTGAACTTTCAATTTCTATTTACCCTTTGTCACATCTTTGCGCAATTGTTCTTTACATTGGGAGCAGACCAAACTTGGCTTTTATAGTGGTCAAAACCGACCCTTGCTACTTTCACTACTGTCATTAACCAAATGATAAAATTTCTAAACCAGAAAAATTAATGGCACCGTCTAACATTCTCTTAACCTTTAATTGCACGGTCATGCCCCCCCCCCAAATTGATCTGCGCCCCTGGGAGAAATGTAAGATCGTGTACCTTGTCTTTCAAGCACAGTTGTACTGGTCATACATCGTATTTAGCTGGGATCATACTGTTATTTTAGCAGCTTTTGAGACTCGCATCGAAAAATGTACGAGTCATAGCTCATCTCAAATTTTTTTTTTAAAATGCCTTATATGAATGTGATTGTAAATTGCTCATTGACTGTAATAAATTAGTAGTACAATTCTTTATCGCTTTACTTCCTCAATTATACTAACAAAGTTTGTGGAATACAAGTGATGAGGTTATTTTCAGCCACCAAACTTTGACTTTATAATATGATCTTGTTCACATCATCAACTCTGGCTGGTGTTCTACAAAAACATGATTAATATTTTGTTTTTTTAAAAAAAAAAAAAGTTAAAACATGAACTAACCTTCGTGTAAGTCAACAAGGCGTGAACTCCTGTTTCAGCAATAGCATCATCAACTAGGCTCACTCTTTGATTATTTTTGAGCTTACGAGCAGATTTTCATTACCGTTTGCAGATAACGCAACAGTGTCCAATCACTAGGATTGTCTTTGATCTAGAGATCTAAGAAAAAAAAAAAAGGTTTATGCAAATTCAAATTCTTGATTCGAACCCGAGCAAAACTTTTTAGGCGACCATGCGTCAAAACCAATGAGCATATTCGTTTGGGTATACCACTTGGCATAATTATCTGTGTGAATTGGTGCTCCATCGCAGTCTGATCGCTTTGTTGAATGAGCCTAGTTTGGCTAATGATAAAGAAGAAGAATGAAACGCGTTCAGCCACAGCCACAGAATAACAAATGATTAGCTATGACATTAAATGTAACATACTTGTGTTATAAAATGTCACAGTTACACAGCATCTCTGATTAATGCAAGAATCAATACTGCGGCCATAGTACGAGTATTGTGTCTAGAAATACAAAGGGCCCTACCTTTTGGTTACTTGAGTAGAATTGCTCTTGCAATGATATCACATCTACAATTGCAATAATGCAGCTGGCTATATACCTCTGCAACACGTAGGGTTAATTTCTAGAAGGGATGCAAAAAGATGAAAAAGAGAGAACAATGCCGAGATAAAATTACAATTATCGCACTTGAAACAACTTGATAAATTTTACTCCACGCTACAATAAGAATAGCAGATATAAATTATTTTCAGTTTTTAAATACTGCTTCATATCACTCGGGGGGGGGGGGGGAAAGGACCACTAGTGCAAGACACATGGATGAGAAAAAGAAAAGTTAATGCCAGGTACAAAGTTTTCCCTACTTTCAGATATTTTAGAAACAAACAACTGTGTATGTTGCTATTATAATTAGGTAAAAAAAAAAAAAAAAAAATCGACATATACAGACAATAGTAAAAGTTTTGGCCAGCATTTTTTAAGTTCTTATCAATTTACAAACGAGTATGTTTCTCTCTAATACAAACACACTACCTGAGAATCTTTGTGTTTAGTAGAATAAAAATACAAGGATGTGTGACAGAAGGGTGCTACTTGATATTGATCTGCAAAATGATAAAAAATGTGGGTGTTTACCCTGGCAAGCTGGCTTATTGTTTACCAATTTTTTTATTATTTTAGCCGGGTTTTTTTTTTTATTTTAGTTACGCAATAAAGTTGTGTGATACATGTACCATTTGACTTGTAAATATATATTTTAGACTGATTTCTATTACCACGTCAAAAAAAAAAAAAAAAAAAAAAAAGCTAAACTCAGTAAATGAATGCGGTTGCTAAGGTTATTATGGAGCAGGGGTATCCCCCTTTTTTTTTTATTCTTTTACAGAGTCAAAAGGAGTCAACAACAGTAGCAACTTTGTGTGATATGATTATAATTGTGCTGCTGGAAGAAAAATTGCATAAAACAAGGACTAAAATAATAAATTATTATCTAAACGGGGTCAAATGATATTTAACTAGTGGGGATTTGCATGTGATGAAATCATGTACATATTTTTATCTTATTCTTGTCATTAAAACAAGTAGTTAGGTCCAATGACATGCTTAGCATATACAGTAAAAAACTAAAGGTATATCATCCGGTCCTCTCCCTATTTGTGCTATGTGCAAATGACACGCAGCGTATACGTGTGTGTGTGTGTGTGTGTACAGATGAGATATGTGAGTTTTTATTTGACACACCAAAGATGACTAGTTTTTATTCTTTCTCTGTAACAATGAGATGACCCCTCTATTTTCTCACTGTCCCACTTAACACCTATAGATGGAAACGGTATTTCTGTTTGTTGTGTCTATGAGGGTGGTAATGAATGAAAAGAACAAAGACGGTATTTTAGAGTTTTTAAATGAAATTACGAAACGTTTATTTCCAGACCCCGTGTGAACATTTTTTTTTTTTTTTTGCATTAATGGATCAAATTTTACTGTGTTTGGGGGGGGGGGGGATCTGCGTCATGGAGACTTTCTTTTTTTTTTATGCTCCGGTAAAATCCTTTTCCGTTAGGGGATTACGAACACAAAAAAAAAAAAAACATCAGGTGGTTTATTCATCATGTCACTTTGCATTTTTTTTTTTTTAAATAAACGATGATGGAATTTTAATGTATCGTGTTGCCACAGCAGGCACAAAAAATTTTTATTTTTTTATTTCTTGATCTGGGAGATTAAAAAAAAAAAAAATCTATTTATACGTTTTATATAAACTAATGTGTAGCACTTGAACAAACTTCCATAAATGGTGAGAGAGAGGGGGTAGATATGCAAGGGGGAACGGATCCAGAACGAAACTGATTTCTGGTTACACGGTGAAAATCTTTTTTTGCCAAAAATCGAATAGCCGAGAAGGGGAGATACACAGATTTATTTAATGATTAAGAAAGTAAAATTATATAGTGAAAAAAAAAATTAAGAAAGAGTAAAGGTGGGGGGGGGGTGTCTGCTAAAAATGATCTCTTTTTTGGTTTTGTTTGAATAGAATAATAATTAGAATTCAAAAAAAAAAAAAAAAAAAGTTATTTTGGTAGAGTGGTACTAGAGATTTAAGCAGAAGATTGGATAGCAGGTAACTTGGAAGGATGTTCTTCTTCCTTTTGAGCAAGATGCTCAACAGCAGCATTCTCAATGGTATCAGCAACAGCCAATTCAGGCACAACAGTAGTCTCCTCAGCAGCAGCAGTAGTAGTAGTAGCAGCAGTGGGTTCTTCAGCAATCTCCTCCTCCTTCTTTACATCTTCCACAGTAGGGACCTTCTTCTTGCTAGAAAATCCACGGAACATTTGTGTGATACGACGACCTAAAGGAGATCCAGGTCGAGACACAGGTTTTTCCTCGGGTTGAACAGGAGCTTCAACTGCTAAATATATATATAAAATTTAATTTTATCACACTATAAATTCACATGTGCATTTCCTAAACTTACCAGCAACAGCAGGCTCCTCTTCTACCACAGCAGCAACAGCAGCAGTGGGTTCTTCTGTAGTAACATCAGCGGGGGTTTCTTCCTTGTGCTCAACTTCCTTCTTCTTGTTGAAGAATTTACCAAGGGGACTACGTTTAATTTGATCAATGACGTTTTCCTTTTCATGATGTGTTTGAGGTTCCACAATAGCTTCCTCATCTACTACACCTGTAGCAGACGCAGCAGCAACATCGGCAGCAGCAACATCACCACCACCAATAGCAGCAGGTGTCTCCTGAACCTCCTTATCCGATGCTTCGGGCTTGGCAACTACTAAACGTTTTTAATATAAAAAAATAATTAGATTAATATAGAAATGTATATTTACCTGTTGTAGTAGTAGCAGCGGCAGCAGGTGTAACTTCAGCTTCTTTATGGACTGGACTCTAAATAAGGTGTACAAGATAAGTTTGAAAGGTATAGATCAAGTTAGGGCCATGATTGAGTCACACCAGCTCATGCACAAAAAAAAAAAAAAAAAGTATTATTATTATTATTATTATTTACCTTGCTACGGAAAATACCCGCCAAGATAGATTTACGCTTTTCTGATTTGGGCTTGACTTCCTCTACGGGCTCTTCAGCGGTTGTAGTTTCAGGTTCGGCAACAACAATGGGTTCAGTTACAGCAGCAGCGACAGGCTCAACATGAGCAGGTACCTCAGACTCAACAGCAGAGGTACTAGGTTCAACAATGTCTTCCTTCTTGGGAGAGGTAGGCTTCTTTTCATGTACCTTTTTATCAACATAGCTCTTGGCCTTACCGAGAAAGATGGAAAGACGCTTAGTAGGATTGGACTTGGAAGGAGAAGGATGAGGAGGAGAGCTCACGGCTTCACCCTCTTCTTCAGTAGTAGCAGCGACAGGAGTAGGGGGAAGGGCAGGTAACTCACGAGTCTCGGTGGTCTCGGCTACAGGTGTTTCCACCACAGGAGCAGTTGCCTCTTCAACGTGAGGTGTGGGTGTATCCACAATGGCTTCAGTAACAGGATGAGTAGACATGATTATTTAAAATGTTTGTTTATATCGAGAAGAAAAAGAAGAAAAAAGAAGAAAAAAAAAAAAAGACAATGTCAATATATCGTGATTCAAATCAAAAAAAAAAAAAAATGTACAACGGAGAATGAAAAAAAAGAAAGAATACATCATTTGGTTTAATATAAAAGGAAACACGTGAGATTTGTATGTGTATGTGTAACTTTATAAAAAAAAAAAAAAAATTAAGCACGAGCAAGACGAGCGTTACGAGCTAATTGACGAGCATTGAGCTTGACAATCTTCTTGTCATCAGCACGGGGAACAACTTCATCCTTTTCGGTAAGAACAACCTCAATATGAGAAGGAGAACACATGAAGGGGTTAATTCTACCGTGAGCACGGTAAGTACGACGACGATGCTTGGGAGCTTGGTTGACAACGATGCTGGAAATGTAGAGTTCCTCAACGTTCAAACCCTTGGCCTACACACACACACACACATTGCATTAGTCTCTCTCACTCTACTTTTTCACAACCATTCTACTACTAATTCAATTTACCTCGGCGTTGGATTCAGCATTCTTCAAGAGGTCAGTGACAAACTTGACAGACTTGACGGGCCAGCGACCTTGAGTGGTACCAAATTCCTTGGCTTGGGCATGACGACCGACACCACCGTTGAACTTGCGGAAAGGAATGATTTGCTTGTGCTCGGTGACGTTGTTAAGGTAGGTATAAGCCTTGCTTAACTTTAAGCCCTTGACGGCAACAGCAACTTCATGGGTGTTCTTGAACTATATGTGTATGTATACATTCGGTTAGCATTAACCCCATAACCCTCTCTCTCTCTCTCTAATCTATACATACGTGGACACGGAGGTAAGAACCTCTGGACTTGGAAGCTATGTATACAGATAAGGTCAGCGGCCCACTTTAATGTGTCGTGATAATAAGACTTACCCTTAGCAGGGTTGGCGGGGGTAGCAGCGTATCTGACCATATTTAATTAATAGAGTCTAAAATAGATAATGTATTTGAATACTTTTTTCAATTGTAATTAATTTTTTTTTTTTTTTTTTGGGTGTGAAATTGAAATGAATGAATTCGAGATGAGTGACATTGAAATGAGAGAATCGGAAATGTCCCAAGCTTTCTTTTTTTCTTCCCCCTCCAGCAACTTTTTTTTTTTTTAAGTGGTGACTTATTCAAACACTTCAATCCATTTCAAACCAAAAAAAAAAAAAAAAAAAAAAAAAAAAAAAAATCATCTCCCTTGATCCCCCATTCTTCCTTTTTCCATACAAATCATCCTTTAGGATAAATTATCTTACGTTTTTTAATACGCACAGCAAAGAGAGAGATTTCATCCATCTTGGAGCACTTCCCCTCCCTTTTGACTATTAGCCTTGATTGGATCTCATGCCTGCCTCTCTCTCTCTCTCTTGTTCTCCTCTCCCCCTCTCTCTCTTCATGAACTCCGGTCACCGGACTGTCACGTGAGAGAAACCGGACTTTGTTCACGCATGAAAGACAACACTTTTTTTTTGCATATACTTTATTATTTGAAACACGTTACCTTTATTTCATTACTATTACAAAAGGGGTAAAGCGAGAGAGAGAGAGAGAGTGAGATAAAAGGGGAGTGTCCCCCCCCCACAGAGAAAAATCAGTTTTTTGGTTGAGTTTGTAAAGTAATCGATTAGCTCTTTATGAGGCCTACACGAGTATGTGTCGATCCCCTTATGGCCTTGGGGGAGGGATGAGGGAAAGGTTGGGTTTGCTGCGCCCTTTGTCATTACTCTCTTTAAATAAAAAACAAACAATACCGGTACCCAATTTTCCTTATTTTAGTTTCTTTGTTTGTTTCCAATGCCCGCCTTGAACAATAGAAAAAAAGAAATACTTGTAATGTCTATCTCGAAAGACGACCTTTTATTTTGTTTGAGTAACCCCCTACAGATTTTGACACTTGAGTAGGAGAGGGCAAGAGACACTAGTTTATATATAATATTAGAGATTTGAATCTCCTACGAATAATGAGACAGAGAGTAGAGTAGAAAGAGAGAGAAAGAGAGAGAGATAAAAAAGGCTCAAAAAGCACGGGTGTCCTGCTGTTTACATTTTATTTAAACTTGTCCCTATTTTTTTTTTTTTTTTTTTTTCTTCTTCTTCTTCTTCTTCTTTTTTCTCTCTCTCTTCTCCTCTCTCTCTCACACACACACACACATTTTTTTATAATAAACATCATGACGAAGAATAACAAGGAAAAGTCTTCCTTCTGGAAAAAGCTTGGACTTGGAAAGAATAAAACCTCTGCCAGTTCAATGACCTCGGGTAATGTTTTTTTTTTTGGCATTTGATCACGAATGAAAAATGTCGTTTTATTAAAAAAAAAGTTCCCTTGTAGATAAGAATTCTATAAAGAGCAAACGACTCAGGTATACTTAAACAATCAAATGTGGTACGATTAATTAATAATATATATATATATATATATAAAAGCACACAACAATTACAGCCTCCAACCCAGGCAACAGCACCACAACCACCACCACCACTACCACAACCACTACCGGAACAACGGGCACAAAAGAAAGAACCAGCCATCATGGCTCCTCGTGTAAGCTTACCCAAAATCAAGAGTCAACTATCGATTCACGTGGACCATCATGACATTTCCAGCACTTGTAATGAATCCGTTGTGACTCCGACTGCGCATCGTAATTATCTTTTTTTTTTATGTGTATAACAATAAGAAATTAATATATATATATATATTTGCAGGAAAAGAGGAAAAGGAATCACCCATCGTATACGCTACAGAACAACCCAACATTACCAGAAATAGCGACTCTTCGTTTGTTGTTGTCCAATCAAATGATGAGACACCTGTTCCTCCTATTTTAGTGGTGGAGGAGAAAGAGGATGATGATGATAAAAAGAAACTATTGGAAACCATTGAACAGTTAAAAATCGAATTAGAAAATGAAAAGGCTACAGTTAATGTGTTACAATTACAAAAACAAGGTATAGAACTACCCCCTCTCTCTCTCTCTTACTCTCTTTTTTTTTTTTTTTTTTTTTTTTTTTTTGTTTCCCTCGTTTTGTTTCCCTAACATCTCTCTCCCTAAGCTGTGACAAAGGATCTGGATTACTTTGAATTATCAGTGGATGAATTGTTAACAGAAAAGACGGATCTCTTGCAACAATTGGAAGACGAGAAGGTTTGGATACTATCATTGTTAATTGAATTCTCCTCTAATATACATGATACACACGTAGATTAAGAATCAACAGTATTTGGACGATTTAAATCTATCATTAGAAAAACAAAAGGCAACGGCTGATAATGCAAGAGGTCAGTCATTTGCAGTTGATCAAACGAAATTAGAATTCGAGGTATTTTTATATTCCTCCTCCTTTTTTTTTTTTTTTCTTTCTGATTGCAGTATTAATTATTATTATTATTATTGTTAGTCTGTACAAGAACAATGGCGTCAAGAGCAAAAGGATTTAATATCTGAAATCAAAACAAAAGATAAAACTATCCGAGAACTGAGGACAAAGCTAAATAAATTTACAGATCAAGTAGAAGCCCTTCAAAAGGCTATGGAGAGTTTAACTAAATCACATTCGGAAGAATTGAGTCGTTTAGCTGCTGAAAAGGAAAAATTAACAGCATGGACATTACATACACCCAGTGGTTCTCCACGTATTCAACCAGAATCCGTTATTCATCCATCCACAGCAGAGGAAGAGGAGGAAGAAGAGTGGTCACCTCGTCCATCGTCTGTCTTGCCTATCCCTTCTTCTTCTTCTTCTGCAGTAGCTGTCGTCCAACAAGATGATTTAGACAGTCAACTCAGAAGACTAACCAAGCAAAAAGAAAAGGTTTGATACTCTCTTCTTTATTATCATTACACGTTCTAATCTTTTTTTTTTATTAATAGCTTCAATCTACTTATTCAAAAATCCCCTTGACTGGTGGTGGTCCTCAGTCTCGTAGACGTAAAGAAGAATTAGAAGCCATGTTGGATCAAGTTGATTCTCAATTAAGCAAAGTCAAGCAAAAGATCAGACGCTCTTAAATGTATTCCCCCACTTTCTACCTTTTTTTTTTTTATTATTATTACACACATATAATTAATCTGTCAAATCTTGGCATACTATTATGCTCAGCCAAAGAAAAAAGTCTTGGAGCTTCTATTTATAAAAAAAAAAAAAAAAAAAAAAAAAAAAATCCCGGCCCGGGTTGCCCATTGTTCTGTGCGTGCATAAATAAAGCAGAAAATTTCATTTTTTTTTTTTTTTTTTTTAATACTCCATCTCTCTCTCTCTCCATGCCAACTACAAGAACACCCAAAGAACTCAAAGGTACAATGGTTACCGAGTCTTTACAATAATAAAATACTCACGCCTTCTTTTTTTTCTTCTGTTGCGTAGCCGATATTCAAAAAGCGGTTCAAATACTCGAACTATTTACAGGTAACAAAAAAAGAATACAATGTCGTCATCGCCCTTTTTTTTTTTTACTTATTTGTGTTATAGACCCGAACAAGGGACGTGATGTCCAAACACTCATTCCACCCAGTGTATTACGAGAAGCTCATGGTATTGTCTTTATTCGACTGTACCGCATTGGTTTCATGATTTCCGCTAAAGGTGGAACTGGCATTATCATTGCCAGGTAAAAAAAAAAACAAAATTCATTGACCCTAAACTTCCTTCTGACTCTTTTTTTTTTCTCATTCCTTAGACTTCCCGACGGCTCTTGGAGTGCACCCTCGGGCGTTTCCATGTCCTCTGTCGTAAGTTACAATAGAAAAAAACCATAGAACAACACTAACGATACAATAGGGATTCGGACACCAAGCAGGAGGAGAAGTTATTGACTCCATTATTGTTATGAACTACCGTGCAGCCGTCAAGGCCTTCTTTGATGGTGGAGGACAACTTCAATTAGGTGTGGGGGCTTCTTTAGCTGTAGGTCCCATGGGTCGTGCAGCGGATATTTCTGCTTCTGCTGCCAATACAAGTCATATTGCTGCCACATATGCTTACTCGGCTTCTAAGGGACTCTATATGGGTTATTCATTTGAAGGTAGTAAAATATCAGAACGGGTGAATACCAATGCCGCCTATTATGGTCGACCCATTACTGCTCGAGATATCTTGACTGGTACTGTACCCCCACCCCAAGATGCCGCAAGACTCTATGATATCTTGAATTCCTTGGGTGCGGGTCCTCGTCCTGGTCTACCCTTTGCCTCTCAGAAATCAAAGAGAACACAGAGCATGAACTTGAATTCGTCTACCGCCACCACCACCTCTGGAAGACCTTCTCCTGCTGCTATATTACCACCGCCTGTAAATTATGCTAATCGACCACCTACCACTGCAGATGGATTTGAAGAACCTCCACCACCCTATCAACCGAACGAGTCGAATGGATACCATGTCACATCACCACCACCAGCAGCAGCATCAACAGCACCACCACTAACTACACCAACAACAACAAAGGAATCCTCGTCATTTCAACAAGCGTATTTAAGCACAGGTACTGGATCACACCAGCATCATCCAACCTATCAACCGTCATCGTCTTACCAAGCAAGTTATGAACCCAATGATATGGACAGTAAAGGAAAGGGAGCTAATCGATCCATGTCATCATTATCATCACCGGTGGTTGTATCACCTTCTCCTCCAGTTGGGACGGACATTAAAAAACCTTTCCCTTTAGCTAAAGAGAAGGAGGAGGAGGAACCGATGACGGTGGTGGTGGCGAAATATGATTATCACGGCGATTCCCCCTCAGATTTACAGTTTTCAGCAGGCGATCATATTATTGTGATAAAACGTTTAGAGGATCGACAGAGTTGGTGGGAAGGAGAGATTGGAACGCGAAGAGGGTTTTTCCCTGCTAATTACACACAAGATTTAGAGTAGCATCATATTTTATTTTTTTATATATATAATTAATAATAAAGAAGAAGAAGAGAAAAGGGAAGAAAAAAAAAAGTTTAATAGTGTTTGCGACGGCCAGTACCAATAGGACCATGTCTATGCGTATGTTGTTCGGATGGATGAGAATGATATAAAGGTTGGTTTTGTACAGAGGAGTGACAGTATTGCCAAGGAGAAGGGATGGCCCACAGTGAATTCGTCGTTTCCAAGAATTGTGACGTTGGTCCTCCCGTGGTCCAGGAACACACAAAGGCCAAGAAACGAATTTTCTCTTGTTCCGTTACCACAGGCCCTGCAGTTGTTGTTGTATCGTCAGGTGTTGGTGCTTCTGAAGCTGTTGTTATTGGTGGTGGTGGTGAGGGAGGCGTCTTTACCAATTGTTTAAGACGTTCAATTTCTTGTTGATAATTAACACAAGCCTTCATGCCTGCAAAAGGATCTTTCTTCTCTTGTTGCCCACGGAGGCTCATTTCTCTCTCTCTTTTTTTTTTATTTTTTATTTTATCTGGAGGTGCGGTTTGGTATATAGTTTATTAAAAAAAAGAAGAAAAAAAAAAAAAGAAGGATGGAACAAAGCAGGCCAGAGCCTTATTACAATGAGCTAAAGGGATGTATTAAATGTATTCTTTTTGTTGTTTAAAAAAAAAAAAAAAAGAAAAAAAAAATCACAAGAGTCATGATAAAATCCTATCGGCCCCCCCCTCACACTGAAAAAAAAAAAAAAAAAAAAAAAAAAAAGTGGCTTGATAAAAAAATAAAAAAAAATCATAGGGTTCTAGAACATTTTTAAATACGCCTTCTTTTTCCTTCTATTGTCTTCTTTCTTAATTCAACCTTGACAGGTACTTCCTCTATTTGCTCTATAACCACTTGAATGTCTCGTTTCTTGTGACGGGTAGGCGTGTAACGTAACCGCTTATGAATGGCTTGAAACCTATCTGCAAATTTGGCTCGTATGTCGTCTGCCGTTTCGTATTCGGGTACATAGTACACGCGTAATCGTTGATAGCAATACACTTTATCGTCCATCATACGTTTTGCATACCTTGCAGAACTCACATTATCATACGCTAACCAACATACATCCTCCCCTTCTGTACTGGCATCATGATCATCCAACAGTCGGTAGGCCTCTACCTTACCAAATTGTCCACAGTGTCTTATAAATTCCTTTATCACTCCAATCGTCGATAGGTTCTCTACCACTAGATACCTTGACTCTTGTGCAATAGTGTACACACATACTGCTCTCGGTTTCTTGGGTTCTCTATACTCTAATCGTGTACTTGACATGTTGGAATTATGCAAACAATAAAATAAGAAAACAGAGAAAAGAAAAGAAAGAAAAAAAAAAAAAAAACGCGAGTGTGACTATTTTATTTTTTTTCCAATTTACAGCTTAAATTTACTTTCGACTTCTTCTCTCCAAACAGCCTTGGTATCAAATCGACTTCCAAGTTTAGTACAGAGAAGGAAAGCACCAGATAACTTTTTGTGGAGACCATACGTTTCATCAGGTGGAGGGGTTAAACGATGACGCAACATCACAGGGATAGTTTCACGTACACGTTGAGTAATCGTTTGATGTTGAAAGTCATAGATATCTGGTGCGTTTTTGGAGAAAGGAGAACCCAAGACCATCACACTGTCAATATGAGCATCTCGCATCACTTGTGTTTCATAACCCGTCACAAATCCCAGCTCTTTGGAATATTGCCACACGCCTTCACGATCATCACGTGCTGCAGACATCAAGATACGACCATACTGTTGTAAGAACGATTCTGAATACTCACGACAAGCTCCAAAATCTAATAATTCCACTTGACTCTGATTATAAAAGAAGTTACTCCAGTTGGGATCTGTCTGCATAAATCGGAACGAGAACACTTCACGTAAACATAATCGTAATAAATGTTCTCCCAAGTCATCTCGTACCGCCTGTGGTTCCTCTACCGCTTTACTCAGAACACGACCCTGTAATCTTTCACTCACCAGTACACGTTTTGTACATAAATCTTGTACTACACTGGGTACCTTGTATCGTGCATCACCTTCTAATAAGTGTTTGAATCGAATCGCATTATTCGCTTCACGAATATAATCACATTCCCATGCTAGTTCTTCTTTTGTCACCTTAATCGTATTATCCAGATACAATCCACGAGGTAATAAATTACTAAATGTCACTAATGCTTTTAAATTACTGAGATCACTATCAATGGATTCGGCCACACCGGGATATTGAATTTTGATCACCACAGATTCACCAGTCGAAGCTAAAGTGGCTGCATGCACTTGACCAATGGAAGCAGCAGCAATAGGAATAGGGTCAAATTCTTTAAATTGAGATCGCCACTCTGTGCCTAATTCCTTTGCCATCACTTTTTCCATTTGCTTTTGAGGCATATAATTTGCACTATCATGCACACGTAATAAAATCTCTTCTAATTGAGGTGGTAATCCACTTTTCTCCCCAGACGCTTGAATACCTTGAATACTCAACATTTGTCCCATCTTGAGTGCTGCTCCTCGCATACGCGAAAGTTTATCCACCAATCGATTCACATTATTCTCGCTCAACATGACCGATCCTTTTTTTTTTTTTTGTAAAGGTGAATACAATAGGTTGATATTCACATCTATGAATGTATTATTATTATTTTACCTGAGGTGTCTTGCGATAAACCCGTAGCTCGTTTCAAGGACTCATTAATCGCTCCCATACCCATTCCTGTAGCAAGTGTACCATAATTCCAAAGTCTACCAAATCGTGAGGTAGGAATATGCGATTCCTTTAACACTCGCTTCTTTTCGACGTCCTTTAAAATATCTTTGACGACAGGATCCACCCGAGTTTCCTCCTGTCTGTCCATGCTCGATTCTACTTTACGTGTTTCTTGCTTTTCAATTGTCGCGCTATGCTTTATGTCCACAGAGGGTTCCTTCTTTTCCACTGCTATTATCGTACTGTGCTTCGTGTCCAACTGTTCCGTAAGGGGTTCCTCCTTGACTACCGTGTGTTCGACAACGGTGGTTTCTACACGTTCTTGAGACGTCACTTCGACCGTTTGCTCGACAAAGTCAGGAAAGGGGACTTCGATAGCTTGTTCATGGTGGTCATGATGCATGGATGTAGGATTAAGTAAACTGGAAGTCTTGACATGAAGACAAAGGGACGACGATTGACTGGCGATAGCTGAAGACCCCACTTTGGTCGCAGCAGTAGCCAGCATGTACAAATCGACTAAATTACGTGTAAGTGACATATTTGACAGGCCCCCCGTACAAATAAAAAAAAGAAGAGTGTTTAAAGAAGCGGGTGGCACACTTGCGAGACTTTTTTTTTTAGTTATGTAAGTTCTTTTGACCCTTTCTTTTTTTTTTTTTTTGTGACGTCAAAAATGGTGGGGATTCACGCACGCCAATAGTGCATAATAATGAAAAGTCGTTCATGCAGCTTGTCATAATTAAAGCTTTATTATGCTCACATCCGATGAAATTATATGCGCGGGGGGGGGAGCTTTAGGGTACAGCGTACGTTACAAATAGTTCAGCAATTATCTTGTACAAACACTCAAAAAAAAAAAAAATATAAAACAAGATTTAAAAAGCTAGAGTTCCGTCCCTCATTATCGTCTACAAAGACATGATATTTTATTAAAGCATTAGTCTTTTAATACATCGCATAAAACAGGTGAGCTTAAGTCGACTAAAGGTAATGCTCTCTCGCGGATGTTACCAAACACGGCCTTCTTACTATAAGTGTTAGCTTTAATACAACTTTACATTGGGTAAGGCTGTCCATACGTATGCTCTCTCAATCTTAAAAATAGATCTGTTTAAAATAGTTTGAATAGACTAAATTGATATACTTCAAAGGAATTAGCTAATATTGTCATTGCCACTTGACATGCCGCAAGTCTTTGATTTTATCATCAGTTAATGCAACCATCATATTATGTAGTTGACACGTGGAAATACACATAAGGATACATAGAAAAGCTTGAATCGCTGATATACACACAGTTATATCAGCTAATGATATACTATCTCTTTTTGTATAAATAGGTTCGTACACCGTGTCTTCTTTCACTCTGTTTATTTTCTTTTCATAATGATGTCTTCGAGAGCAAACGTACAAATGAGAGCAAGAAGGAGTTCCACAGGCTCAAGAAGTGGAAAAGGACGTCGCACCATACTATTACGACATGCCTGCTATATCTGTGGCGGTCTGATGAGTAATGCCGGACCCACTTTAAACCACCTCTATAGCATCCATGGTTATGATCTTCCTTCTCGAGAGCGAAGCCGCAGAAGACCACAAGAGCCGGCCTATGAGTATGTACGTGATCCACAAATGGGATATGATGAAGTCCATCTTGCCTGTCCGTCGTGCTGGTTTCATTGCCCCGATGGTGATTTGGATGCGCTCTGTAAGCATACGCAAGATGAACATGATCCTGTCGAAGTGGACATGGAAAAGAGAGATGCTATGATGAGAAGACCTTCCAGAAGTCGATCCAATAGTGTTACAAGCACCCGCCAAAGCAGCCAGCCTCCCCCTCATACTACTCCCAGTCAAGAAGAAACAAATGAAACAAAACAGATTGCCAAGAAGCTTGCTGAACTAACCGAACTCTTCCAAACCTTTTTCAAGAAATAAAGTAGCTCTTCTTTTTACATCATTATTGCTTTTTTTTCTAAATAAAACCTGCGTGACATTTTTTTTTTTCATTTTTTAAAGGTCCTTTTTTTCTATTTTATCAAATTTAAACAGATGCCTTCGTTACGAGTTATCGATACAGAAGATCAAGTGTTAGAACCGATTACACAAACCTTGTGTGAAATGTAACAAACTCATCACACCATGCTTTAAAAATGAAGCATTAACACTTTTTTTTTTTTTTTTTTACTTCAGATGTCAAAAACAATTCTCAAATTATGTTTGTCCTCGTTGTAATCTTCGGTACTGCTCACTCGCATGTTACAAAGATTTACAACACGCCGAATGCACAGAGTCATTCTACAAAGACAGTGTCACTGCCGAGATTCAAAATCGAGAGTTAGATAAAGACAGTAAAAATAAAATGTTGGAAATGTTGAAACGTTTAGAAGAAGATAACGATCCATCCGATTTACTCGATCAGGACGACAATGACGACGAAGACCAGGATGAGCAACACCACGCCATGCTGGAAAGATTTGCAAATATCGATCTCGACAATACAGATCCAGACTTGATCTGGGATCTCTTATCCGATCAGGAACGTAAAGAATTCGAAGGAGTCTTGAGCGAATTACAACATTCAGGTGATTGGGATAAACTCGACTTACCGACCTATATACCTTGGTGGAAAGAAGCCATCTCACTCATCCAGGACGATGATGAAGAAGAAGAAGAGAAAAGTAAAGTGCCTGAATTACCAGACAGCTTACCCGATTTTGAGAAAATGACACAACCCGCCACACGACACAGTCCTCATCTCGCATGGAATTTACTAAATATCTTGGCCACCTATAGCTACTCCATGCGACACGCCATGGGGGATTTACTCGAGGATCCACAGGACACAATTAATATCACCAAAGCACTCTCTGCCGACGTCCTTTATTCAAACGCTGCAGAATGTCCTTATACCAGTGTCACTGACGTCGTAGGCGATATCGTGGAGCGCATCATCCAACTTGAAGATAAATCAGACATTCACAAAAGAGGCAAACTTAACAATCATAGACGTTACGATCTGAAAATTTTACTGCTGCACGATTTGCAGGATTTATTAAAGGAAAGTCGACGTGCCACTGCCGATTTTTGGCAGACCCTGAAAGCAATAGGCAAGAAGAGGAAATCAGACATCTTGGCAGCTCGTAAACTTTACTTTTACTTGGCCGCTGCCTGCTATCTAGATAAGGATCGCATCGACATTTTAAATACTGCCATCAGTCATGCATTGACTCAAACCACACTCCAAAAGGAAGACTTTCAAAAAGATTTTGAAGCGGCTCAAGATGCCATTCAACAACATCAACAGCAAAAGGAAAATGAAGCAAAAATAAAGATTCAGGAAATATAGAGGCAAAAAACATGTCTATTTTTCTTTTCTTTTCTTTTTTTTACTAAAGCTTGGCTTTATTGTTTAATCTTGAAATGGTCTTCATGATGTGAGGAACTACAGTAAAACAAAAAAAAAAAATGAGTCAAGTATTCTTCATGTTAGAAGCCCTTAATCAACTTACTGATAATCTCGGGTGTCTCATTGGGCACCATATGTGTGCCTTCAACAAATTCAAGTGTAATCATCTTTCGATTCTCATCAATTACACTAGCAGCTTCATCACGTGCAACGCTGTATACTCAAGTTAATATCAAACATACCCTTTTTGAAACCCCCCCCCCGTTTACTTACAATGAGGAACCCAATGCATATACGAAATGAATAGGAATAGTGATTGTTTTCAGTGATCGGATTGCAACAGCAGTATCATACTGTGCGTTTCTAAAAATGTGCTATAAAACGCTTGTTAGAATGCGGGATTGCATCAAATACTGCGATCTTCGATAACTTACGTATTCGGACTCTCTTGGACATTTGAGCTTGATAGTTCCCTCCTCGGTATCATACATGCCATAATTCTATTACAAACAAGAAGCGTATTGTTTTAATTTTCATCCTTACTTGCATGCACTCACATATAAATATTTACCACGTAATTGTCCAAAACTTCAGGGTGTAATAGCTTGAAAAAGCCTCTTGATGCCAAAGACTTGTGACATTCCTCACTAAATAACCCATGAATACAGATCCATATAGACTATCTTAATTTTATCTCTCCAACTTACCGATTAGGCCATTCATCGCGTCTCTTTCTGGAGGCAAGCACAGGTACCATGGCTTGAAGCTCACCAGCCAAAAAGACTCTGTTCATGACAGGCTCAATCACACACAATGCATCAAATGTATTGGGATAATAGAACTCTAACAAGATCCTACACCATGTATTTTACATAATTTAGCTCACATTGATCCTCAAACAAACATAAAAAAAAAATGGGTGAAATTCTTACATTGAAGAAGCACCGAAACTGTGACCTACACCAATCAATTTATCATAACCTGTGTTAAGTTCCATTTCTTCAATTACTTGCAGCGTATCCAATGCATTATCAGACCATCTATCTGTATAAAGACTGTGTCAGTAAGGTCATAGAGCAAAATAAGCTTTGTATTTTACATGAATCCTCAAAAATGCCTTCGTTTAAGCGAGCAGAATCACCGTGTGTACGTGCATCCCAAGCAACCATGGTGATATCGGTCTGGTCATACTCTTGTAAACTACGCAAATGGTTAATGAATCTTCTCATGAGAGGATGCAAGGATTCTTTATGGAAGCCGTTCGAATGAGAGAATAAGAATGCGAGCTTTCTGTTGGCGTTGCTTTTGGCAGGGTATTCATGTCTCTCCACAGATAGTTGTTGTTTCTCCCAGCCATCCGTTGAAGGGTGAACAGGGATAGTGTGTTTTGAGGTAGGAACAAGAAGCATTTTTTTGGGACAAGAAAGAAGAAGTGAGGAAAAAAAAAAAGGTACAGTTTTATAGTTTTTACTATTTGCGGTGAGAAAATCATTACAAATAATATTATGTTTCAGGCGCTATCAAAAAATGGGTGGATGAATGCTTTAGCCTGGCTTGATTTGGAAAATTTAAAATGACGATCCATTCACAGTCAAGATCCTCGTATTAACAAACACACAAACACACACACACACAATGTCCCAAGCTAATTCAGGGTTCCTGATATGAAAATAGCTGATCTGCATAATTTTTTTCAAAGGATAAAGCGTTTTTCCATCTTGCACTTCAACTCAAGTAAGGCGGAGTTTGTATATACAAAAAACAATTGTGTGGTTGGTCCCCCGCGTTAGTTTTCTTTTTCTTTTTTTTTCTACCTTTCTACTTTTTACTAATTAAGAAAAACTATGGATTCTGACGAAGATCTTGATTGCCCTCTCTGTATGGAGGAGTTGGATATTGCTGATTGCAGCTTTAGACCTTGTCCTTGTGGATACCAAGTAAGCAACTTCACATCCATCCATCTGTAGCTGTCAAAATGAAAGACTTATTCTCTCCATAGATTTGTAGATTTTGTTGGCATCATATCAAGACTAACTTAAATGGCAGATGTCCTGCATGGTAAAAAAAAAATAAACAAAGAAAGTCTAATAACAAAAAAAAAAAGTCATACTAACCTACAAAGAAAAGTCGTCGAGAGTATTCAGAGGAAATGGTTGAATTTCAACCTGTGAGTGCCGATGAGTATGTTCTAAAACCCAAAAAGCGTAACATATATTTTAATAAACTAAACAAATGCTATTATAGATTATCTCGTATAAGGAAAGAAAAGAGAGAAAAGGAAAGACAACAAAAGGACATGGAATCAGCGAATAGACGACATTTGTCAAGTATGCGCGTTGTTCAAAAAAACTTGGTTTACATCATTGGTCTTCATCCCAGATTGGCTACGGAAGAGGTAAGCATTCCCTTGAAAAAGAAAGAAAGAGAAATAGAAAAACATGTATTAATGGCATGTTAGATTGTGAGATCCCATGATTTCTTTGGTCAATTTGGTAAAATCTCTAAAATTGTCATCAACAAACGACCCGCTCTTCCAGCAGCTCAAATGTCGACTTTACCTAGTGCCGCGGTTTACGTCACCTATTATAAGAAAGAGGATGCCGCAAAAGCTATAGCTGCAGTGGACGGAAGTGTGATTGCTGATAGAGTGTTAAGGTAATTTTTTTTTTTTTTCATGTGAATAGTTTAAATGTTTACATTTTTCATATCCTAGAGCGTCGTACGGTACCACAAAATATTGTACTTATTATTTACGTAACATGACATGTCCAAACCCAAATTGTCTTTACCTGCATGAACAAGGAGAAGATATAGACACCATTTCAAAAGAAGAATTAGCAACTGGGTATATATACACATACAAGAAAAATATATCAGCAAGAGAAAGGGGGGAAATGACTGACTTTTTATATTAGTAAACATCATATGCGTGATATGCTGACTACAGATGACGAAGATGACGACGAAGAGGAGGATGCGTATGGAAACCGTATGGGCGCAGCACACCCATCACCTGCACCAGTATCCTATCGTACACCTCAACTCTCCAGTGCAGACTTTCCTGCAGTCTCCTCTTCATCACGATCCAAAATCACTGATGATTCTGCTCTACCAGCTTCTGCTTCTTGGGCTAAAATCGGTACCAACAGCTCTCCTTCCACACCTGTCTTAGCTGTATCCGATGCCTTTGGCCCTACCTTGTCAGCTGCAGTGGCTGCCTCTCAACAAAAGACACAGTTCCCTCCTATGCCTAAACGTAAGAGCGAAAAGAAAAAGAGAAAGGAACAGTTACAACAACAAAGAGCTACCCCAGAACCATCCTCTGATTATTTGATCTCACCCACTTTCTCAAGAACTGAAGAATATGAAGAGCAATCACCTAGTATAGAGAAAAACGAGGCAGTACAGCAACCACAACAACAACAGCAACCACAACAAGAACAGCAACAGCAAGAGGAAGAGGAAGAAGAAAAGGAGGAGGCAGAACCTTCCTTCTTCGACCAAGGATTAACTGGGTTTGTATTGGGTCAAGCTTATCGAGATTTATGCCCTCTACCAAGCGAAGAAGAGTTCGAAAGTAAGCAAAAGCAGGATGATTATGCAGAGGAACAATTGACATTGGGAGTGTCTGCATTGTTATTGCAAGACGATCAATTAAAATGTGAACCATCACCTGCGCAACGTCATTTGGAGGCCATTCAATCAGCCGCATCCAGTTTATTACCCACCAATGTACCTTCTGTATTAGACTTTTTGACGTATTCTACCCCAACCCCAAAATACACTGGTTTATTCAATCCGTTCTCTCATCTGGCTACTTTGGGAGCTGGTCAAATGGCAAACAGTAACAATGTATTAAATAATAATTTAGATTCACCTATCCGTAGACACTCTAGATTTGGCTTTGCTCAAGCATAACCACCCTAACTAAACACACACACACACACACTTTCCTTTCTCTTTATAAATATAACACTTCCCTTCTTTTTTTTAAAAAAAATAAATAAATGATTATACAAAAACTCTTTTTATAAATCCCAGATCTTAACTACTGAACTCAACCATGTGGTGGTTGTCCAAATAGGCAACGAACGTTGAACGACAGACATAATACCCACACCGCCAATTAAACGTTCTTCCCCTCTTCCAGCAAAAGATTCCTTTTCTAACGCTGTGAACTCGAATCGAATCTTGTAATCTCCTGTCTCCGCAGCCTTGCGATCTGCTTCAGGTACCTTGACAGATAAATCCATAGTCCAACCATCATTGCCGTATCCACTCACATGGCGTACCACATAATGAGATGACTCACTGACTGGCTTCTCATCCTTGATACTCCAATCCACGACCAATCCATCAAACGCAATCACGGTCCATGTATAGGAAGGTGAAAGGCACAAAATCGAAAAGGATCGAATGCCCGTTTCCGCGTTATAACTATCATTATAGATCTTGACTTCTGGGAAAGGTCCTGACAAAGAATCAAATAACTCTCCTCCCATCTCCGTCGCATGCTCACGAATATATGGCTCCACATCAAAGCGATAACCACCCAAAAATGCACTGAAAGGATAAATCGAGTCCCAGTCATTCATATTATTCACGCCTCCACGCGCTTCCGCTTCCACACCCAATTCTGTCTCAAGAGAGTCTACAATCGTTTGTACATAGGGTCCTCCATCGGCTTGGGCAACACCGATCGTGATCTTGCCCGACGTCAAATTCTTCAATTCTTGAATAAACAAGCGCTTAGGGTGAAGTTCGTCATATGGGAAAGCCCAGCCTCCATAAGATCCTCCACCAACATAGACGGCCACCAACACGGCAGTTTGTGCCAACAGTAAAAGCACAAGCGTCTTCTTCAACACTTTGGTACCGAAACGATGGACATGGGCCACATAGGGAAGTGTCAACATGTAGACAATCATACCGTAAATAATAGCCACAATTAAATCAACAGGTGTTTCTACACCCATACGACCTGTCAAAGGAACAAAGATATCGATCAAGGCGTATGCATAATCCGAGTAAAACAAGGCCAAGGCAGACCCACTAAGAATATAAGCAGTCGTACCTACTTGAGGCAAGTAAATCTTGGACTGCTCAGGACGAAGACCAAACTCGTTCAAGATACAGGTAATAAACATGATGAAACAATAAAGCCAAAAGACGTAAGAGCTAGCAACGCCAGTTTGGGTGGTGATGGCAGTACCGATAGCAAAGAAAAGCATGAGAGAGTTGAAGGTACCGTACTCCATATCAAAATGCTGAGGTCCTGGTAAAGTGTAAAAGAGATATTGGATACCAAATGAACCCACGAGACCCATGGGACTAAAGATAAGTGCACCGTACCATTCGTTCTTGAACCAGGACATGTGTCGATTAAAGTAAGGCGAGGTCAACAAAAATGAGATGGCGACGGGTAAGAGAATACAGCAGACCATACTCAAGAACACGGCCAACGTAGATTTAGTATAAGAAATTAAGATGGCAGGCACGGATCGGTAAGGAGAAGATGTGTGGGTCTTGGTAACGATGTAACAAAAATAGACGGCAGCTAAAGCCACCGTGGTCATCTGAATGGTGTAAGCTGTAGACCATGAATAAACAACAAAGAAGAGACCTTGGAAGTCAAAAAAGACAACATCACTGGCAATCTCAATACCGGTCAAAGTAGCATTTTGGGCCAAGTAATTTACGATAGCCAAGGTATTGGCTCCCAAATGTTGAATAGCACCGGGCTGTAAATGTTCCGTGATATCCAAATGGGTGTGGTATAAATACGAGTTTTTGTAAATGGCCATATCGATACCTGTCAAATTACCATATTGAACAAACTGTCTGAAATCAGTGTCGGATAAAATCAATCCAGTACGGAAAACATCATTGGCCTTTTGATGAATATTTTAGTTTTATATATCGTAATTACATTTCTTGTTTTTTTTTTACCATGACGGTTCCATGGGGATAAGGCGCTTGCTTATAAGCATCAATCATTTCGCGAGAATTAGCTTGAAACAAAATTTCACGACCAGTTGTACCACAAGCATCAATATTAACAACTGAGCGAATACTGATACACAAGGGTTAATGTCTTTTCCTTTTACCACTCCTTTTTCTCATTGTATACTTTTTACTTACGAATCCTTAATTTCATGCATTGTAATAAAAGCATGAGAAGCATCTTGCAACGACTCCTCAGCACCATTGAATACTATCGATAGTAAAGATAATGTTAATCAGCATAATCCCGTTTCTTATATGTGATTATACAAAAACTTACAAAAGACGATAGAATTCTTATAGGTGGACCAATCACGTCTACTCAGAACACGGATAATATCCATCATTACAGCGGTACCTGAACCATCGTCTGTAGCACCAGGTGAGCCTAAAGTGGTATCAAAATGAGAGTTTAAAAGAACAGCATTTTCTTCACAAGCACGGTTCTCTGGGTTTTGAGGATCGATAGGGCAAGACAAGCGAACAACAATATTAGTGACATTGGTATATGCCTTTAACACCACTAAATTATCACGGGTTAACTTTTTTTTTTTTTTTGACAGATTTTACCCTGAAAACTTACTTTTATCCATGATATCGAATCGATGTGCACTGGTAGCTTGTTGAACCCAAATATCAAATTTAGGTGCATTGGTAATTCCTTCAGCATCGCTCTTATATTGTTGAATCTCTTGCTCGATATATTCATAAGATTGTTTTTCCTCAATCGTACCCACAATACCTATATTTTAAAACTTTTAAGCATTTTTTTTTTTCATATACATATCCAAAAAAAAAATAAGACTTTACGATAACCAAGCGTATCACTGAGGTGAGAAATAATTTTAATGGCATTATGCTCAGAGAAATCCGAAAGCCCAGTTTCTGTGTTGTAACCAAGATGATTGGTAGGAACAGGTACCTTGTAATGAAAGTGAAATGCAATGCCGATACCTAGAAACGTACTCAAGACTAATGCTAGCCATGATGTCGCAATTTTCTTGCTCGTTCTTTCTTCAGCACCAATACCAGGTCGTCTTTTACCTGCCATAGTATATAATTGATAGAGAAGGAGAGAGAGAGAGAGAATACGCAAAAAAATAAAAGGCTAATACTTTGTACTATTCCGGGCGGAGAATGACACGCTCGCCGCTTAGAAATCTCCATTTGGAAAGATAAAAGGGCTCAAACAATGGGGGCAAAAAAAATAATAAAAACGAAATGTGATTGAATGCGCAAGGTGAAGAACAAGAATTTGTGTCAGTGTTTTTATTCGTCTATCACTTTAAATTTATCATCTAATGGCTTCTTTTCTTATTTTACAGGACTGACATACGACAGATTGTTAAAAATATGTTTCAAATGGCCACATATTGCACATGCCAGCCAAAATCACTGTGTTTGAAAAATTATACTCTCAATTTTACCGAATGTGAAGTTGAATTTCCCAAGTCTTCAAAACAATTTGCCCAGCTTTTACAAATAATTTGGCCTAAAAAAAATGTTAAAAATATTCTTTATTCAAGCACTTGGGCACTTAGGAAAAAACATGGATAGAATGCTGGATGAAATTCTGTAAATGTTCACTGCAGATTTTTTAAACATTCGGTAAATTGAGACTGGAAGTACAGTACGATTTTTGTAACGCCAAAATTGTGATGAGTACAAGTTTATTGAATACTACTTTTTTTGTCTGTTTGTATGAAAAGTGTGTGTGTGTGTGTGTGTGTGTGAGGGGTAAATTGTTTCTTTTTTTTTTCGGATGTATATGAGAGCTAATTGCTATTTTTTTATATAAATGTATATGGATATTTAAGGACGAGCACCAACACCACCAGCACGATCGTAAACGAGTTGTGCAACCTTGAATGCAAGATCGTCAGTTTCGGCACGGGTGGCAGCTTCGGCATAAACACGAACAGCATCTTCAGTACCGGAAGCACTACAACAAGAAGGTTAAAACCTTATATTACGCACACGCATAAAAATAAAATAACTTACCGAACAAATGAACGACCGTTACTGTACTTTGCAACAAGAGCATCAATTTCTGTTTGGAGACCTGCGGGTTCAACCAATTGACGCTCAGCATTGGTAGTCTTAAAGATATGTCTATCTGAAACAACCACCTTGACAAGACGGTTAGGAAGGTCGGTATAGGCTTGATCCCATTCTTCAAAACTCCATTGACGGCTGGTAAGAATAGCCTCAACCAAAAGCATATCAGAGATGGCATCACCCACAGTTTGGTTGATCAATTCGGTCAAAGAAGAGAGTTGGGCAATGGCTTGCTTTTGGGCAGGGGTCTTGGCTTCAGCAGTCTTAATTGTGTTGAGAGCATCAGGACTGAAAAGAACAGTACCATGGCCATTGGCTTCGAAATAAACACCAACATCGTACTTTTCAGCTTCATGATGAAGATGCTTTACACCAGTAGAGACGCAAGAAACAGGCACATTCTAAATTAAGCGATATTTATGTTTGATTAAATCACATACAAGCATGAGCCAAAAATAAAATAAAACTTACCAAGACCTTTGTGAGGTAGTTTGTGGAACTACCGTTAGCATAAGCAGTTTGAACAACACCGACCTTGATAGAATCAATACCGGCTTCATGCACGAGATCGGTGATGAAAACAGCAGCAAGACCAGCAATTTTATCACCATCCAAAAGTCTGAAAGTACCATCTTCAGTCACATAGTAAAAGACAATACGATCGGCATCGCCATCATAAGAACAGCATCTGTCTCCAGCAGTGATGGAGATACTGGGAGGAGCACGTTGATTGGTCTTTACGTAATCAGCACCACAGTTCTTGTTTAATTGACCCAAAGTGGTGGTGTTCTCATTCACAATATCAACAGATAAAACATCGGAGGAGATGAACTTGAGAAGTTCACGGAGCTTGGGTGCACCTACACCATTAGCACAATCAACATGCAAAGTAGACAAACGAGGCTTTCCTTTCTACAAACAAACAAAATAGTTTAGTCGCCCCTTCTCTCTCTAACTCTCTCTCTCCCTCACTCTATTCCCCTCCCCCTTTTTTTCGGCCAAAAAGTGATAAAACTTACAACGGCAGTGGCAAAGGCAGCAGTCAATTTCTTGTAATAACCTTCTTCAGTGGGCTCACCATAAGCATCGCTGGTACCGGCAGTGTTGATGCAGCGCACGAGGTAATGAAGCATAGGAGTGGTCTTTAATCCAAAGTTGATGGATTTAGCACCGGAAGCTTCGAGACCTTGTTCAAGACACTTTACCAAATGGGGACAACTAGGTCTAAAAGAAGGGTATTGGTATACAAGACTATAAAAGAAATGAATAAAGAAAGTTACCTGGTATCATATGCGTAAATAACATTAGCAGGAACATCGAGATCAATCTTGTATTGAGCAACGACTTCATCCACAACAGCCAAGAGAGACTCGCCGTCCTTTGCATTAGCAAGCTTGGTAGCATACACTTCCCATGATTGTTCCAACATTTCACCACGAGGATCAACAAGCTTAACACCGTTATCCTAACAAACAAACAAAAAACGTTGAATTTCTTTGTGCAGCTACTTAAATAAATAAATACTTACTTCTTCGGGATTGTGAGAAGCAGTAATCATGACACCGATAGTAGAGCCGTTGAGCTTCTTGGAACGCAAAGAAGCCAAGATGGCAACCTTGTACATGACAGAGCCCAAGACTTCGGCACTAAAAGAAAACACACGTAAAAAAATAAAAATAAAGTTTAGAACGAGATGGAAAAGAGTAAGATGAAGAATATACTTTACTTTGAACGGAAACCGGCAGTACCATAAGTGTAGACAAAGTCTTCCTTTTCGTGAGGAATAATGTTGTTCTTGATGGCAGTTTTATCGAAAGACATGACTTAAAATAGGTTTGGAAGGTGAAAGAAAGAGAAAGAAAATAGAATTGCCCCCGCACGCGCAGGGTCTCCGTTATATACTCATAACGTGTTTCTTACACATACTTTTTTGACGCCCGGTTTTTTTATTATTTCTTAAAATAGATTTTTTCACGTTTGGCAAAGAAACAAGAAAGTGTATTTTAATTTTAGCCTGTCAACTCTCTTTCAATTCTCTCCATGACAGACTTTGTTTAAGAGCAAGTCCACAGTCTTAATATTACGCTTTTAACGTGCTTTCAAAATCAAACGATAGATGACGCCGAATGGTCAAGTTCAGTTAGTCAACAAGACGAATGTCTAACTTTGACCAGTAGCGACATGACTTGGCTTCACCAACCTCTTTACCGGATTTAGAACGAATCCAAAAATACCTCCAAATATATTCAACCCAGCCTTCTTTTTCAACCGAGAATCCTTTAAAATAGCTGTTTATTACAAAGTGCACGGTTACCGTCTATGGCTCCCTCTTGCGTGATATTTCAAACTCTACTTTACCCTTGTCAGAAGCCTTATAATATTGGAACGGGATTTACGGAAGTAAAAGATACGGGTCCTATTATGCCTTACAAAGTCATATTCCGTATATATAGATTATTAAAATTAATAAATTGCAATTATTTACCGCTACCTATACGTATGACCTATTTGGGTATAAACACCGTAAAAAAAAAATGCGTACAACCCACCATGGTCTGAAACAGTCCCGAATAGCTGTTTATCAATATGTTGTCAATGCATGCTCGAGACTGGATCAAATCATCACAGCAAAGGACGTTGCGTTTCTTTTCAGCTAAGCACCGTCGTTCGATATTCAAGCAATTAATCCACGAAGAAATCCGACAGAAAATACACGCTCTGGATTACTTTAGAACACAACAAGCATCTCGATTAGGTTTGATGATCAAAATTAACTCCGTTCATGATGGACGATGAAAAACATATTTCAACACAGTCAAATGAATGTGTCACCATGATGAAGCACATCTTGCTTCCCTTGTAAGAATATCGCTTCCATCTCTGATTTTAACGTCAATGAAGCCTTGAATCATATTTGAATTGGCTACCGTAAGCCAGACCACAAACATTGCCTACAAGTCACTCGTGACTGGACTGTCTGTCAAGCTAATATTGCCTCTTTAAATCCGTGCATGGCCCGCCTTCACGTCTGACGCGTTATTGGATTCCCAGTGTCATTGGATACTTAGCCGGAAATGCCGTCATACGATTCATGAGCGGAAGACAGCATGACATCCTAGAATGGTTGGGTGATTTGGGAATTACTGCCAGGGATTTTGCATTCAATTGGATTTGGTAGCCTGTGTTGCATGTATGGGATACCATTCGATTAAAAGATGAAAGGCTTAGTGTGCTGGGAAAAGAAGGTCTACAAAATGACTAGGAGGTAACTTTAATTATAAAATAAAAATGTTTCCTTTGAACTATAATGCATTGTAGTGCTTGAAAAGAATGGTATCGGAATTCGCGCAGAATCATTATAATCTTTCTGATAACCAAGTGACTAAAATAATTCAAAATGTGTGAGAAGGTGATATGTCCTTGATTCTGAAGACCTATGAAAATAAAATTCGGGTATTACTAAAATCACAAAAAACAATGGGAATAACCAATGTAATTTAATTTTTTTATCAGTATCCTTTAAAAAATGCTGTTCAGGGTGATCTTGTACAAAATCTGCTTATTCAGTTGCAAAAGACCAAGGTAGACATTGATTTTGCCATGGTCTCTTTAGATAAACTCTTGAAATCAAACGAACCGAACTTTGCCTTCTTTGGTAAGCTTATACAGACATATGACTAAACACATCACTCAAATGCATAAAGTGAAGCTGGGAAATATTGGTCCAATCACCCAAAGATCGCTTATTTCATTGGTCACGGTCTCGGTTTTCGTCTCGGTCACGGTGAAAATGTCTTTTTTTATCTACGTACGTGTATGAATATGCCTGTTTTCTAGTATGTGAAGGCTCAAACATATGGATGATTAAATAAGCAATTAAATCATTCTGACATAAGCCAGCTCTTATTTATCATCCTATAAATAAAACTCGTTCACACAATCTTCTGATTAAATAAACAATTAAATCATCCTGACATAAGTCAGCCCTTGTTTATCAGTCTACAAATAAATCCCATTTAAACAGTTTTTGCTTCCCTTCTTCTCTTCATCTTTTTTTTTCTTTTTTATTCATATCCTGTATAAAACCAATTTTTTGAAGAGAAGTAATAAAAGTTGGGAAAAGGTTAGTTAATATCAACTTTTGTTTTTTATAAAAACGCTAAAAAATTACTTTTTTTTTAAAAAAAAAAGATATACTCTCTTTTTTATTATCACGGCTACGGCTAGTCTTTTCAATATAAGCAACACCTCCTCGTTACCTGAGTGGGTCGTCCTTCGTACCAGGATAAAAACGATAAAGGCAGTGGTATTTCACTGGCGCCGAAACTCCCACTTATGCTACACCCTCTTGGTCTTTTCAAAGATCAAAAGTATGTAAGAAAAAGAACGGATCACGTGAATCTAAAAACTACATGTAAAAATTAACAAACATACATAGGTGTAGACGTTCTCGGTCTCGGTCGGACTTAACTGCGAGTATCGGTCAGTCTCGTTCTCGTTTACGGTTTTGGTCATTAGGTTCATTGATTTCTTATCTCTGATGATTCTTTTTGACATCAAGTCATTGGCATTTTTTTGGTTGGGAAGACTCATGATTACGAACTGAAGGGTCACGATTTATTCCTTCTTCCCTTCAGTTCTTAATCATGAGTCTTCCCAACCAAAAAAATGGCAATGACTTGATGTCAAAGAAAATAATCAGGGATAAAAAATTTTGAATTTAATTACTGAAGCTCTGACAGGAACTACCAACGATTCTTCATTGGAAATCGTGAATGGAATGACGGCACACGTTCTGATATGGTTCTTGAGCCAAAAAGTGGCCACTCAAACCTCCCTCCAATTATCCTGGAGATCCAACATACTGTCAATTTAGCATTTATGAAAAGGGCAGTTACTTATTGTATACAGGCGACAAATAGATATGATATTGACCCTATAATATTAATTATTTGCGTTGACAAGCTTTATCAAGACATACACCAGCATATGAAACCAAGTACGCTTCCAGGTGTGTTTTCATATTTTTCTCAGCCGTGGGCTCAAAAGTGCTACCTTATCTCAAAGGAAAGTATCAAGAATAATATGACTATCCCCCTCGATCCTATGGTTGCACTTGGTGCATTTCTTACCAGCAATAGTACATCATTAAGTAATCACCATTTCAAAGATGACCCTGTCGAGGATATCATAGATATAATAATAAAGTTAATCATGAACCACACATTACCCCGCTTGTTCTCATCCTACTGTTGAAGTCTGTACACAGGGCACAACCCTGTGGCGAGTAAATATTTATTCTGCAAAAAGCAATACAATCTAATGGGCCTGGACTATGGAATATTAATAGATCCTGAGCACAAATATTACTCTTGTCATTTGATGTTATAACTGTTGATCCCTCTGACTAATATTTATTTACTCGGTATGGAAGGGCTAAACTTAAAGACATGTTGATTATTTACTATCACCAGATTATTACATCATAAACCAATAAGGCACTTAATATTCTCCCTAGAACTATCCCAGTTCTTTATAAATAAATATCCATAGTTCTTTCTCATAGACCATCAATACGTTTTTTAATTAATTTATTTTTTTCGTCCATAATAAAGTGGTATCTAAGTTCTGAAAGTATCACTTTTGGTTTATTTCAAATTTTGTTCTCCATGCAAAACACTATGAATATGCTTGTTTTCTAGTATGTGAAGGCTCAAACATATGGATGATTAAATAAGCAATTAAATCATTCTGACATAAGCCAGCTCTTGTTTATCAGCCTATAAATAAAACTTGTTCACACTATCTTCTGATTAAATCAACAATTAAATCATCCTGACATAAGCCAGCCCTTGTTTATCAGTTTACAAATAAATCCCATTTAAACAGTTTTTTCCTTCCCTTCTTCTCTTCATCTTTTTTTTTCTTTTTTAGTTATTCATATCCTGTATAACACCAATTTTTTAAAGAGAAGTAATAAAAATTGGGAAAAGGTTAGTTAATATCAACTTTTGTTCTTAATAAAAACGCTAAAATATTACTTTTTTTAAAAAAACAAAAGATATACTCTCTTTTTTATTATCACGGCTACGGCTAGTCTTTCCAATATAAGCAACACTTCCCCGTTACCTGAGTGGGTCGTCGCTCGTACCAGGCTAAAAACGATAACGGCAGTGGTATTTCACTGGCGCCGAAACTCCCACTTATGCTACACCCTCTAGGTCTTTTCAAAGATCAAAAGTATGTAAGAAAAAGAACAGATCACGTGAATCTAAAAACTACATGTAAAAATTAATAAACATATCTACGTAGGTGTAGACGTTCTCGGTCTCGGTATCCCTAACTGCGGATATTGGCCAGTGTCGTTCTCGGTTATGGTTTTGGTCATAAGATTCATTGATTTCTTATCTCTAATGATTCTTTTTGACATTAAATCATTACCATTTTTTTTTTGTTTAGAAGACTCATGATTAAGAACTGAAGGGTCACGATTCATTTCTTCCCGTCAGTTCTTAATCATGAGTCTTCTAAACAAAAAAATGGCAATGACTTAATGTCAAAAAAAATTATCAGGGATAAAAAAACCCTGAACCTTATTACTGAAGCTCTGACAAGAACTACCAACGATTCTTCATTGGAAATCGTGAATGGGATGTTGGTACACGTTCTGATATGGTTCTCGAGCCAAAAAGTGGTTATTCCAACCTCCCTCCAATAATCTTAGAAATTCAACACTGTCAACGTTGCATTTATGAAAAGGGCGGTTACTTATTGTATACAGGCAACAAACAGATATGATATTGACCCTGTTATATTGATTATTTGCGTCGAAAAGCTCCATGAAGACATACACCAGCATATGAAACCAAGTACGCTTCCAGGTGTATTTTCATATTTTTCTCAGCCGTGGGCTCAAAAGTGCTATCTTATCTCAAAGGAAAGTATCAAGGATAATATGACTATCCCTCTCGATCCTATGGTTGCACTTGGTGCATTTTTTACCAGCAATAGTACAACATTAAGTAATCACCATTTTAAAGATGACCCAACCATTCAATATCTATATACTTCATCTTTATTTCAGCATCAAGTTGAAACTGTTAATCAGGATACGCCATTTAAATTAATGGATCTACAAATCATGGAATATGATAGGTTGAAAACGCTTGCCAGTTCACTTAAAGAGCCAGTATTTGAAGAGGCTGTTAATGAAGCGAAATCAAGGACATTATCTATCAAAAGAAAGTACGAAGAATCGTTTCCATTACCAAGGCCAGCTAACAAAACTGATAAGAACAATGAAACGTATAAATCAGCCATGGAGTTTGTCGCTGGATTCAAGCAAAAGAAGTTCTTCACGGTGTATTAAGCTGAGCACACAGCCTATAAGCTTAAAACAAAAGATAAGAATGGATTGGGTCGCGTGCCTGAAAGAAGGAAAGGAGTTGAACATTTTGAATTATAAAAATTCAGAATCATAACGTCGTCAATTCTATAAATATATGAAAGATAATGCATAATAAACTAGTTCAGATTGAAATCAAACAAACAACTTTAATGGTATTTTTGTATGCCTATTTTATTGCATTTTGTCTTATTATTAATTCGATTAGCTATTGAATAAAAGTTTTTTCTATAAATTTGTGTGTCAATTAATTTAACAGCATACTGTGACAAGTGCTTAAAAGAATAATAAATATCTATTTATATTTATCTTTAGTTTAAAGGAGGAAAAAAAACTCGTTAGGATTCCTCTTGGAAATACAACATTTCAACAGTTGTTATAGTCTATTAATAACAAAATAGCTGATGAGCGGCATTCAAGAAGAACTATTATTAATAAAGAAAGCAAATATCCCTATAATTAAAGACCCAGATACTAATAAGCTTGCATACAACTTCTTTAATTTCGAAAACCAGACTCCACTGTAAAAATGAATTTGTGGAGAAGCTGGGGTATCATATGCTCTCACTGAAAAATATAAATGTAAAAATAGCTGACAAATCTGTCTAAAGTCCTTTTGGTTGATTCTTTGGTTAGAGGATGTTATCTCTTTCACATTACAGCTACAGGTCACTTTTATAATCGTTTGACTCTAAATACTATATTGTATCTACATTGTCTGAGTCAGAGTTAATATGTAGGTCCACCTTTACGGTGTATATTCCATCTTTCCATACAATTTAGCTCTACAGTCTTTTCACTGACTTTTATACTAATCGTGTAGCCTTGCCTTAAAATTATAGGTAAGTCTACATTTCATTGTGGATGAACCTTACTAATTTCTGATTATTAACATCTACTACAAGAAAAACATATTATTTAACAAGTACTATTTATGCTCCGTGGACGGTTACGGTCTCGGTCACGGTTACGGTCTCGGTCACGGTTACGGTCTCGGTCACGGTCACGGTCTCGGTCACGGTCACGGTCACGGTCTCGGTCTCGGTCACGGTCTCGGTCTCGGTCTCGGTCTCGGTTACAATTTATTTCTTCCTCCCTTCAGTTCTTTAATCATGTCTACAAAATCAAAAAAAAAAAAAAAAAAAAAAAAAAAAAAAAAAAAAAAAAAAAAAAAAAAACGGCAACGATCTAATGTCAAAAAGAATCATAAGAGATCAAAAAACCATGAACCCTATTTCTGAATCTTTGACAGGAACTACCATTGATTAATTCATTGGAAATTGTAAATGGAATGACCGCACACGTTTTGATATGGTTCTCGAGCCAAAAAGTACTCACTCAAGCCTCCTTCCGTCAATCTCCCAAATGATAGGATAATGTTCTGGCAAGAGAAACGGATTCAAAGAAACTTGGCTTGTAATCGGCGTCAAAATTTGCTGGTTATTGTTGGTTTTCGTATGAATTTACATTATTGGATAAAGCAGTGGTATTTAACTCTTCTTCTTAAGAGGTCTCATCTTGTGTGGGTTGATGAATGGAATAACTTCGTTGAATCGGATCAACCATCGGACCATCCAAAAAAAAAAATCGTTTTTTTTTTTTATTTTATTTTTTTTCGATTCTACTATCGACAAAAGAACATGGGGCTAAGCATGACACTTTACTAGTTGTAATTGGGGATTGAAAATTGGACTTTTAAGATGGAGAAGCTTACTTTATGCAATTAAAAAGAGCATCATATTGGAAATTCAATACACATTTAACTTCGCATATGAAAAGGACTGTTAGCTATTGTTTACAGGCGTTTAACAGATATGATTTTGAACCTGTAATATTAATTATTTGCGCTGAAAAGCTCCATCAAGATATACACAAGCATATGAAACCAAGTACGCTCCCAGGAGTATATTCGTATTTTTCTCAGCCGTGGGCCGAAACCCGTTACGTTATCTCAAAAGAAAGCATCAAGGATAATATGACTATCCCTCTCGATCCAACGGTTGCACTCGGTGCATATTATACCAGCAGTAGTATGTCATTAAGTAATCACCCTTTTAAAGATGACCCTACCATTCAGTACAAAAGGTGCATTTGTAAAATTTGTTATTTTCCTCGAGGTATACCCTTTGTGTTCTGGCCGATTTTAGATCTTTTAAAAAAAATCATAAAACCAAAACCTGATAATTCCAACTTGTATTCATGGAGACGTTTAAGCGTTGTATTACTACTTACTCTGTAGAATGTACTTTGTTAAGCTGGTGTACTCTGGGTGTACTTTTTTAAGCTGGTGTGATAGTTTATATCATTCTCAAATTGAAGCAGATATTGATGATTTACAAAAACAAACTTTGACTAATCAAAAAGTGAACTCTGGGTTGCCCAATTTCATTTTTAGTAGGACCCAAAATAATGTTTTATAATCACCATTTAATTTTCCAAATTGACCAGTATTTCCCAGATTCACTGCATTATGCCGTAACAACATCCATGTTGATTGCTTGGGGAGGCTTGGCCTGGTTAAAACGTATGTGGCATCGTCGGAATGGACGTAATATTGATCTGGTTGGATTATCAATGCGTCATACGATAAGGTAGGAAAAAAGAAAGAAGGTATTCAGTCCATAAGTTATGTCTAACTTTTTTTATATTTCATCTAAAAGTAGACGTATTGAGCGATTATTTGATTTGTGAAGTAACAGCAACATCCTGGATTGTGGTAGTCAAGGTAAACTGCTGTTTGAAGTTCATCTCCTGCGATCCTTTGTCTTCTATCTGCCCACCAGAAATTCAGTGCGTGACTTGTTTATGGAAGACTTGCGTGATCTTGAGAATCCAAGATTAACAATTAAACAAAAGTTAGAAACGATTGAACGAATGACCAAAACTTGGTGATTTTGGAGGTCTTCTTGCTGTTGATTAAACTCCGTGTTAGTTACACAATTTACCCCGCATCAGTTTTTCCTTTTGGGTTCCACCCCCTGTGCCCGTTACTATTTTTTGATGCCTTTTTTGGGAGGGGGTTGAACTAATGGGAGTTGGGTGGGTAGGATGCAGGGTTATGTATCATGCTTTTCATTTGTTTCCGCGCATATCCAATGACACAGCTTGTCACATACCGCTTTTTTTTTTCTCTTTGATTTAAGAAGAGGGTAAGATCGTGTAACACTCATGTGATGACAGTGTTTAACATAAACATTGAGACTAATTTACATTGGCTGAGAGAGTGCAAGTGAAATATGTCACCAACAGTTTATATATATATTAAGTGTATGTCGCTTGTATTACTTGATGAGGGTTATAAAAGGAGGAAACCATATATGTATATTAAATAAAAAAGGGCGTATGTGAATATATACATAAAAGAATTAAGTTTATCTACACAGCTTTGCCGGCCTTTTGTGTACATGCACGACGTTTTGTGACACGGAAATCTTGAAGCGTTGTTTGTGATTTTGATAACGTTCTCTTAAGTGGTGCCCGTTTTGAACTGGAGGTCTTGGTAGAGGCGGAAGAAGGAGACTCTTTTTTAGACTTTGTTTTACGTGCAGGCTTTTTATTTTCCTTTTCTTCTTCTTCGTCATCATCATCGTCTTGCTCCTTCACGCAACGTCGAAGTCTATTTGCTGTTTGCGTCATTAATTTTTCATTGGCCATCTTTTTATTTGTCATTTTCACCCATTCATCAGAATCACCCAATACTTCATAGTCAAACACATTATCCCATTCTTTAGCAGGGCTTGTACGATTCACAAATACCACACATCCACCAGGCTTTTCATGAATGATACGTGCTGCTTGCTTGATAAATTTCTTGAGAGCAGGAATTTTCAAAGAAGTACCCATCACAATCATTAGATCAGGTCTCTTCTTTAAATCACTAACCTGCAGCTGACCAATTGTATCTCCATTGGGGTGATTTTCATTATAAAGAACAATAGCAGGACGAAGTGTGCCTACCGCTAATTGTCGCTTACCAAGTCTTGTTCTTTCAGCATCTATAGACACGCAGCGGGGGCATGGTGGTGCCTCCCCCGCACGGAACATTTTTTCGTATGCGTCAGTAAATTCGTAATTGGATGAGCAGAGCGTACATTTGACTTCCTTCATGGTGCCATGTAATTGAATGGTAGGGATATCTAGATCCTCTTCTAAGAAATCAATGTTCTGTGTATAACAGCGTAATAATTGACCCTTGTTGGTTAAGGTTTGAATAAACTCGTGCGTGATGGTTGGATTGGCCTTGGAAATGAGTGACCTTAATTCGGCCATAAATGTATAAAAGCATTGAATGGTCTTTTCATTACGGAAAAGGGTCGCGTCAAAGAGCTCCTGTCCACGTAAAACTATATCGGGGTGTTTTTTCTTTACTAAGTTGTAGAGACCATCGGCCGATCGAAAGTCCTTTATGTTTATACGTTAGCGCGTTTGGCAAAAAAAAAAAAAGATGATGGAGTATTTCATTTTCACTTACTGGAATGCCACTACTACAAGAGATCCCTGCGCCTGTGACGATAAGTGCACGTTTACTCTTGGCGATGTAGGCAGATAAATTAGTGACGAGAGGATCGATGGCTTCACTTGGTTCGGAAATAGCAATTTTATATTTCATTACTTTTTAACAAAGAGAGAGAGAGAGAAATAAAGGTAGAAGAAGAAAAAACTTTTTTTTTTTTTTGTCTTTCGCTCTAGCAATTTTTTTTTTTTTTATATTTTCGTAAAGCGAAAAAAATTTTCTTTCTTTAAAAAAAGTGAATTATGTTTAATTTGAAAGAGTGGAAAACATGTATCCTAAATCAATGTCATACAAAATAGCTGATTTTTCGTTTTTACGTTAATTTTATGTGCACTATTTTTCTCCCTCTAATTAGGAGGTTCTGGGAATCCCCAAACATTTAAATTTTTCTCGCACGTCAGTTTTGTACACAGAGACTAATTTGGCCTTATTATATAGTTTGTATAATTTTCCACTTTGATCCATCTTACAAATCCAGCTCGTACCAAGGAGTTCCTTCTTTCTAAATTTTGTATATAGTTAGTATATTGTACCAAACAAAAACAAAAAATTCATTGTAAGGAGACAGGACTATAATTGTACATTGTTACAGGAAGTGCGTATAGTCCCAGATGTGCGCGCCTGATCAGGGACTAGTATATTTGCGGCACAAATGTCAATATGAGGTACCCGGTGACCGATCTGCATCATCATAGGCTTTTCACAAAAGCCTAGTGCTGACCACCCTTTGATTAAGCTGCGATAGATCGTTATTTCGGCGGCATATTTTTAAGTGGTGAAAATCTAACTTCTACATATAAATCGATTAGTTTTTGACACACATGCTACATTTTAATTTGAATGGGCGTGTTTAATTATGGTTTATTGCAGATATGGTAGATCTTTTTTGTTTCTCTCTCCTCGTTTATATCTCAATCACATTAAAGTTCGTTAATTAAAACACTTCCAATCTTTAGCAAGGGCTTTTTGCCTTTTTTTTTTTAAAAAAAAACGGACTCATTCAGGAAAATACACGTATTCATGTTATTTAATGACAACAAAGAATGCGACTAGTCTTGATAGATAACAACAAACCTCTACTGTCAATAGTTTAAATAAGTCATATTCCTCGTTTTCTTTTTACATGATAAATAATTATTTCGTCATGTACAAATGTGTGAGATAAGCATACATCGTACCTTGAATTACTTCAATATTATTAGGCTTTCTAAAATAAGCACTCAATCATTGATTTAACAACTTTAGTTCTTGAGGTGTGGTATTATTGTGTCAACAAGTGATGTATACATGTTATGTAGGAAGTTATTAATTATAATAATAGAAAGGGGGATACAAGATAAGGTTATTTTTTGTCCTAGATTGATAAGAGTAAAACCTAAAAATACAAAGACAAATACTTGCGCAATGTCACATCAATTTTTGTTACGTTCATAGACAACTCATTAAGAGTGTAAGGGTTGATTTGACAGCCATAAGGATAATAATACATAAAGCAATATGCTATATCATTGCTTTAAATATACGTCGAAAATAAACGATATAATTATTTAATTCTTGTAATACCTGACGAAATGATAAATATGTAGATTTTCTTTATAATTAAGGAGCAATAATATCGAGATATTACGCCCATGCTGCTATGAGCACGTCTTTAAGTAATGCATCTTCTGCAATATTTAATTTAGGCCAAACCAGACACACGGTTCTATAGGAACAGTTATATTCTCGTAGACGGTATATTAATTCTTCCATCAAAAGTTTGGGTCTCAACACTTTCCTAAATCTAAGCCACGAATATGAATTTTAAATTTTGTCACGCAGTTCATGTAATATGCTATGCTATGTCAGTCATTCCATAGATTGTGGATGATTTGTGCTGTTTTTTTTTTTTTTTTTTTTTTTTTTGATAGAAAAGAGCTCTTGATCGATCTTTACAGCTTTAAATGTTTTTGTAGCAGAAGACTCTTCTCACCGTATTTTACCAATAGCCAGATTATTGGAGGGATACCAATGGTTTTTTTATAGTTATGTCTGTTTTACAATGCACAATACGAATGGAAACTCTTAAACTTTTTATTTACTCCGATATATAATATTAGATAGAACATTAAATATTTCTCTTTATCTCAATTGTTTTATCCTCAATAGTTCATTTTGGCTTCTTTTAATCTACCTTATGGCCATTTTTACATCAAAAACTTTCAATATAACGTCCATGTGTGTTCATATTTTAAACTTTTGTGCCATTGTATAAGTGGTTTTAAAGCAGAAGCATACATATGCTTTTTCTATATTTTGGAAGAAAGCTTTAGTTGTATTAGACAAATGTTATGCATTTGGGGTATAATTGCATCAAACGCATCATATATTCCGCTTATGGCACATAAGATAACTTTGGTAATTATAGTACACACAGAATGTGCATTATTTTTAAAATGTAGCTCGTTATTGATGGCAGTACTTCCAGAGATGCATTGAAAATTCTGCACTGCCGATCTTTTTTTGGCTATCAAGTAAAACCCCTTCCCCTCCCTTTTCTAAATTTATGTACAACAAACTTTTTACGACCTCATATAACACTCCATGTTATGTAAAAGTATGTGAAAACATCTGAAAATAGTATTGTTGCAATGGCGGTGCGTTTTTATATTTTATATATATATATACCTTCTGGTACGTTTATGAAGTGAGATGCCACTATAAAACAGCTTTTAAATGGTAATTCGATAAAACATGCATGTGAGAGAAGCTCATGTCTAAGCCATCCAAATAATATATTGCATCAAGCGTTTCATGTCTTGATTGGTGTAAACTGGTAAATATGAATGCACCTCATTTGTATCTGATAATATTGGATTAGTGGTTACCTGACATCAACGTTTTTATTTCAAATAGTCAGCAATGCAATTATTAACCTCTGTCAAATGGTTCAATAATGATAAATTGGATGGAATACATTTTTTTTTGGTAAGAAACACAGTGCACATGGTTTTAGCCAAAGCTTAAATAGTATGGTTTGAGAAGGGCACAAGAAATGTAATCTTCTGCCAATCGAAATAACACAGTGACGCTTCAAATTAAAGCGCAATGAGAATTCATAGGCTGGATGTTGAATGGAAAAGCAAGTATACAGTTTTTCGTCACTATATTCGAATACACATTGTCACCGACAGTTGTTTGAAAAAAAAACACACACACACACCATCCAGTTTAAGCGCTTATTATCATCCACATTTCAACTTTTGCATTTAGTAAACCTTATCACTTATACGCTAGATTAGGTTATTAAAATTATTATTAGGATCTCTACTGTCATTTGGAAAGTTATGAGTGTTTGGGAAGATATATTCGTAAGATTATTTAATGAGTCAATCACAATTCGTGAATTTCTTATGTCAAACATAGGAACAATAATTTTCATCATTTGCTTTGCTTTTTTTATAGCAAAGGTTCAGAAAAAAAATACTGACTCACTTTTTGTTTTATATGGTTGTCATAAAACACTTTAGGAATATCTACATGTTTTTGTAGTCACAGCACATAACTTTGATAATGTGAATATCTTTATAATTATGAACAACAGAAGGTGTTTATTTATAAAAAACAGTGTTAATATTTTTATTGAATCTCATTTACAAACTTCATTTTTCCTTTAGGATACAGCAAAATAAACGTCTTCAAAGATTCACAGATAATATGAAATCGTTCGTAAGTTTTTTCTTCACATAAAGCTTGATATTCTTCTTTAGCATATGGGCGACACACGTTATCGCACCCTAATAGATAAAACTGATCGTCATTGATCTGGAGAAATGCATGAGATACATCGTCTGGTACTATATCGCAGCTCTTGTTGATTTTAACCTGCTCAAAGCGAATACCAGGCATATTTATTTCGTGATGTCCAAGAACATCAGAAGCATATACCATCCACATGCAATGATTAAATTCGAGATATTGTAGGGACGGAAGGGCATGGGCTAACCAGTTACAAAAAGCGTTTTTCATAGCCCAATCACAATTGTCTAAAGTCAAGACCTCTATTGTTGAATTCTGGAGATCTCCAGGAAACAAATATGACATTTGACGATAAGAAAGATTCATATTTGCAATGGTAAGAGCCTTGAGAGAAATGCAGCAACTCAAAATATCTTTGATAATGAATGGTGCTACTTTTGCTTCCATTTTGAGCTCCTTGATCATGGCCCCGGATTTCAAGACAAACATCTCTTGTGGTGTCAAGCGCATTGCGTCGTGCCTACCTTGTCTTACTTTTAAGACAGTATATGTGGGTAGATGATTTGGTTTTGTGATTCTAATTAGCTGAGGCTGATTTTCCTTGGATGACTCTCTTTTCAACTCTATGCACGGTAAAAAATGATCATCTATAGTTCTTTCAGAACAGAAATGTACTGTAATTGTGTCTTCCTTTAAAAGTCCGAATCTGTATATGTCAATCATCTTTATCAGTTCTTCCTCTTCTAATTTTCCACGAACTGTGAAGCTCTTCATTCGGGAAAGATAAATAAAAAATTTATGCATCGTAACCCCCCTGCCGATCATTGGTAGCTCAAATAAGGTACCACCGCTACTGAATGAGTCATCAAACTCATTGAAGTTTAAGCTATCGAGTTGAGGAAACTTGTACATAAGATATTCTATAATATTGGGTTTCAAGTACACGCCTTCGACACTAAGAATTTTAAGCGAAGGTCGAGGAATCACAAGCTTCAGATCACGGTCCAGTACTGGATTAGGTTTCACTTTCTTTGTTGGAGGGATGGCTGTAAATTTCACTTCTTTCAATGTGGTACTGCAGCTACCGATTGATTCTAGTGCAAATATATTCGCTGTCGTTTGGATCTCAGCAACTAATACGGACAATTTCGGAAATTCGTGTAAATTTTGTAACAAAATCTTGTATTCAGTTCGAAGATCAACATTGGAGATCGTGTTTTTTAACACAAGTTTGGTCATGTTTTTTCGGAGGTGTATCATGGTTTCCATATAATCGTGATATTCGGACGCATCCAACGTAAACTTAATCTCCTTAAGACGTTTGAAATATCCCCAATCATGATATTTAGCAATGTCTTTCCAGACATTCTTGATATGTATGCCTGTGATTGATTCAATATTGGGACAGTGTGTAGCCAATATTCCTATCATCATAGACTGCAATCTATACTCCTTGAATACGAATAGTTTGATTGCTTTTACAAATCGTCCGGCATCTGTTGCTACTATTGTATCGGTAAAGAATTCGATTTTGTTTACATCCAAGATGAGAACCCGCCTATATAATCTTTCTTGGGCTGCTAAAATCCACTTTTTGCATGTGTGCTGACATTCAATTACATCAGATAGATCTTCCAGATCACCAAAAATAGTAGCCAGCACTTCAAAAGGCAGATCCTTCCATTCACGCATTTTGCAGAGTTTAGAAGAAGAAAAAGTATAAAAGTGCACCATTTCTATCTTTAACGGAGAATTTAATTAAATACTGTGCATAACCCAGGAGGTTCCCGGTTCTCACATTTGATATTGAGAGACTTGACATAACACACTTTTTAGTGCATGACATATAGTCAGCGCTATTAAACATCATTGCGAAAAATACATTTAAGTATACCTCCTGTACGTAGAGTTATATTCAAAGATAGAATGAGATTAAATAATTTTCTAATATGCATGTGGTAATAAGGGGGTAGTTCAAAAATTCAGTTATTCTTGAGAGTCGAATATCTGAGGTTATTGATACGAATCGACCTCAGGTCTGGCTTCACAACCTTGTTGAGATCATCATTATCGGTACTAAGCTTGCTTGGTAAGAGTTTCATTGTTCTTGAAACAATTTCCTAGATTGATAAAGCCATGAAAAGAACCTTTCGGGAACCAGCCATTTTACTCTAATCACTGGGGACTGTTACGTTCTTGGTCCTTGTTACTCTGAGCACATACGTTACTGGCGCGTCCATGATAATCGGGTTCATTTTCGGTCCTAAAAAAAAAAACGATAATCAATAATGCGATCACTTAAACAAATCGACTTTTTCACAAAACAAAAATTGGTGCTTAACCATACTGCAGCAAACCGACTGCCTCCAAACCCTGTACACAACTAGCCCCTGCTTCAGTCTTGAAGCACATGATCATGTCTCTCAATGCCTTTGGAAGCTTGAGATCTCGTTCCTTAAATAACTTTCTATCGTTATCCTGAGTACTTTTTTCCAGTTTCACTGGCTCCCAATTCCAACTTCTTCTTCCTTAAAATCAAATCGAGTCTACGGCCCATTTTTTTACGTTCAAGTTTGTCTTCTCCCTGTGGGACCCTTCCCTTATTCTTCCTTGAACTTGAAGCCAAACTCGCATATTCTCCGCTGTTATCATTATACAATATTTCAGTTAGATAAATCAGAGAATAATCAAATATATTATATACTTACCAAATCATTGGCATATACAGGTGCTCGCGTAGCCGGATTCGAGGGAGTACGTGTTATGCACTTTAAAAGTGAGTTCCCTTTTTTTCAACAGTTATCTTGGCACACGTGCGTTTAAAGTGACAACGATAACTGAAGACAATTCTAACGAGTAGCATTCATTTAACACGAGACGGGAAACAAAGTATATATCTATACCAAAACCAGAAAGGTTGACCCATCATCAAAACGTTGAGTGACAAGTTGTCAACACATGATCTATCATTGGTCATGTAATATTGTACATGTCAAATGAGACTATAAAATAATTAATATAAGGATCACCAATTATTAAGGGTTAAATGAGCATATATTTATACCTTTACGAAGCTGTATCTAAACTAATAGTCAATCCAATCGGGATAAGAGTTCCGTCGTCTATCCATCAGAATTGAATAAATGTTTATCCATGTATTCTTATTCGTCTATAGCAATCATATTGCTGAATACAATATCCAGTTAATCTACTATGATCCAATAATGTAATTTTAATTGTTTCCATCATTCGATACATCTGCAATATAACAGTCCATACATGGGCCAATAGCCACGTTTATGATTGATCTTCACCATCCAAGCCAGTGTTACCTGGTATCAAACCTTTTGTGTCTTCATATTTTTGGCATATCATGCTGTAGAATTTGCTTGATACTAGCCAAGGTGAAAAAAGAGTGTTACCTGGTATCAAACCTTTTGTGTCTTCATATTTTTGGCATATCATGCTGTAGAATTTGGTTGATACCAGCCAAGGTGAAAAAAGAGTGTTACCTGGTATCAAACCTTTTGTGTCTTCATATTTTTGGCATATCATGTTGTAGAATTTGCTTGATACCAGCCAAGGTGAAAAATGAGTGTTACCTGGTATCAAACCTTTTGTGTCTTCATATTTTTGGTATATCATGTTGTAGAATTTGCTTGATACCAGCCAAGGTGAAAAATGAGTGTTACCTGGTATCAAACCTTTTGTGTCTTCATATTTTTGGCATATCATGTTGTAGAATTTGGTTGATACCAGCCAAGGTGAAAAAAGAGTGTTACCTGGTATCAAACCATTTGTCTTCATATTTTTGGCTAATCCTGCTGTAGAATTTGGTTGATACCAGCCAAGGTGAAAAATGAGTGTTACCTGGTATCAAACCTTTTGTGTCTTCATATTTTTGGCTTATCATGTTGTAGAATTTGGTTGATACCAGCCAAAGTGAAAAATGAGTGTTACCTGGTATCAAACCTTTTGTGTCTTCATATTTTTGGCATATCATGCTGTAGAATTTGGTTGATACCAGCCAAGGTGAAAAATGAGTGTTACCTGGTATCAAACCTTTTGTGTCTTCATATTTTTGGCATATCATGCTGTAGAATTTGGTTGATACCAGCCAAGGTGAAAAATGAGTGTTACCTGGTATCAAACCTTTTGTGTCTTCATATTTTTGGCTAATCCTGCTGTAGAATTTGGTTGATACCAGCCAAGGTGAAAAATGAGTGTCACCTGGTATCAAACCTTTCGTGTCTTCATATTTTTGGCATATCATTCCAACTCTATTGTACTATATTATTCCAATTAATATATGGGCATATGTCTTTTTTGCGATAAAATAAACTTACAGAATGCAATAGCAATGGCGGATCCAATCACGGTCATGGGACTCGTCGCGATTAAATTGATCATCCAAGGCTTGATCCATTTTTTCGCTTAACACGCCGTTTTAAATTGAATTTTTCATATAGTAAACTGTCGTTTCCGTACGTCCTTTCAAGCCAAAAAAATGCTCAGAATTATTTAAAATATCATATTAGATTATTAGATTTTGATTTTGAGATTTTTTTCAAAACACCTAAAATTGGCCAAAACACAAAGGGTATACCTCGAGGAAAATCCAAATTTTCACAAGTCAACCTTTTGCATACCCTTCCTGTAGATTTAATGAAAAGTGTTTCTATATAACTATAGCCCAAATTTAATGCTCTTTACACTGGTAATGTTTTTAGAACAATTTTATTTTTAGAAGAATTATATTCAGAGCATAATTAAAAATATAGTTTTTGTTAGACAAAGTACTGTTTTCACATATTAAATGCTTTTGAAAAATATAGCAAAAAATGCACCTAATTTTTCTTCGCATTTTGGGTATAGTATTGTCTAAGTCAAAGTTTAATATCCAGGGACTTTTCTTTGACAGGAAAATTATAAAATGTCATTTTTAATCAAATCGTTTCGAGAAAAGCGATTTTAGTGGACCCTGATCTTGTACCACATGGCTGGGTCGGAGTTGCACAATTTTGAATGAGTATCACAGCAATACTTTTTTTTCCTTTATTATTTTTTAACCTCTGACAATGAACAATGAACCTCGATTAGGACGTCTAGTCCAATGTAAATGTGCACACACATGCTTACCAGACAGTCCTCATGGCTTTCAATGGATACTTCCTCGAACGAAAAGTAAACACATGCTGTATCAGCAAGTCTCACAAAAAAACAAACGTAAGTAGGCTTCAAAAGAAACAAGTACCTTCCCATTGAGCGTCTCATCAATTTCTAGATGAGTCTGCCACTTGCTTAGATCAGCTACAGGAAAAGCTTGCCTCATTTTCTTTGAAAGTGAATAAAGGAGGAATCAAAAAGAAGCGCAAGACCTTTAAAATGCCCATCTTAATGGAAACAGAATTGAAGAAGAAAATTGCCTTTGGTGAAAAAAATACTGTTCTCAAGGAGTTCTTTGTAAAAACGTCTTATAATTGAAAGTGTTACATATCTTTCGTACCTATTTTATACCCTTGGATACCATATTCACTCACTAATGAACATTTTTTTTTCCAAATTTTGAATTAAACAGCGGACTTTCTATCCCGTGCCTTTCAGGCGCCAGAGCTCTATTTTTTTATGCAAAATGTACCTGGGACGTTTTTTATTATTATTATTATTATTATATGTGTTAAATTGATTCGATAGAATCATTGACATGAGAGAGTACAAATATATCACATACGTGATCGATATCTTTGGTATATCCCGACATCAAATCCATGACTCTTAATCCACCCACTCTTTGTAAACCAGAAGTCAATGGGAAAAATTCTAACTGAGTTTCAGTGGATTGATTGGAATGCACATCGCCCAACTGCCTACTACTAAGTCCACTTAACAAGACAGATCCCATTTTTGTTTTGATTGCGGTTAAGACCAACTTCATATTTTCGCCAGAATGATTTTTTATGCGAATACCTAATTTAAATGGGTGTTCTAATACCACACGCACAGGTCCTTCCTGTACCCAAAACGGCTGGACTTCTAAATCTTCCAACATGGGGGCCTTTCGTGTCAATTGAGACGTTTGTAATCTACCTAAATCTCCCATATAAGATCTCCATACAATATCCAACTTTCCAAGTGCGTTGGTCGTTCTCGAGATACGTTCATTTTGATCGTTTTTGGGTGATAACATGTATAGATATTGTCTCACATCTTGAGGGTGAATAAAGCTATCACCAAAGACAGATGCTTCTTTGGTATGCACCACACTATTTAAATCCTCAAACACAAAATGTTCAGAGGGCTCAAATTTCATGCGTTCTAAAAACATGGGTCCTGCAGAGACATTTTGAAGTTGAGCTTCCAAAAACACACGTCCATCAGCCAGATTATTCAGCTTGGTTTTCACTGCTAATGGATTCGACACTTGAAACTTGTAGAATTTACGGAAATGACGTTTGCGACCGTCTGGTGCATTATAATTGACAGTGCAAACAAGGATGTGTACACCCAGTTCCTTGATTTCGTGCGCCACCGTGGTATCATACGTTGCCCTTGTCTCGAGTGTCGTTAAGGGCGTAGCGGTGGTATCTGACAGTACGAATCGTTGAGAAGACGTTTGTAACTCGATCTTGACACCCGCTTGATGTACTGGAAAAGGTGATTCATTGTTAATGCTGATAAAAGTGCTAAAGTTTTCTCCAAGGTATATGTTGCCAAAAGCTGATGGAAGTTTTAACATTTGACTGAGGCCGAAATCTCTGATTTGTAAATCAGTGCTTTTACTCACATCGATGGGGTGAGAAGCAGTCAGATCCGAGATGTTTAAAGAATCAAGTCCATCTACCAGTGCTGAATTACCGTCAGGTGTAGATTCGTAATAAATGGGCAAGGTGGACGTTAATTGAGGTCGTGATAAACGCATCACTTTCAACGATAAAAGATGAGGTAGCTGGTCATCTTGCGATGGATTGTTGGGTGACATTGTGCCTTGGCGCGGTGAATTAGTTGCCGACATCAAATAAAAGCTAAAGAAGAGAAAGAGAAGAGTGTGTGATGTGACGTCTTGCGATTAAACCTGAAATTATTCAAGAAACTTGGGTGTAACGTAAAGTAAAAAAAAATAATTCAGGTATTACCAGTTTTTTTTTTTTGCTTTATTTCTTCTTTTCACTCATTTATCATTACGTGTTTTTTTTCAATGGTCATTCCACCTCATTATACTGAACGGTTCATTATTGAACGTTATAACAAGGCACTGTATATCGTACAGAACTTGCCAAAAGGGTCCACTTTTCAGCCAACAAACAATGAAAAATTAGAAGTAAAATAAAACAAATTGGGTTTTTTTTTCGGGTTAAATACTAAAAAATTGCATATAAAAACTTAGCTCTACTCTCTTTTTAAGCAAATCTCGGAAGGCGATATTAATATTAAGAGACCTAGTATGTTTGACGTTGTGGGTAGAGCTAAATGGTATCATATCAATTGCATATACACAGCAGTGTGTTTATATTAATTTATATCCGTTAAGGGATGCTTGGAAAAAACTTGAAGGCATGCCAATTATGGAAGCTAGGCACACCTACGTTGAAGCATTGCTAAGAATTACAACTGAGGTAAAAAAAAAAAAAAAAAAAAAGTTTATAATCTCAGCTATCATACTAATGAATTTATTTTATAGGCGTACAAAAAGAACATTGGAAAAGAACAAGCTCAAGAAATTATTCACTCATTTGCAGTAATGAGACCAGTCGAATATGACGACACAACCGACACAGATGATACCTCCAATCAAGAGGAAGGTAAGAAAATATGTATAAAAGATTACATAAGATACATATGCTGAAAAAGAAATCCCGCTTCCATAGACTCAAGTGCTGCAGAGGCATCAGATGAAGAGCAAGACTACCTTCGTGATATTCAAAATAGTAACAGTAATCAGGTCATTTCTTCAAAATTACCCGAAGAAGGCATTTCCTATGAATCACTGGACCAGCAGACCCTTCAATCACGAAGACGCCCTTCTTCTGTTTCGAGTAGTAGTAACCAAAGACCATCTTCCATTGTATCTGTACAAACTATGGTAACTGCTCCTTCTACAAGGCCACCATCTGCAGCCGGTAGTGTTGGCAGCCTCAAAACAAGAATGGAGCAAAATAATAAGCATCGCGGGAATGAAAAATATCCTGAACAGCACATGACAAAGAATGACTTGAATGTGTTACCTAATAAAGATTCGTTCAACGAGGAGTTTGATGACAGTGTAAATCCTTGGCAGCATATACCAATTACTTCTACTGGAATGCATAAAAGTATTAGTGATACTACAGGTAGAGCAACTCTGCCAGATATAGCAGTAAGGAGAACATCTTTACAGAGACCACCAAATAATTACCGCTCTCAAAGACCCGCCTCGTATCCAAAATCACCTTCTCAATCACCCATTCCCCAACAGCGGTATGGAATAAGCCCTGTGGATCGTAATCAGCCAAATCCGTCTCCTGCTTATGGGACATCATCATTTGTTACCACAGTAACTCAACAAAAGAACATGCCTTTTTATGACAATAGCCAAAGCATTCATGCACACATGCAACCTGCATCTAATCATTCAGGATCCAGTAGTGAACCACTATTGAGTTATACCAATGATACTTCAAACGACCGACAACAGCATAATGCTTCAATCATATCTCTGGGTACAACCACCAAAAAAGCGTTGGAAGCTTTAAATCAAGAAATAATCGCTTTGAATGGTCGTATTGATGACCTTAAGAAAGATTTAGTGGAACGAGATAAGAAAATGGCCATCAGAAAGCCTGATATTGAAAGTAAAGATCTATCATATGATAGATGGAACTGGGTGACAAAGGTAAAAAGAATTTGGTGTGTGCATTATTTCAATAATGGAAATCCTAAGAAAGTTTTTAAGATTGTTGTAAAATATACTGGTGTAAGTCCGATGACAGCGCTTATTTTAATTCTAATCTTGTACAAAAGCGGACTATCAGGTAGATTCTGGCAAAAGAAATAAAGTTTCCAAATAAGTGATTACAGCAATTAGCAGTTTCTGTACACTGATTTTTTTGGTTTACCATCATGTGTTTTTTTTTTCGAAGATATAAGGTTTTTGATTTTGAAAATCTAATTTCTTCTTTTTTTTTTTTATCTACATCTCCATTATTCTATATTCTTCTATTTTTGAAATATGCCACCTTTTCACGAAGAGCAAATCTTTCGACAACAAATTGACGAGCAACATAAAAGATATGCCAAACAGTCTAACGCTGCTGCCTCAAGTCGAACGCAACATAAATTGCAGTTGCAGAGACTATCTTTTTTAACCAATGATAAAAACTATCTGGACCACCCCAAAAATATGAAGCGATTGACTAAAGAAATTGACCGTGTTAATCGTGAATATAGATGTGTTCGAAGATTTGAAGACCCTATTCAGGAATCCTTCAGGCGCTTAAATGAAAGAAAAGCTAGCGTCAATTCAACACAGGATGCCCACCTTACCACTACAGCCACTATAGCGTCCAAGGCTATTCTTAGTAGAACAGATAGTCAAAGCAGCAGTAGCAGTAGTAGTAATAGCAGTAGTTTATCCTCCTCCGCTGAACAGCAGAATGGTTTTCTAGGTCGATGGTTTGCTCAAGAAAATACCACCAGTAGCTCAATTAACAGTCATTTGAACAACAGCCACATCATAGACTCAAATGCTGTAGTCTATTCATTTCATCCAACCATTGCTAATAGCATGAAACGCAGAACAAAACATTAATTTATATTTTTTTCACATGTATCAAAAACACACACACAAAACAAAAATCCTTTCTTTTTCTCATTAATTAGATCATCATTTTCCCTTATGTTATCCCATTTACCCATCGTCATCATGCTTATGATGAAAATCAAATAATAATAAAAAATGTTATAAAGTATATCATATGGTTTTACAAGAGTTCCCGACCCGACTGGATAGTCATGAGGTTTCAGTTTTTTTTATAGGCTGTAAACATACACGTGCAGACGTTGCTCTGATGATATTTACTTAAAAAAAATTAAAGCTGTTTTTGCCTGTTGGAGATCCGCTCCACCACTGGATCTTTTTTTTTTTAGTGTTACCAAGGTTCCCTTTTGCCAAAAAGATCGAAGAAAAAAATAATCCAAATATCACACTTTTAGAACAATATGGCATGATATTCTATTCAATTCCTACGCCGGTAACAAACGGAGATTTTTTTGATAAACAACAATAAAGTTTTCAATGTTGAAAGGCCAAAATTCTAATAGAAGAATGGTTCGGAGGGATTAAGATCGGTGGTGTTCTGTGTATAAAAGACACAAATGTCTAAATATAATGATTTGTTAAGCATTACGTCTCTATAGTTAAATCCATTTATGATATTTGTTAGGCCATGGTCATTTAGCGAGGAAAATGATATTTCCTTTATTAATGTATCTCTATTTGTTGTTCTATCTCTTGATGAGGCTTATTAATGCGCAACAAAGAAGAAATGATTTCATAAACACCTATAATACGAGTTGCGTGGATTGTAATATCTGCAACACATGCCCTCATGTGATTCGTATTGGTTGTAATCCAACATGAACTAAACCGGAAGGAATTCCATACCATAACAGCCAGTATTTACTTTTTCCGGCTTAGTAAACACACCGTGTTTTCTCTATGTTATTTTACATGTAATGACTACTGAAGGCAAGCGTAAATTTATGTATTGTTTAAACTTTTCTATTGATCGCATACAAGCGAAGTAACTCGTTCGCCCAGGAACGCTGACCAAAGTGGCGCTATAAAATGTCAAATTTGATGAGCAGAAGGGTCCGTGCGAGCAACGACTTAAGATGATTTGTTTCCTTGATTTTTTTTTTTTACAATCTAAATAATGATCCAATTCATTATATTTTTATTTTATTATTTTTTTTTTAATAATCCTATGTAATATTTTCTTCTTCTGGGGAAGGAAGTGTATGTAAAATGATATCTATGTTCTACGAGTGAAATCGATTAAGCATAAACTATAATGAATTTGTTGCGATAATCTTCCGAATTCTTTGCCTTGAACAGCAAGGATGTCTTGTAATTTTTCATGAATAGGATTTGTGGGGTTGGCTACAATCAAATCGCCATGAATGTTCAAAAATACAGATAACCATGCTTGTGCAAGCTCAAAGTTCTTTCGTGTCTTGAGCATGTAAAGAATGGCATCCAAATAATAATTAAGAAGTGTGAGTTCTCCATCAATTGTGAAGGATCGAATTTCTAAATCGATGGCAGAGGGACTCAGTGATTTAGCATATTCTACAAAAGCAGCAACTACATAAAAAATCGGGGTTGAGTTCATTTACTCATTATTTATAAAAATAAAACTTACAGTTCTTGTCAGCTTCAAAACCGGCTCTCAAAGCTTTACCGAATTCGGTATCGATATTGAGTTGAGAAAAGTTGATTCTTTTGGAATCAGGGTTTTCTGTATCAAAGGTAGTCACTGTTTCGAGATTGAATTGACCCTTTGCACCAGGCAAGGTAGGTAAAAAGAAGGGAGCCTTCTCTGGTAACTTGGGTGCTTCCTTTGGCTTATTACGCAATTTGATTGTATCCAAGTGTAACAAATTATGCCATTTGGATCTAGGTTCCATTGACATTGTGATCATACTCTCGTTCAATTGTTCAACTGTATCCACTGGCTCCTCCTCAACGTTTTGTTCATCTTCAGAATCGTCTTCGTCTGAGTCCTCTGTACCGTTCAAACTAGGCAATTGAAGAAGCTGTGCCTCATAATCTTCAGGAATACTACGTAATGAAATATTGGAGTATTGAGTACGGTTAGACCAGAGGAAAATACCGACATTATCCACATGGGCAGTAGCTAAAAAGTCAGAATCGGGAGCAAATGCTAAACAAGTGACGACATCTTCGACCTTGAAAATATCAATCATAGCGCCTGTGGGTAAATCCCAAGTACGAACAGTACCATCCAATGATGCGGAAACAATCCATCGACTATCCGGGCTAAAGGTCTAAAAGCAGATTAGGTCTAGATTTTCTTCTTTTCATCACACAAAAAAACTACTTACAAAGTCTGTAATACGATTTCTGTGACCCCAGAATTCTCTGACGATTTTCTTGGTTTCAATATCAATGACACGAATACCTAAATCATCGCAAACAACAGCTAAAAGATCGTTGTCCATGTGATAACGCATAGAGACAACGGGAGATTCGAGTTCGATGGTATGTACAAGTTTAGCGGTCTTAATATCCCAAATCTAATTGAAAAAAAAAATATTGTACAACACAATTATTTTAGTACACCCAAACAAATGACACTTCCATTACCCAAGAGTCTTTACCTTTATGGTCTTATCAACTGATGAAGTGATTAAATAACGGTTAATGGTATCTGTTGTTAAACCAGTAACAGGTTTTGTGTGTCCACCGTCACCGGAGAAAGTTTTACGGAATTGTCCAGATTGCATGTTAAACATATCCACAACACCAGAGGCGCAACCTAAGAAACCAAAATTACCACATGATGAAAGACAAGTTGTCTTAACCGCGGTTTTATCTTGACTGATCAAAATATGTTCACCGATTCTCTTGTTCTTGGAAGACCATGTACGACATCCATTATCATGCGCATGACAAGTAATAATATTATCCCAATCCTTGGTCTTGGAATCATTCACATCAAAATCGATAATGGGAGGAAGCTTTAATTCATCCATGCTGATACCTCTATCTTGAGCTTTTTTGGCAAGTCGACCTTGAGAAAATTCAAAGCTTTGGGCGTCCCGTACTGTACTGAATGAACGAAGCGAACGATCTCTACCAGCACTTAAAATGGTCTTATTATCTGTACCGTAATATTGAAGTCTAGAAGGAGGTGCGTGGTGACCACTACGAGACTTGTAGGGATGAGGAACGGCATTGGATTTTTCAAAAATCCATTGCTATTATGAGAAAACCGAATTCGGGTTAACAATTACTGTAAAGATATAATGGCAGTTCCATGAATTTTTACCTTGATTGCATTGTCATTACCACCAGTGACTAAAATAGGTTGATTGTTTAAAAATGTCAAGGTTGTAATGTAACCATCGTGAGCACCCTTCATGATATGTGCTAATCTACGCTCTGAAAGATCCCACAAGGCAACATCACCATGCATGTTACCTGTTGCCATAACCTGTTCATCATCCGTTCTGAAAGTAATGGCTGTCACTCTATCATCTTGACGTACGCTATCGATTTTCTCATCGGCCTTAATGTTGTGAAGGATGACGGTACCGTTTAATAAACCAACAGCAATGACATCGACGACAGGAGATTGTTCAAGACAGGTGACAGGAGATCCTAAATATCCAAACTGATAGACCATCTTATTGGTTCTGACATTCCAGATCTGCATTGTGCCTTGACTACTCGAGACTAAGATTTTGTTGAGGTAAGTTTTGGGATGCACCATATGAGTGGCTGTAAATCCTTCTCCAAACTCAATTTCGGTGTACAAATCACCATTGGTGGTGTCCCATAATTTGACAGTGTTATCATCACAAAGAGCAGCGATATAAGCTCCCAAAATGATAATTTGAGTAATGTTGAAATTGCCCTCACTATCTCCAACTCGGGAAACTTCTCTACCACGCTTGTATCCAATAACGATATTGCCTGCAGCTGCATACACCACCTTGTTGTGTGTTGCCATGCACGTAATGGGCTTCTCGGTAGGTGTACTGACAAATAAAAGGTTCATGCGTCCAAGCTATGTATTAAAAAAAGAGGTTAGATATCCATGCGACTTGAGAAAGCGTGTGTATGGGGTTTTACGTTGTAGGTCTGGAAGCTGCTGCCAACACAGGTTGTCAAAAAGTAGTCTTGTCCAAGATTGTTGATTAAATAAGGAATTTCATTGGTGACATAGCCAATGGCCCTAAAAGGTTGGTAAATTTTAGAGTGTATGTTGAACTTTTTGGTGCTTTGCACACGTCTCTTCTTGATGTCAACAATATCTGACATGAGGTGCTAATTTGTTCTGTACAAAGAAAAAAAAAAAGAGGTGAGATCTAGTGTCAAAGTCGGCTCGAAAAATGAAAAATATCCTTTCTCAGTTGGGAAGATAAGCCACTCACCCAAAAAGCGATTTGATGGTCACAGCGAACCTTTTTTTTTTTTTTTTTTTTTGGCCCACAGTTGCAGCAAAGTAGCTTATACTGCCACCACCAAAAAATTTAACAGGTTGTGTGGTTTGTGTTTATTGCAGTCATATAATCAATATAATTTAATGCTGTCTGTATGATTTTACGATGGTAAGAATAGAACGGAAGTTCAAGATTCATAGTAAACAATAAAACCAATTATGTCAGCTCATAATTTAAATATCAACAAATCAATACTACGTTGCCCTGGTTTATCATAGATACGATTGATGTAAAATTATGTTACTTGAACACTGTGGAATTACTCGAAGCTTTTCACAGATGTAACTGGGTCTGGACATTTCATAAGCGAAGATTTAAAGGCTATTTTACGCATTGACCAATAAGAAAGAACTCGTGATATTTTAACACATGTAACCCTATTTTTAAGCGTTTCAGAGCGATCAGGCACATCTCTCACTAACGGATCTTCCGTTCAATAAGGCAAATCTCATGAATTACATTATATGAAAATACATGCTGAATAAAGGGGGTTATTGTGGTTTAGGTCATTGTAAAGCAGGTATTAACCCGAATTTTATTTCTTTCTTGACAAAAAAGAAAAAAAAAAAAAAAAAGAAAAAAAATCACCGTGTTATTATATAGAATGAAGAGAGGGAATTATATGTACGAAGAAAACAAAAAGAAGGTGTTGTTGGGTGTGTGTGTGTTTGTGTGGGGTATTGTTTTAATATTACAGTTGTTTGTTTAATAGGGGTTTATTTTCCAATGGGTAAAGTGATCTTCCAATTCCACCAACCTTCTCCTTGTCCAAACGTTGCATTGGAATCTTGACGTACATCAAACAATCGATTCTGTTGTAAGTCAATCCAGCATCTTCCTTGACCCCAGTAACAAGTCGAGGAGAATAAGGCGATTAATATTAAAGTACAGTAGATACTATAGCTTTAGTTAGTATTCTTTTCATTTACTTTCGGGGGCCCATTTATCTTGTTTCTTACCATGGCTTTTGGTGGAGGAAAAAGGAAATGAGAAATAGAATAACAAAAATGGGTGGTGCATCGGGGAATGGTAATAGGAGCAACGGAACAAAATAGCGCATACAGTACATGTTGGAAAATATATGAAGTAACCCCAAAAAAGTCGTAGTAAGAAGAAAGTAGCAACAACAACAAAAAAAAACCGTGTGGGTCATTGGATTGGCAAAAACTCAGCTGCTTTTGGACTGCCCTCATATGACGCATTTCTTATGCTAAAATTCCAGCTTTGCATTCTAAAAAAAATAAACTCACTTAGTACTTTATGTTCTCATCTACTAACATACAGCATGTACTCGCGTTAAAAAATGACATTCATATAAATATCGTATCATCGTAAAAAGATTATTCAACATAACTAAATAATATCTTTTTTTTCTGCATAATTTCCCGTGTGCCTACAGTTGTAGTGTCACATTCTTTAGATTTCGCTTTTATGTGCAAACATATTTTTATAAAAATTATTGTAGTTGTTTCAAACCAGCTTTATCATTATCTGTAGAAAAATTATACTGATGTATGCAAATATAATAGCTATGCCATCCTAGAAATTGTTAATACGTGAGATCTCGAAGATACCAGTTTGCGCGGCATGAATGGTCGGTATGTTCACAATATACTCCATTTACAAGCAAAGACCATTTCTCCATCACATAAAATACAAGACATTTACATCAAGATAAATATTAGAAAAGACAATGTGGTTTTTATTATAAAAAAAAATGGAGACTCGCTAGCCAGTTTCTAAAAGAGAAAACTGCCCAAGTGCAACTGCGAGGAAGTCAGTCTCCGTGTGCACTCACCCACTTTTTATTAGTTTTGATGGCTCTCAAAAAGGGCTCCCGTGTATCACCACAAGGAGGTCAAAACACCATGTTCTCAATCTATGAACGTTCTACCCCTTGGGGGTTTCACTTATTCATGAACCAATTCCGACTTACACGACGAGGGACCCATTTCTTCCAAACTCAGGAGTGCACAACCGGCAAGTAGAATATTGCTTTCGAATCACCAAAAAGACAACTCCTACTCTTAAGCTAGGGCACCTGAAATATGCTCCAAACGGTAAAAGTGAAGTTGAATTCACCTTGAGTAGCTTGTTAAATAATTTCCCCCAGACCGTTCTCTACATTATACCGAGTGGGGAAGGTGACGTTATCCAGAAACTAATCATAATCGTCCAGTATCCCAGCAAAAAAAAAAGCCACGAAACCTGGCATCTTGGGAATCATCCAAAAGCACCCAGTGAAGAAATGCCTAGACAACAATCACCCCAAATAGGCACACGATAACGAAATACCTTGACGAAGCAACTATCCTGGAGCGCAAGTGGTGCCGTGTGACTTCAAGTACAAACACCAAGGACTCACCCTCAATGAAGACTTTCGGCACAAAGAAGAAAGAAAGAAAGAAAGAAAGAAAAAAACGCCCAATTTTTTTTTTAATTACTTTGTAAACAAACAGTTTGGCGTCAACTGTTTGTGCGTAGTAATCATGCATATATATATAATTAGGACACACACACCAAAAATACCCGGAGTACAAAAAACAGATTATGTAAAATAGCTTGCATTGAGAATAACAGAAAAGAGTTATGCCTAGACTCAGATCCCAAAAATTGGATGGCTGTTTTGATAAAGAGAAAAAACTAGAACGAATAATAAATGCTGGACTGTGTGTGTTCTATAAGTGATGATGAGATAGTCAAACTTGAGGTCTGAGAGAGAGAGAGAGAGTGTGTGTGTGTGGATTGATTAGGAAAAGACAACCGCTTGTCGCAGAAAAAACTCCGACTAATACCTTGTAAATTTCTGACTAGCATCAAACTGTGCAAATAGTATAAGGGTTAACATAAAGCTCTGGATAATTATAAAGTGTAAACCAGACATGACAGCTAAAGAAAAAAATCACATGCTGATGATATTTTAAGGCCAGTCTTCGATGTTCTAGAACCGTGAACCGTGAAGCTTAACGCCACCTGGAAAAAAAAAGGCGCGATTATCTATAACAGTTCGGAAGGACAAATTCATTGAATTGAGGCCAATCCAAAGTACAGCTGATCATCTCTTTAGAATTGTATGGCATGCTAGCTATTCTTTTAGACATTGCCGGTAAGTACAGTTATCAACTTCTTATAAAAGTTTAAGTCATTACTCATCTACACCGAAGGTAAGTTACCGTATAGTTCGACAGTTATTTCGTTTCTTTTTTACTTAGTTATACTACATCATTGATGAATGTATACGTTAGACTTGAAAATTCTAATAGCATTATTGACAGTTTAACACAGCTGTTACCTTCTGTCTGAGTAGTACACCGTTGTGTTTTAAGAAAAATACAATTCCTCAACTACGAACCTAAAATATATTGTAAAACTTACAATTCGTCACTTGTTCAATACGCGTTCTGTTTTCCATATTTGACAGCAAAATAGTCCATAGTATTTTTTTAAGCTAGACGCAAGTTATTCACTCACAGATATATGAGAAATAAATTTATATTTATAAAAGCAATTTAAAAGGATAACCATTTCTCTCACGTACTACTTTACTATGTCATGATGAAGTAGTATCAGCTACCTAAAAAGAGAACTCAATGCTGGGATCGAAAAGGATAAACCAAGATCCGTTTTTTTTTTTTTTTCTTTATTTTTTTTTTATTTTATTTCAAAAAGCCTGCCCCCAACCCCCTTACCCTTGTGCCTCTTTTTTTTTTTTGTCACCCTTGGAACATGTCAATATCATTTTTACTAAAAAGAGTCTTGACGAACCCGAGTCAAATATTAAGCAAAGCGCCTAGATATGCCAGCCGTCGACCGGTTGTTATGGCCACCAGCAAGAGGCCTTCCATGTCAGAAATATATCAACGGCGGAATTATGCCAACCATTTACACATGAGTGCGCAATGGTTAAAATTGCAGAAGCGAACACTACATACACCCACAAGTAAAGCAGAGTTACTAGCCCAAGCTCGAGGATTCTTTGAGAGATTAAAAATACAAATCAAGTATCCCTTGATGCGACAGATTCGACCTTGGACACTCAATGATGCCACTGCTTTATTCTCTTGGTTGTTTCTCGGGCATACTGTCTGGTTGTTGGCAGGGACGACAAGTTTTGTAAGTATCATTCTTTGGTTCGCCAACTCACTTCAATTCCAAGGTAAATAGGTAAAAGAGTGGATACACCTAAAATTCATGACTAAAAAAAAACATTTCAAATCTTAGAATGGATTGCCAGAAGTGTAAGCAAGTATCTAACTTCAGCTACGGGTGCCACAGTTGTATTTGATTCTGCCATTTTACCCAACTGGAAAGATGGAAAGATCCGATTCAACAATGTGCGTATTTACCGTATGCCGCGCTCAGAACATGAGAAATTCGAGCGTCATGCTGCGCTTTTAGATGCGGGTGAAGAGATTCCTGCCGACGAAGTGAATACGGTGATGGATGAAGATGATCCTTTGGCCGGTGTTGAATTAGATGAGGATGAAAAGAACAATGAAGTATTGAAGAATTGGATGTGGTATGATCTGGTCATTGACCGTGTTGAAGTCACCCTCAGTTTAATTCGTTGGATGGATGGAAAGGGTCTTGTGCAAAGTGCTGATGTTCAAGGCGTCAGAGGTGTCATTGATCGTAGACATGTACGTTGGGATCCAGATGTGCCTTACGATCCCGTTGCTTCTAGACATCAATATACGCCAGGTGATTTCGAATTGGAAAAATTAACCGTAGAAGATTTATTGGTCACCGTCTATCAGCCTAACGGATTTCGTCCTTTCCCCGTCTCCATCTTTCAAGCTCAATTAGATCGATTCCGTAAACAGTGGTTATTCTATGATTTATTATGTGCCACCACCATCATTGGTGCGTTTGATAAATGTCTGTTTAGTGTGCATTCTCCTCAATTAGAAAAGAGTGTGTTGGAACAATCCGGTCATATTGACTCCAACAAGTCAGGATTTAGAAGTCATGATATCTATCATTATTACCCTTTCAAAAAGCCAGATCCTAACGGTGTGGTAGTGGGTGGTGAATCCACACGATTTGGTGTTCTGACTGACAATGACATGCGTAAGCAAGGTTACAAGCGAAAGGTAAAAAAGAAAAATAGAGTTTAATAGCAATAGTAAGACTAACAAGTGATTATAAAATTAGTCTCGTTTGAGAATTGATGGAGTGAATATTGATCATATCAACCGTGGAGTGGAAGGACCTCCTGGATGGATTACATCAGGCACAGTGGATGTATCCGCTGATATTTACATCCCACAAGAAGCAGTAGAAGCCGATTCGACGGAACTCTTACGACAATTAGTCTATGAACTCACGGACCGTATCGAGCTTTCTCAGCCAGTGATTCTTGGTGCGGGCAATGGAGAAGAAGTGATTGTGGTGGGAGGTCATAAACAAAAGAAGGCGGTGGTAGAAGAAGATGTAAATACGAAAAAGTTTGTTATGGATATGGACTTTAGATTTAAAGATACGAAAGCATCTGTGCCGTTAAATACACCGGAATTGAGCTATTTGAATAGTGCAATGGTTCGACCTGTGGTTGGATATATCTCACGCAATAAGGCGATTGTGCCTATCAAGGTACGATTGGTGATGGATTTGAGTAACTTCGATGGATCCTGGACCTTGTATGATTCCACCTTGGCAGAACGTATGGGCGAGAAATTAGGGCAAGGATTTGTGGATCTTACATTGGATCAACAAGAACGTAATAAGAGATTGAAACGAATTGGTTTCTGGAGCTTAAAGGAAATGTCTCGTAATTTGATTAATATTCATGAATTAATGCGTGGCACTTCAAGAGGTTTCTGGAGTTATTTAGGCACTGGATCCGACTAACAAGAAGAAGAGAAAACAATTATTTATTTGTACATTTTTATTTATACCCCCCTCCCTCCCTCTCTTGACTCTTGTATATATTACATTATGGACAGCGTTCTTTACCCTTCTTTGATGATTCCATTATAAAAGTATTAAACTATATTTTAATTCCATCAGCCATCTTTTCTTTTTATAATCATCATAACTTACACGAAACAAATCCATGGGCACAGATTTCAAAGGGACGATTTGTTTCCAATGAAAGGATATTTCAGCAGGCATCCATTCGATACTATTTTGGTTGGAATTAGGATAACCATCACTATTCTTTTCGATGGACAAGTTAAAGGTGATTTCTTTTGGTTTGACTCGAGGTTTGCATGTATTGACCTTGATCAAACATGCACGCAGGTGCTGTTCAAGGTCTGCCAATGTTAATACTGACTCTGTCTCCAACATCAAATCCAAAGGAATCTCCGTACTCTTCAAATACGAATTCATTTCAAAAACAAACTTTTCGACACTCTCTTTATTTTCTATGATCGTGAGTGATATAAACTTAATATCACCCTTTTTTTATGACAGATTAAAAAACTAAGGTTTTTTATTTTTATTTTTTATTTTACGATTTTTTAGGTTTACCTTTTCCATGAGTGGGTAGCAGGTTTGTACAAAATTAGAGATATATGCTTGTACGTCAGGATGGGTAGCTATATGCACAGGAATTTCAAACTTTTTTTGCGTTTCAAATATGGATCTAGGATACACATTTCGTTGATACAGAATTTGATGCAACCATGTTTCTACTACGGAAAAAAGAGGGTGTTATTCATTCTGGTTGTGTCTTTCCACATTACTATAATCTTACAGAACTCGCATGTCAAGCTAATAATGTCTAAAATATGAAATGACTTAACATACAATACAGAGGGTACATGACTTGTTGCTCATTATTTTACCTCGTCTGACAATTTTGGATTCATTCATTACAAAAAATAGATAAAGGGTTTTAATTCTTCCGTTCGACATTTTTTTTTTATGTCCATTATGCGGCTGTTTAATTATGGTTGCAGAAAGGTGAAAATAGTGTAATATCACCTTCTTTATAAGTGTCAATGAAGACGACTATGTTTAAACCTAGTGATTTTTGTAACTGAAAAAAAACCCCTCTGGTTGCCATCGCAATGGCTATAGATAATGTCTAGTTTATATTTTGAAAATATGTCAAGTCATGTATAAGACGTCTGGTTTATTTCAAGCTCGAGGTAATTCAAGTCTGTCATCCCAGTACTCTTCCATAATTTGTTGCTGTTAAGCAGTTGAACAGTTTATGGCAGTCGACCAAAATGACTAGATTATCTCTGGTTATTCTTAGCAACGCCCTATCACAACATGCCTGGTTTTCTAGTGTAATATTCATACTTCTTGGGTAAACTTGGTTTCTTGTCCAACAAGAGCGAGATCTATTTACTCTAAAATAAGTTTTATGCTGGACAGTTGAAGGTCATGTAGTGCATGGTTGGTGGTGTTTCAAAAGAAAAAGACATCAACAGGGGAAAAGGTACATTGTGAGCCTTTTTGTTTTGCTACACGAGCCCTTTCAAAATAATAGATAGCAGTGCAAACGCTTTGTGTGCACACTATGTCCATGACTGCCATAATAAAAATGTAGCCACAGTGACTTTTTTTCTACTTTTGCATCAAATTATTTTGCATGAATCAAAATTTCCTGTCACAAAAAGGTCTTATGATCTCTTATCTACCCAAATTTAAAAACGTATAATTCTTCTCTGTTGACCAGCATTCAATTCGCGTAGTAGCCACTCCCCATTTCTAGGCTACAGTCGACGATTGATATTTTTTTTCAAGACGCCTCATAGTGTTCCCGACCTATGAGCAACCTCTTGGTTTTTTAATATTAATGAAAATGAAAAATAATAATAATCACAAATAACTCCTTATTGGTTTATACCCATTTACAGATTCATTCTTTTTCATGCGTGTAACCTTCAATTTAAGATTTAAGAGGGCGTAACGGCTGATTATCCAAGGTTTTTTAAATTAATCTTGTTACGGCAAGTTATGCAAATGTTTCTTTTTTCTTTTGGTATCCCACTCATCAATTTAAAAGAAAAAGAATCTTTTACAACCACATCAAATTAACCATCTCAGATATTGTTAAGCGTATATATTAGCGACTTGTTCTGAGGTGCAAAAAAAAAAAAAAAAAAAAAAAAAAAAGTATGAAATGTGACCGCTCATATCTATTCGTCATCAGTTTCCCTCTTTCAAAATGATTAAATACACATACTTCCTTTTTCCAATACACACACATTAAAATGGCTACTGATATCGATACTCTTGTCAGCATGGGATTCTCCCTTAATAAAGTGTAAGACCTTTCTTACTCTTTTAATCCGTATATATTTAAACGCGTATTTTTTTGGTTGTAGAAAGAAGGCTATGAAAGCTACCAACGGTGCAGGCCTTCAACCTGCCATGGACTGGTAAAGTATACACATTTATTCTGCAAGTTTACAAACAGACAAAAACTCAACTCGTTTTGATATTGTAAGGCTTTTGAGTCATCCTGAGGTTTCCGATGAGCCAGAAGAAGATGTTGCACCTCCTCAAGCCCTGGGTACTGCATCAAGCAGTTCCCCCACACCTGAAGATGAAGGTACTTTATTGTACTCTTTTTTTTTAAAAAATTGTGTAAAATACTTACATTATTACTGTAGGTGAAATTAAGGACGGTGAACAAACTGCACATAGCTTAATTTGCAACGATTGTCAAAAACTTTTCCGTGATGGTAATACTGCATAAATCATGAATAGCCCGTATACTAAAAACAAAAACAAAAAAAAAAGCAACGGGTGCTGAACGACATGCTATTCGTACTGGACATCAAAACTTTGCGGAAAGTACCGAAGCCATTAAACCTTTGAGCGAAGAAGAAAAGAAGCAAAAGTTAGCAGAGCTCAAGACCCGCATGGCCGAGAAACGTGCGGCGCGTGAACAAGCGGAAATTGCCGAGCGCAAGCAAGCGGAAAAGATTCGTAGAAAAGCAGGACAAGAGGTGACCAATATTAAGGAGGCTTTAGAGGCCAAGGAGATCAAAAAGATTTATGACATGAAGAAGAAAGAAAAGGAGTTGGAAAAGGTGGCTAAAGCAAAGATCATGGCTCAGATCGAACAGGATAAAAAGGAACGTGCTGCTAGAAAGGAAGCGAAGCAAAATGTTCAACAGGCTCAAGCGCAGGCTGACGCTTTGGCTGCTGCTCAGCCTGTAGTCAAAAAAGACTATAACGAAGCTAGACTTCAGGTAAAAAAAATGATGGGGGAAAAGCAGGAGAGAATGTTTGTGATATTTACGTAGTTTATAGATTCGTGTGCCTGGTTCTGCAGCCATCACTCATACATTTGATGCTACAGCCACTTTATCCGATGTACACACATTTTTGCAAGGTCAAGGTTTATCTAACGCCTTTGCATTGTCCACTACCTTTCCTAGAAAGACATTTGGATCTGCGGACCAAACAAAAACATTGAAGGAATTAGGTAAGCTTTTGAGAATTGGCTGGGTGTAAATTTGATTTAACCTTTGTTTTTCATTAGGTCTTGTTCCATCCGCTGCCCTTGTCTTGGTATACGTTTAAAAAAGAAAAATGTTTTGTCAGACAGAGTAAAAGAAAATAAAAATAAAAAAACAAACAATAGCTTCCCATCTTAGAGTATCAAGGTAAACTTGTGTGCGTTTGTAGTTGATACACTCTGTCGTTTGGTTGCGATCGGGATTCTATGGATCATGGGTATTTTAGGTCATTTATAAAGAAATGGGACCTTTACTGTTCAAATTAAACTTTTCTGTAAGTAAAGCCAATGGAAGTTGGATAAATCGTGTGATAAACACGATCAAGTGATATTAAATGTTTGTAAATTATTCCCTATTTGATCTATCGTTTTGCGAACTATTTCGGTATGAAATTGGCGTATTAGACCTTGATACAATTACTTAACTACAGACATGGATTGACTTGGATATGAATGTATGATTGGCGCTGAACATGATTTATGCCTATCAGTAATTCATTAAAAGAAAAAAAACTCTAGCATCATTCATCCTTTTGTTTTAGGAATACAAAGAAAAGCGTCATCAGCAGGCTCAATGGATAAGCAACAGCTTTCAAATTGAAGCTAGTGGACTCTATGGTAGGTAATTATAAATGTATAAAAAAGGAGTGAGTATTTATATAACTTGTATGTCGATCAGTGTGCCTGATTATTTATCCAATCAGAATTACTTTTGAATGTTACAGCCACTTTATCTGATGATCAATACTCACACCAACTATTGTTTATTAGAAAAGGTCTTTGTCTACCCTCTTGTTTTGTCAGAAAGGAGATTAGGTAAGCTTTTCGAATGCGTGACTCAATTAAGATGCATTTGTTGGGCCCTTGCTTTAGTATATAGTAGATTGTTAAAAGAAAAAAAATTTATTTTGTAATGCACAGCAAAAGAAAATAAAAGAGTATTTTATATATGTAGTGTGATGTTTAATCCAATAAATTCCTTCTTCTGTTTTCACTATCCAGCTGTAAGGAATAAGGTGGTGGATCAGGTATTGTTTCCTCTTGCTCGTCATTATTATTTGTAGTGGCATCCTCATCGTCAATATTGATCAGTATAGGAGTATAATGCTGTGAATGTAAAGAGTAAGAATCAGCTTCTCTGGTACTGGTGGAGGTGTTAGATATGGAAGCTAATTGGGCAGCAGTTGCCAATAAAATGGTATCACGTTCGATGCCGTATGGAGGAGGAGGAGCTAGAGTACCTTGAGGAGGAGCCAGACCCCATTTTTTGACATTGGCCTCAACAAAGACGAAGCCGGATTGTCCCAGATTGACGTGGATCTGACAAGGACCGTTTGCGCCAATGGTTGGGAACAAATTCCATCGTAGCCCTGTATACGCATCCTCTAATCGTCTTCCGTTCCTGGTGAAAAATACGGTGCCAGTTCTATGTCTATATCCAACACCCACTATATCGCCATGATTGAACGGAATTCCATATGATTTACCAGTAAACGGAGAAGAAAAATATTTACATCCATTGTTCGAAAAATACCCAATTGAGTACCTATTCCAGCCTGGTAATCTCCATGTAGGGTATGGCTTTGTTGATACGCCCACAGAGACGATGGTAGATTCGGGCTTTTCAAACATCTTTGCCTAAAACATAATTGGGATGAGTGTGAAAGTCACTGATGTAAAAACATGGTTAATTTACCTCCCAATAATAAACCTCTTGTTGTCGTGGTAACGGCAAATTGGTCTGTATAGAACACTCACCATGCATGAATTGTAATTCTGTTCTACCAGCTACATATACATTTGCATCAGGCTCACCCTCAAATTCAAACGCAGAAACACCGTTCTCCTGAATCGACACAAGTTGTGGTGGGCTGATATCGGTTGGTATGCTATCTGGTGGATGTCTGTCCTGGAATACTGATATAATAAAAGGGTTAGTAAGTCTCTCTTCACCTCCCGCAACTATGACTCTTTCTTTATCTTACTTTTAGCTCGTTCGTAGCTGAGACGTCCATCTTCAGGAAGACACGCAATCAAATCTTCTGAATCGACTGGCCAATCTTCGTACTCCGGATAGCCACTCATAGACATTGGTAATTCAATGGGCGATCTTGTAAAGCATGTCAAGAATACTGTGACAAGAAAAAATACAATTATTCCAATCACGAATAGAACAGTAAACGAACTGGACATTGCGTATAAGAGAAAAAGAAGAAGGGAAAAGGGCAAAACAAAAAAACAAAAAAAATTAGCTTACGAAAAAAAAGGGGGGCAGAGTTGAGTGAGGAGGCGAGTCGGCTGCTTCCTTCATATCAGCTGATAAGCGTGACGTTTTTCAAATATTCAACGTAGGGAGAAGCCTTTGCATGAAAATTATAAGGAAAGCAAAAGGTTGCTTAGAAGTGAGCAATAAGCGTTGTACAGAATTGATCGACACAAAAAAAAAGAAAGCCTTGTCCAACACCGGTACCTTTTCATCCCACCACTAAGGTCAGCTACACATACATAACATAGTTTTTTTTTTATTATTCCACAGTGTTGATAGGCGGAGTTTACACGTAAAATAATGCAACCACCAGAAGAAAAAAGGAACGCGAAAATCTGGCGCTCTTACACCTTGTGAATTGGCTGACTGTGCTTTTATTTGAACGCACAAATTGGATTTTAAGAAGTTTTTTTTTTTTAGTGTAATCGCGGGGATCCCACATTATTTCCCCCGTACACCCATCGGTTTAGCCCGAACATGAAAAAAAAAAAAAAAAAAAAAAAACTGAATACAAATGAACCACGTTACCAAGTATATTTCTTCGATCTATATTTTATTTCCTTTTTTAAAAGCTGTCACTCACACTTTCTTTTTAGTAAAGTGAAAAAAAAGGATGCTTACTGTACAACATAAATCGTAATAGAGATAAACGTTTTTAATAGTTGTGATTGTGAAACAAACAGGTTATTGAATCATATAACTATTTTTTTTATTATCAGTATTATTATTATTAGGGGTATTTACAAATTAATATAGAGTGTGTGGAGAGAGGGAGAGGGCTTATGTTTTTCATATGGGTTCTGTACAGTTGCATGAAAAAAAGAGTATTACATCATGGGATGCTCATCAATAAAGAGAAATTTGTTCATTTTACGTGGATTAAAGTAACGGAAGCGCGCCTGACTTTTGCCTGCGCCTTGAGCTGCTTGATTTTGATCGGGTGGTGTGTATGCATTAAATTGTACAAAGGGCGGTGCGCTTGAAAATGACGGTCTTCGATCATTTTGCTGCTGATTGACTGAAAATGTGCTTGTATTCGGTAACGAAGGCTGCTGTTGCACACTAAATTGGTTCTGAAATGAGATCGATCGCCTAGGCTGCTTTGAGGCCGTCACCGATTTCACCTTGGCGGGGACCATTCGAATTTCACTTTGGATGGTTTCTGGCTTGATCACCGCTGTAGGCTTTAATTGGACCAGGAAATAGTCAGGCCGGTTATTCTCCAACGATTCTTCTGGCCGTTTAGGGTCTACGGGATAGGAAGCACCTAGCTGATGTCGACGAATTTCTACCTGTATCCAGTCTGCCACTTGAAACCAATTCTTGCACGAAAACCGGAATTCGCGTGTATTTTGTAACACAGCATAGGATTTATCCAGACCGTTGGTAAAGTCTTCCATCTTGATGCCGCTGGTAATCTTGGCTTGGTCGTCGGGGGAGACACAGGTATGGTAGATATCCATTGCTACGGAAATCACCTCTGCAGCACGCCAGAGTTCATCACGATCAAATGCACAGCGACCTACGTCCGCCATATTACACGTCTTGATGGCACTAAGTTGAGTCAGTGCTGTAGACAGACAGATATTGAGTGAATTAAGCGAGGTTTGACTAGGGCGAGTATCATTCATTTCAGGTATAAATAATTTATGGAGAATGATACGACTGGCATTATATTCAATATTCACACGCAAGCAAGCCAAAAAAAGGTCTTCACATCCATATTCAAATCCACTATCAAGCACCAGATATTGAGGTAAAGCCTTGTGGAAGTCCAAAAGACGACGATCGTACTCGGTCAATTGTTCGACAGTCAATTCTGAGTTCTCACAATCATACAAGGCAGCGACAATATCTCCTTGAATACGCCATAGTTTGAGACAATGAATAAAAGTAATCACACCAATCTCGGCATCATCAATATCTTGTTCGAACACTTGAGGTAAATCGACTTCACCGGGATAGCGAGGCTGAGGCGTATTCTTGGGAGCACCTGCAGTCCAGAGAGAGAAATCAATGGCCCAAACAAACCACCATAGTCTTGTATCTAATTCTTTTTCATATGAGTCAACATCTTCCGTCATCATGCGAGGATAGATTTCCAGTTCATGTAAAGCCGAGGCAGCCATACCAGCGTAATGATGACGCTTCAAAGGTTCAGCACGAATACTCATGAACAAGAGAGCAACTACGGTATATCTATCTGGCGTATCGAACGACTGAGAAAGGCATTCACGGGCCTGACTAAAGAAATATTCTTCTTGCTCCTTGAGTTTATCTTGATCTTTCAAGAAATGGTTCAATGCGGGATGCGGGTGATGAATGACGGTATGACGAAACGCATAAGAACACATGGCATTGACAATCAGAGTATCAGTAGGATCCTCTTGTGCATTATACCAGGCCATAAACTCGTCTCGTTTTAAGATGGGCTTGAAACGCACCCAACAAGTAAAGAATGTATTGACACAGGCATCCGCAATTTGACGTACATTTCGAATACTTGAATGAGGATTGGAAATTTCGCCTAAACGATTGGTCGAAGCAAAGAAATTGACGGGCTTTGTATTATTGCTCTTGTTTTTGTATAGTAGCATTTTGTCCTTAATAGGCGAGGATTGTGTTACACTTGCAGATGATGATAATGAGGATGAGGATGCTGATGGTGGTGATGCTGGTGATGATGATATGGATGATGTTTGTGGTGGTGAACAACACATATGACTAAAAGCATCAATTAATGTTCTCAAGTCGGATGCATTTGTAATCTTGGCTTCTAGGTTGATGCCAACATCGCTATAGGAAAATTGAATTTTGGAGAGAACATCGGTAAACTTGGGATTGTCAGTAATCATGGATGAAGGGGAGCTATTCAAGGAATCGACTAGTAATGATTTAGGTGATTGAACAGGCTCTGTGGCGACAGGAGAGAATGCAGGAAGTTGAGTGTCGTCTTGCCAAAAGTTATTTGACTGAGGAGAGATGGAGGATTCAATATATTCTGAGCTCACTGAGTAAGGGATATCGATTGGTACTGTAGCAGGAGTGGAAGGAAGCATATAATCCATAGGCGGTGAAGATAGAACAGAGGACTGATATGGATAATGGCTGATATCATAAGGCGAATAGGATTTAGTCCAGTCCTGCGGTAGCAAGGGTGAATTGCGATCTGAGTCGTTTTTGGAGGAGTGGTATATTTCAAATGTTGATGTTGTATCATGCATGTACCAATTATCGTCATCATCGTTATGAGAAGACATATCGGCCCGTATTCTCTTTGAAGATCTTTCGACTGTATCAAAAGGCATTAAATATAAGAAAAAAAAAAAAAAAAAAAAAAAAGGGAAGGAAGGTTATTTAAGGACTGGTGGGAAAAGTATTTCAACTTTTATACGTTGAGCCATTTGTTACACAAATAACCTCTTCTGACTCAAATATTTGGTGATTGGTTTACACACGTAAGAAGATCTCTAATTATTCTGAAGGCCGAAACTATTTTAAATTATCTGTTCGTCCTACTCTTTTTTATTCTCGATCTTGTTAAATGTAACAAAAAAAAAAAAGAAAGTTTATATTGTGAATGGATAACAAAAAGAAAAAAAGAAAAGGTAATTCTCCTTTGTCCTTTTTACCCGAGCTTTCCGAGTGTCACTCTTATCAAATATCATTTTATACACTCCGACATCTCTTATGTACTTTCTCTTTCCCTTATCTTGCTTTTAAAATTATTTCACACTTATCGAGGAATAGCCTACATTTCATTGATTTCTCCATCTGCTTTCCAAGTGATACTTCATGTTTTCATGCATGTCAATATCTGGGCTAGAACGTATCTTTTACAGCAAAGATAAAATACCGGTTAAATCAGCAGCTTAGCATTGAACTGCGAATGACATGTAGCAAACATTTCTATTTCACAATGCAAAGTGTGCAATTGAATAAAGCTGGTGGTACATTGATTTGTGTACCAAAAAAAGGAATAAGCCGTTCAAGAACAATAAACACAATAATGTTTGCCCCATAATCTGTTAATTCTAAAGCTTTGTCTTTTCTCTTGATATTAAAGTTCGTGTTTAGCCAAGGCAATTTGATCATGTGCTCTAAAAAAAAAGGACCTTTTTCTATATTTTATTTTTATACTTGACTATCACTCCCGTATTAAACCCCATTATTATCATTTGTCAATGGATGAGCCTTTTTGTATATAACAAGGGGCACATGTTATGTGTTTATTTGAGCTTTTACTTTTTTTGAGCTGTGTTTGTTACACCAGCCCCTTTATAAACTAGTACATTTTGGGACAAAAGATAGGCTTTTAATTGTAAAAAAGGTGAAATACATCATCAATGAATAAGCGACCCTCTCATTGCTTATATATATTCTTCTTTTATAACTCAACCATTTAAGCACCACTAGAAAATCGCTTATAAATTTAGCCCAAGAGAGAAAAAGAAAAAAAAGAGAGATCATCTGCCACTGTGACACTGAATTCTAATGGAGGAAGGGACTTAATCTCTTAAAGCAGCAGATTTGTGATCCTCGATACATTCTAACAAAATAGTTGTCTTGTGTCGTAAGCCCAAAAATAGCTTTTTTTCGTGAGAGGTCTCCCAGAGGGCTCATTGGTAGGAATTGTAAATTCAGATGTTACTATGTAATTTAACTTTGTTTAATTAAAAAACCAACTTTTATTGCACGCCATTGATGTATGAAATTTCGCTCCAAGCAAAAAAAAAAAAAAAAAAAAAAAAAAAAAAAAAAAACGATTGTTTTGGGTTGTGTGGCTCTGATCTTTTATCCTCCCCCTCCCACCGTCCACCCGTTGCGGGGTAACGAATTGAACAAATCATGAAACGACCCTCATCATCTTTTTTCATGACCCATCATCTAGTGAAGGTGATACCGGTTATTCCTCAGCTGAGAAAAAGGCCCTGTTTTTGATAGGCAAATGTATACTCATCCTTTGCACCAACTTGTTTACATATTTGAGTCACGTCTTTATAAAAAAAGTGCCACGGTCCTTCCAGTATTTGGGTGTGCATCCAAGCACCTTAATCAGGTGTTTCCCTAAACCTCATTATTACTTGCTACAGGTCCGTTGCTCCCATTAGCATATGCCATAAAAAAAAATTTGAGCGGGGGACTCGGACCTTACAGCTTGAGTGTCAAGCTAACATGGCACAAGGATGTACGTGTTACATTCTTTTTAATTCTAGTTTGTTTACATTTGTCTGCTTTATAATTGATGATACAACAAATCAAAAAGGTATTCACTCCTTTTGGTTTATCTTTCATGTATATAAAAAAAAATGGTACTCCAAAATTAACCCCTCCAGCCCGTCTTTGTGAATTTACGACAATCCGATAAAAAGTAGATTTGTCCCTCCCACCCTTTATTTTTTCTGCAACTATTTGTAAGCTGCTATGCAAACTAATAAATCATATCTTTTGAATTGGGTTTGAACGCTCTCCTTGTAATTATTATTAGCTTATTTCCGGAATGTAATTTATATTAATAGACAAATAAATAAGAAAAAATACGCGGGAAAAACTTGTGAAATACATGCTTGTCATGGTAGACCATTTCAGGAGATTCACTATTCTTCGAGCAATGCCAAATAAAATAAGTTTAACAGCTACTAAACATATTTTGCTTATTCTTAGGGTCAAAAGTGTTGTCCCAAGAGTTTGTCAACGAAGTTGTTTCCTACGTGATTCTAATGAGTGGCATTGACAGAAGACTATCGTCACGTTATACACCACAAGGAACTTTAGTGTGCGAAAATTTTGTCGGGATTGCAACACCAGTATTGTAAAATTACTGAATGGAAAATATAACGACTGGTATCTTATTATTTAAATCCTGTACAATCAGCAATAAACATTTAGTATCCTAAAGTAAAAAAGTCTAGACTATACTCTGTAGTATTTGGCAGACAGACCTAGCTTTGGACAAGAAGGTGTTATACTTCGAACTGAGACTCTTATTGAAGATGTATAAAGTAAATATCATGGGCGGTTTGCGAAAACTCATAAAGCACTTACAGATTTGTGATCCTATTGGTAGAAATTGCGTGATGATTAACGTTCATCGCAGCTCTAAAATACAAGAAAGCTAATCTGGGCCTTTCAATATTACAGGATACACAAATAACTTACTATCTAGAGACGTACCTACTCAGCAGATTAAGCTACTGCCTGATGGGGATTATGAAGTACAAGAAATTATAGTGCATAAAGACGAACCTAGTAACTATTCATATATTGCTCTATGGTCAGGCTATAATGACCCTAAATACCATAATTGGCAACAAGTTGGAGACTTTGATTCCAAATTACATATTGGACAAGACTACATAGGTGATTTGGTTGCAGTACTTAACACTTCGTTTCGTTTAGGACTATGTCATTATATGTAAGTACAGTTGCAAAGCCAGGTATTTTAACAAGATTTACCTGTATCTTTGAGGATTTTCGTCCCGTTCAGCATCATATAATAACTGTTCCCATCTAGCTAGAAATGATTCCGATGGGAGTAGCACCATCTATAACCCAATTTTTATCTTTTACAAGCTACCCGTTGGGTATAGCAAGTGAATCTTGTAAAGCGAATTGTGGGCTAGCCAGCAAATCTAAAAAAAATAAAATATATGTAAGCCCATTTTGTTGTTGACTAAGACATAATATATTAAATATGATGTTTAAAAAAGAGAACTTACGGGAAGCATCTTATGAAGAAGTCTATTTGTAGTATTAGAAATGAAATTAATGTTATATAGAGATATGTGTGCGAAGATAAAAACCTTGTTCCCGGATATCTTCAATTTTTATAAACTGAACAGTGTTTTTGGCAGGAACAATGTCTACATCTACGTCTTTTTTTTTTTTTTTTTTTTTTTTTTTTTTTGTAGATATACATGATCTTTTTTTATTCTCTTACGTATTTTGAGATGAGGATTTTAATTACTTACAGCCAACGCGCCTAAGAGCCTGAGGGCTTAAATATTAAGCCATGCACATCTAAGTATATATAAACTTTTATCGGGAAACTGTAAACGGCTCATTAAATCAATTATGATCTATGTGACATATTCTTTACGCAACTTGGGAGGTTGCAAAGACTAACCGTAGCCGTAATATTGCAAAAATTGTACAATGTCTAAAAAGAGGCAAAAATTTAGTGTTCCTTAAAAAAACAATGTCATTATATTAACTAGTCTTTTTACAATTTTGAAAAAAAAAATTAAGTATGTTAAGGTAAAGGAAAAAGGGAAGAAAGAGTACGCGAAGGAGTCTTGTGTATAGACTGATGAACAATATCTGGCTTATGACAGGATGATTTTATTGTTTACTTAATCATCACTAACGTCTGAGCCTTTATTGAAAATAATAATATTTTCATAAAGCTTTAGGCTTACATAGAAGCAATTCCGGACTTACTTGTCTCTCAGCTTTTCAGTAGTAGCATGTACCAATAGGGAAGCAGTCAATGAACTTAAACTGTTTTTTTTAGACTTTACGTGATTCTAAAAAAAGACGTATAAAATAATAATAAAGACATAGGTGTAGATATTGTTTTTGACAAGACCAAAACGATCCAAAAAAAAAAAAATTGTCTAATCCGTTTACATCTTGATTGCTTTTTTCTACTTTTTTGACAGGTTCACCCAAGAAATCTGAAGTTTTAGCCATTTGCAAAATAGCAAGGTTGTTTAATTCCGACAAGCGTAGCTATTAGAAGTGTTTATATCAAAGAGGTTTTATTTTATTTTTCATAATAGATTTTTAGCGCCCAAAAGCATATTAATTACATAAAGAAGAGTTACATGTGTCTGTCAATAAACCCTTTTTTCTTCACTTAATATCATTGAGTACTTTCTGCATAATGTCTCCTACAACTTTGAGCTTTTCTGTTCCCACTCATGAAAGGGTTGAATTGACATCCCAAATTCATTAACGTCCTACCTGTGATAGAGAATTCTATTCTTATCACCTTTTGAATAATCACCGTAGAATACATTCGATCGGCTGATACAAAATGAGGATATCAAAGGTTCTTTATGTATCAGCAACAATGTTCTTTCGACTTGTTCTCTTATTAGTGTAGATGTAATTCTCCCTAAAGAACAAGAAACACCAGGAGGTAAAATTTATAGAAGTACAAAGGATATGACAAAACACTTCAGTTTTTTGCATTACATGTAAAATTCTTAATCTATCAAAGAGATTTAGGTGAAAAACTTTCCATTTCTTCAATCGTTTAGTCTATGCACAGGTTCCCGAACCTATCCCCCGCCACCCCAATAATGATGTACTAAAAATAAAATACTTTATAAGTTTATGTGAAAAAATTAAGATATCCCGCGTGGAATCTCTTTGTGGTTAGTGGCATTTTTTTTCGAGCATTGGAGTGACACTCTGTGAGAAAAGTTTATCTTTTGTGAAGCGATTATCATTGATAGCACAGTGTGAGCTTGTGCCACAAAGATAATATACCCGCATAAATACCAAAACCACAGGCATGTTAAAATGCGTGCTAATATACCTTCCAAACACATTGAATTAAAATCTGGTGCATCTCTTCAGACGTATTGATAGCGGAAAAAAAAAAGATTGTTGTTCTCTCTATAAAAAACAAAAAGTTTGGGGGTCTTCTTCATATAGTGCTCATTACATGAAAAAAGACATAGTGATCAAATCAACTTGCTTACCCACATGTTCGAGATATTCAACAACAAGCAACGTGTATGATTATAGACGAGTTTTTGATATACATTATAAAGAAAAACGTTCGACTATTTGTGATAAAAAGGGCCTTTCCTTTTCCCCGTTGTACTCATTAACATATCAACCTTATCAGCCATGTTGACTATCACACACATGCAATTTTTGATAAGAGATAGCCGGTCAATCGGATTTGGCCTTTTTTTTTTGAAAAAAAAAAGCCTTCTCGTGCTGTTTAAGATAGAAAGACCTTTATTTTTTTACACCAAAGCACATTACTTTCAAAACTATAGTTCGTTGCCATGGTCAGGCAATAAGGTATGCATTTTCAACAGTGGCAAAACTTAATTGCCCATGATGTGAGTGTCATGCGCTTTTATCTATATTTGAAGCGATACACTTGGGGAACTGCTTGAGCATAGAAGCATACCACCTATTCAAGAATGATTTCTTGAACTTGTACGTTTTTTTTCGACACTTGGGAATAGGTGAGTTTAGCATGTATTAAAAGAGGACACGATGCTATTAATTTCAAATGTTAAAACAATGGTTATTATCCCCCCTCCTTCTCTTTAGTGCCAATGGGGGGTTATTTGGTATTGATGATACGGAAGAGTATTAATCCGTTTCGAAAAAGCTTTGGCTGGTTTATTGAAAGCGGTAAATAAAATGAATAATTTGAGCAGTAATAATTAACTTCTCTGAAATTATATAAAAAAGTAGTCTAGTTTTTATTTAACGGCATCAATTTGGACGCTCCTGCGACTGACCTCAAGACAGCGTCATTATTTCGGTCAAATGAGCAAAAAAAAAAAAAAAAAAAAAAAAAAAAGAAAAAAACTCTGGTGTCAAATAAGCAATAATTGAGTACGTGATTGTATTTGAAGTCCAGTTTTAGAATCTTGATAACACTGGCTTTTACCTAATCTTTTTTAGGAGAATTGCATCTAATAATTTAATACAATGATCTTTCCGTGATTATAAAGTGTAATGAGGGTAGAAAATAAAAACCAAATGCTGACCTGTGTTCGATTATAACGAACTATATTACCGTGCCTGTATTGTCAATGAAACTTTCCATACCTTTTGCATGAACTTTCACAGTCACGAGATCTTATTGGCCCAATCAATAAGGTGAGCTTTATTACATTTTTTTTTTTTTTTATCTGAACATCTACAAAAGATTACACAAGAAAAAAATTTCGAATTCAGTTTGAGGCTCTGTTAAAGAAAAAGTGTGAAATCACGGATTTTTTTTTGGTAACGGGGTTATTTAAGGGAAAATAATAAAAGAGAGTAAGGTTATTCCGAAACAAGTTTGTAAATAAAAAATGATGTAATAAGCAAATAATGAACGCGTCTGTTTTTACACATAATCAGGCCCATCCAAGAGCAAGGGTTTAATGCGTGAAACATTCGAGTTGACAAAAACTTTGTTTAATCTCTACCATCAGGCCAAAGGACCATTGCGTCACACTCCGTCTTTTGTGACACGTGTCTTAGAAAAAGTACATAATTAGAACAGCTTACTTTTTTTGTTGTTGTTGTTTCTCTTCTTTTCTATTTTTCCAAATAATAAAGATTAATTTATAATGACTGGTGGTGGCGAAAATCCTAAAACAAAGCAAGTTCCCAAGAACAAGGCCTGTCTCATTTGTATTGATGGTTGGGGTATCTCCCCTCTTAAGGATCACTCTGGTGATGCTATCTATAATGCTGAAACACCTGTCATGGACAAGCTCGAGAAGGAGGATCCTTTCACCGAAATTTCTGCCCATGGTCACTCTGTTGGTTTGCCCGATGGTTTGATGGGTAACTCTGAAGTTGGTCATCTTAACATTGGTGCTGGTCGCGTCGTGTATCAGGTATAATTTTAGAGTTCTATTGTCCTTAATTGATACTAATACTCTCAGTAGGATATTGTTCGTATTGATCTTGCCATGAAGAAGAAGGAATTCGGTAAGGTTGAGAATATTAAGGGTGCTTTCGACCGTGCTATTGCCAACAATGGTCGTCTTCACTTCTTGGGTCTCGTATCCGACGGTGGTGTGCATGGTCATATCGATCATCTTATTGAACTTTTAACTGCCGCCAAGGAAGCTGGTGTTCCCGAGTCCTATGTCCACTTTATTGGTGATGGTCGTGATACCGCACCCAAATCTGCCGCCAAGTACATGGGCCAACTTGTCGAAGCCATCGATAAGCTTCAATACGGTAAGATTGCTGATATTAACGGTCGTTATTATGCTATGGATCGTGATAAGCGTTGGGAACGTATCCAAATTGCTTTCGACGGTATGACCCAAGCCAAGGGTGAGATTGCCTCTGATCCCGTCAAGGCTATTGAGGAATCTTATGAGACCGGTGTCACCGATGAATTCTTGAAGCCCATCATTATCGACAAGGAAGGTCAAATTAAGGATGATGATACTATTTTCTGTTTCAACTTCCGTTCGGATCGTATGCGTGAAATTGCTCAAGCTTTCGGTATTGCTCCTTGTCCTTTCGACTCTCCTGTCCCCAAGAACCTTGAAGTTTTCACCATGACCCAATATAAGAGTGATTTCCCCTTCAAGATTGCTTTCCCTGCTCAATCCATGGATAACGTTCTTGCCGAATGGTTGGCCAAGAACGATGTTCCCCAATGTCACATCGCTGAAACCGAAAAGTATGCTCACGTCACTTTCTTCTTCAATGGTGGTACTGAAGCTCAATTCCCTCTTGAAGAAAGAGGTATGGTTCCTTCTCCCAAGGTCCCTACCTACGATCTTCAACCCGAGATGAGTGCTGCCGGTGTTGCTGAGAAGGTTGCTGAAGCCCTTGATAGCAACAAGTATCCCTTTGTCATGTGTAACTTTGCTCCTCCCGATATGGTGGGTCATACCGGTGTCTATGAGGCTGCCGTCAAGGCTGTTCATGCTACTGATACCGCCATCGGTGTTGTCCTCGAAGCATGTAAGAAGAACGGTTATACACTCTTTGTCACTGCCGATCACGGTAATGCTGAAAAGATGTATGCTGATGATGGTAAGAGTCCTTTCACTGCTCATACTACCGCTAAGGTTCCCTTTGTGATGGCTGATAAGGATGCCAAGTTCAAGGAGAATGCCGAAGGTGCTCTTTGTGATGTTGCACCTACCATTCTTGACTTTATGGGTCTTGATATTCCCAAGGAGATGACTGGACAGTCCTTGTTGGCTTAGACGTTTTGATTTTTTTTTTTATGTTGGAACAAAACATTTTGTATATATAAAAAAAGGAATAGTTAATTTTTAAAAAATCAATAAAACATGTAAAAAAAAAGATTGATAACAATACCGAAAGAATCGTCTATTATTAGTGTAATGGATTGTGGAGTAATAATAGCTGAGTGGAATTAAAGCGCTTGCTGCTATATTGTGACTGATAAAGCTCTTTGTAAGTATCGATAATAGTATGGCTGGATACCGCTATGAATATTAATATACGATGGCTATACAAGCGTGCGAGGTGGACCACCTAATTTGATGGAATTAAGTCATTTAAGATACTTCATATCTCATTTTGAGAAAGCAGGAACACTATTTATTGTGAGTATCTTTTAAAGATTTTGTTTCCTTACAGATTTCTACAATTACGTTGAAAATCCGTAAACGCATTTAATGCGGTTGTCAACCCAGCTTCATATTATTAATCCTGCAAGCTGGCTTACAGCTGTAAGTGACCTGTCAGATGATGGCCACTTTTAAATGAAGAAGATGGACCCCCAAGTGACGAAAGTTTAATGATTGCACACAGCCACAAAACCAATAGAGTAATAAGACGGCCGTTACCATGCTAAATAAAGGCAATCTGACAGAGGTAAAAAAGTTATGTAGCCAACGACATTATTACGAATCAGGAGTGAAATGTAAATGATGCCACTGATATCCGAAGGTAGATATATCCCGCTCAAGTTTAAAAGTCATAAAGTGGCAAGGTTACAATCGATTAAAAGATGATGTAATTTGCAATCTGTACTAAAATAAATAAGCCAGGACACTCAGAAAAGGACCATTAAATTGATTCAAAGTAAATGGATGTCTATAGGGTTGACTTGGTTAGATGTTCCTTCTTTGGAGAAAGTTTAGAGTCTTGCGTAAAAATTGAAATAAAACGGCTTCTAATCTGGGCTTGGGTCTGTTTCTGATGAGTATCAAGCTAAGCGTCGTCGGACAAAGAATAATATATATATATATATAAAAAAAAAAGATCTGGATGCCTTTTTTTTTTTGTTGTTATTTTTTGTTCACTACCTATAACGCTTATTAACAGAAAAGTGTTATAGGAATGCCCTCGATAATAGGACCGGCGGATATGCAACACCAAAGAAAGTTTTTTGACAAGATCACCTCTACAAAGGGCCATAATCGGTTCATTCCTGCTGAATCTAACGATAGTATACCGTTAAACGATTACAACAATTCTTCAAGATTATTTCATGGCATGCCAACATCCAGCAGTACATCCATGTCGTCATCTATATTCCATCCCAAGAATGTTTCTCTAAGTGAAAACTCCAAATTCCTTATCTGTTGCTTGATGTGGTATATTTCATCCTCCCTATCAAGCAACACCGGCAAACAAATCATGAACTCTTTTAAATACCCAGTGACGCTGACATTTGTTCAATTCTTATTTGTTGCAGCTTGGTGTGCTATTATGGAACGAGCATTCAAATCATCAGGAATCAAAAAACCTACCAAAGTGATTATTCAAACCATCGTGCCGTTATCTCTTTTTATGATTGTTGGTCATGTATTTTCCAGTATATCTATTAGTCGGATCCCTGTGAGCTTAGTTCATACAATCAAGGTAAGATATTAAAGTGGGGGGTCTTTCAACTAAGGGGAGCTGTCAAAATTAAAATTTATTGGGTTTAGGCAACCGCACCGCTTTTCACAGTATTGGTTTATCGATTTGTATTTAAAGTCCACTATTCATCTAAAGTCTACACAGCGCTGATCCCATTAACCTCTGGTGTTATTCTTGCCTGTTCATTTACGCTCTCCAACAATGTGATTGGATTATCTTGTGCGATGGGTTCATGTTTGATTTTTGTGATGCAGAATATCTTTAGTAAGAAATTGCTCTTCAAGGAATCTAAAATGGGAGAGAATAACCCTAACAAACTGGACAAGATGAACATGATGTTTTATTCTTCTTCTATTGCATTTCTGTTAATGATTCCTCTTTGGGTTTATTCAGACGGATTCCGATTCATGACCAGTATAGAAACACATCGTGATATCAGTAAACTTCGGTTAGCCACCTACTTTTTACTGAACGGCACCACACATTTTGCTCAGAACTGGTTTGCCTTTACTACCTTGAATATGTCTTCACCCGTCACCTATTCGATCGCTTCGTTAGTTAAGCGAATTTTTGTCATTGTCATGAGTATCCTTTGGTTTGGTCAACAAGTGAGTATCACACAGAGTCTAGGTATTGCCTTGACATTTATGGGTTTGTGGATGTATCAAAAGGCCAAGCGAGAGGTAGAACAAGGTGAGACCAAGGCACGCGAAGGATCATTAGAGTTGTTGCCTACCACTACCAAGATACATTATGACGAAACATTAGATGAAAAGCCCTTGTTTTCACAACAACAGGATACATTGGATATTAATAATAACCCACATCCAACAATATCCGTGAAAAAATGGATTGGAAATCATTTGCCTGGTTCAAATGCTGCAAGAGAGACAAAACTTTTATAGACAATTTTAAATATATTTTTTTGCATTTTCTTAATATCCCCCTCCTTCCCATCTTTTTTAATTAAAAAAAAATAAAAATTCATATTTCAATCAAAATTGTCAATCGTAGGATTGGTTACATCCACAGTGTTTCATGATCCGCCGGTTATGACTGGCTGGCTTACGTGTCCAATTTGAATACTGATACAGATTGTTTGTATTAAATTCTCTTATTATTGGCTTTTTAATGGTTATATTTGGAACTAACACTTAAAAAAAAAAAGAGTTATGGTTCGGCTATATTGTAACCTGTAGCTATGAAAGCGTAGTCAAGCAAATTTACTCCAGGTTTTTTGTACGACATGACAAATAATAAAACTGTGGAGTGGTGGAGCATCACATGCAATGCTAATTTCACATGAAATCGGAGTTGAAGCACCACAAATTATAAACGGGAACGACCTCTTTCCCCTTTTTTCCCCTCCTTCTTTCCTTTCTCCCTCTAATCTTTTTTATAATATCATGTTGAGAACCGTTCCCAAGTTGGTACGCTCCAGTGCCCGTTTCTACTCTTCTGAGGCTGCTCCTTTGGGCATGTCTTTCTCATTAAATGAAGAGCAAAAGTCTATTCAAGATATGGCACGTAAATTTACTCGTGAAGAAATCATTCCCGTGGCTGCTGAACACGACCGTACCGGAAAGTACCCCGTTGAACTTATCAAGAAGGCTTGGGAACTTGGTATGGTTAACACTCATGTTGAATCAAAGTACGGTGGTATGGATTTGGGTGTAATGGATAGTGCTATCATTTCTGAAGAGTTGGCTTATGGATGTACTGGTATCCAAACCGCTATTGAAGCCAATAATCTTGCTGAAGCCCCACTTATTGTGGCCGGTAATGATTTCCAAAAGAAAAAGTATTTAGGACGTATGACTGAAGCTCCTTTGGTTGCTTCTTATGGTGTGACTGAACCTGGTGCTGGTTCCGATGTCGCTGGCCTTCGTACACAAGCCGTCAAGAAAGCTGATGGAAGTTGGGTCTTGAACGGCCAAAAGATGTGGATCACAAATGCTGGTCATGCTAATTGGTTCTTTGTTCTTGCTCGTACAGATGCCAATGCAAACACAGGTAATGCCTTTACCGGTTTTATTGTAGAGGCTGATACTCCTGGTATCACTGTTGGTCGTAAGGAAATCAATATGGGTCAACGTGCTTCAGATACCAGAGGTGTTACCTTTGAAGATGTTGTGATCCCTGCTGAAAATGTGTTGGGTACTGAAGGTAAAGGCTTCCAAATTGCCATGAACGCTTTTGATATCACACGTCCTTTAGTTGCATCTGGTGCTATTGGTTTAGCTCGTCGTGCAATGGAAGAAGCTACTGCTTATTCTTTAGAGAGAAAGACAATGGGTAAGCCCATCTTTAACCATCAAGCTGTTTCATTCATGTTGGCTGATATGGCAATCGGTATCGAAAGTGCTCGTATGATGGTCTATCGTTCTGCCTATATGCGTGATCAAGGTGAGAAGAATACATGGCATGCCAGTATTGCCAAGGCCTTGGCAAGTGAGGTGGCCAACAAGTGTGCCGCTGATGCCGTTCAAATCTTTGGCGGTAATGGTTTCAACACAGAATACCCCGTTGAAAAGTTAATGCGTGACGCAAAGATTTTCCAAATCTATGAAGGTACCTCTCAAATTCAACGTTTGATCATCTCTCGTGGATTAGCAGATCAATCTAAAGCAGGCGCCAGTGCTCTCGGTGGTTTCTAATTTGCCTTAATATTTAATAAAAAAGCTCTTGTATTTATCTGAAATCTTTATTAGGCTTTTATGGGAAAGGGAGAGAGGGGGAGAGATAGAGAGGCAGGTTTTTGGAGGAGATGACGTTTATAATTCCAGCAGTAATCATTACACATCAGATAAATATAACGGGCCAAGACCATTGGAATTGTTATATACATCAGGCACAGCAGAACTGGGAAGCAGCTTGCAAGTTACAAACATTATAATCCTGGAGGTACGTTGGTAGAAAACATTCACAACGCAAAAACGGTCTTCTCATGAAGAGAATACAGGCATGAAATCCAAAAAACAGTAAGTGCAGACGCATTTATTGAAGTGAGGGATATGGTATTTCCAGATCCTTCGTTTGCTTACTGCTTCCTGAATCCAACCAGCTATTAGAGTCTTGTTTTCTAGGGGTGCTTGCTTAATTTTACTTTAACACTCTTTAGTAGCATTTGGGCAGTTATACGTAGGAACAAAGTAACAACTCATCTCTGCTTGTCGGCCACGTCTGTAGCTAACAAGTCCAAAACGCATGTATTATTTTAAACAAACTTGAGGTATCGAAACCATTTTTTAGTATACACATGGTTTAGCCATCGATAAATTTATTACACTAACTACAAGAATACATGCAAGTCTTTAATAGAGACAATAGTCTTTTTACTGTCCTGACCTTGAATACGTTCATTTAATTCTACTTGGCCCTCTTCCACTGATTTGGATCCAACAACAATTGTATAAGGATAGCCTATTAATTCTGCATCCTTCATTTTAGCGCCAAAACCAGATCTACGATCATCAATTACGACATCATCATTAAATTTCACTGATAATTCATCATATAATTGATTTGCAATATCCTTAAATTCTTGCTTTCTATCATCCGTGGGCACAATGCAAATACTATAAGGAGCCAATGAACTAGGCCAGGCAATACCCTTCTCGTCATATTTGGCTTCTGCCACCGCAGCTAAAACTCTGGTAACTCCAATACCGTAACAACCCATTTCTGCTGGAATCATCTTGGGCATATTGCCTTCACGGAATGTACAGTCCAAGGCAGATGAATACTTGGTACCCAAATAAAACGTATGAGCACATTCGATGGCCTTGACGCTGGATAAAATACTATCGTGATCTTTACAGGTAGCACAATGATCTCCCTCCCGAGCAAGTCTAAAATGGTCTGGTGTGTGCACGGTTACTCTATCACTGGTAGCTACAGTCAAATCAAGGGCATTATCCAAGAATAAATGCAAATGAGGAATATCGTTTGGTTGCATTGAATCAATCTTTGCTCTGGGCAATGTATCCATATCCATGTTGGCTTTATCGCTCAATAATTGCTCTTTCTTCAGGTATTTGCTTAATTGAGTCTGCACCTTTAACAGATTGACAGACCTTCCTTTTGGCGTAAAAATGGCGGCCAAACCTTGTGTTAAACCATCTTCGGCGTTGTTTAAGCCAGAGTATGATACCACAGTAGACTCAATGGGTGTTGTTAAATTAAGACGATCCAGGAGAGATTTTGTTACAATATCAGATCTAGTTTCTGCAGCTGGTTCGTTTGAACTTAACGTGTTGGGCAATTTACCAATTGCTAATTCTTCATTGGCAGTATATCCACAGTCTGAGCAAGTTAATAATGTGTCTTCACCAACGGTTGAAATGAGATGGTATTCATGGGACTTTGAGCCACCAATGTTTCCACTGTCAGCTTCAGCGACAACAAAAGGTACACCTATTCTATCAAAGATGTTTTTATAGGCATGAGCAACATCATCGTAAGCTTTGTATGCGTCTTCCACGGAACTATCAAATGAATATAAATCTTTCATGATGAATTCACGGCCTCTTAATAGTCCAGCTCTAGGACGCAACTCGTCTCTAAATTTTCTACCAATTTGGTACAAACGAATAGGTAACTGTTTGGCTGATCTTAATTCAGAAGCAACTAATTGTGTGATTTCCTCTTCGTGAGTTGGTGCAAGTAACAAGTCTGACTCTTTTCTATCTTTTAAACGAAAGAACTTGTGTTATGAGTTAACCAAAAATGCTTGAGATAAAGACAGGGCGCGTTATAACTTTACCTCTCCTTTGGATCCGTCCCATCGACCAGTCTTTTTCCAGCCTTCTGGATTTAACAACAATGGCAAAGATAGTTTTTCACTTCCAATGGCCTTCATTTCTTGGTCAATGATGCGCTCAATCTTATCGACGGTTCTCAAACCGAGAGGCAACAATGAGTAAATACCAGCACCACTTTGTCTCACGAAACCTGCTTTCAACAGCATGCCATGGCTAGCTGAATTATCCGAGGTTTTATCTTTTGTTACTGGTATAAATTTGTTGGATAGCTTATTTCGTCCCTGAAAATGAAAATAACAATTAGAACATTATTTTTTGCTGAAAAAAAAAAAAAAATAGGCATTGTTGTTGTTGTATAATACATCGAGTGAGAAATATCGTTTGAATTGCAAAGCTGCTTGTTTAGTTTTTAATGAAAGCATTAAGTAGTAAACAAGAGGTAAAAAAAAAAAAAAAAAAAAAAAAGAAAGAGCTGGGTAGGGGGTAATATGTCCGCCAATATTTGACAGGTAGGAATTCCCCTCCCCTCCATTGCTTAATTTTTGGCAGACAAATAGAAATATGTTGCCATCAATGTATATATTTCTAACATTTGACAATGCATAAATAGAGATAAAATAGATTAATTGAAAAAATGAGGATTAATCTAATTGCGGGTATATTCTTTCCAGTGAAACATGAATGAGGGCCTTAAACATGTAAGGCTGATGTTAAATGTCTTTTTTAGACCCTTTTTTTCATTTTCATTTTCTTTTTTTTTCTTCTCTTTATTTACCTTTCTTAATAAATAATAATGAATGACCAACTTACAAGTAAACGAAGTATTCTTGCTATACCTGCCTTATTAAATGATGTATCTATTCATCCTTTAAGCCAGGTTACTGAAGATTATTTTAGAAATGATTATTCGCCTATTTCAAGTGGGTCGTCTTCACCGAGTGATTCCAGTAGTGTTATTACAGAACCATCCGATTTATGGAATCATTCAAGAACAGGAATGCATCAAACAAACAGTGGAAAAATTACATCGGCATTAACTAAAGGAAAGAGAAAGCGTATTTTACCATACCAATATAACAGATTAATGGAGATATTTCAGAGTACTGATACACCCAGCTCAGAAGTAAGAGAGAGACTGGCTGATGAATTAGGCATGACAAAGAGAGAAGTGCAGGTAGCTATTAAAAACATGACATTTATGATATGGATTATACATAATTAAAAAAAAACTCTTATTAGGTTTGGTTTCAAAATCGTCGCGCTAAAGTTAACAGATCGACACAACATTTAACTCATCCACGCAAATTACCGCCTTATATTCCTTACGATAGCCATATCAAAAACACTAAATCAGAATCTCAAAACTCCCCTCATAATGCGATCAATATGCTAGCCTACGTTGCGGAAATGATGAGGGAATCTTGAATAAAAAACCATCAAAAGGGGAAACCCCGTTGAGCTTTAAAATTAATTACTTTGCACTTTTGTTTGTACACAATCTATGGTGTAGCTCAAACTTTTTTTTTCTTCTTTTTTTTTCTTATTTTTTATCTTAATCAGTAACGAATAAAAGGGTACATTACATTTACATTCATCTATTCAATTGTCTCTTCATCATCTCGTTAATCACATTCATCTTTTTTTGTAGAAAAGTTATGTCCAATGCACTTTTATTAAGACTTTTTACCTCCGAGTTTTTCAACTCTTGGATTGCTGTCTCTTATTTATTTCGATATTCAGACAATGTCGGTATTCAGCACTATCTTTGCAACGAGCTCAAAAAGTTTCCAATTTCTGAAATAGAGTTTTTCTTACCTCAGCTAATGTAAGCTCATGTCAACCTTTTTTTTGAATTCCACTCTTAATCTTTTGCTGTTTAAACTAGTCACTTGTTAATTACGAGGCCCTCGGAATCAGTTGCTCTAGAATGTTTCTTGGTTGAAATGTGTGAAAAATCAACTCATATTGCACTCATGGTAAAAGGAAAAGAAGAAGAACTCCTGCGAACAAAAAACTTAACTATCTTGTTTTAAAAGTCATTGTGGTATTTACAGGCTTATTTAGCTGATCTATCGCTTAACCCCACCAGCCCTTCCTTCGAATTATGCAAGCGATTATTAAACAAATCACAGGCGATTGTATTTTCGGAGGATGAAGATGATAGTCCCACCAGCGAGCCAAACCCTATTTTGGCTACACAAAAAGTGAGTGAAAATGCACTTCCGGCATTAGTGGGTATGGGTGCCATGCTGCTAGGTTTTGGACAACCCTTAATGACAAAACCAGCAGGTAGAATTGCAATTGCTCAGGGGCGCAGAGCTTTTGATGGTGGTAGTAATAACGTACAAGAAGAAGTCACATTGATGAGAAGAAACACAACAGATCATCATTCACCTACCCCTTCTCCTACACTCTCCAGCCCTTCTTCTACTGGATCTAACACGCCACAATTTATATCCGCTTCTCAGCCCGATTTACAAATGTCAAAGAAATCAACTCGTTTTAATCCTTTTACAAGTTCCCCTTCGCTTGAAGATCTTCATAAGGGAAAAGCATTTTCCGTCTCGCGTTATATTAAGAACGCTCACCAAAAGCTCAACAGAAAGATGATTCAGCTTGGAGAAGATCAAATCTTATCCAAAAAGGAAAGCAGTAATGGTTTAAGTGAAAAGAAACACTTTAATAACAGTATATCTGTCTTTGATCCCAAATTAACAGCATTAGGACAATCTTCTGTCCCGACCAATACCGCACCTCTTTCACCTGCATTATCTCAGTGCTCATCCTCCGAAGAAATATTGACCACCAAAAAACACATGCGACTCTCCACAAAGCTATCCACATCATTTGAATCGTATGACTCGGATAATTCTTCTTCAAATGAAGATGATGATGAAGACGATCGTATGCGCCAATCTCTTTCAAAGATGAGCATGGATAACAGAAAGTCGCTCCTGAGATCCAACTACTTTAGATCCGAAATGCAATTTCTGTTGGCTTTGGTGGATATCGCCACTCGATTAGTCATTGTACCTAAAGAAGCTCGCATGAGTGCACTTCATGCAGAACTCACGTTGTTAAATCACAATTTACCAGCAGAAGTTTGCCTGCCTCTTTGGTGTCCTGCAACCTGTGAAAAACCTTATCATCATCGTATTGTTCGCATCAGTCCGTCTGATGCCGTCGTATTGAATTCTGCAGAAAGGGTAAGTATTCGATACCGCGCATCGTGATATAATGAAACTGACTCTTACTGATTCAGGCTCCTTATTTGCTCATGATTGAAGTATTGGATGATGAAATGAGCTTTGAAGATGATGCCTATACTTCAGCACTATACCGTATGCGTCAATCTTTGAAACGTAAAAAGTCAAAACGTCAATCTCTTCAATTAGAAGATACCTCATCTTCAGCAGTCGAGACATCCGATATTGGTGTAGTGAAGTCTGAAACAACCGCTGTAGTGGAAAAGGAATTACCGGTATTGGAACATTTGAGTAGTCGTGACAGTAGACGTAATTCTAGATCGGCCGATAATTATGCTGAACGTATGAGAACTGCTGCTGTCATGTTGGCACAATTGCAGTTACCCACAACAAGCAATACTACAGCAGTGACACCGAAATCTAAACAGGGTACGGAACAGATCCGTCAACGTATCATCAAGGAAATGATTGCTTTGGAAGATCAGAGAATGACGAAAATGAAAACGGAAGGTGTCAGCAGTGGTGTAGGTGGTGGTGGAGGAGAAGGTGCTGGTGGAGATATGTTGGAAGACGAGCAACGTATTGCTTGGGTTGTAAACAAGGAAGATCCCAGTGGTAATGTATAAATTTCTTTTCGACGCTCAAACAAGAATATTTAACAGATCTTTTTTTAGCTGCGGTTTTATCAGAGGACTGGGAGACCAAAAAAGCAAGGTTAAGGGCTGCATCACCCTATGGTCATTTACCAAACTGGAGATTAATATCTGTGATTGTAAAAAATGGCGCTGATCTGCGTCAAGAACAATTTGCGATCCAATTGATCCGTGAATTTCAACGTATCTGGGAAGATACTGGAGTCAATGTCTGGGTGAAGTAGTAAGTTTTTTTTTTTTTTCTTATATTGATATGAGACTTAAACAAATCGTGATTTTAGTTTCCGTGTGTTAGTAACATCTGATGGATCTGGGTTAATCGAAACTTTAAGAAATACGATTTCCATACATTCCATTAAAAAAGATGCTTACACTAGAGGTTGGAATGAAAAGGGTGCAGTTTTTACATTGTTTGATTATTTTGAAAAGGTAAATTGTTTAAAATCTCACTATTATGTACGCCACTCACTCACCTGCATGGTCACCAGCTTTTCGGACCGCCAGATTCGGATGAGTTCATTAAGGCGCAGGACGCTTTCATGAGAAGTTTAGCGGGCTATTCCGTGGCTTGTTACGTATTACAGATTAAAGATAGACACAACGGCAATTTATTAATTGACGATTCTGGCCACTTAATTCGTAAGTTTAAAGTAAGAATATATATCTGCTGTATGTATTTATCTGTTTATTTTATTTTAAAAAAAGATATCGACTTTGGATTTATGCTCTCGAATTCACCTGGATCTGTAGGGTTTGAAATGGCACCCTTCAAATTACCTCAAGAATATATCGATATTTTGGGTGGCGTACACGGGGAGAAATTTGCCGAATATAAGGCCTTGATGAAAGCCGCTTTCTTGGCTGTACGTAAGCACAGTGAAAACATTTTGTTGTTGACAGAAATGATGAGTAAAGACTCCAAACTGCCTTGTTTCCAAAATGGAGACCTGACTGTCCCACAGTTACGAGATCGTTTCCAATTACAATTGACTGAGCCTCAAGCGGAAGATTTTGTAGATAAACTGATCATGAGCAGTTGTTGCAATGTATTTACTCGTCTTTATGATACCTTTCAATATTATTCTCAGGTAAATGAAAAATTGAATTTACATGTATAACTCTTTTAATAACACGTCAACTTGCAGGGAATTTTGTAGATCCTTTTTTTATTTTCTTTCTTTCTAGTTTCCCTTTTGTTTACTTACAATTTAATAATACCCCTTCTCCTCCTCTACTTCCCCTACCCCTTTGCGTCTATGTGTATGTACAACTATATATTTTATGTTTTATTTTAACATCTTAATTTACTTTTTTTTTTTTTCAAAACAAATAAAAAAATTACATGAATAGTCCCTGAATACATATGATACCCCATTCCAAGCGGGATTCGATTGCAAAATTGAGAATGCACTGGTTTTATTTAGACAACATCGGCAGTGATACTATGCACATTTTTTATGCTTTCTTTAAATTACATAGTACTAATATTGCGTTACAAATGGCGATGTTAAAGTCTCAGAGAAATCTCTATCACCCTAAAATAAATCAGCGATCAAAAATTGAAAAATATCGCAAACAAATTAGAGCGGAAATAACGATCTTTTTTTAAAAAATATCGCGATTGGCGATATCGATAAAATTTTCTAAAATATCGTTATTGGCAATATCGATCAAACTTTCCAAAATATCGCGATTGACGATATCGATCCATAAATCAAAAAAACAAAAAAATATCGTTGGATGGGGTAAAAAAAAATGGGGTAATCGATAATCGATATAATATTACTTTTACACCCCTGCTGAATCAGGATACAGGCTTAAAATTGATACGTTTGTATATATTGGAAAAAAAAAAATTTATTTATAAAAAAAAACTAAATAACGTCGAATCTGACCATGATGAACCTCTTCAAATATGGAAAATGACCAGTAAAATATGACCAGAGACAGACATAATCAGAGGAACTACGATAGTGACCACACGAAGACCTCAGAAGAACAGCAGTATCACTTACCTGCAAAAATATGGTTTACGTTAATAAGAGAATAAATTATCATGTTTAGCAATGTGTACCTTTACAAAACCGTGGGATGTACGAGCCTCAAATAAACAGTAATATCAATCAGCTTTAAAAAGTTGGGTTAACTTAATAATAAACAAGTATACCAAAGTCAAGTTATTTACCTTTCCACAAGTAATCAATGTATTGATTCCTTTAGCTATAAAAATGCGCTAATAGATATAAGAAAGTAGTTAGAGTTCCTTACCGAGCAAAGAGCATTGGTCTGATCCTAAATTAGAAAGTTGTAACACGTTTATTATTAGTCACATAACTAAATCTAAATTAATTTAAAAATGGTTATGATGAATCAAATACCATTAACTATTCGCATATACATACATTAACCTGGAAGAAAAAGAAAAGAGGAAAAAGAATAAGAATAAAAAGGTATAAAAAACAAAGTTTGTTTAAATAAGAAAAAAAAAAAATTCAGACTCAATTCCTTTTTTTTTGGCAACGCCGTTGATTATTTTCTACAGCAACTGATTCATCAGTCTTGTAAATGATAGATTCAAGGCACTCTCCTATTTTTTTTTTTTTTTTTTTTTTTTTTTTTTTGCAAATCTAAATTCATGTGTGCTCACTTAAAGTAATTTGGATGTCTCGGCCTGTTGAAAACTGGTACGTGTGTAAACGCTTGTTCTTTTTTGACTTTACATATTAAGAAAGTACTCCAGGCTCGAACTTCGTTTTTGGTGAAGTTATAAAGAATCATGACGTTTCCCCTTATTCAAAGGCCATCCCGCGCATGATGAGGCAGAGCAAAAAAAAAATTGTCGTCTTTGATGCAAAGGACCTTGTGTCTACTATTGGGTTGGTGAATGGGGTCGACAGGTCTAACAACAAATATTCAATAAAAACTGGTAAGGCTTTCAAAGTCGATAAGAGTAGTATTACCAGCAGTGTTGGAAAATCATTAAAACCCACAGTCACATGTCCCCTTTTCTCATTTTACTTACGTAATCTGAAGTTGTCTTTTTCTTACCCTGGCTATCATCCCCATAAACATTTTTTTTCTTTAAAAAATTACGTTTATCTATTAACATGGTATTGCTACATCTATTTATTTATGTATAGGTTGTTTTTATAGAGATTTGAAAATTTGGCTTTGCGATCAGCGATCAAAAAATCAAAAATATCGGAGATATCGATATTTTCGATTTTTTGAGCGATATCGCCAATATCGATCAAAAAAAACATTTTGATTGCTGATTTATTTTAGGGTGTTAATTATCACACAAATGAATGCGGTGGTTAACATAACTAATCAAGCAGACAGTCGATACTGTATTAATTCTATTAATTAATATTTCGCTTGTATTGTATCAAATTCATCTGTCAAGAAAGACCTCAATTATCAGTGGATTTGGTTTAGATATGAAAAAGAAATTTAATGTTAAAATGAAAAGTTATATGGCAATGAGAAAAATGGATTATTTAGCAGAGGTAATGGTATGGAGCAGACTAATCAAATAGTATTAAATTTGTAAATCGGAGAGATGCGTTCAATAAAGATTTCAGTGCCGTTAGAAGGTACGCCATCATAAAGAACATAAAGCATACCCGCACCTGGAGGATAAATGGCAGCATGGGGAGAGCAGTAATTTTGAGGCTCTGTAAATCGTTAGATACTTCATGATTTAAAAATACATAACGTTGAGACATATGCATAGAGTGAGTACTGAAACCGGTACGCAATAAACCAACGCGGATCTTGCTTGCTGGGTCAGTGTCTTTAGCAGCTAAATTTTCCAGATTTAAAAGAATGTCGAATGACTCATCATAGGTGACATACGAGGAACATGAGAGATCAGTGGGCGGTAGCGGTTTTAAAAAGGTATGGAGGAGAGAAGTATTCAACTCGGAATTCTGTTGGATATTCAGCATTGATATCTGGGGGATCAACATTATTGGAGCCAGCAATCCATACGCGACCATCGGGTAATGTTAGTGCGACTGAATGATACATACGTGCAATGTCAGTGTTGGCTAAGTTTTGAGTCCAACGCTTGTTAATGGGAGCTGTGGTGTATAAATAAGAGGATCTACAGTAGCATCATGATTACGGCCATTGTATCCCGCCCACCACGTTGACAGCCATTGACCCAGAGCACATTTCCATCAGCCATAATAACACCATCAGGCATCAAACGCTTGTGAATAAAGCTTTCCATCTTCCATTGAGGGTTAGCGTCTCCTAAGTTGATACGACCACAAGTATCATCAGCAGTAGCGTCTCGCTTCATACGTTCAGATCCACCACAAATTAATATTTCCACATTGTAGTTGTTTTTAGGGTCAAGAGGAAGCATAATAGCACCACCTGTCAAAGGATAGGAACGAGGATTACCAGGTATTTTGGAAGTTCCTTTACAATCTTTTGCTTTTGTAATCATAGATAATCGATTTCTTGTTTGCAAAATAACAAATTACCATCGGGCAAGACAAATACAAAAGGATATAAATTGTATGGCATAGTCTCAATTAAAAATTTGAATGGAACTTCGCCTTCAGGTCTTGGAGGCCAAAATTCATACGAAGGAACATTGACCTCAGCACGATTGACAGCTGTACCTTTTGTTGAACCGCCGATAATAAACAAATCACCTTCAGGTAATTGTTCCACAGTTGGATACCAACGATTAGCGGTCATTTTCCCGGTTTTGTACTCATCCCATAAACAGGAATTATCTGTGCATGGAGTAAAATGACGAATAGACTGCCAACCTGGCTCAGCCTTCCAATCACGTCCACGCTTTTCGCCACCACCAGTGCTGATAAGCTGCCGTTACTCAAAAAACCACCCGCAGAGCAAAAAGTATTGGTTTCTAATGGCAAGGGACGGTATGTATTTGTATCCAAATCATATTGAACTGAAAGGCGCTTTGACCGGAGTCAAATTGAGCTTCGTTCCACTCGGCTAATTTAAAGGGGAGTTGAGAAATTGCCTCTGTTTTTGCATATTTTATTTTTCTTACCTTTGTCAATAATTAAAATAGTCTTTTCGCTACGCAAGAAAAAAATTAGTTTTTTTTTTCAGGGGAATTGTTTTTTTAATTATTACTTTAGAAGAACTGCGTGCATAGCTGCTACACCTGTTCTACCGATGGCTTCCATTTTGCCTGATTTCGCGAATGGTGAAATAACATTTTGACTGTCAGACCAATGAAAAGGTGATTCGTTATTCTGAGCTGTTACTGAACCAAGGAAGTAACTCACGGCCCCTACAATAGATACCAAGCTGTTTTCATTTTAAAATAAATAAAAAAAGAAAAAGATTTTGAAGAAAGGAAAAAAATATTTTTAGAACGGTCTTTTATATTTTTGGGCTGAAGCAAAGAAGTAAAAGCTTAAATAATGAGGTGACTTTTTATAAATGCTAAAAATACTTGATTTCGGATAAATTATTTGTGTCACGCCTACACAACCAAAAAAAAAAAAAAAAAAAAAAAATCATCAATGGAGACGCAAACTTGATTCGCAGGTTGGCTAGCTCGATTCTGTAAGAGAAAAACATCGTGGAATTCAAATGTTGATAGAATTTCTTTTGTGAAGTATGCTGTAATCATTTGTATAAAATATCATACCTGTGTAATGCTAGCTTAGACTTACCTTAAGAAGGTATAACCTATTTGAATAATTATCATCCTATATCTTATAAGACAATATAATGACTAGCCAAAACACCAGCCATGTTTGTATCTATCTATTTATGGAAGATCTATTGTCTATTGATAAAGATAAAACGATGGTAAATTATAATGCTATGGTATATTTTATTAAATACTAATGTTATATATACAGGTACAATATCTAATCAAAAAAAAAAAAAAAAAAATATGAGAGGGTATACACAAAGTTTTTATGCCGTATGATAAAATCTGTAAGAGAATTCCATTAGATATATGGTATTTACAAGATATATTACAATAACTTACTTTTGTTGATCAAATAAATGAGAAGATTAACGTTAACAGTAGCCATGCCATCCAGCACTTTCATTGTCTGGACACATTCGTACTGCGTCTGCAAAAGTTCTTCATATTGTACATCAACACGTAATTCTTGCGTATTCATAAGAGGAAAATACCCTTCAAAGGTAATGATGCCGGCACGATCCATCGATAAAATTAAAGTAATGCGAGCATACAACTTCTTAGAAACACCAGATAGATCTAGAATGATACCACGATCATATAAAGTTTTTGCAGAATACTTGAAGGATCCAAATTTGGGAACAAGTCCATGACTTTTCAAGTACTTCATATGGAAATACTGTTTGGTAAATGGAAAGACGAATTTCTGTTTCTTTCCTCTACGTTCAGCCATGTTATTCATACACCCATCCAAATACTTCTTATAGCTGTTAGCTTGACCAATCAAAAACTGTCGTTTTTCATCTAAATGCAGCAATATGTTTTGCAATTTCTTGATTTCAGCATTACGTAACTTTCTTCGTTCTCCTTTCTTTGTGATATCAACAGCAATCATATTGATGATGCTTTGGTATCCGGGACTAGGTGGAATAACACTGTGTTGCAACAAATAAGCGTGTAACTTACTTGCAAATGATTTTAATTTTGCAAAGCTTAGACTATAAAAAGAATTAGTAAAAGAGAAAATAAAATAATGTAACGGTTTTTACCTTTTCACATCCATAGCAGCATTTTGATAACCGAATTTAAAGTTTCTTTCACGAATAGCCATTTCAATTTCCTTTTCAGTACCTTCAGAGGGGAATTGTTGCTCACGCACGATCTCCCAAATAGATTCATGTTCATCTGTAACAGGATCTTCAAAGATAGCTTCTAGTGATGGTCCGGATTGTACTTGAATAACCAGAATACAAGTCGTTTGGTATCTAATAATAATTTTTTGATGTCGCCACCTGCTTCATTTGGGATACCATCTCTACGATCACTCAGTTCAAGTCGAAGAACATGTAAAGGAACGCTCATGTTGACATCGACAGGAGCCTCCCCCAAGTCGCCTAAAATATTATGAAGAATACCAGTTTTTTGGCGTTCCAATGAATCTATATTTTCTTCCAAAAGCTGATGAATATGATAAAGTTCAGTAGGATGCACGTATATGGTTGGCTTTTGTGTTTTATAATCCGATAGTTGATCCAAGCCAAAATGCTGCTCAGGTTCTTCCACATCATAACTAGATAGAATGATTAACAAATGTAAGGTACGAGCTCCAAAGTTTACTTACGATCCATAAACCATTGGGTAAATCTTTGATTGGATGACCTTATGTAACTGTTTAAAGCACTCAGTTCAACATTGCGCGTGTCAAAGTCTTTGCCGATGGAGATTTGTTGCAGCATTTTGGACACCTTTTGAAAGTTTGAGTATAATGAAAACGTCTACAATATATCTTGCTCTTACCTCTGCCAAATTTTTTCTTTGGACTGAAGATACTTCGTGATTAAGAGAAACATATTGCTCAGGGGCACTAACATTAAAGACTTAATAACATGTAAATATCGCTAATTGGTAAACTTACGTGATAGCGGGACTTAAATAGCGGTAATATACAAAATTTCCCAGAATTTAATGATCTCTTCTGAGGCTTCATCCGGGAAATTTTCCTCCATCACAAGTCGAAGCTCTCTTGCAATAACACGCATACCATAGGGCATTGAATCTACTGTTTTAATGATAGCACTTAGAAAGTCCTCTGTCAGATTTCTTAATGTTTCCAATGATTAGATAGAGCGTTCATAACCTCGGGTACTTGCAATGCTTGAGAGTGATTAATATGAAAAGGTTTGTCCGAAGGATTGCCCGTGCGAGATTCTTCTTGACCGACAAATTTCTGATAAATAACAACTGGGTTTGTCTCCAAATCCAACTCATTATTTTCAATCACTTTTTTGATTAACGCCTCAAAAAGGGATGTGAAAAACTGTCTTTCCTTGGCACCACGATTCACTTGAACGACCAGTTTCATAAATGTATAGTTTCCACGCATAAATTCTTGAGGGTCTTTGACGCGCTTCATTTCTTGTACAATACATGCTCTGCACAAGTTGATTAATAGACATTCTTCGCGGGCGTTGGTACCATAACCGAACAGGGCTAACACCGTAGCATCAATTTTGCGCTGACCTTTCTTTTCACCATAAACTTGACCACCTGTGATCGACATTAATCTTGCCAGATATACAGGTTCTGTTTGCAGCAGAAATACGAGCTGTTGGTACAATTCTAATTTGTCACGATTTCCTTTGTCTACACCACGCAAATCATAAGGACTATTGGAAGGGTTCGATGACATCAGTTGAGAAAATCTCTGTTGCTGTTGCTTTCTTCTGTTGGGATTGAAAAATGCATTACTGAGTTTAACTACTTCATCCAATGTTACGACATTTTTCAAGAGCAATGCGATTTGAATATCAATCATGCTCACTTGACTATCCAAATGATTATTTTCTCTAATTGATTCAATAACCTTCTGTCGGAGATCTTCTATGATTAAATCCTCGTTAAAATCTACATCGTTGTTGCTCAGCATGTGAAGGACACTCTTAACAACTCCAATGGAAGGGTTTTTATCCGATTTCAATTTTTGATAAGCACTTTCATGGTACTGTGCACTGGATTTGCCTTCAATTCTCAAATTTTCTATGCGTTGATTTTCCACCAACTGGAATTGATGCATGCCGTCCATTTTTTTTATTGCAAGGTGTCGACGAATCATAGCCTGTAATGCAGTTACCCAATCATCAGGGCAAGCAAAAACTCGCTGCGTTTTTCACCAAGTTGGCGGCGCATTGATGCTGTACGGATACGAGCTTGCATTTTTTGTATAGTTGACTGGAAAGACTGATAACGGTACTGCTCTTTAATCTTTTCTAATTTATTTCGAGCCATAAATGTTCGGATGCAGCCTTGTGCTGAAACAAGTACTTTGTTGTTTTCTGGAGCAGTTAAAGTGTTGCTCGAGGGCCGTTGCTCGTGCTGCAATCGCGTCTTCATCTTCGGAGTCGAGTTCGTCTGAATCGTCATAATACTCTATTTCGGAGGCGGAGCTACTGATTGAAGAATCACCAGAAGCATCTAGAAAAGTTTGAAATAACCGATGAGCTCATAATTACATTCGTGTTTGGTTGTGACACATACCTAAAAATTGTAACCTTTGCATTGTTGTAATACCCGAAGAGGTATCATGATCATCACTTGCGGATGTTTTTGACTCTGTGTCCGAATCATATAAATCAGCCACTATTAAATCAGGTGTATGTCTTCTAATTTGTCTCATTTTTGGCATCAAATCTTCATCGTCTATTAGTGGTTCTTCGATGGGTCGAAAAAGAAAGGTTTTCTTTTTACCACCATCCAATTCGTTTTGTAAAGATGCACCAAGATTATTAAAGTTGGGCATAGGTACACCTGATTTCTCCAAATTTCTTTGCGTTGCTATCAAATGTCTTCTGAAAAATTAAATTCGCCGTGTAAGTTTTAATCTGTGGCGCGATTTGATTTGAATGCAATAAATGGGAGAGAGCATGAATACAATAAATACTTTGGGCATATTCTTTCCATCGAATAAATCAACAAATTCAAACCAAAAAAATGGAAGGCAGACCAACTTGCTGTATAACAGACAAAAATGCATTGATATTGTTGGAGCGTAAAAATTTGAATTTGGCATCGCCTGATATAATACTGGTAATGGAGGAAGGTTGAATTCTACGTGCCAATTTAGCTAGAACTACGCCATCGTGTAGTGTTTGCTCTAACTGTATGATTGATGCTTCCCTATTATCGTTGTCATCGATTTTTCACTGATAAAACTTTCAATCCATCTGGCGTTACACTGTTAGATTACCATATATGGATACTTGTTATTGTGTTACTTACTCTATTGCCTCGCCAATGTGGCAAAAGATAGTCATGAACTTGGACATGGTTTTCTCATTTTGTCAACCCAACGCCCATCATTTTTTGTTTGCTGCACTTTATGCAAACGTATACGAATCTATTATTACAAAGTTAGTTGAAACAATATAAGCAAATTAAGTCGTTGGGTCTTACTTGTGCCTAAAAAATAAAAACATGTTAAAACAAATTACTTTTTTCTGTCTGCTTGTAATACCTGCTACAGCTTTGGAATCATTCTCTGATAAAGAGTCATCATGTTGTAATGCTACTGTAGATTGTCTTGAAGACATTTAAATATATGTAAATAAAAATAAAATAAGGTAAAGAAAAAGTTGTATATTGAAGAAAAGAAGTTGCCAATATCCCAATTTATTGTCAGTTATAAATTTTTTAAACAATAACATCCAATTATAGAAATTACTTTGAATGGCAAATGTTTTCATAGAACATCACACCTCCATTCAGTAATTTTTTGTCTTCCGGTTCAACAAATTGTTTAGTGGAATTTTTTTTTTTTTTTTTGAAAGCTTTATCTGCACTTGTACTTAAAATTAAAATATTTGGTTTGATATCAAACAAGAGTGCCAAATTCATTGTATAGCAGATAATGGTGTCATTGCAAAAAGAGATTTGTAGCACTACTTTGTTCCCTGATTCATTGTCAGAGATAACTACCCTAACTTTCATGAGGTTAGTTAATAGCGTCATTTTAGTTAATGCAGACAACGCGTGTTACAATTTCTCAGCTGTCGTTACATCAATGAAGTGACCAAAATATTCTTTTTACCTTGATATTTGGGATATTCTACATACCTCAGCTGCAAAAAAAAGTAGAGTATAGCAAGAGAATGTTAGTTAAGCTCCTATTTCCAATTAGAAACTACTGATGTGCCAACATAAATTCTATAAGTCTAGGAACAGGCCAACCTAGTCACTTTATTTATCTGGGGCTTCCTCTTTTTTAAGGTCAAACATCGCTTTAATGGATGTGTCTATGGATCATTGCCTCGGCCCGCGAAGCTAAATATAATTAAAACGTTTGGCATTAAGGATATTACAGATTTTACAAGAATTTTGTCAAAAAGTTCTTTTGGAGTTATAGACACTATTTATTCTAGAATTATTTCACCAAAAGCAACTTCACTCTCATGAACACAAGCATTCATAAAGAGCTGGATTTTCTTTATGCCCTTACATCGAACAGACACCTTCATATTTTTTTCATAGTCAGACATGAGTTCATATGCAAATCGTGTTGATTTCACAGCCGTATGATAATTATGTGTTGTAGGGTCAAAGATCAGTTTGTAGTATTCGTCATGACTTCCTCGGTTTAACTTTACAGCAATGAGATATATGGAATGTTCAGACTTGATTCGAATGGTGTCAAATGTGGTGTTGAGCATGTCGACATGATAATACCGAGTGTTGACGCCATTGTGAGGGTTTTCCACTTTACAGCGAACAATAACCATATGTTTCAAGGAAGTAATACGGTCTGAGAGTTGAGAAAGCACGTTTTTACCAATATAGCAGTTTAAAAGAATCAAATGTGACATTGAATTATTTAAGGATAGGATCGGGTTACATTCCAGAATTTTGGTACTGCTTAGCCTAAGCTTTCTTAGACTGGAGCAGTGACTAAATATGTGGTCCAAAAAATGTCCATAGATCATATCGTAAGCTTTTCTATGAGTTTCTTTGGACACACGGTCAAAATTCATACGATATGTAAGTTCGGCCAGCGAGCTCCCAGTTTTTTCTATGATACTCAGATGAGGCAATGTGTCCGCAATAGAACTATAGTCGATAAAGAATTCGTGGTCTTGATTTTTTTTATAGCCTGTTGTACGGTGCATGGTCAGCTTTGCATGTTGCTCTAACAGTGGATCTATGATACTATCGTACGAGTAACTAATGGATAAAAACCCGAATAGCTTGCTGGACATAACTCTTGTATATTCCTCAAGGGCATCGACAACAAGAGGTATTTTGATACAAATGGATATAGCACAGGAAGAAATTGGAGTCATGAAAGATATAAATTTGGTCAAAATATTGGCAGTTATTCTGGGTACTGTCATATGCAATCCGTCATTTCTTCTGAATCATCTCGCCAACTGTGATTGATAAACAATTCCTGCAGGCAGGGAAATTTATGCATAATGTATATTAGGGTGCTATCATCTTGTATCACAAACAATCCGTCAAGTGTTTTAATATCTGGCCGAGGTTTAATCCGAGACAGGTCTGTTTCAGAGGTTGTTATTCTATTGTCAAATTCGGGGTAGATTCCAATATCCAATTTTCTCAAGTTTTGGCACTTTTCGATGATCTTGTCAAATGATTCTAAACAGTCATTAGCATGTCGTTTGATAACTAACTCTTTGAGCTTTGAAAATTGTCCGAGTTCTTTAAGTAGACTGAAATAAAGTTCGTTGTTAATGCCACCCTCGTTTGCATGGATGAGCTGGATCTTGTCACAAACCAAAAGGCGTTCTAAACTTCTCTGGTAGTTTTGAACACAAGATGCGTACATTCCAAGATCTGAATCATTGTTTGGGAATTCAAAGTTTTTTAGCCCTTTCCATTTCGATGCGCTGCTAATGGAGATCAAGGTAGAGTAAAGTCCTCGTTTGGTTCATGCACCTCCAATGTGTCAATGAAGGGAAAGATGTCGGCCATAGCAGGTAAACATTGCTTCCACAAGCCGTTCGTTGAATTAGGAAGAATAAGCTCTTTAACAAATTTACCGGGTGATTCTTGGCTACTTTTCAGGGCGTTTATTAAGTTTTTGGTATCACGGCTACTCACAGTCAAGGATTTGTAGTTGGTTCTTTGTGCAGGCAATTTCCAATTTCTGCAGACAAGTTCACATTGAAAAATATCCTTTTTTTCTAGCAATTTTCTGTCTTCAAAGAAGGATGTATTATCATTGGAATTGAATATGATTAGCAAAACTTCTTCTGGTAAGTTGCTCCAGGATTTCATTTCGTGTTTATAAAAAAAATAAAAGATACAATGATTTGTGATAGAATTTTTGGAAAATTAATTAACTTTTTGATCTCACCAATCAGTGTAAATTTCCAACTATCAATAAACAGCTCTAAAACTAACATTTGTACATTGAGAGCTCTATTATAGTTCGCGTGCTGTTGAAGTTTTATCCATGGTTTTCACATTCTCGTTTGTCTGTTTATCTACGTGTGTCTAAAATAGCTGCAATGTCAAACCCAGCTTGGGTACATTTTTCGAAAATGAAATGGAGCATTCAACCAATTAAAAATTTGAACTTAAAAAGGAATAGCTGTGCTTATAATCTTTACACTAAAGAAAACGAACACCCAAAGGATATTCGTAATTTACCAAATCTATACCAAATTTAAATTCTGAAAATACCATGTCTACTAGTAGTTTAAGAAATTCTGTTGGTGAGATCAAAAATTATCATTCTTAACAAATACTCTTCTTGGTGCAACATGAGAACGAAAAAGTGGCTGAGCATGATAATAATTTCAAGTGAATTGTTGCAACTAGGCAGCACTTTGTCATGACAATGTCATCAAAGGACAAAAAAATAAAACATTGCATTTAATTTACTAGGCGCTCTAATGAAGGATACGTACTTTGCAGCATATTTTTCAGTCATACTAGTATCTACCTATATTGTAGTATCAGTTGTGGTTTAAACTTGCAGTGCTTTCTTTGAGCAATGCACATCATTCTAGCGTCTGGTAGATATAGACACGCCTTCAGTTCATGTATTCGCTAACCCTGATGGTTACATATCAAAATATTGATTAAGAGCTGCCGATTTTTTTTCCATCTGAATATGCCGGTGGTCTTGATGTCGATGGTATCCCGTCTTCTATTATAACGTTTACTAACCAACTAAAATAGCAGTTCTAGCTATGTTTTTTTATTCCAGCTTAAATTGTATAGCCATATTTCACACTTTAAAATTACCCGTACTGGATAAAGTTCCTGCTGATGAAATGTTATCAATGTATTTATCACTAAGTTCTTTTATAAAAACCACAATGAATACATATATTACTTAGATTTTGTGGGAATTTGAATAACTTACAGGTACAAAATACACTTCCACATGTAAACATTATGACACTTGCATTAGGTAAAGACAATTTCATCATAAATAATTTATCCGTCCTGCTAATTATTTAGGTCCCCGTCAGGAACAGCGTGGGAAATCTACAAGTCATTTTGAGTGACATGCCCCGGTAAGCCTTACCTCGGGTATGCATGACACCACTGCTTTTGCAGCATATTTTGATCATGTTATGGTGCCATTGATATGTTATTAAAGATTAAGTATGCATCTAGGTTAAGCTTCCGCAAATCTGATTTTTGAATTTAGGGTTTGTCATTGCCCGGTTAAATTTATATTAAAAGTCTGTGGTAATAAAATCACAGGGCGTATTAACGACGTGGCTATCATTCATGGCATTTGTAAATTAAAATTAAGCGGGTCTTTTTAAATAGAGTATCTTGTAGATAAAATGGGATCAAGGTAGCAAAATGCACTGTTAACGGAGTATCAATGTAAATTGCATTATTGATACGAATTGTGGAGAGGTCCATGTTCGGCACTGTAAACAAGTTAGGCATGTGAAATTTCAAATGATAAGTCTATTTGGGCTAAACTTTTTTTTTTTCTTTTTTTTTTCCTTTTACTCCATTACCCCACACTTTTTTTTTTTTGAATATGTTGAGATCTGCTGCTCGTTCCATTAACTTGGCCTCTCGCGCTATCCCCAAGAGGTATGTCATATAGACTATGTGCTTGCTACATGTAATAACACTCCTTTAAAGAACTTTCACCCAAACTGCTATTGCTCGCAATGCTATTCCCTCATCTCTTACATGCTTTACTGATGAGGAAGTGATGCTCAAGGAAGTCGGTAAGTCCTCTCTTATCTTTTTCTGAAACATGTACTTTGATTAACCTCAACCTTGCAGTTTCCAAGTTCGCCCAAGAGGTTGTCAAGCCCAAGGTTTCTGAAATGGACGAGACTGAAAAGCTCGATGCTTCTGTTTTGAAGGCTCTTTTCGACCAAGGTGTAAGTACAATGTGAGATGATAAGAGGTCTAAGACTGATGGAAAATTTTATTAGCTTATGGGTATTGAGACTGATGCCGAATATGACGGTGCCAACTGTTCCTTCACTTCTGCCATCATCACTATTGAAGGTATGCCATTATCAAACTAAGTTACCGAATATTTTTTTTTAACATTGTTAAAATACGATGAACAGAACTCGCCAAGGTTGATCCTTCCATCAGTGTTATTTGTGATGTTCAAGTAAGTAAACGAGCGGAAATAGAACGTGCAATAATTATCATGCTTATTTTATTTTTTATCTGTATAGAACACTTTAGTTGGTACTCTTGTTCGTAAGTACGGTAACGCAGATGTCAAGAAGAGATTCCTTCCCAAGTTGGCTACTGACTCCGTTGGTTGTTTCTGTTTGTCCGAATCCGGTGCCGGTTCCGATGCCTTTGCTCTTCAAACTCGTGCTGTCGAAAAGGACGATCACTACGTTATCAACGGATCCAAGATGTGGATTACTAACTCTGGTGAGGCTGATATCTTTTTAGTCTTTGCCAATGTGTAAGTAAAAAAAAAAAAATGAAAAGCGATTGTAATAGATATTGACTTTTTTAAAAACAAAAATCAGTGATCCTTCCAAGGGTTACAAGGGTATTACATGTTTCATTGTAGAAAAGTCCATGGGTGTTCAAGTCGCAAAGAAGGAAAGCAAGTTGGGTATTCGTGCTTCATCCACTTGTGTCTTAAACTTTGATGAGATCCGTGTTCCCAAAGAAAACATTCTTGGTGAGGTTGGTAAGGGTTACAAGTATGCTATTGAAATCTTGAATGAAGGTCGTATTGGTATTGCCGCCCAAATGATTGGTACTGCTCAAGGTGCCCTCGATATTGCTATGCCTTACCTTTTCCAAAGAAAGCAATTCGGTCAATTTGTTGGTGATTTCCAATCTATGCAACATCAATATGCTCAAATCGCCACAGAAATTGAAGCTGCTAGACTTTTGACTTATAACGCTGCCCGTATGAAGGAGGAGGGTAAGAACTTCATCAAGGAAGCTGCCATGGCTAAATTATACTCTTCTCAAATCGCTGAACGTGCTGCCAGTAAAGCCATTGAATGGTGTGGTGGTGTCGGTTTCACTCGTGAGTTGGGCGTTGAAAAATTCTACAGAGATGCCAAGATTGGTGCCATCTACGAAGGAACAAGTAACATTCAACTTCAAACCATTGCCAAATTAGTTTCCGCTCCCTACAAATAAATTGTGCCAAATTTTTATACGTTTAGAATAACAAACATAAAATCATATTCCCTTATCCCTTGTTTGTGATTCAAGATAATCAATAAAAAAATAAAATACGCATACACATGTATATTCTTTCAGTTTTAATTTTATTATTTAAGGTTTCGTAATCCTGGAAAGCATCTGGGTTTAATACATGGTCGCCATACGCCCCAATTTAAATCCAATTGAGCATATGAAAGGAGAGATACCTCGATATTTATCACAGGTATTGACAAATTTGAGGCAATAGTTTGAGATATATAGTCAAAATTGACACGTCTCCAATCATATCTTGTCAGTCTGCATACAGCCTAATTATATCTTGTCATCTACCTTGTAAGTGTGACCACAGCCTAATTCGACCTTGTCACCTACCTTGAAAGTATATCTACTATCTAACTTCTACCCTATAAGTGTGTCTACAACCTTATTTAAACTTTGTCATCTACCTTTTAAGGGTGTCTATAGCCTAACTCTATCTTGTTATCTATCTGGTAAGTCTGCAAGCAATTCTGAAAAAAAAACGATGATCCTATGAAGTCCAGAAAATGTTAAGATGGCATGGTCTGTGAGTAAACGTTTAATTTTTTTTTTTTTTTTTTTTTTTTTGGGCATATACCTAGTCCAACAATTATACGTAAATAGTATTCATTACTTAATTAAGTTATTGATTGACTAATGTATTAGATGAAGAATAGAAGGTTTGAAAGAGCGACTGTCATAGTATTACGACCTGACACCAACATACATGGAAATATTTCTCGCTTATATAAACGATGTAGCTGCTTGTTCAAACATTGTCGGGTAACGTCGTAACTAAATTATTCAGGACTGTTATTCCAGGTTATTCATAATGGCAGCCCTTTCAATTTTTATCTCTAAATTTTACTCATTCTTTCATACCGAATTGAATGTGTTGCTAAAAATTTCTGAAAAGATCTGATAAGAAATGTGTGGTGCAAGTAGTCTGGATTTACAAACTCTAACATTTTTGAGGGGCTGTATTGTACTACTTGATAACTTTAAAATGAAATAATGCTGTCAAACCAACGACTTCACGTATAATGCAGTAAAAATTTGTAGGCCAGCTGCTGTAGTTGTACTTAGACGTTTTGCTTTCAATAAGTATAATAGCGTTAAATAAGCTAGAACAGAAAAAAACTCACGGGTTCCTTCTTTTCTTGTTACCAAAATAATTGCGGATGTAATGATCATAAACAATAATGATTTGCAATTATCAGTTAAAATGTCACATCTCCGTTTTTTATGTGCTTTTTTTTTTTTTTTTTTTTTTTTTTAGTCGAATACTTTATATAGTATAGATAGATACATAAAATGTTACCGTATATATACCACAATTGTACCGTATTATATATTAACCAGTACCGCATCCAAAAGAAGTATCGAGGAGGTGTTCCTGAAATTAAACAGTCTCGTTAGAAATGACGTGCACCAGTGTATTAACGTCGGATATTCAAATAAGGGTTTAAATAATAGTTGACCCAGGTTTAGTTTACATACAACGGGCCCCTTTCAGCTGCTACATAAAATTTGACATGTTGCCCAAACTAGGCAAGGCCATTGTCAAACCAAGAAACTTTCAGTTAAAGACCTTGATTCAAGGCACCTTAATTAATCGAGCAGCTCCTCTGACTCCTTGTAAGTTTATTTTTTATTTTTTATTTTTTACCCTAATTTGTCTGACTTTTCTTTCATCCCCTTAGCTTTAGCTACTCGTGCAATTTCAATTGGAACAACCACAATCTTACAAAAAGATGAAACAGTTACGAAAATTACCAAATCGACTGTCGCTAAACCTGCCATGACTGAATCTTCTGTTTTCGAGCGTTTGGCAGACTTTAAAAGCACTGGCAACTTAAAAAGCGCAATCAAGACTGTTCAGAATGCTAAAGATTCTGGCATCGCCACACCTGCCATTTACATTTGTTTAGTGGATATGCTTCGAGATTTACCTTTTGATATGGACAGTTGTGCAACTGTTGCTAACTGGTTCTATTCCGAAAATACAAAGTTGCCTTTGGAAGTATTGGAAAACATGGATGTTTGGAAGAGTGTATTGAAGATGGGATTTAGATTTGGTGCTACATACCGTGCTGAAGATTTACGTGCTCTTGTTGATAAATTTACAGAAATTTTCGACTTGACAACATTAAATGATCAAACTGCTTGGGAATTACTTATGAGAGTAAGTTCGTACGATAAAGGATGAGATAATTTGAAAAATTGACTTTTTTCTTCTTATTAGGCCTATGGTATGATGCACAGATCAGACGCTATTACCGCTTGTTTGGTTAAAAACGACAATCCAGCACAAAAAAGACAATTTTATGCAAGCGCTGTCATTTCTTACGCTTCATCTGCGTCGAACGATAAAGTGGAAGAGATGTTGGAAAAGTTAAAAGGAGAGAATTTACTCACTCGTCATATCCTTCTCAAGTTGATTCGTTGTTACGGTTTCCAAGGCGACATCTCTCAGACCTCAAAATATGTTGATATGTGTAACCAATTATATCCCGACAGTGCATCAGATAAGACTATGTTGCTTATCGCTCATAAAGCAGCATTAGAAAAAATGTGTAACCAACTGGAAGCTACTCGTGGTGTTCATGGACTTGATTTAAAGCCAACAGATTCAACTCAGTTAGATGAATTACATCAATCTTGGTCTCAATTGACCAAGGATATGTTTGTTGGAGAGAAGCCTGTTGATATTACAGACTGTAATGTTGTATTGGAGTATCTCGCCATCGCTAATCGCATCGATCCCGTTCAATTCCCAATGGAAAAAGCTGAATCAATCTTCGAAACATATATGCCAGCTCACAATATTAAACCCAACGAAGTTAGTCATCGTGTCATGATGGTGGGATATGCCAAATCAAGGGAGTACAATTCCGAAGGCAATGTCAGATTAGACAAGACGTTAGAGGTTGTATCCAAGATGCAAGTTGCAGGTATCAACACATTAGATCATGCCACCTTCCATGCCTTATTCCGTGCCTGTATTCCTCATCGCGATGGTCATTACTACTACGACAATTACAGATTAAACTCTCTTTTGCCCATTAGATCACCTAAACATAATCAATTCAAATTGGACCCTCGTGTATTTGAAATCGAAAAGATCATGCTTGAAGCGCATATACCTCATGACAGATATACTTTCTCAACATTGATCACATGTTTAGCTGCCGGAGGCAAGAATCAAGCATTCCGTAGTCGTTGGAGAACCCTCAAAGTTCATGGTCTGAAGCGTGATGTTGGTATCTATCGCACAATGTTTGCATTATCATCATTAGAACCTACACAAGCAAAGAGAGCTATGACAGTTGTGAAGAGTGAGATGGATAGAGAAATTGCCCAACATAGATTAAACTGGGATACTTACACAGCTATGCTGGATTGTTGCGTCACAGCACAATTACCCGAAAAAGCCAAAGAGGTTATGGAAGAAATGAAAAAAGAAGTGCGATACGTTCATAAGGAGAAACACCATGCGGACGATCTTGCTAAATGGCCCTATCTTGATTCACCCGACTATTATCTCCCTATGGTTCGTGCATCCGTTGCCATCGAGGGCTTAAATACTACTGCAGACAAACTTTTGACCGAAATGGATAGCAAGAATGTTGTTTATAGTCAAGGTATTTGGGAAGCGAAACTATCTAAATTGGCACTGGAAGGTGATAGAGAAGGCATTCAACAATTATTCAATAAGTACACAATGTCCAGATTTGAAAACCAAGGCAATATCCCTGTTCCAGTTAGAGAAAAGGCTTCGCCTATAATTCCATTCCCTACTGCTCCTTATACAAGATTGGACATGGAATTCATCGACGTTTACATTTCTACTTTATTGGATAACCAAAACGTGTCACTTGTGTTTGATGTATTGCGTACACTGAATGAACAAACCGACAAAATCAGCGTGTCTCACAAAACATTAAGAGGGATTATTCTTTTAGCCCAACAAGAAAAATCAAAGGGCGAGTTACAATGGCTGTCGGAAAATGTATTACCAAAAATCACAACGCAAAACAAGAACCTCAGATTGTTAAAAAAGAAAATAGACCACCTTGTTTAAATAAAATAAAAATAAAAATGCTGCATCTTTTAACGTAATGTAGTCTCTTATTTTTCCATTAGAATAAAAAAAAATCAAACGACAAATCGGGCCTTCATTCAATTTATAATAATGTAAATAACTGCGGCAATATGCAATAAGAAATTTAGCATCACGAGAAAGGAGGTTGCAAGCGTTAATAACATGATAAATTGGAAATATCAAGCTGGGTATATACCATGAAAAGCATTGTTTGATTTGATTGGCATCACTTATGGACTTTAACACTGCAAAATTTTGAAAAAGATTTATTAAAAATTGATGAGATGCGTGGATAGTATAAATTGTATTAGTCGGTAGATCCATCAAGATCAGCAAACTTCTCCTTCAAATATTCAACGGCGTCGGTGATTGTTGTCCTCTTGTTTTCATCAAAGAAATTTTTTAAGTGGACTTTGTGCCCATCATTCAACTGGCTTTCAGGACGGGAAGGTACAAGGTTTGTTAGCTTATAAAGCACGTATTCTTCAGAATTCCCTTTATACTTTCTCTTCCATTTTATAGCAGTATGTTAGTTAACGTTCGCAGCCTTCGCAGCTGCGCTATTCACCGTACGTTTTTCAACCACAAAAAAGAGATACAACAGCCTGTTATTTCCTTCATATGTGCTGTACTCGCTCACCCTCTTCTTCGTAACTGCTGCTTTTTCCATGGTAACATCGTTAAGCTCTTCGGTTGTATTTAACTCTAAATAAGTGTTGTTTTTAATAAGCTTCTTGAGATCGGTCAGGCTTTTGAGACGAAAGGAAGAGGCTTCATCATGTGTTGTTGCCTAATTTTTCTTGCCGTCAAGACATCTCCTCTTCCATCTTCGTGATAAAATGTTATGACAGAATTCATGTAAGGCCGAGATAACAACGTGCCACAGCTATGTGTCACATACATAAATATAGACATTTCCGTGGAGAAAATGTATATACCACCCCTCTTTTTCCAAATATAGTAATTACCACCCCTGTTCGGTCACGCCGGACAGTAAATGTCCGGTGGAAATGGATCACTTAATACGCATCTATTAGGCTCAATTGTGGATCACTTTATACGCATTTATTAGGCTCATTTGTGGATCACTTTATACGCATTTTTTAGGCTCATTGTTGGATCACTTAATACTAATTTTTTAGGCTCATGTACAGTGTATTTTTGGATCACTTAATACCTATTTTTTAGGCCTATGAACCAGGTCCGAATAATTGTTTGAGGAGGGGCGGGGGGGGGGGGGATTTAGGTACCATTTTGCTTTTTCCATTTTACAATTTACAACGATTATATAAATAAACAATCAAGAAAGTATTGCTGAAGGCGAGAGTCTTATTGTTCCTAAAAGAGTAGAAGTAGCCCCAAGAAATCCTTTAATCGAGATACTCTTCATAAAATTGAACCAGTCAAAGAATGAAGTATCACTTGAGGAAGTTGATGTCGAAGATGTTGATGACACATTAATTAAAGACAAGTTGACATGTGGTAAGTGCCATAAGACGTTCAACTCGAGATCATCCCTGATCAAGCACTTGAAGGTCAAACACCATGTTGTAATCGTTGGTGTCAAGCATGGGCGTCCTGACCAGGGTGGAAGGCTTGCATACTGTATCCGCCAGCAGCAAAAGAAGGCCGATAGAAATTCCGTTTTGAGAGTCGACAAAAAAAACTTAAGAAGCAAATAAGGAAACAAATCAGTTATGAGGCGGTAAAAGCCAAGAAGAGAGCTGAGTGGGCTATGTTGGAGAGTAAGGACCTTCTTGAAAACCTTAAGGTTTTATGGGATACGTCTGATGGTGTATGAAGACCAGATTTTGCCTATGTACAATATATTGAAGATGTCTCTCCCATTTACCAATATCTCATCACCAAACTATGTTTAGAAGATTCATATGTATGAAAATATAGTGAGCCTAAAACATAGGTATTAAGTGATCCAAAAATACACTGTACACGAGCCTAAAACATAGGTATTAAGTGATCCAAAAATACACTGTACATGAGCCTAAAAACTAAGTATTAAGTGATCCAAAAATACACTATACATGAGCCTAAAAAATAAGTATTAAGTGATCCAACAATGAGCCTAAAAAATGCGTATAAAGTGATCCACAAATGAGCCTAATAAATGCGTATAAAGTAATCCACAATTGAGCCTAATAAATGCGTATAAAGTGATCCACAATTGAGCCTAATAAATGCGTATTAAGTGATCCACTTCCACCGGACATCTACTGTCCGGTGCGACCGAACAGGGGCGGTAATTACTATATTTGGAAAAAAGAGGGGTGGTATATACAGGCTCTCAAAAATATGAATTGGAACAAGTGTTAAATCTGTGTGCAACCCGAAGCAAAAGAAAAGAGAGAGAGAAGAATGCTTATTTTTTTTAATAATTTTAAATGAATTGGATATATACTTTTTATGGGAGGAGGGGAGCGCCATTTGTTATTATCTAATAAAAAAAATCTAAGCACGTTAATGATGCGATATCTTTATTGAGTTAAACATTCAAATTGTTTTTGTTTTTTGCCATAGCCAAGAAAATTTATTTCAAAATTTGTATACGTGATAAGTGAAAAAAGGTAATGATTTGTGTCATAAGCGGAAAACGTGTTAATTTTAGTGCTCGTTTCTTAAGGCTTTTTTTAAATGTGTACGTGCCTTCTTCAGTTGCTTTATTTCCTTACTGATTTTTTTTATCGCACGTTTTGTCTGTTGCCTCCATTCACGGCTGGGTGTGAAATCAACAGTGGCCTGTAATGAAGGCATAGGCGTGGTAGCAGGTATAGGCGTGGTAGCAGGTATAGGCGTGGTGGAAGGCATGGGTGTAGACGTGGTAGCAGTGTGAATTACGTTAACATTGGAACTTGGCGGGTTGTTAAAAGTTAATTTTTGGAATTGGTAAGTGACCACAGTGCCATCACGGAATCGGGCGGGAAGGAGTGTAAAATGCATGTTGTTGATGGTGATGCCCTTTTTAATATAGTTATTATAAAACACAGACGCACCTTCAATGGATGAGAAATGAAGATAACAAGTACTAAAAAGAAAGAAAAGAAAAATTAGTAATTGAAAAATAATTTGGTCAGGATACATACTCGAACTGGACGTCTTTTTGAACCTCGTTCACTAATTTCAAATTTAAACACTTAAAAATCTCTTCTACCTTGTCGTATTTCCTCTGTGGGCTTAAGGCGTTTTTTCGTTTTAGGTTATTTTCAAACATAGTAAAGATGTTGCCAGGAACCAATAAATATCGTATAGAATGACCTTCAATGTGGTTAAATTATAATATTCGAGTGGTACTCTCATATTACCAGTATAATCTTGTTACAGATTATATATTGGGAAATTATATTATTATTGGTTGTTTTGATTCTCATTAATCTGTTACTGAAGTGTCAGCTAATGAGAATTTTTCACTTAATAATTTGGGCCAATCAATATAAGAAAGTATTGATTGACTTAAGACCATGTAATTCTAATTGCCATGTTTCAGAAGATAGAAACAAGCCACTGCCTATTCCTTACCAGATTCAATCTCCCAGATGTTTGATATAAAAAGCGTCCTCCCTTTTGCGATGACTTTCTCTCCAGAACTTTAATAAAGGATTAATAGAGACTCATTTCTTATTACTTCTTTTTATTCTGTTTTATCTATTTTTTAATATCTCAAACATCACATACCTGGCCGTTTGTCATGCCTTTAATCGAAGCGCTTTTCACACGCACTTGTTTATTGGGTTTATTACAAGTGGAACATACCATTATGTGTAGACGAAAAAAAAATTAATTAAAAGACTTATGATGGTCTGAGAAAAAACCAGGGATATTTGTATGAAAAATTATACAGTTATAGGGGGAATATTATGTGGCTTATTGGATCATGATGTAATAACCTGTTGATAGTAAATAATCAATATATCGTTAAATTTAGCCCTTCCATACCGAGTATATATATTAGTCAGAGTGATTAACAGTAATAAAACATCAAATGACGAGAGTAATATTTACACTCGGATTTATTAATATTTTTTGTCCAGGACTATTCCATTGTAGTTATTGCTTTTTGCAGAAGAAAAATCTACTCGCCACAGAGTTGTTTCCTGTGTACAGACTTCAACGGTAGGATGAGAACAAGCGGGTTAATGTGTGATTCATGATAAACTTGTATATTACTATCCATCCTAAATGTGATGTGACAATTTACTGTATTATTAGTTCTTTCTGGTGCATGTTCAAGCATTTTTACATGTGTCTTTTCCTTTCTTTAAAGAAAGCCTATTTTTAGTTGCTACAAAAAAACCATATGTCTTCCGAGGCATAAATAAATAAAAAATAGACTTTAAATAAGAAATTATTGGTAAATACAACTTTATTTTTAATTTGGCCATCAATTATTGGCTGAACTTCGAACTTCATTTTTTTGATTCAAAAAACTTTCCAAATATGGTTGTTTCTAGTTGGTGTGTAGTTCCCGTACCGAAAACGAAACCGAGACAATCATTACTGAAGTCAATAAAAAACAAATCCAATTACAATGCTTGGACAACAAAAGCCGAGTTTGAAAAAAAGGATGATGATGAGGCGATGTGGAATAAGATGATAAATATCATGAATAAATAATACCGATTTTTTTTTTTAAATAAAAATGACCCACTTTTAAAAAGTATTTCCATAAATCCTATCCTATCATAACTAATGCCTTTAAGGAATAAATTGTTTATTTATTTTTCACAAGGATGGTAAATAAAGGATTGTAGATGCAAAACGGAACGAATCCCGATGACCCTGAAACAAGATCTATACGTGTGAATTCAGCCCAATTTTTTTTTCTTTTTTTCTTGACGCTAAAAAAACACAGCCGTTTTCTTTTTTTTTCTCTGTCTTACCTTCGTAACTTATTAAAGTCATAACACTATAAAACCCCGTAATACTGAGCCTGATCAGTGGTTGGGTTGAGTATAGCTGGGATCTCAGAGACTGTAATCTAGATTGCGTCTTTCATTTGCCATCACTGGTAAATAAACACTAATAGTAGAAAGTAAACTGTATTTACTAGGCGGTCCTTAACTGGATATAACGGTTGTAAGATGGCAGTGATGGAGGGGCGGTAGCTGAGGAATGGATAAAGGTTTTTTTTTCTTTACGCCATATTTTTTGACCTTTATCAAACACTTTGAAGAGATGGCAAAGATTCAAGCCTCCACGTGGCCAATCTAGGGCAACATTCATTACTGAATGTCAATTGTGTATCTGTTTATATTGGTTTTGTTTGCTTTAATAAATTTTTTATTTTTAAACATTAAAATAATGTGTTGGCTTTTAAAAAAAGACTTTAATTGTTGATCAAGTAATCGCTCAATTGTTGATAAAATCTATGTGGAAACAAATATCTTAGATAAAATAAAATCATCAATATCACTTACACTAATTTATCATTGAAAGTCAGATTGATGCCGTTGGTACTTCCATGATTATTGTCAGATAAATGATTTAAAGATTAAAAAGTCAGAAAGACACGACATACTGTATATGACACTTTTTTTTAAGGGATTTCACTCATTCGACAATGTTCAAAATGAAGTCAGAAAAACAACAACAAAAAAGGTTGTCAAGCTTTCTTTCTTCAGTTTAAAATTTTATTACTGACATCAAAAAACTTAGCAACTATGAGATTATGCAACTTCAAATCCTGTTTATTAGTCTATGGACTAAACGAAAAGACACTAAAAAAACAAGTATATATAACCCTTATTTTTATCCATTTTTCTAATTTTCATTTTAATAAAATCTTGTTTCATACAAAAAAAAATTGTTACTTTTCTTTAAAATCTTTGATACTCTTAAAATGTAAATATATGATATGACACCATATTGCTTGTCCTGTTACTTATCTATGTTTTTTTAGGTCTAAGAAAGCTTACATACTTGAACAAGGAAAAGACTTTGATACACAATCATTCTATATTCATTTCGGATTCAAGACACGTACTTATGCTAAAAAGGAACTGAAAATTGCCTTTAAGTCTGTATATGAGGAAGTTGAAGACAAACAACTGAAAGAATTCTTATATGAAGAATATATACGCGATAATTTTGCAGTATGAAGTTTGTCAGATACAGATTATAACACGTTTGACTAATTATCATTTTAGATGATTACTGAAAGTACACACTGGACTGATACAGTTAAAGATATAATCAGCGCAAACATAAACAAAAGAAAATTGGACCACATGCTGTCCCAAGAAGCATCCTCTGTAAGACACAAAAACTTATATCAAATGTAATACATAGCTCTAACAACAGAGTCTTTATTTTATCTAGTCAACCAAACGTACCGAAAAGGACCGCCGTTTGTCCCAAAAGTAAGTACCACTAAGCATACCAAATACTTTGTTTAGCAATCACTAAATATAAATACCTATCTTTTATTAAGTTTAACTGAAAATAGCATTGTTGACCTGTCAAACCAAGGGAGCTCGTCTCAACAAGATGATGTTGATGGTTGGAAGGAGCTACTGATTGCTCATCAAAGTACTGAAGAGGACCAATTACCAGCATTACATCCAAAACTGATTGCTGCGGTAAACTCTGTAACACAAAAGGCATGTGAATGAGGAGCAAATTTACAAATCAGAATATTGTTAATTAACAGCATTTAATATCATAGAAGTCAACAGCTTATAAGAGGTATATTCGATCTTTATCATACCAGCAACAATGTCCCAAAGATTCTTTATATTTTTACAAGATTATTACCACCATGTAAGTTCCAAATATTCCCAGCTTTTATGCGTGATATTTTGCTAACAACACAATAATGCGACTATCTTATGCGTATAGTATGAATGCCTTGTACACCAAACCAAGCCTACTTGACTTATCTGTTGCTCATGAACAATCAGAACAAGATTATAACATAAATATCTGGGGACCTATCATAGAAGCCATGTTCTCTGATTCCATCGTACAAGTCAAGAGGTAAATACAAAGCTTGTATTTTTTTTTAAAAAAAAGGATGGATATCAGAGAATACTAACTCCATTGTCTGCTCTATATAGCGGCGATACAGTATTGAAAAGCTTTGAGAGCAAGTTCAAAATCGATTACAGACTTGGAGTTATTATCAATCAGAGATTCATTGATATAGCGAATATTGAAGTCGGAAGGAAGGCCACCACTACCAAGGTCAAGGATGACCACTTTAAACCACTTCTGGAAGCCAAAACAATCATACAAAAAGAAATCAGTTCTTTTAGCTTTATTTATCCACCGTCTTTCACAGTAACCTCGTTTCAAATCTGTGGCATCAAAGGCGACTTATTACAAACAAGTCTTGGCTCCCCTTCCAATTTTACCACTCATCGAATAAGCAAAAGAATACGTATACCACTCAGCCCCGACGACAGCGAGAAGTTGACTCTTTTATTACAACAATTAATGGTGTATAAGGAAAAAGTGGAATCTGTAGCAACCTTGTTGAGAAAAGAAGTTAACAAAGCACTGGATAGAAGATCGTCTTTTGGTCCTATTTTGAGTCCATCTTACAAGAAGAACTTGGAGTGTTATCATAATTGGTTAAATGAATAAATTAGTACTTATTTTTTATCAAAATACATGATTTATCGAATTAATTGTAAACGAGTACAATAAGAACTAAAGTTACTACTTTATTCAAGAGACGTGCTCAATATTTATAAGAATTGTTATCTTTAAATGAACATGTGGAATTAACTAGGGTATAATGTCATAACACGTATTTTCTATCTAGTCTGCGATTGTATAATTATATAGTCGACGACAATCGCGGTGATCACGGTCAAAAATTGACTATAAATCGCAAAAATTAACCGCCATCGCCGCGATTACTGTGAAAAATTGACCGCCATCGCCGCGACGGCGGTCAAAAATTCATCGCATTTTTGCTTGTTAATATTTGATCAAAAATTGACCGCGATAGAAACTTTGCGTATATTTTATTGTGCAATTGACATTAAAGTATGTTTCTTCCGAGATCTAATTTGGTACAATTACATTTTCGCAAAACAGGTCTTTTTATTTTTTTCACAAATATTGGGTAAAACCCACTATTTTCATCAACCTAGTACTTTATCCCTTTTAATTGATCTCTTTTTGACTACCTTAGCGTAAGTTTTGATGTGGTATAGGATAGTGTCTAGATATCATATCATTGCAATTGTGATACTTAAACTTAGAGATGAAACGCATCGTTTAAATTGTTCAAGTAGGGCAAATGTGTCCAGGCCTAAGGTCAGTACAAAATAAACTGCCATATTTAAATAAATTTTGTTTGAAGAAAGGCACGTCGAGTAGTTTTTATTTCAGATACGTATTGAAACATTTTCAATAGATAATTTTATTAACTATCAAATGAGCAGAAGTACTGAGAAGGATTGCGCTTGTTAGAGAACTCTGTAATTACTAAATGCACTGTCCAATCTTATTAAAAAAATTGTATATTACACCACCGCGGATTTTTTAGTCGATTACAAGTAAATTTTTGTATCCTCATGATCTGATTGGCTGAAAAATAAAAAAATAGAAAATAATAAAAAAGCTAAAAATACAATGGTCGTGTGCAACTAGAATGCTCATAAATAGGTGTGTTTGTTGCACGAAATCCCTGTCTTTGAAATATTTAGATGTTCTTTATTTAAGCTGTGTCAGGAGCATAGTTGTGTTAAATTTATATGGGTTGATAATCTTGTTTCCATTGACATCTTTGTTGAACATATCAAGAGCACCCTTTGGAATAAGTTTATCTGCCTCAATTTCGATAAACCCATCAGTTGTGCAGCTAATAGGCTGTCCGGTTCTACCAGTAACATCAGGTTGAAATCGCTGCAAAGTAACCAATTTACCATTGTTTTTGGTGATCTCACCTACAAATACTGATGTGTTGTTATCTATGCAGACAGAAAACAAACCACAAACACCCACTGAAAAGGTATTTACCCCCGAGTAGTTGTTATCGGCAAACTCACGGGAGCTACCAAACATTTCCAAGAAAAAGTCATCACCTGCCATATCAATATAATTTTTGAGCTTCGAGCCGTACCGGACCCTCTTTATATCTTTGCTCACCCAAGACCCTCCATCGACAATATGTCTAAGTAGCTCTTGCTTACCAAATTTCAGCGCAAGGCTTTTGGACGTATCTTTTCTGTTTGTGTGGAATAGATGTTCACGTAAAAATTTGTTGAATTGCTCACCTTTTTCTGTTTCATAGTGTAAAGCGCACCCAAAATTGATCAGATCATCACGAAGATGATGCAAGAGGTGCATCTTAGGTTTACATGAATATGGCGTGGGGTTTGAGATTGCAAGATCAAAGGCATGGATTCTCTTCGTTAACTCATGTATGACTTCATGCACATCATTCACATACTTACTAAACCCCATGTGCACACGACGGACAAAAACTAATGAGCACAGCTCACCCAACTTGCTTAGAGGCTTGTTAAGTTCGATGATTTCAGCATCACGAACTGGATCGACAAATAATTGCGAAATGATCAATGGCAGAATTTGAAGCAATTGTTTATAATCTCGGCCAAGAAACGATCCACAATGTTTGAGCTGTCTTGAGAAATTACGGCTGTAATTTTTGCAGGATTCATAGCGTTTCACTGCAGTTATCAAGATCGCCATGGCCGATTTGTTCTTTGAAAGTGTCACCTTTATCAAATGGTTCACGAGATACTTACCAACACCAAGCAAAATTGTGTGAAGAATTTCCACTGGTGTATCTTCTGCAGGATTATAGCTGGCCAATTCTAGTAATCTTTCACTCCCACCAAGATTTCGATAGCTCAAAAGCTTTGCTGCAACAGGGAATTCTACAGCATTGGTGATGACTGCATTTGGATCCAAAGCGAGAACATAGTCGCCTTTGGTTCTATTATTGTATTTGGCGAGTAACTGTTCAGGAGTCACTGCGTAAATTTCGTTTTTGCGCTTTTTAATGTTACGGAAGTAACATTTTCTACACGGAAAAACTGTTGTCATCCCAAGTATGCCGCAGATGTCTGAATGGGCTGGGTTATCGGCCATAATGAACATTAATGGCGCTGTTACTAGAATCATTTCATTTTCTTCTGCTGAATACATTAGTACACCCTTCTCAAGTATCTTTAAGTCATCAACAATGAAAGGAATGATACTTAAGGCATTAATTCCATCTGTCTTGGGCGCCGTCCAAATGAAGCAAGTGTTTTCCCTTTTCGATCTGTCTTCAAAAGGCAATCCAGCAAAGTTCATAGACCAACTTTCGTACGGATTGTGCTGCTTTGACATATTTCCTGAATAGTCATCAGAAAATAAAGTAATTGGCGTTACCTTGACTTTATAATACTGATTCTGAACAACGTTTCCATTGCTGTCACACTTGTTACGTTTCAAAGGAGATTTGCTAAGAACTAAAGATTCATGCAAATAATCCAGTCCTTGACCATCACAATCCAAAGAAAAGCATTTGCTACCGCATACATTGGATTCGTAATGTCCTCCTAATTGGACCAAGGGAATCTCCATGGTAATTGTTGAAATCCCAAAGCAATCGTCTTGCTTAAAAACACGGTAGCCTGCAGCGAGTCGAATTTGATTCTTTGTATGAAACGACTTGATCAAGAAAAGGTCTTTACTTCTCAAGTAGACAAAGTCTCCAACCCAGTAATCTTTTCCCATTTCAGTTACCATAGGGTGTTGGAATGAAGGGTTTTCTTTCCACTTTTTACCTTGATGAAGATCAAGCGATTGATCAGGTGTATGATCGGGAAGCTTGGTAATTTTACTGGCCTTCGTTGGGTTCGATGTTGCTAGTCTGATATGCTCAGAAGGCAGATTCAAGAAGACTTTTCTTTCGACCATTTCATCTTTATTTTGGAGCTTATTAAAGGCTTTGACAGTGGTAGTTTTTGTATCCGTTTTAAAAACAGGGATATTATTGCCTTTGCGAGATTGATAATTCCAAAGATTGTCCAGAGCCGGAAGTTCGAAACTTCTGTTCTCTTCTACAGCATTATCTTTTAATTTGAGCAACAAGTTCATGGTGTAAAGCATTTTCTTTAATTGTCTTCTGGATAACTGGTCGTCGTCTCCATTTACAAGAGCTTGCAAAACAAAATTTTGGGTAGTGTTGAAAGGATAGTTTGATTCAACGAAGTTGTTCCATTCAACACCAGAGGAGGCCTCCCAAATGGGTACCATACCATTAAATGTATTAATATCGTTGGTTGCATCTTCGGTATTAGCTTCGTTCTGAACTGCACTAAATCTTCCAACAAAAAATTCGGTAGCAGTGCCGTTGAGTGTGCTTTCATTGACTTGCTCTCTTTCTGACTCTGATTCATCATCAGAATCATTATCATCGATTTCACTAGAAGTTTCAATATCTTCCTCGTTATACTGATCCTCAATACTGTTCAATAACAGATCTTCGGATACTTGAATGTTTTCATCTGATAAATCAACAATTGATTCGGGGTCGTTATCTTCAGAAATCGAAATGTTACTGGGAGTTATAGGAGTGACTTTTGCTGACAGTGCTTTTTGGTGACCAGCAGTACGACAGTGACGCTTGATGTTCTGTGAAACTATTGTTTTTTGGCATTCAGCACAATAAATTGTTTGGCGAGCCTTTTCAGTTTTTTTGATTCCACGGAATTTATGTTCGAACATCTTGAATTAAGAAAAAGGAACAGCTTCTCTTTTTGGCCTTTGACCTTTCAAATACTCTTAATGGTGACTGTTTTTGGCATAAAGGTAAAAATTTTTTATTAAGTTTTCTTCAATAACCTTCATTCGTTTTTTGTTTTTTTACATTGATTGAACTTATTACGAGGTATTTAGAGCAACTACTGCTACAGAATATATAGATTAACATTTTCATAGCTTCCGATCAATATTATAAGAATGTCAGGAGAATAGTAAGACAATACATGTCCATTTATAAAGTCCAATGTCGTTTCACCCGTATAGACCATAACCTGCGATTAACTGGTAAATATGAATAACTTATCTAAGTAATGTGTTTTCTTATTGTTATTTTACACTATAGAGAATCACGTTCGTGTTCGGCCCATGACCAAATGATTTATAAGGTATTTTATGACATGTAATCGCGCAAAAAGAAAATTTTCTAATAGAAATTTGATTACTGTAGACAAGCAAGATAACATAACCATCGTAGAGGTATGTAGGATAATATAATCGTTTGTCATGATCGCTAATCTCTCCTATTTGTTTTATAGAACATTCAATTTGGCCCTATACGTTACCGTCTGGATTATGTAATCCAATTCCAGTGTTTTTCTTAGTGGGATGTAAGCTGTACTGATTGGTTCTGCAACCGTCTGTCTGCCTGGTCAAAGCTTGTATAGTTTTTATTTGCCAATCAATGTACCTGTCATTATATATGGTCTCTGAATCTATCAAATGGCACAATTGGTGTCTGGCTGCCCAACTGGTTAGGATAGTCCCCGTTTGCCTAGTATACGAGCTGGTAGCATCCTGGAGAACCCGGCTACCAACCGATACTGCCATACGAGCTGGTAGCACCCTGGGAACCCGGCTACCTACCAATACTAGCACTGAAATTCTAGTATTTTATTTTTAAAAATATAATTTATTTAAAAATAAACCGTTACACTATAATTCTTTATAAGGCAATTTTTTCATCCTCCCTTACACAAACGTTCAAATTAAGAAATTTTACTCATCACTGAAAAAATCTGCGGTGGTGTAGGCTACTATTTTTTACGAATTAGTACTAGACTTGTACACAAAATATACAGTGATCTTCAGAACCAAACAAGTTTTTCTATATTCTGAGATTGAATGAGCATTTGTAATTGATGGTTTAAATACCACTGCATACAAGATTTTAAATGAACTCGACGGCAAGAATGTTGTTTATGGATAAGATATTTAGGAGGCAAAAATATCCAATATGGCACCGGAAGATGATTGAGGAGTAACCAAGGGTTATTTTAATACAAGTAAGTTTAGCCACCTTCCAACAACACAGACAGACGCGTAATTGCGTTTTTATTGAGTAATTGCCGCATTATAATTACATTTGGTTGCACTGTATACATTGAATCCAGCGATTATATACAATTGATATCTTCTTTACAATTTTAGATAGTATCGTTACTTTAACTAAACAGACACAATTAAATGATGAATTAGAATGGTTTTCGGAATATGAGATACCAAAACTTTACAGCACAAAATAAGGCGATTGGAAGGAAATGGATCATAATATTTAAATAGTACATTTGCAGCATATTTTAAATATAAAAGTGCGTTGGCATGATTTTGAATAGTCTGTTGTTTACAAATGTAATTCAATAAATATATAAATGTATCTGTGAACCCAATGTTGCTAATTCTTTTGTATTATATACTTTTCTACAAAAAAATCAAGTTTAATCATGTAACAATAACAAGCAGCTAAGAAAAACCATTTTACAAGTATTATCACTTCATTCGTTCATATTTCAAGCACATCATCACCATTTACACCCAATATGCTCCACATTTTATTCTATTTTATACAACCAAGACGACTACTAATTACAAGCAAAAATATAGCACACAAAAAGAAGAAACAATTTTTTTTTATGAATAAAGCACAATAAACCATATCTTTGCAGGGTGTTTGTGGCATGCGTTGTGTGTTCACTTTTTGAGATATTTTATATATTTTAAAGCCCAACTTTTTGGGATTATTTTTTCAGCCCTTTTTGTTTTTTTCTAACTTCTTCTTCTCTTCGCACCATCTTTGTACACTTTGGGTACGAACAAAGAAAGTCTGTTTCAATTCGGCCGAATAACCCATTTTAGACTTTTTTTTCTCTTTTTTCTAGATTAGACAAGACGAAATATCCATCTTGTTATAAAAATGGCATCTGCAACTTTACAAAATACATCATCTCCAGCACAACAGTCAAGTGCTGTATTTGTTATAAATGCACTCGAAAAAGTTGCTGCAGCTAGAGAGGCAAGGCGCAACAAACCATTGAAAGAAGCAGTCGATATTGCTCTCAGTAAAGTATATCTGTATAAGTCTCGTTCTTTTTTCCAATTTAAGGACTAAAACTTTATTAGAATTATTAAAGAATAATGAACCTGCACCAGAAGGACAAACTCGGTAAAATAAAATATACAATCACACACAAAAAGGATAAATTACTCATCCGCTTATCAAAATAAGCTCCTCCGTCATTTTAACTGCACTTCAAAGCGCTATCGATACACGCTCAGCAAACTTGATGACAATATCACTAGATTGTCTTGGCAAATTCATTACTTATAATTATGTTGCTGATATGGAAGATGAAGTGGCACAAACTCAAGTCATGGAAAAGGTTGTGGATGGTATTTGCGATTGTTTCATCGGTGAAGAAACAGATAAGAAGGTCCAATTACAAATTATCAAGGTCAGTTCGAAAAGGATATGAATATATGTAAAGTTCAATGTGTTCATTGTCTTTTTTTTTCTCGGTAGGCTCTTCTTGACGCAGTTTATTCCACTAGCAATCCACTTCATTTATCAGCCTTATTGAAAGCAGTTCGAACAACATACAACATCTTTTTACTTTCTCGTAACAACGACAACCAAAATGTTGCTCAAGTCACAATGACACAAATGGTCGATCATATTTTTAGAAGAGTTAAATCCAACCCTAATCACATTGTTCCTGTTCAGGAAACAGCCGCAATAGAAGAAAAAAAGCCAGAATCCATTCACAAAACCGAGGAAGAGCATGTTACAGAAGGCGAGGATACAGCCAATTCTAATAATACGGCACCTAATGCTCCCATCGAATCAGAAGAGGATGCCGCTGCATATCAACAACAAATTATTGTTGAAGCGAATATGGCCCGTACCGAAATGGATCATAAATTACCAAGCGGAAGATCAAAGGATAACTATGAGGATTTCTTGAATGATACTGCAAACGTCTTTCAAGAAGAGCAACAAAATGGTGTATCACCTGCTAATCACACAGTCACTACAGCACCCGTATATGAAACAACGTAAGAAATAAGAAAAAAAAAAAGAACCTGAAGGATGTCACATTTTGGCTAATTATTATGTATGTAATTTAGCGGTGCATCAGAAGGAAAAGGATCATTTGAGGATGAGGGAATCCAAAATGGGGAATCAGAGACCGACGCCGATCTTTATATTAAGGATGCTATTTTAGTGTTTAGGGCTCTTTGTAAATTATCTAAAAAGTCGATTCAATCTGAATGGTAAGAGAATAAGTGTGTAAAATGTATCTACTTGTCTGACATGAATATTCTAGGGGTAACGATATGAGATCTTATTCGATGCGTTCCAAGTTACTTTCGCTGCACTTAATTTTAACCATTATGATGTCCCACATCGATGTCTTTACTTCCGATCAAGTGTTTTTCTCTGCTGCAGTAGCAGATCCCAGTGGCCATCGTGCCAATCCATTCATCTTGGAAGTAAAACAGTATCTCTGTCCCAGTATAGGAAGAAACGCATTTTCGGTTGTACCTCAAGTCTTTGACATCACACACGAAATTCTTTGGCGAGTCGTTCAAGGACTTCGGGTGTATTTAAAAAACGAGATTGAAATCTTCCTGAAGGAAATCGTATTGCGTATTTTAGAAATGCGTAACGCATCCAACCAACAAAAGTTCTCTTTATTAAAGGGTGTGCTGCGTATCTGTGAAGATCCTCAAACATTAGTCGATGTCTATTTGAACTATGATTGTGATAGGGCTGCCTTAGACAATATTTATGAACGTTTAGTTAATGTACTCTCAAAAATTACTACTTCCCATAATCAACCTGTCACCGGTAAAGATTATGATAATCATTCTGCAGATCCTATCTCTAGTGCTTATGCTGGTAACCATGGTCATGCTTCCTCATTTATCCCTCCCCCTCTCACAACAGCTACCATCTTACACAGTGACAAGCAAAATCAATCTGCCGCTATGCCTGAATCTGCTATTCGTTACAAATCCCTCGAATGTCTCGTTGCTGTGCTTCGATCATTGGTAGGATGGTACCAAAATAACTCGGTCAGTATCACTGCTGGTAGTGAGAACAAGAGCGACGATGGTACTCCTCGAGCTAGTGAAGATCAATCCTCTGGTAGCCTATCAAACCTTCCCAATTCTTCTGTTTCAAGACTTCAATCTTCTTCCGCCAATGGCTCTTCGACTCAATTGAATACTGTCAGTAGCTCTCGCTTGGATGATCCCGAAGAATTTGAAAATTTGAAACATCGTAAACAATTGCTCCAAGAAGGTGTACGACAATTTAATTGGAAGCCAAAAAAGGGCCTTGCTATGCTGGCTCAACATGGATTTTTAGATATGAAAGATCCTCATAGTGTCGCTAAATTTTTGTTATCTACAGAAGGATTAAATAAGACATTAATTGGTGAATATTTAGGCGAAGGGTGAGCTTACTTTTATAACAGAAACTCGAAAATTGTATTTATGTCTAATTGTTATATAGCGAGCCAGAAAATATTGCCATCATGCACGCATTTGTAGATGAAATGGATTTCTCCAACATGAAATTTACCGAGGCACTTCGATTCTTCCTCCAAGCTTTCCGTTTACCAGGAGAAGGACAAAAGATTGATCGATTCATGTTGAAGTTTGCAGAGCGATATGTTCATGGTAATGCTGGTGTCTTTGCTAATGCTGAAACTGCTTATGTTTTGGCATACTCTGTTATCATGCTGAATACTGATCTTCATAGTCCCCACGTCAAGTGTAGAATGGATCTCGAGGCATTCATCAAAAATAACCGAGGCATTGATGATGGTAATGATATTCCCAGAGAGATTCTTGAAGCAAATTTTGAAGAAATTGCCAATAATGAGATCAAGATGAAGGACGAAGTTGAGGCTGCTAACGAGGCGGCGTTGGTGTCCTCTCCTAGTGCTGCTGGTGTATTAGGTATTGGCGGTATCCAGAATGCACTTGTAAATGCTGGTATTGCCAGGGACGTTCGTCGTGAAGCGTATCAAGCAGCTACTGAAGAAATGGGATCTAAGACTGAAGCCATGTTCCGTAGTATGTTGGCCAGTCGCCGCCGAGCTGGTGAAAGTGAGATGATTACATTTTATTCTGCTTCGCATATTGAGCATGTACGTCCCATGTTTGAAGTAGCTTGGATGGCCTTCTTGGCGGGTATTTCTGGTCCTCTTCAAGAATCAGATGATCTCTCTACTGTTGGTCTTTGTTTGGATGGTTTCAAAAATGCGATTCGTATCATTTGTCTTTTCCACACTGTGCAGTCTGAGGATGTTGATCTCCAACGTGATGCATTTGTAACTACCCTGACTAAATTTACATTTTTGACAAACTTGAACGAGATGAAGCCGAAGAATGTGGAAGCGATCAAGACTTTGTTGGAAGTAGCTGCTGTGGATGGTAATTATCTTAAGGGATCATGGAAGGAGATTCTGTCTACAGTGAGTCAATTAGAAAGATTCCAATTGATTACCAGTGGTTTGGATGGTGGTAATGGGCCCAAAATGGAAATCCCTAAAAGCACCAGCGATTTAAAGAGAGCGCCCACTAGTAAGACGTCTAATGATTTTGGTCGCCGTACATCCATGATGGGCTGGAACAACACCACTCGTGCTCCTGCATCCCCACGTTCAAATCCCATCACGGAAGAAGTTTCATCCCAGTCCTTGGTTCTTGCTGTCGATCGACTGTTCACATCTACTGTCAACTTGAACGGAGATGCCATTGTTGATTTTGTGCGTGCACTTTGTGAGACCTCTTGGGAAGAAATTTTGTCTTCGGCACATATGGAACACCCTCGTATGTACAGTTTACAAAAGCTTGTAGAAATTTCATACTACAACATGAACCGTATTCGTATGGAATGGTCTAATATTTGGGCTATTCTTGGTGATTACTATAACAAGGTGGGCTGTCAATCCAACTTTAATGTTGCATTTTTTGCCTTGGATTCTTTACGTCAATTAGCCATGAAATTTTTGGAAAAGGAAGAGTTACCTCATTTCAAGTTCCAAAAGGATTTCCTGATGCCTTTCCGTGAAGTGTTGGCGAACAATCCTGATGTTGCCATCAAAGATATGGTTTTGCGATGCTTATCTCAAATGATTCAAGCTAGACCTCACCACTTGCGATCTGGTTGGAAGACCATGCTTTCTGTATTTGCCACTGGTGCATGTGAATCTTCTGAATCGATCGTTCACATGACTTTTGACATTGTACGTAGTGTCACAAACGAGCGCTTTGGTGATATTGTTGCCAACGGCACGTTTCCTGACTATATCTCCTGTCTCGTCGAATTCTCCAAGAACCAAAAGTTTCAAAAGATTAGTTTGCCTGCTTTGGACATGATCAAGGGAACGATCCCCAAGATGCTCGAACTTGCGAGTAAGACAACACCTTTGGAGATCACAGATGCTCATGCCTTAAATACCACAGCAATTGTTCCTATGCAAGCTTCTGGCGATGATTTCCTCATCAAGTTTTGGTTTGCAGTGCTTTATGGATTAAAGGAAGTTGTAATGCAAAGCGATGATGTTGAAGTACGTAAGCGTGCCTTGGTGTATCTTTTTGAAACTTTGAAACAACATGGCAGCTCATTTACACCTGAATTTTGGACGACTGTTTCAAGACAAATCGTATTCCCATTGTTTGATGATTTGAGAGATGGAAACAGTGATAGACGTCAAATGTCTCCCGAGGATCTCAGTGTGTGGTTATCGACTACAATGATTGAGGCTCTTCGAAATGTGGTGGATTTATATACCTTTTATTTTGATAATATGAGAGATATGATGCAACATGTTTTGGGTCTATTCAGCATGTGTATCACACAAGACAACGATACCTTAGCCCGTATCGGCTGTGAGTGTCTTGATCAGTATATCGAAGCCAATGTTGAAAAGTTTGACAGCAACTGTTGGGATTTGGTAACAGAGACCTTCATCAATTTATTCGATAATACTACTGCCAATGGATTATTTGATGATACTGAAGATTTGGTAGACAAAGTAAAGGGATTATCTGCTGGAGGTAAATATGTATATTAAATGAAGTGTAAACACAAAGGGAAATCGTATTTTGACAAAACAAAACAAAATAGCTTTACAATTAGATTTAAATATTGAAGGACACGAGTCTTCCTCCTCGTCTTTAGATATTGAAGTGAGTGAAGAGCGACAAAGAAATTTCCAACAAGTGATCATCAAATGCGTATTACAACTTATGCTTATTCAAACGGTAAATGACTTATTGGCAAAGGACGTTGTGTATTGTGCTTACCCCGCACCTCATTTAATGACGTTGATGGGCTGTCTTGGAAGATCCTTCCATTTTGCTAAAAAATTCAACATCGACAATGATCTCCGCATGGCGCTATTCCGCTTCGGTTTTATGAAACAACTCCCGAACTTGTTAAAGCAAGAAACTTCAAGTGGAGGATGCTATGTCTCTGTCCTGATGAGAATGTATGCTAACTTGGAAAATATCAAGGATCGTGATGACAAGCGTGAGGAAATTGAAAAGATCCTGATACCGTAAGTTTTAATTATGATGCAATAGGAAAACGAGTTTCTGGGAACTAAAAAAAGCTGTGTGGTGATTTAATTAGACTTTGTAATGAAATTTTCACTCTTTACGCTGAGCTTGATCATGAAACAAAACCTAAACCTATTGCTGCCTGGACACCGGTTGTAGTTAATATATTGACTGGATTAGCGCAATTGCAAGATGAAGACGTAAGTGGTTTGCTCATGTAGATCATTATTGTGAAACCTAATCTTTACACTTTCTAGTTTTTGAGACATGTGCCTAGATTCTATCTCCCATCTGTTGAGCTTTTAGGTCAAGAGAGTTTACTACCGGAGATTCGTATAGCACTACGTACATTATTAATTCGTGTAGGAACTTCGTACCATATTACAAAAGTTGCTGCACAAGAAGTAGATGAATAAAAATAAAATAATTAATATATTAGCACTCAGCAATCGGACATTTTATTCCTTATTCGGATGTGAGAAATTACTTAAACGGGAGAGCTAATATTCTCCCATTCGCTACCCCAGATTTTCCCAGATTTTGATATTCTAAAATATGTAATTTATTCTACCGTTCTTATTTTTTTGCTTTCTTTCCCCACACTTTTTTTTTTCTGCATACGACTTTTAAAAATGATTGAAATTTACAACCCTGCTAAAGTCAACACAGTGAACCATACACGAGCACATACCATTACGAAAAAGAAGCCTGTTAAAGCAAACCATGTACCTACTGCTTGTGTAAAGTAGCTTTACATTGATGTCATAATTTGTTACTAACTTAATTGGTATAGCTCAACTGTAAAAAAGCTCATCTTGGATGTGATTGTAAGTATAAAGAAGAGAGTGGGAAGGCAATAGGATGATATTAACTACTGAAAAAAAAAGTGTCGCGTCCCTGTAAAAGATGCTCTGCGTTAGGAAAATGCGATACCTGTATTGATATTAAGCATAAGAAACGTGGTCGACCAAAATTAGCGGTCAGTTCCAAAAAGACGAACAAAAATCTAGAAGCGCCTAAAACACCTCAAAACAACCTGATACCATTAATACCAATGACCGCACCCGGTTTACCAGCATGTTCCTTTAACCTGACACAATCTGCTTACTTAAACAAAACACAACATACGGAAGAACGATTAGCCCCCAGTGAAATGATGACAGTGAGTGTTGTTTTTCACACACACACAAAAAAAAACTAAAAAATTATTAATAGATCTTTCTTTCGATGGATTTGTGCTGTGCACGTATATCAGATGAATCAGTGGAATTTTTAAATATGAAGCCTAATGACGTGGGTCACTGTTCATTTTATGATTTGATTCACTCAGACTCGTCAGAAACACTATCACGAATTCATCGTATACTGCTGGATAACAGCCATTCTACCCGTGTTCCACAACAACAGCCTATCTCTTTTACTACGTCTGCCAGTTCTGATTTGTTCCTGACTTCGTCACCTGCACAACTTTATCAGATTGCAAATGGATCTCAGACTTTAAGGGAAACTTTAAAGTTTAAATCGCCAGGAAGAAATCTATCATGTAAGTTCTATTTGGGAGGAGGCTTTGGTGCAGATCTATTTGTGCCTTCTACATTGGACAATTTATACATGGTGTGTAATATTACAGAGTTAAAACCTGACTCTTTAAATGTGGTGGATGATTCAACAATGAACATGTTTTTTCAACAAGAACAATTGGATTCAATTTGGAACACAACAAATTTAATGTCCATGGTAACTATGTTGTGGGGTAGACAAAAGCATACAAAATGGTGTAACTTATATTTTTTTTTTGGTTTTGTAGTATGACAATAGTTTGCCCACTGATAATGAAGCATTTGAATTAGTTAATCATCTTTGTGAATCCTTCATGACACCTTCTACACCGCCAGAAGGAACGACTGTTACAGGTTACTATAGTGGGAGTGACACTAGTATCGACAGTATTCTATTAGACTGTATCCCTGTTCATCAACCCTGCAAACCACTAGAATTTGATGCACTGCTAGACACTACTGCTTTATTAGATGATTCGATGTTTCTGTTTACCCCACAAATCCCCGGAGCTACTCTGCTGAGTCGGTGGGAAAATGGATCTCCTCCCAGCGCTGTGTGAATCCCAATTGTGTCATCCCTCCGCGGGAAAGCTTAACTATTTTGGAACTCTTTTTTAACGTTTTGTCAATAAAGAATCCAGTTATTTTTTTCACGTGTAACGCATCTAGTTCCCTTGTTTTTTTTTCAAGCAATTTTGCATATATATATATATATATATATACACACAGTATATACAATACAATAAAAACTGAACAAGAACATGGAAAAATCTTTCGTGAGACCTTGATGACCTGGTATGGAACTCAGCTCCAGTCCTAAACAACCCCAAACAGATTTTTTTTTTTACACAACTCTTTTTTTTTTTTTTTTGCCCTTCTTACCACAAAGAAACAAATGGATTTGAGTCATTTTCAGTTTGATGAGTCTTCATTTATACAACAACCACAAAGACAGTCAAATTTAAATATCGGTCGTGTGCCACAAGTATTGGATCACCCTAAATCCATTCGTAGCATTACTGTAGATCGTTGTTCCAACTTTACAAGCGGTGGTGCTAACGGAAACGATGTCAATTTACTCTCCCAACTGTATAAAGCTAGAACAAATTCAGGTAAAATATACACGCGATTTATGCAAAAAAAGCCTTGTTGACATACTCACTTGCGGGTCTTTTTTTATGTGTGTGTAAAAAGAGGAATATATTTCTTTACTAGTTTATAGTGTTCCTGATCTAAAGAGAATACCTTTCAAAGAAGCCATTCAACAGGAATTTAGACCTACACGTTTGGGTGAGTGGTTTGGTCCTTCATGGGTAAGTTGTAGCACAAGATTTTTGCGGTTGAAAAAAGGCCTAATTTTTTTAATTTTAATTTATGATAGTCTACACATTGGTTTCATGTGCAACTTCGAATTCCCAATGAATTTGTAGGAGAAGAGGTTCAACTTATATGGAATGCAGATAATGAAGCCATGATTTGGAGTATGGATGGAGTGACCTTACAAGGTTTAACAGGAGGAGGTACTGTATGTGTATTCCGGTCGTAATTTTGATTTTGGCCAAAATGTACTCATATTTTAATATAGCTGGTAGCGATGCACGTCATGAATACATTTTGACAACACGAGCAGAAGGAGGAGAAGTGATTCAACTATATATCGAGATGGCATGTAATGGCATGTTTGGAGCCGCTAGTAGTGGCTTAATTAGCCCGCCTGATCCCAGTCGATTTTTTAATTTAAACGAAGTGGATTTGGCTGTACCCAACAAACTAGCATGGGAATTGCTGTATGATTTTCAAATTATTTTCGGTATGGCCAAAGAACTTGCAGAAGATTCTTTACGTGGATCACAAGCATTGTTTTGTGCGAATAATATCATTAATGTATTTGTACCTGGTGATGATCAATCACTACGCCAAGGACTGAAAATTGCACAAGAATTCTTGGTATCAAAAAATGGAGACGCACAACATGAGATTTATGCTATTGGACATTGTCATATCGATACAGCTTGGTTATGGCCCTTTGATGAGACTATTCGAAAGGCTGCCAGAAGTTGGTCTTCACAGATCGATTTGATGGATAGGTATCCGGACTATAAATTTATTTGTTCACAGGCACAACAATTTGATTGGGTCAAGGAACGCTATTTACCTCTTTGGGAGAGAATTCATCAAAAGGTGGCTACAGGTCAATTCTTGCCTACAGGAGGAGTAAGTATAGAATATGCTTCTGTAACAATCTTTTTTTGTTTCTAATTCTTTTTTTGTTAGACTTGGATTGAGATGGATACGAATATGCCGAGTGGAGAATCACTTTGTCGACAATTTCTGTATGGCCAAAGGTTCTTTGAACAAAACTTTGGTAAACGTTGCAAAGTCTTTTGGCTTCCCGATTCGTTTGGATACTCTTCACAGCTTCCACAATTAATGAAATTAGCTGATCTTCGATACTTTTTCACACAAAAGTTATCCTGGAACAATGTCAACAAGTTTCCGTTAACAACATTTTGGTGGGTGGGTTTAGACGGATCCAAGTCCTTGACCCATATGGCGCCGTCAGAAACATATAATGCACAATGTACACCGGAAGAATTGGCGCGAAGTGTCAAAAACAACCGCGATAAGGTGTACTCTAACTCCAGTCTTCTTGTTTATGGTAACGGTGATGGAGGAGGAGGACCTTTAGCTAGTATGATTGAACGCTTAAAAAGAATGAAAAACGTGGATGGTTTACCAAAGACCACCATGGCTTTACCCACCGAATTCTATGAAAATATCGAACGAACAGCTAAAGCACTTCCATCTTGGAAAGGTGAACTGGTAAGTAAAACTTGATATACGTTAAAAAAACTCGCGTATTAATGTGTATACAGTACTTTGAATTGCATCGTGGAATTTACACTACACACTCGCTTTGCAAAAAATTAAACCGTAGCTGTGAATTTCTGTTACGTGATATCGAGCTATTAGCGACCTTTTCATTACTCCAGTTCCCTGACACATTCCAATATCCTAAGCAGGTGTTTGATGATTTTTGGAAACTGTTATGTCTCACACAATTTCACGATGTCATGTCGGGATCAGCGATTGAAATGGTGTACGATGATTGTTTACAAATGTACACAAAAATTGACGTCATTGGTAAACAAATGCGATCAGACATGTTGAATCAATTACTACAGCTAGATGAAATGATTGACGGTATCAAGGGGCTGGCAGTGATAAATACGTTGCCATGGGAGAGAAACGAGGTGATCGAGGTCCCCCTGGATGACGGATTACCTACTATGAAGCAATACTCTGCATTTGGAAGAAGTGGATATGCTGTAGCTAAGAGTGTAGCAGCTTCAGGTGTAACAGGCTATACATTGGAGGAAGTAGATACACCACCTCCTGTACGGGTAGAAAAAGATCGCATGAATAACATTGTTATGGAAAATCAGTATATCCGTGTTACATTTGACCATGCGGGTCATTTGATTCATTTGTATGATAAACAAGTAGAAAGGGAATTAATCAAGCCTGGAGAAAGAGGAAATGTTTTTAAAATGTATGATGATATCCCGCTCTTCTGGGATGCATGGGATGTTGAAATATATCATTTGGAGAAATTCAAGATTGTAGAAGATGGATCTGTTCAAATTCTGGAACAAGGACCATTGCGTTGTTCACTGCTTGTTGAAAAGAGGCTTTCGGCAACAAGTCAATTAAGACAGATTGTGGTACTTTCAGCTGTTTCGCGACGATTAGACTTTGAAACTGAAGTTGATTGGAATGAAAACCGACAATTCTTAAAGGTGGAATTTGCTTGGGATATTTTAACAGACAATGTGAATTATGAATGTCAATATGGACATGTATCGAGACCAACGCATTACAATACCAGCTGGGATGCAGCCAAGTTCGAGGTAGTGGCACAAAAGTTTGCAGACATGTCAGAATTTGGTTATGGAGTTGCCCTTTTGAATGATTGTAAATATGGATATTCAGCTCACCGGAATGCTTTGAGACTGTCTTTATTAAGAGCACCCAAAGCACCTGATTCTAATTGTGATGTTGGACACCATTCTTTCAAATATGCTATCTATCCTCATGAACATCACTTTTTACAGTCTGATGTTGTGCGTGAAGGGTATAATTTCAATTCACCATTGTTAACAAGATTAGTACAGCAAGATAAGATAGAAAGAGTCAAGTTTTCTTTTCCTAAATTCCATATTGAAAACGCCTCGAATGTAGTACTGGATACTATAAAACGAGCAGAAGATACGAATGATGTTGTGATTCGGTTGTATGAAGCATACGGAGGGCATGCAAGAGCCAAATTGATGAGTTCAAGGATAATTAAGAAAATGGTGAAATGTAACATTCTTGAGGATGAGCAAGAGGTGATTACTATTATAGACACAACAGCTGCAATGAGTGTAAGGACGTTTAGTACAAACCTGAGAGTACTTGATGATGATATGTTGGATTTACAACAAGAAAGCCAACAAAGACAGTTAGATGAAGGGACATTAATTAAATTCAAGCCATTTGAGATTATAACTTTAAAAATATCATGCGCGTAGAAATTTATTTTTTTATTTTTTCTTTTATATAAAAAAAGGGGTGTGGGGGGAAGAGAGAGGATTATAGACGACCTCTGTAATTTTGTAATAAACTAGAGCCTTTTACTAAAATACATGGACCACCATAGATAACATTTAATGTTGACTTATTATCATTGATAAACTGAATGACCTTTTCATCTTCTCCACCTGGTTGTATCCATACATTCTCAATACCAATCATTTTAGCGTCTTGCAATACTTTTAAGGTTACTTTGGGTGGTGTAATCACAGATAAGGCAGTCTCTTTTGGATTAGGTAATTCATTGATTGATTTTACAGTCTTGAGGTTTTCAATCACATCTTCCTTCTATATGAAAAATGTAAGCATTAGCATTAGCAGTAGAAATGAGGTACATTTCTATCTTGTTTTTTATTTACGGGGTTGACAGGTGTTACATCTAGACCGTTCGATTGATACCTTTTTTTTATGTTTATGCAGGGAGTTAGTAATGGAAAAATAATAGATGATATTAATATATACAATACCATTTTAATACTTTATTGCCAAATTTTTCTTTGGCTATGCTTGCACCTACAACAGCAAAGTGAGGAGTATTGATGAACTTTTTAGCAATGCTACTCATTTAAAGAGATGAACAAGATGTATATATGTGTGTGTGTGGGTATTTTTTTCCCTTACTGCCTTGTATACATTAAACATCCGATCCACGTGGGGAAGACAAAGGGGAATTTTTTTTTTTTTTTGTTCTCCTTTTTTTTTTACACGGGGATAAAGGGTATTTCAGTATAAAAATAATGCACTTTTCAGTTCTTTTCTCTTTCTCTTATATATATAAAAAGAAAAGATATACATATATAAAGAAAAGCGCGTAGATTAGACCCGTATGTAATCAAAACATGAACAATCAAGGCGAACATAAACCCAGTTTACCTTCAATCAAAGATTTGTTGGAAGGAGGACCTGGTTTACTTGGTAACGAAACAGATTTTATATAGGATTGTTCATGATGATATTAACATTAAAGAAGATTATTCCAAGAAATCAAAGATTCATAGTCATAGAAGACATGCATCAGAACATACGCTTTCTAATAATGCTTATCTCCCTTTACAAATGCAATCATTATCACTTGGTAAACCTTCTAGAGAGAGAACACATTCACGATCCTATTCAGACTTAACGCCCAGACCTCGTCTTCCTCCTCCTCCTCCTCCTCCTACCACCACTATTACTCGACCTTCTTCTCCCACCACTCCCACTTCTCCCATACCTGATGAAGAAGAGGAAGAAGAAGAACCTGGCAAATATGTCTGCCCTTATTGTGATAAAGCCTTTACTCGTCCGTCTTCATTACGTACTCATACCTATTCTCATACAGGTGAGAAGCCATTTAAATGCACTGAACCTGCTTGTGGTCGTAAATTTAGTGTTCAGAGTAATCTTCGACGTCATCTTCGAATACATCGATTGAATAAACCATCTACGCTTTTCAAAAGTAAAAACATTAAATAAAATAAAATATAAAAAGTGTGTGTGTGTGTAACAGAAACAAGGCACGTCAAAAAATACAAAGAGGTTTTTTTTTTTTTTAAGTGTGTCAATTTTAATGGTTTATTAAAAAAGTTGTGGGAGAGAAAAAAAAGTCATTTTAAACCGTAATGATTTAAGCCTTCTACACAAGATACAATAAACATTAATATACATGTCACTCTAAATGCTTGATATATATACACTTAAAATTTACCTTTTGGAATCTGAATCTGGGAGGAGGAAGACGGTTCTTACGGTCAACAGCAGAACGGACACGAACAACACGAGCGTGAATAGCACAAGAGATACAGTAGTGGAGCTTGACGTACAACTTGGGGATGGCATATTCTAATTATTTCGAACAAAAAAAAAATTAACACGCTTGTCAAATTGTACATGCTTTCTGTTATTGCTTACCCTCGTAGATGGAAGCCTCTTGGAGATCACGGACGGCAGCAGCTTCAACCATGTTACGGATGGTGAATCTCTTGATAGCCTTATCCTTGGGGACACAACGGAAACAGTTGATGCAACGGACGACCTTGTTGTGGCCACGACCGTGCTTGTTACGACCATTGTTTCTTCTCTTACAAGTCTATACAATGGGTTTTTAATTAGCAAATCATAATAAGACAAGGTCCATCCCTCTTCCCCCATTCGACATTGTATTTTTGCTCGTTATTCCATTTTAATTGATGTTTCGTCTTTTCGTTTGTAATAGCTTTTTGCTGGGGATTGCTGAAATATGGGGGTAGGGATGGATGGATTCATATATTTACCATGATGGATAGATGTCCCGCTTAATTGAAGGGTTTTGAAAGGAGGTTTTAATTCATTGCTGGTGCTTCTGACCCTTTTGGCTAATTTTTTTCCTTCCCTCCCACACATCCATTCCGGCATAAAAGTCCGGTAGTTGTCCGGTAGAGCACCGGGACTGTTCATTTTTAAATTTCCTGCTGTCTTTCATTGGCCTATTTTAAAAATCCTACCTCATATATCTGACCCCTTGGAGATATTACACTGTCCAATATCATGCTGAATCAATACTTGGGCTATCAATACAATAGCTTTAATTAGATTCAGTAGAAAGTTTTTTTTTTTTTTTTACTGAGGAATCTCTCCTACAAGACAATTTCTACAGCTCTGGATACCCTCACCTCTCCTGAGACCTTGTAGGAGATTCAGGACGGGTGAACAACATTGGATTTTTTCTGCAAGGCAAAATAGAAAGCACATGTTCGTTATATAATCCATCTTATGAACGGTCTTTATACTTTAGCTCGATAAAAAATGACTATAAATGTATAAAGGGCCGCTCAACTAAATAAGCATAGTTTTGTATAGCAGAGAAAGAGGTTAAAATCATTGGCAACGATCTTGATGAAACTCTGAGTAACTAGGGTCAAAGGTAATGATTATACTCAGTAATTATCAGGATGCAATTGACTGAAACCTGAGCTCTACCAATAATAAGTTAACTTTTAATTTCAATGTGTAAGTTTGCATTAGCTTTTAAGAAAGCAAACACTCGTTTTAGTCCTAGTTGATTTTGTACATGTGTCTATTTAAAGCAACACTCCAAGCTCAAGAAGATTTGATCTGAACACAAAAGAAACACAAATTTCATATTTGCTTTATTTGGAAAAATTAAACGTCAACCAAAAAAGATGCCTCTTCAGCATAAAATCACGGCACCCAAACTAAAAAAAAACTGTATGGTTACATTTTACAATCAAGAAAAAATATGTGCAGCAGGTATTTCAATATCTTATAAACATAACTGGTTTCAGATCATTCATGCGGCATGAGTTTTATTAATACAAGGACATACGGAGCAAAATTGTTAAGTTACTGTAAAATACTAATGGTATCTATGCAGGCATATATGATCAGATATCCCTACTTTTTTATTTTTATTTTTGTCACCATGAAACCGCTGTTTATTAAATATGAAGTACAAGTAGTAGATTAAATGTTGGATGGTAAATTAAATTATAAACGATGGGATGGAATGAAGATAAAAATGAGGGTTGACACAATAGATAGTACAATAATGGCGGCTAACCAGAGCCATGCACGTTTACGATGTAGTTTTTTCACCGTGACATCCTGAATATCAGAATAGACAAATAGCTGTATCTCACTGTGGCAATAAACAAGAAGAAAAGAGGAAGACGTTAGAAAGAAAGAAAGATTATAATAGAACATGATTTACGTACCATATGCTAAATATACCAAAGAACCATGCGAATTCAGTTAGACTGGTAATTAACATGGTCCAACCAAAAAAGAAGGGAATCAAAGGCAACCATGAATGACCAGCATCTAAGAATATCAATGAAAATTCTATTGAAAGGGCCAAGGTCAAGATGATTATACCGAAAGCGAGTAATAATCTTGAGAAGCCAATCGAGATATTTTTATAAAGTACACTATCAACAAACAATGGATAATAGAATACGTTGAGTATTTCGAATACGTGAGCTCTTGCTGAATCAAATACGATGGGCTCTGGTCTTTCATTTATTTCAATTAGCTCTTCCAGGGCTCTTCGATGATCGTCAGGTAAATGAATTGTCTGTGCGGCATCCATTAATGGAGAACAATAAGTTCTATAGATTCGAGTGGCATTTTGAACGAGATCATGTCTATTTAATGATTTATCTGTACTACGTGAAGCGTAGCCATCGTTTAATGATCTTGGTGTGTTTGGTGTGATGGGTGTTGTTGGTTGTGGTGGTAACGGTGTCAATAGGTCATCTGTATCGGGTGTTTCAACATAAGAATGAGTTGCTACTATCGGACTCATAGGTTGTTTGTTTTGTTCCTTTTCTGCTGCAGATTCTAGAAACCTCGATAGTCTTTGTCGGTTCTGTCTATCGATACTCTGTAGATACGCTCTCCATAATTTATCATGTGTTTCAAGCTCCATCAAGAAATTTAGATTTTGATGTACGTTTCTTCTTCTTAAAAAGGCAGCGAAATTGGACTGAGTTAAGGGGCTATAAGTGTGTAATCTCATCATTTGATCGAGGGTTGGTAATCCATTAACTCTTAGATTATAATCTTTAATTTCTTGCCATGCCTCCATGGGTGCAACGGCAAAGGGATCTTGGAAGCCATATGTTTTATGTCTCAGGCTACGATGAGCTGGTGTTCTACTTGGTTGTTGAATCTCGGAAGCACCTGCAAGGTATGGGTTTGTTGCAGATGCAAACGTGGCTTCAGAACTTGAGTTGAGTTCTGTAAGTGGTATAGCTAAACCGTGATGTACATTTTTTTCCTCATCTTGCACTTTTCTATTTAAATCGTTTTCCAATGCCGTTTGTAAGCCGTATGCGTGAAGTCGACTGTTTGCTTGTCGAATACTCCAATGCTTTGGAGCTGCTTCACTTTCTGAATACATTATTTATGTAGTATGTGAAGGGAAATAAGGGAAAAATTTTGGGAAGAAAAAATTAATAAATCTCTAGGCACAATCGGTTATTTCGTGTTACCTTGTTGTCTGGGGGTCTCCTGACTTGGTTGGTATAGCTTTGGTCGTGTTTTTATTTAAAAAATCGAGCTAACCATACTACCTGAGATGAAATCTCGGTATATCTAATATTCGCACCCTATCTGTTCACAGCATAAAATGACGAATCGCTTTAATTTTGTAACTTGCATGTCGTTGTTTAAAGTTCCCCAGGGCGTTTTGTTTACATCGTTTAATAAAACAATGCATGTAAACATTTTAAACTAACTAATTGACAGCCAACATGAATACGCAGTAAATATTTTATCATTAGGTTTTTGGCGGTAGGTGCAGTTGCTATGGTATTTTACAGATGACCATTGTCCAGGGCGTCAAAACGGATTCAAAACTTGATAACCTCGGTTAAGGTTAGAGGAGCCCCTTTAATAAGTATAAATAGCACTTGTTTGGCGTCACGTGTTTCTTAAACAGAGATATATTTTAGCTCAATTAACTCTGACACTTTACTTCTTTTCTTCTTTATCCTTTTGTATGTTTGCAATAGACGTTTTATTACGCATGGAAGGTGGTTTACCATTCTTGATTGATGATGGACGACCAAGAAATACTAATTAAAGGTTTACTTGATCTTTTTAAACTGTTTATAAATTGGAACCCCTCACTTATAGCCCGATAATTATATCCAGTCTCAAGGCAGCTCATTACATGGAGAATATGTGAGCAGCAATAAGAAATTTATTACTAATTGATTGTGACAGAAGTGATTTTAGTGTGAAAGGCGAATGACATACCGGTCACTTTTAAAAAAGTAATTGCAGACTCAAAATTAGCTGCTTAATCAAAGTAAAATACCCATTGCCGCATTAAATGTGCTTTGCTTTATTTCTTGGAAATTTGGTTTTTTCACAGCAAAAGGCAACGCAGAATTTACTTTTAGAATAGGCTAGTTTGCTCATCTTCTTGGTTAAAGGCCATAATTCAAGTGTGGTTGGAGTTCTTTAACTAGTGTGACAAAAAAATAGCTGTTCTACACTTAATTTTAAGCTATGAGTAACTAAACAATAGAAATCTGAGGTTGCACGTAAAAACAGTAATACATTTGCACGTGTAACCTAGAAAAGTGCTTTTCACTGAAGAAGATTGAGTGCAAAAAAGAGCAAAGTTACACATGGCTCCACAATAATAATAAGGAAGCTTTGATTACGTAATTGACGGACTTTTTTGTAGATCGCGGTGATCCAAACATTCATGGGGAAACATTTTTGTAAACGTTAAAATGACGTATCAAACATCAATTTCCGCGTCTCGTCATCGATATTTTTTTTTAACCCCAAGCATGAATTCTTTAAAAAGCAAAAACAGAGTCAATGTCAATTTTCCTTTTTCTCCACTCTAAAATTTTGTAGAAAAAAAAAGTAAATGTTTAAATAATAATAATATAAATTTTGTAAATCCATTGACTAACGTTTTCTTAGAATGTCTGCACCTACTGAACAAAAGCCTACTGAGCAAAAGCCTACTGAACAAAAGCCTACTGAGCAAAAGTCTACTGAGCAAAAGCCTACTGAGCAAAAGCCTACTGAAAAAAAGCCTGCTGACAAAGAGCCTGCTACTGAGAAAAATGAACAGGAGCCTGCAAGCGAAACAGAGACACACAAGGTAAGAGAAAAAAAATGGTAGCTATTTTGATAAAAGGTTATTTACAAGGCTCAATTTTAGGTGTTTATTGGAAACTTGAGCTTCACGTCAACTGAAGAAAGCATCAAAGATTTCTTTAGCAACGCCGGTGAAGTGTAAGTTTGAATGATAAGCCCATCAGAAAAAAAAAAAAAAAAAAAAAAAATGAAACTCATCCTCAATGACGTATTTTGTAGTGTGGATACAGTGATTGTTAAAAAAGGATCAAGACCCAAAGGATTTGGGTTTGTTGCGTTTAATACATCTGAAGAAGCCGACAAGGCTGTAAAGAATCTTGATAAAAAGGAGTTGGACGGACGTGAGATTAGCGTGCAACTTGCAAAGCAACAAGAGCCTCATCAGCCTGAAAAGAGAAAGAAGAGAAAGAACAAGAAGTCGCGTAAATCCGTAAAGTCTAATTTTTTTTTTTTTTTTTTTTTGCATAAATGATTGTGCTAACTTTTCTGTACTACTTTAGGCCGAAATCACACCTGCCACAAGTAATGAAAAACCTAAAACTTCTGTATTCGTTGCAAATCTTCCACTCGATATTACCATGATGGATTTATCCGACTTGTTTAAAGATTATCAAGTCGAGTCTGCACTTGTTGCCATACAAAGAAGGTAAAAAGAAGAAAAAAAAAAAAAAAAAAAGACCCATGCTTAAAAAAATAAGAAAAAAAAAATCTGACACATTTTCATAGTGGTCGTTCCAAGGGTTACGGGTTTGTAGAGTTAAAGACGGTGGATGAAATGAACAAAGTTTTGAAAGAGTTTGTAAATATTGAAGTTCAAGGACGTCCTATCCATGTCTCTGCTGCCACGTCTGAAAAGACATCGGAGAGAAAACTTTCATCTAATAAAGACTCCGAGGAGGAAGAAGAAGCCGCTACTCCACCTCCAGTTGCCCCCAAGAAAAAGTCAAGAAAGAGAAAGTCCAAGAAGGCCAGAGAGGCCAAGGAAGGTACCCAAGAAACAACGAACGAAGAAGAATCTAAGGAAGGTGAAGAAACAAAGAAGGAAGGAAAGAAGAATGCCACTAAGAAAGAGGAAGGAATCTCCGCTGCAAAAGACGCTAAGGAAGCCGTCCGCGTAGCAAAAGAAGATGACGGAATTTCTGCTGCCAAGGAAGCACAAGAAGCTGTTCGAGTAGCTAAAGAAGAAGATGGAGCACATGCCGCAAAAGAGGCCATTGAAGCTGTTCGAGTAGCTAAAGAAGATGACGGAGCTAGTGCTGCACAAGCTGCTAATGAAGCTACAAAGTAATATAAATTTTAGATAGACAATAAAAATAAAAATAAAATTCATTTGTTGGGGGTCATGCAATCACAAGGTTTAAATGTCAAAAATCATACGTTTTTTTTTTTTTTTTTTATTAGAGGGAATAAAATATATTACAAATAAGCCAAAATACACGCTTAATTTTTCTCAAAAAAACCTTTGCGTTTTCTTAATCGTTTTGTCGTCTTTTTCTTTGTGGATGGTGACATGCATTTCCTTTTTGATTTTTCATCATATAGAAAATCCAATTTTTCTTGCATAGCGGTTAGATAATCTGCGATTTCATCATGATTATTATTGTGATTCATGAAATAAGATGGATCTACTTCCACTGTGAGTGTCGATGTGCTTTGATTTGTAGGTGGTTCCAGTGTGGGAGGTTGAAATGGTTTAAGACTCATCATGTATTGTAAAATTGCCTCTTCCGCTGTTTATAGGATCGAATTATCAGTTATCAAAATAAAAAATGACCCCTTTTTCGTCTCGCTTTACTTACAATAACTTTCGTTTTCTTCTTTTATTTGTCCTACAATGTCGCCTACTAAGAAAGGTTGTGGTATGGAGAGTCCAAGTAAAGGTCGATGCAATGAGTAAAAGGCATTGTGAGCTAATTCCGCAACTGGAATATTTACAACTGGCATAAATGAAGGTATATCGGGCGCACGAGTCTTTTTTTCTGCTTTCACTTGTTTCTGGTTTTTGTTATCATTATGTGAATAGAACCGTTTAGATAATTGACCAAATTTTGTTCGGCTGCACAGCGTTTTTAAACTGCTTCTAGCAATCATTTTTTTTTTTTTTTTTTTTTTTGTAAAGAAAAGAGAAGAAACCCAATTTTTTTTTTTTTTAGTCTTTTTAAATGAAAATTATTTAATTATATAGAAATGGTGATAAAATTTTTGGGTTTTTTTTTTTTTTTGTAGCATAAAAACTTAGAAGCCACCAAATTGGTTTGGTGAATAAGATGCGCCAGTCATCATTGGTGAGTTTTGAGGCATCATACCACTACCAGGTGCTGTCAACATAAGAGGATTTCCCATACCACCCATTGGTACTGCTGGAGCTGATAAAAGGAAAAAGAAAGGATTAATAAAAAAATTTCTTTTTTTGGTAAAAGAACAATAAAAAAAAAACTAACCATTTTCATTATTGGTTTCTTGCTTAGCGACCTTTTCTTTAAGTGAGTTCATTTCGTTTTCAAGAACAGAGACCTTTGTGAATTGTTCCTTCATGGTATTGATCATATAAGGCATAGCAAAGTCGTTCAAGCCATGTCTCCATGACAACTCCATAACAACGTCGGGTCTCATCAAGTCATAACAAGTGTAGAGCATAGCAGCAAAGCATTCACGCTTACCAACCTCAATAAAGTATTGCAAGAGTTCTTCAGCAACTTCGCGATCCTTGGATTCAGCGGCAGTTTCCATAGCATCCTTGAATAATCTGTCTTCCTTTGAAAGGGCAATAGATTGTCTCCATCTTCTGTTTCGCTTATAAAGATGTGCGGCAATACGACGGAACTCTAATAAATCATGCTTCTCTAAACGCTTGGCAAGATCGACAGGATCAATGTTATCATGACGGTCAATAGAATCACGCAATGCTTCAAAGTCTTCCTCTTCGATATAAAGTTCGTTTAATGCAGTATTGACGTCCTTGTTATTGGTATCTTGAACAGAGATCAAGTATTGCTTGATCAAAGGAATGTTATCTGACTTTTCAAAGATTTGAACAACACGTGTGTGCTTAATACGGGGAACAAGAACAGAGAGCAAATCGTTCAATAATAAAGGTTGTTCAGCAAGATAGAACTTGAGTGCCTTGTAGTATAATTCAATGTTGGACACTTTGACAATAATTTCCTTGAAAGCACTGTGTTCCCAAGAATCAACAGAGTGATCCATCATGGCAGTAACAGCGTTATCATATTCATCATAGTTGACATAGAGGAAGACAAGCTCGCGCCATAAGTGAACATCAGCACAAGCACGAATGACCTTGGGCATGTTGATACGAGACACATAAAGCTTGAGATGTTCCATCATTTGATCAGGAGCATACTTACTATAAAGAATGGCGAGTTCGGTGAACATACCCATATGGGCTCTCTCCAAACCTAAACCAGCTTCCAATAACTTAATAATCTCCTCAAAGTAACCGTTCTTCTCATAAGTCTTGACAAGCTCATCTAAATCTTCAGCATGTACAACAATATGAAGACCACAGATTTGGGCCAAACGGAATTCACGTTGCTTGATACATTCAGCATTGACTTCCTTCCAGACCTTGGTAGAGTTGGCCTTACGAGCACAATCAACAGCACCTTGGTAATCCTTTAAGTGGACCAAGGTTTGAGCCAAACTAGCATGGTTGGAGATACTGCTGTACAAGATCTTGGCAGCTTCGTACATACCACCACGGAAACAACGATCACCTACTTCCTGGATAGAGGCAATATTGGGACTAGCCAAGAAATCTTCTAAATCAGCTAAGCGATCTGTTTTAGCAAAGGCGTATAACAACTCGGTCTCGATATAGGGTTCACGGGATTGTTTACGAGCCATTTGTAAGTAACGGACAAGATCTTCAAACTTGTTATCCATAGTAGCGTTGCTGCAGACTTCCATGTAGTTAGACATATCTCCAGCACGGATGTAGGAATCAATAGCTTCCTTGACACGCATTTGAGATAATTGGGCTTTGGCAAGCTTGCTCCAGACCTCGGGCTTATCGGAACGTTCAGCAAACTCATAAGCACGATCAAGATCATTGATTTTTTCAATCAAAACATCAATAGCATTGACATCAACATTGTGCTTCTTGTAGATGGTGAAGGCTTCTTCAAACAAGTTCTCGCCGATACAAACTTCAGCAACATCAGAAGCATCAAAGTTATCAAGGCGATTAATGTAATCCATAACACGAGAAGGATCGGCCTTAACAGCAGTAAAGATCAACAAGTTTTGAAGGGTCTTGTTATCGTTAAAGGCACTGTTTTCCAGTACAATCTTTTCCAAGAGTTCGATCAACTCATTGGGCAAGTTGGCAGACATGAAGGCCTTGACGGTGCTTGAAACATCATCGGGATCAGTACATTCAGGGAGAGCAGTAGCAACAATTTGATCAATCAATTCACGACGATGTTCATTGTTCTCGGTAAGCACGGTGGCCCAGAGAGCTTGATCACGACGATGGACGAGATAACGCGCTTGATGCTTGAACATGCTGTTTTCGGTGGTGATATGAATCAACTCATAATCACATTGACCCTTTTCGTAACAGATATAGGCCAAATAAGGATCTCTCTTCTCGCAGTATTTACCAATGATACGAGGGTTATAGAACTCATTTTCCTTGAGGAAAGGTTCAGGGTTATTGTTGGTATCAATGTAGATCTTGGCTAAAGCGTTATAGACTTCGGGATCAGTGCTACCAGCAGTAACACGCATGTTCAACCAGGGTAAGAGTAACTTCAATCTGTTTCTTTGCTCAACTTCTTCACAAAGTTTATCAACAGGTAAATCACCTTGAACAGATAAGAGTAAGTTCTTGATGGTATCTTCATCACAACCAACATCCAAGAGACCACCAATAACTTCGGGAGTACGGGTAGGGTTTACCTTTTGGACGTAGGTCTCGATAAAGTTTTGTAAGTTGTTGTGGTAAAGGTAAAGCACAAGATCATGTACAAAGTTGAAACGATCACAAACAATGATGAGAGGAAGTTGATCGCTTAACTTGGCTTCCTTTAAAAAGTTCTTGACCTTTTCGGGATCGTAGTATGTACTTTCACGACAGATACGTTCTGCCTCACGGACATTACCGGTACGACAAGCAGCTTGAATATATTTGTAGTGAACAAGAGGATCTTGACTGACATTAACAATAGAACCAAGGTAATAGTAAAGACCTTCATTACTCTTGAAAGATTCAAAGAGCTCGATCAAATTATGAGGTTGAAGTTGTTCGGAGTATTTGATAGCGATCTGGACAACGATTTGCAAGTTTTGACGAAGGTTGTTACTGAGCATCTCCTTTAAGCATTCCAATGTTTGTTCAACAGAGAGGTTACCAAAGTAGTTGACGAGCCATTCAGCGGTCATTTGATGAGTATAAGGGATGATACGTTTAATATCGTGAATATCGGTATAATGTTCAAGAGCACGTTGGTATAAACCGGCCTTTTCGCACAAGTTACCAATAACAACACGGTCATAGTGAGTGAGCATACCAGTACCCATAATAGCATCAGCAACTTGGGGAGCATGTACTAAGTTCATTTCAAGCACACGGGTTTGAAGAGCGGCATCTTCTTCTCTGTTACCCTTCAAGTAATCCAAAAGGAAAGAAGTAGCTTGGGGGATCATGTTTTGAGATTGGAACACATCCACTACCTTCTCGGGTTCGATTAAGGGACCACTTTCATCGTTAGCAAGGGATGTAGCGAATTCGGCAGCCTTATCGGGTTCGGTACGGGCAATGTTATAAAGCAAAGAAGCATAATCAGGAGAATATCCTACTGTCTTTGCATAAGCCAAGATCTTGTCGAATTGACGGTTTTCAGCCATACATAATACGACCTTGTTAGGAACCTCGGCACGCAAATAAACGGATAAAGCTAAAAGCGTATCATAGTTCTTGACGAAATCACCAAGTTCCTCACTACAGGTCAACTTGTCTTCCTTTAACCATTTCTCCAAAAGAGGTTTACGGTTTTGTTGAAGAATAGGTTTGGCGAGTTCAATAGATTCAAACTTGTTGAGCACACCCTTTTCTAAAAGTGTACCAAAGTATTGTAAAATAGGTGGGAGTTGGTTGGGAACGACAGGGATTTGTCTGAACTTTTCAATGGTTTCGGCTGTACGAAGAATACCCTACGGTATTTGCGTTAGTTTCACATCGTTATACTTCGAAAAAAAAAAAGGTGATGAGCACTTACTCTGGGAGAATTGGCAGCAACCTTGGCAGCTTCACCAAAAGCACCCGTACTGAACAATTGATTGAAACGAGCAACGTACAAGTCATCAGCACCAGAAAGTCCACCACGAGAGGCTAATTTGAGGGCCAATTCTGTGTTTTGCAAGTTGTTGATGATGTAAGGAATAATGTTGTTTTCGTCAAGAGAAACTGAAAGTACCTACAATAAAGTTATAGTTAAGCTCTATTTATCGCTCTCTCTCTCGCTCATAACACAAACAAATGAGAAAAAAAAACTTACTTGACCCTTCTTATTAACACCAATAATACCAGAAGTAGGTGCATATTCAGCAGTAACGAAAATGGTTTCGTTACTAATTCTGTTCATGTAGATACAAGAACCAGTCTCAAGATCATAAAGATGAATGAAACCCATCTTGGTGACCAAAAAGATGACACCGTATTTGTGACTAATTTGCATAGCGACGGGGAAATCAGTAGCAGACTCGGGAGGGAAGAATACCTCAACAGCCTTCTTTTGATAGGGAGGGTTACCGGCGTTATGATCGACTTCGATAATTTGAAGCTATTATTCAAAAAAAGATTAATATGGGCGGGGTGTGACAAGCTGAGTTTAGTATATTTTACCTTTGCACTTCCGTTTGCAGAACGAACAGCAAAAGTAAAGAGTTTTGTAGGAGCTACTGAATTCTCTAAGCTGATTTCAGCAAATGCAGCAGCATGACCTTCGATAGGTTGACTGACACCACGCTCCTTGGAATAGAGTTGCATCGAACCAGCTACACGATTATCCTTTGCTGAAATACCGACAAGTACATACCACTTTTCGTCAGAAGAAGCACGGAGGTTGATAATTTGACAACCCACTAAACTGACATGTCTCTCGAAAATCTTGGCGGGTGGGGCATCATCATAAATAGACCAACGATACACGTATTGGTCAGTGACAAGACCAATTGTGCTAAGGTCCAACCATTTCCAGAATAATACATCTTCATTCATCATGTGTGCTTTAAGCTTTTGTTTGGTATCGAGGTTGAAAACTTGAAGTTGTCTTTGGGCTTGATAAATTTTGTGATTAATTATTTATTTTCCTTAATACTTCATATTGAGATTATTTACCTTTGAGAGCCATGATTTTCTCTTTGGGATGCATGATAACAGAGTCTGCGGTAATAGGGCGACGAATGATATCTTCATTGGGAAGCAAGTCGATAATGACTACTTGGTTTTGGTTATTAACTTGTTCACGAACACAAATAAATCTGTCCGATTCCATGGTTAAAGTGTTGAACCCAATGCTGGCTGCATTGACGCCAAGATTTTGCAACTAGTTCAATAAAAAGGTCAGTTTAAAATGAATTCATGTTGCCAGATGGAGCCTTCGAATAGAGCTCACTTCCGCCTTGTTCATCTAACACCCCCCGAGTTTTAAAACTTACTTGCGCATGCTCTTGGAATTTAATAGGAAGTTGCTCTGCCATCTTTTGTGTGTGTGTACTATTGAGCCCAAAGGAAAAAAAAAAGAAAGAAAAAAAAGGATGAGTATGTTTTATAAGCAATGATGTCTTTCTATCCCGCTTCTTACAATAGATGTCTTTATACTCTTCTTGTTTAATTCTTGTATAAATCACAAGTTTAGAAAGAAAAAAAAGTGCAGACAAGAGGACACGACGAGAAGTAGGAAGAGGCGGATCTTTTTTCTTTTCACAAACAAAATTAACCACCACGTCATCGTTCCCGGCGGAGAATCAAGCTGGAATAATGCTCGTTTCCCCTCAAAGCCCAATCCTTTTTCCGATAGGCAATACATATATTCGGATGAATACCTTGTTTTATTTTACTCGTATACAACTAAGAGTTAATAGGTGATATAAGGGAAGAGGTGATGTAGAGAGTGGGTGTCCATCACCAAAAAAAAATACGAAAACTATGAATGATGTCGAGTACCTCAGCCCAATTATTTGTTTTCCCGCTTTTTATTTATAATTCAGTTTTGTCGTGAATTTATACAGAAAAAAACGGTAAATGCCCTTATGTCTGACAATGCCCGTGCTCAAACAAAACTTTATAATAGCCAGACCTGTCGGCAAACAATACGTTATATTTAACAACCGACTCTTTATATGGCATCATATTATGCTCGACAAAAACGTGTAATCATATACGCAATTTTACAGCAATATTGATGATAAGAATGGAAGCATGCATATTATATATTTATATGATATATATAATATTTCGGCTCCCTCAACACACTTGTAATACTTAAATATGTATCTGTAAATGGTCAAGGAATTAATCACAGTTAGCTTTCAGTGGTCTTCATGTTTATACAGATGGTAACACAAAAAAGATTACGCGCCCTCGTTTCCTTTTTCACTAATATAGCAGCGTCCTTCTCTCCTATCAGTCTTATGAAACAAGCGCGACTTTATTTATGATGTCAATTAATGTATATATATCATATGAGCTCTTATGTCTGAAACTGTGCATGAACTAATAAATAAAACTGTAGGGACAACAGCAGACAAGATGCATGTTTTTATTGAGCCAAGTGAAATGATTGACTTTGAACTTCCGCTTTTTTTTTTCTGGACTTGGCAGTTTTGACATTAAATTTATATATTTCAATATTTTCTATGGAACAGATTCACTTTATGTTCAGGCGAATTTTTTTTTTTTTAAACGAGAAGAAAAAAAGTTCCAAGAAAAAAAAAATCAGTTTCTAGGTAAATCAAAGGTTTTGGCCAAATAAATGATAGTAGCAATGATAATAATTCTTGTTCCTAAGGAAAACAGTATTTGTCATAGCGATATTTGTTTCTTTGGTCTAATAACTTGTAGTGCCTTTCTTCTGATGGAATTGTTTTAGCATTAATGGCTCTCTGACATAGTTACACTATCATATCGCTGGGATAGAATTATGAAATCCTAGTGTAAATACGTTTCAATAGCTACTTTGTCTGTTCTTCTGATGAGTTTTACATATATCCGATAAACTTATCAGCATGATATCGTATACCATGGTTCTCACATCAATTGTGCAGTTACGATATATAGTCCAATAATATTTGCTGCTGAAGAAAACGCTGGTACCCTTTGAGTTACCAGCCGTGATAACATTGGAGTGCCATATTTTTAAGCTCACTCTTAAAATATATGATTCTCTAACAGAATTACTATAAATCCTCTATTAACTAAATCCCGAAATTAGATTACCCAAGTACAAAAAAGGCACAAAATTCGATAAAATATTCCACTATATACAACAAAGCAGCAGCAGAAACATTGTTTTTTATTTACGACTGGATATAAAAGTAATGGGCTAGTCGAGCTATCGAACTGTCAAACAGTTTTTTATTTTTATTTTTCTTTTTTTGACAGGTGAAAGTACCTAGAAGACAAAAAACAATCATCGTGTCAGTGACTAAAAAAAAGCAAGGTTGTATTTGTGACAATTACTATGAATTTGTCATGGAACTAGTGTTACAGCCAGAATATGTTGCACAAAACGGCTATCATTTTCTTGTTTTTTTAGTTGGCGCTCCAAAAATAGAATCCTCTAAATAAGGGCGTTGGGCTTGTTTTTTATTTTTATATCTTCTTTTTTTTTCTTTCTGACAAATACAAAAAAAATGTCTGAATCTGTTATTCTCGTTACTGGTGGTTCTGGTCTTGTTGGTGAGGCCGTGAAGTGGGTTATTGAAAACGAAAGTAACCCTCGTTATGGCAAGAAAGAAGGCGAGAAGTGGGTCTTCTTGTCTTCCAAAGATGGTGACTTGAGGTAAGTTAATGGGTAGCTTTTTCCCGAGATGATTGTACTAATGTCATGTCTGGGAATTTGAACAGAAAGGAAGCCGATGTCAAGGCCATCTTTGAAAAGTACAAGCCTACTCATGTCATTCATTTGGCTGCGATGGTTGGTGGTCTGTTCAAGAACATGAAGTATAAGCTCGACTTTTTACGTGAAAATATGATGATGAACGAGAACATCTTGTGGCAATCCAAGGAATTCAATGTAAGTTTTGGTTTTATACGTGTTGATTGTGACTAATGCTGTAAAAAATAGGTTAAGAAGGTTGTTTCTTGTCTTTCTACCTGTATTTTCCCTGACAAGACCACCTACCCTATTGACGAAACCATGGTTCATGATGGTCCTCCTCATGATTCTAACTTTGGCTATGCTTATGGTAAGCGTATGATTGATGTTTATAACCAGTAAGTGGGCTTTTTTCATTCTATGCGTTGTGTAACCTATTTAACGCTATATTTATCATTTTAGTGCCTACAATGAGCAATTCGGTTGTCACTTCACCTCTGTTATCCCCACCAACGTCTTTGGCCCCCATGACAATTATGAACTCGAAGGTTCCCACGTTTTACCCGGTTTAACACACAAGTGTTACCTTGCAAAGAGTAAGCCATACATATAAGCTGTAAAAAAAAAAAAAAACTTTTACTAAAATAGCAATTTAGAAAACAACACTCCCTTTGTTGTTTGGGGTTCTGGTAAGCCTCTTCGTCAATTCATTTACTCTCGTGATTTAGCCAAGCTCTTTATTTGGGTCTTGAGAGAGTACGAAGAAATTGATCCCATTATTTTATCTGTTGGTGAGGAGGACGAAGTTTCTATCAAGGATGTTGCTGACGGTATTGTTAAGGCCATGGATTTCAAGGGAGAATATGCCGTAAGTTAAATAGTCTGTGCGTTTACATTGCATTAGTTTCTAAAATACGTTTCTAGTTTGATTCTACCAAGGCCGACGGTCAATACAAGAAGACTGCCAACAACCACAAATTGATGAAATATATCCCTGATTTTGAATTCACTCCCTTTGATGTTGCCATCAAGGAATCCGTAGAATGGTTTGAACAAAACTATGATACTTTGCGCAAGTAGATTACACGAACAATAATAAATAAATAAAAAATAAAAAAAAAAGAAACAGTTGCATTTTATATTACTGCATGCAATCAGCTTTACAGTTTTAAATATTACCCCCTGTTAGATGAGGTCAACAACAATTGTCTCATGATGTAGGAATACGTTACCCAGAAGCACAATCATAGTTTGGGGGGTGTTGTCACGCGTGAAAAAAGGTTTAGATTTTCCCGATTAAAGACTACCTACATAGTACAAAGCGAATCACGAGAGGTTTCTGCTATTATTAAACAATTAAAATGAAATGACATACAGTTAAAGCAGTGGCTGGGTCCCGCAGTGTTGGTATATTAAAATAAGAAAGATAAATTGAGGATAAGACTAGATCAGGTAATGATTGCCGTAATATGAACCACCTTTTTTTTTTTTTCTTATTTAGCTGAAACGTGATAAACGGACCAGATTTCCCATCATATGCTTTGATCGATAGCCAAAAAGATCATAAAGGGTTCGGTTCCCCCGCACATATGCCACGAATAAAGAATTTGGGGGGCGGAAAACATAATGTTCTGTTTTTGCTTGCTTACCGAAGCAATCCGGATTTCGAGTCACCTGTAGTTTTAAAACAACGCACAAGTGCGAATTTAACCCCGTGATAAATTCAACTTTCAGGTATAAATATTGCCATTGATTTCTTTCTTTTCTTTTCTTTTCCTTACACAAAAATAAACCATGCTGGCATCTTCTTCTCTTACGGCCGAAAATGTGGCCCATTATCTTCCATTGTCGGGTCAATTACCCGATATTCAGGGACGTATCATTAATGTAACCCATCAAATTCCATACAATATCTTGCGCACACAAAATCATCAGAAAAAGTTTGCCAGTCATGATCAAATACCAACCCCACCAAGATCTCCTCATCATTCTACTACCACAAACAAGCCTGAATTGGTTCCTTCCAGTCTGAATACAGCAGAAGAAAGACCTGTCGCTGATCCCGTTGCAGCCGCTCCAATCTCTAAACTAGCACGTCATCATAAACGAGGCGTTACGCTCCGCATGAAGTTTCATGCAGCTGACTGGACCGTAGTTGAAAGAAGAGGTCATCAAGCTCTGTACGCGGGTATTCAAAGTCTTGCCAAGTCCAATGAAACAATTCATATCGGCTGGACCGGTCCTATTCGTGAACAAGGTACTCGGAACAAGGTTGCTCCTTCTAATTTGGCAATAGAAGACAAGGTTAAATTACAGTCTCTTCTATGGGAAACTGGACATATTGTTCCCGTCTTTCTAGACAAAAAATCGCATGGACATTACGAGGGTTATTGTAAACAAGGTAGAGATGACAATCATTGTTGATTTTATATTAGACTGGGACTAAATTACCAATCTAGTGCTTTGGCCTGTATTTCATTACTTGGTTCAGAGCTCCTCCAGTGATAGTCGTGCTGAAAAACGTCATTGGGATGATTACGTTGCTGTGAACCGTCAATTCGCTGATACTGTCATTGATAGATATCAGCCCAATGACATTAGTAAGTGTGCTTTTTATTTGTGTAACAATACACATGTTCTAATTAAATTATTTTCTAGTCTTTGTCAATGACTACCATTTATTACTGGTACCTGAAATGATCCGTGAGAAACTACCTGATGCAGCCATCGGTATCTTTATTCATGCAACTTTTCCTAGTTCTGAAATCTTTCGATGTTTACAAAGTAAGTTTTACCCGTTTTAAAAAAAAAATTAAGCTTTTTATTTATTCCTTTTTATTTTAGCTCGGAATAAAATTCTTCAGGGCATGTTGGGAGCTAATTTAATTGGGTTTCAGGTAAGAAAAAGATAAATACATGGATTACACGCACTCAGCTAATCGGCAATATAGACTTATTCGTATGCAAGACATTTTATCTCTTCTTGTACACGTGTACTTGGCTGTGAAACAACTCAGGTTGGGGTAAGCTATAATGGAACAACCATCTCTGTAGGAGCTTTCCCTATCGGTGTTGATTGTAATCGAGTCGAGCAATTCTGTAAACAACTTGGCGTACAACCTAAAATGGATGCCATCCGTGACATGTATTCTGGTAAAAAAATCATTGTTGGTCGTGATAAGTTAGATAGCACCAAAGGTATCCTACAAAAATTACATGCCTTTGAGGGATTTTTAAGAGATTATCCCGAATGGCAAAACAAAGTTGTCTTGATTCAGGTCGCCACTCCCACTTTTGGTGACCACTCAAAATTAGAGGCCAAGATATCAGAAGCTGTAAGCCATATTAATGGCACATACGGATCTTTGGAATTCACGCCTGTTCATTACTATCATCAAGAAATTGATCGGGATGAGTATTACGCCTTGTTATCAGTGGCTGACTTGGCTTTGATCACCTGTAGCCGTGATGGTATGAACACCACTTCGTATGAATATATCCTTTGTCAACACAATAAACCTGATCATGGTCAACTTATCCTATCCGAGTTTGCTGGTACAGCAGGTTCCTTGAGTGCCTCTATCTTGGTCAATCCATGGGACTATGCTGGTGTTGCAAGAAGTATACATGAGGCTTTGACCATGTCTATTGAGGAGAAGATCACACGTCATGAGGTACTTTTTTATTATTATTGTATCTCCTATAACCACAATCGCTAAAATTTATTCCATTACTGTAGAAACTTTATAGTCACGTCACTAGTCATACAGCTGAATTCTGGGCCCATTCATTTGTTAAACAATTAGTCAGTGTTAGCGAACAACAAGACCTTCAATCACATGCTACCCCCAACTTGAATGTTGAAAAACTCGTTCAAGATTACAAGTCTGCTAAAAAGAGAATCATGTTCTTTGATTACGATGTAATATTAATATTTGTTTGTTATTGGCTCGTACAAATATTGACATTCTTTTTCTTTAAATCTAGGGAACATTAACTCCTATTGTATCCGTACCCTCTGATGCAAAACCGGGACAGGACATGTTAAAGTCGTTACAAACTCTTTGTAATGACCCTAAGAATATTGTGTGGGTGGTATCTGGTAGAGACCAAGTCGTACTCGATGAATGGTTGGGTAGTAATATAAAGAACATCGGGCTTAGTGCAGAGCATGGTTGCTATGTCAAGGCTCCAGGGTCTGATGAATGGAGAAGTGTTGTAGATGGTATCGATATGAGTTGGAAAACAGATGTGGTAGAAATATTTGATTATTACACCGAAAGAACTCAGGGAAGCTTTGTCGAACACAAAAAGTCTTCGATTACATGGCATTATAGACTAGCCGACGCAGAATACGGGTAAATAGCATTAATATCCACTTTATACATAAACCGTGATTTCTAATATTTTACCTTGTAGTGCTTTCCAAGCAAAGGAGTGTCAAAACCATTTGGAAAATGCCATTGTATCCAAATTCCCTGTTGAAATCTTGGTCGGTAAAAAGAACCTGGAAATCAGACCCATGTCTGTCAATAAAGGTGAGATCGTGAAACGTATTTTAGCGAGCAATCCAGATACAAACCTGGTCATCAGTGCTGGAGATGATAAAACAGATGAAGACATGTTCCGTGCGTTGAGTTCGGCACAATATCAACAAAAACAACAGGCATCCCCCCCAGCATCGATCAAGGGTGGTATAGTGGGTACACCTTCACCGTCTATTATTTGGCCCGAAGCAAACTCGAATCTTTATTCGATTACTGTAGGTCCCTCTGAAAAGAAAACTCATGCCAATTGGCATGTCAACACACCGCAACAGATCATCCAAGTGTTAAATTCTTTGGCATCTTCAACATAAATCTTAACTCCAATATAAATAAATATCCCATTTTTCAACATTTTTATCACACTAGATTTGTGTTACGTAAACTTTGTTTTATGTTATGAGGCAATTTGTCAAAGTTTAATAATCGAGTTGTTTTGCATCAAAATACAAATGCTGTAATCCCAACCTCTCGTTTGATTTCATAGGATTATCATTTTATTGAAAATAATGCGTAGATTTCGAAATACATGATTTAACATTCATGAGATACAGTACTTGGACCTGTTAAAAAAGATTTTAATTTTATTCCACCCTTTCTTTTTCAGGCTTTATTTTTTACGTATGCACCTTGACAGAGTATTACTATGTTTTACTTTATCAAGTATTGCAATTTTGAACTTTCTTGGTAGTTAAAAACAATAACACAGTATAAACTTTAATGAAAATTAATAAATATCTATAGCCAAGGCAGAGGACATTGCAACAACCTTATATCCCTTCATTTATACCAACCTTAATAACTGGCCATGTGTGCGATTACTCAATGCAACAGGAACTATCGGCTGCAATGGTACCCTCCTTTTTTTATTATTATTGCCATCATCCTTCTAATGCAATATCCCTTCAACAGCTTTTAAAAAAAAGACTGGTATACTATACCGAACAAGTACGCAACCAGAATTAGAACAATTGATGACGGACGGATTAGCAAGCGACATTTCACTCATTATTCCATATAGTCTATTAACACGCTCTAACATCTACTCGTTGTCAGCCACTGGAAAATTAACAGGCCTTATCGTAATCTTGGGTAATGTTACCAACGACAATCAACTTTCCTCGCCCGAGTCATCGTGTCCCAATTGTCAATTTGGACTCTATGCCAACGATAAAGATCAATATCAATGGAATGCCCAGGCACAGAATTTAATTGAAGAAAGCTTTGAATTCCCTATTTTTGCTATCAGACCAGAAGATACTTTGTCACGATCAGTCTACGATTCTGTTATAGCGGTATATGAGAAACCAAAAAAAAAAAAAAAAGTCGAAAGGCATGAAATTAAAAGCTAAACAAATCTAGTTTAGAGTGTATCCTATAACGAACAAAAAGAATACAGAAACTATCCATTGAAAGCAATGGATTTTGATTTGCTTATGTGGGCTGCTATTGATTCAGAAACGTGTCTACGAAGAGGTTGGTGTCAAGCAGTGGGGGGTATGTCCGTCTTTTCTTCACCTTCTTTAACAATGGATCACCAAGATAATAAGCCCGTCATTGTTGTATCCGCAAATATAGATGGTAGATCCATGTTCCATGATTTGACTGTGAGTGCGTCCAAAGATGTTTCTGGAATGGTAACAGTATTAGCCATTGCGGATGCCTTAAGTAGAGTGAGTACTACATATATATAAGGTCACTTCATACTAACACTTGATTTTTTTTATATATATGAAGGCTCCAAAGGCGTTAGATACATTGCCCAAGCATATTGTCTACACATTATTTACAGCGGAATCATGGGGTTTTGCAGGCTCCCAACGATTTGTCAACGATATTTCCTCTGAATTTGAATGCACAAACGCAACAAGAGCCACTACATGTCCTTTTATAAACGCACCGTGTACATTTCCCTGTGTCCGTGATTTAAACTTCAAGCGAATTAATTTTGAAAAAATAGAGTCTGTGTTCGATTTCCAGTCTGTATCTGGCATTAATGGTAATTACACTGGTGGATATTTTGCTCACGTAGACAATGCGCAACAAAATCAAGGATTGTTGAAAGCACTTGGGCCTTACACAAATATTAAACAAGCATCCTCGGATGGTGTAAATCGCAAACTGCCACCGAGTAGTGTCATGAGTTTCTTGCAAAAGAGAAGGGATATTAACGCAGTGGTAATTACAGATTATCAAAAAAGTCTAGGAAGGTGAGGTTTCTTATTAAACTCTTGTCGAACAGCTACTTAAATTTTTAATAGGTATTATAACAGCGACATGGATTCACGGTTGGATTTAGAGCAAATGACGAATTCCGTGTGTGGACTGGTCAACGCCATGGCCAACACCATTTACAACCAAGCATCCAATGAAAACGGTACTGACTCAATTTCGGCTAACTGTACATTAATCTCATCCTTACTCGAATGTTTGATATCAAATTTCACCTGTCCTTTCATGAAGGATTATTTCAACGGTAAAACAAAAAGAGATATGTAAAAAAGGAGAAATCCGAATTTGACATGTTTTTATAGTCTCCGGTGTCACACGTGTGGGTCATTATGCGTCTGTATACTCGTTTGAAAATCCTCAGCCTCAACTTTTGCAGCGATTCGTATTTAGCTTCTTGAGTGGGGTCACAGGTAAACAAAGAATGGGAGGCGATAACAAACCCGCGGTATGCCAAACCATCAAGGATTGCTCGAGCGGAGAATACTGCATCAAGCAGAAATGTGTTACCACATTAACCACCTATCATGAGGCTTACGGTACAGGTTTACAATACAATGAAGCTACTGGGCTTATTGATATTGTAGATCCAAAGAAAGGGACCTGGACAGAGAGCACGTAAGTGCTTATTATTATCAATTTAATTCTCAAAAAACTAATGACTATAAATGCGTTCATAGTTGGGATGTTCCCGCCACGCGAATCTTTCTCGTCACCTCAAAATCGCATCAAGTGGTTGAACTTGTGATAGGCATCTTATGGTCATCTATTAGTTTTATCGTAGTCCTTTTTTTACAAAGATACCTAAAAAAGGCTCTTAAAACAGAATAGATACTTTATTATAAATGCTCAATAAACAATCTTTCGGCGGATATCCTTATATATGTCGACATGCGAATCTAAATAGCGGTTAATATTAAGCGTCCAAATCCATATCTTTTATTCATACCTTCTCCATCCTTTTCAACAGATTTCAATCTTTTGTTTGGTCTTTCGCCATCTTCTACTGCATCACCGGCATAAGAGGTGCCATTAGACCACACAGAGTACATGGACTCAATAGACATGGCACGAAATATGGTTGGCGCTTGTGAAATAGGCTGATTTGGTCCATTAGCCTCTATATGGGTATCCTCATGTGGTTGCATAAACAAAGACCAGCCATCTTCTTTATCAAAGAACCTGGACAAGGATATACTTATACCTGATGGAACATTTTTTGTTGAATCCTCATCAGGTAATACTCCATTTTCTGAAGTAGAGATGGACATGTTATCATGGTCACTATAACTCCTTAATTTAAAGGGCAGGCTATCTTTCCAACTCATTGGCTGGCCATCAGAAACATCCCCAGATGGCGAGGCAATACTCATGTCGTCATGATTACTACGGCTCATCACACTAAACGGTTGACTATCATGTCCAGCTACAGGAGTTGAGACGATGCTCATATCGTCATTACTGTCTAGCCTCACGACATGATTTTTATCTTTTTCCGAAATTGGTGCGCTTTTTGTATTGGATGTGGGTGCATTAATAGACATCTCGTCTTTATCATACATTCCATCGGCACCTATTAAGTTGGTGGTTAAGGGTATAAGTATCCATTTGACAGAATCAGCATCTTTTGAAGACATGGATATGGAGTTTGGTGCTAATTGGAATCGAGGGCTTAGAACAAGCAAATGAAGAATACTTTCCTAGTAGAATAATATGTCAGTCTACTTTTGACAAACAACATACTCCTTCTTTACCTTTTCGACGGGTTTTGTGTAACATTGTTTAACTTTTTCCAGTATTTCAGTCGTGTTTAAACTACCAGTGTCCTCAAAAATTTGTATCAATGCAATCTCTAATTCGTGATCGAGACTATTATCCTCCGTATTGTTTTCTGGTGTACTCGCACTAGACTGATTTTTCTCTTGATATGTTGGCTTTATATAATTGCTTGGTAAGAAGAAGATAAAGCTAGTATTGCATATCTCGATCAAGGCGCCTGTTTTTAATACGTTTGGTTTATCGTGCGGCTTTTTCATGATTTGGTTCAATTTAACACCATTACGACTATACACATACAATTCCCAACGATCGCGACTGGAGCTGAATCGAATCTCGCAATGTTTACGTGAAATGGCTTTGGAACTTCCAAAATCGAGATCAACTTGTGCTTGCGCTGGGGTTTGCCGTGTTGATCTGACTGCCGTTCCAGAACGTCCAAGAATAATACTTGGCTGTGTTAGATAGCTTGTCCAGTTAGATCCAGCTAGTCGTGGATAAAGATGAGCACTGTTGGGTGGAACGGACGGTGTATTGACTTTTACTGTATGCGAAGATTCGGTCAAGAGATGAAACCCTTTTGACAGTTCAGAATTATTAAACTGTGTGAATTTTTGTTAGTGCCGCGCGTTTTTTATGTCAACCGAAGTATACAAACCGATCGGCTATTCGATTGTTGCTTGTTTCGTTTGTTTGACATGATAAAAAAGCTGGTAAAATCAAATATTTGAAAAGTTCATGTAAATAATTGTGGCAGTTATAAAACTGAGTTTTATTTCATCCCTATTATCTTTCTTCATTGCACCTTTCTAAATATGTATGAAAAGAACAGACAACATAGAGTTTCAACGCGTTTGAAATATAGAAACTTCTTACAAAAAGACAAGATGGCGTCCCTTGACTCAAAAAAGAAAGGTCAAGCAAGAAAAATTAACTCTTGAATAAAAGTTGTGTATAGCAAAGAAACAGTTTAATGTTATAAAAGCTGAAACGCTTAAATCAGACCAAGCTGTTTCCAAGCAAATAGATCACCCTTCTAGTGACGTAGAAGTTGCCATGGATAATATGCAAAAAAATACAAGAAGTTAAAGCTTCCGGAAGCCGCGGACTCGGTGGAAGCCCGCTACATGCGGAAAAGATACGCAACATTAGGTGGTATAATTTTGGAGTTTTACCACAGGAGGCGGTAAGTGTGTCAGAAAGAAACAACAGGAGGTGGTATAAAATGGACGTTTTTACTACCCAATGTCGTGGGTCTTTACTACATGTCCTGGGTTTTTACCACATAGTCCGCCACTGTCATCCGATGCAGCCAACCGAAAAGCTCTCTAGAGCAAAGATGTGAGGTTACAATTATTATTAATTATTTTTTTGGCGGAGGTATATATCAAACAATTGGGAGCAACAAAAGAAAATTTGAAGGCAGACTTGAGTCTAAATAAAGTGCAAACGACATCGGACAAGCACCATCAAGAGATTATGGGAAAAAACAACCTTATCCGCTCTTTACAAGAAAATATTAAGACACTAGAGGTGCAAGTCGAAAGTGTACAAACCAACTTTGATCAGGTCAAAGATGATTACATGACGCTTGAAGTGGAAGCAGCCCTTTCAAGTAACGAAGAAGAAACCAAAGAGTTAAAGGATAAACTAAATCAACTTGAAAATGATTGTGTTGGGGCAAGATGAGCAGTAGTATTAGTTGAAAAGAAAGATGAGCGAAAGAAGTATAAAGACCAAGTCTCATATCCATCATCTTGAATCAAATCTTTTTCGCGTTAAGGATGAAAATCAAACTTTGATGAACATGCTTGGATAAACCAAGCAAAGTGCAGTAGCAAGTAAAAAGGTGGAATACCCACACAACAAACCAACAACAGCAAGGTCCTCAGTAACCGTCCCATTATTCTTCCAGTGCACGATCGACCTCCCATTGATGAAGAAGGGGAGGTCGAGAGGACCAAGCTGGACAACCAATAGCCTCTTTAGTTGAACATAAGAAAATTAAGTCGTATAATATACAGCTATTTCAGAATGAACATTTTCTTGTGTATGTGTGTGTGCTTTTTTGCTTAGTGTTTGATTTATACATTTGAGGTATTGGAATAAAGGAGTCCATAACTTTTGGATGCTGTATACGAGGAGTTCAAAGGGAAATTCGTAGAATCACGACGTATAGAGTTTTGAGACATAAAGTTGTACGGAGTCATCTAGTTTTGAGGCATAAAAAAAGGAATGCACTTAGGCGTAGACCGTTAAATAATCTTTTTTTTTTTTTTGGATGTATTATCTATTAGGGGTCCTCAGTCGAGGTTTTGAAAAATATATTTTTTGAATAAAAATAACTAGCCAATCATAAGTATAATTTCATTTTTACGAATGAGGACCCCTATTATTTTGACTTAAGCTTTACATTCAAAATAATCAATAAAGGACACTTGGGATAAAAAATATGCGTATTCTCGTAGATGTCTTTGTATGTGGTGAAGGTCTATTCTACGAGACATGTTTTATTCAAAATTTAGGAACTAACGTAGTTCGCAGGAAATATACCTGTCTGACCATTTAAAGTCCCTTCCCACCAACCACCATCATCCTTCTTTGTAACAAGAATAGTATCGCCTTGACGAATATTAAGTTCTTCGGCATTGACGGCTTCAAAATCATAAAGAGCCACGACCTGAATGGGAGCAGGAGAGAGAGAGGGGGAAGGCGGTAAATCATGGATAGAGGGTTGACTGATGACAGGAGCGTCATTATCATAGACAATCTCATCTTCCGGAGGCGCATCCAGGTATTCGATATAATTAGCAGGTATGAGTCCAATTTCGTTTCCTTTCTGTGCCTTGATCCAGCCTGTACCATCATCGTGTTCTACAATGTGTAGCAAATCACCTTCTGAAATACTGAGCTCATCCGTATTTTGGGCTTGGTATGTGTATAAAGCACGAAGTTCTGCACCTGGCATGGAAACAGGTCTTGGTGGGGGTGGAATAACAGTATTGGGTATAGACCGGACGGATTCGGTAAAGCTGTTTGAGCGTAGTGATCTCAAGGTTGGCACAGATAAGGAAGAAACAGGTTGTGGATTAATCTGTCCTTTAACTTTACTACAGTTAGGAGCAACCTTCATTTCACATTTGGCGTGACAATTAAAACCGCAAGCGCGACAAGTGAAGCCTTTGTTAGAGATACCCCATATAGTGGTTTTGCAGTAATCACACGAAGTGGGAATAGTAAATGAAGAGGATTTAAAATCATGATTTTGAGCTCTTAAACCATCATCGCCAATATTTTGTATGATTAAATCCACTTCACTTTTCACTCTGACCTTTTGCGTAGAAAGTAATGTAATATCTCGAATGATATCCATCAACTTTTCTTTGGATTTATCGTAATCGGCCGATGTTTGGTTGGGTATGGAGCCGACGAGAGATTCCATTTTGTTTAACTCGGTAGAGCGTTTAGATAAATCGTCACCCAATGTGTCTAGTTGTTTACGATCCTTGATTAATTTGTTGTTTAAAAAGATAACAGCCGCATCATTTGCCACCAAACTGTCATCCTAAAAAAACCGTCAGATATTACTCTATTTTTTTTATTTTTTTCCACTTACTCGATCAATGATTGTGTCTGCTGCATTGGCTCCACCGTTCCAGGGCATGAATGTGAATTGAACATTGGCAGCTCGTTCACTGGCATCGACATTTCCCAACGCACTACGAGTAAAGACACCAGCGTCAATTACAGGATCTAGTTTTTCAATAGAGACTAGACTATCATCGTGGCATTTTTGAATAGTGGTTAATAATTTGGATTCAAGGTCGATGTATGTCTTTAAAATGGATTTTAGGGATAGAATACGAGCAGCATCTAACTCTTGTAAATGCTATAAAAAAAAGAATTGAGTGTGAGTTATGGAGGATGGGATAAGCTGTAAAAAAAAGGCATTACGTCTGCTAGGATGGGAATATCTTCTTCAAAATACTTGGATCTCTCGGCATTTGCTACACCAATAGATAATAAATAAAGATTCTAAATTGTTGCCAAGAAAGCTTAGCTTAGTTACAAGAGAAAACCAAGCCTTTTGTATCCATGATACCTTACCTTTTTATTATCACGGTCTAAATAAGCATTGTCTAATTGTCTTTGTGTCTAATAATATAAGTGTGGTGGTTAAGAAGAAGCGATTGGCACGATACTCGAGGATGAAATATTACTTTTTCTGCATCGCCTGACTTGTTTAATTTTGCCTTTAAATTTTCGATTTCGACGCATGAATCATCATACAACTGCTTTGCCTTTTCCTTGTCGCCATAAGTTTTATCTCGCTCGTTTTTTAACTTTTGATAAAAAGCAGCATGCTAATATATTAAATCTATTAGGGAGTTGTTTAAAATAGACCATCCCCCCCCCCCTCTCCTCCCTCGTTTGTCTCGATTTACCTTTTTTCTAGCATCATCCTTTCGTGCAGCCACACCTCGTAACGAATCTACTACTAAAGAATTGATATCATCAACTAGACGAAATTTGCTTTTGGCTACAAGAGAAGTTTGGTCTAATAACTGACACCAAGCAGCCGAAGTTGTACTAATATTAGGGTAAGTTTATAGGGAAAAGGGGGAAGTGGATGAGCCTTAACTTTACCTGGACGTGTCTTCCCAATCCCATTCGTCTTGTTGCTCTCCAGGTGTTGAGACAATTTTTTTGTTAGACTTGTACTTTTTAGTGAGGTTTTCGAGCTTTTGAGCATATTCACGCTCAATGCTAGTCTTGTCCTTGATGAAGTTTCGAAATTGGGTGAGGGAATGAATGCCATCGCCCACATAATTGAGTATAGAAGGTATCTGGTCCTATTTAATATGTTTAGTGTTGCTTTTATAGATAGTATTTAATACGTCTAAATTACACACCTTTAAATCTGTTCCAAACGTCATGTTTTAACGAGAAAATAAAAGAGAGAGAGAGAGAATGGAAAAACCACAAAACACAAACCCATTAAAAGGCACGGAGTTTCAAAATGGAGTAAAAAAAATAAGGCACACAAAAGTGCTACGTGTGTTTTTTTTTATGTAAAGATATGTACAAGTGTGGTTTATTTAAAATGCTTATGAAGGGAGTGAAATATACAAGAGATGGATTAAAGAGTAATTATTGATCATAATATGAAGATAATTGATCAAAGATGTCAGTTTCAATTTTGCTAAAGAAATCCATAAACTGGATATGAAGCTCCATTAAGAGATTTGTTCTGATTTCCGAAAGGTAGTGTCTCAAGAAATCAACCTCGAGATCTGATTTTCTAAATGCAGAGTTAGAAGGAAACTTGAACCATTGGGTTAACCAAGAATAAGCGGAGGCCACAATAGTACTTTCGTCTAATAGTTGCTCAGCCGAGGTGTTGATGATGTCGGACTTGATTATCTCCAAAAGTTCATAGTCATCAATTTCTTCAATCAACTTTTTAGCGACAATGCCGTTAAAAGAAGATAAAAAGGATAGAATCAGATCTTCTTGTTGTGCATCATGAGTTAATAACTTGGGATCCCAAATAGTATGCCAGTACAAGGTAACGATATTTTCTATTGATTGGTAGACTTTGGCATTCATTTGTTGGACATGTCTGCCTATAATGATGGGCATTTGAACGAGCTGCTTATCTATAGTAAGGAGTGAGTTGGATGTTTATGCAACAAGATGGTTTATATATTGACTTTACCTGTGAGTGCATCCAAGCCAAGCAGCTGTGCTTGTGATCTTAAAGCCGTGTTCTTTGACTCCTTTGTTAAATGAATCAAGTTTAACAACAAATCCTCACTGTCTGAACAGAGGGTAGTATCCACAACATTCTCATAAAAGTCTGTGACGCTGGAGAAAACATCATATTCTTGAGACATGAACCATTCATCTTCTTTTGCCAAATCATACAATTGCGATTGTTCTTTGTAAAAGCTGACTTGAATGGGTAGCGCATGGATACTCAACATAAAGAGAGATAAGATAAAGGGTAAAAGCATTTTTGTAATAAAAAGAAAAGAATGAAGGTAGAAAAGGATGAGTAATTCGGTTGCCCTTTATATAGTTTTTTTTTTTTTTTTTTTTTTCTTAAAAGGTCCTATGATAATGATGCCGCCTTGACCTTGGGTGATCTTAAATAGATCATCCCCCCTACAGTAGAAATCCGTCGATTGGTTAATAAGCTGATTTATCGGAAACATAAAACGTCTTTTTTTTTCGGGTAGAAACATCCCACCTTACCGCGTTTTTTGTTGTTTTTGTGGAATTTAATATTATTTGTTTGATTTCATTCAGAAACTATAAAAAACCTTCTTTTGAAAACACAACAGACCTTGGATCTCTGTGCATCTTTGTTTACATGTAAATAAAGAAAATCATTTTCGATTACGTGTTCTTTTGCTTCACTTTTTTTTTAAAATATATATATATATATATTGCAAGCCGAGGTTGATTTAATGGAAAAACTTTTCCCTTGTCATCATAAAAAAAAGTACGCAGAAAATATTTCAACTGCGATTAAAAATGAAAAAAGTTGGTTTAACAGACATCACGGTAATCCCTTGTTTTATATTTTAGTTAAGGGACTTATTAACAAGGGAAACGCAGGAGTAAAAAAAAAAAAAAAAAAAAAAAAAAAGAAAGAAAGGAGGGGTGGACTGTTGTATGTAGACGGTTAATGTAAGAAAAGTAAAGATTACGAATCCAAAATTGTTTTTTTTTTTTTAATAATTCCCTTTTTGTGATATATATATATAATGTCTATCCGGGTGATTCATAATTTGATACAAGGCCAATGGTAGACACTAGTAACGTGTAACACGAAATATTGGTTCTATCCGGTAAACTTTTCTTATTTTATTTTCCAATCGCGTACCTATTGTTAAGTAAAAAGGTGAGGAAAAGAAGAACTAGGGATAATGAAATGACGTTGCTTACCATCTTTCTCTACAATCAACCGCACTTTTACGCACAACACGCTTCTTATCGTCTAAAGCAACCGAGAGTTCTTTTACCACTGAAGGCTGGAATGGACTTAATGTGTCTCGTTGTCCCTTGGTAGATAAACTACTTAAACAATCCAAGGCAAGGAGTCGCACATTTGCTGACGGGTGCCTTGTCAGCCTTAAAAGCGCATGAATAAAGGAGCCTAGATGTTGTACCACTGTGTTTTGTGCGTCAGGTACAATGTCTTGTGCAACCTTTAGCATGGATGTTATTAAGTCTATGTCGTGTGACGATAGCCCAACAATGATCGGCAACATCAACTATTTCCTCTTTTCTTATTAGCACAGAATTCATTGTTCCTAATCCGTTTGTTTACCTTGTGGATTTCATTTGTCGCCACTTGTACAGGAATATTTTCCAACAAGTGTGATAGGGCCAAAAGATAGTTTACTTGAAGATCTAGCAAACAGTTTAATGGGGTGTTGCTCAAATATATATATATATATATATATATATATATATATATACGCGTATACTTTACCTGGCAAAAGAATATTGTTAAACTCTGAATGCTCCATTAGCTTTTTAAAGCAATGTGTAAACACTCTTTGTTTGTACAAGATCTACAGTATATCATGAGTTAAACGGCAATAGAAGCTTGAATTATAATAATAAGCACTTACAGATACAGTAGCATGAGATGGCTTGGACAAAATCAAGTCGTCTTGGTGTAATAACGTGACAAAACTTGCTGCCGCGTCTTTACCGACGTCTGCGGAACCACACAACTTGATGATACTGTCCAGCAGCTCAAACCCATATCGATGGCCTCGAATGACGAGTGATTTTGTGATCTATATGAAAACTTGCATTAGTCATCTCTAATGTCCAACTTTATTTCAATTTTATTCTTACCCAAACCAGTGTTGTAAATGTGGATCTTCTATGATGGATATCACCTTCATTTTCTAATATTGGTAGCAAACCATCAATACATATACTCTTTACACAATTCACCACTTGATCTATTTTTTTTAAAAAAAAAAAAAATGAATATTCAATCTCTTTTCTTTCTTCTGTAATGTTACCATTGGTCCATTTATTGACAATTGAAGCTGCGATTTTCGACAGAGCCAACTTTCTTGTGTCACAGCTTGTCTTAATCGCGGTTTGGATCAAATTTTCTAAAAACGCGGGTAAACTACCCAAGGGTAATTTAACCTTTTTTTTTATGTAAGTAGAAAGAAAAGAAAAATGAGATAATCGGAAACTTACATCTTTACAGCAATTGCCTACGATGGCAGTAAATAATAATGTAATGTCAATCGATTCATTGGTCTGTTATCCTTTAAAATTAGCACCCCTCTTTCAACATGACATAAACCCTACTTGCCTTGTTTGTATCAAAGATACCCAATGTATTATTTTGAATATATTGCTGATCAAAAGAAAAAGGAACGTTGGAAAACTCACGATCCACAAACAACTTGAACGCGTCATTAACAGACAATTGTTGATCACTACATAAAAAAAACCGTCAAATACAACCCCCGAATGAAAACCTGATTAATTTTGCTTACCTTGGTGATGATAAACGCGTTGTGATTGCAACGACCATGGCAAAAGTCTCTATTAAGCTATCATCTAAATACCAGGAGCCAGGAACACCCATGGCAGCTGGAATACACTTTAATAACAAGCTGGGTAAGAGTACCTTTTGCCCAATCGTCAAAACCTCAGGTTCTTTGGTCGAAGCTTCCTTATAGATATGAAGTATAGTAGATGCCACGTCATGTGCATAGGTTGTATTTTCCTTGCCTAAATAAATCGTATAAATTTTCACACTGATAACTAAAGATTCCTTTTTACCGATGGTGCCACATGCATAGTCTAATTTTTTCAAGAGTGGATTTACGACAATCTTGAATACAGCTGGGGTGACAGCTAAAAGCTGGATGGCATCTAATGCATAGCGATATGTTGTTGAGATCGTCATGGCGTTTTCAGAACAAGGTAATTCTTTCAAGAGTACAGGAAAAGTGAGTTGAGCAAGTTGTGTGGGGTATAATTTGGTGATAACGCCAAGGGTAGTTAAAGCCTGCTGTCCCAGTTGTTTATCATCTGCCATTAATTGACTTGTTAAATGGTTAATGACCAAATTTACTTCTTCTCCCTTCAAAAATTGCTTCATCAAAACCATTTCATGGATACCCTTGAGACTAGTTTGTCTTAGGATGAGATCTGCCGGATCCGATTCATTAAGTGAAAGGATAAATATTTGGATGATTTGTTGCTTATACATGAGTAAAGGCGTCTGAAAATCACGATCTATAAATATATGGGTTAGGCAATGTGATCCCCAAAAAAGAAGAAAAGAAAAAGGTGCGCGTATATACTTACCGTATCCGACATCTTCTACAGATCCATATAATTGTTTGCTTGCTAGTAAGAGTTCTGTCAAAATATCTAGAATGGCCTTTTGTCGAATAGATGGGTCAGTTGATTTGTATTGCTGGTAAATAATCGGTAAAGCTGTGTGTGTGACGGAAGTACAAGCGGGATCAGAAGCTGAAGCAGCCGCTCTTAAAATATAAGCAGCGGATCTTGCATTTTTCAATTCAGGTTCCTTCAATTCCTGAACACAATGCTGCAATAAAGAATCGATAGCCTTTTCTACTGGGTCGCGGATATTAGCAATACTGATTCCTGTACCTAATGTAGCTACCACGTTATGGATAGTCTCTAAAGCCACATCGACCATGGTGGATTCTGCACATTGATAAACTTCGCGTACAAGGGCATCAAATAATTCCTGGGCGTGAGGTAAAATAGCATGTGCACCATAGGCAGGTGTGCATAAACTAATGGTTTCCATAGCATCTTTTTTGGCACTGCCTGTGGTTGTCATTAACTTTTCGATCAAGAGAGGTGTAGCGTAATAGGCGAAATAAGGTGTGGAAGCCAAGCATCTTCGAAGGCTGTCTTTTAAATCCTCGGTGGTGATACTAAACGGATCATTGGCAGGCGGTGCTGCGAAGCTGATTGGGAAATAACAAAAGACGACATCGAACAGATCTTCAATATGGCGAGAGATATCAAATCGGTCAATAATAGATCTTACTAATTCAAAGGCAAGCATCAAATTACGAGGATCCTTCTCTCCATCCATACAGTTAATAAACCCACCGATAAAATTGATTTTAGATCGTTGGATTTCTATTTTGTTTGTGTCTTAGTCATTATCTCTCCTTTTCTTATTGGTGTGTGTGTGCTTACCGGAAGAATACTTTTCCAAAGCTTTACCCAGTATGCTAAGTATCTTGTACCGACTTTGCTGTGGTAATTTCTTGACCTTGATATTGGAGAATAAGCTACACAAGATATTTGTCAGCAAAAATATGTATAAAAAATATTCCAGCATAGATTGCGTACATACGCATTGCAAATTTGAATGACATCAGTAGTAGAAATTATGTCGGTGCTCATCAAGACCAAGTAAATGTCGATACAGCGAGGTACAAGAACGGATTCACTTAGACGTTCTCCAACAAATTGAATAATAGCATTGTCTTTTTTTGTTTATATGAGTACACACAAGCACATACATAAATTTGCTTAATTTTGTTGCCTACTCACTTGTGGGAGAATCAAGATATGATTGACTGGGTGTTACTACTTGAGCTAAAAGTTCGATACCTTATGTAAAAAAGAAAATTAAAATCGGTTTATATCTTTTAGGTATCGTATAATTACATTTTGTTCTACAACTCAGGTCGCCCTCTTTCCAGTAAGAAGCAAGATGACTTGTCAATTCCGTAAGTCCTGTCACATTCTTTGTCGAATCTATATTATTTAAAATGAGTCATTCTGTCGCCATGGTAATTTAAACTGAAAGAAAGAAAAAGGTGGTATATATTTTACAAAGTAATACATAGGCCAAGAGTGAAGGATCCACTTCAGCTTTCTCTGATTCAAACCAGTCTTTTAATAACTGAGCAATATCCATTTTTTTTTTTTTTTTTTTTTTTTTTTTTTTACAGTTTAAAAAAAAAATAAGAATCTGATAAAACCTGGGACCTTTCTTGTTTTTTGAGCCGCTCCGCTTCTTTTTAGGAAGTTTTTTTTTATCAGATTTTAATTTTATGACTGCGTTTTTATTTTGTCACCTCAACCCAGCATGGGACGTTTGTAGTCAGTGTAAATTTGACATTATCATGTCTGTCTCATGATTATCACTTGTTTTAAGCTAGAGCAAAAAAAAACAAAAAAAAAAAGATATTCCCATTGTCTTTCATTTATTTCACCCTGCGTTTTTAAATCTAAAATTTTTCCTCTGGGTTTATACCTTGTCCGCTGCTGTTGAAATCAATTCAAGACACGATATGAATTCGCTTTTATCTACAGTAATCACTATTGAACCCCTAAACACCTTCCCCTTGTTATATACCATTTGTGACTTTGACTGTAGTTAGACATCTGATTTATTGATATACAGCACTCACATATTAAAGGAAAGGATCCAAATAGGCTGATAAAAATGGATCGCCTTCTCAAAGGTACTTTAAAGTGTATGACACAATTCCATTGATATGGGTAATAGACACTATAAATAGACTTGTTAGTTTTAATTTCCTGACTGATAAAGTGACAAATATTTTTGTTTCCTGGTAATCATCAAAAATAAAAAATCCACACTTGGCTTTTATTATTTAGCGATGGAAGTTACAAGTTCCAATACATTTAACCGAGTAGCCCCGTTAAGTTGCTTAAAGAAACAATAAAAAATGGATAATGGATCCCTTTTTTAAAATATATGGTAACAAAGACCAGCAAATATACGTTTTTTATATAGATCCGCTTCGCAAACTGTAAGCTACCTTGTGATCTGATGTGTCCCTTGAGATGCTTATATAAAGAATAAAAACCGAAAGCATCAATGGTATGAAGTTATATATTTTTTACACGATCAGGGCTGTAAATGTCACTTCTTTGGAATATTATTAGCGTTTGTCTTGGTTTATTGTCTGTGTTGTAATAATTCATTCTAAATATTAGTATTTAGACGCGAACATGGTACAGTGTAGCTCATCTTGTTAGTTATTACATATAATGATATTTATGTTGAGTGCTTTCCTATCTGATCTGTAATGTCTGGTTAGTGATAAAACAAATATTTATTCTGTTTGATTACGCACTTTTGTTTGTTTGTTTGTAGGACGGGCAATTATGTGGGTCTTGGTAAATGTGTGATTCATATTACAGCAATTATTATTATCATTATTGTATGTTGAAAACAGACTCAGAGAGCTTTGTAGTTGCATTATTATTTAATTTACGCTTATAATATATAAACAATAGTTAAATCAATATAAGGGCTGGTTGAGGGTAGGATTTTGAGACTTTTCGGCATTCTCTTTCCAAGACTTCACTTAAATAATATTTTATGCATACCCGCACATGACAAAACACCTCTTAAAAAACCATTTTATGGACGTGATTTAAATGACTCTATTTAAAATGTTGGGAAACAAGTGGATGCTGTCTATACTCTGGGGGGATAGTTTCGAGAATCTCGATCTTGTCACCAACATGAATTGTACCTGAAGTTAAAGGAGCGGCGTCACAGCAGAATTGGCCTTCATTTGGCTCTTCGGCAAAACAGCGGCTTACCTTCAAATAATCGTTCATGCCTTTACCCTTCCAATCATCTTTAACACCTGTATCTTGATCAATACCAGGGACTGGGCACCGTGCGGTTGGTTGAATAATGTATAATACAACCTCGCCAACCCTAATTACTATCCCATGTCAACGTGCCGGTCATATAAATACAATTGTCGCTTATTACCTTGCCACCAGCCATTGATCCTCTTCCCAGGGTACTGTACCAGAAATAATGATATTATTTCTAAATCGATTCATAGGGATTTGAACTCCTTGACTAATACCGGTTTGTAACAAACCCTTATTCACCTCCTGTAAACTGGTAGTAAATCCAATGGAGATGGGGGAATAATCCGTGAAAGGAGAATGAATACCTTGTAGTTGAGGATGGGTCTGTCTACTATAGACCCCGTTTTTAGGATCATCCAGTGTAACTAGTCGGACAGGACGAACGGGTTCATTAAAATGATCAAGATGGCGATTGTTTGTCAAAAATTGGGTGACCCAATCACCAGCTTCGTCCCCCATATCGTATACGGTCAAGTCAGATTTCCATAAATCTACCTCTCGCTTTGAAAGTTTTTCCAAATCTTGTGTTAATGGTAAATGCAGAGGTTCTTGTCCTTTGGCTGACAAAGTGAAGGTGTTATTAGATTCGTCCCAAGTTGGATGAAGAAAGACAAGAGATGTGTATTTTCTAAAGTATCATTTTTTGATTTATAAAATCAGTTTAAATCGTATTTTCTCAGGCTTACCTTTGAGTAATAAAACGATTGTTATCAGCATAAATAATCATGAACTGGCGATCATATTTGATTCCTAAGTTATCTACTTTACATTCTTGTACCTGTACACCATGGCAAGACTTAATGGGATAAATATGTAGACTTTCTACAGTAGGAGTATTTATAGAAGGCATGTAAGAACGAGAAGTGAAAAAATGAAAAAAAAAGGGTATTTGTAAGCAATGGGAGGACAAAAAGACAAGAATTCATCGTCACAGATTGTCCTACGCATATAAAGCAAATATTTATTATTCATTTTCCCATGGAGCAGTGATTAGATATGGATCAAGCAGTGGCAGACATAGGCTCTTGTTTATACTCTTGCGGAATACGCTCAAGTACCTCGATCTTGTCACCGACACGAATTCTACCTGATGTCAAGGGAACAACATCACAACAGAACCGGCCTTCTCCAGGCTGCTCAGCAAATTGACGTTTGATTCTGAGATAATCAGTAGGACCTTTACCATCCCAATCGTCCTTTACGCCAGTATCTTGATTGATACCAGGAACGGTACATCGAGCAATGGGTTGCATAATATATAAAGTAACTTCTCCAATCCTATTTATCCATATCAGTTTTTTGACTTTTATATAGACTCTATATGTATTTTTACTTTGCTACGAGCCATTGATCTTCCTCCCATGGAATTGTACCCGAAATGGTAATGTTGTTGCGAAATCGATCTAGGGGGATGTGATTTCCTTTGCTGATACCTGTTTCTACAAGGCCCTTGTTAAGCTCTTGTAGACTGGAAGTAAATCCAAATGAGATGGGTGACCAGTCGGAAAAAGCTGTATGAATACCTTTCAATTGTTCGTGGGCTTGTCTGCTGTACACACCATTTTTAGGATCATCTAGTGTAACCAATCGAACAGGGCTGACGGGGTCGGTCTCTTTAATAGGGTCATCAACGTTATGATTATTTTGACAATCATGTTGGCGATGGTTAGTTAAGAACTGAGTAAGCCATTCAGCAGCTTTGTCGCCCACATCATAAACGGTGAGAGTTTTTCTCCATAGGATCACGTCTCGCTTTGTCAGTTTGGTTAAATCTTGTGTGAGTGGCAAAGTAATAGGATCCTGTTCTTTTGCAGACAACGTGAGTGTATTGTCTGCTTCATTATATTCGGGACGAACAACAGCTAAAGAAGCAAACTTTCTAAGAAAACAACTCTCTTAATACACAATTGTTTGTGTTGAATATATATATATATATATATATACCTTTGAGTCACAAAACGATTGGTGTCAGCATAAACAATCATAAAACGACGGTCATGTCGGATACCCAAGTTGTCTATTTGACATTCTTGAACTTGTACGTTGTGACAAGATTTGATGGGATAGATTTGAATACTTTCTACAGTCGGAGTACTTATTGACGGCATGAAATCTTTTTTTAATATGAAGAAAAAAAAAGAAAAGGGTGGAGGCTTTAAAAGAGCGAGGAAAGAAGAGAAAAAGACAGAAAAAACTGTCACATATTACTTTAATTGCTGATAGAATGACGTGCCTCGGTCTCCTTTTAATCTGATAACTGAGTATTCTATACAATCACATATTACATAAATGGAATACAACCCTAAAATACTAAATTTGTGGTGTGATGAAAAAAAAAGGGCGGGACAAACAGTACGGACTGACACACAGATATTTCCGAGGTGTAGCTGCACTTGAATTAAACTAGCACCAGATTATAAGATGTTTTAATTTTTTTTTCTTTCTTTCTTCTTTATTCTCATTTTCTCTAATTTATTTTAGAATGGATACAGTATTGCATTACACAGATCAATACGTATTTGATTCGGTCTACGCTAAAATATGGCCTTCTTATACGGCAGTAAATAATGCTACTGGCGCAATTGTCTCTTCATGGCCTCGTGACGATTTCTGGCGAATTAACACTTCTGTGTTTGCCATCACCTGTATCTTTGGTTGGGCTCTTTACTTGATTACTGCTACTCTTTCCTATTATATTGTATTCGATCATGATTACATGAAGCATCCCAAATTCCTTAAAAATCAAGTTCGTATGGAAATTGAATGTGCTCTCAGTGCTATTCCTTGGATGACCCGTACGTTATTAATTGATCGATCTCCCAAATCTTTGTTATTAATTTCAACTGTTTATATTTAGTCCTCACACTTCCTTTGTTTACTGGTGAAGTCTTGGGTAAGTCCATGTTATATGGCGGCATGCCCCAAACTGTAGGTGATTGGGTGTACTTGGTGGCATCTGTGCCTGCATTCTTGTTATTTACTGATTGTGGCATTTACTGGTTCCATCGCTGGATGCATCATCCCAAAGTATACAAGTACCTTCACAAGGTAAAGCTTTATAAACTTCTAGTCAAAAGAGAATATCACCTTGCTAACTGTTTGATTTTTAAAAGCTTCACCACAAGTGGGTTATTCCTACCCCTTTTGCCTCTCATGCTTTCAACCCCTGTGACGGATTTATTCAATCTCTTCCCTACCATATTTACGCTTATATGGTTCCTATGCACAAGTACTTATACCTTGGCATGTTTTCCTTTGTCAACTTTTGGACTGTCATGATTCACGATGGTAATTAACTCGATCAAGAAAAAAAAAAGTGACATTTAACTAATATAAACAAACAAAACTTTTTTAGGTGAATTCATTTCTCATTCATCCATTATTAATACCAGTGCTCACCATTTCGTGCATCATGTTTACTTCAACTACAATTACGGTCAATATTTCACTTTATGGGACATTCTCGGTAATTCTCATCGTCAACCTAACAATGAACAATACGACAAAGAACTTCGTGATGATCATAAAACAATGGCACGTCAAGCTCATGATGTAAACAAGATTGAGGGTGCTCTTAATAAGACCAAGACACTTTAAACCTTTTTTATTTTTATATTATTATTACCTTACCTAATTTATAGGGTTACCTGGAGCTACCCTAAAATCAAATAATCATACTCCCCCACCTCTCGCATCTTCTTTACATATTACTTTTTTTATATACTCTGTCCCCTTTTAAAATAGATAAGCTTTTTTTTTTTTCATTTAATAAAACTTTAATGTCGAAAAAAAAAGAAAAAAAACGTTATGCATATTTGTCTGCCTACAATGCCTACAATGCCTACTTGTCTGCCTACAATGCCTACAGGGTTTTCTTGTGTTCAGGATAAGGTTACTCCGGCCGGCAGATTCAGGCTCCCGAACATAATTTTTAAAAAAAACTTTGGAAACCAGTTGCTAATCGACGATACAAAATATAACCATGAAACTAGTTTCCATGGTTACTCCGAGTGAGACAACAATAGTCAAGTACATGTTTTAAAACATGGAATATCAAACAGATCTCGGATAAATGTTTGTATTCATGTGTAACCATTCACGTGTGTGATTATAGAGAATGAATTCCCAAATATGGAACATCATAGGCATGTTTCACCAAAAATGTTTATTTTACGCACATTGGCTTACTCAATCATCTGGGCCTGACGATAAGTCTCGGGGTGCTGCGATCACTAATTTTTAATTTCATTATCCCTGCTTTTAAAGGCTATCCAGTAGTTATATGACTTAAAGTTTCTGGTCGTGTTTCTTCCCGATCGCTAAATATAAATCTGATTGACTGTTTTAATCGACAAGATATGCGCAAAATGCATACGGATATAAAAGCCGGCATAGTAATGTTAAGCTATACTAACAGATACTTGCTACAATTCACTACTAAGTGCTCTAAGAAAGTGCAATTTAAAATTAGGTGATACAAAAGCTTTGAATTTAAACATGAGCGATCGTATTTTTACCTATCATGGAGACTAAGCTCATTATCATAAATGACAATCAAACCAAGTCATCCTATTATGATAAATTAATTTAGTGCATTCTATATAAAAAATAGAACAAACTGTCACAAGATGGGCCCAAACCATATCCATTAACCAGATGACAAGTCTAAATACAGAGATGTTGTCAAACTATATTTTCTCCCTTTTTCTCTCGTATCCTAATACACCAAGTGTAATCCTTCAACAGACCCTATGAAAGGACTAGTACCTCACGATAAGGGGAGCAGAGAGCATGGCTTAAGTGAGTTGATTGTACATTATCTGATATAATAAAGGTTGACGCTCCTTTTTGTTTACCAGGAAAAGGACAGCAATATACAGGAGGTAAGTTTAGCGGCATATTTAGATTGAAAACACAACTCTGGATATTTACTCCATCCATTACATTAGGAGATATGCTTACAATTTTTTGGGCTAATAACAATCATATTAATCTATCTGATGACCCCCAAAATCAAATGATGAAAGCAAGGTTTAGCGAGGCGTATGGAAATTGCCAATTCAGCCTTAATAAAAGTTCTGAAAGAACGGTTTCCTTTCTCAAATATCGCGGTATCAAAGTTTGTCAAAATACCTACGCAGCAAAAGATCCTACGCAGCAAATAAGATCCAAAGCTTATTTATGTCAATAGTAGATATATAGCCACTTTGCTAAACGAAGAAAAAAAGGGATCGATTTCGATGCGCTCTGATTTGAATCAAGACAAACAGTTTTATGTTGAAGGTAGAATTGCATTGTATGCCATATGCCAATTGTATTACTGTAAAATTATGATATTCTAGACAAGCTCTAAGCCGATAGATATTTACCCAAATAGTAATCAAGATGATACATTGTCCTGCTTTTAAATACGGGAGCACAAAGATTCATACCTTAAAAAGTGTACGTATTATGCTCTTACAACTTTCAAAAGCCATTATCAATGAAACAAATTCAGGCAGACCATTCAAATGATCACTTTAAGTATCAGTCAAAAGGCATGAATCCGAAAAAAAAAAAACCAAAAAAAAAAAAAGCCCATAAGCTTGGAAAGACGCTTGATGATTTAATTCTTCAGCTTATGGCAGAAGAAACCAATACGATACATTCCAAAGAATAGGAGAAATTCTCAAACAAGAACGGAAAACATAATAAGAGTATGGACGACTTTCGCTCATCACTGTCATCAAAACAGATACCAGCAGTTGTGATCCCGATTGTCGAAGCAAAAATTGAAGCTATGCTTAGGAGAAATGAGGTAAAACGCATGTCAGCAGAAGACATACCCTCGTCTGGTATGTGACTACATAATAAAGTCCGAGCACTAAAAAATCAAGGAAAGCTGTCGATTGAACATCTGATAAATAACTACATGGATATATTGAAACATGATTATAAGGAACAACCAGCTGTTGGCAATAAACCAGAGCCCATAAGCGATGAAGATGAAGCTATGTCCAATGAACTTACTGATTTTACCAGACCTGAAGACATAGTCAAAACGGTGGGAAAACACTTAAAAAAGAATAGAGTCATTAGAAAAACCCGTTTAAACACTTACCACAAGAAGCACTATTCTAACACAAGAAAAGATATGTTTTCTTATTGTAGTTGGAAGCGAGGTTCAATTATTTCCTTTGTCGGTAACTGGTCTGGAAAAGGAACATATATTCGTGCAGGGCATACACGGCGAAGCATAAAACCGATTCTGAATCGATTCGATTCTGTCGCTGATGGTCATGTCGCTGCAGTAGATGGGTTTAAGTTGACTACCATTTGTAGCTCATGTTTTGACGTCACCACAAAACAAGTCGTGAAAGTTGGAGAAAATAGACTGAAAAGAATTAAAGATGCTGTTACATGCACCAATCACAACTGCCCAAGAAGACTGTACCCAACAAGACGTACGACAGTAAATCGAGACATGAATGGTGCAAGCAACATCGCACTCATTGGCTTTCTTGTGTGGTCCCAAAAAACTCTTTACCACTTCCACCTTTTTGAAGAGGTCCTTATAACGCAAACAAGTAAATGTAGTCTTTCTTAAAGAGCGGTAAATTTTAATCGAAAATAACCTATGACAGGTATAGTTTGTCACACCATTATCAATGCGCCAGTTTGGCAACATTAGAATCCTCGGTTGCTTCGCAGACTTAATATCGTGAATGTCCCCCCAGACATGTTATCCACATCTATATATGCTAATCATGTGCCTACATAACCTTTTTGATTTTTTTAACCATATGACAAATCAATTAGGTAATACAAAGGGGGCGTATTTTGATGCAAAATTAACTCATGTTCAGATAAGCATTATTTTTTAATATGATAAAAACATAATCAGTTGCACAGTATAAAACGTCACGATGCATTTTACATGCTGTAGTTGTTTTATTGGGGAGGTGTGATTGAAATATAAACAAAATTCTTGTTCAAAGATGGGCGTAACATACCTCTTTATGAAAACTGGATGATTATTATACAGAACCTGCATAATCGTTAGGGAGCGGGTGTAAAATTCTTTGTAATATGACCGGCTAAAATCGAAAACTAAATTCGGGTGCTACACATTTATGTTCCAACAGAAGGGAATCAGTATACAAACAAAATGTTGACAATTGGGGTTTTAGTGACAATAGTTTTTTTTTTCTCTTTTTTTTTTGGTATCTTGTTCTTATAAACAATTCATTTAGTCCCATTTAGCGTGGCGTACTTATATCTATGCGCTTTGATGGGCCATATTTTTTTATTTAATTTAGTAAATATTTTAAGTTCGGGAATAACAACAATTGAGAATAAACCATGCAGGTCGTATATCTTTTTTTTTTTTTCATCAACTCTATTGAATCTAGACCGATTAAATTATGACTGGGGAAAGTAGTTTCGATTGGCAAAAAATAATCTATATAGCAGCTTGAAAGAAGTAAATACTGGTAACAAAGAACCCTGTTTGATTATATGAAACCACCCATATAAATGTGGCAGGATGTGAACGCGTACTCTTTTTTTTTAACAAAAAATTGTTAAATTAAAAGCAATCATTTCCCGTCATTGCACCAAAATTTTATGATGCAGCAGCATGTAGTGATTTAGTGATAAAAATATCAAAGGTATACACGTATAATCATTTTACAAACTTATGCCTTGGAATGAAGCAGTGAAATACTCTCATTGGTTTATCGAATTAAAGTGTAATCTACATTGTTTAGTAAATTACAGTGATCAAGCAACGACACGAGCACACTTTTAGCAAACTATAGCAAATTATAGTGAGTTCTGGGGAGTTTTAGCGAGTAGAGACATAGTTGGGTTAAATAAAATGAAGAAAATTAAAATTAAAAAAAAAAATTAATTATTTAAACAAAAAAATATAACCACAAGTTGTGTCCGGTACAGTTTTTGTTGCGGTATTAAGAAAAAAAAAAAGATAGTTTTCCTCGTCAAGTCTTCGGACCTCTGACACTTATTAAAATTGGAACGATACAGAGAAGATTAGCATGGCCCCTGCACAAGGATGACACTAAATCTCTGAGAAGGAAGCTCTACGGAGCACATTTTTTTTGAGGTTTTTTGGGGGTGGGGCTGATTATCTTCGGCAATGTTTTATTCCTTTGTGATGGGGAAAACTCGGGTTAAATATGAACTTTCAGCGGAAAATCCAAAAAGATTAAGCGATTTTTAAGCTTTTTTAATAATTTTTTATTTATTTATTTAGACCTCATGGGTTCTCTCCACAAGACAAGCTAAAAAAAAAGTATGACAGCAGTAGTGGTAGGAATGGTACACAAAAGCAAAGAAAAAAAGAGTCTTAATTACTGCTATAATAAATTGAAAAAGCGCATTATCGTAAATCAAGAAATATGGCAGCATGAGGTCATATACACCATTCCCCGCCGATGCGATCCCCCGCGCGTCCCCACCCCCCTGGGACCTTTTTTATTTATTATCAAGATCACACAAGATCATTAATAATAAACTTACAAATCAATCTATAAAGATGTCACAGCTCAGCTATAAAAAATTATAAAAATATAAAAAAAAAAAAAAAAAAAAAATAACGGTTAAATTAAAAGCACTACCAAAGTTTCCTCTTTTGATCCCGGGCAGGGGTAAAATAATTAAACGTGCAAACAGAGTATATTATATGACAAAAAAAAAGATGTGAAAAAGAAGAAGAGAGTGATACAGGGGGATGGATTACCCACGTTTCAACTGTCTACAGAGACGTTTTGCAGATCGAAAAAAAAAGAAAAAAGTGGTGATATATCGGACAGTGTATGTGATTGTGCATTATTATTATTTTAGTGTGGCTAAAATAATTCCGGGCCACATTGGGGGTGTTCGGAAGGTCGGGGTGGTTATTAACCTAGCCAATGATGTATCAGTGACGAAACCTCCCCTTCATGGAACATATTCTCGATCTGGTCCTTGCCAAGAAAGTGTTAAGTCTCAAAAAACTACAGAAATTCATTCTTTAAAGCACCGCTCTCATAAAAATAGATGGATGCGAAGGAAAGCGCAGAGATTCTACTCACAAGAGTGTTTGTGTTTATGTGTGTTTCTATTTGATCGTGTACAGATCAAAAAGGGCCCAACAATTGATGTTCCGATTTCCTTATCCATGATATAATATGGAAGATGTTTAGCCGTAGTCGTTTTTCTCTCTAGTCGGCGCCGGCTTCATCTTACACCGGGCGCCCCACTTTTCCGTAATGACTTTTTTTTTTCTTTTTTGATCTCTTATATAAACCCAACCTATTTATTTTACTTCTTTTTATTATTATTACTTTTTTTGCATACATCTCTTCTTTTCACACATACACACAATCATTTAACATAAAATAAAATGTACAAAACCGTAACCCCCGTAACACCGCCCTATGAATACAGCAAAAGCTATTCCGATATATACGAAGATTACATGTTTCGACGAGTGTCTAGTATGCCATCACCTGCCGAGATAGATTCAGAAGAAGAGACTGCAAGTGATACATCCAGCGCCAGCATCAGCATCATCAGCAGCAGCAGCATAAAAAGCAACCATAATAATCATAGTAGTCCAATTATCATGCAAAAGAGTCGAAAATCCGTACCTCATCGATCACCATCGAACATGGTGGATCAAAAAAGCGTGGTGTTCCAAATCGAACAAGATTTCCCCAAAATCGTTGCGGGTGGTCATGGTGGTGTACTCTGGTCGCTACGACAACGTGTTTCCATGGCAAGAAGAAAGGACAAAAATAGACTTTCGGCACCTCTCCCAAATCGTCGCGTGAGAGCTATGCGAATTCAGATACCCAGACCACAATGGTCCAACCCTATTTATGATGATCTTGTCTCACCTACACCACAATCACAATCACCATTGGCAGCACCAGAGTCACCTCAATCACTGCCTGTAAAAATCATTCCAGTCATCATTCCTCTTACTCAGGAAAAAGAAGTATCGGTAACAAAACCCCAAAAGGTGAGAAAGAATAGCCATGCTACTTCTGGTCGTCCTTCTCGTGTCAAAGGTCCTTGTCAAGCATGCCATGAGACCTCGGATGGTTGTATGCGTAAGGCCTTCCACTGGCCATTTCCTACTAGTACCATCTTCAACGACAAAGGAAAGCCCTTTGTTTATCTCTGTAACAAATGTGGTCTCAGGTAAAATAAAAAAATGTAAACATAAATATATATAAAAAAACTAAACAATCATTTATAAAAATAGATATAACAAAAGTGGTGGATGTGTTTGCCGTCATTGTCGCTGGGTACTTTGTAAAGAAGAAAAGCGCAAGGCGATGCAGCTGATAGATCAAATGCGTCGCAGTCGTCCTGATGGAAGAATTGATCCAGATGAAGATATCCAAAACTTTTCTTGCTCGCCTAAATATTGGTCCTGCGGACGTCCCTGGAAAGTTGGATGGGTTTTACATAGTCAACATGATGATGAAGATGAAGATATGTTGTCTCCTTCTCTTAGTGAAGCCACTCTTTAAAAAAAATCAATCACAATAACTACCCATGTTCTATGCCCTTTTTGTTTATATGATCCCCCAACCCAACCCACTCCACCATATGTAAAGTTTTGTTTCTTTTCTTTTTTTTAGTGTATATATTCCCCCCCTTCTTTTTATGATTTCATCAATAAAAATCAATCACCCGTCTTAACTGTATCATCTATTTATTTATTATTTTCGGTAAAACAAAGGAGCCATCCGCCTAATATCTTCCACGTGGCGGAAAATAAATTGCCAAGATTCGCTACATAAAAAATAATATCGCTCAGCATTCTCCCATCTCATATGTTGACGCCACCTTTTTGTACACGCGGGTAAAACATGTAAATTGGCTGCGGAAAAATAAATGACCGATTCTGATTTAGTAAGGAATTGGTGGCATGTTCTTGTAAATCTCTGGGTGATATACACGCACACCTGCTTTCTGGGCAAATTTTTTACCCACACATTTTATGTACACTTCCACTCGACCCTTTATTTCGCTTATGCTGAATTCTTCAGCCCCCATTCGGTACTCAACATCCCCTTTAATTCTGACACACAATCCAAGGGGATACATCTTTTCCGAAATGATCCAACTGCAATGTCCAGGCCCTTCCAAAATAGCCTTGTAAGAATTCCGACCAGAGAAAAAGTTTTCATACTTGCATTGCGCAGTACACACCGTCAGGGTAGGCGGACAACCATTCTTTTCAGCATACTCCACTGCTTTACCAACACAAAGCGGCACCTGTTGTCTCAATTCGTCCAACACACACCCTTTTAAATCAATATTTGTGATATAACTCACATCCAGACCTGTCTCGGTTTTTTGAATACGCCAGCCTGACACTAGCAAATCTGCTCGTACAGAGTCCTGCATGGGGATACGAGGGTCCTCCACTGAGTTCATGGCGATATAGCATACATCTTTCTTTATCTCTCGAACACAGACACAAGACAAGCGACGACTCGGTACGGTATTCAGATCCGCCACAAAGAGAGATTCGAATCGAGAGTGTTCATAGGGAAACACGTAACCATGAGCAATATATGGATCCCCTTGGAGTTCAACATTAGAAAAATAGGCATCAAATGTATAGTAGACTTACAATGAGTTCTGGTACCCAGAAATGTAACAACAATAGCCATCTGTTCTGGTGTAAACGCATGACCCTCCAGCTTTGCATCACCACGAACAAAAAGCACTGAATCCGTTGTATTATCATACAATTTTACCTTGTCTTTTTCTTGAACAAAGTTCCAGTTATCCAAATCAGTAAGTTTCTTTAAAAGATCCATTAATTTTTATTATAATTAATTAATGTAAGAAGGTTTACAAAAAGGAAAGATATTTATTTATTTATATGAAAAAGAAAATTAAGCTTTAGTGATGGTAACAGTAACGGGACCGTTAATTTCAGTGAGCACAAGACGATCTTCAGAAAGTTCATGCTTAGCCTCACCAGTGATGGCTACCTTTGTACCTGAAGGATACATCTTTTTGGAGATCAACCAACTACACTCACCGGTACCATCCAAGGAAGCGGTATATGCCTTTTTGGCGTGTTCAAAGTTCTCAGACTTGAATGTAGCAGTACAAGTAGCAGTAGTGGGAGGATAACCATAAGTTTGGGCGTACTTGACGACAGAGCCAGCACAAAGAGGGACTTGTTGTTGTACACTCTTTAAGAAGGCAGTAGGAATGGAACCAGCCAAGTCAATTTGGGTAATATAAGTCAAGTTAATACCCGTGTCTGTCTTGAGCACCTTCCAGCCCGAGATAATTAAATTAGCACGCACACAACCTGATACAGGAGGGATAGCTTCATCCTCAACAGAGTTCATGACAACGTAGCACTCATCTTCAGAGATTTCACGCAAAGAAGTGGAGCACATATCACGAGGACTGATGGGCCAAGGGGTCTTGACTTTAGCCCAGAACAAGGACTCGAGTCTTGAGTACATTTGCTTGATATCAGAAGAATCAAACTTCTCATCCCAAATCTTACGAGCACCTGGCAAAGTAGCGACGGAGGCAATTTGTTGAGGTGTGAATTCATGACCTACAATGCTGGTATCACCACGCACAATAGCAACAGGGCTAGAATCCACGGTCTTGTTGTAAAGCTTAACACCGTCCTTTTCTTGTGTGAAATTCCAGCCGTCTAAGTTGCTGGATAAGCTCTTTAAAAGGGCCAAGGCGTTCTTTGAGGTTTCAGCGTGAGGGTTAGTGACAGTCATGATTTTATTTGAGTGTAGAGAAATGAATGAAGAAGAAGTAAGAAAGGTTGAAAACTACAAGTGTTATTTATACACGAAATTCCAATGTAACAAAAGTGCGGGGTTGGTGATACAACACAGCGGGTTTAATTTTGTGTTCTTTCATGTGAAAATACAATTGTTCAAGACAACAACCATTAGTATCTTTACTTTCTAGTCTGTGTGTTGATATATTTCATAAAAGAAGAGAAATAAAAGTGAACAAGAGCAAACATAGAGATCAATTTATAAACAATCTCTAATTTAAACACAATAAACATGACACAAAACCTGGGGGAGTAAAGAGATATTGGGAAATCACGTTGGGCAACATAAAGTGACAGCAAATACGTGGGAGTTTTAGTCCAATGTAATGAAAGCAGCGTTCTTTATCACATGTCAACTAGAGAACCTTTTGTTGTTGTACCATGTACTTTTTATTTATTTAATCATTATAAAGAGTATTATTATTGTGTGTGTGTGGGAGATAAATAATATATGTATATATATATAAAAAAAAGTTAAATAATTTGTGGTTCTTCACACATGATGATGGAGTTTTTGACCATGGTTGTAGGGGTAGCAGGGGGAGATCCAAAAGCATTCCATATCCTTGAATACATGCTAGAGCGTTTACTGTTATAATTGCTACTGTTTAAAGAAGTCAACGAGGTAGTAGAAGAAGCATAACTTTCGGTAGACTCTCTTCTCTCACGTGAGAGAGTAGGTGTTGTCGTTCTATTTGCTAGCATGGATAAGGATGCAGTAGAGCTACGTTTATTGGATGCAGTTCGACGTGGTTGTTGCAGAGAGCCTCGAGGGGTACTTGAACATTCAAATTCAGCTAATCTCACCTTACTTTCAGCTAAATATTTCTCAAGCTCACGACAACGTAATTCGCTTTCAACGTATTTGGTCTTGTATTCATCTTCTTGCTCTTGATGACGTCGGTCGGCCTTTTGCTGACCAAATAAGATGGTATGTGCAGCAAACACTTCTTCTGAGAAGGTGCCACGAGGCATAAAGAACGCTTGCTTTTCTTGTTGAAGATCTACCAGACTAAACTCGAGTCGTTCTACTTGTTTGGCTAGATTTAATTTTTCAAGCTGTAGTTCAGCACATGTCTTTTTAGACACCATGGCCATGGAGAGTACTTGCTCTTGGTCTGCATAGATTTGGTCTCGTTCGGTCACCACATCTTCTAATTCTGATTCTAAATACACGACTTTTTGACAAAGAGCGGTTTGGGCCTCTTGCATGCTATTCACTTGACTGGTCAGCGCTTGACAGTGAGCCATTAGACTTTCGTACTGTTGACATGTATTGAAATGGTCTAGTTTAACGGCTACTAATTCTGAAGTGACGTTTTGTAAAGCAGCATCCAATTTCTCTTGTTGATCTGTGACTTGTTCGGATGATACTGGTTCTTCTTGATGCACAACAGGAACCAAAGCACCAGCGATTAGAGCACCAAAATCACCTGAGTCACGCAAGGAAGCAACAAAGTGGTTAAACTGATCTTCACGTCGAGTTTTGGGCACGCCCACATAAGGATTTGTCTTGACCTCCGCCACAGAGTTAGCCAACTTAATCTTGTACTTTTTAACTTTTTTTTCAAGTGCAGCAGTACGTTTCAATAGTTTCAATTGAGCAGCATCTTGATCTAATTCTTGCATTCTTAAATTCATGTTCTCTCTTGTTAAGGTTGCATTTTCCTTTTCGAGCCGACTAAGTAAATCCTGCAGCTTGTTTTCCGCATTGATTTGCGAGATATTGATGGCCAGGACGTCATACCATTGAATATCTTTAAACTGGACATTGGACAGAAAATCAAGTATGTCTCCTGTTTGGGTCAGAGATAAGAGATGAGCTTGATGGGTTTGTAGAATCCAGATTGAGGTACGGAGCATAGTTTGAACCGCTCCCTGTAACCAGACCAAGTCGTACAAGCGCACAGCATGCGGCATATTGAATAATGTAAGGAACCACTGTGATGCATACATGGATGGTTGGATAGACAGTTTGGAAAAATGTGATTCCAAATGTGCACATGTACATGTAAATAGCGATTTAAACTGCTGTAATAATAATGGAAGTCCATCCAGGTATAATTGTCGCATATCATATGTCTCCATCAATCTAGTTTTGTTTGTTAGTTATGTAGAGAGTTGGGTTTATAAAAGTGATGGCTACCTGACAAACATGCTAAAGACTTGATTTTCTGGCATCTGTCAGATTTTTTCAGATTAGTTAAAATGTATTATAACTAATATTAATGAGATGTTGCTTACTCCAATAGCCAAGAGGGGTGTAACTACGCTAGCGAGACTAGATTGATAGCCCACCTCAGGATCATATGCGCTATATGCTTTCAATATACGGGCTAATAATGGATTTGATCCATGATTTTTATCGATGATTGCATCGAATGAACCAGATTGCAAGCTAGAGAAGGATTCCTGTACTTTGAGACTAGGCTGACATAATGCTTTCCAAATCACGGAGCGATCTGCTTGTGTGATTTCCATGTCTATCAAACAAAGTCTTGCTTTTACACTAAGTGGATCTTCCATTAAGGCTTGCCATGATGGATTATCCGTTGTCTGTTCTGATTCTAAAGATAGTTTCTGAATCACATTTGAAATCAACTGTTCTTGTTCCTGGACAGAATAAGACTTCTAGAAAATAAAAGAGAACGGTTAAGTTATGTAAGGGGGTTATTTAGGGAAAAAAAAAAAGACTTACTTCTGTGCAAAGCTTAAGAGAAGCAGGGATGTTTCGTCTTTCAGAAAGTCCGAGAGAGGTGGATTTCTCTGGCAAGATGGTGAGTGTTGGTTGGATGATCTCTACTGATTTAGAGGCTCGCATAGATAGTACAGTCGTAGTCATTTTTAATGTAAAAAATCAAAAAAAAAAGAAAAAAAAAAAAAAAAAAAAAAAAAAAAAAAAAAAACGAGAGAAAAAGAAGGGAGAAATCAAAGGTCGTTATATAGTTGTTTGAGCGGGTAAACAGTCAGATGATCGAAATAGGGATGCACTCCTAGAGATAAGTCTAATGTAGAAAGGGGTTGTAGACAAGATCAGCAACCTTCTTTGTTGTATAAATAGTATCCCTATTACTACTTGTACGAATTATATTGTTATTTAGTTTGATGGCACGGACAAATAAAAGAATCACTCGTATATCTTTTTTATATATACATGACAGATTTGTTTACCATCTTTGTTTCTTTATTATTGCATACAAAAAAAAAAAAAAAAAAAAGTAAAAAAAAAAAAAAAAAAAAAAAAAAAAAAAAAAAAAATCAAAAAAACAAAGTTTAGTCTGTCTTTCTAGCACGAACTATTTATAAGGGGAGGTTAATACAAACAAAAGATGACAATTATCACGCTTACCATCATTACGAATAGGAATCTTTAAGCCTTGCTTAGCAAATGCTTTTGATAACTCAGTGGATTCTGTTACAAAGTATTAGCTTTTATATTCCTCTTATACGCAACCTTTTATATTTTACCTGTCATTCCAGGAAACTAAAATAAACAGAAGGTTAATATTAAGTAGTTTAAATACAAACAACAAGAAGTAATTTACCTTTTTAGCTGAATAAACCGTAAATGGATCAGAAAATACTTGAGCAACGATTTTAGACTTTGCATTCTCTTGAAAATCAGAGCTAAGCGATTGATTAAGGTTAGTAAGCTAGGATAAGACTGTTCTATGCTTAAATACTTACTTTGCTAATTTCATGAGACTAAATCGAAGCGTATAACGGCCTTCGGTTCGAATACTTAAGTCTGGAAAAGCAAAATAGAGGCCTTGTTCACCTTCCGGGTTCTTTAACAGACTAGGTGAGCTAACAAGTGAACCCATCAAGACTCGAGTGCACTTTGGTGGATTGGAGATAATGTTGCGTTCCTCAGCACGATCATCAGACCACAAGGTGACATGAAGTACAAAGAAGGGAATTTGAAGCATTCTAGTTCTAATTCAGCATTCTTTCTTTGTAATAGTACAATGTAGTCGTACTTACTGTACATCCACTGGACTATCCTGACCCTGTTGCTTTACAATTAATTGAACAATAGGTGGTGGGTCAATGGGTCTTCTATCCTTCTCTCCAAATCCACACATGCGTGCATGAAGCGGTTGTTGGCATACAACGAGTTCGTATGTGCTTTTTTTTTTTTTTTTTTTAATATTTTTAGCTTTGTTATCGTAAATTCTTTTTTTATGAACGTATATTAAATTTACCGCTTTTCACGCTCATCTAAACCAATGGATCTATAAGTAGGGTTTGTGTACTCTTCATTCAGGCTATTGTCAGCAAATTGTTGAAATCTAGGTTCCGTTTGCGGATAAGGGTAATGAGTTGTATTGCTATAATTCGGCTGGTCTCTATTCATGGCGTTTATAAAGAAAAAAAAAAAAAAGGAAAGAGGGAAGGGGAAAAAGAAAGTGCCGAAAGGAAAATAAGGGAGTCTCAAAAAGTTTCTATTTTTATAAATGTTTTTATTCAGGCTTTCCAATTAAACCTCTACCCCAATTTTGAATCACTCTGGAACATTGTTGTCTAATATGATCTGATTTTGCAGTGTTCCATAAACCCATCGCATCTAATTGTCTGCCTTGATAAACGCACTGTTCCCAATAGAATTTGGCGTACAATCTTTTTTCAATCACCGTCTATTTTGAGTAAGAAAGTTTAGTACATTTGAACAATCCGTTATTGTATGGATTCGCACTTACATCAAGGTCGGAAATAGCGGCATTGGCTGTAGTGGGTTTATAAATGACAAAATCACTAGGCAAGACGTAAAAGTCATTACCAGCCAAATAGCTTGATAAGAGACAAGCAGATCGTTTGTCGACAAAGCGTTCAGAACACCACGGTTGAACAGTTTTGCTCTGAATCACAATTGGCTCATAATCCATAGTGTAACCTGTGACTTTGTAGAGTGCATCCGACGCCTTCCAGGTTTCAAAATCGGTAGGTCCCTTATTCGATTCAAAATGGGCATCGTGCAATACCAAACTCTTTTCACCTTGAACAAGACCCACTAACTCCTTCTTGGTGACAGGGATTTCTTGTCCACTGGTGTGTTTGAATGTGGGAATCACAAGCATGTCTCCCTTCTTCATTAGTGCGGCGTATTTTGTTTGATGCTTTAACAGTGTTTGGCGTAAATCTGTGACCAAAATCGTATTCAAAGGCATATCACACACATGCTGACTTCTTGCATATATACGGGCTAAATTACGTTCGACATTTAATGGGACCAAAACTGAGACAGACTGTTTAATACCAGTTGGTGTCTCAATCAAGTGAAGATCGACGTTTTTGAATAAGCTAGGATTGGATTGATACTCAGCTTGAATCGTCGCCTTGATACTGGCATCTTTAGCCACATGCAACGTAGCAGAAATAGGACCTATCATTTTTTTTTAGAAGGGTTGCTTAGAAATAATAAAGATTCGCTTCACTCAACTTACCGTCCCAACTCTTTGCCAAAAATACTAGGTCCTTCCAAGTCTCAGGGGTTGTGGTGGTGATGATGGTTGTATCGAGTTCATCCGGAATCACTGAAGCCTTTTGCCAAAATGGTTGAACATATTGAAGTGCGTCATAGTGACCTTTCGAAAATAATTTAGACATCTTTAAGCCGTGTGACATGTCACTGACTAGCGAATAAGGCTCCACTAATATATTAAAAATCATTAGATCGTGACTCTTTTGATGGGACTCATATAGACTTACAGGCATCATAAGTACGTTGATAGGTCCAGGCATCCTTTGTACTAAATAACCAGGAGGAGATATGTGTGCCCGTAAACAGAACAGAGAACAAGATATAAACCACCACAAGCAACCTAAACGGACGAGACTTTAAAATCCGGTTCTTTTGTTGTTGTTGTTGTTGTTGTTGAGGTAATAAAGGTTGTTGTAAAATATAGTGATCAATCCAACCATTCATTCGATTCAAGTACGAGGACTTTTCATCTCGTGCTAATTTACCAGATGCCTCCATTGACAATAAAAAGAAACTAAAGAGATAAAATAAAAAAAGCCCTTGTTGCAAGCTAATTAAAAAAAAAATTATATAAATATAAAAAAAGGGGCGAGTCTGAAAAAGGGGGTGAATATTGAAATCCAGCCACAAATACAGAACATTTAGGTCATTTCCTCTCCCGTTCATTAATGTCGATGATCTTTTTCTTTTTTCATCGCCTTAACGATAAAAGTCAATTCATTGTGTGTGTATCTGGCTAATAAAAATTTTGAATAAAAGTAGAGTGATAAGACACCTGTCTTGATAGAAGCACAGTCAAATTTTAGCTTTTTCTTTGTCTCGATCACCACCTGCAAAGTATTTGTATCTGCAATCCCATCTTGCATTTAAGAAGTGTTAAGCTGATTAGCTTAAAATAAAACAATTTTATTAATATGAGAGTGTCTTCCTTGATAATTATGCTGCCACACCTCACTGTGATCTCGATGGATTGTATCACCCATGGTTACACCCTCACAAAGGTTGCTTAGGAACGGTTGCTAAGGATGGTTACTATGCGCTACTCCTGCCAGAAGGAGACCTTGAATACTCGTGTAGTCATGTAATAGCGGCATGAAATGGTACATTATTTACAAAGAAAGTTTTAATCGAGAAAAAGTTAGCAGTAATACAATTGACAGATTGCATGTGCGATATTCTTTTGTGAGTGCGGATAAATATTAAAAAAACTTAGTCTTGTATCACAGGCCAAATTACGTAATGCCTCAAGAAATTTCCCGCCTCAGTGCAATCCGTCTTTTCTTTTTCTTTCATGTCGTATCCACCACAACCACCGCAGCAAGCGATTTACGCACCTCCACCTGATACCTTGTACGGAGAACAACCTACACAAGCGTACTACCCACCACAGTAATTGTCATTTACATATACACGACTATGAGAAAAGATGATTCAATTATTATTATTATTTTGTGTAGGCCACCTCCAAGGGTAGGACATACTCAGGCCCAAGAAAAAGAAGATTCAGGATGCTGTTGTACATGGTAAAAGAAAAAAAAAACGGAGGAAACCAAAAAATACAAAACTAACCTTATCAACTAAGCTTATCGAGTTTGTTTTGCTGCTGTTTATTGGAAGAGCTTTTGTAGACTTTTTTAAATTTTCAGTGTGACTTGACATGTGACACAAGAAATTAAAAAATAGAAATAACAAAAAATAAAAGTGTTTCTTTTTCTTTTCTTTCCATTTGATAATAAATACAACAATGGCTATTTCACGACACATGAAGCTGAAAAGCTGGGCGGGATTGTTTTTGATGATGCTCGTATTTCTATTTACGATCCACTCAACGATACCAAAGCACACAATTCAATTAGAAGCGGAGAAACAGATAAGTTTTAACAGACTGTCCACAACTCATCAACAAGTGCTGAATTCAGCATTAGCACACATTCGACTAGGCTATGTGGCTAACAAGACACCACACTATTCGACACCACCTTTGCTGGTACTCTATAGTTTTCATCATCAACAAGACATGACAAAGAATCTAGATGACCGACTTCTAGATATTACCAGTGCTTATTTCTTCTCCATGTTACAACCTGGATCAGCATTTGCCTACGACATGGACTGGCCTGTAAAGTTCGAATGGTTCTTTTCGTCCCTACCAGAATATATGAGCATGAATACAGACCAAGCTAATTTTTACAAGGAACGCACACAGGCTCACGAAATAATGCACCACTTAGAACGCATGACGGAAGAAGAACTTTCAAATAAAAATTTTGCAGAGGAATATAAAAATACCAAGATTATCAGCACAAGTGATTGGCCATCTACTGGTTGGATGAGCCTTCGAGAAAATGGTTATATGAAGGCTACACGAGATCAATACCGCTTAAACCATCTCTCCCAAAAATCCGATTGGTTCTGGTTAACCAGTCGTTTGTTATTCTCAAGACCTACAGGGTGGTTTTCACAGCAATTGGAGCCTTATAGAGATATGATGGGAGGTAAATTAGAATACAGTGAGAATCTCTCACCATGGAATCCAGAATCCTATAAAGTCACACCAGAGTTTGCAGCCAAACAATGGTTACGTATCGGGCTTCGTGTGACATTAGAGAGTCAATGTTTAGTCAACCATGTGGTGAATTTGTGCAAGCAAACGAATAAGAAATGTCACGTCTTTGTGTCGGCCTCTCATCGAGACCTGCTTAAGACGGCACGCAACCAAATGAAATCTCATCGTATTGCTGTTCATGCTGTGGCTGAAGGTTTTGGATTTGCCGACCTGAATGAGGAACCTGAAAATAATTTGGATCACAGCATATTTGATACGGACGAAAACAGGCTGAAAAGAGACTATGCTCGTACCTTTATGGATTGGATCATTCTGTCGAGGATGGACTATTTAGTGGGCCAAGAAGAAGACGGATTCTTGAAAACAGCTGCTTGGGCTGCTCAAGTTCAAACTGATATCCTTATTAAAAATATGACCGAGTGTCATATTATACCAATGTCTGACTGGTAAAATAAATAGAGTATAATTTTTTTATTTTTTATTATTATTGCGATTATTATTATTATTATTATTATTATTATTATTATTATTGTTATAGAGAATAAGGGGGGAAAATGCAAATGCTTGAAATTTTATAATACAAATGAGCGAGTTGAAGAGGGGGTGACTATTATGCTGTTGTAGCCTCTAAAAAAAATTGGTCCAGTCGACTATAACGAGATTGACATCGGCGAAGACCGGAGTTATTCTCAACGAGCATATCTGATAAGAGGGAAACTGGCTTTGATAATGCATTAGTTGTGATTTTTGTAAATGTCAAGGAGACTTCTTCCATTGGCTCCTCCTCCTCTTCTTCCTCTTCTTCTGATTCAGACTCTTCTTGATCAACCGTAATAAAGAACTTTTGGCTTGGTCTTTTGAAACTCTTCTTTTGATGAGACCATTGAGAGAGGTCAGGTAATGATTTGGTGCGGTGTAAGCTCTTTTCTCTGCTACTAAAGTCTAATTCGCAGGTCTTGGGTTCAGCCTTCTTTTGTAACACACTCTGACGATACCACAATCGCCATGATAGGTTTTCTAATCGGAACCCGTCTCTAATATTATTTTTACACTTGGTAAAAACTATTCTGAACAGGTTAATTCCTTGCACAACTTTTCCTTTTTATATTTTAGGTTATTTACCACCCCATAGACAGGATAACTGGTCAAGATTATTCCAAGGCACTGACTTGTAAGGTGATTCGGATAAGGTTGTTTGGATCAACATGGGTAAGTGCATATCGCTCAGTAACGTGGTCATCTAGGGCTAAGTTTTCTTTTATTAAATATGATGATGAAAAGAAAAAAGAAAAAAAAGAGAGATAGGCACATTTATATACGCAAGTTCCCCACAAGAAAGCCACAACCCATATACGGATGAACTAGACTAAAACTCCGCGCCCCATAAGTTGTTGGAAGGCAGCTCCCCATTCATATTTTTTTTTTTGTGCCGTTTCTGTAAAAGGTGATACGAACAGGTTTTGCCCCCAGGCTGTCATGTTAGCTCACATGATTTATGTAAAACAAAAAAGGCCCTTCTTTTTACATCTGGGGTCGGTCCATAATGTGGAACTTGTATTTATTCGGATACGCTTTTGGATAGTTTTATTTTAGCTTCCTGCAGCACAAACTTAAATTATTTTCTAAAAAAACAGAAGCCTTGACACACGGCTTTGTGTCAAGTTGTAATATCGACCCATCGCGTCAGCAGTAATTTTTATTTCAACTTTGCCATAATAACACACAAGTATTCATCTATATTCTTGAAGTTGTCGCAAACGAAAAAAAAAAAGCAAGTCTAGAAGGGCAGACACCATGTGGTATATCGCAGAAGTCATTACACATACATTGGAGAGCGAACAGACCTAGCATCTACCACCAAATAAAAGCTAACCAAATCATATCAAATGTATGTCTTTTGTAATGCCTTAATTTCTTGCTATATCATACTCGATCTATCAGTACGTCCCATATGAGAAAGTCTCACCACCATAACGTTTGTAACGTGAATCCTTAAAGTCACTCCCCCTTTTTATTGTTTACTTTCAGTTATCTGGTTAAAGTCAAAGGTAATCGTTCAGAAACCTTATAGTAAATAGTTACTTTTTTATGGTTTAAAATGTTGCTGTATTTTATCCTCATGAGCCTGATGTCGTTAATACCGTCATGATGTTTCTTTCTACATAACAGTTAACCGCTTTACATCAAATCTCTTTCGTTTAAGTGGTAATATTATGCAGAATCCACATGTTCTGAAGCCATGTCATCTTATATGCATTCGACCAACACATTACTGTCCATATAAACAAGCAATATTTCATCACTCAATGAAATTACTTGTATGGGTCACTTGTTTTAGCATGCCCTGACGTATAGGCTGTTGTTCGAGTCTTTGCAGAGTTGTTTGGATCGAGATGGTAATTTCAGAATATCACGGTTAAACTCTTGTCCGTCGGACATGACTGTAACCAATTTATTTAAGCGGTTTTTAATCCAATGGCTAAAGTTTTTTTTTTTCTTTTTTTTTTTTTTGAGAACATTTGAGGATAAAACTTGTTACATAGTTGTTCTACCTATAGCGTTCACTGTGCCATTGTTTGGACGGGACCATTATGTAGGGGCAACCCAGACATCAGCTTTTAACAAAAGAAGAACAGTGACAAGGAACTATGTTGTCGAAACTATAGCAAACAAATCTTAATACATGAATTGTTTGTCCAATAGATTATAATCACAAGTCCGCAGTCATTAAACGACATGCATACTTAAGCTTTTATTTGAAATAATAAGTTTGTGAATTGCATGAAAACCAAATTTCAAATCTGTAAAGACGATCTACATTGTTGCTTTTATTAGATAAAAAGGTATTTTTTTTTTTGCATTGATACTGATTATTCAAAACAGAAACAGTACCATGCATGAATTTTCTACATAGTTCAAGGCAAAATTTTCGGCACCAGCTGAGATGAAACTTGATCAATAATAGGTGATTGGGTAGGAATTTATCCAATGCAAATAGCAATTGCCCTTATTTTGACAAACACTTTCTGGTTGTGTGATATAGGTGTAGCATTATGTTAGAAACATTCTTCTTACTGGTACTATTGTCCACCTACACTTGCCACATTATTGAATGACCCATCATATTTAAGTCTTACCGTAAGACCAATGTAAAATAAAATTCTGCTTAATGGCAATATACGAGCCATAGTAATCATCATATTAACAAAGATTTTAACTGTATGTACTAACAAATGGCTAAATGCAAGGGGTAATAAGTTCCCAGTTTTCTTCTCGTTCATTCTTGTTTTTAATGCTTTATTGTCGTGATAACCTATCTTATATGTGTTCGTTTGATTGCTGTCTATTATCAAATTAATCCTTCCACAGACATATCACAATAAGTAATTGTTACAGGCACAACTTGTATCTTTTCTACCATTTTTCTTTTGTCTCACTTGTACTTTCTAATTTCTCAATAGGCTTAAAAAATTAGAACGTGCTGTTTGTTCCACACGTCAGAGTATAAAATTAAACTATATACAGGATATTTACAGGAAACGATGGAAGCCAGTAATTACTTTTCAACGAGAACCTCTATTATGAAGTATGTTTAAAATACAAGCGTAAGCATAATCGGGGTTACCATCTGTTCCGACCGAAATCGATCAGCAATTCAGTTGTATACCCAGCTTGTGTCAAAAGAATAACGATAAACGCGAATCTTGTCACTTAATAAATATGTAAATCAAAATCCGTATCACCTTCCATACACAAGAAAGAACAATAAATTTCTCAGACGAACTTGTATTCAACGATTTCGTCGAAGCGATTCATGTTTAGTGAAAACAACTACAGCAAATTATGTGAACGAGGTGCTTTTGTGTTTCAGACATGGTTCCTAATGTTGAACAAACTTTGATAAAACATAGTTCGCATCAAATTTGGAAACACCTATAATATCAGCCAAATAACAACTCTTAAAAAGCCTGTTTTACACAGAAATTAAGAATATGTTGTTGGATTCAAAGTCGATACCAGATTACTTGCTGATTGTAAAGACAGGGAATTCAATTTTGATGTACGGAGAGGGCTATCACGACATTTAGTAAAAATAAAATCAACAAATAACAACTTTAAGCTCATTCAGGCAGGGAAGGATATACGAAGAAGCTTGGTACGCACCGCTTATCATTGAACTAACTTTAGCTCTGTGAGAAGATAACAAGTTAAAGGCACCAAATACAGTTTGTCTATCATCCGTCCCACTATCTTACACTTCGAAATTTATTTCCCATAAATTCTTTATACGTGCATGGAGAAATCTGTTATTTTATTGGTTCTTTATTCGCATCTAGAACCCTGATTGAGCAACTTTCAGTTGTAGAAGTCTTCTGCACACAAACAATTCCTGGATACAAATTAACAATAGCCACACGTGAATATACTTGGTTTAAATTTATCCGCAAAGAGAATTCTATCGGAAATGCTCCTTTATATAAGGCTTTCAATAGCTATGCCATTTTTTATTTTGATAATACTAATGGTGAGAATATACAAATAAGCAGCCTTTATGATCAATTAGATTTTTTTTAACATGATAAACGGCTGTTAAATGTTAAAAAGGGAGTATTAAGGTTTTGTCCTTTTTTGCCGGCTTACCACCTTAAGCTCTCCGTACAATTGTGTTATCCTAGCGTATCTAAATATCAACTTAACATGCATTTAATTCTATTTGTTTTCTATGTTAAGTTCACGTAAGTAACAATGATATGTAACTGTCCAAGCTCTATCCATTATAATAAAAGCATTTTATATTGTCTTAATTTCTTCATTTTACTTCAATTCTTACGTACTAAAACAGCAAGAGCCTTTAAAGAACATTGAAGCTAGTAACACATTAAACAGCTTTTATATAAACACTTTTAGAGTATTTTGGTTTATAGTAACTACAATTAAATCGTTGGGTACTGATAGTACCGAAAAAGATAGTGTGTGCTGGGCCATCAAGAAAACCACAGCCTACATATGGACAACCTTGGTGCCCTAGTAGTTGAAATACATCCCCTATAATTCTTCATTTTGTGTTAAGTAGGGTGATACGAGCAAATTCTATTCCATGAAGCTGTCATGTTCATTCACATGAGTCGCACAAAGAACCCCCCCTTATCGTACATAACTAGACAGGATGCCGGCCCATAGTGCGGAACTAGTTATTTTATTTAAGCACACTTAGATAGTTCCATTTGAGCTTCATGCAGTATAAAGCCAAATTCTTTTGAAAAGCGTTGACATACAGATTGCGTTAAGTTGGGATATCGGTTCGTCACATCAGCAATAGCTCCTATACTCACTTTTCCATTGTAAGATATTAAAGCAATCCCAATCGAACCTTTGCCTACTTGAGGAGGAAATGTCCTATAGTTTTGAACTTCATGACCTGCGAACGAAATTGGGCTTGTAGGACCAGGAAGATTTGTAAAGACCCCGTGCGGAATATCGCATACATAATCATACATCCATCGGGGAGGGGTTATACCAGGCATATATCCCCAAATAAAACTAATCCAATAATACATGAGCTTTGGAAGAAAAGACGTTTTTATTGCTTTCATTTCTCGCCGAACTTGCTTAATTAGCTCTTTTGTGTCCTCATTCCCCATAGAAAAAAAGCCCCAATTACAACTCACTACATTGTGGCATCTATATTATAAATTAATAACAGTTAGTTATTTTAATTTCTGTTATTATTGCTTACTTCCAGTCATTAGGATGACGTAAAGACACAGGAATAACAAGTCGAAGGTAATTATCCTGTCTTCTTCCGTTTTTTTCAAGATAATCCTTGATACAACGTGTTATTACGGCTACCATTACATCGTTCAACGTACCGCCAAATATTTTCCTCACTAGCCTGATATCGCTCATAAGAATATCTTCAGACCATGACATCTCCTTTTCAAATGATTGTAAACCGTCGTACATCAAGTCATTTCGTCTCAATGGCACCATACATAGTAATATAACCCATAAGTCGTGTATCCATGTCATCCAATAGACATAAATATGAGAAATCACCATCCATACAAACGAGAAGATTTTCATAATACAGTAGGGCCACCTATTTGAGTAGCGTGGCACAACTTGTTTTGGCTTGCCCTGACGTAAAGATTGTTGTTCGAGTCTTTGCAGTGTTGCTTCGATCGAGGTGGTACTTAAAATGCTACGGATAAACCCTTGCCCGTCGGACATGACGTGATGGGCCTTCCAAAAGAATGCGCATTGATCTCCTTTTAAGCCGGAAATTGCATGAAGTTCCCAAAGCGGCTTCGCATAATCCAATGGTAAAGCCATCTATTTTTTTACATACAAAAAATGAGTATCAAGTAAAAAAAATCTGTACTTGTTTAATTTACCTGTTGAGAACAGTAGTGCTGGAGTGCATGTGTGGTTGGTTTATTTAACGTGTGTAGCACAACATTGTTTGGCGGAGACCAACCTATTGGCACGGTCCAGGTAGCAGTTTTAAAAAAGGAAGGGCGACAGGGAACTCTGGCAAATCTAGGGTAGGCCGAACACAACTTGTCAAGTAATCTGTACACAGATTTATCATCTAGACGATGATCAAATGTCCACAATGAGCTGACAGTCATTAAACGACGTGTATGTTCACACTTTAAAAAGAGTGTATCCATCCCTTCCAGCCTTTCATCGATACTTGACATGCTAAATAAAAAAGTGCACAAACATAAAAGAGACACTACTTTAAATTGTTATGCTATAAATCTCTTTTTGTCTCGGTCAATATCGGATGTTCTTAAAATCGCCAAGGTTGATTAAAGAGTTTCATGTACAACAAGGGTGAAAATAGAAATAACCACCTGCTGTGTGAGTAAATTCTTCAAAAAAATTGCCTTTTAGTATTTTGCCGAAGCAGTGTGCATATTTGCTCTTGATGGTGCATACAACCAAAACATAACCTTTTCCGGGGAACCCGTCTTCTCTCAAGCTAACAAAGGGTGGCACCGTCAAGATCACCGGAGATCATTCGTTAATCATCACGTTACCCAAAATCAACGTCGACATATGAAAAACCCCATATAAGCATAATTGATAGGTACTTCAGAATCGGTTGAGCGGTCTAATGTCAACAAACATTATTAAGTGTAAACTATGTCGTTCTATATAATGTTTCGCTTGTATAAATACAATAATTTAGAGGTCCAGCATAACAATATGAGCAAACAATGTTTGCATCGAGTAAATTTTTTTATACTTTTATTTGCCAAGTAGTGTTCCTAATGTTCATATACAAAATAAATATTTTAGGCTTTAAAAACATATTATCCCCGACTGTGAGCTTTACTTGTAATTTCCTTTTTGAGTTTTGACCGTTCGGCACACTAATTAATTATGAATTGTGAAAGCATTGAATTTTTGGGTCAACCTCGCAATATACGGCACACAATGGATGTGATATCTGTAAGTAAAACTATTCTTATAATACTGTTAAAAAATAGAGTATGTGAGTGCTCATTTACAGGTAGGAAATGGCAAGCAGAAAAATTACATGAAAATTCTGAGGTGGGACAAAATGATGGTATAAAATGTATCGTATTTTTGTTTTTCTTTCTCTTTCTTCTTTACAATTTTCCTTTTTCTCCTCCTTAAACTTCCAATGGATTACCGAGGTCTTGATAATACTTACTTTGTTTTGATCAATACTATGGGCGAAAATAATGATACATTCCAAGAATTCTTATCATATAATTACAAGGCACACCTTGAGGGTCTGGCTGGTTCTAATGACAGTCCGTTTCTGAATTTTGCTGGCTTTGATTTTTCGCAGTCCCAGAACCACACACCATCATTATCACCACAAACGACATCACTGGATCCGCCACCAGCAGAAATGGTTAAAAAGCCTACCAAATGTAAAACCTTCTGCACCAAATGTAAAAAGTATTTAAACCGGTCGCAAGATTTAAAACGTCATAAATTGGTTCATACAGGCATTCGAAATTTTATATGTGAGCCTTGCGGTGGCTCCTTTTCTCGAAAGGATGCGTTAAAAAGACATCAAAGGACATGCACCTCCTGCTCGTCGTCGTCTTAACAGTTCAAATATCCATCTCTTTTTGTTTATATCCTTATTTTTAAATCCCTTCCCCGCCTTTTAAACATTTCACCATTTTGGCTCCTCCCACGTGTTTTCCCGGTCGGATGATGGCTTTCTTTTCTTTCCTTTTTTATACAGTTTGTAGTGTTTCGCGTTCCAAAATACAAAAGGCTATGCCCTTAATAAAAAAAATACTCAAGTTCTATAACCATTTTGCTTGTACATCTTTGAAGCGAGCGTTTAGCTCATCTTTTCGGGGTGGGGGTTATCTATTGTAAAAATGCGTTGATATTCAGAGTCATTGTTTTAAACTATTAGAAGCATACATTTCGGTAAGGTTATGTTGGTATCATCAATAAAAGTAGGCAAGCCATTATATCCATCCTTATCAGCAGTTAAACACTCTGTATCCAGGTTGTATAGTATATATACACATATAGGTATATTTGTAAGATGCTTCACGAAAAATGACGGCTTTTACATATCGAGAGTAGTTAAGCTCTTGGTACTGTTCAATGTTGAACAAAATATTCCAGATTGATATCTGCTGTTTGCAGAATGAAAGCGATATGCTTAATTTTAATAAGTTAGTGTGGTGCATCAACACAAAGCTGTCCAGAAGTTATGCCAATATCCCAACTATCATATCATATACTAGTCCAACCGTTTTGTATCAACGTCTTAACTATTTAATATAGAACCCCCATAATTACCGATACAGAAAAATACAATTTCAGAGAAATTAATGTATTGGATAAACGATTACCTCATATTTGATTGGATTTATTGTATTATAGACGTCGGATTTTACACAGCGTTTATATTTCTGTTTTTTAAGCAATTTCACATCACGGCCTTTAGATTGTGCGAATCGAATACTGATCTTGTTGATTTGTTTAGAAAGGGGATTATAATCTTCTTCGACAAGGAGATTTCAATATTCGGTTGTACAATTGGACACTTTTGGGTTTAATGCCACCTACTGCTTTTGTAATGCTTAAGTCCTGCCTATAAAATAAATGAAATATTCGATATTTATCAGTTGAACTCACATAAACGATTTCCAGGATGTATACCATATTACCTTCTCCTCGTTAAAACTTATACCGTGTAGTAGTTTTTTAATGGCTCAGCCTCAAAAGAGAAGTATTATCTAAAGGTTGGTTTACTATAAAAGCAACAATCATTTTTGGTCCTCATAACTACGGTACCAAAAGGCATCTTCTGTTTAATTACTATTTATTGACAGTTTTAATGCCTTTAGGCTTCTTACGTTTGATCATGAATGCTAATTAGTAGCCACGTGTTTTGATTATAAAGAAATAATAGTTTACCTGTCAGCCTTCAATCTAAATCTAGATAAAGCTTCTCATTTAGTCTAAACCTGTGGGTTTTGTGCATGCAAACAAATATAATATCACCTTAAAAGAGAATTAGGTCTCGGGTAAATGAACCCATACATGTGCTGACGACTTTATTTAGTACAATTGTTCCTTTTTTATGCATTCTATTAAAATCGCCTGTTCGTGCTTTCAATATCGAGGTTATCAGTATAGCTTATAAGCAAAATGTGCTAAAGCCACTCCCCACCTTCTGCAATAAGATTCAATCTTGACAAAAATCGGTTTTGTCATAGCCGGCTGATGTACAGTAATACTCCTTTTGTCATTGTTAAAAGACATAGTAAACCAGGTGACAATATCAAAGGCAGCTTTTCCCGCCCAAATTAACTTGTTCAATGGAATATTAGCCGCCCCATCCAATATTCAAAATAGAATAAAAATGTTGAATATACTAGGTCTAAAGAGACATTTGTCTTGATCTAACTTAAAACTAGGCTAAATAGATTAAATAAATAAAAAAAAAAATAGCCGACTAAAATGTAAATAGCTACTATGTCAGAACATCTCTTGCAATGGGTTAATTTTCCCTTTTATCAATCATTATTTTTAGACAGCAGCTATATTTACAGGTATTTCCTAATTCATTATTTTATATCCTTTTTGTTATTTTTAGAATGCCCTTTTTTGAAGAGTTTTTCGTTGACCATTTAAACAACCGCCATGCATGCTGCTAAATGTGAATAATAAGTCCATTATAGGTCAGGTGTAACTTGATTATGTTACACCGTACAGATTACACCAATTATTTTCATCGAACTATAAAAACTGGAGATTCATTTCTAAACGTTTCTCCAATAATTATTTCCTTTCTTTCATTTTTATTTTTACCACAAGAAATGTTTACTCGCTTCTTATATACCATCGTTACTGTCAGCTTACTTTCTTCAGTCAACGCTTATGGAATGGTTGCTCAGGTGGTAGACGCTAACGATTTTTGTGTGTTCTTACCCCCTGATGATGCCACCGATCGCATCATCTCCGATAGTGAATGGAATGCTAATGCGTTCTGTATGGGAAGTACACCACTCGCTACAGACGCTGGCACCTTGCCCTCCGGTTTTATTAAATCCGCTCATTATGTGAAAACAGATCTTTACGTTCAAGTTACAGGTCAGATGGATTACACCAAGGCTAATTTGGACGGTACTGATGGTGGCGGACAAATGGATGTTAAAGCTCCTGTTGGCTCTTCATGTGTCGGCTGGGATTACTACGTCAACTTAATCGAACCCACTACTAACACATATTGTATGCGTTGTTGTAATGATACAGTCAGCTGTAATCGTGGTATTTCTGAAAAGGGCTGTGCGCATATTATTCCTGGTGATTATAGTGGCCCCAATGACGGAACAGGTTCTAGTTTAACTTCCACAGAAGCTTCAACTATTGCTTCTTCTACTGCTGCTACCTCTACCGAATCTGCCACTGTTATTTCCACTACTACTGCTGAATCTATTGCTACAACGGTAGCACCAGCAACTAGTGCAGTTGTATCATCGTCTGCTATCTCGAGAGAACCTGTTTCTTCATCCGCTACTGCTGTTTCTTCCTCCTCTTCAGCTATTAGCACACCCAGTGGTGCTGTTTCAGCACAGGATGTTTCTAGTGCTAGCAGCTCCGCTAAGCCTGTGGTTCTCGCTATTGGTGCCAGTGTTTTGGTCGCTGCCGCCAATTGGGTTTAATTCCTATTTTTTATAATCTTTAATCACTTATGTATACTTTTTATTTTAATAAATAATTTAATATCCTTCTCTTGTCTGTATAAAAAAATCTATAAATAATAATTTCTCAATAGAAAAAAAAAAGACTTGGCATTGGCGTAACGATTGATATTGAGAAACGGTAAATGGGAATGGATGGGTACAATTGCAACTTAGCAGATATATGAATACCAGATTTTTTTTGCTAACGTATCGAATCACAAAGATGTACTTATTCCTGGAAATCGAACATCGTTTTTTGTTTGTTTGTTTAATGAATGTCATATTTCGCGGCTATATGTTTTTCTTTCCACATCATAGGATATACAAACCCAGTCTTCCCAATGAAGTAATCTGATTTTTTTTGGGCAAAAATCGCGCTTTTGTGAAATCGTGTTGATGGTAGATGACATAGTCTAAAATCAGCTATTTCACCAATGTCTTGTTAAATTTCATCAATGATCTTCGGAGTTTCTTATCTAGCAAACAAGGTACATTATGTTACCTATTTTGGACAAAATAAAATGGAAATATAGACAAATAGACAGTAAGATTATGTTAGCAAGATCGAATTTTTTATAGACTGCTATTCCGAAGCAAATTATGAAGTAGAAAAATGGGGATCTTTATTTGGTCTTGCCAAGAAAAAAATCAGGATACAACCGACTTTGTCAGTCACAACGTTTATCTCAATAGACAGAAGTTATTGAAAAAATGATAGATGTCAACGACAAGACCAAAATAGTAGAACTGTTTTCTGTTCCGACAGAAAAAGAAAGAAGGCCAGAATGAGCCGGGAAAGCTGAAAATAAAAAAGTAAACATAACTTTATTAGTAAGCAAATCACAAAGATATTAGGTCCCTTACATTTAGGAATGGAAAGTGCTTAAATCCACCGGCAGTTTTGCAACAGTTCGCAAAATACAGTGCAACAATGAGCGAAACAACAAAGTCATTGTCTTAAATATATGTCCGAAGAAGAAGAAGCTGACACTAATCTGTAAAAACTAAATGGTGTAGTTCACAAATGAAAGTGAGAACAACCCTTTTGCATTAAGAGCTTTTATTTTTCGCTTTTTGACAAAATAGCATGTTTGCTCAATGTGTTTTTTTACAGATTTAATTAAATGCACATATTCTATTATGTGTCCTGTTGCCAGCTTATCGTACATCGATTTCTAAAGATTTGAAATTTATTAAATATGTATCAAGTTGATTGTTGGTGTGTTGTCTGTGATTGTAAACCATTATTTGTGAGACAAAGACCGTGTTTAAGCGTAACGTCTCTTTGTTTTGTACAGAAATATGATGCTTTTTAAAGATAATGCGACACTTTACTTCTACAATAGCATTTTTTGTAGCACCTTATTTATATTTCTCATTGTCACATAAAGTTGGATATATATATTTGCTCCAGAATTTATTTAATATAACATTAGTTCTACCAATTATACGACGATGATTGCTTTGTTACCTGTTGAAGTTGTAATCCAAGCTTGCTTTTTCTGGTTTGTTTACAGTTTTAAACTAAAAATCGCATTAGCGTCAAGCTTCTTTACAAAAAATGCAACAAAGTTAGGGATTGTCATCGGCAAAACTGACGTTAATACAAAAAAAGACACCGCAAATGATACCTGCAATGACACTATCTATTGCACCTTATGTATCGCTACTGAAGACATAAAATCAGAACAGGGTCATTTTTTGTCTACTTTATCTCAAATCGATTATCTTGAATTGTGGATGGAAACCCATGGGCTTCAACCTATTTTATCGGATTATCAAAATGAACAAAAGGCTTATGAAATAGTCCAGGTTATGGCACAAATAACTATTATAGAGTTATTTTCGAAGGATCGCACAACCCGCCTAAGGTTATTAATCGATCATTTATACGAAACAAATGTCAAATCGAACAAATTGTTAAAAAATTGCATTGTGAACCTCATTATGACCGGGTTTGGTATCTCACATATAGGTGGAAGTTATAAATATACTTGCGTAGGTCGTTTACTATCACAATCCTTGTGTATCTCTCGTGAACCATACTTCTTTGATTTTATCTATTGGAGCTTGTATGAAATGCTATACCAGAAAAAAACACCCGATATGAACGACATCGAAAGGCATATGATTGATTTGAAAGATATCGTATTAAACCGAGATCCCTCTATCCCTATGAAGGATCAGAAAGATGGTTCAAAAGACCTTTCGACCAAAGTATACTCTTACGCGCATGTGCTAATTGAAAATTTTAATGCAGCTATTTTAACTCTTTATGACAAAATAATCAACAAAAGACATAGTGATATGAAGATCAGACTAGGCAAACTACGAAATCAGTTGTGGTCAACTCTTCCATCATGTTATCCTGCAATAGCAGTTACCGATAATTTGCATGAGTCAGTGATGTGTACCCAAAAGCTTAAATTGTGCAGCATCCCTATCTCCTTTGAAATGGTTACAGATTTTAAATTTAATCTCAAGAAAATGAGCGGGAGAATTCAACATATACGCCATACAGCCAGTTTCCAAGAACCTGAGCTTTTAGAGCTATTGCTTTCTGACTATGTTCAGTTAATTCATCTATTGCGTGATTTGGAGCGTGATTTATCTATCCTTCAAATCTTCGAGATTGGTGCAGGTTTAATCAAGAACACGCACAAGTCTATTCGAAATCTTCAAAATCCTTGGAAAATTCAAAAAAATGGACCGGGAGAACAAATTTTACATGACTACAGCAGACTTTCTGTAAAACGAAAGGAAGATTGGGTTCATCAAGCGAATCAATATTCAGTTGACATAATCAGATGCAATATTAACATGTTACGGGATTTATTCCGAGTCGCATCTGAATATTACAAAATTTTTAACCAAGATCACTTCAAAATTCTTGAGCAAAGATGCGATGAAATCGAGCGGCAATTAAATGGAGTTCAAGACATTCAAGGATGCATCGCAACGTTCATTGAAGATATTGACGAGCAGAAGTATGGTCTTAGCGTCATTAAGACTTGTTTGGCCGACCTCCACAACGACAGATTTTTGTGTAAAGATATAACACATGACAAAGGAGGGTTCCTTATAGTTAAAAATTGTGTTAAAAGTTGGCACCCAACAATAATGGATTCAGTGATGTATTTTTTGACTGAACAATTGGAGACATTTGACAATAACAATACTTAACTATAATCAATAAGCTGTAATAATGTTTCTTTTAGACTTGAATTTTTTGCTCATTCAATAAATTGTTTATAATTCCATCCATTAAACACTGCTAAAAAAAAAGAAAAAAAGAAAGTAAAATATATTTAGCATGGAAGAATTACAAGTTACTGCCAAGAATAAAAAAGTTACTTTATCAAATTTAATTCGAACAGATGGCTTTACGGCAGATGTAGTGCTTATTAAAAGTTCCAACAACGAGTTTAATGATTCTGTGAGCCTTGACTACTATGAACAAGATTATGATATTACTCAGCTGGGCGAAGTTAATACTAAAGAAGAAGTAGACGAAATGAACCTATGCGGTATTGATCTCAATAGAGGGAAAATATTTGCTGCATCTTACGGTTATGGCAAAAATCCCATTAAGAAGATGTTCAACGTGAGAATATTACACATATACAGGACCCATCAAGCACCAAAGAAAAGAACAACAAAGGATGGAGGACAGTGGAATGGACGACATTTTGTTCAATATACCCACAGCGAAGGCTGCTTCTATCCCACGATATTTTCATTTTGTAGTATATAACTTATTATCAAACATCACTGCAATTTTAAATTTCAACAACACATCCGCTGCTATTAGACGTTTCCATTTATATCAGGAAGTACAAAGAGCACGTGAAGAAATGGTAAACATTTTAGTCCATGGAGGGAAAAAATATAATAAAGCCAAAAAAAAAAAAAAAAAAGTATTAAGATAAATAGAGGAAACACTTAAAGAAAGGAGATACAAGAGGCTCTCCGACATCACATTAAATGTATTGTTTTCAAAATATATATCGACATTTGCCATGATTGATTTTTTTATGAGGCAAGACCGACCATTATTGGAAGAAAGAATTTTTTTCTTAAACTAAGAAAAAGTTCACCGGGATGTTTGGTAAAGACCATGTAAAAATAAAAACATTTCGAACTGACATGACTGATGTGCTCTACCAGCAGTTCAAAAGAAGACAAAAGAACAGAGACTTATCACCTGCCTGGATCGATGGATTCCGCACTTCAAAGGTCATTTAAAAAAACACTCGGACATTAGGTTGTAACTAACAATCAGTCAATTAGTTTTGTCATTCGTTGCCAACACAGAAAATAAAGCTTCACACATGAATTCGTTTCAGAATTTTCTATCGTATGGATTATGACATGGCTTAACTTTGAATAAATTTAAGTCGTGTAACTTGAAAATTATGCATCGTAGAAAATGCCGATGTTTGTAACAAGAGTCTGTGGTCGTCCATTTACGTATACATAGACAATGATATCATGTAAGAAAAAATGAACCAATATGTGAATTATAAAAACCAATTGGAAATCATCTTTGTTGGTAAACACGATTTATCGTTTTTTACAGAACATAAGATGGGACTAAGTTTGCCATCTCGAATAAATGTGCTAATAATGGTATAGTAACTGCCTTTAAATAAAATACTGATGCTAAGACAAGGCAATTTACACAAAGAAAAGGAAAACTTGACCTAAAGTATGATGTTTCTGGTTCAATGTAACACATATTTTTGCAACACCTATTAGTTACACAAACAATTTAAAACATCCATAAAATGAGAACAAAATCCGACATCTGTAGTTTATCCATTTTTCTTACTTGAATAATTTTTACTTTCCTTTTCTTCAATCCTTTAACGATATAACATCACAAATATAATATTATAATAATGTTCATTCGGTTTACCTCTATTGTTTGCGTGATTAATTTTCTTTCTATTGTCGTTAATGCGAAAGGGCAAATCGCCCAAGTAGTCGATGCCAACGACTTTTGTGTTTTTCTACCTCCTAGCGATTCTACCAATCGCATAATCTCAGATACGGAATGGAATGCCAATGCATTTTGTTTGGGTAATACTCCTCTCGCGACAAATGCCGAAAAACTACCTGCTGGTTTCATCAAGTCTGCTCATTATCTTAAGACAGATACATACGTCCAGGTTACAGGTCAAATGGATTATACAAAGGCCAATTTGGTTGGTACTGACGGTGGTGGTCAAATGGATGTCAGAGCTCCTATGGGATCATCATGTGCTGGCTGGAAGTTTTATGTCAACCTTATTGAACCTACAACCAACACTTATTGTATGCGTTGTTGCAATGATGATAGAACATGTAATCGCGGTATCTCTGAAAAAGGTTGTGCTCATATCATTCCCGGCGATTATAGTGGACCTAATGGTAGCTCAGGTGATGATACAGTAGTTACCACTGCTACTACTACTACTACTACAACTACTGTTATAGCCACCACCACCACTATCCCACCCATAATTGTTACCACCCCTACCATAAACCTTACCACTGCTGTTGTAACCCCATTGACCACCGTGTCCGCTTCATCTTCCGTTGTTATTACTCCTGCTGCAGCAGCATCAAACCCTGCTACTCCAAATGAAATTGCTACTGCTCAATCAGTTTCAGGTGCTAGCTACAACAAGCCTATGGCCATTGCTTTTTGTGCTGGTCTTTTGGTCACAGCCGTTTTGGCTTAAACGTATTCCCTTTATCTAAAATTTACCGCTATTAATAACTCCTCCTTAATATTTTTCTATTAAATTTATATACCTTAAAAAATTCTCATTTTCATCGTATCAGATACAAATTATTCGAATCCGGTCCAAAAAAAGAAGCGAGTGTCTTTTCCAAGACTTGTCATTGGAAGGTTTGACATAGTAATTTAAATAGAGATTCAAAATTTATATTTATAAATCAGCATAGCACGATAAAGTTTATTTATAAAGGTCATACAGCTACTTTTTTTGCTTGTTTCATTATTAAAACAATAGCGCTATGAATATTATATTGTCATACAATGAGTATGGAAATTAAGTGATAAGTGTTAAAATTCAGTAATTATTACCATTTTTATAGATTGTGCCATAGTAGCGCAATGTACAATGTGTACCCCCAAATCCAAGCGATTTATTCACTATTTATCATGAGGTGGAAAATAGGGACATTTGTCCAACACATTTTTTATTGATAACCTATTAAACTAGACAAAAAGAAGAGTCAGCAATTGCTTTTATATCTGTGTGAATATTTCCCATTTAGTATCAATGCAGATCCTTGTATAATCTCATAGAAATTTGAAATTTCAATTTATTTATTGTATTTAGGGGATAACGATTGCTACCTTTTTATACATATAATTCAGGTATAAAAAGGCATATTTGTAAGGCATCTTTGCTCACCCACCAAATATAGTGGATGGTGCTGTGTAAGGTACCTCTTTCTGCTATCTAAAAATAAATAGCAAGGTAACGGTATAAGAAATAATCAAGGCAGTGAGAAAATATGAAATTACACATGATTATGATATCTATGTAGTGTGATACGTCTAATTTATTTAAAGATTCCAAGGAAACAGGCATGGATAGATGACCTAAAAAAGGATGGTAACAGAGAGCACCAATATGGCAAGTGACATGATATAGCTAGCATTTGACGCTAATGTAATGGTTGAACCAGAAACTGATGATGTACTAGTAGCGCGCGCAGATGTAGACGAAGAGGCAGATGAGGACGTTGCATTGGTAGCAGCATTATTTATAAATTCGTTTGGCGATGCAACGTTTTGGTTTTTGATATTTGCAGCTGATGAACTAAGAGATTCATCGGTGATAGAGTGGGGGCTCAAATCGTTATTACAGGCGGCAGCAGTAAAGAATTTATAACCCTTATTCTTCAAAAAGGTAATTACTTTGGGCACTTGTTCAATCGACTGCTTATATAAATCTAAATTGGTATATGTTATTATAAATTTTTTTTCTTAACACATATATCAGGGCTAGTTACCATGCTGTAAACTAATGAATCCTGGGTCTTCATTAAGGTTTAACCCGGTATCAGTACCTTGAACTGCCATTTTGAAAGAACCCTGGATAAGAGAAGATACATTTCGTAACATGTATACATCATAATCAGTAGGATCGACATTCCATAATAGTACTTTGTAACCCATTGTCTTTAAGAGACCTTTTACACGATCATCGGCTTCACCAAAAGGAGGACGTATATACTTGGGCTTAACACCAATTACCTTCTCGATAGCTTCTTCAGTAGCTTTGACTTCGTAGATGATTTCTTCATTAGTTAAACTCATCAAATGAGGATGAGAAAAAGTATGTGAAGCAATGTGGTGACCTGAATCATAGGCACGCTTCAGAATGTCCGGATATTGCGCAACATGAGATCCCATAACACAAAATGTTGCTTTGATGTCTTCCTTATCAAGAATATCCAAAAGTTCACTAGTGTAATTACTAGGTCCATCATCAAAAGTTAGGGCCCATTGATGGTCTTGAGGACAACCATAGATATCTTCAGGAGAGGGATTGTTACCACAGCTTTCGAAGCATTTGTCATTGTCTGCACCATCACATAAAGCATCAGGGCATGTACCAGACCCAACCATTCTGACGGGAAGTTTTGGCACAGTAGATAAGTCTACGCTTTCCAACCATTTAGCATTTTGTGGTGTCTTTATTTCATCGTAGCTTACTTGCGCTTGTACGAATCCGAGAGCTAAAGCCAAAATAGAGATACGCGAAAGAAACAAATTAACATTTAGAGCCATCGTGTGTGGTTATTATAAAAATGTGCGAAAGGAAAGTATCACTGAAGGTATATGTAAAGATATAATATCAAGCCAATCTGATACACTTTAAAAGCAAATTAAAGAATGATTTTTTAGCCTTTATATAATATCTTCGTTTGTTTGATTTTAGTTATAGCTTCTTATAGTCCCAGCATCGGAGACAAATAATAAAGTGACATGACTTAGGAAATTTTAAGCTGTCGCTCGATCTTCAGCATAATGGCGTCAATTTTAATGTCATTTTTCACAGCTGAAACCGAAATGCATATCAATACACATGGTAAGTCCTCTTTACGTTTAAGCTAATCATAAATTATAAATTTTGTTATTGGCTAAGCCTGGCAAAATTACTTTAACCTTAATTCTGACATTTGTAGAAAACGGAAAAATATTATTTGCGATAAATTAGTAGAATTTTTTTTTTTTCTGTGCTATAGAATTTCATAGCCAAATAGGTCCGAATCTTTTAACAGTAACAGAAGGGAACCCATCTAAATCCTACAATTGGTTTTTTGTATTTAAGTATTTTAGGTAGTAATCTCCAGAAAACCACATAAGACTATAGACATTAGTCGAACACAAATCTTCTTGTAAAACTGTTATTTTGAGTAACACAAGTATCAGGGTAAAGAATTGAAGTAACAAAAGAGCTTTCCGAAATAAACACGTTCTTAGTATGATACCAATGATAACTGCTATGTCACATTAATATTATAATTTAAATGCATAATGTCCATATTCGAAAAGATTCAGTTAATACTGACTGAAATAAAAGCTTGATTTACACTTCGCGTGACTTGTCCGCTCACGTACATTCTTTTCCCAATGTATTTATTCCTGCAACCTTTTTTCATTTTTTTATTATATTTTATCAATGGAGGAAAATCACAAAAGTTCAATAGAATCTTGGACACTTTTAGCTCTCATCAATAGAGATCTTGACGATCAAGACTACAATAACGCACTCCTTTTGTCTGAACGTCTTTATGCTATTGACAACGATAATTCTCATTTTAAATACGTATACGCGAAAAGTTTATTTTCAATTTCAGATTATACAGCATGTTATACGATTATTAAATCTGACCAATCGATCCCTTGTTTAAATTTGTTTGCTAAATGTTGTCTTGAGCTTGGTCTCATTGAAGAATCCCAGGACAAGCAACGGACCTTGTGGCAAGAAGGCACACAGGCAATACAGACAGCACTTAGATCAAATGCAATACCAAAGGAAGTTTACTGGGGAGACGGTATGAGCAGATAAATTGTAATCCCACGTCGATAAAATCCTTAATAATTTTTTCAATAGAGCTTGCAAGTGTTACAAATCGACAAAGTATGCCAAGTGAAGCATCCTTGTGTAATTTATTAGGCGATTTATATGTCAAACTTGACAATGTTACGGCAGCATCCAAATATTACTATAGATGTCTGAAAATCAACCCGTACAAAATATCGGCTTACATCAACTTATGTGATATTGCAGCAGATTCCAACATCATTGCAGATAAATTAAAAAATGAAATATTCGTGGACTTTGATGTGTCCAAAACCAATTTATCTCGATCTCCACACACTTACTTACCAGTGTTGCCTTCAACAGATGCACCCGGAATAACCTTCCTTCCTGAAATATCACCTTCTAATGTTGTAAAAAATAGCTCTTCAGTGCCTGCCATTAAATATTATCAAGATATTAGCGTAAAGCAGTTGCGAGCTCTTATCAAATACAGTCCGAGTATAACTAATGACAACGATGATGATGAAAACAAAAGGTTTGCCTATATACTTTTTCGTTAGGTTATGTATTTATTTGCTTTTTGCAGGGGAAAAATAGAATTGGCGAAGGACGCGCTTATCAAAACAGTTTCTGGTGATATCGAACAAATGACAGCAGCAGAGGCCTACAAAAATAAGCATGGATTACGTAAAAAAGCACCAGCGGGAATTGAGCAAAAGTTAGAAGTCCAATTATCAGATATGGATGAACAAACAGACTATCATCTTAGCAAGGAAATAATCGAATCTATCGACAAAGATCATCCTCCTAGAGTGGTGACAGAAGAACATGAAGATTTCACATTTGATATTCCAACAAAGAAAAGGATTAAAGTTAGTTCTAGTGAGGTACATAAGATAACATTTAAAATAAACTCCATACATTCACACATAACAAAATAGGATCCAGCTGTCGGCAGTTTTTTCTTGCCTTCATCAAATAGCCATCAAGTAAATCAGCAAACTAATGCAGAGATAATCAAAGGAATGAACAAGGTTTTAGATCTTCTTAGCATCATAGTAAGTGGATATGTATACCAATCATTATACCAATGTGGTAGGGCGGCGCTGGAATTACAAAAATTGGATGATCGTCAATACAATACTGCTCGTGTGCTATGCATATTAGGAAAATCATACTACGATGCTAGCGATTACAAAACAGTAAGTTTTCCATGATGTTATCACTACCTATAGTAACAAATCAAAAGGCGGTACCATTTTTTAGACAGGCCTTTATGATCGCCCCGTGGTTTTGTGATGGAGTTCCCGAATACTCAACGTGTCTTTGCTATTTGGAAATGGAGAAAGAATTGAATCTTTTAGCATACCAAATGCGGGGTAATAAGTCGCATATTTACGAATATTATATTACGGCGGCGAATTGGTCAAAGTGCGCAATTAACAGTAATGAAGCAGCAGAGTGGTTCCAGAAGGCTATCAAATATGATCCCAATCGCGCATATGCTTATGCTTTATTAGGCTACGAAGAAAACGAAAAAAACAATTTCTTGGGTGCTAAACAGATGTTTGCTAAAAGTATCGGTGCAAACAAACGCTCATACATTGCTTGGTGTGGAATGGCCCTAGCGTATCATAATATGGAAGAGTTTATACAAGCTAAAACCTTGTTATATGAGGCTGCTCGACTACATCCTCGTCATCCAGTACTTCTAGCTAAACTGGCAGAAGTCTTGTATGAGTTAGAAGAGTACGAAGAAGCAGAAAAATATATTGATCGCTCATTGGCTATCCGTGCCGATCCAGCCAACCAAGAATTGAAGGAAAATATTGATCGCTGGACAGCTAGAAATAGATGATAGCCTATATGGCCAGCTAAAAATCTCAGCGAGTAGAAATAATTTTCAGTTATAGCAACTTATAAGTTTACTTTTCAAACAGTTTGTACATTCTTTGTCTAAACAATGACGATGATAAGTAAACAAGTAATAGTCAATTTTATCTTACTGAAATAAAAAGCTATTCTATCTATTAAACAACTATCTAAATAGCTTAATGACTGCTTACAGTATCATATAACACACATATTCGAGACACAAAGGAAGATGCTAGCACTTAACAAGATACCTATCCGCAAGAATATATTTATATCTATTGGCTTTGATAGCAAATACAATCTAAACTTGCACCAAAATCACATCTTTCATCTTTCTTGAGCCAACTTGGCATCAGAAGCTCTCTTCCAGCTCCCTCTATATGTCAAACTGAGATCAGGTTTTATCATTGTTCCTGGATTTGTCGAGTAGCTGCCGAAGCTTCTAGTTTCCCATAAATTTATTTTAGTAATCAATCAAGGACCCTGTCATTGAATGGATAAACGATAATAACAGAAGTACCGGATATGAGCCGCTTAGCTCCTTGTATATAACAGTACTCTATGTTTCTTATGTAACTGAATATTTCTAAATCTAATTTTCCCTTTTCCCGGTTTTTCGATCTGCGTAGGAAGAATCTTGATCCTTTATTTTTAACATGACAAACTCTCCAAATTATAATGTTATTATTGTTTGGAGATGAAAACGCAGTTATTAATCCAACCATTAATTACTATGTAATGCATTATTACTTAATAATTATTTGGATTATGTAAAAACCAACTTTTAAGGTTGAGAAAAAGAAAGAGGAGGACAAAAAAAAAAAAAAAAAAAAAAAAAGCAAGAAGATAAAAAGAAAGAAGAAATAAAGAACATGATAGCTTTTGGGAAGATTGGATTAGTTTTTTAGAAAAGAACCAAAATTTTAATTTGTCTCTGAAGTGTCCAAAAAAAGTAGTGTGTCATTTAATACCAAAGAATATCAGCATTTTCTAATTTTTATACCATGGAACATAGTAAAGCGTCAGAATTTGCTACTCGTTTCTAACATCAATTTATTTTTGTAGGTGGCCATAATTGGAGTATTTCGGACAGCATTCTGGCTGCAGCCCAAAACTCAAAGTTTTGAAACTGGTTGTGTACAATATTGTCATGCCCAAAAATGTATGCGGGGCTCAAATCATCAATCCGTCTTTATTTCTTTATTGCGTTTAACTCTTACCCATGGAAGGCACATTTGGTTTCATTGAAAAGAGAATAATTGGAAACGGTTCATTTCTTGCCTATAAGACATATAACAAGTCCCATGGAAAATTAGTTCAACAGCATTACAGAAGAGAGTTATGGGCTTTAAAACATCTCAATATTACCAGCAAGGATTCGTCTGTTAAAAATCACGTAAATGACTATTGAGGAAAATATAAAGTAGAGACTAATTAAAATTAGGTTGTTCACCTAATAGATAACCAAGAGACGAGTACCTGTTATCACTTAATATTTCCGTTCTATAATTCAACATTGCTTGCACATGCCACAAAGAAGGACCGGGCACTAGCTCTAGATTTTGTCAAACAGATATCAAAAGGCCTTGCTTATTTACACTCACATAATATTATCCATTGTGATCTAAGCCCCAGTAATATTCTCATAGATGAGCTCTCTGGGTGTATGGTTATTTGTGACTTTGGATGTGCTCACCCAAACTCCAACAGTTTGACAGATACAACTGAAGAAATCGGCACAAGGTCAATTAATGCTTTAAAAATTGTATCGATTTTCAAGAAACCTAACTTTCTTTTTCAGATACTACAAAGCACCGGAACACTTATTTGGTTCCAAAAAATATGCTTCTTCCACCGACGTATGGTCTTTAGGATCAATTTATGCAGAATTATTATTTGGATACCCCATCTTTGCAGGTGAGACGGATATAGAACAGGTTGGCAGAATAATTGGTAGATTAGGAAAGCCATCAGATAAAGTCGAAACAGAGGTAATATAAAACACCAAGAAGCAAAGCAAAAAAAAAAACTCATTGATGAAACAGGAAATGTCGGACTATCCTGACACAAACAAACTTATGTTCTTTTCATGTGCTTCTTCGGATGATGAGTCTGATTTCGATTTCGAGTCGGACGATGAGGAAATGATATTGGTAAAAGCTAACAGAAAGTCCTTAAAGCAACTGATGCAAGAAGAAAATCTTTCTGAAACAGAGCAAAATCTAGTTGTAAGGATACTGACCTGGTCAATAAAGGAAAGAATGAGCCTACCTGAGGTAAGAAAAAAGTAAAAGAAAGTTTGATTTAATTTGTCTAATGATGAAATGTAGATAACCTTACTTACCCAGCAATAAAAATGGTATATTGCATGTGCATTTAGTAACCATCATTATGGCAATTATTATTTCCAATAATAAAGAATATGGCTTAAATTTAATTTACTGATTGATAAGTCTTATTTATTTACAAGTTGTCAATTACTGGTTGGGTCGACGTATGGAGTTGTACTTCTTAACAGCGTCTTCAATTTTTCTGAAAAAATCCTCTCTGCTATGTTTATCAGAGATAATCAAGAAAGGTTCCCAGCTCATACTTCGGAGATATATTGCGATTCCAGTGGGCTCACGCTTGATCGTTTGAATCTCTGTAAAAGGTTCTTGCCATTCCACAGCCAATTTTCGAGTTTTGATCAGCATAACACGGTTTGTAGTTAGCATGGCTACCCTTTCATCATTTTGAACATGACAATGCGCAATATATATATCATTGATGTATTTCCCACCATCTACATCTTTAAGCCAATGTTGGCCTATAGCCTCACGTAAGGAATATGGCTTCAATAAACCATCAGGTCCGATATATCGTGGATAACGTATGCGTTCAATCATGTTTGTATCCGTCGGGGTTGCTGTATTTCGGATGCCTTCTGTTACATTACTAGTAAAATCGAACACGCCCACGGCAGGTTTTGTAACAGCTCTGAATGGCGAATACGATTAACAATTAAAAACTTCTTAATAGGAAAAAAAATGCTTACCCAATGATACCCTTTCCAAAGCCCTTGAAAAATCCTCCCACACCCTCTTTAGATCCTTCCATTGGTCGAGTCTAAATAAAAATTGAACACATGAATAAGAAAGTTCAAACTGATAGCAACTGACTTACAACGAGGCCTGAAAACCCACTGGCGACACTATTTGCAAAAGATGTAGCACCCTGAGTTACACCAAGCAAGGCATGTTTTGGGCGATTTCTTGCCATGTTCATTCTTCGACGATCTTGATAGTCTCTATCTAAAGTGGCGGCGGATAAACCTTTTCCAATACTGCCAGTAAATTTCGTAAAACTGTCAGAAACACCAAACACACTCTTTTTCACAAAACCACTGAATCCCTGCGTAAATTAACAGACGTTAGCAAATACGATGTTTAAAAGACTATTGTATCCTTACCTTTGCAATTCCATATCCTAAATCTTGAGGACGATCACTCATAATGAGACCTTGCCAAGGCTCATAAAACAATTCAGCAACACCAGAACTCAGATTGTTGAAGAGACCCACAGGATTTCCCAAAAAATCAGCAGATCCAAGAATACGATGAACTTGATATATAAATTGATCACTGTAATGCATAGAAATTCTATTGGCTAAATCAGGACCACTTGCCATGACATTTTCGATGGCCAAAGCATTGAACCGCAAAGGGGCAGCATTAATATTACCAATAGCCATCGTCAATGCGTTTACCAGATACATCATGGGAGTATTTGTTTGGGGTCGATTGGCGTTATCACTTTCATCTGACCTTAAGAAAGACAAGTCAAATCGAATGGGTTGAATACTGAATAATTCAAAATAAATCTGAGCAATATCATGACGAGGATTGACATCAGGAATATCTGTTGTGTATTCCCACAATTTGGCATCAGTACCCGAACTCTTGCTTGTGTTGTCTTGGTCAATATGAGCAAAATCCATGATAGCATAAACAAATGTTTCGTCCAATTCAATGCTAATCTCTTGCAACAAAATTGAGAAATATTTGAAATAAGTAACACCATGAGAGGAGTCCTTGACCCTATCCAAACCAATCTGCACAGTGGGGAGAATCTTATTCGATTTGCGGCGATCACCACTATCAGTTGAGTTGGTAGGATATAACAAGATAGGGAAGTTGGAGCCATACATTTGATTGTCGATTTGCACCCAGTCAACGTTCCAACGCAAAGAATGATACATTGCGGAGTCAGTCAACTTGAAATCAATACCTTTAAGAGTAAGATATGCTAATTCCTGTAGCTGCTTATTGATGAGAGATATACCCACTTCTTTCAGTTGAATTCGGAAGATGGCATTAACTGTCATGTCAACATTGGCAGCTTCGAATCCTTCTTTAGCAATAACATCCACCGAGCTCAATGAAGCAGAAGAACTGGCACGTTTAAGCTCACCAGCAATTGGCTTAAAATGACTTTCCTTTTGACTATAAGGCTTCAATTCGAGAATTCGACGGCTGCCATGAATTTTTACATCGATAGAGGTAATTGCGGGTGTACCCTCACGGGTCGTATGACGGAAAGGTAACATACTGCCAATTTCTTGTAAATTGATACTTCTTTCGCGGCCGTTAATTCCCAATATAATTTTTTTGTCTTTATAAGCAGGTAAGTCCCAGGAATAAGGTACAGATTCATGGGCAGGTAAACGGTATCGTTTGATTCTAGGATTTCTAACAGGAGTATAGTTATAATCATCTCGTAAAATAACAGGATCTTCTTGGTAGAAGATAACATCCTCTGCAGTCTTGTTAACCAAAAGATAGGGCCAGTTATCGTCCGATTCTTTAGCCAAAACAATGAAAATTGTAGCTTCTTGAATTACAGTAGTGACTCGTATTAAGGTATCCTGTTTTCCATAGTCATTAGTGAGTCGTATATGGACATCGCCAATATCTTGAATATTGAAAGGCGCTGACCAGGCATTACTAATACCCTCTAATTTGATGGTTAGCTGCTTTTCAGTCTGAACACGAATGTTGTACAAGGGAATACGCTGCTTGGATTCCAAGATGTAATCGTCCTTAGTTTCAGGTACGCGATAACGAATATTCTCACTTGTTTGGTTACTCAACACAAACCGTGGCGTAATAGTTATCGTTTTTGTCAACTTGAATTTGCCTTCACCTTCTTGAATATTGATACCAACATGGATTTCGTCTGAGCGATTATGGTTAGGCAATGCTACGTCATACACACTTCCAATAGCCTCGAAACTCAATGGTTGACTCCATTCTGATTTGTCTACTTGGATGAGTGTTCGGTTACCATTGTCAGTACTAGGGTAAGAATACATAAAAGGCTCCGGCTTTGATTCAGGTTTACACATCGTTACGGTTTCACCAGTAGAGTAGATGGCATCAGACCAAGCTGGCTTCTCCTTGAAGCTGATTGGTAGTCCAGTCTTATTGATAATAATGTAAGGACTGTAAAGACTATACTTTTTAGCACCTCCAGAATCTGGGATGTCAAATGTATTGATACGGATGTTTAATTTACTCTTGTCTTTGCTGCTGATCAGTTCAATTGAATCATCAATGTCCAGGTCATCTGTTCGCTTTGTGCTTATGATGGCGTATTCGCTTCGTTTGTAAACAGTATCCGGCATTTGAATATTTAACAGCACCAAATGTCCATTTCCAATAACATGGATGGGTGTAACGCCCCCCTTACGTAAATAAGAACTAAAATCTTGACCAGACGTTTTGTCAACTATACGGAAATTAAAATCAAACGGAAGCAGGTTTTCAATTTCAATAGGAGCACTTAAACGAATGCCCATAGCAGGGTATTGACCAAACAAGATACTCTTCCGATCTAAACGAGCATGGATTTGAAATATAAAAGGTGGCATACTGTTTCTTTCTTCAGAAAGGCAGCTAAACATACTTTCGGGTTTGGTGGGATTAGCAAAGTCTTTCCAGTGAAAAGCTTTTTCCGTCCATCGATAGCCAAACCCAGCATCAGGTCGGATACAGAACTTATTGGTATAAGCTTTTTCAATAGGAATTGCATAATCTTCTCCAGGGGCAATCTTCCTCACCGGTCCATCCATCTTATCGTTAGTCCCAATGGAGGCTAAGTCTACAGATAGCAAAGTTCGATTTTCAATTACAAGGGCGGATCGGATGGTAACAACCTTGATATTATCAACAAGTTTGACATCAAATACAATACGGTGCTGCACATTTTTGATCATGGGTCGTAAAGGATGCATATGCTCACCTTCGGTGTCAAGTTGAATATCACGAAGACTTTCCCACATGGCACCATCAATTTGAATATTCAAATTGTTACTTGCAAAAGATGTGTTTTCACGACGCTTTTTCCAGTCTTCAAACCACCATGGCAAGTTTCCACCATTTTGTATTTCCTTAATAGTGGGACCCTCTTTTGCATCAGTTGTGTTCCAGACCATAATGTTATAACCTGTTCTATTTCGCAACTCGTATGGCGCAACGGTTCCTCTTTCTCCACTAAAAATAGTATTCTTCTTTTTATCCAAAAGTTGCATAGTTGACATGGCACTCTCTAAAAATGTGTGAGTTACATTAAAATTAAGGATCTCATTGGAGATCAACTTGACATTTAGGGGATCACTTTTAGTAAAAGGATTACGGTCCAACTCGAGACGGAAACTCCAGGGTTCCAATAATGGTTCCCAATGTGAATTCTTGATATTGAAGTAATTGACAAAAGTAGAGAACTCAACTGTAGCAGAAAGATCTTTAGACCAGTTTGCAACCTCAACGTTAAATGGTTTCAAATTCATGTCAATCATTGGGGTTTCATGCAGTTCTTCAATCAAAATTATCTGCGCACCGTGAAATGAAATACGAAGTGATTCTTGAGACAGTGCAATTTCGTTTAGTCTGTCGATTTCATTTCGGGTATCATCATCCGGAGAGCCTGTAGGTGAAGTTAAAAGGTCTGCATAGTCAGTACCGGATGGTAAGCCATCACCACTCACACTAGCATTGTATAACTCGAACGCCTTGTTGAATATATCTGTCACGAGCATCGCATCACGGTACGAAAGACGCAGTACTAAAGGGTCGATATTCATAACTAAGTCAGTCAGGGAGCCACCTTGTTCATTTTTGGGGTTGCTATTCATAGAAAGATTGACATCAAACGGCTGAATAAAACGTAAAGTAGATTTCTTGCGCATATCCATTCTACAAAGAAACATGCCCATCTGTTTAACAACAAGCGCTGTCTTAGTTTGTTGAGTAATCATTAATTCCTCAGTAGATAGAACGACAGCTTCCGAATCAGACCGATCAGGATTGGCCAGCAAAATGAATTCAGCATTTACAATGTTCAGTAGATAAGACAATTCCATGCCCGACTGCTGCGATTGCTGAGGCTCATTATTTATATCAGAGTTTCTGCGACCAGGTTTATCAGCATCTGATTTTCCATTAAAAGACGTAAAGAAATCACGAAGAAGGAAAGCATGATCGAGAGATAATATGACCTTAGGATCCTTGATCGTCATTACAACAATGCCGGAACGAATTGGGTCAGGCTCCTTGATATCAAGCTGGAGTTCAAATTGGTGACCGTCTTCAATTACAGGGACGATATGCTTGAATTTACTGCTTACACCAGGACGCGTATCATCAACGGTAAGCGAGTGCACAACTAAATTAACATCCATCGTATTGTTGTCGTACATGTGAAACTTTACACTGCTGTTATTTAAGGCGATTCTTGATAGACTAGGTGGTTCTTGAATATTATTCAATGCTTCTGTATTGTTCAGATATATCTCTAAACCTATAGTTTTGGTATCCAAGGTAATTTGGATACTCGGCAAACCGTTTGATTTTTCAGATTCTGTAAACATTTCGGTAGGTTTTTTTGCTTGGCTTGTTTGAGACGGGACTAAAGCAGAAGGCGAGTCGGCTGTTAAAGCTGTATCATTTTGGTCTTCAAGGTTTGAAGAAAATACACGCGAAATCATGTTGATGGCCTCCATCAAGAAAATGTATTGTCTTTCAGTCAAGCGCATTGTCACATCTTTTATACTACCACATATATCTACTCCGGGTCGGGTGCTAGACATTTCTTGAGGAATCTTGATATCTAAATTTAAATCAATATCATCCACGATCGGTAATGCTTGTAATTGAGATGAGTTCTCGTTACTTCGAGTAATATGAAACTTTGAAGTAAGATTGATAGCACGAAGCCCAGCCTTAATTGTATTGATACATCCATCGGATTCATCCACAAAAGAGTTAGAGGCCCAGATTTCACCAAGATGAGCTACGACCACATCGGAAGCATGCTGATGATGTTCGGGAAAAAAAACTACAGGCGTCTTAATAACAACATCAAAGTGCATTTTAGTTGCAGCTTGGCCCAACTGTTGTGCGGATTCTAACGCAACTTGTCGGGCCCTGTCGTAAGTCGATTTCATGTCTGCAAACTTGCTCAAAAAGTCCATAAACTGGTGTACAGGCTGTTCTAAAAAGTTAAATTGAGCGGATCCCATACGCAGATAAAGAGCGTGGTCATATCCTGGATAATCCTTTCGACCATTGACAAATGAATTGTAACGAAGATCGATAAGCTCTTCACCTTGAATTGTCAGCAACTGGTTGCTGGTTTTATGCTGACCGGAAGTATGTTGAGGTGTAAGGTTGTCAGTAAGTGTAAAGTTGGCAAATTTAGCGGCGACGTTTACTTGGCTATCTACATAGATAGTGGACAAGTCACCTAACGATAACTCACCAGTTGCCAATCTTACACCATCATTGTTCAGTACAAAATTTACACTATCAAGTAAGAGACGTACATAAATGCTGCTACTGCTACTATCAGTGTTGGAGGCAGCAGGAATATTAGTAGCAGGAGACGTATTTAATGTCCTCCCAGCTCCGTCGACTGATGACTTTCGGTGAACGTTCGAAACTACTTCGTCATCTACGAACGTATGCATAACAAAACTATGCAAAGTAAGAACAGAGCTCCGTGTTACAATGAAGTTTAGCGTAGAAAGTGTAACGTGAACAGTTTGATCAATGCCCTTGTACTTTGTAACATATTCCGGGCTTGCTTTATCACAACGTATATATTCAACATTTACAAGATTCTTGAGACTGTTATTTTGTTGTCGATCTGGCTGAAGGGCATTTTGGTCTGAGGTAATAATGTACTTGAACTCGTTTCCATGTTTCATGCGATCTGTAATATCCAAAGAATGTAATGATAAATTGACACTCATGTCCATAGGGCGCATACTGTATCCCAACGAAAGGTTTTGTAAATCCACTTCACACAAGAGAGTTTCTGGTGCATCTTTCCCATGATTTTTTATTTTCTCGGCCTGTAAAACATTGGCAAGAACTCGATCCACTTTAAAACTAAGCTCAAAGACACGTTCTTCGATACTGACAACTTCTTTCCCCTTTTTGACTTTTTTTCCAGAAGTAATCATAGGTGTTGAAGTCGCCTCGGTGTCTTCCGTCGTCGCCGTCCCTGCTATTGAGGAGCCCCCATGGTCATCACTGCTGATTTCACTATCCGTATCGAAAAAAATATCTTCATTGTTGTTTTTATTCCAAAGTGGTGTGTTCATGAGGTTAAACCAACGTTGATCAACTTGGTTTTTCTTGTCCATGTTTGCATATTCACTGTTCACATCTACAGTGGTATTATTGTTACCAAGCAGACCAGAGGCATCAATAAGTCGAGGTAACTGCATAATGGTGCGATATTTTGTATCTGAGAAATTGACCTTTAAAAGAGGCAGGTGACCAGAAACTTTAAAACGAGGCATTTCAACAGATTTACGAATAATACAAAGCTCCATTTGAAATGTCATATCAATACGATCCACCAAGTGCAAATATTCTAATTCCTTACGGGGTGTACGAACTTGAACAAGACATGTTTCGATAGAATCGCCCACAAGAATTTTGGTTTGTGTTAATTGAACAGTGAACCTATCGTACATTAACTCCCTAAGTTTCATGTTATCCTCGATTGTCATATCAGCAGCTGACTTGGACTTAAGGATCACCAAAGCCTCAGGAGGAGCCAGATTGCTTTCAACATTAATATGACCAGCATCGATAACAATACCCCGAGAAGTAATGGATGAGCAACTGAAAAAAAAAACAACTTTTAATAATTGTGGTTGGTGTTGTAGTGATGATGTAATACTTACTGTTCAGGAATGATAATGACAGGTGCATCCATATCTACACGAAGATCGAATGTAGTGTGCTGGTCAAGAGCAAACTCTAAGCTTGCTCGTGTTTGATTTTTAAGGTCTTCCAATGTATCACCAGCAACTTCAATCAAAGCATTAATACTGTCAGCGCTCGTTTCTGGTGGCGTGAAGAAATCAACAATTTCATGAATAATACGAGGATTATAAACAATATCAATATTGCGCATAAACAAGGCTACTGCATTGTCTGCTCTTCCGTCTAAAGGCTTATGTTCAAAAGTGGCGGTGAAAAAAGGGTTGCTAATATTTGAATTATTAAGTTGATGTATGTTCTCCACGGATTCACTCTTTCTCTTTTCATTATCCTTCCCCTTGGCTCCCATTAGCTTATAATAAGGAGAATCAGCATGCAGACCGTCATAAAGACAAAGATCACCCAGAGCAGCTGTAGCAGTAAATGATTCAACGTATTGTGTCATACCAAGCGACACATTATCAAAAATAAGAGAAACCAAATCAGCAGGTTTGTCATGTGGATCTTTGCGCACAGTAAAAGACCCCTTATTGAGTGATGTGTTTAAAGAAAGTAGTATGGTCTGTAATTAATCAAATTGTTAGTATCATTACCACTATATACATCATACGTTAACCTACATCTTTAGGTAAATCAATTGAAGAAGCGATAGCAGCTTTATCAGCATTGTAATCAATGACGTTGTAAAATTCCAATTTTTGCTCTTCTGTAATGACCAAATCCTCTTCTGTCTCATTCTTATATCAAAAAATTGATTAATGTAACCGTACAGTGACTAAATAAAAGACGATACTACTTACAGTTGGTCCTGCTGAATTAGGGTCTTTACCATACCACCAATTAGAAATTCCCCAACCTTGGGTAGCCCTGTTAGCAGCAGCTTCTGCCTTCCGTTTTTTTTCAATGGCGGCTATAAAGAAATAACATGTTATTATGAGGTAATAATAAATAAAATATTTAGTACCTAAACGGGCTTTTTCACTTCGAAGTTTAGGCTTTGCCAGACTACGATAAAATCTGAGATCTTCATAAGCCAGCTCTTTTTCTAATTCGCGAAGTTTTTCAAGTTCCTCAGGCGATGCTCTATCCAATTTATCTTGTACATAACACTCAAGATATAATTTACGATCATCGCTTCTTTTCTTAATCCTTTTCCATGTCCAACGTTCATTTCTTTCGTGAATTTCGGACAATACGGCATTACCCGCGAATCGGAAAAATTCTAATGGATCCGATTTAGGTGTCTTATCACTAGATGGATGAATTTTCTTGTACTACATAAATAGACTTGTATGAGTGGATGTACCTTACGTAACCTGCTTTTTGCTTATATACCTTCTGTTTTTTTAAATACGAATGAAATAAGTCGATCATTAATATGGTATCTCTATATTGCTCGTTATCTACTGCAAAAGAAAGTTCATCAAACAGGAGCGAAGCATCAATCTTGGGTACTTCGGCACCAAAATTCTTGCGAAGCTTAACCTAAAACATAATGTATGTAAATATATCTACATATTAGAGTAACCCATCCCATATATACTCACTCTTCCAGTTCCAGAAACAGGCTTTAATATATATTGATGCTCTGTAGGCACATAGTTTTTGGTCGCAATCTATTGTATCCGTAATTAGGGAATATAATTATGCATATTCATAGTGGAAATGCTTACTAATTCCTTGAATGAATTATGAGAGTTTTCCTGGGCTAAGGTTGGGGCGTTTGTATCCCAATAAATTGAAAGTGATTCTAATGTCGCCAACTACAATATGATATATTTAATATATACTTCAGCTGACATCAACTAATATTTTGCCAAGACTTGTTTACCTTGTGAATAGTGTTCACAGTTTCACCAATCGTATTGGCAATCCAATTTTCATCTGTAGTGATGGCAGATAACTCACTGAGAGTGATACCAGCAGCAAAGCGATGGTTTGTGGAGACATCGTCTTCATATCGGATATGAATATTTGTAATCGAAAATTGAAGGTTGTTCAAAATCTTAGTTAAAAGTTGGTTTGCAAAGGTATCGTTTTTAGCATCTTCCGCAGTATCGTGTTCATTTGGATCAAGCATTAATTCTGAGTTTTCCAACTTTCGCATCTTTGCGTCGTGTTCTCTTTGTGCCAACTCTTCTGCTGTCATCTATTCAAGCGATATTAAATGAGTTTTGTTTTCTTTCTTCATGTCAATGCTCTTACATTAGATTCATTTCTGGGAACAGCCAATACATAAGCGTCTTTAATATTAATAAGCACTGGTTTTCCTCTCAAGTTGTTCCAAGGGATAGTCAAAGTGAGTTCTCCAAGGTAACCTACATAATCATTTGTTGATTTTTTTTTTTTTTTTTTTTTTTGCAAGGGGCTAACATTTGTTTGATTCCAGCTTACCTTCCAAAACATCAACAGGTAAATTGAATTTATCCAACGCTTCTCGTCGAAGTTTAAGATCGCGTAATGTCACCTCACCTGATTGATTGTAACAAAGTGTTATAATTTCTTATATTCATTCCATGTCCTGTTTTCTTTCTTACCTGACCAAATACCAATTTTTAATTGATTATAGTTTAAGTTAGAGACATACGCGCCTAATACCCTATTAAGCAGGGTAGACACAACAGACTCTAGCATTTTATATCGCTTTACTTAGGTTTGGTGTGTACAAAAGATATAAAACAAGTGATAAATGCGAATAAAAGAAATATCAATGCGAAAAATGACATAATTATTATTTGTTTAGCGCGTGGCTATCATCTTGGATCATGCTAAACAGGGTCACACCAAAACTAATAAATCATTTGTTCGTCATTTCTTCTGTTGGCTTTAAAAATTGAACCACATCATAGTTAAATGCTCATAATTTGAATGGTAATATCAATCACCAGCTATAAAATTGGAATAAATGATATTCGTGGCCCATTAAAGCTATTTTTTAAAATCGAGATAGTTTAATATCATGAAAGGTCAGCGTACGGTATTCACGAATGTTGCTAATACATATCACTGGAGAGCATAAAAAATGGTGCACCCTAAAATAAATCAGCGATCAAAAATTGAAAAATATCGCAAACAAATTAGAGCGGAAATAACGATCTTTTTTTTAAAAATATCGCGATTGGCGATATCGATCAAATTTTCCAAAATATCGCGATTGGCAATATCGATCAAATTTTCTAAAATATCTTTATTGGCAATATCGATCAAATTTTCTAAAATATCGCGATTGACAATATCGATCCATAAATCAAAAACAAAATATCGTTGGATGGGGTAAAAAAAAAGGGGTAGTCGATAATCGATATAATATTACTTTTACACCCCTGCTAAATCAGTATATAGGCTTGAAATTGATACGTTTATATATATTGGGAAAAACAAAGTTTTATTTATAAAAAAAATTAAATAACGTCGAATCTGACCATGATGGACCTCTTCAAATATGGAAAATGACCAGTAAAATATGACCAGTAAAATATGACCAGAGACAGACATAATCAGAGGAACTACGATAGTGACCACACGAAGACCTCAGAAGAAAAGCAGTATCACTTACCTGCAAAAATATGGTTTACGTTAATAAGAGAATAAATTATCATATTTAGCAATGTGTACCTTTACAAAACCGTGGGATGTACGAGCCTCAAATAAACAGTAATATCAATCAGCTTTAAAAAGTTGGGTTAACTTAATAATAAACAAGTATACCAAAGTCAAGTTATTTACCTTTCCACAAGTAATCAATGTATTGATTCCTTTAGCTATAAAAATGTGCTAATAGATATAAGAAAGTAGTTAGAGTTCCTTACCGAGCAAAGAGCATTGGTCTGATCCTAAATTAGAAAGTTGTAACAAGTTTATTATTAGTCACATAACTAAATCTAAATTAATTTAAAAATGGTTATGATGAATCAAATACCATTAGCCATTCGCATATACATACATTAACCTGGAAGAAAAAGAAAAGGGGAAAAAGAATAAGAATAAAAAGGTATAAAAAACAAAGTTTGTTTAAATAAGAAAAAAAAAAAATTCAGACTCAATTCCTTTTTTTTTGGCAACGCCGTACGGGTTGATTATTTTCTACAGCAACTGATTCATCAGTCTTGTAAATGACGTTTCCCCTTATCCAAAGGCCATCCCGCGCATGATGAGGCAGAGCAAAAAAAAATTGTCGTCTTTGATGCAAAGGACCTTGTGTCTACTATTGGGTTGGTGAATGGGGTCGACAGGTCTAACAACAAATATGTAATAAAAACTGGTAAGGCTTTCAAAGTCGATAAGAGTAGTATTACCAACAGTGTTGGAAAATCATTAAAACCCACAGTCACATGTCCCCTTTTCTCATTTTACTTACGTAATCTGAAGTTGTCTTTTTCTTACCCTGGCTATCATCCCCATAAACATTTTTTTTCTTTAAAAAATCACGTTTATCTATTAACATGGTATTGCTACATCTATTTATTTATGTATAGGTTGTTTTTATAGAGATTTGAAAATTTGGCTTTGCGATCAGCGATCAAAAAAAACATTTTGATTGCTGATTTATTTTAGGGTGGTGCGCCGGTAATGACATAAGATCTATGCGGAAGAAAATCAGTCGCAAAGTAGGCTTGATCTAAGTTTTAGTATTACTAAATTATAGGTAGAACTGCACCTGAATTCATCGACATATATTCGGTAATGATAGCCTGAGTAACTTTAGATCTCTTATCAATGGAAGATTAGCTACAAACATGTTTTTATTTTTAGATCTTGATTACATAATATACTTGCACAAATTAATTAGATAATTTTGTTAGAAGTTTTTACATCATCTCAAAAGCTCTGATCTGATTATTTAAAGGACACCACTGTTGCAGTCAATAATAATATGGATTGCTGTTACATATGATAGGATCTTTCCTATAAATACTCCCCTTTTTTTTTTCAAAGTAAATAAAGATTCTATTTAGTTTTGTTCACCCAAAGGATTTATCTAGTAATTGATACTAAGTAGTATTTCCTCCGCTTTTTGTTGCTGTTTGTTGTCCATTGTAAATTATACAATCACTACATCTTCATACATAAATCCGTCGTAAACTCAACTCTTTTACATCTAAGGGCTATATTCTCTTCTCATCTCTCCATGTGTTATTATCGATTTACATTTATTTGCTATATCCATATATTTTGTCGTCTAAGATCACTTCAGAACTATTCTTGATAAATAATAGAACTAAGCTGACAACTAAAAGTCTGGTGCTCACTATCACAATTGTTATATAATAACAATTGTCCCTTTTTAAAATCTGAAATCGTACTAGTGCGAAATCACCATTATATTTACAGGTGTCACTAGGATTTACTTCATTAAATTAGCATTTAAATAAATAGCGTGCTCTTTTGTCTAGACTCTGCGACAATAAACATACATCTCCGAACACTGAAACCAACAGTTTATGATACAATCACAAGTTGACCAAGTACAACTAAACTACCCTTCTAATAGACATATTTCATAGGATTTATGTATATCGAGCTAGATAAATTAATGACGTGCTTAAAATGTTGACCAGTTTCATGATTCGTAATAAAATTGGGGAGCTTAATCCTAATTTTTAACAAGACTGACTTAAGCTATTGCCATTTAGAAGCCTTGTAGAAAACTAAAACTAAATCTAAAATGTTGTCCTTAAAAAGGTGCTACACCTGATTTATCAGTAAATGTTATGCACTAAATTATCTTTAGTTTTGTAAACGGGACGTATTCAAGTTCGAGCTTTGACTGCTTCTGATTTATGCGTCGTAAAATCTCAAACGATTGTAAGAGTTTAGTCTCTATCAAGACTATGAGCTATAGCAATGATTATAAATGAGAGAAAAATGTTGTTAAAGAAACATCTGTAAAGTATTTTATCCAATATAGCTTACTGGTGGTGAGCTGATGTACCATAGTTGCCCTTGATGGAGTGTAATAATTTAAGTGACCTTTTGTTTGTATCACATAATACAAACTTTTGTTGAGCTTCTTCGTGCTGCTGGCATTAGAAAACTTGAGCTAAGAAATCGAGTACTTTATTTTTTAAAGAAGGCATAACAATAAAAGGTATTCCAACATGGTCATTTACTCGGAAATAAGGTTAATTAACGAAGGAGCTTATTCAAGTATTTATTAATGTTGCGGAGTGCGATGTCTTGCGCTTTAACATAGTGTGTGTTACTTTTTTTATGGAACAGACGGGAGTATTTTGCTTCTTCAAGCGCTTACGGTTGCGTCCCTATAACCAATCCTGTCGACATAACCATAAAAATTTAGGGATTTAGACTAAGATTGATGTCTTAACCCGTCATCCTTTTTTTATACGTAATGTTTCAAGAAAAGTGAATAATAATCAATGTCTCAATTTACGAATAGTGACGTGCCAGTGTAAAAGTAGTGTATTTCTTGCTGTTTTTACAAAAATGCTTAATATGTCTAAAATATTTATTCTTATTTTGATAGCGCAGCTGAAGGCCATTTAGCTTATAGATGCAAATAGTAAACTGTAAAATGTATAGGGTATGCGAAAAATTCCCAGGCCATAAAATCGAATTTAAAGGAACATCATTTCTTAATTGTGTGTTGCATTACTCAGGTTACTGGTCATGATATGACAAATCAATAATTTTATCCTCCCATTTGGGGTTCGATAGTCTCATATATAAGGACTTAAATAGCTTGATGAGAGTGGGTGAAGGCGGGAGCCATATGAACTTTCTTATTGAACCTTAGCTTTTTTACGACATTATTTTGGCAAAAAGCGTAAACAATAATATCCTTAACGGGAAATCAGTGCGACGCTAGTATAACACAGGATTTGCACCCATATGTGCGGAAACGATACATATTTTGGGAGTGACCGGTCTGTGTGCACCTGCCTCACACAAATTGTCTACGCCTCATCCGTGTTAAATACCTAAGAAATACGAGCTGATAATTATAGAAAAATAAATTGACATTATAGTAAAAAATACAACGAATACATAATAGTGTCGTATGAGTGGTGTTTTTTCGAAAGAAGGTTTAATATAATTTCAGTTAGTGACCTTTTAAACGAAAATTAGAAAAGGTCGACTTTTACTATTAAACTGTACGAGCAAGTGATAAATTTGGAATTCATCTTTCAACTCCCGGTACAGATTTCATACCCATCTTTCATTTGCGCGTGTGTCCCTTTTTAGGGTTAAATAGGAAAACAATGATTTGCCTTTTATATTAAATTCTGTACTTGTATTTTTTTTATTTTTTTGCTTTCTTTCTCTCCCCTATCTTTTTTTTTGTGTGTTGTTATTTTGGCCGATCAAAAAAAAATGTATCCAGCACATAACCCAACAATTCCAAATCAGAAAAAAAAGCATCGGAATCCATTTACTTTTTTATTTAATAAACAATATAAAAGTACTCCAACCATGTCAATTCCGGCCGAAAAGCAAGGTATAATGAAATTTCTTGAATGACGTGTGAAAATTCGGTATTAATTAACCTTAGGTCTTTTCGGGGCATCTCTCTGCGAGGCTTTGAAAGTCGGGTCGACACTTTGGGGCCTAAAAGTGCCTGACCCAGTTGCTTTATGTTTTCTTGAAATTGATAAACGAGGTAATGTCAAAAAGCACAGACCCTTTATAGATATCGTCTAAAACTACTTATTACAACAACAACAAAAAAGGTTTAACAACAGAAGGTATTTTTCGCCTATCGGGTGCAACTTCCGAGGTCATCTTACTTGAAGATAAAATCAACATGTCTTCACCTGACGAGAGAAAGCAAATCAATGCAGACGAATTCGATATTCATACACTGACAAGTCTCGTAAAAAAATATCTGCGTGAGTTGCCTGAACCAGTCATTCCAAACGAGTTTCATGAGAAGTTTCAAGATATAGGTAACAGCAGACTATGTGAACTTGGTAACATGTATTGACAATTACACAGATCTTTTACGTAAACGCCAAGGTTTAGATAAACTCTCTTCAGTTATTGTAAAGTTACCCTATCAAAATCGACAGTTGTTACATGCTATTCTGGTTATGGCCTCAAAAATCCAACAACATGTTCAGTTAAACATGATGTGTCCTGAAGCATTAGCTACAGTATTTGCACCTGTCTGTACTGGATTCGAACAATCGTTAAAAGATACAATGAGAGTATCCAATTCTAGCTCAACTAGTTCTACATTTAAAAAGCAGCGAAAGCATAGCAGTAACGAACAAATATTGAATTCAAGCGAGATAATTGAAAAGCATATCAAAAGAAATAAGAATTGGACAAACATTTGGAAATTTATGATCGAACAACATGCAAGTTTAATTAGTACTTTGGATAAACAGAATTCAGAATTTAAAGAAAACAATCGATTCAATCAGGAATCCACTTGGAATAAAAAGCAAGTTCATTATAGCCATCATCAACAACATTTGAATAGGTCGTTACCTTCGCCATTTTCTACTTGTGGGAGTACGCCACCTTTACCAAGTGAAATTATTATGGATCAGTTCTACCCCATGAACCAAAATAGTATACCAATTGTTCAGCCGACAGCTAAAAGAACTCCTCGTCAACCTTCTGTAACACCATCTTTTGAAGACCCAAAATCCAATTCCATCTCAAAAAAAACTTATTTTTTTCAAAAATCAAACACAATAAGAAAAATATTATCGGCTAGCACATTAAGATAACGACCATCTGAATTTCTCCATTACACTCATTTTTATTATGTGACATCTCATGCCCACACAAACACACAAACACACACACACACATACAATATCTCCCTTTCTTATCATATGCATATGTATCTATGATTTTTATTTGTAAGCTAAATAAAAATGCACTTTCTTTTGTTCTGTAAACACGAATATCATTGCCAAGAATGTTGCAATTTATCATTACGCTAATACAGTACTAAAAGGCTTATCCCCTCCGTGCATATAAAATATAACACCAAGTCTCCTTTCCTTTCCTTTTATCCTTTCTCTCTCTCACTCTCTCTCATTATGAATTTGACTGCTATTTTTGCTTCTGCTTTATTACTGACACTGGTATCAGCATTTCCAGTCTCTCAAGAAAATAGAAATATACGGATCAATAAAGGGCTACCGTTTCAAAATAATAATTTAGGATACACGCTTCCCGCCATTCAAAATCCATAAATATCACTGAAAATTGGTTTGGTAAAAGAACCTGTTTTTAAATAAAATGACGAGGAATGGATAGAGCTTATTTTTGTTTAAAAAAATGAGGTACTTTGTGTTATTTTTCAAATATTTTGAACTAATCTTTGGTGCTGTGTGATAGTATTATAAGTTAAAATAGCATTTCAACAGACATTTTATATTAAAATTATAACCCTTTGAGAATATTTCTGTTTGTGTCCAATAGAGAGAGAGGGAGTTGATTTTAAAAATAGGTGCCATCAAATTTGGTATTGCCTATAAATATAACGGCTTAGCACCTTTTTAGAATAATATCAAGAGTTGACTGCTTTTTTAATAGCTCATCCAGCAGTGAAAGCTTGTTTACTTTCATTTATAATATAGTAGTCGTTCGATATACAAGAATAAATCTTTTGGGGATAGCTAGGTAGAGTTTATAGAATTTAAAAATAGTTCACCTCTATATCGTGCGGCTTTTATAAAGAAAATATGTAAGATAGAAGTATACGATTTTTATTCTTACTGTCACTGCATCATGGGCTGCATGTCAACGTTTCTCACTATATTTAGCTGATATCACGTAAAAATTTATATTGCTGTTCCTTACATGAATTATCCTCTTTTCCAATAGTTATTTCTCATGTATGTTTGGCATTATTTTATCCTACTATTTGAGGTGCTTTTTATTTTTGCTTTTTAATCGCTTTTCTTTAGGACAGCCAATTTTTCCTTAGAGACGGCTAAAGTGCACGTAGTCACAACGTAAGATCTGTGATTTGGCTGCCCTATACACCTGGAAACAAGAACATACAATCAAAAACAATGTAATTATTACGAGCAAATGTATATTGAACAATTTATACTTATTTTGACAATTCTATCATCACTCTTTCGCCTTTAATCTCGTTTGATTTGAATCTTACGCAGACATATTAAGGTAAAGTCCAAACGAGAGCTGAAAGTGAGCTATATTACACACATACTGTTTTAAAATATCGGTTGTAATAAAATTGTATCAATTTCAAGACGATAAGTTACATTGAATATATAGAAATGAGAATACAAAATAATAAATATGATTGTGCTTTATGTCTTCTTCATTTAAAGTCAGCGAATACAAATAAAATTAAAGCACCATAGTCCGACATTACAACCACACTCACCTGGATGTCCATAAGAGACCCGTTTTTTAATGACATGGTTACCTGTTACTGTACTAAACAGGCCCTATTACTTTGGCTTATCATTCAACTACAGTAAATTCTTTTTTAACAGCCAAATATACAATCTGATCAAATGCTATAAACAAGATAATATAACTATTGTATCGACGTATTACTTTTAAGAGCGAATTAACCAATTGTTGCACACTCAAACTGTTTGAACATTAGCTGCGAAAGAGAAAAATTTAACCTTGGAATTCAAGTTCCAAAATAGCGTTTTTATTATTTGAGAATGTTATTTCCATTTACCTTCCCTGGCATAGCACTTATTTCGCTTTGAGATCACAGAATATGACTGCGGTGGTCAATCCGGTATCAAAATTATTTAACCTGGATATCACCGTAGAAAACACAATTTCTCTTCATAGAAGTGGATTGGGGAATTAATTACTATTTTTAAAGAGGACTAAATTTATTTTAAACTGATCATTATAACTTCCAGACGAGCTTGCCTGCCAGAAAAAAAATGCGAATGAGATATTATTAATGTGCCCTTTGTACATACAGATTAAAAGTAATTGCTTCTAATGCTATATTGTAAAATAATGAGCTGTGATGTCTAATTCGTGAATCACAGGCCGCTTTAAGATGGAACATTGATTTGTTTCGAGTGCACATAATAGACTGGGTTTAAACCAAAACGCGTCTAACAAAAAAAAAATATTTTTTTTATTTTAATCACTTTTCTATCAAATACGTTTTTTAATCATGTCTGACAAAAAGAACGTTGATTTTAACGTAATTTATTGTGGTCTCCAGCCCGATGCAGGGCGTTTTCGTTTGTCTCAAAACGGACTTGGTTGGAAAGGTACTCGTGATCGTACCATTATTGTGGGTACCGATGAGCTCAAGAAAATGAGTTGGACCAGAGCAGCTAGAGGATTTGAACTTCGTGTCTTGAAGAAGGATAACACAGTTTTGAAGTTTGACGGATTCAAACCTGATGTATGTATTTTTCGTTATATTCGCTCAGCATTAGGGACATTAAACCTCTTTTTGATTGTAGGATTTGGAGGAATTAAAGGAAGCCATCAAGGCATTCTATAAGCTTACCGTAGAAGTGAAAGAAGTTAGTGTTAAGGGTTGGAATTGGGGAAAGGCTGATTTCCAAGGTAATGACGAATTCAAATGTTAGCAGTGGAAAAGAGAGGGAATACTAAATTACGGCTCGCAGGCTCCAATCTCAACTTTAATGTCACGAATAAGACCATGTTTGAATTACCTCTTGCACAGGCTATTGCAACTAACAAGCCGGGTAAGAATGAAGTTGCTATCAATTTTGTTGATCCTGGACAGCCCGCACCCGACGGTATTAATCCTAAGGACATTGATGAATTGATGGACGTTACATTTTATATTCCTGGTACAGTTGCAAAGGAAACAACAGGAGAAGATACTAATGTCGAGGATGATGAAGAAGAGGAAGTGAATGCTGATATGGTATTCTATGAGAATGTCAAATCCAAGTTGGAGCTCAGCCAAATGACGACTGAAAACATTGTTCAATTCCAAGAAGCATTATGCCTTACTCCTCGTGGCCGTTACAACATTGATATGTATCAAGATTTCCTCCGTCTTCGTGGTAAAACTTATGATTATAAAATTCTTTATAAGAATATCATCAAGTTGTTTTTACTCTTAAAGCCTGATGAAGTCCATGTCTTGTTTGTGGTAAAGTTGTGCTTTTTGGATTTTTATATTGTAATGTTTTTTAACAGAGCAATTACAGATTGGTTTAGATCCTCCTCTTAGACAAGGTCAAACGAAATATCCTTTCCTTGTTTTCCAATTTGTCCGTGAAGAAGAAATTGATGTTGAATTGAATTTGGAGGATTCAGCTTTGGATGAAAAATATGAAAATAAACTTCAAAAGCATTACGATGCACCCACATACGAAGTCGTCAGTAACGTATTCAGAGCATTGACAAATAGAAAGGTGACTGTACCCGGTAGCTATAGAAGTCATCACGGTGCAAATGCTTTAAAATGCTCAATGAAGGCAAACGAAGGTTTCCTTTATCCATTAGAAAAGAGTTTGTTGTTTATTCCAAAGCCTCCTACATTCATTCCTTTAAACGAAATTGGTGTGGTCACATTCTCTCGTGTCGGTCAATCGGGTGGTAGTTCTCGTACCTTTGATATGAAGTTTAATATGAAGAGTGGTAATGACATCCAATTCTCCAGTATTAACAGAGAAGAATATGCGAATATTGAGGATTACTTAAAACAAAAGAAGATCAAGATCAAGAGTGAAGGTAACGAGGATGTTGTTATGACGTACACTGATCTTGCTGAATTGGATGATGATGACGATGATGAGGACGAAACATTTGATGCAAGAAAGAAGCGTAGAACTGATATGTCTGGATCAATGGGCAGAAGTGCTCCTGGACTCGGCGGTAGTACTGGTGCAGATGATGAGGATGAAAGTCGTAAGTTACAAATCTATCCTTTTATTATGCAAAGATAGTTAATGTTTCTTTTAGCTGATGAGGATTTTGCCCCTGATAGTGATAGTGATGTACCAGAAGAATTTGATTCTGATGCTCAAGGTTCTTCAGAAGGGGAAGATGATGCAGGATCTGTTTAATGCTATCTTATTTGATATTAAAAATAAACCAGTTGATGTAAATATAATATGTGACTTGTCTACAGTTTTCAGACATGCGGTTCACAAAAAAAAAATCAGACAAAAGAATTAGATGTTTTCAGATAAAGATTACTTGTTATCATCCTTAAAACTTTGACAATCTAGACAGATAGTAGGTCGTAGACCATGTAGCGATTACTATTAAATGACGTGGGCCATTCGATGTGGGTATATCCTTTCTTTTTAGCAACTGTTGGAAGTCTTCGCTGTTTGAAGCTGTCAAAGGAAGTTGCCTTGTACTGGGTTCCAAGGGCTTCTTTCGATACTTCTTGTTATCAGACATTCAGAAGAACGCATCAGTTTATAGCTGACTTGCCTACAGGTTTTACAGACATCATCAGACGAAAAACCTGTGTCAAACCTTTGTCTCTAGTTCCTTATTTTTTTCCTGTTACTATCCTTTTGCTTCCTTTTTTCTCCCTGCAGATGGTGGAAAGTTTCAATACTCGCGATTATGTTTTAGACATATAAAGAAATCTATGATGCATTTCTCTTACAGTCGCTCACAGGTGAATCTTGTTAAAAGGTACACTTATAGCATAGCTTGCTGGTATGACCTCGTTTTTGGAAGTCTAATAACAAAAGCGAATACCATGATTAGATACATTTTTTATGCTTTCTAATCTTTCAATGGATTATTTTCTTTGTATTTTCCAATTATCTTAATAAAAAATCGACTCTTTCTTGTTTTGTATGATAGGCTTAAACATATATCTTATGCTGTTAAAAAAGATGCATTGACTGTTGAAAGTCAATCCACAGATTGTAAATTGAACGACCAAAAATATCGAATACTATAATCAAGGAATCAGACACTCTTTATAACAGGATTTTTATTAAAGTGTCTTATCCAATCACAATAATTTTGAAAATTGGAGTTGTGTTGAATGGAGAAAAAACATATGTCTATCTGAATTTAATTTCAAATCTGCTTGAAAGTATATCTAATATCACTTTCAATAGTATGAATGAATATTATTTCGAGTGTATCGTTCTGAAGTACAAGTAGGTATAATCGCATGCTGACAAATGGCGGATGGTGAAAACCATAGAATTGAAAAAAAAAAAAAAGTGATGTCATCAAAAAAGCAATTTGAACCCTGACCAATAAATTCTGATTTTTATTTTACAATACAAAATATACGGCCAAGAATTATAGGAAAAAATAAAAAGCAAAAAAGAGACAAAAAAGACTTACTCTAAGGAAGAATACACAAGTCAACTTTTCAAGGAAAAATAACTATATACTTGAAGAAAAACTAGGTTTTATATATTTTATACAACCTTCTCAACGACATCTATATATATACTTTTTTTTTTATTTTCTCGCAATCTTTTTTTTTTTTTTTTTTTTTTTTTTATTACCCCCATCCTTTTAATGCCTGTTCAGATGGTCTCTCGATTTCGAGTAAAAAAGCTTTCACCAAAGATCCCTCTTCCTATATTTAAAGAGTCACAACTTCCTGACCTTGTTGACCCAGCTAATATTCAGCGTTCAGCACCTCAAATAGAAACAGGTGTTGAAAAAGAAGAGGAGGAAGAGGTATGTACCATTTTATAATACAAATTATACATGGGGGTGGGTTAGGAAATTTACGCAATTTTTTTTTTTTTTTTTTTCATTGATAGCATGATTTACAAGCCGCAATTTCGGCACACCAGGCAGCCGTAACAACTGGTGCTAAAATTGAAAGTTACATCCCAATTCCAGATGCTTCCAATGTGATTGATCATAAAGTATATGAATCATTATATAAAAAAAAATATAAAGAACCCTCTACCTTAATTCGATTCTCTTCAACTGTTGAAGATACCTGTGGCTGTCCTTATGTTATGGATGAATTGGATGAAACTTTTTTAAATAAATTCAATACAGATCATACAACATTATCTGAAGATGATTTTGAGAAAATTATGTATCAATTTGAATCCATAACAAAAGATAAATTACCACATCTTCATCTGGTAAGTCCATTCATTTACATATATACATTTATATGTATGTATACATATGTAAACTTACATTTTTAAACTTGCTCATACTTTATATTAGGATCCCCAGCATATCCCTGATTTCAGTAGCTTTATGGAAATGGTCCCTGAATCCTCCTTTTTACTTTCTCGCCCGACATCTTTACTTGAGCCCATTTACGCCCATTGGTTTAAGCGTAAACAAGACAGACACGGTAACCCTATTATACCTGAATTGAAGTATGAAGAAATATCGAAAAACGAGGTGGATCCCTATGTCTGTTTCCGTCGTCGCGAAACAAAGCCTGTGCGTAAAACCAGACGTACTGATCAACAGTCATTGGAGAGACTTCGCAAATTAAGAACTGAAATGGAAATGGCTAGAAATTTGTTAGAAATGGTGTTGCGCAGAGAGAAAATTAGAAAGGAAGGCATGGTGCTGGAACATACTGTCTTTGATAAAAAAGCAAAATTACGCGAATATCAACGCACTTTGGGTATCAAAGAAGATGAAGACCTGTTACTTCCATCGAAAAAGAAGCGTAGATCATCTATTGGTTCTGGGTAAATATTTATACAAATGTTTATACAACTCCTATTATGTTTGACTTACCCTATTTAATAGTGCAACTATTAAAATTCCCTTGCATCGCCTCAAAAGAGATGAAAACAGAGTTGAAAAGACTCCAACACAGTTGGCCATCGAAGCTGATTTGGCTCGTAAAAAGTTGGCAGACGCTCCCTATGAGGATCTAACAGAGGTAAGACCGATAGATAATTTAACACTTGAACAGAATTAACATTTATAATTATTTGCTGTTAGTGCACTTACCAACCATTCCCAATGAAATTATCTTCTCAATTCTTCCAACCGTTATCATCAAATATCCGTTACAGAAAACGCATTGGTCGTGGTGGCCGTATCTTTATCGATCGTGCTGGCTATAAGAAACCAACCACCGGAAAGACAAAACCTGGCATGAATACTGATTACCAAAGAAATGCTATGAAAAGATATGATTTTGATTCGGATTCCAGTCAAGAAGATTCTGATATGGAAGTAGATGAAATGGACGATAGGTAAACAAAAGAAGAAAAAGCAAAAGAGAGGAAATTTTATTCTGATTACCCGGACTTTTTTTTTTTTACAGTTATCTGAGGCACAGAACACAGCTACTTTCCGAAATAGAACTCCGCAGTCTTGTCACAATACCTTTTCTAACACCAATGAATATGATGAACATACAAGCCGCCAGAGCTAATCAAGCTGCTATTGCTGCCGCTACTGCTGCTGCTGCCGCTTCTGCCGCTGCCGCCGCTGCGTCCTCTCAAAGATTATCTATTGCTACTGGTGCCGCCTCTTTGGAGAGTAATTCAAATACAAGTAGTAGGCCCTCTTCGCCAGGATCCTCTCCCCATCCTCTAAAGAGACAAACCAGCAGATCCAGAATGACACCACAACAAGCTGCAGTTGCTATGGCAAACGGAATGATTGCGGCTAATATGGCAGCTGTTGTCAATGGTTCCACCAATCAAAATAGAACGGCTGTTCAAATGGCAATTGCAGCTGCACAGCAACAGCAACAACTGCAACAACAACAGCAGCAGCAACAACAGCAACAACAGCAACGTGGTAACTCCACTAATAACTTGTCATCTATCATGTAGACATATCCTCTATTCGTTAATACTTTCTACTTGCCCATTAAGAGATCCCTTTAATTCCCGCCGTCATCCTTTCTTATTGGTTTCTCTTGAAACTATTTATCCTTTGTACAGATTTTCTTCATTCATAAGAACCGCTCATCGCACTTTTTTTTTTCTTTCTATTCTCTCCTATTTTTTCCTTTTTATTTCATATATATACATCACTTATTACTATTACACTTATATAATCCACGAAAAAAAAACATAATAACATTTTCAAACATCATCCCAAACTTCTAGTCAACCAGTTGAAAATCTCAGCTTTTTTTTTTTCAAAAAACGAACGAGCAGAAATATTCCTTTTTGGCTTTAGTGCAATTCACAACAATTACACGAGTAAACAAATAAACACTGCTCCAAAATTTCAAAAAGTGTAAAAATAGAATATTGTTGAGAACTCGAAAATGCCAAAAAAGAAATAGTTTATTAAAATGATGACAACGCCGTAAAAAGCATGTGTTGGCAAAAAATTGATGAGCGTATTGCAGCAAACGCCGGTAAAGACAAAACAGATTTGCTTCTACTAAAGGCATTTGATAATCAAGCGCTGACTGCACAAAAGACATGCTAATGTTTTGTTTAACACTTAAGCTAAATGATGGGCTTACCTTTTAAACGGCCTAAACAGTCTTATACATTGTATAGCTAAATAATAATAATGATGGTAAGTAAAACAATCCAGAGAAAGTAGCAATAATTTTTCTTTACCTTGCTGGAATAAAAATAATTATACTAAAAATACGTGAATGATGTTAATTGCCTGTATATAAGAAAAGGATGATGGAACTTACATTTTCAAAACACGAAAAAGGGAACTAAAAATAAAATGAAACGCATGTTAGCATAGGATTATTATTACAAAAAAAAATGAAAACGTACCCTTAAATATGTTTAATATCTCTACTTGGAGGCTAAAGTAGACAGCTCTAAGTGGGTTGAGCTCTTATCATAGAAAACGTTTTTTCATTTCAGTATTAAATGTCGTGTACAAGCTTAAACGTCTAAATAAATTAGAAGGGTAGCATCATCGATAATATTTATACAGCGATCTTATTGAAGAAAAGGGAAAACCCATAATCACTTTTTAATCGCCCAGAAAAATAGCAATGATAAGCTACCGCATTCAAAACATGTTAACATTATCGGCTAAAAAACAGTTTATTTTATCTATAAAGTATGGTTTGGATGCCTCTCTTTTCTTTTAGACATAAACCGAACTTGTGGTTAAATGTTATTTTACTTTTTTCAATTTCTCTATGATTAAAAAAGTTGTTATTAAGAAGAAAAGAGACGTTCTATCTAAAATAAATACAAAAGAAGATGACGATCATTTCAAAGGTAAAGCTTTACAAGTAAACGAATAACATAGACTCAACGTATATATTTTACAGAAATTACCTGTATAGATTGCCATGAAGAAGGGCATGTGAACAAAAAATACTTCAAGTGCTTGTTCTACAGAGAAGCCTCTGCATATGATGGTAGTTTTGTGATGTTATTTACTGTTTGTAGTGCTATATTTTAACATGTTTAAAGTGGGCTCCTCCTCTACCAAAAAAAGAAAGCAAAGTTTTACTGTTAAATCTGAAAAAAGTCAGGCGAAGAGGTGAAAGATTGACTCGGGTCCGACAGTCGAAGTATGTAGAAGTTGCAAACAAACAGGCCATAAACAAAGGTCCAAAGATTGCCCCAATTACAATCCTTTTAAAAAGGAGGTATTATAAGATAATCTAGGTGCCAACTATCAAGCTGCAGTTGAGTTGATCGCTATCACGATTGACAAATATAAATCATCCAAAGTATTGTTATGCGACAAATCGAGCGCATTTCCAATTTTTCTTTCTTTTTAAACACCTACTAAAGTGCAATACACCTTTTCGGGCTTGCACCTGTCAAAACTACTTCTTTTCATCTTTTTCTTATCCTCAGATCTGTGACCTCTTAGTAGGCGCAATTACCTCAATCTCTTCTATAAATTTCCCCAATCCCTTTAGTTTCAGTGACTGGATTATACGTCCATCACTATAAGCATCCATAAGATTTCTCCTAAATAAAAATCCTCATCTATTATTTTACTCATATTTTAACACTTTGACTTATTAGTTTTATATATTATTCAGCTCTATTATCATTCTGATTGATCCCTTGATTACATTTTTATCATTGTATCTTTTATTTATAAGCATATAAGCTATACTTAAATCTATTTTCTAACAGTTCAGCTCTTGTTTAAACTAGCTGCGGTGCTCACTCAACTCGCAATTATAAAGACCTTCTTTACTAAACTCTATTTTATTTAAAGAAATATCCTTTATCCCGCCAATACTACTCGCATACTCTTATTCCAGTATGCAGATAATGTTATTTTTATGAAAAGAAGGTGATTAAAACTCCCGGCTTCAAGGGTAGTGGAGTTCTTTGCTGCCAAAAATGTGAAAGATGTGACAAAGGGATGTGAATGCTGCCAGAAATATGATGATTATATCAAAGGCGATTTGGTCAGGCGAAGGAAGACCAGAGGCTATTAAACCCAAAGAAACTAAACAATAAGCCTAATAAGATGTTCTATTACCGTATAGCCGTATCAAACAAGGTATCTTTTTAAGAATTAAGATCATTACAGGTAATGTTTGTCCGGAAATTCATTTTACATTTTGTCCACAATAGTAAATAATAAGCGTGAAGGTTAAAATTTTCAGCTGGTTGTGTAATCAGTGAATCTAAATATCTGACCTTGCTAACATATGCTTGCAGTCAAACAGAAAAAGCGTTTGTTCTATTGCAATTATTCTCCACAAAACACTTTGGCTAGGCGAACTTCGATTTTATTCAACAGGTCATTATAGTCTAATGATTACCTATAAAACTTTACTAAATTTAAAAATTAATATGATATGCTCTCAAATAAGGCTAAATTAGCCACTAACGTTACTTAAAAAGTATTTTTATTTCAATGTAAAATAATATGAGATAAACATAATAAAAATTTATTGTTTTGCATATTGTCACTTAGTCATCTCGCTAGCAGAGAAAAGAGAAGTGTTTCTAATCTTTAGTATAAATTATATACCGACAGTATTTTATATAAATTGTTTATGAACTCTCAGCTCCGTTAAATAACAGGTATACCTCGAGTTCATCGGTTTTGAACATAGACGTAGAAAAGTATCAGAGGGTAAGTTATACCCGATAATTGGATGTGCATTAAACCACGAAAAGTTCGTACCGGCGACGCATAAAAAAAAAGTCGGATTTGGAACAGGACAGCTTAAACAGCAGAACAACAGGATACGTATTAAATGAGTATACCAGCACATTTATACGTTATGTCATAGTGATTGAAGGATGCTGACATTTTGAGTTTTGGATGAGATATCTTACTACCTATCATAATTTCTTTTGTATTAATTAGTTATCGAAAAATCGTATACCCATCTATAATTTGTAATTAGAAAAAAAAACGTTGGCAACAAACTTAAAGTAGTCCCACTTGATCAGATGTGACATTATAAATTGCTTTGTCGTATTCGAAAGGAATAAGATTACAATAGAATCTGTGTAACTATTTTATAATTTTTATTTTACAATTTACAATGAATAGTGTGTGTGTGTGTATATATGTGTGTGTAATAAAAAAGGGAGATGATATACATTGAATGAGAAGAGATAAAGGAGTGTACATTTAAGCGGCAACAGCCTTTCCGTAACCACTGTTTCCTCTTCTATTACAGAGACCGCATCCACGTTTCCACCAGCAGATGTAAGAAGTAAGTGCTACAACAAATAAGACGACAATAACAATAACAGCAATAAGCCATCCTTCCATCTTCTTTGTACGTTCAACATGAGGTCTGGGATCGGTGATAGTGACATAAGGAGGATCAGAAGCTCCAGTACTTAATTGATAGGCAACCAAACCTTGGAAAGGAGCATTATAATCAAGGGCAACTTCAGTTTGCTGATAGTCGTCACGAATATCATAAAACTTATCGTTCTTATCAGGTCCGCCAACGATAGCACCATAAAGGATATATTTTTCGACAGCAGGAGAAGAATCAATGTTACCAATATCAGTGCCACCAGAGGCGCCGGCATGATGAGGATTACGAGGAGAATTCATATGGATACCACAGACATAAGGTGTCAACATATAGTTACTGCCAAGTAAATAGTTTACTTGGTTCATAGCGAATTTGGTGTAACCATCCGACTTTGAGCTATCGGTTTTGCTGTAAAGTAAAGCCAAAAGAGACATATCTTGAGATGGGACAACGGAGTTAGAATCGCTATAGCCGTCGCACCATAAAAGGCCGCCATTAGTGAAAGTACAGGGGGAACCTGATTTACTGTCGATGATTGTGTCCAAGACATTCTTGGCAGCGGTGGCATATTTAGTGTTTGTGGGGTCCAATTCAGCACCAAGGACGAAAACGGCATTTGTTTGGTCACTCCAATCCATGACACCGACGGGAGTTTTGGCCAGTTGAAACTGATCGAAATAGTTTGAGGCCATCGTACGATAAGTTTCGTTGCCTGAAGCCTTGTACATCCAAAGGGCGGCATAAGTCAACTGACTGGTATAGTTGTTACATGCATAAAAGTCAGCAATAGCAGGAATTGCATTAACATAAACGTTTCTAGGCTGAGCAGTATCAGCCAAACTAAATAATGATGCGGCTTGGGATAATAATTGATCAGCGTAATTGGTATCATTCAAATTGTTCCTAAACAAGTAAGAGGCTGATGCCAAGGCGGCGGCAGAAATAGCGACGGCGTCCGTACCGACCGCTGTTCTATTGACTTGGTACGACGGGCGAGGATTTGGGATGTTTGTGTCGGGACCTATTATTAAATTAAAAACGACAGTTATAAATAGGAGGCTCAGCAATAATGAAGTGCATAAAAATTCTTACCCCAATAATTATTATCAATGTTACCATCACCGACCTATGGATGTATAAGTATAATGTACAGATATTTTGTTTTTCTTAATCTTACTTGGACATAAAAAGTGTCTGCATTGGGATGTGCTTGGATAAGCCAATCAGTACCCCATCGAAGCATATCTCGTAAATAAGTTACTTGGTTTGCCTTTTGATAACCGTCAAACCAAACACCAGCACTCCAGGCAAGACTTGATAACGAATATGACAATGGTAGGGTGAACTTTAAATAGTCACTATTAATAAAAAAAAAAAAAACTGGTAAATATTTCTATTTTAGTATGTCATTGCAAAAATAAATTGTTACCCAGCATCATAATAACCACCAACTAAATTGACATTGTTGTCACTTCCATCGTTTAAGGCAGAGTCTGAACGCCTTTATGAAAAGAAATATATATGACGAAATTAAAAAATCGGGAATAATCACACCTTGCACCATAGTGTACGACATGCTACACTAAATGGAATATTTTTTCCCTTTTTACCGAGGTAAAAAATAAAGGAAAAGATAAAGATAAAAAATAACATACCATGCTACTCTGTTGTTGGATGGCAATTTTCCACTTCTTTGTGCCTCATAAAACCATAAAGAAGCATTCATCAAATTTGCATAATGTACGTTTCCAGTTACTCCAGGTGGGTTGGATGGTCCATCGGTTGTAGGTTGAGCTTCCTGCGCATATACTACTGATGAAAGTAGTATGATACTGTTTAAAAGTATTTTAACTGGGCGCATCCGAGTGTGTGTTTTTCTACCTTTGAAAAAAAGAAAAAAGGAAGAAAGAAAGAGTTCAAAAAAAAAAAGAAATTTTACTGTAAATATATATAGGGGGTTTTAATGTCTATTTTAAGACATTTGGCAATGATGTTTTTTACGTGTACTCACAATACTTATGAAAGTTTATAGTCAGAAAAAGTCAGTAATGCAGAGTTTGAATGGAATATATTTATATGCATGTCATGTTATCCAAAAGCAAATAAGAGCGGCTTTGTTCATAGATCAATATCAACCAATCAATCCAAGCACGTTATTTCTTGCTTCCTTCCTTCTTTTGGCCAGATTTTAATTGACTCAATCTCCTGTCATCCACACGCTGAAGGAATGCGACTTTTTCCATGTAACCGTCTTTATTTTTATACTTAAGGTCATCCCGGATACCTTCCCTATCCACATATCCTTGCCAGTCTAACTTACTTTTGTCAAGAGTATTCATCTTTGGTTCTTTAATATTGTATTGGGATACCAAAGAAGACAGTGACGATCGAGGCCTTTTTTGCATCACTGACTTTTTCTTAATCTCGTTTACTTTTTTTTCCACAACAGGTTCTGTTGGCTCAGGCACACTTTCCTTCACTTTGTTTTTGCTTTGAGGTTGGTTCATATCTGCCCAGATAGCGTCGATTCGCGATTTTTTAACAGTCGCGTCTTCAGTAGCTGATTCTACAGGTAAACTTCTCTTTTTATCATTGGTTGTATTTTCTTCTTCATCTTCAGCCTCTGATTCAACAAAATCCTCTGCATCGCTCTCGTTATCTGATTTATATACATTGCTTTATTAAATAGACTCCTTTATTACAATCAAGATATTTTACCTTCAGGGACAAAGTCGGAATCTTGCTCAGAATCTTGATCTTCTTCCTCAATTTCAGGGTTGTTATAAAAGTCTTTTAAAGAAACCTCTTTGGACATTTTGTTTACAGTTGAGGCTAGAAGAGTTTTTTTTAGTTGACTTCAGCGCAGCCACAAAAAAAAACAAAAACAAAAAAAGCCGGAAAAATAATTTAACCACTCTATTTACTGCTTGAGTGGCACCACTTTTTTAAACCTTTAGTAAGCATTCATCTGGTGAGTGGTACTGGGATAGCTGCTAGATAATATATAATATCCATCTAGTATATTAAGACTTTAGTTCTGTATAATATGCCTTGTGTCGACAGCACATGTTCGAGGGTAGATATTCTAAAACGCATCGATAGGATTGATACGTTGCTTTTTGGGTGGGACATATTACTTAATTCATGAAGCAAATATTATGCATATGTATCTCTAAAGTTCTTTTCCGACAGGAAGGTATGACTTTAATAAACAGGGAGTACTTCTAACTACAGATATACTACACTTTGACACAAAAATGCTGTTGTAGTAAAGACGTTTGACAGCAAGATACTATCTTAAAAGCGTAAGCAGCATCAGCCTCTGTAATACAAACAATCATACTGTGATAACTAAATTTAAACCTTTGTTTTTATTTTATTTTAATTTGTCTGAATTTAATGTGGTATTAATTATTAAGCGATTATTGTATGTTTATCAACTATTTACGGAGGTGAAGAGATTTGCTGTAAGTCCAAGCACCAGCATCTAAGTGATGTTTGGAGTCGATACTGGTCTTTAATCCAGCGTTCTTCTTTTGGTAATCACCGCCATTTTCAGCATCGACATCTTTTTCAAAATTGAACAGTTTTGGTTCCCAAACTTCTTTATTTACCTCACGCTCCTTACGAATACCACGCTGCCAATCCTCAATCTTTGACTTTTCAGCATTAGCAACCTTGAAATTCTTTTCTTTTAAAGCCTCAGTCACAGGGCCCCAAACACGATGTGTTTCAATCTCCTTTTGTTCTTGTACGGGAGCAGTAATACGTTCAGCCATAGGTTCAGCCTCAGCATCAAATAAGAGCTCTTTGGTGCCGGAAGCATCACCAGCCTTACTATAAAAGGACTGATGGCTCCATCTGCCAGATAAATTGTAATATACTTTACCATCAGAATAAAGTGAACCCTTGATATGATTATACTCTCCACCAAACCATGGCTTAGGAACAAATTCAATTACTGCTTTTGTATTATTAGATCCAATAATAGTACAAGAGCCGCCCAATTCAATAAATGCACCACCTGTAAGCACGCCACGAATCAGAAGGTCGGGGAAGTCAATCATATATTGTTCATCATAATGCTTGAGATATAAGACAGCTCTGCCAACTTGTTCAACTCGAATGGAAGTACCCTTGAATTTTGACTTTTGTCCGCCTGTAAAACTAGTTTATTATTTTTTTCAAATATGTAACTGTTTTAAAAACTTACTGTGACCATTTAAAGAAACACCAGCCTTTTCATCTTCCAAATAAAATGCGGAAATAGGAGGGTGATGACCGACCTGTTCACAGACACACTTGGCATCGCCCATATCACAAAAGAATTGTTCGCCCAAAATAGGATTATAGGGTTTCTTTTCATATTTACCATTCGTACAACGAGAGGCATAACTACCCCAAAGAGTGGAGATAAACCATCTGGATATAGCCAAAAGACGATCTACATTTATGCTTGTCAATAAACATAAAATATAGTTTACTACCCTTGTCATTTTACCTTCAGGTAACTTGGCCTGACTAATAGCCGTGAAGCTCGAAGGATGATCACCCCAATATGTACTATATAAGACAATTAAGTATACAATTAACCCATTATACAATCCCAGCTTACCCATATTCCAATAATGAAAGTCCGTTCAAAAAGAAAGCAGGACAGGTCAAAGAAGAAAGATCACCTGTGAAACTAATGACAACCTTTAAAAACTCTTTGAATTCACCAAATTGACTCTTTTCCGCAGTATCCAAGTTCTTCATGGAAAGTTTATCGACGTCATTACTAGTGGGGGTTTCATCCTCCGATGATTTAGTCTTCTTGCTACCGAAACCTAATGCCATTTTTTAAAAAAATTAAGTTAAAAAGAAAAGAAGAAGAAGGAAAAACTAAAGTAAATTTAAAGATACACAAAATATAAAAATGAACTGAGTTGCAATCTTAAATTCAAGAAAACATGTAATCAACGCAGGATTCTTTCATCTGTTTAGAACCTATTCGATTTTAGCACGACACTAGGTCGATAGTATAACTTTTAAGAAAAAATGAAAAAGTAAATATCGTTTAACACTTTCAACTTGAATTAGAACGTTCGGATATCCTGGCAGAATATCGTTTTGAAAAGGGCAATACCACAGCTGCTGGTTTTTATCCTGGGTGGCTTATCTGATGTGTGATTGTTGTCACGATACATGGAATTTCAATCACAGAGCAAAATACCCGACTTTGCCTTGCAGCAAATGTAATACCCCTTTATATTATTGCCTATGGCGTCCTCTTTGGCTGAATTTTGTGTTCAACTTCCCAAAGTTGAACTTCATGCTCATCTTAACGGCAGTTTGAGTCCTGCCACCATGCGTGAGTTGGTAGAACGCAAAAAGGCTGAGAAACCTGAGCTTGCAGAATTCAGAATCCCAGACTCTTTGGAAATGGATAGGTATAAACAAAAAAGCACTTCTAAAAACCAAACTAATCTTTAAGGCAGCTTTTTTCCATTGTTTAAATTCATTTACCAGTTGACTGATGACGAAGAAAGCGTCCGAATCGCCACTAGAAAAACGATAGACGAATTCGCTAAGGATGGTGTTAAATATTTGGAATTAAGATCTACTCCGAGAAAGAACGATGAAACAGGTAAGCTTAACAGAGAAGGCTCTTTTATATAAGGATTCTACTTTCTTGCGGATTTTATTTAAATAAAATTGTTTTTCTTTCTTTTTACACACATGTCTTCTCTTTACAAAAAGGCATGACTAAAATATCTTATCTTGAGGCCGTTTTATCTGTTGTCGAAGAGCCCAGAGCTGATATTATCGTCAAATTTATTATCTCTATTGATCGCCGTAATACATTAGAGGAGGCTCAAGAAGTTGTTGATTTAGCCTTGGCCTTTCAGTCTCGTGGTATCGTAGGTATCGATCTCTGTGGTGATGTCAAAGTGGGTCTTTTTAACAATTTAAGACCTGCATTTGAAAGAGCAAAGGAAAATGGTTTTCCTCTTACTATTCATTTTAACGAAGTAATTGAAAACCTCGGTGAGGCTCCTGATGTCTTGTCTATTAAACCCGACAGACTGGGACACGCAACATTTTTGGATGATTACTGTAGACAGGTGATCTACAAAGAAAATATTCCTGTCGAAATATGCATGACCTCAAACCTTGTTTGCAAGACCACCAGTGCCCTCAAGGAGCACCATATCAAAGAGCTTCTGAACGATAACCACCCTTTCATCTTATGTGTAAGAGAGAAAAAAATCTAATAGATAGCATTTGTAATAATATTTGTTTTTATCTTATTTAGACCGACGATAAAGGGGTCTTCTTCTCAGAAGCATCCAATGAATACAGGCTTGCTGGTGAAACATTCAACCTGTCCCGGAATGAATTGTTTGAAATATCCTATCGTTCTATTAATGCCATATTCAATAACGAAGAGTTGAAAACTGGGTTAAAGAAGGTGTGGCTTAACTGGAAGAAAGAGCACGCCTCCGAATTTTAAGCTTGTAGTATAGTGTTTTCCTGAAATTCAATTTTTTTAAAATATTACAAGATTTAGTAAGCTAATAAATTTATTAAAAAGATGGGTCTTTTACTACTATTATCTGTAAAGATTGTGGTAAGACTCGCCACATATCTAGAAGTTATTTTAGATGTAAATTTTTCAACCCACCAACTGCTGGTGATGGTGAGTGTCTTTATTCATAGCTTGGTCCTTTCTTTTTCTGACATAAATTATCATAGTTGATACCTCCAATTAAATGCTAAAAGAATAACAACTAGTACAAATATGCCAGCTGATATATATAGTGTTTGGGGGCCATTCAAAACTGATCACGCGGATATTATTTTTAAGAAAAAACTTCAAGCAGGTACCTCCCAGTTTTTAGATGAATTGGGTACAACCTACCAAAATTGTATAGTAGAAGCGTTTGAGGATCATCTTCTCAGGTATTTTTATTATCGTTTACAAAACATATTCGTGGTTAGTAAAAGAAAAATATTATATGATTACTCAATATTTACTTCATAGCGGTTATGGATCCTTATTCCATTAAACTTATTTCAAAAGAGTGTTGCTATCAGTACGAATGCCAAGGTGATCCAAAGTGTCCATAACTAAATTTCATTACCCGAAGGCTTGACAATAGACCTGCTAAAGAATACAGTAGAACAAGAGGGCAAGACAATGAAAAATGTAATTAATTGTAGGGTAACTCTTCGATGTCAGCTACTCCCGAAAAGGCATACAAATGCTTGGAATATATATTAAAGCAATATGAACAAAATCGTAATCAATATCATCCATTTGATGTTCAAGGTCTACCTCTTCCGAGACTCTTCTCGATTTTACCAAGCCTACGATGCACTGGCGCTTTAAAAAAATAAGCGTAAACGCCTTATCTTCTTTCGTCAAAGAAACTTTACCAAATCAGAGGTTATATGAATTAACTTCTGTTTTTTAATAGAATAATTAATTTCGAAGTATTAGGATACAGGTATGAATATAATTAGATACACTCAATTGATGGCATGAAATCCTGACTTAGTTTTAAACACCCATAGTATTGAAGGTTTATTGCCTGATGGACAAAGTAACGTATTATTTGGAAACATTGTTCAATTAAATGGTTTTTGCGTCAATCTTCTTTCTTATAGAAGGTCTGACAAATATGACAATAGCAACACAATAGTAAACCATGAGTTGGGCGTAAAAGATCTTACCTTGGAAGAAGTGGAAGAGTCATTTATAAACCAAGTTTCCTAAACCCTGGTAGGAAAACAGTATATACTGCTGCTATTGGTCTCAATAGCAACCAACACAAGATAATATGCTGTACAACTAAATAGTGTTATCACTTGTCAGGCTCCACGTTATATTCAAAACTTCTGAAAAAAAGAAAAGATATGTAAGGTTTTACGCAAATCGAGTCAGCAATCCCTTCATTGAAGACAGCAAATAATAACAACTTTAAGATATATGCCCAGCATATGCTGACAAACCTCAATGTTTTATACAATTTCGATGAAAAACATACAGCCAAAGAACATTTCAATTTGTATCAAGATGGACAAAGGGCACCTGAGATCATGATTAATATATTACTGCATGGAACCTCGAAATATAATAAAATCAGAAGACTTAAAGAAGAAGGCAAAAAAGAGGAGCAGGAAGAAAAAGAGGACAAGAATAAGCTTAAGAAAGGCGAAGAAAAGCAAATCGAGAAGGGTAAAGAGAAGCAGCATGAAAGGTAGGCATGGAAATACATGCTTATCTTTGGTACGACACTTACACTTTATAGGAATGGCAAGTGGAAATCTTCGGAATTTGTTCTTCGCAGAGCTTGGAACTTATGGCTATTTTATATTATATGTAAATATCCACCGTTTTTTTTATACATCTACATATAAAGTCAAACAAGCAGGCTTCCTACCATAGTATGTAGAAAAAGAAAAAACAAAAGGTTAGATTACGTGACTACTTTCAAGGATAATGAGTAGCTGTTAGTGAAGTAAATTGCAGTAACTATGAAAATCATCTTTTTGGTTCTATTTTTAATTAAATTTCTGCTCTAAAGCACGGATATAGTGCTTGGGATACTCGACAGTCAATAAATAAATATGATGAGTATCTAACTCAATTTTTCCTGTCTTCAAATCAACACTGGTAGGTACATGATGCAGCCTGCGATCAAAGGAAACATGGTAACCACGCTCCGATAATACATCCATAACAATAGCAGCAAAGTGCTCCTTACCCATTAGTGGCTCTTCACTATGCTTAAAAGTAAGATACTGTCACGTATAAAAGGTTAAGCGACCTACGTTCTAATGTTTGCATGTCCACTGATTGAATGACGATGCACTTGGGGAATGACGTTATCATCTATAAAGCGGATAGCTTTGTGTAACATATCGGGTTCAGTATCTTGATAATGTTCCAATCTGCTTATGAGGTCCTAAGAATAAAGAAGAGTAAACGAATGTTATAAGGCCGAATTATTTCACCTACTTGTCTAGCATGAATACCAATCTGTGTGGCAACCGGTATATGAGAGATTGAGTCAAAGGTGTCCGAATCTAGTTCCAACGAGGACTGATATTCGAACTCCTTCAAAATAATTTGCAAAACTTCTTTAATTGAACCAGTCGCATTAATTAAGTCTACAAATATGTTAATAACAGCTAAAATTAGAATCTAATATGACTTACGGAAGGGAAACATTTTAGACAATTTCAATAGTGAGCCATAATGTGCCTTAAAAATTGAATATCTCTCACGAATCAACTAATATATGTTATTCATAGTGGCTTTGTTTATATAGAAAAGACCCACTTACACTTTCATCGTTATCAGTTACACGCTCATCCCAAAATACACCTTGTCCTGACTTTTTTACTTCGATGTTATGCTCGCGTATCATTCTACCACGTGCAAGTTGTCTTTGGACAGATATTTCTTCGTCCACATATAAAACACAAATGCGAAATACAGGACGACTAAATAAGGATAAATGTTAAATAAGACATCAAATAAAGCTGTATACACGCTTACGGATATTGGTCTCTTTTATCTGTATCCCAAAATTCTCTTCGAAGTTCCGTCATACGGTCATGGAGTAGCTTCAATGCCTCTACTTGTATATCCGTACGAGGAAAACCATCAACTAGGACACCGACAGTTGGGTCACAGTCCAACATGGCATGTAAAATCAGTTCAATTACATATCTGTCTGATATCATTTGGCCTTGATTTATCAACTCTTTACACTCGGGCGTCTGGAGTAATTGCGACACAGAAATGGGAGGGTTTGTAATGCCACGTGCACGTAAAATAGAAGGAGTGTGAGTCCCTTTTCCCGACCTTTTAGATGTATTAGTAGATGTCCTATTTCGCTGATAAGACTAAACATACCCTGGTGCTCCCATTAAGAAAATGAATTCGCGAGGTAAATGGATATTCTCCCTGCCGTAATGGTCCTCAATGTTCTTCCATGCTTGATTGAATATCAGCTTGGCGTCTTTTATTTCTGCCGCTCTATTATATGTATGTTAAATAATGTTATTAGTTAAATTTTTATTTTATTCTGCTTTTTACCTTGTAGAGTCGTGCGGATCATGGTTGTTAGAACGAGATGAACTATTTGCTACTGAATCTGTTAGCTTACAATTTTCAGTTATTCAATATGAATAGCTTTACTGGTGGTTTCAGGTACTGCTGGTAGCTGTCTAGGTACCGAAAAGTTGGTATAGAGTCTTTTACTACTATTATAAACGGGGAGCCTCGGTTGGACTTTTAGAAATAGAGATGAGCTTATTTTACTTTTGTGCGAAAGAAGCGTCAAAGCTCTACGGGTTGCCATTGCAATAACGAATTGATAAAGAAAGGAAGAGTACTTCACGCGGGGCTTTGCGGCGTTTTAGATCAAAAATGCGGGGAATCCACTGAGTGACGTACAATTTAATTGCCATTTGTATTCACATCGTGCAGGCATTAAGATATCAACGATTGGATACTTTTTAATTTAAAGCTTGTATTTACCAGGTTTTCCATTTTAAATCCTCTTTCATTGTTAAAACCATGTCTCTATTGTCAAAAAAACTTCTCTCCTCAAGACCGCTAAAGTATGGCTTGGGAACAGGTCTCTTAGCAACCAGCCTCTATAACTACGATTCCCGTTCAGAAGCGCAGCTAATTAGTCGAAATGCCAGAACATTTTACAATGGTGTTGCATTGGCAATAGATTACAAACTTAATTTTAAACCTGGATATTCACCAGAAGATACGTTGCATATTGAACAGCTGCACGAAAGAGTAGCTAACCGTATATTTGATGTATTTGAAAAAAATGGTGGTCTGTACATAAAAATGGGTCAAGTTATTGGCACCCAATCTGCCGTCTTACCAATCGCCTATCAAATTAGAGCCAGAAAATTGTTTGATGCTGCTCCTGCTGTCTCGTTTGAATCCGTGGAACGTGTATTTATGGAAGATTTTAATGGAAAACATCCAAGCGAAATTTTTGCAGAATTTGATATGACGCCAATTGCTTCTGCCTCCATTGCCCAAGTGCATAAAGCAAGATTACGTAACGGCGATATTGTTGCTGTCAAAATACAAAAACCTGCAATTAAAAAACAAATGAACTGGGATTTGCGGGCCTTTAGGATATTACTTCAAGTATATGAGAAAGTTTTTGATTTACCTTTATCATGGTCGAGTGATTATATTGAAGAGCACATGCGAATGGAGGCAGACTTTGAAAATGAGGCTAGGTAAAGTCTATTATCAAAAATCAAAATACAAACACTCAAAAAAAAAAAAAAAAAAAAAAAAATTATAGAAATGCTAAAAAAGCATGGAAGCATCTTCAAGAGGAAAAATCTTTAAAAGATAGAGTATATGTACCAAAAGTATATGATGAGTACACGTCCAAACGAGTATTGGTTTGTGAATGGGTGGAAGGTATCCAGCTAACGGATGTAGACGCTTTAGACAGGGTAGGTATCGATTACAAAGTAGCAATGAAAACCGCCATTGAAGCCTTTGCAAGTCAAATTTTTCGTAGCGGATTTGTTCATGGTAATGTTATATTTTTTCCCTGGCTCTAGATAGAATACTTACTGGTATAAAAAATGATAATAGGTGACCCTCACCCCGGTAATGTGTTAGTTAGAAAACATCCGCATAAAAAGAACCAAGTCGAAGTCGTCTTGATTGACCATGGACTTTATATTCAAGAGTCAGAGAAGTAAGTAAAGTTTCAAATTGAAATTGGAACATATACTCAGTGGTATACAATAGATTCAGATTGGAATATTGCAAATTGTGGGAAGCATTATTCATGTTGGACATACCAAAGATGACAGAAATTTGTGAGGAATGGGGAATACATGATGCCACCATGTTTGCATCAATAACATTACAACGGCCTTTTTCAGGAAAAAAGGCGGTCCATATAAGTGATATAGATGTCAAGGATATGTATGAATTACAAAGTCAAATGAAAGAACGTATAAAGCATTTCTTACGGGATCAAGCACTGTTCCCTCGAGAACTGATTTTTATCTCGAGAAACATGAATATTGTTAGAGCGAACAACAAGGCTGTTGGAAGTCCAGTAAATCGAATCAATATCATGGCAAGGTGGGCTGTACTTGGATTAAACGTCAAAAAAGGAACATGGCTTAGTTGGAGATCTATCTTATTTGAGTGCACTCTGCTGTTTATGAGCATTAGTTTTTGGATTGTCCGTTTCAGGGATGCTTCCAACAGATTATTATTTGGATCCAAGGCACGTGGATTAGAGGATATATTAGATGAAAGAATGAAAGAACAGGTAAATATAATAAATACAATCAATTAAGTAGGGCCGACGTTAATATTTGGGTAGATGTATAAAAAATTTGGTATAAAAATTGATCCATCGGTTTTTGAAGGTTAATAAGGGAAATTAAATAAAAACTTTGGCCCGTAATACAATAGAACACTGTGCTTCTCTTTTTATTGAATTCGTCAAACGCTAGCAATTTTTCGATCCAAAAGTAAAAAATTTATGCCTTTCTGCGTGACTTTGAAGACATCGGCTATCCAAAGTTTTTTTTTGTGACTTTGAATTGAATTGAATTTTTTTTTCCCTTTAAATATCTTGCTGGGTTCAGGCCTTTTGTGTTCTCTCCTACAACAAAAGGTAAATTTTACTAGATGCATCCATGCATCCATCCATCCATCCATCGACAAAATATACTAAACTATGTTGAATTATAGCTAATTAAAATGGGTAAAGAGAAGACTCACGTTAACGTCGTCGTTATTGGTCACGTCGATTCTGGTAAGTCTACCACCACTGGTCACTTGATCTACAAGTGTGGTGGTATTGACAAGCGTACTATCGAAAAGTTCGAGAAGGAAGCTGCTGAACTCGGTAAGGGTTCTTTCAAGTATGCCTGGGTCCTCGATAAGCTCAAGGCTGAACGTGAGCGTGGTATTACCATTGATATTGCTCTCTGGAAGTTCGAGACCCCCAAGTATAACGTCACTGTTATTGATGCTCCTGGTCATCGTGATTTCATCAAGAACATGATTACTGGTACCTCTCAAGCTGATTGTGCTATTCTTATCATTGCCGGTGGTACTGGTGAGTTCGAAGCTGGTATTTCCAAGGATGGTCAAACCCGTGAGCACGCCCTTCTTGCCTTCACCTTGGGTGTCCGTCAATTGATTGTTGCTATTAACAAGATGGATACCACCAAGTGGTCCGAAGCCCGTTACAACGAAATTGTCAAGGAAGTCTCTTCTTTCATCAAGAAGATTGGTTTCAACCCCAAGTCTGTTCCTTTCGTTCCCATTTCCGGATGGCACGGTGATAACATGTTGGAGGAATCTGTCAACATGGGTTGGTTCAAGGGATGGAACAAGGAGACCAAGGCTGGTTCCAAGACTGGTAAGACTCTTCTTGAAGCTATTGATGCTATTGATCCCCCTAGCCGTCCTTCCGACAAGCCTCTCCGTCTTCCCCTCCAAGATGTTTACAAGATTGGTGGTATTGGTACAGTGCCCGTTGGTCGTGTCGAGACCGGTACTATCAAGGCTGGTATGGTCGTTAACTTCGCCCCTGCTGCTGTCACCACTGAAGTCAAGTCCGTTGAAATGCATCACGAAACTTTGACTGAAGGTCTTCCCGGAGATAACGTTGGTTTCAACGTCAAGAACGTTTCCGTCAAGGATATCCGTCGTGGTAACGTCTGTTCCGATTCCAAGAACGACCCCGCTAAGGAAGCCGGTTCTTTCCTCGCTCAAGTTATTATCTTGAACCATCCCGGTCAAATCTCCAACGGTTACTCTCCCGTTCTCGATTGTCACACCGCTCATATTGCTTGTAAGTTCTCTGAACTCGTCGAGAAGATTGATCGTCGTTCTGGTAAGAAGATGGAAGATGCCCCTAAGGAAAGTATCATTATAACAGTATAAACAACATGATTCTAACCGTTTTTCATTTAAATAGTTCGTCAAGTCTGGTGATTCCGCTATTGTCAAGATGATTCCTTCCAAGCCTATGTGTGTCGAAGCCTATACTGACTACCCTCCCCTCGGTCGTTTCGCTGTCCGTGATATGCGTCAAACCGTTGCTGTTGGTGTTATCAAGTCTGTTGAGAAGGTTGAGAAGACCGGTAAGGTCACCAAGGCCGCTGTCAAGGCTGGTAAGAAGTAAATTGCTTTTTCAGCACTTTCTTCTTTAAAAGTTTAATTCACTTTTGTTAATAAATATAAATACATTTATAAGATATATTTTTCATATTTAAACCTTTTTTGTTTTGTTCAATTACGAGTGTTGTATCGTATTTTATAGCATCTTGAAGCTCTATAATGCATATGTTGAACATTTGAAAATTAGCAGTCACTTAGTAATTTTAAGCTGCAGCCCAAGGTAAGTACGATTTTCATGTTTTTCAAACCAATATTTTTTTTCTCTGGTTATTTCAATGTTGGTGCAATTTTGATTGTGACCATAAGCAAACATTATTGCACTATAATGGAATACGTGTCTTGTTTAGAGTTATAGGACATTTGACTTGACTGACATTTTGGCTGTCCCGGCTAACGCTCAAAATCATTTCTGAATTTTAGAAGGGCAACATTTTATTAACTTACCATATGAAGGACAGCTTCATGGTCAAAGAGCGACAACGTTGCCAATGTCATTCACTTTATTGAAACATTAGGCACACTTGGAACCATCAACATTTTCAGCATTTATATCGACTGGAAAACTTGTGTTGATAAAACCTTGAACTCTTAAATTATATTCCTAAAGTTAAAGTTCTACTGTATGAATGTCTTGATTATGGCCATCTTGATTTACGACATTTGTTGCTCAGGGAGAGGAACATTAAGCTCTGACACCAAATTCTTGGAGTTGAAGGCTTACCTTAATGAATGTCTTAATCATGGTGAAAGTCTTATTTATTGCTGTCTTAATTTACACATGTATTGACAGGTGTTGTTCAGGGAGAGTCAGCCACCAAAAATGAATATGCCTTCGGCACACGAAAGAGCTCGTGAGTAAAGCGTCCCGGCTAGAATCCTATGCAATAGCGATGTCTGGACGTTTGTGTTTATTGACGTTACAGCATCAAGGATAAAGCAGAATGAATGTTCTGGGTAAACAAAAACGATCAGTCACTAGAAAATGCAGCTTTACAAAACTACACAGCGACAGGTGGTGAGCATTTACAGAACTTTTCAAGTTTAAAGTCATTCTCGAATTGGAAAAAAAGACATAAACTTACAGTACTCGCATATTTAGCCTATACATTTGGCTTCCCTTTATCTTTGCAAGAGCCAACGTGTTGTGTACTTTGTAGAATTGTCAAGTCTTTTATTTTATTGTTGCAAGGTACTAATTTTCTGTTGATCGTACCTCTGATATAAACAGTCAGCAAATGAGGTAGCCTGTTTGCACTTACATAAAGTTGTTTTTCAGGCGAAAAAAGATTATTTATTAATACTTGTAAACAATAAAACGTATATCCTTCTGTCATTTACATAATGTATTTATGAAAGAATTATTGATCGATCGATGCAGCAATACGAACATTAGGAACCTTTGGGTTAAAGACAACGTAGTTGTTCTTCAAGAATGTATCACCGATAATAGCAAAATCAATGTTACTATATCCAAATCCAGCAATACCTATTGTATTTTTATTTTATCAATTGAAGAATTAGCATACATACGTAAATAAAATAAAATTTTCAGCTTACAGTGAGATCCGATTTTCTGGAAAACAAGAGAATCGGTGGGGACTTTGAAAGTCTTATTTCCGATAGCAAATACAAGAGGCTTAAGTTTAGAAGTATTACAAGAAATAGTGAAGGTGCCGTCGCCGTTGTCAGATGCGCCATATGCTTTAGCAACCTTCTTTGCCATGTTGTTAGTAAAGATCAGTAGAGTGGTACCGGTATCAATGATGCCGTCAAACGATCCAGATACTTTTGTGGATCCAACTTTAAGACTCTTCATGGTAATGCTCCAGAATCCCTTGGAATTATCGACAGGAATAGTAGTCAAGGAGCCCTTAAATTTCTTTTTATTGTAACCACCAAACAGGAATTCACCACCACCGTTCTTACTAGCTTTACCAAGATGAACACCAAAAATTGGAGAGGTAATTAAACCTTGGCTGATCATGTTATCAACTGGTGTCTTGACACCTTTGACAGTAGTAATTTTGTTAAAACCGAGACCTAAAAGACCGTCTACAGGATCGGTTGCAAAACTGCTGGATTCCATCTTGGCTAAACCAAATGTTTGCTTTTTGATAGTTATGCCACCGATGTTTAATGTATCTTTTCCCAGGATACCATTTGCAGTTGAGCCATCACCATATGAAATACTCCATTTTCGGCCATCTTTGGAGTAAGTATTAGATTTCTTGGGATTGTAGCGGGTATGCGATTTACAAGTTGAACACAATGTGGAAGCTGAAATAAAAATTAAAATTAAAACCCCTATTAATTGCTATAGTCTTGTTCGCTAATCATACCAAGCCAGAAATCTGAAGAGCCAGTATCGAAATTTACTTTAAACTTTTGAGCAGGTGTGCCAAGTTTGACAGTTCCGTAATATTCAAGATCGTTTTCATGATCGACAACAGAAACCGAGCCAGTATCCAAAGCTGATAGTGTGCCAATGTTGTTGTGCACAGGAGCAAAGGGTGTGGTACTGTACTTGGCGTTCGCTCTGAGGACAGCACGTTTGGCATCTGGCTTATAATTATTGTTGTTTTCTAAATTGAAGGAAAGTTTCTTGCCATCTGGTGCTGCATCGACTGATAAAGCTACAGCAAGAAGTGCAACGCAGGATGAAACAAGGGTGAATCTCATAATGAGTAGATTAAAGGAAAGGAAGGGAATAAGGTTAAAAGAATGAGGATAAAAAGAAATAAAATAATTTTCACATCATTATTTAAAGAAGTTTTTTTTTTTTAAAAGATAGACAGTTTTCTGGGATTGCTAAATGCAAGCTTTCTACACATTGTAGCACCAATCTTTTGTGTATATTGATATCACTAGAGAAATTGCAGGAGTTCAAAACATAGTAGCCAAATTATATTAATTGACTGAGATTGTGCAACGAAATACAATTAGGGCGATCTTTTAACAAGATTCCCTACCGAAGAGGGTAACGATTGAATTCATCTATTAATAGATTACGCTTAACTTTTTAAAGTTTCGAACTGTTAATTTAAGTAGACATACGAAATCTACGTTTTATGAAATAAAAAATATTAAAAAAAAAAAACCAGCTTAAAGAAAGAAAGCATAGATTTTTTTTTTTGTGCTGATGAAAAAATAAGGTTTTCAATTAAAGTCAATTTTATTTAGTCTTAAAAATATTGTGATCTAACAATTTGTTTCAAAATAAGATATTTTTTTTTTTTTGGTCGAATACCCAGAAATCAGAACTCGTTGTTCGTTAAGGGAGACCCAATTAGCTATCTTGATGAACCCAATTTACCTGAAAAAAGTCGATTTTGCTAAGCGTGTCCGAAAAAAAAAAGCACGACTTGCTTTTTGCCTGTTTTTATAATCCCTTCAAATTGGGTTGATAAACTTACCTTACAAACTGTATACAACAAATAAAATTATGTACGTTCCGCTTTTGATTACAGCAGTGAGTTATAATATGATAACTCGACGGCCGACTAGTAATATATTATTGCTGCTATGTAGATGACGGCGATATGTTATCAATTATAATAATATAAGAAACTATAGGTATTACTTTTCAGTTGTTTATTCAAGTTCTGACTATAAATACATCAGATATATGTCTATGTAAACTATAATTCCCATCAGTTTTTCTGACTTGGGCTGTATCTGTTATACTATTTTCAATTTGATTGAAGAGAACGGGTTGGACATCATGTCTAATATACTGATCATAAGACCTTGGAGAATAAATTTAATAACACTTCCAACCACCACTAGTATAATGGTTAAAAATCTTTTGCCTATATGCTTCGTTAAACAAACCATCTGATAAAAGCCGCAAATATCGCCATATAGGCAATCACTCTATTACCTCCGACATGTCTACAAGAAACTCAGGCCTGTACACCACCTGAATTAATCTAATCATTCAATTGCCGACTTCAAGCTTCATACACTATATTTTTTTGACGCCTCAAAACTTATAATCGTAACTACTACAAAAATGCTGGTCCAATTCCAACTGCAAAGACGAGCACGTACCTCGGACAATATCAGAAACGCCATTGTTAAGCATTGAATTCAAGACACTCTTTTGTTCGACAAACCTAAGTCACTGTAGAAAAGGACGCTGAGAGTACTTCGACGCCTTTATTTCATTTAAAAAATATTATAACATTTACTGAGTTTTTTTTTTTTTTTTTTTTTTTTTTTTTTTTTTTTTTTTTTTTTGGTGTTATCATTTTTGTTTGACATTAAATAATGCCAAATAAACTTCATGCTCACAAAAGGCCAGACAAGCCATTGCATCCTTATCATGCGACCTTCAGTTGAGAATCAACCATTGTCAGAACGAGCACTAGATATGCGCAAATTGATGTCCCTGTGCTTGTGGACCACAGTTTATTTTTAACCTGTTTACAACGCATCATACAAATTGACTGGAGTTGAAGAGATCTTGAGTTGGCTTGACGGAATAATTATTGACAGTACAACACTAAATGAATTTCGATAACATATAATCCCACACCCTAAAATAAATCAGCGATCAAAAATTGAAAAATATCGCAAACAAATTAGAGCGGAAATAACGATCTTTTTTTTAAAAATATCGCGATTGGCGATATCGATAAATTTTTCCAAAATATCGCGATTGGCAATATCGATCAAATTTTCCAAAATATCGCGATTGGCGATATCGATCAAACTTTCTAAAATATCGTTATTGGCAATATCGATCAAACTTTCCAAAATATCGCGATTGACGATATCGATCCATAAATCAAAAAAACAAAAAAATATCGTTGGATGGGGTAAAAAAAATGGGGTAATCGATAATCGATATAATATTACTTTTACACCCCTGCTAAATCAGGATACAGGCTTAAAATTGATACGTTTGTATATATTGGAAAAAAAAAAATTTTATTTATAAAAAAAAACTAAATAACGTCGAATCTGATCATGATAGACCTCTTCAAATATAGAAAATGACCAGTAAAATATGACCAGAGACAGACATAATGAGAGGAACTACGATAATGACCATACGAAGACCTCGGAAGAGCAGCAGTATTCACTTACCTGCATAAAGATGGTTTACGTTAATAAGAGAATAAATTATCAAGTTTAGCAATGTGTACCTTTACAAAACCGTGGGATGTACGAGCCTCAAATAAACAGCGATAGTAGCTAGCTTTAGGAATTTGGGTTAACTAATAATGAACACATAAACCAAAGTCGAGATATTTACCTTTTCACAAGCGGTGAAAGTAGAGATGGCTTCAGCTATACAAATGTGTTAATACATATAAAAAGAGTAAGTAAATTTACTTTTAAAGCAAAGAGTCTTGGTTTAATCCGTTTGGAGAGTGTCAGCACGTTTAATGTTTAGTCACATAACTATATCTTCATTTGTAAACAAATGGTTATGATAAATCATATATTCACAAACTATACACATATACAAACCTTAAGTTTAGTTTTTATTTGAAAGAAATAGAAAGAAAAAGAAAAAAATAATAAAAAAATCAGAGTTTAAATAAGAAAAAAAAAAAATTCAGGCTCAATTCTATTTTTGGAAAGCCCTTGAGGGTCGACTATTGGTCCCAGATGCTATTTCATCAGCCTTTCTTTTACCTTTTGGACGGGTAGTACTTGGGGTGGAGAGGGCAGGTGCAGAGGTGGGAGGAGGAGAGTCAGAGGTGGGAGGAGGAGAGTCAGAGGTGGGAGGAGAGTCAGAGGTGGGAGGAGGCGAGTCAGAGAGAGGAGGCATCTCAGAGGGAGGAAGAGAGGTCAAAACAGGATTTTGTACCGAAGCGGAAGAAGACGATGGTACAAGAGGTCTGTTATCAGGGATCGAAAATAAATTTTCAAACAGGCCCATATCCAAGTCTTCGTACCTCTCTTCAGTACCCGAATTGACACCAAGGTTTTCCAGGCCAGTCAAAAATGAACCCGAGGTATCATGAGCAATGTCATCTGGCTAGAGTTGAGGTTTATGTTAATGTTAAAAATTCTTAATTTGATATCTAAACTTTACTTACTCTTGCTGAGTTCCTCAACATTATCTGGATCATATTTTTGGATATCCAGTTTTTATCTGCGAGGTGCATGGGTAGCATAGGATTCTCGGCGTCAATGACAGAGATAAGGTCTCCAGGATATGCCTCAACGGGTGTACCAACGTTCAAGCCAGAGCGCTTGTTCCAAAAGTATACAATTCTTTCGAACATATACAATACTTCATTCTGCTCGTTTGCAGGAATCCCCCTCCAAATGACACCATTCTTTCCAAATCGTTCTTGGTACAATGCTTTCAAGAAATGTTGGCAAATGGTGAAGACATTGTTGTAAGCTGCTGTCGCCCTTTCTTTAGCTTGATCCTCAGTATAGGTACCTACCAAAGATCTCCAGTACGCAGCAACCTTGTCTATAACGGTTTTCTTTGTATAAGTACATACGGTGATGGATCTTACACCGAGAGAATTGCAAGAGGTGTGAATACCATTGGGTATAACTTGCTCCTTGTAATAGGCGACAGCCTTGACCACGAATTCGTACATTTGTTGAGCAGCGGAATTTCTTGCTGAAAAGATAGGGCAATTATTAACTTAATTCGTCTTACAAAGTAAAATAAAATAAAAACGTACCAGTGATATATCCAGATCGAGAAGTAATTGCAGAAGTACCATTGGATTTGACCACTTTCTTAACCTTGCTGCAGCATTCACAGTGTTGACCAACTGGCAGGTAGATATATTCTTTCATTGTGGCAGGCATTGCATCAAGCTTTCTTTGCATATCGTAAATGACATTAACGAGTTTTTCAATGACTTCGTCTCGAGAATTTGAGTTTTGGGTACCGTTCATTGTGATAAATAGAGTGAAAAATCGATGTAAATGAGAAAATAGGTGTAAGTATTGGATCTTATATAGATGTTTTAAAGATACATTTTTTTTTCATTGTCATTTACCTTGATGTAAGTGGTTCAACTTATTTGCACCAATCACGGTACAGAATTAAAAAAAATTTCGCTTAATAACCTCGTTACACGAAAATCTAACAATAGATCAAGCTTGAAGTCCCAAACAACGATTTCTAGTGGTTTTGAAAGGTATCCATAGTCTACACAGAATTACCATATCCTCTCTATTAATAATTATAAGATAAATTCACGAGTAATTCCAATTGGTTCTAAGAACGGTCAGTGACTATTAATAAGCTGTAAATAAGATGTAGCAACATGTATAAAACTACGCGCAAAAATCGGTTCCCGACTTACCAAAAACAAAATTCTTAAAAACTTTTCAAAATGGTTTACCCCAAAATTCAAAAACCCAAGAACCTTAGAGCTTCTCGAAACGGCGCTAACCAACGTCTTTTAAGAGGCACATATGAACCCTTGGCCGTTACTGCTGCCTCCATTATACCTGGCCCAACTGACACTTCTGTTTTTGCTGTATCCTCTTCAGTATCTACTGGCTTCCCAACTGCTATAATAACCAACCGTACACCTTTTGACTATGACGAAGAAATGGATTTTTACGATGATGTTGATATGGCTGACCTCGATAACCAAATCGCTCTTCCCTTAATTGGACAAATGTCCATACAAGACGTAGATGCTGAAGATGAATCCTCTGATGATGGTTTTGTTGTAGACGGTGAAGTAGACGAGGATTTGTATGAATCCACGGACGAAGAGAACTTCGAAGGTAACTAAGGATGCTCGAGTTGTTGACATCATGACAACTTACCGGATGTATTATTTTCACTTTTAGAACCATTGTCACTTGATCATAATGTAACAATACAGGACAACATCAAGGATATCATTGTCCCCATTAACGTATTTAGCACCAGCGAGCTGAGTAGTATTATGTTCAACTATCTTACATTTAGTAGAAACATGACCATAGAAGCTGTGCGCGTTATGAAGAAATTTTTTGAGAACACTTTGAACCAAAACAACAGTATGTTAATGATTTGTATTTACAAAGTATCATTATTTACTAATTTAGTTTACCTTTTAGGCCTTGATAAAAAGAAAAAAGTACTCGCATTGAAGGAGTGTCGTTCGTTGATCAAGAAGAAACTTCCACTTTCTTTCAGTCAAAGCCATGAAATCTGTTCCCGAAAGGGGTGTTATCTCTTTGATCCTGTCGATGATGCCGATAAAACCGCTTGTCCTCACTGTAACGCTGTTAGACATAAAGAATCTGTGGTAAAAATGATTGATATTGGTGAACATTTAAGTCGTATGCTAGCTTGTGACGAGTTTCGTGATGAAGTCGAAAAATACCGAAACGTAATCGATTCCATGACAGACGATGATCCATATACCGATTTTTTTTCTGGAGCCGCGTATAAAGAAATGAAATCTAAAGGTCTCTTCACTGGTCAGCACGATTTAGCCATCGTTCTATGTGTTGATGGGTTCACTTCGAAGGTATCAAGAAAAAGTATGGTGATGGTACACGTTATAATTGCTAGCATTGATCCGTCTATCAGGTAAATTTTGGCTCTATATACAATACATCCAATCTTTTTACGTCGTAATAACACCATTTGCAGATACACCGATGAATATACTTTTCAAGTTGCAATTCTTTTTGGTGACACTAAGAAAGACTTTGACTCGTATCTGCGTCCAATTATTGAAAGCCTTGATCGTTTGAGTCGTGAACCTGTTGTTGTTCGCAAGAATGGTGTTCATGTCACGTCGGCTAGAATTTTCAATTTGGGTGTCATTGCAGATGGTATAGAGATCAACCAGCGGTTGTTGATGTTTAGTGGTCATACCAACTGGTGGGGATGTAGATTTTGTATTGGTAAGTCGTCAGTTACTAAGCTATGACCGTGGACACTAACAAAATGACCCTTCTAAATTTAGTTAAAGGCGGTCACCCAGTTGACGGAGGAAAAGGTGGTATGTACTTCTTTGGCAGAGACTCGGCTATCAGAACCAAAGCTTCTTTATTACTTGAGAAAGACGCAGTAAGTATTAACTTGTGTAGCCTTTTTTACATATTTTAATTGATTTACCTTTATTAGCCTTCTTGTCCCAACCACAACTATGGTATTAAAAGTGCTTCTCCCTTTGGTCAGTTGAGTACCTTCCTCTCCATCGACTTTTTCATGTGTGACGAGCTACATATGTTTTCGAATGTCAGCAAGCTTTGCTTCGACATGCTTTCACCAAAGCTCAACACTCGGTTCAAGTTTGATGGTAACGAAGACACGTACCCGTTTGCTCTCGAGACTGCTGATTTTACTCGCATCAAAACCGCCATGGATGACTCCCTTCGTGCAATTCCTGCGGATTTCAGTGGTTCGTTTGCTGGTGTCAATCTGGATAATGTTAGATCTATTTATCGTTCGGTGGACTGGATCGCCTGGTTGGTGCATGTGATTCCTACGATTGTTGCCCCACTCTTTCACGCCAGAGAAGCAACCACAGGATTTATTGCCCTGTCTCGTGGTATTCAATTGAGTTTGCAATGGTCGATATCCGAATCTGAAGTGAAGGAAATTGAAAGGTAAATATTCATTGTTGAGTTGTAATTTATGTAGTGATATTTACTTGAACATTATATTTGCTTATGATAGATGCTTTAAGACTTGGTTTGATTACCTCGATACCTGTCTTGATAGCAGCTCTATCTCCAGAACCGTATTCAGATCGAACATGCACCAACTGAACCATATACCATACATGATAAAACGAATGGGGTTAGTTATCGATTGTCATCATAGTTATTAGACTTCCCTTTTGTACTAATTTTTCATTTCTCTGGTAGACCGTTAAGGTGTTATTCTGCAAGATCATTGGAAAGGTCTATTGGCATATACAAGAAGCGAATCCGTTCATCTTTGAATCCTGGTGTCAACGCCGGTAATGTCATGGAAACTCGTGAAATGTTCTCTTTTTTGCAATCCGATGGTATAATCGATAGTTCCGCCTATGATTTGAAGAAGGATAAAGTCAACAACTTCTTGCCCCACCCGTCCAACGATCCATTGTTGCCTCAGCTGTGGTCACCCTTTCACTGGCGGGTAAATACTGTAAAGCTGGGCCAGGTTGTAAAGCAAGCAAAAGAAAAGCACAATCATACCATTGGCGGCTACCTGGCAAGAGACTGGCTTAAAGCACTCTCTCAATTTTTGATTCGTCTGACTGGTAATACTTCGGCTGTTATAACTTCGTTCCATCAGCACCAATTTGTCAACATTTCTCAAAAACTCTGGACAAACAATCAAATATACATATCTGATTTGTGCAAATCGAAGAACGCAGCAAGTTCGCGTGGTGGTGAGTTTGTTATGTTTACTGCAATTCATAAAAATCGGTAAGTTGATGTTTGCAAATCAAAATTATTGTGTACTGACTTATTGTAATTAGGATGTTCCGGCCTGTCGAAAACTGGTACGTTTGTAAAGTCTTGTTCTTTTTTGACTTTACATATCAAGAAGGTGCTCCGGGCTCGAACTTCGTTTTTGGTGAACTTATGAAGAATCATGACGTCTCACCATACTCAAAGGCTATCCCGCGCGTGAAACCTTACGATGAGGCTGAGCAAAAAAAATTTGTGGTCTTTGATGCCGAGGATCTTTTGTCTGCTGTCGGATTGGTGAATGCGGTTGACGGCTCCAATAACAAATATGTTATAAAGACTGGTGACGCTTTTAAAGTCGATATGAGTAGTACTGCCGGAAGTGTTGGAAACATTGTTTTCCGCTGAGAATAAAATACAAAATCATTAAAACCCACAGTCACATGTCCCGTTTTCTCATTTTACTTACGTAATCTGAAGTTGTCTTTTTCTTACCCTGGCTATCATCCCCATAAACATTTTTTTTCTTTAAAAAATTACGTTTATCTATTAACATGGTATTGCTACATCTATTTATTTATGTATAAGTTGTTTTTATAGAGATTTAAAAATTTGGCTTTGCGATCAGCGATCAAAAAATCAAAAATATCGGAGATATCGATATTTTCGATTTTTTGAGCGATATCGCCAATATCGATCAAAAAAAACATTTTGATCGCTGATTTATTTTAGGGTGCCAAAGACTAGTACAAAATACGCAAAGCATAATTGACCAATTTATTGAATAATATTACATGATTAAAGTTAGACAATACTTCGTTTAACGGTAGTTATAGAATTTTTAAAACGACATAGCTAGTACTATCGAATATCTGCAAATACTTGACATTGTGAAAGAAGCTGCGAGCAACATTTTTTATTTCGTTTTTCTTCGGGACCTAAAAGTACTTGATAAGCGACAACAACAAATTAAAGGCCGCGTGATTCTAGAAAAAACATAAAGGTAGATATTGTCGGGTGCTGGTGTATATAATACAAATGAGAACGATACGTTACAAGCATGTATGTTCTGTTTCAAAAGATTAGCTAAACCTCTTCGAGTATTGTCTGATAAAAATAGTGGTAGAAGTAAGTTCCAATATAATAGTCAGAGGGTCTTTTACTTGCTGTAGTCAATGATGTCCCTCCATCTTTACGCTTCAGTCTACGCATGGAGGCTTATTTTTCGCATTAACTAAAGCCTGCTCACTTCTATTCTTTTGGGAAAAAACTATTTATCCCATTCCCTTTATTTTCTCCCTTCTTATTCTCCCGGTGGTTTATCGCACAGGCTGCTTCTGCACCAAACCAACTGAGACTGATTTAGGCACGACAATCCCCCCCCCCTTTTTTTTTATGCTAGATCACTTATTTTTCTCTTTAATTTACTCAAACAACAATTTTTACACATGTGTTTCTTTACAAATAATTACTGCAGCACTGTCCAATTGCGTTGGGCCCATAATTAAACACACGGTCAATCATTTTAATCAGGTAAAGCCACCCAATGTCACCATAACACTAGCCCACCCGTCTTACTGTATATGTTGCGCTGCGGCTCTGTAATCCCAATTAGAATATAAATGGTAATAAAAACACGAAAAGTGGGGGTGTACTACGTTAAAATTTAAATACAGATGGGTTTTTTATTTATCAACAATTTAATTAACAAGAGTTCTCCAAGATTCTAAATGACGCATCAATTTATGTACAGTAGCGTCTACTTGATTGGGAGGTTGTACGTGCAAAGCATTAAGATAGCGTTTAAGAGCAATAGCGGCTTCGTCAGATTTTCCACGGACGCACGTTTTCTGATCCTTAAATGTTTTGGAGAGGTAATCTTGAATCCAGTCAATATGTGCTTCGGTGTAACCCAATTTACGATAAGCGTCATGTTCCTTGTTACGCCAGAATTGAGCAAAGGAATCCTTAATATTGAAATTCTTGAGATGATCGAGATGAACATTAGAAATCTTATCGCTTGCATGATGAAGCTTATCCGTCGCATGATGATATGTATCGGTGGCATGGTGATGAGCAGCACTTGTCACTTGGTCTGCGACACCAGAAACTCGAGATTTGACAGACTCAATAGAACGGGATTGAGCTCTAGACTTTGAGGAGGCTTCCCAGTCACTTGTTAAAGAATGTGCTACAGATTTAATAGAATCAGTAACACCTCTGTGAGAAAATTCATGTGAAACTTCGTGGTGTTTGTATTGGAAGCGTGATAGAATAAGAGATTTGTAATAATTGATACGAGTGTAAATGCGATCCTTAATCCCTTCAAGATAAGATTTGAGTTCTTGGCACCAGTTTTTAGCAGCTGTTTTAGTTTTTTGACCTGTGTAGTCAAGAGCAAAGACTTTATAACCATTAACATCCTTTTTGATGGATTCGATCACTTCGTCAAGCTTTTCCTTCTTAATATCTGAGTGTTTAGAAATCGATGAAGTAAATTCATCCAACCAGGACTTGTCACCCAATCTACTAATGTCTGTATTTGAGATACTGGACCGAAGTTGGTCGGCAATACTTTTCGTTTGCTCTTTAGTTAGTCCACCTTTGTTAGCAACACGATCAACCACAGATTGGAGCCAATTATTAAATGAGGAGGAACCTTCTTCGACATTCGGCTTGAGGCGTAGAACACGTTGATACCAAGAAGGCTCTTGGTAAGAAGCTTCAAGGGTAGAGTAAGCCTTGTTCCATTCCGATTCGGTCATGATTTTCTGACGAATAGCTTGATGATGCGCTTTATCCAATACAGCTTGAACCCGATCTTTGCTGAGTTGACCTTTTAGTTCGAGTTGACGTAATTGGTGCTTTAAATCTGTTACGAACGAATCGACGTTCGTCTTCGCGAGACCAGTTTGTTTGCCAACACTATTCGTAAATCCGGAAAGAAGCTTATCAACACCGCTGCCAAAAATACGGGAATTGGAAGCAATCGCATCCTTGTAGGAGTTTACCATTTCGGACCAAGATTGGTCATCGTTCTTTTTGTCGTGAAAAACATTATACTTTTCGAAATAAGTCCCAAGACTGTCTGTAGACCAGTCATTAACTTCTTCCGTCCTTACTATGGCAGATGATTGACCTACAAATATAATCAGAGCGATACATAGTATCGAGTACAACGTCGATTTTCTGTTCATTGCTTAAAAGATAAATGAATTAAAAAAGGACGTCTTTAATTTTCCACAAAAAATAAAAATAAAAAGCTTTTCTCAATAAAACAATGTTTCGGTCAATTCATCATAATGATTGCAATATATGTCTCAGTATAGCTATTGTTTGTTCCAGGGAAAAAATTACGGGGGGTTTCGATATGGATACAATAATTGGGGATGTTCCATAAACAAGCAAATCTTATGTGAATTTGGGGGGAGGGGGTATGGCATCTCTTTTTTTTTGTATAATGCAAGTTTTTGGGTCCTTCGCGCAGTTTTATACAATCTCAATTTAGTTTGCTTTCCCTTTTCAACTAGAATTTGCCGTCTCCGCTACTACTATGAATCAATTGGTATCTGTTTCTGATTTGTTTGATTGTCAAAAATTCAGCGAATTAGATTTTGCAAAAAAAACTTTTTTTTCTGGATATATGTAGAATGATTTTGTACACAGCTTCCTATTGGATGGTTACACCCCAACAATGCCCCCAGCACCCAACAATTCATGTCAAGTTTTTTTTATTTTATTTTCTAGTATAAAAGCAAGGCACCGATTCGCAGTTACTGTTAGCTTTATTCTTTTCTACATTTATAAATAATATATACATCCATTCACTTTCGTTTACGAACTAGTCGAAAAGAATCAACAACAATATGTCTCAAGTACAAACAGTAACTACAACTTCCGATTGTACAAAGACAGAGGCTATGAAGCCTCCTCTTCCAAAGACAAAGATGCCTCCCCTCTTTGATCAACCTGTCACTTCAAAGAATTGGACAAAGTTTGTTAATTGGCCTCAATCCATTTTGCTTTGTGCCACTCCTTTGATTGCTTTGTATGGTGTCTTTACTACTGAATTAACTCAAAAGACCATGATTTGGGCTATTGTATACTACTTTATCACTGGTCTTGGTATTACTGCGGGCTACCATCGTATGTGGTCTCATCGTGCCTACCGCGGTACCACAGCCTACCGCTGGATTATGAGTCTCGCTGGTGCCGGTGCCGTTGAAGGCTCTGCTTACTGGTGGTCTAGAGGACATCGTGCTCATCACAGGTACAGTTGACACTTTTTTCTTAAATGAATAGCTCACTAACTCTCATTTATCGTAGATGGACTGATACCGATAAGGATCCTTATAGTGCTCATCGTGGTTTCTTTTTCTCTCATTTTGGTTGGATGTTGGTTGTTCGTCCCAAGAACCGCATTGGTTACGCCGATGTAGCTGATCTTAAAGCTGATCCCGTAGTAGCTTTCCAACACAAATACTATCCTTATATTGCTCTTTTAATGGGATTTATTTTCCCTACTTTGGTTGCTGGCTACGGCTGGGGTGATTTCAGAGTAAGTTTTTTAAACGCCGCAAAATTACGAATTATCTTTAGCTGACTAAACTATTTTTAGGGTGGTTATTTCTACGCTGGTGTTCTCCGCCTTGTCTTCGTTCATCATGCCACTTTCTGTGTCAACAGCTTAGCACATTACTTGGGTGAATCTACTTTCGACGATCACAACACACCTCGTGATAGTTGGATTACCGCTATATGTACTTTGGGTGAAGGCTATCACAACTTCCATCATCAATTCCCTCAAGATTATCGTAACGCTATCAAATTCGGTCAGTACGATCCTACTAAATGGCTTATCAACGTCTTTTCTTGGATTGGTCTTGCTTACGACTTGAAGCAATTTCCAACTAACGAAGTGACCAAGGGCCGTTTATTCATGGAAGAAAAGCGTCTTCGTGCCCAACAAGCACAATTGACATATGGTGTTCCCCTTAAGGATTTACCAATTTACACCTGGGAAGAATATCAATCTTTGGTCTTGAATGAGAACAAGAAGTGGATCTTGCTTGAAGGTGTGCTGTACGATGTTGAGAATTTTATGCATGAACATCCCGGTGGTATGAAGTATGTTTCTACAGCTATCGGTAAAGATATGACCACTTCCTTTAATGGTGGTGTTTATAACCATAGCAACGGTGCCCGTAATTTGTTAACTTCGCTTCGTGTCGGTGTCCTTCGCAACGGTATGCAAGTCATGTCTGAAGCTGATGCTACAGCTACTACCTATGATGATTCTCTTGAATTTGATAGTAATTCAGCTCAATTCTACAAGAAGAAGAAGTAAACAAACCGCTACAAAAAAAAAAAAAAAAAAAAAAAAAAACTACTACAAAAACAGCATATATCCCCATTCTTTTCTACATTTCTCTTTTTTTTCGTATATATTATTTATTCTCATGTCTTTCTCCTTATTTCTTTATATCATAAATAAACTTTTTTATCGTATATATCTAACAATTTGAATTTTTTTGAAAACGTAAAGGAGCTGTATTTTTACGCAAGCATGTTTTCATAGTTTATGTAAAAACATTTGTGTTCTTCCGGCCAAATGCCTCAGCCGGCTAAATAACTAAAATATTGGGGATATCCTTATTCGGTATAGTGCAGTTAAAACAAGGTTAGCATGATTAAAACTTAATGCACTTTTTCTGACGTAGTATCTCAAGACGAATTAATATGAATGAAAAAAAAAATATAAAGTTTATGTCATGTATCTGGTTGAAAGGGTAGGTTTCTAAAGGCGGTGGTGGGGGATTAAAAAAATAAAAAAATGCAGAAAAAAGTATGTTTACTCTCTGGAGATATCACGACCCCAGAAAGTCTTCTTGGTCCAATCAGTAACAACTAACCACTTGTTACGAGCAGAGAACAAGCTAGAAACATAAGCGGAACGCCAGAAAGCATAGGTGGCAACACCACCGGAAGCTAAGTTACCAGGGCCGAATGGTAAATCAGCAATAGCCTTATCAGAGCCAATATAACAAAGAGAACCTTGATGGGAATAATGGAAAGGTTTGATATCTTGGGCCTTTTGCAATTTACGGGCTTTCTTGGCCTTTTCTTCGGGTGTAGCAGCAAGTTCCAACTCACTCTCGTATTGCTCAGTAGCATGTAATTGGGCAAAGACACGGGCCAAATACTTACCTTGTTGTGCAGCTACTTGAGCAGTAGGTGCATATTTTGTAGCTGTGGCATCGCCAAGAGCATAAATATCGTTGGTGCCAGCCATTCTGAGCCAGTCATCAACAGCCAAACCACGACGGATATTTTGTGTCTCGGGGTGTTGAGCCATTAAGTTTCTGATTAAGGGGCGGGTGGTGTTACCGGTAGCCCAGACCAATAAACCGTAAGGCATGGCTTCCTTCTCTCCACTAGGTCCTTGTACAATAATCTCCTTTTCCTTTACTTCCTTGACCATAGTCTTTGTGTGAAGAGAAATATGTTGTTCCTTAAAAGTAGATTCGGTATAATCAATCAATTGCTTGGAGAACGCAGGAAGAACATTGGGCATAGCCTCAATAAGAGTAATCTTGATCTTACCGACAAGTTCTTAACCGAAAAAACAAAAATTAAACTTCCTACCAGAACTGTTTTTTTACACAGCACTTACCAGGATACCAAGCGCTTAAATCTTCAGCAAGGAAATCGTGAAGTTCAGCAGCATATTCAATACCAGTAGGACCACCACCAACGACGACCATATGCAACAAACGCTCAATTTCTTCAGCAGCTTGACCAGGGAAAGCAGCAGTTTCAATACAATCCATCAACTTTGTACGAATCTTTTGAGCATCCCAAACCTCCTTTAAGAAACAACCGTATTCCTCAACACCCTTGATACCAAAGGTTTGACTTTGGGCGCCGACACCGACGACCAAATAATCGTAAGAAATGGTGCTGGTAGCTCTGTCACCCTTCACTTCGGAGTTATCTGATAGTACCGTGTGTAAGTAAGAAATATACGATTACTAAAAAAAAAGCGCTTACCAACAATAGTAATAATCTTCTTGTCAGAATCAATCTCTGTACATTCGGCTTCAAAGACCTTAACCTCATTAGGCTTATGACGAGTGATGAAGCGAATAGGTTCAACGATAGAACGATGATCGATAGTACCCACGGTGGTGGAAGGTAAAAGAGGTGTGAACAAAAAGTAGTTACGAGGAGAGACAACAACCACATTATAAAGCTCAGTATCAATGGACTTTAAGAATGAGGTACTTGCCCAACCACTTCCAAGGATGACAATAGTCTTTTTACTAGGATCAGCAGGAGTAGGATCCATGACGGGATGAGAATGTTCATACATGCCTTTTTTTTAAAGACGATGAGCAAATGAATTTCCTTATCACCCCCCCCCCTTTTTCACCTTATAAGATACTTACTATAAAAAGTATAACCAACGAAACCTACTGCACCGACCTTGGCAAGATTCTTGGTAGCCTTCCATTTGGAAAAAGTTTTTTTAGGAGCTTCAACAGCAGTGGCGTTGAATCTTTGTTGGAAGGTGCGTCTAACGATAGGTGATTGACGGATAGTAGCTAAAGATTAAGATCATCAGATATACAATCAAATTTTGGCCGTAATTTCTATTCAATTACCTCTTAACACTTTTGAAGTAGTTGACTGCATTTTAAAAAATAAATATATCAAAAGGAAAAAAGAATGAAAAAACGGGAAAACAATGGGAAATAGATAAAATCTGCGCCAGGGGGTCCTATCGCACTTCTAAAACCAAGTTTTTGACAATCACAAACTTCAGCGGAGCCGGAAGATATTATCTGTTCGTGTTTATTTTCCTCAAAACGATTGTGCGATAACGAAGTATTATTGCTTTTTTAAGACTCATGGTGATACAGAATTAAACGCGACAAAATCGTCCGACTGGATCATCACTGACACGCTCGGTGATACAAAATGGATTATTACAATCAGTACGATATATTACGTTCAAGTGTTACAGTGTCGTTTGTTACAGCGTTGTAAACAAACAGATATGTTAAAATAATGTCATGTAAGGCAATAGAAGATATGCATATGTCAATGGCACTTTAGTATTATACCTTGAAACATTCAAGCTTAATACACAAAATCTTATTAAATATTAAAAGGCTGTCGCTAAAATTTAGGAAGCCACATCTGAATGATTTCAACTGTTGATAAAAGTTTGTATCCTTATTCTAACCCTTCTTGTTCTTAATAACAAGCTCAAGCACAAATATTTGTCATTATCAACCACTTGTTTTTTTAACAAAACCATCCATAAATATTTACTATGTAAACACGAAAGGGCTCACGAGCGTTACTTTCAAATTTTCTGCTCTGATATATTACACAGATTTGGCATAATAGTATTATACCTTATAATTTGTTTGCTCTTCTATAATGTAAATAATAATAATATATCTAGCACTAAAAATGATATGTCAACCTCTCAATACCGAATTATTGGGATGAGATACTAATAACACGATGATTTAAGCAAGTATTTCCATGTGGGCCAAATATAAACGAAACTAAATGCTACTAACATAACGATCGCTGATCTTCCGTACATGATTGAATTGAAGAGTTGCTGATTTTGTATGCTAAACATTTGCCTTAGATTAAGCATGTTTTAATTCGTTTATAGTATATCAGGAGGCATTAAATAATCAATTTGATGAAGAATATTAAAACATTGCATATATCTTTTTATTATTGACGTATGTATGAGCGATATGATGTAGCTGACATATAAATGGCTGTCAAACTGGCGAAAATATATAAGCAGAACGATTGAGGGGGGTTTTCACCTATTTTCGACATAAACAGCAAACTAAGGAATCAAAGTATAGAAACCTGCATGCCAAAAGCTTCAAGCTTTGTGTAACGGCGTTAAATTACGAGACGCAATAAAACGAAAAACTACACAGAGTATTGTGAATTTTACTCCCAAATTCCGGTTTTAAAATACAGTAGATTGTGCCTGGAAATGATTTGGTTCCTTAGTGTAAAAAAGAAGGGGTGGGGTGGCTTCTGAGTGAGTAAATGAAAATGAACAGCGCTTGTAAACGTTGGCATGAGATTCAGGATTCTCAAACTATTTTTTGTAATGTTTACGTTTACCTCGTTTGGGTAAGTAAGTTGCCATTGATCAGAAATGATGAGGGACTCCGCATAAACAAAGGCCAATGTTTTTTCTGGCATGTCCTAAAAAGGAAGTTATAAACCCGCACCCCAAAAACAAATGACCGAAAACAAATTGCTTTTCCTAGGAGGGTATAAATAAAGACGCTATTCTTTTATATGAAGCTTTTAATTTCTTCTTCTTACATACTTATCTAATATGAACAACAAAACACAAAAAAGGGCCTTACCACCAACTCCCGCAACCAGTACAAAATACACAAATGTATCAAGCGCCATACCATCATTATTAGATGTATCTTATGAAAGTTTACCGGATAGAGAACGAAGATGGTATAACGATCTATTAAATTGTCAAAAAACATTGGAGCAGAAAGATGTAAAAAATATGTTGAATCCTCCTTATTTTGACTAAGACTGACGTCTCTTTTTATAAGTCTACTATCAATAATTTAAAGACAATTGTCATGGAATGGAAAAACAAATCTATGGAGCATGAAACTTCTTATAAGGAGACCAGGAAAAGACTCGAAGGTAGAATAGCAAACCTATAATAACAAAAGTGAATTATCTAACGCATGGACTTTCTATGTAGATCGTGAACAATTTTTAATTAAGCAACATGAAGCCGAAATAAGAGCTATGACGAAAGTACAAGCGGATCAAGCAAACGAACATCTTGATATGATTTTACAATTGGAGCAAGAAAATCGACTTCTGAAACAGCAGTTGGGACAGCCATCGCAACGATTGATAGCCCATCAACCAACTAGCACAACAAGTATATTATGCAACAGCGCAGAGGTAAGGCTTTCAGGAACATGTTGACCTTATACTAATTCTTTATTAGGCTGCAAATAAATCAGCACTAGAAAATGTCTCGAACAGTAAAGAGAATGCCGATGAATTGATTCAGAGAATAAGCGTAAGTGTTTAAAGACGCAATTTGTGATACAGAATATTCACATGTATGTATATAAATTTAGGATATGGTAAATTCAATGGAAGGAACATTGCACGATTTTAAAAATAATCAAGACGGTATCCTTATTAATGACATACCGTATGAAGAAGACCACGCGCCTCCTGCCCTAACATCAGATACTTCATCTTGCTCATCTTCTGACGAATTTTATATGGAGATTAAACCATCACTGACTACGCCATTACCAAAAAAGAAGCGGTCGGCAACCATACCTAACTTTCTTTTCCGTAACAAAAAGCTTTTAGAAGAACCGCAAAGGAAACGCAATCAATCATTGCACGATCATAAAGTCCAAAGGAAACCAATCAGGCATGAAATAAAGATTTGAATCGCAGTTATTATAAGCCACCCTTTTAGTAAATATTATTTTTAATTTGGAAATGACACGGTTGAGAGAGTTTGTTATGACGTTCCCATCACACATGACATTCTTGTCCTCGAGACTCTGTTGAAAAAGAGCAAACCCGACGCTAATGCTCTTGTCGCTAAGAAGGATGGCATCCGCTAGCTGCTAATGTGTATATATTATATAACTGTTTATGTGCTAAGCAGAGACAAGTGTTATAAATAGGTCAAGGTTAATTACTAGCCTGCGTTCTTAACGAAGCCCACCTTCGTCGTCAAGCCACAATCGTAGGTAACAACTATGTTCCTAATTATTTGAAACTTGTATTTACTATCCGTATTTGCGGTATCTATAACATTGCTCCTAAACTCGGTTAAGTTAATCAATTGCTTCGCTTTTTGAAAATCAACAATATCGTCTTTATTCGTCTTAACAGGGCTGCCTCTGAGATACTTCAACTGATCCAACCTTATACCACTAACGGTTTTTTTTTTCAATATGAAGACCATCTGTGGTTTGATCTATAAGCGTAGTTATGCCAAAGTCAACAACCAAAGAGTTCCTAGTTCTAAAAACTCCGTCTCTCCGTGAGTACAACATTATGTGTTGAAGATCCCATTTACAAGATTGTGGCAGTTGGTCCACACTTCAAGCAGGCCAACAACTTTCTCGAACCTTTTATGCTTTCCAGCGCTAATAATATTAGCAAGTCTCCTTACATTGAAGGATATGATATTGACTGCCGTGAAGAATTTATTAACGACTTGGTCTAATCCATGAACTAGACTTTGTTATTGATAATAAAACGCGTCAGGCCATTTTACAATTTCTTCAATGTTTGTTTGCTTATGTCGGATCGAGATCTTTGTCCCGTTTGTACGACGATAGTCAGATGTACGTGGGCTTGGAAAATTGCGCGAAAAACGAAAACATCAACATTGTGCTTTGCGTCTAAGAGGATTTATATTTGCAGAGACCTTGAAGCAGCATGTATTTATGATTTGTCATGCACAAATTTCATAAAAAATTAGTATAACCTTGTAGTTAAATGAACAAAAAGAAAAAAAAATGGTGAGACTTCACTTGTTGAGCCAAGATGGTCAAATTGTCAACGAGGTCCACTTTGGAGGAGTCTAAACCGGTCGAATTCAATATATAATGCCATACCTACTTTACAGAGTTCCCCATATAGGCTTACCAAGGCATGCAATTAGAAGTAAAAAAAAAAAAAAAAAAAAAAAAAAAACAGCTGATAAAAATAACACCCGAATCATCTTCATGAAATTATTTGACTCTTTTGATACACTAGTCAGCAAGTGTTGTAAAGAATCGTGTTTTCTGTGATCTTTGCTTACCTAATACCTCTCGTTTTCACAATTTTAATATGTCGCTTCAAAAGAATATATGAACATACCTATATTTTGCCTGTCGACACATTCTCGAGCGGGTCGAAACCTGTTTATCCCTCTTTAAGTACGAAGATTATCATAAACAAACATACTTTCTCTTTCATTGATTGACAGGTTTTCTTAACAAAGAGAATAATTAAGACCTGCACATCATAGACTGCGATTACTTTCAATGACGACAATATGATTTAGCCCAAACCGATAATTAGTTGCAATATTATTACTGCTAGTGCCATTTTTTTTGTTAGGCGATATTTATTAATCTTTTTTTTTTAAAAAAAAAAATGAGCAAGAATTTACCAGCCGCCTGTACCGAACAAAAGGAGATCGACTGCTGTAAGGAGATACAAAAGGGGCAGGCTTTGCTATTTTTTATTTTTTTCTTTATAATAGACCGTGTAGCGTAACACATACAATTCTATAAATAGTGAGGATATCTCAAGTAGGCAAGGGACTTAAGAAACAAGAAGAAAAAGGAGGTTCAGATACAAGATATTTAGAGGGACATTGCATGGCATTGGGGTCATTATATATATGTATACATATACAAAAAGAAAATAAATAGTAAAAGAAGATGTTTATGCACATAACAAGCACTTTTTATTATTTATATCAAAAAGAGCTAAGCCCTTGAAAGACAAGCATAACTTTCAAAAAAATCTGTGAGGTGATCATCATTTAATACGGATGTGTTCAACAATGGCAGTAATTTTAACTTTAAATCAGATTGTCCCGTAAAAGGAGCGACTTGCAAGTAAAGATGTTGATTATCCTTCATCAAGAACAAGCGATTGAAATAAGCCAGTACGTCGGATAAATCTTTACTTGTGTTTGATAATAGATTTGGCAAGATATCATTTTCCAGGGCGGTAAATACTGCATTTAAATTTAAATTAATATATTCATCTAATTCCATAGACAATGTCGATGCCTTTTCTTTCAAACAAGTAGAGCTGAGTAACCCTTGTTCTTGATCGAATGTACAATAATTTAATGCAACATTTCGAATAAACTGTCCAAATGCAGGCTGCCCTAATTTATCGGATAATCGATCCCATGCGATATGTAAACTTCCCTCAGTATGTGCTTGAATTGCACCAAATATCTGTGCATGCAATATCTCTAAATCCATCATCATATCCCAAGATGATCCACTAATTGTATTAAATGATTTTTGTCGTTGATTCTGCTGTTGAAGGACTGGTTCTGATTCTTTGGTGGGTTCGATGCCGATTTGGATATGCTCTTGAAATTGTTCGGATATGATCTTATAAGTTCCTGACTTTATCGACTCTAGATGATCAAACTGCCAATGTGTTGATACAAGCTGTGCAAATCTTTCTACTGGGATACCGTACTCTGACTGTGGACATTTACCGTCATCTACGCTAACGTCTATTGTTTGTGTTGGTATATTACTGACAGCAGTAGTAGGGATAACTGCTGCTGGAGATGTTGTGCTTGAGAATATTGGTAAACCACAGCTAAATGATACCAGATTGAATAAAAGGAAAAAGGTATATACTTTCATGATAATTTTTTTTTTTTAATTTTACAAAGATAAAGAGAAGAAAAAAAAAAAAAGGGAAATAAAATATTTTGAGGGGAAATTTATAGGAAAAGGACTGCCCTACGAAATGTCAGAAAATGTATTAGTCTTGTTTAATCAGATGTAACAACATTTCTTTCTTTTGCTCAATTAAATAAGGTTGAATCACTTTCTCGTCCAAATATTCATCGCTTATTTGCATCTAGTATTTCAGGGCAAAAGATTGTCGTCAATATAAATATATACTGATTTTTTTTTTTTTTTTTTTTTTTTTTGACCCTTACATGCTGCCCTGGACAAACTAAAAATTCTAGGCGTTTATTATCATCAAGAGACTTTAATCCAAGCCAATCTTCCTTATATAGTGTACGATTCCTTAACTCTATTAGATTGCTATCTTTGTCATCGACCCAAAACCACTAAAAAAGTATAAATATTTGGCACATGCAAAAGAAAAGCCCATATTTTGTTTCTTACTGCAGTATGTCCAGGCTTAATCATGACATCCAGGCTAAATCTTATTAAAACAAGCTTATCTAAAGAAGCAAGGTTCTGCTTGTACATTTGATTCTTGTTGCTGATTTCATTATTAAGATTAGGTAAAAATCGATTCTTTTCGAGATAACCTATTTTTATAACAATTAATTACACGTATTTGTGAATCACATACACTCTATTTCGCTCTCGTCAAATGCCCGTACCCTTTTCATTATACGGATCCCTAAAATATTGTGCTTGGATCACCCGATTTTGAACATAATTTGAATACACTCCACCTCTGACCATGGATCTCATTAATTTACATGAAAAATCTCTCTCATTCATGCAGTTCGGAATATCTGATACGCCTAGTGTAGATTCATAAAAAAAAAAAAAAAGTCAGATTGGATACCCGTCTAATAATGAATATTTATAACAAACCTCCGTGTGGTGATCCAAACGTAATCAAGCGATGAACCATTGGTTTATTACAGCGTTCCACATATGTTCTAAAATAATTTAACCCAAAATTAATCTCAAGGGATTCCTCTCGTTTGCATTTCTTGTACCTTAAAAATAATCCACCCTTTTTTGGAAATAAAGTATTATAAAAAGATGTCATCTTTCTTCATTTCTTTTTTCTTTCTTATTTTACGTAACATACCTGAGAAAATCCAATGGCGTTAAAACCGTTTGCTAATTCGGGTATAATCGATAATTCCTCACATAGTTTGTCCACTTGTTCATCAATTTTACCAAAAAACCCTGCCTTATGATCACTATCCACCGTATCTCCCACACGCACGCTATAAATAAAAGTTCCAGGCAAACGTGATTCCAACAGGTTTTTCACTCTACCCATCGATTCGGGGTTGCAACAATCATCTCCCATACCGTGCCACAATACAACTACGTATCATTTATAAATAAAACCTAATCTTTTTTCGGTAGTTTTGGATGTTATTTACCGGGTTTTTCTTTAGCTATTGTAGGGATATATTAAAAAAAAAAAATTATATTCAGCCACATTTAAAAATAATAAATACCAAAACATAGACCAGAACATAAAAGTAAAACAACCAGAGTTATTAATATCATTTTATTCTAAAAACAAAAAAGGCTTTGGTGGACACTAAAAAGAGAGTTTCATGAATCCTAATTTTTTTTTTCTCAGCCCTTTCAGCCCTTACGGTGACGTTGCTACGGTTACTCCGAGCCGGACTCAATTTGAATTTTGTGGACTTTCAACTGATGCGGCGATTCTGAGAAAAAATCCAAGTGTAAATTGAAATCAACCAGTGCTACCATAAGCGTACTTTCTCTTTCTCTAGACCATCCACATTATCAACCATGGTGGTATGTACTATATAGACACTATTCAAACCTAAAAGACAATAGAGAGAGAGATATATAGATGGATGATTGATACAACACAATTTGGAACAGATGGACAACTGGAACTTTTTTTTTTTTTTGGTGTCAAAGATTGGATTCAACATGAACAAATGCTACCTCCAATGGATAATGCCTCAACTCATCAACATCACACTATACTCTCTCTTGTCATTTGTTTTTGTTGGTTAATTAGAGAGAGAAATTGAACGACTAAACTTTTTTTTTCGAATCGAATAGCAAGGTACTTTCAAGCGTCAAGTCGAAGTTGGTCGTGTTGTCCTCGTTAACTACGGTCCCGATGCCGGTAAGTTAGCCGTCATTGTTGACATTATTGATCACAACCGTGCCCTCATCGACGGTCCTACCACCGGTGTTGTTCGTCAAGCCTTCTCTTACCGTCGCATGGTCTTGACTCCTCTTGTCATCAAGGACCTTCCTCGTCAAGTTGGTCAAACTGCTCTTGTCAAGGCTCTTGAGAAGAACAAGGTTGTTGCCGCTTGGGAACAAACTGCTTGGGCTAAGAAGCTCGAACAACGTAAGGTTCGTGCTGGTTTGTCCGATTTCGATCGTTTCAAGGTCTCCAAGTTGAAGAACCAAGTAAGTTAATTATGTGTGTGTATGTGCATAAATGCGTGGTATACTGATTTAATTATTAGCGTCGTTTCGCTGTCGGTGCTGCTGTTGCCGCTGCCAAGAAGCAAACCGCCTAAATTTCTTCACATCATGTATAATTCAATAAAAATTGTTTAAGAGAGGGGATGTCTTTGCCTTTAGTAATAAACAACCCTTTTTTTTAACTTTTTATTACTAGACATTATTTATTATTAGTTTTTATTCGAAAAAAAAAAATCCTTTTATTTAAAGATTGTTGATCTTCTCATCAATCGAGTCGTCCAATTCGTCCTCGGATTCTAATGCTGCAGTGGGCTCACCGATATCTGTTAATACATCTGTTTCTGTAATCGGTTGAAGCTCTTCTATGACAGATTTGACACATTCCTGAGGACCAATCATCTGAGCCGAGTCTCTCTTGTCAAATGCATATTCCTCCTCTTCCTTCTTCTCAGCAGCCTGCTGCTTGTTTTTAGCGTCTTGAATAATCAGTTCCACGCTTCTTGTGGCATCATTTGTCAATGGCCTTCTACGTCTGTAGAATAGAAGATAAGCATTATGTGTCTTCACTTGCGAAACATCCATCTTGTAAACAGAAGAATCGTTAAACGTGTACCACTCTTCATCTTCAAAGTTTTGAGCAAACGAAGTATAATGTCCACCTCCAATACCACCCAAATGATTATCAATAGCATACAAATCATAGATCAATCGATCCTCATCCTTAACATTTGCTTGATCCTCAATACTCAAAACACGATCTGTTAAATCAAGTTCGCCTGTAGGGAAATCAATTTCGATATCAATTTTGTCCCTCACCGCACGGGAATGGCTGAATCGTTTAAGATGAACCACTAAAATTTCAGGCATACGCCAAAGATCAAACTTTTTGCTGGCTCGTTGATGTGCTTTACATTTAGGACAATACCAAAGATCCTCTTCACTCAATTCTTCTTCTTTGGTGAACTCGTTTAAGCAGTCGAAAAGTGTGAGTTCTTTGGGTTGATTTCCTTGATCTAACTCCAGCTTAGGATCGCCTAAATCATTTACATCTTTCCATCCATCTGTGCACACTTTATCGGATTTGGTGCCAAACAATTGCTTGGCTTTCTTGATCGTCCAGGCCAATACGATACCTTCACCTTGGCGAATGATAGTATTAGGTGGACATGTCACCTTACGCTTTGGTTGGGCGGGGAGTGCAGGAGGTGCACTAGGGGCTGTTGTAACTGTCGGGATATGATTGAGAAAGTTATCATCACTATCGTCGTCGGACTGGTTGTTCTCTGAACGATGACAAGAAGCATTACCTGTAGAGTCACAATCTTCTGCTTCACCTTCTTCTTGCGTGGGAGCAGCAAACAACGCCGCGGCATCTTCTACTGTCTCATCATCCTCCATGGTTGCAGGTATAATAACCGATTCCTCCATTTCAGTGTCATTCTCACTCACCTCTTCTTGTTGCTTGTTGTATTCATCGCGCTGTGTTTCTTCTAATTGTACTCTTTCGGCAAGATCAATATAGCTCCCCCATGTTTGAGAGGTAGGTAATAGTGCACCGCTATCTCTACCGTACGTACGAGGATCCGACACAATCTTCATGGCAAATAAATTGCTCATGGGTTCAATCTTTTTACCTCCAGCGGGAGTCACAGCAGCAGCTGTATGGATTAGTTGAGGTTGCACGTCAATTTCCATATCTTCCTTCATGGTAGAATCATACTCTGGTGGTTCATCGTCTGAGTCGATGCGTTTAAACTCTTCTTCGTCTATTTCTTCTTGCTTCATAGTGGACAAATCATCATCAGACACAGGTTTGTCTTGGTAATTTTCAGATATTTCATGGTCTACTTGGTCAACATTTTCATCAATAAGTTCTTTTATCATGGGTTTTTCGTTGACTTCTTCAAACAGCTTAAATTGGGTGTAACGCTCAATATGCTGAGATGCAAGATGGTATAAAAGTTCAGGCTTGCTAGCATCCTTGTAGGGGACGGCAAGCACTATAGGGTCACCAAACTGTGAGTAAGTTTCATAAGAAGTGGTATCAGCAATGGTAGCGCAATACACCGGAAAAACAATCAATTGGTTTTCGTCAACAGGTACTTCTTCCTCTTCTTTATCATTTAAGGAACGATGATAGTTATACATTTGTCTCTTGGGCATAGGAGGGACAGGACCAGGAAGTTCGTATACATAAATGATATCTCCACTGGTAATCATGGCCACTGGCTCATATTGAGGGAACACCTTGTAGATTTTGTGATTGTACATTTCGACCACCAAAAGCTATAAAAATATGGTCAATATATGCTTTAGTTTTTTTTTTTTTTTTTAAAAAAAAGACAGACTTACATTGTTTGGTTCCGGAACAGACATGATTTTGGCTACTTCTTTCTGGAATTGGGCGATACTTGCATCCTTGTCTAATGTAATAACAACACGTTGTAACTGTTTGGACGGGTCATAGGGGACATAAATGATGCTTGTTTTAAGTTGCTTTTTGTAAGGAACCGGTAAAGACAGATACATGAATGGGTCAAATGTAACAGAAACCTAAAAAAAATCATTATAAATAAACCACTCCTTTTCACTAAAGATGACATTATACCATACATTTTTGCACTCTTCACAAATTAATCGACTTTTGAATTGGCCTTGAAATAAATCAACAATGATGGAATCATTTCTAGCACGATGGTAGTCCCAACTACGAGCAGCTATCTCTTTATCCTCCATACCAGCGAAATCCGGTAATTCAATATACGGCTTTTTAATTATTCGATTTAAATCCTCATGAAGGCCATCCAACAGAGAGGCTAATAACTCTTGAGTGTCGTGCTGTTGGTATCCAGTAAAAGACGAATTGAATCGACCAATGGTATTTTTAAATTCTCTAGGGTAAACTGTAGTGGAAGTGCCACTCCATAATTTGGCAATCAAATGTCCAAAAGCTTCAGCAATTTCACCTCGCATACCTAACGGATTATCCGGATTTAAATCTTCTTTGTATGTCTCAGCCAAAAAATACTTTGTTAATTGAGGCGTATTACTAAGACATTGGAGAGCTGAATTCATGAAACAAGTATTGCCCAAGTTTTGTAGTCCACACAAACCACGCGTAGGCTTTTTTTTAGATGGCGGAGGAGATGATGTCGAGGAAGAAGTCGTCAAATTATTGAATCCATTAGCAAAAACACTTGAAGTGGATGAAACGGAAGAAGAGTCGCTTTGCCTTGTGAGTGAATCAGAAGGATATTTGTCTGTGCTTTTATCCTTGATTTCAACCGCAACATCGAATTCTCCTGAGCGAGATAAAGTGGCTTCTTTATCATCTGTTTCTATCAAAACGGCTTGACCAAGTTGATGTACCGGCATATTTAAGGTTGTTGAGGGAGTTTCCTTTAATATCCAAGCTTGGATTTCAGTATCCTGTGTTAAATCAAACGCATCCTTTACGGCACTAATAAAATCGTAGACAAGACTGGATTCTGATAATGTGATGACTGGACAACGGTCAAGATTACTGATAAATGACGTTTCATTGTTTTCAATAGAGTATAAACGAAATCGGGGTGGATAAATTTCAACAATCAAACCATCGCTTGAATTAATGACTTGTCTTTCAATGGGATCTGAACTATCAGCGGTAGTGCCGTACCTAATACAAAAAAAAAAAAAAAAAAAAAGGAGAGAAACAATGAATTTTCAGTCTAAAAAAAAGAGTCATTGTGGTCTTATTATTACCATTCAACTAATTCATTCCAAGCACATAAAGGCACCCCAAACACCGTAGTGTTATAAACTAAATCTTCCGCAAGTCTCCCATTTTTATAAAGAGAAATGTTATCGATAGGACCCGGGTTTGTTTGTCCACCTAGCTTTCTAGCATCAGGTTGAGGACTGTTTAAACGAGAGCAATACTGTTTCCATCGATTATACCAGACTTTAGAAAGGAGACACCAGGTTTCGCCATCCTTTAAGTATTGTTCCTGCAACTGAGCAATCATCTTTACTTGATCTTTGGCATCGATGATGGTTGCATCGTTGTCACCGTCTTCGCCAAAGCTAGCTTCTCTTGCTCGTTTAGTTGACACTGGGCTTTTTGCAATATCAGAATCTGACATTATTAAATTACTTCTCTTTTCTTTGAACAAGTGAATTTTGAAAGAGAGAAAAGAACCAAAAAAATTTATTTTTGTTGAAAAGGTGGTGTTTTATAAACTATATTTGATATCCCGCCACACACACATTTGTAAAGAGAGAGAGAGAGAGAGAGAGAGAGGCAAGGCATCACGTGATTTTAAAAACGCGCGCGCGCGCACACATCGGATCATTTGACTAAGAAAAAGCTTACGTCCATTGACGTGCCATATCATCTTAACTTTTCTAAACTTCATAGAATGATCAATTTAATAAAGTATACTTCACTATCGGTCTATTCTACTGATGAATAATTGAAAAGTTCAGAATTGCTTGTATGTAAGCCTGGGGATTAGGATAAGCAATTCCTCAGTATTGAGGAGACACCAAAAGTAATGATCAACTTCTATTAAATGTGAATGATAAATTGAATGGAAGGGTGGCTAATTTTAAAAGTGTCTGTTTTAAGTAAAGGCCCAAACCAAATGATTAAATAAACATGACATAAGCCAGCTTTATTTATCACAAATAAAGTTCATTCACACCCTTTTCTCTCTTTCTTTCTCTTTCGTATGAAAGTATAAAGGTACGTTAATAATGGCTTTTTTTTTTAATGAACGCTAAACTATTACCTCTTTTTAGTAAATGAAAAAGATGCTTTGCAATTCTTGCAGTAGTACGGCTACAGCTAGTCGTTGTACATGCTGGAGGCCTCCTCGACTGGGTCCTCAGGTTCTGTCCAGGATGACTGTAAGTGTTATAATTCCTATGTAAAAATAAATGTACGTATACCGTGTGACTCTAAAAACGACGTAGAAATTCTCGAAAAAGATGTAGGTGTAGGTATTGTCTCTTCGTGCGAATACCAAGAATCCCAACTTTAAAAAGGCCTAGCAGAGAAAACCTCAGTAGGGGGTGCCTAAATATTGAGCATCTTCTACGAGGGTTTTTGATCTTGGGGTTGCAAAAGGACTTTAAAATCATTTATCCTGACGGAGTAGGGCTCACGCTTTGCTGGATTCTCCTAACCGACCCACCAATATTAAAGTTGCAAAAGCAATAAACAGGTCAAACTACGTGCCGTTTGAAATTCAGGTAAGAGATCTAAAAATTCTTTTTCAATAAAGTAAAACACAGCATGTTTATAACTACTGTTACGATGAATGGCAGGTTTCTGGTCTCCAAGTTCAGTGAGTGGTTTGAAGATTGTGTCTTCAAGAGAAATGGCAATTCGTGATTTCGAATTAGGATTATTTCGGTAGACTCGAGATGGTAAGGCTTGTGCAGCCACATCTCGAAAAGAGCGTGTTAGTGTCTTTGAAGGGCCATGATTATGGTTCTCAAGAGATGTTGAGGGTACCGTCATGTTTTAAAGCGAAAGAAAGACTTACTTTGGTTAAGACAAATATTCAACAGTATGATGAATCAAAAGATGCAAAAACCAATATAGTGAATAAATTCAAAGCAGAATATGAAGCAAAATTTCCCTTAAGCAAGAGATGCCCGTCGCTTATCTTTATCTTTGACTTTGATACACTATGGTTTTCTACACAAATTACCAAGACACTCACCAATGAACGAAACAAAGTATCTATTGCTCTGATTAAAGCCAGTGGTGCAGCGATTACCAAAGAGTTACAGGTTAATGAGAAATAAAGCGTTTTAATATAAATATCGAAAGTAATACGTTTTATTATCACTAAAATAGGTACCGGTGCAAGAATAGGCGGAAAATAGCAACAATGGAAAACATATCTTGTATGAGGAAGATTCTGACAGTGACTTTTCAAACGGAAAAAGTGATGATGAAAATGAGGCCGAATTTATAAATTCAATATTAGTAGATGAAGGGGCTCCTACCTGTTTGAAAGAATTCGACTCGTTCCAATTAATGCTTACAAAAAGGTAAAAGTAGTCGGTCTCTTCGTTAATGCAGATTTTTTCAAACCTTGTAAGTAATTTTTTTTTATTCTGGTATATTGATATATTCATGCCTCTGCTTTAGATCTCTTTACAATATTATACTATTAAAAAAAAGCCGTGCTTATCCTGGAATAAATATGAATGACTTATATAACCAGATGTTGGATATCTACAAATGTGGTGCAAGTATTGAAAAAGTAACGTTTGATGCCTTATCAGAATTATTCAGAGTAAGTAAGTTTAAGGTTTAATATTATGTCTCATATATTCTTTTCTCAGGGTATTGGTGATATTTCTGACAGAGACTTAGTAAAAATCAAACTATTTAAAATATACGAAGAGGCCAAAAAAGAAGATCGATATGCCAGGTGCAGCAAGTATGGTGGATATGCTTGTCGATGAGGGAATACTCGGTAGTGTTGGTGCTTGACAATGGCGAAGTAAGTGTGTGAGGTGCAGCAAGCTTTGTTTTTTTACCAAGTTTGATACAACTTTGGGTATATGATATGGTGTGGCTGTTGGGATGTAAGGTACGGCTTCATCTTTCCTCTCGCAATTGTCGCTGTATCCTCTGTATTCGATACTTTATCTTACGACAGTAAAAAAAACATGATCCTAAAACAGAAAAGTAATTGATGTTTTAATTAATTTGTGCGTATTATACATGTAGTAAAAAAAAAAAAAACTTCATGATATTAGGATTCATAAACTAACACTACTCTTTATTATAGATTAAACAAACTACCTGATGAAGAAATTATTGATTATACGGTTGAAGAGTAAGAGCTCATCAACGGCTTTGTCGATCCTATGCTTACTCCATTGTTGCACAAACCAGAAAACAGGAAACTCTTTTTTTGGTAAATGGCCTGATATAGACTTTAATGTTATTAGTAGTATTAATTCTACATCTAAATGATAGGTTAAATAGAAAGGTAGTAAAAACTCTCAGTACCCGCCCTGACGCTGGTTGCGCTGTAATCCACGAGAGAAGAATTGAAAAGCTTACTTGTTTTACTGAAGTGAAGTCAGAATACAAAAAAAAAAAAAAGGATACAGTATCTACCCACCAAGATCTACTAAGACTGGCTTTGTTTGGAGTAAATGAAATTGAAGATATCAATGCTGAATGCGTTTTACTCATACAGATCGTAGGTAAAGTAAACATTTAATTGATGTTACATTTTTCATAGTTTGTTTATAAATTTAAATATACTAGGTACTGTAATAACAAATTATGGATGTATAAAGCACAAAAATGGCCCCAAAATCGTCTTCGACGTCTCAAAAATCAAAATTCCATCATCTATGCAAAATCTAACAGGATTTATTATGCAACTTGATGATTTAAAAAAAACTCAGTAATTCTTACAACCGTTGTTGTGTCAAGAAATCCAATACAACCAGCAATATCAAAAGAAAACCTTCAACTACAATTGTAGATCTTGACAAAATAATCAATACCCACAAACCAAAAAATTTAAGAGTCTCCACTGATTTTTGAGCACAAAAATCTTATTTAAACTAATAAATCATTGTACTTATCACCCTTTGTCGTTTTTTTTTTTTTTTTAAAAAAAAGGGAAGTAAAAATAAATGGCTGTTTTAGCTTCAAAAACAAAACTTAGCCTTCAGTTTGGAGCGAGCATTTATATGTCTAAAACAGTTGGTATATATATACTTATCGGCTAGATTGCTGTTAAACAAACATTCTTTTACCTTTTCACGTTTCTGTACATCTATATATAAATCAATCATAAAACGTAAAAAAAGATGAGGTCCTGAAAAGAAGACAAGAGTTCTGTGCTTTAAGCAGAAGCGATGGTATGTGCAAAGACGAGAACAAGAACTGGACATTATCTTGAGTTTTTTAAAGGGAACTTGAGACCAGTTAGATTTCCCGAATTAAAAGGGCTTATCTTTGTCATGGATAATGCTCCTATTTATACCCACAAAGGCATTGATAATTTAGTTGCTAGCAGATGATATTAGTTTATTTACTTGCCTTTATTTTTCGCCTAAATTGAACCCTACTGAATGATTTTGGGCTATTGTTAAAAATAGTATTGAGCGTATTAAGTTCGATGTTACTGAGGGATCTTCATACAAGAATCACTGAGGCATTTAATAACGTTCCTCAAACTACATTAAGAAATTGTATCCAACATTCCGTCAATGTTTTTTTTAAAGTGATTAAGTAGATAGTTACTTTGTTGTAGTCCATATTTGTATTCTGTAACTGTGCGCTCTAGCAGTTGGCATTACTTGAAACGAATAACAATTGCCTTAAGGCAAACATTCTATTTTTATCACTGTAAATCAAATGAATTTTGATTGTTTCAGAAAAGATCTAGTAAAACCCTTTTCTCTTCTGTTATTCTTGACTTGATTTGGTTGTTAATGACGAAAAACTTACCTACCGAAGTGCTTTTATCCGTCTTAAATATTTTTCCAAGTGAACTGGATAAGTTCTCATTTGCTTATGTTAACAAAAGGCACTGGAGGATTTGTTCTTCGCCAACAGCAGATACACTCAAGCTCAAAAGCACGATCACTGCTCTGCAGCTGAGAAAGTATTGTGCTTTTATCATAAAATTCCGATACTGTGATAAAAAATACATGAAGCACGTCTTCTTGCAAGCTGCCAGTTTACACACCATAACACTTGACGACCGTCAAAAGTGTACGTTTGATCGCATCATTTCTACTTCAATCTGCCAATATGAACAATAAGGTTACTTTCATTATACCTGAAGGATTTGAACAGAAATTTAAGTGCATAGTGGAAGAAGATGAAATGGATAACGTCAGTGGAGACGAGCAGCTTATTGATATCGCCAAAATTGTCCCTCCAGAAGCAGTTGAGCGTGCAAAAAACATCCTGAGACGCGATTATTACCTTCCTAACAGAGAAACCATAGTCATGAAGGATAACCTTAGCTACATGATTGCTTCTCCTATCAAATGATTCTTAAAGTCCAGAGAATATCGCGTCCAGAAAAACGGCTTTGGCGACGATTTGTTAACGAAGAAGACAGACCTAAATGCAGTGGAAGCCTCAAGAATTGTTAATGAGTGAGGACCCAAGCTTGTCGAATCAGTTATTATATTGGTTTTTATGACTATGTAAATACTCCAGTATCTAAACCATGATGTAAAACAAGTAGATTATGATCGATGTCGTCTTGACTTGGTGCGTAATCAAAGCTTAATTGTGCCTTGATAGCTTTAGGTGGTGTTATCTTTTTGCTTTCAGCTGATGGTGTATTAACATTGGGTTGCTTGAATTTTTGAATTCAGAGTTTTGAAGTTGAGATCAAAAGTTGAAGTTTATGTACTCCGCCGAGACCATAAAATTTAAGGCTGCATCAGAACTTCAACTGAGGAAGTCCAATGTCTATGCATACTATACTGCTTACAAGAATATAACTTGTATGCTGGCAACATCAAAACAAGAGCTACAAATATTGATTTAAATTTCTTCATAGAAAAACTTAATCATGCTTGAACGTTATTAGAAACTTTTTGTTAAAAAACATGTATATGTCAACATTGTCGCATTCCCCATAATGTGTTAGCCAATGATAAAGTTGATTTTTTAGTGTTTGTTTCACATGAAAGTATCATGTCATTCCAAGATGCTTTACTGCTCATTATTCCATTTGATCCTAACAAAAGTATGATGTATCGCACATGGATCTGACGAGAATCAAACGGATGGTCCGATGGTGTTCATCCCATTTCAAAAAGTAGTAAAATCAAAATGCCAAGCTTTTCTTGTCCATCCAATATAAACAAAAAAACCATCAGTAAACAAAACTTTTTTTTTCTTTTTTTTATAAAATCTTGTTCATACAAAATTTTTTTTTACTTTTCTTTAAAAGATTTGATACTCTTAAAATGTAGATATATGCTATGACACCATATTTCTTGTCCTGTTACTTATTTATGTTTTTTTAGGTACAAGAAAGCTTACATTCTTGAACAGGGAAAAGACTTTGATATACAATCATTCTATATTCTTGGAAAGAGGGAGAATGTCTGGATTCTTGAGAAGAACGATAGAAGCAGCAGCCATAGAACGAGCTAGCTTCTTGTGATCTCTTTGAACGTTGACAATTTTAGCTTCTTCACGGTATAAATTAATGGATACCTGTCTTCTACAACCAAATATACAAATATCGATAAGACATTTTATATTTGGGATCGTATTTTATTCATGATAAAATGATCAACTATTATGTTCTACTGCCAATTATTCAAGACAAGCACTTATGCAGAAAGTGAACTGAAAATTGCGTAATTATTGGTGGTGCTCCAATGCTCGGAGGTGGTGATTCTTGGTGACGATTCAATGCTCGGGGGTGGTAATTCATGCTGGTGATTCAATGCTTGGTGGCGGTCATTCGTGGTGGTGAATCAATGCTTGGAGGTGGTGAGTCCTGGTGGTGAATTAATACTCGGAGATTGTGATTCCTGGTGGTGAGTCAATGTTTGGTGACGGTGTTGTTTGCAGGTAATAATAATCAGTGTATGGAGTTGACGGTGGCCAGGTAAGACAGTTTGATGAGGCAAGTTAAGTCTGTATATCAGGAAGTTGAAGACAAACAACTGAAAGAATTCTTGTATGAAGAATATATACGTGATGATTTTGCGGTATGAAGTTTGTCAGATACAGATTATAACACGTTTGACTAATTATCATTTTAGATGATTACTGAAAGTACACACTTGGATATATACTGGACTGATACAGTCAAAGATATAATCAGCGCAAATATAAACAAAAGAAAATTGGACCACATGCTATCCCAAGAAGCATCCTCTGTGAGACACAAAAACTTATATCAAATGTAATACATAGCTCTAACAACAGAGTCTTTATTTTATCTAGTCAACCGAACGTACCCAAAAGGACCGCCATTTATCCCAAAAGTAAGTACCACTAAGCATACCAAATACTTTGTTTAGCAATCACTAAATATAAATACCTATCTTTTATTAAGCTTAAGCATTGTTGACCTATCAAACCAAGGGAGCTCGTCTCAACAAGATGATGTTGATGGTTGGAAGGAAATACTGATTGCTCATCAAAGTACTGAAGAGGACCAATTACCAGCATTACGTCCAAAACTGATTGCTGCGGTAAGCTCTGTAACACAAAAGGCATGTGAATGAGGAGAAAATTTACAAATCAGAATATTTGTTAATTAACAGCATTTAATATCATAGAAGTCAACAGCTTATAAGAGGTATATTCGATCTTTATCATACCAGCAACAATGTCCCGAAGATTCTTTATATTTTTACAAGATTATTACCACCATGTAAGTTCCAAATGTTCCCAGCTTTTATGCGTGATATTTTGCTAACAACACAATAATGCGACTATCTTATGCGTATAGTATGAATGCCTTCTACACCAAACCAAGCCTACTTGACTTATCTGTTGCTCATGAACAATCAGAGCAAGATTATAACATAAATATCTGGGAGCCTATCATAGAAGCCATGTTCTCTGATTCCATCGTACAAGTCAAGAGGTAAATACAAAGCTCGTATTTTTTTTTAAAAAAAAAAATAAGGATATCAGAGAATACTAACTCCATTATCTACTCTATATAGCGGCGATACAGTATTGAAAAGCTTTGATAGCAAGTTCAAAATCAATTACAGACTTAGAGTTATTATCAATCAGAGATTCATTGATATAGCGAATATTGAAGTCGGAAGGAAGGCCACCACTACCAAGGACAAGGATGACCACTTTAAACTACTTCTGGAAGCCAAAACAATCATACAAAAAGCAATCAGTTCTTTTAGCTTTATTTATCCACCGTCTTTCACAGTAACCTCTGTTGAGGATAACATAATAACACACCTAGAGTAGAACTATCGGAGATGATCCAATAAGGACATGATTCCATATAATCACACTGATGGGAATTAGTTGTTCCACAATTTACCTCTATCAATAAAACAATGCTGTGTAACGTGTATCGAGCGAAGAGTCTCATAGGACCTGAGCCATACGTATATGGAAATGAGTGCTATTGTTTGTATAATTGTTTATTTACTTCTTTATATTTATTTATTTCTTGACCTCGGTAAACTAAGTTTGGTAAATCATAAACCTGTTTACGTGGCTTTGGTCTTTCCTTCTTCCTTCTGCCTTCTTTTCCCATATTTAGTAGAACCGTCAATTAAGTGATGACTGTCAAGGTTTTGCTTGTTATGGAATCACCGGTGCTGGTCACTGTCAATACCCTCCTCTTGATACCTTTCAAATTATATATAAATACCCCTTGATAGTTTTGTAGAATTATCTCTATCTTCTTTTTAAATAAAATTAGAGACGACTTAGTCGTAACAGTACTTGCCCTTTCCCTTTCTATTTCACAACAACCTCGTTTCAAATTCGTGGCATCAAAAGCGACTTATTACAAACAAGTCTTGGCTCCCCTTCCAATTTTACCACTCAACGAATAAGCAAAAGAATACGTATACCACTCCGACCCTGTTGTGATCGAGCTTTATATATTCATGTATGCTTGATCTACACAGCATATTTTTATCCATTACGATAATTTTATAAACACTTCTTTTAATGTTGCATATTGAATATTCACAATTGACTTAACAAACTAGCACGATATTCATCAAGCTAAATACAAGTACAAAAGTATACATTTATTATACAATTATTATAAAAAGACATTATTAATATATTGTACTAATTAGATTAGCGGAGGCCAATGACAAGCGAGGTTTAAAAGTACAAACACGATAAATTTTTGAATGTACTTTGATGACTTTTAAAGGTACGCGTCAAGTGACACTACAGACCTATTACAGAAACGTGTACCACTCTTTCTTCTATTATATAATTCTCATTGGATTACTTTCAAGATATGGCGGGTCAGTCATAATCTTGCCTGTCATCTATCCCTGTGTAAGAAGGAGGTCGAATTCAATATGTATATAAAGGACCCCTAAATTTTATGTTAATAAAAGTTCAGTTAATTTTTGCAATCTGGTTAATCTTACTTGTTATTTCCTAAGTTATCATCGATTTATCAGCCCCGACGACAGCGAGAAGTTGACTCTTTTGTTACAACTGTGGTATTTAGCCATATTATACCGTAGTCGAATTAGGTTACACGATCACAATCCACAATAATTGACATTATTGTGACTACTAATAACCTCATATAAAAGCAGAAATTAACTATTCAACTAGACGGATCCTTCTTGTCTTTTTATTATTATAAAAAAACAATAAAGTTATCAAAAGTTTCATTTTATTTCTTGACCCATAATTATCACATTTTTTAAAATGAATCCTTCTGTTACTTTGCCTTCTTCGTCTAGTTCGTCTAGTTCTTCGTCTTCGTCATCCGATGTTGCTCAATTTTCTGACCTTGGTCAAAAAATAGCTGATTTGGGTCTTGTGTCTAAGGGTAAGGACAAGGGTAAGGGTAAGGAAGTAGCTTCTATTGATGAAGATACTGAGATGCCTGAGGTTTCTAAGATTCCTCAACCTGTTGCTAAGCCCGTTAGTAAGTTTGCTCCTTCTGTAGAGGAAGTTAAGAGAGAGGCAACGATCTCGAACCTAACTTTGCAGTTGGAAAAGTTAGCTTCCCACGTTGTCATGCTCAACGATAAAAAGTTGAAGCTTTTTGATGAAGGAATCTTTGATTCAAGTGATCCTCGAATGGTCGAGATCATTAATAGTTTGAAGTTTGTTGAGGAGTCCCAACCTCCTATTGTGAAGCAGCTCGAGTATCTTGCTCGTTCTGTTATTAGTGTTGACAGTGGTTCTTCGGATGAGCTGAGCAGTGCCAAAAGCGCTTTACTCACGCCTCTGATTCCCGTCTTCAATGTGAATCCTGCTGCCAGCGTTTTGAACAACAATGGTTCTGCAGTTAGTAGTGGTGTGGTTGCTGCTGATGAACTTCCCTTGACCAGCTTTTTGTTGCTCTTTGAGAGAGTTCTCGCCAATCATGCTGTGGATGTCAAAAAGCATTGGCTCCACTTTTTGGAAATTGCCTTTGAGAAGTCACCCAAGTATATTACTTGGTTTAAGATTACTCTTAAGGATTCGGGGTATTCTTGGAAGGATGCTAAAGTTGTTTTGGAGCAACGATTTGACATGGCTTCTCAGTCCAGTGTTGAAGAGTTGGCTCAGAAGTTACTAAACTTCGAAATGCAAGTTGGTGAATCTTTCATCCTTTGTTTGGAAAGATTCCGTATGTTAGTTATTGAGGCCAAGCTCAATTATGAGAATAATGTAGTTTTAGTCTACATGTTTTTGAACTGTTTGCCTGACGCTGTCAAGGAAAAAGTTAAGGGTGTTCTTCGTGTCCATCAGCAGAAAGTAATTTCTGAAGACCCCGAACTTTCTCTGGAAGCAGAACAGAAAGTTCATTACGCCCCTGCCAGTTGGGCAGTTTTCGAAAAGACAGTGTCCATCCATGTCGCTGCAATTGAAACCTTGTTGTCTGCTGACAATCAAAAAAGATCAGTCAACAAGAAAAGAAAAATTTCTGGTTTGGAAAACCAATCTTCGTCTTCGTCCTCTTCGTCCGCTCCCTCTTCGTCCTCTTCGTCCTCTTCGTCTCCTTCGTCCTCTTCGTCTTCGTCCTCTTCGTCCTTCTCGTACATGTCCCCCTCTGAACATGAAAGGTTGAAAAAAGCTGGGTTATGTACCTATTGTAAGACCGC